CGCGGAGCGGGCGGCTTGGGAGTACGTCCGCGACCATAGGGTGCAGTTTCAATTGATAACTCTATGCCCGGGAATGGTATTCGGGCGAATGATTCATCCTATTTCATCTCTCTCTCAGCTGAATGCCAGCAATCAGATTGTGTGGCAGGTTCTGAGTGCGGGGAAGGATGGTCAAATTCCACCCACGAAAGCACCTGGTATGTGTCTGTTCTCGCCAGCCGCCACGCGATGTCAACTAACCATAAAACAGTTTGGATTGATGTTGAAGATCTGGCTGAGACGACTGTCCGGACATTGACATTCTCCGGAGTTGGGCATGAGAGGTTCTTAGTGACTCAGGGATCATATGACACACAGGAGATTGCGGATATCGCTCGTTCTAGCCCTGTGGCCAGCCGTCGTGTGCCGGTTGGAGAGCCGGGTAAACGCATTGCGAATACCCACTACTCGTGTGATTCCTCAAAGGCACAAATGATGCTGGGAATGAAATTCCGCAGCCTCGAAGAGTCCATTCTTCCATTAGCTGAGCAGCTATTCAACATGGAAATGCATTGAATACACATGTATTCAATATTTTATCCTTTGTTTATATTATCAAACTCAAATTGTAGGCCGATTGCTTAGATTGAAATGCTATCATTGGCTTTACTTCGGAGTCTGCAATAGATAATTCCAACCCATTGCGTATTATCAACAGACTGGAACACCGCAAATGGATGGCAACATCTGCGTCCCGGGAATCGGAAACCCCCATCATACTTCGACTTTCACTCGTCAACCCCAAGATTCGTCACACACAAATTGGAGAAGCACTACATAAACAGACGATATAGGGGATTGAAGAAAGGAAAACGCGTTGCTAGCACATTTCTTGCGCTTGGAATAGGATCTGAGGATGGAATCGACCTGGAACAGACCCACCAGTACTCGGTATAAAACCATGAATCAAGAGCAAATCTTTCATTTCAACTAGTAGCCAATATGGTTCCCGACCTCGACTGGGTCATGTTGTGTTTTGTTGACAAACAAGCTGAGCTAGATGTTCCCGCATATCGTACCCGCAGACCTCCTCGATAGTCAACTTTCCAGGTCGATCCGTAGACGAGCTCCAACCAATCCGCTCGTTCAGGTTTTCACGGGCTTTAAAGCTAGCTTCCTGGATGCGAGTGGCTCTTTCCTTGCGTAGTTTCTCGTAGAGAGCCAGTCCTTGAACCGCGCTGTATTCTTGGCGGAAATTCTTATGGAACACGAGACCTAAAGCCCCAGCATCTTCAAAGGCCATACAGGAGCCTTGCGACTGGTCGGGCATCATCGGATGCGCTATTACTGTGTCAGCTTGTTTAAGTGCAGGAATGAGTTAACTGCGGGTGAGCGACTTACCTGCATCTCCCAGGAGACAAACCTTGCCTTTTACCCAATAAGGATATGGCTGATGCTTATAGACTGTAGTTTATCAGCGTGTATACATAAGATTGAATGAAGTCCGAGAGTTCTCACGTCGCCACATTTTGATATCCTCGGCGTTCATCATCAAAGTTCTCATTCTAGGATCCAGATCTGGGAAGGTATCCACGAGTTGTTGCGGCGAGGCACTGATGCTCCATCCGTCGTCACGGACATTGTTATGTGCTGCTGGATAAAAGCAGTAACAGCTGACAACCTCTCCGTTACTGCAGGGAGACATCACAATCTTGTTGATCCCAAATCCGCCCCAATATTCGATCGCTTCATTGGAGATGTAGTCTTGTAGTCCGAGAGAGCGAAGTTTATCGGCTCCTATGATGCATCGATAGCAGCATGATGTGGACATTTCAAAATCCGGTGTAATTCCAATCATGTTTCGTGTGAGAGACTATATTAATCTGGTCAGTTGCGGAAATAGCAAATGAACTTGTGATAGCATTTGAGTACCCGAATACCATCCGCCGCCACAATAATATCGGCTGATGCCTCAACACCATTTTCGAACTGAATGACCCCGCTCTCTGAATTCACATCGATTGCTTTGAAGTTCACTTTCAGCTCGCACTTAGGACCATCCCCGGGTAGCTCAAACGCAGACTTCAGTAATTGTTGGTGAATGTCAATACGGTGAAAGTTGTTATAATCCTATGAATAGATCAGCACAAATGAACAACAGAAGAAGACGCTTGAATCTACCGTGCCAAATTTGGACTTATAGTCACCAAGCGGGTATGTGCTCTGCACTTCGCCATTGGACCATTCGTGCATGATGAGTTGCTTGAGAATGACCTGTTACGGAGTTATAAGCTGTATGCTTTGATCATAATTCCCCAGAAGAACAAACCGGTTTGGCTCCCTTCACATCGACTCCCCATTCTTCCAAGAAGCGTGATCCATTCGAAGCCGCACTCAAAGACGCACCAACTTCACCGGCAAAATCATATCTCTCATATACAGTCACAATATGTCCCTGTCGACGTAAAGCAACAGCAGCCGCAAGGCCACCAAGACCTGCGCCGACAATGGCGATTTGAAGAGGCGCGTCTGTGCGAGAAGGCATAATAACTTGAATCAAAGGCAAATTCTTGTTTCGAATCTGCGAAAGCCGAAAACCCACAATGTTCCATTGGAGTTATATAACCTGCCAAAAGCAGGGCAAAGTACTTTAAAAACACAATACACATCTGATCGCATGGTTTGGTTATCTTCCATCGGCTTCTTCCTTTTCGTAACGATAAGCGACGGCCAGGGACCTTGCGAAGCCAAAGAGATCCGAGGCGGCCAGTGGGCTATCTATCCGACGGCTGCATATTTCTTTGGCTTCTCCGCAGTCGATCCTTCCCGTTTTAAGCCAGTAGATCAACGCCTATAACGCCTATCATTGTCTGGGGAAGCAAAGTTCGGCTACGTTGCTGAGCTGCAATCTCAGCACTATATCATATCTGGTCCAATGTCGTTCATAAAGCTGACCGGCCTGCAAATTTGCTCAATTGCCATTGTGCTTTAATCCTCTGAAGAAGACCTGAACTATGGATGATAAGATTGATTTCACCAACAAATGCGATATCGAAGACTGTGGCTTGGGTATTGTTGAGATGGACGACAAGACCTTGCTACGCAAGGTTGACTGGCACCTCCTGCCCATTATGTTCCTGACCTACTTTTTACAGATGATTGACAAGATTTCCATCAATGTTTGTTCACCTCAGTTTAACTCATTCTTCCAGCTAACAAATGCAAGTATGCAAATGTTATGGGTCTCCAGGACGATCTGCATATGACCGGGAATGATTTCCCCTGGCTCGCAACGGCCTTTTTTATTGCATATGCCGTGGCAGAGATACCCCAGGGCGCTCTCCTCCAGCGATTCTCTGTAACGAAAGTGCTTGGAGCAAATGTGTTCTGCTGGGGAATCATTCTGTGTTGCTCTTCCGCCGCCAAGAATTTCTCTCACATGCTCGCCTTGCGAATTCTGCTAGGCTTAATGGAAGCTGTGATAGGTAGGAGAGTTTCCAATCCACAAGAGGAAACAGGGTACTAAAGTAACCTCATCGCAGCACCCTCTCTCACAATGTACACAAGCATGTGGTACACGCGTGCAGAATCAACACCACGATACGGACTCTGGTACTGCGGGTTGGGCGTCGGACAGATTGTCGGAGCTCTCATCTCCTTCGGTGCCCAACATGCCCCTACCAGTATGTCATTTGGCGGCTGGCGCATCATGTTTGTGGTAATTGGTGTAGTCAACATCTTGGTTTCTCTACTTGTGATTTTTGTTCTTCCCGACAATCCGGAAAAGGCCAAGTTCCTTACAGAGACAGAGAAACAACGAATTGGCCAACGACTAACAGATGACCAGTCTGGGGTTGGGTCCAAAGTTTTCAGATGGCGGTCGGTTCTCGAGGCGTTCGGGGATCTCCAGACTTGGCTTCTTGTCTTGCTCACTATTCTTATAACAATTCCAAGCGGCGTGATCACAACATTCTCCGCGATCTTGATCAAAGGATTCGGATACAGCTCAAAGGAAAGTGCACTCCTCAATATGCCCTCTGGAATCGTGAGTATTGTGGCAACTATGGTTTCTACGTTCGCGATTTCAAGGGGGTTTTCGCGCTGGCTAGCCATTGACTTGCTATTGATTCCGACATTACTAGGATCTTGCTTGATGTCATTTCTTCCGCCCGACAATCAAACTGGCTGTCTAGTGGGAATCTATCTGGTGAACACGGTATGTACTCTAAGCATTTGACGTGGGATCATTCCTGACTTTATTAGACGGTCGCTCCCTTGGCATTGATTTATGCATGGACTGGGGCCAATTACAAGGGTTACACTATGAAGGTACATTGTATATATCCCTTTCAGCCCATCAGCATTTGACAAAATGTCCTAGGTTTCTGGTGCCGCAATTGTGTCTGCTGGCTTCAGTATTGCGAACATTATTGGGCCGCAAACTTTTCAAGCCAAGGATGCTCCGCAGTAGGCTACTACATTGCATACTTGGAATCTACTCTTGACTGACTGTCACAGGTATATACCGGCAAAGATAACAATCGTTGCCGTTAATGCTGCGGCCATTGTAGTGTCAACTGCCCTGCGCATCGTGTATGGAAGACGCAACACCGCTGCAGATCGATTGGGCACTCCAGCGCGTAGTCTTGTTGAAACACGACCGGCTGGGAAGAGAGGTGTCCAAGATGTTTATCCTGATGAGAATTTCCGCTACGTGTATTGAACATTTCCTTTGGTGAAATGGGGCTAGAGTCCAATGGTAGTTATATGGCGGTTACATGTCGTTCACAAAAATCGCCCTTTTTACTGTCACTGGCAACTGTGTTATCTTAACGAGCCTCGATCGGAAAAGTGTCGATGAATGGGACTCTTCGGAGATGGGGGCGTAGTATGTAGGTCACTGTCATCAAATACCCATCCCGCTTGATGAACATCTTGGTATACCTACTACCTAGTGACAGAAATTCAAGTTGATCCCGTCTCAGAGAACCATCACAAAAATACAATAGAAAATCCTGTCCTTAAATAAACACTACGCCTGGAAACTGGCTATATCTGACGGCAGCCCAGTTCAAATCCGAAGCACTGTTACCTCCCTTCCACAATGTCTCCAATAATTGGCGTGCGTGATGGATATGGCTAAATGCAAGAGTGCTTTCCATCACCATAAGCCGTTCTTTAACCATCATCCGTCGTTCAACGCTGATACTGCTTGACCCAGCGATAACAAGAGGGAAAAGAAGACACCCCTCGATCCTGCTAGCATATGGAATCGCCTGAACAGAGTCGAGGATCATGGTGACTGCGCGTTCCACAAACCCATGAAGGGCGTCATAACCTTCGACAATCTGATGGAGCCGAAGTCGAATCGCCCATTCAAAAGCAGTCGCAGCACGGTCCGTATCTGATTTGTTTTCACGAGATGAAGCACCTGAAACTCCACGATCGTGTCCGGTGCGCCATTCGTCGATCCTATCTTCAATATGCATTGCTGCTGCTCGGAAGCCAATCTCGGATAACTCATCGACACGCCTGATGCGTTGATTGGCTAGCAAATTCACCATGCCCAACAAGTCAAAAAGGGCAGGGGATATGCCGTAAATAGCATCTGCTGAATCGCTGTGGCATAGCTCTGGCACACTGCTCTGACGAACCGATCTGCACAATTCTATCACGCTGTCATCGCTTTGCAATAGCGGTGCTTTGCAGCGAGAAATGGTCGACATGGAATCTAGATAATGAAACAGACTGATGCAGAATTTCCACTCATCCGTCGAGATAAGCGATTGGAATGCTGCTGACTTCAAAATTGCGCTGGCGGCTTTCAGATGCCACTTCCAAACCCGGGATGTGCCGTCGAACAATTCGGTGAGGCATAACAAGAGCACCGTGGCGCATGATGCAAATATAGATTGCTTATCCGAGCAACCGAGCAGATCGTTTACTTGGGCCAATGCTATGAAATTGTCAGCTGTCACCTCAAAACGCCAACAAGTGAGTTCTGATAGTGGGAGGTGAAAGCCTATCGTACAAGGCATTTCCCGGGTAAATAGCCTACCTTGTCCCTGTCGAGTCAATGCAGTCCCCCAAATGGTTGGGTAAACTCTCTTCCAATGGCAACCACTCAAACTCAATATCACACTAGTTACGGTATCCGAAACTGCTGCCAATGGTAAAAGTGTGACCAGAAAAGGGTTATTCTCTTTATCACCCGAGCGGCAAAGCGCCCTTGAAACGACGTGGATGTAGTGATTGAAGAGCGATCGTTCTTCGTCTGTGCGTAAATAGGGGTTTATGGAGATAGATAATTGGCTGAGAGGTGGTGTGACAGCACTCGTCCTGGGCAAGGGGTGAGGAAAGAGCGTGGCAATGAAGTCCTCAGCGTCGAAGGGTGTTATGGGCCTCGGCGTAGACAAATCCCCTTCGGGTTCGGGATCATTGTTCGGAACAATCTCAGCAGAAAGCGTCGGAAGACAGGAAGGAGAGCACGCATCACTGGTTTCGGGTCTGTCTCCTTCGACAGTGGTGGCACCCACTAACCAATGACAACCGAGATTCAAACGGCGGCAATCACTGCAGCGAGGACGGCATTCGTCACATTTTTTCTTCCTAAAACACTAGTATCAGCTTCCGACGCAAGGACCCATGGACCCCTCTACAGTACCTTCCCTTGCATGGCAAACAGCCGCCCCGGGAGCGCGATGCACGTGGCCGTCGCGGCGCACTCGGTCCGCGCGATACGTTTGCATCCTTCTCCGGACTACGCGGTTTGCAAGAATGGCCAAGACCTATATTCGGGATGTCAGTAAGGACCATCTCACAGGCGGGACTACATACGCGTGCATCGCGAGCAAGGAGTTTCCCCGTCGCATCTTTGCTTCTGGTGTCATTAGCACAAGCCATTTCGGAAGGAAAGTGCACTAACTATGCGAGAGCAACGAGCACAGACGCGATTCATTTTGTTCAAGTCATCGAAGAAGAAGCAGAAGCGACGGAGTGGAACGTTTGGACCTTGCCGACGGAGATAAGCCGCTGATTGCGCTTTGAAGTGCGGGAAAATCGCCGTTTCCGAGTCAACTGGTGAATTTCCATCAACACGAAGCGGCCAGACGAAGGCCGGATGATAAATTCGGCACTTCCTAATGGCCAATCCGAGGTCCAAAGATCCAGATATCCAGGGAAATACCCGGGACCGTTTTGGCCGTAAGTAAGGCGACGCTTCGCGTCGGAATTATTCTTGGTCTACTATCCAATCAGGAAGGGTGAGAGTTGGAGAGTACGAAGACGTACGTCTACCTGCGCCAGCTGCCAAAATTCATCTTCCATCTGACCAATATTGATAAGCCCTAGGTAACTACGTAAGATTTCCTGTTATCTAAGCGAGACACAACATGGACCTGACCTGGCAATGTTGGAACATCACCGGATGATCGGTATGGCCGCGGAGCCAACACTGGCAGACTTCCCTCCTACAGAAGGGCGCAGGCATAAGGTTTAAAGATATGACTCCAGACTCCGTCTCCAGTGGTAGCTGGGCTGTTGCACGAGGAGAATGCCTCATGCCGGGCACTGGGGAGTGGGGACATCCAAGTGGGTCAGTCCTCCGAGGGGTTACGGTCAACATTTGAGAGCACGACCTTGAATGCGGCTGTTCGCCTAGAGACAACACTGCTGAACTCCGAGAACTATTCGTTCTACTCCTACTGTATTATTTGAGAAGTTGACTAGTCGTTAGGAATGCCAGGTTGGCAGGTTCAAGGTAGGATCAATGCTATTGTTCTCACTTAGCATGGATGTATCTTTGCTGTCATTCATGATGTGGTTGAGTCTCACTTTGACGTCCTTCTCCATTTCCTCTAGAATGGAATGATCATGATTCATGAGACTACAGTAAATATACAAGGAGCAGACGAATAGGTGCAAAGGAATCCAACCTCGAAATCCCCAAGGAGTTGTTGCAGCGTTGCTCTTGTTTAATCACAATGAGTGAACGTGAGTCATGTCTTGGCGGGATCCACTATTTAGCCTTGGTGGAGCTCGATGTCTCCAGGTCTCTAAAGAGTCAAGACTCAAGACAAGCTCCGATGTATATAAAATGTCGAATGTTCTGCACCTTGTCCGGTTCAATATGTCAAGTACACCAAAAGCTATAACGAAGGCCATTCTCAATGCCGCCCTTTACGTTTTCCACTAGGAACAATTCCCTCGACACTCCCGATCTACCAGTCACTTTGGGGCTACAAGAGAACGAAAAGCACGCCCCAGGGCCAGCCGATGGTACCCAAGCTCTGAACGACCACGATGAATCTCAACTATACCCCGACAAAATCAGACTCATCTTCATCGGCCTCAGCCTGAGCCTCTGCATGTTCCTTGTGGGACTCGACAACACCATCATCTCCAGCGCCATCCCCAAGATCACGGATGATTTCCACGCACTCGAAGATGTCGGCTGGTACGCGAGTGCCTATATGCTCACAGTGTGTGCTTTTCAGCTGATGTGGGGAAAGCTCTTCACATTTTACACAATCAAATGGGTCTACCTGGCCTCCCTGTTCATCTTCGAGTTGGGCTCTTTAATCTGTGGTGTTGCACCAACTTCCACTGCCCTCATCATCGGGCGCGCTATTGCTGGAGTCGGCGGTGGCGGTGTCTCTAATGGATCATTTTTGTTGATCGCCTATTCTGTACCGCCGCGCCAGCGCCCCACGTTGATCGGTGCTCTCGGTGCCATGTACGGGTTCTCTGCTATCGCTGGTCCGTTGATTGGTGGTGCCTTCACCAATAGCTCAAAGCTCACCTGGAGATGGTGTTTTTACATCAATCTTCCTCTTGGATTTGTTGCCGGCCTGGTCATTCTCTTCCTCGTCTCTTCTTTCAAAGGAAGCAAGGCGGGTAAGCTCGGCTTCATCAATCAACTGAAGCAGATGGACATTCCTGGAACCCTGTGTCTGCTACCTGGTATCATTTGCTTGCTTCTTGCCCTGCAATGGGGTGGCACGAAGTATCCATGGGACAATGGTCGAATTATTGCTCTACTTGTGTTGGCGTTCGTTGTCCTCGTTGTGTTCATGCTTGTCCAGGCTCGCTCTGGTGACCTTGCGACTGTCCCAACCAGGATATTCTGCAATCGCAACATCTGGGGCTCGTCCTTGTTTGGCTCCTGCATTGTCGCCGCCTTCTTCGTCATGTTATACTACGTACGTCCACCTCTGGTCCTTACATTCAAACTTACTAAGTATTCCGTCAGATTCCCATTTGGTTCCAAGCCATCAAAGGAGCCACCCCAATCAAGTCCGGAGTCATGAGTCTTCCTCTTGTCCTGAGCTACGTTATATTCTCCTTTGGCACTGGAGGCCTGACCTCTGTCTTTGGCTACTACGTGCAATGGGCCTACATGACGGTGATCCTCATGGCAATTGGATGCGGTTTGCTCTCCATCCTAGACGTGGGCTCCGGACACGCCGAATGGATTGGTTATCAGGTCATCCTCGGGGCAGGAGTTGGCTGTGGTCTGCAGACAGCATTCTCCGCACCCCAGACTGCCTTGCCCTTGGAAGATATACCGATCGGCACCGCCGTTGTCATCTTCACGGAAAACCTCGCCAGTGCAGTTTTCGTGTCTGTTGCGCAGAACGTTTTCACAAACCAGCTCAAGACCAATATCGCGCAATACGCTCCGGATGTTGATGCCAGTGTGATTATTGCAGCTGGCGCAACTGAATTCAAGAGTCGAATACCCCAAGATATGTACGATGCTGTGCTTTTTGCCTATAACAAGGCCCTGGATCAGACATTTTATGTCGGTGTTGCCCTGTCTTGCTTCGGAGTTCTTGGTGTGTTTGGACTAGAATGGTTGTCTGTCAAAGGGGGCAAGAGGCAGGATACTTCTGATGAGGCCGCTACTGCTTAACACCAATGACGGCGGTGCATAATAGGTGCAGCTTCTACAACACTGCCTAGACACTAGAGACAGAATTTATTATTTCCGTTCAAGGACCTGACTCCCGATTATGGAAATTTCATATGGTAAACATAAACCTCGACCTTGCCAGTTTGAGTATGTCCATTAATCCCGACGTACCAATGCTGAACGGGTTGTCGTAGCGGAGGAGAGTCAATGGGTTGAGCTATGAATATATCAGAGAGAAATTCATTGGCCCGATGTAGCTTGCTCTATTGGATGATGAATATATCATGGAAAATGCGCCCGGATCAAGCCTTGGCTAAAATCAAACCGAGTGCCCCGGTTGCACAGTAGCCCCGGTTTTCAACAAGTATCATCTACACGCATGAGATTTCCTGAGAGAATAGGTTTGTAAACATCACGAACAAAGAGCCCAGTAATTTTGCACTCAACCTAGGTTCATGGTAATAAGAACCAGTCAAGTTGAAATCGGGACCTAGATGAGCGGGCCCTGCACAAGCCCAGGCCTTTTTAAGGTAATGACAAGACCAACCTAGTTCACGTCTTTACGCTTGATGGAATCCTCTAGAGCACCTAAACAACGAATATCTGCAGAACAACTAATATATAGACCCAGGCAGTCGTTAGGAACACATTTGTTACCGGTAGGTATGTGCATGGCTCCACTGCAGGTAAGGAAGGATGGAAGATTCCATTCACAAGGTAAACGAGGGAAAACAGATCGGGCTAGAATATATATCTCCTCTTGATTAAGTCTGACGCTCGCTCTGCCACCGCATAGAGGGTACTTGTCAGATGGCCACACAGTTGAAAGGGCAAGATAGAAGCATCGACCACACGAACGTTCTTGGTACCGTAGACTCGAAGATCATTGCCAACAACACCACCTTTGTCCCGAGGCAGCATACTGGCTGTACCGACTGGGTGGAAGTTTGATCTGTCTGAAAGGGGGTCAGCCACTCATAGCCGCCGCTGGTTGGCCAGAAAGATTATAGAAGATACTGACAATTTGACTTGACCCAGCTCTCCCATATAGGTTCTGATGCATTTTCTGGAACACGCTCCTGCCCCGGTGCGAGCTCCTCTCCCACAAGGTTGCTCAGAGGAGCAGTGTGAAATGCCTTACGGACATACCGAGCCACTTCGGCATTAGCACTTAAATCTTGATCAAACATAAAATAATTCGGGTTAATCGAAGGTGGCTGGGAGCTGTCCGCGGACTGGATATGTATGCTTCCCCTCGAGAACGGAAGAAGAGGCCAGTACTCGCTGGAAAATGAGTGTCCGATGGGAAGCAGAACGATTTCCGCATAAGGGACCTGAGACTTGAAGATAAGATCGTACTGAAGTTGGAAGGCATTCAGGGCATTGACTTCCTGCACTGCGCCGTTGGAGTATTTCGAGACAGCCCTTGCGTAATCTGCGAGGCTCGCGTTGACAAGTGAAGCGACATCAGAGACATTGTCGCCAAATATTTGACTGGCTGAAGGCAGAGCGGAAAACGTTGGTGAGCCGAGCCAGAGGGCGTTCCCTTCATAAGAGAGTCCGCTGTTTGTTTGATCCTGTAGGTTCTCCCCGACGGTGGAGATATTGACTCTGACCGGTATGTCGTACTTACTGAGGACATCGGGATTACCGATGCCTGACAGTTCCAACAGCACAGATGATTTGAGAGAGCCCGCCGACAGGATGACTTCCTTCGAGGCATAGATCGTGCCGATTCCATCGACTCCGGTAACTTCGACGCCAATTGCGACTGCCTCGCTACCTGCATTGCTCGCCCAGATGACCTTATTTGCGTAAGTGTTGGATATGATCTTCAGATTAGAGCGATTTTCGTATGGCCAATAGTAAGCTCGGGCTGCATCGTGGCGCACATTGGCTTCGCGGTCGACGGTGTTGGGATGAACTGTCAGTCCTACCATGCTACCACCATTGGCGTCTCTGTTGAAGGGAAGACCGAGCCGCTGGAAGGTTTCATCGAGCTGAGGTAGCATGGTACTGTTGGTCATCGCTCTAGGCCATCCGATTTTGACAGGGCCGTCTTTCCCGTGATAGTCGATGTAATAGTCGGCTCCTTGGTCAATCTGGTCTGATGTGGGCACTTGTAGCCTTGTTGATTTCTTGTAGTATGGGAAGAGACTATCCCAATTCCAACCCTTGTTTCCGACATGTTCCCAAGCGTCGATCTGGGCTTTTTGTGCTCGCGTATACGACATCCCTTACCCGAAGATAGAGTCAGCAGATGCACTCACTTTCAGTGATTTCTCGCAAGACCAGGACACGCATACCGTTGATCGTGCTCGTGCCACCAATTGCTTTTCCAGCACGCATGGTTTGCTTGCCCCCTCCGGCATATGTTTGGTCTTCGGTTTGGTAGGCCCAGTCAATTTCTGTGCCGAATGCCCGACCGTAGCCCGTCACCGTAGAAACATTGTGGTTATTCAGAACGGAATCTCCAGCTTCGATAACAGCCACGGTCACGTCCCTCAGTTCGGAGAGTCTGTTAGCAATAACCAGGCCACTGGTCCCTCCACCAACAATGACAAAGTCATAATGTGACGAGTCATCTTGATTCTTGGCCTCCGCTGAGGTCAGGAAAAGTCGCGCAATTCTAAGAATTGACAGGATCATTGCGTGGCCCCAAGAGGACTAGGAGGTAGAAGAGGATTTAGTTCCTGAGATAACAAGTAGTTTAGGCAATAGATATGGATAAGTTGAACATGATTCTAACGATGAAGAGCGAGCTGGGGAGCCTCATGAGATTGACTGCGTACCAGGCCTCCCCGCTTGGATCGTAGGGGTCGATGGATGTAGTCATACCTAGGCTGTTGGAATGTATGGAATGCTCCATTCTCGGATGACAATGGGGATTCGAGGGAGCAACGGTGAACTCGATTGTCGATTCTCCTCAAATTGTTTTTGGGCCAAAAAAAAAAGAAACGAAGTCACAAACGGAATGAAACTTAGGGCGTTTATTGTATGAACAATAGGCATAAATAGGGAGCTTAAAAAGTTGGTGAAAGAAATCGTAGAAGCCGACTGGTATGTTCCAAACATGAGTCGCGTGGCAACCTTTTGACATTATCGTAAACACGCCAAACACAACACGTGGAAATTTGGCAGATGACAGGGATAGACAGTGACTATCAACATATCAGTAAACATCATACTGTCATAATCCAGGTCAAAACCACCATTTATCTCAAATAACACCGACATGATGGTTTCTGCCTCAACCTTACCTCCTGGCTATTGACCCTCCAGCCTTTGCGCAAAACCTTTGGGAAGCCAAGAGACCGACATCCTTTGAGACTGAGGACTGGGCATCCAGGCAATGCCAAAATAGTATTGCCGCGCTGAGTGTCGAAGGGTAACCCATATGGATATTGCAAGTGTGGACTATGTCTTGAATAGAACCCCAAGCCGAGAGTTGCATATTCCGATTCAAGTGGACTGGACTGCGAAAGGGTCACGAGGATTTGTGCCAACTCCAAGATGCGACCTCGTGATCCTGAGTGACCTCAAACACGACTCCGAACCCTGCGGACAACAACTCGATGCGGATGTCGCATGGCTGCATATACAGCACAAAAGACGGCCAACGTTAACCGATTCTTTGTTTTCGCCTCACCCAAACCTCCTGGTCGATGCTCCCCGGGGTCGGTGTGTCGCGAAGCTGCACCTCCCACACCTTGAGCTTGTAGTTGCCACGATCCGCCTGCCCAGTGAAGAGATCGAATGACCAACCATGTTTTGGACAGGTGATCCCCGCACTAAGTGTGATGCCAAAGTCTTCAATGTCGAAGACGTTGCCCTGTGAAAGTGGAAACGACGAGTGTGGGCATTGCTGAAAAGAATGAGCTCAATTCTTTACAAGGCGGGCTCTAACTCACATGATCAATAGCATGATATTTTCCTTTGTACTTGAACACCAAGACTTGATCTTTCAATTCTCCCGGTAAATCAATGTCTTCGACTCGTTCCATTGGGCCGTTTGTGGGGACGTTGAAAGCTTTGCATCTTGGTACGATACGCATATCATCTTCGATGCTTGGGAGCTGGGATGCTAATCCTACTGGGTGCCAGTTTGCAGTTGTTCGTGTGAAGGGATTCATCTGGGTGTGCTTGTTGGCGGTCTTTCTGTGTTGGCGAAAAAATGAAGTCTTTAGTCTTCCGCCCCACCAAAACCCGAGCCCTTCCTACATTGCCCGGGACGCGGATTGAAGGAAATAAGACTTCGGAGATATGAACAATTGACTGATACACGGTGGTTTACATTGTGCCCGTATATCATGCATACTATAATTCCCAATAACACCCAAGCACTGATCGGCATTTCTAATCGCTATGCGCGCTTGCAGCTAACCCGCTCATGGCATGTCAAGTCTGGATCACGGATCAGGTCTTGCATCTCAACTCACGAGATGGAGGAAATGTATGAAGAAACTGCGACTAGAATGGTGGCAGAAAAACATTACGTGACTGCCAGTGGATTCAAATCCATGGGTACTTGGGTAGGTTGTCTGGTTGACACTAAGGGGAACTATAACAAGTGGCCAAATCAACCTGCCAGATCATTTGATACACATGAAACCGCAACCTTCACGAGCACGTTCACATGCCTTCTTCAGAGCCTGCTCCTCAACGTCGGTCCACTTGTATGTCAATTGATCCCATGGCTTGCCAGAGCGGAATTCTTCGCGGTGTTTCTTGTTTATGTCCTGTAAGCGACTCACTTCACGTGGATCACCAGTCCCGGAATAGACTATGTAAAGCGTGCACGGAGGGAGAGAATCATAGATGCGAGAGATGTTGGAGACGGTCCGCGAAATGGTTTCAGCCAAGACATCGGGTTGTGGAAGATCTGTCGATTCGCCATTGCCAGTCGAAGTAGTGGGTGTGATTTCTTCCGGCGGGGGGACGATAGATGTGGATTCATTGGCATTGTTTGGATCAGGGAGACGGCTGCACCAACCGCGAAGATATTCAAGATCACGGATGCGACCCCAGGCAAAATCAACGCCGCCTGCTGGGATGGAGGGGTTCGACTCGTCGCCGTTGATTACGGCGGAGATTCCGCTGACGACAGCATCGTCATCCCGACAGCCAATCGAGACGGTTGCCTGGGCTCCAAACCCACGCTCTGGATTGCCCCAGTCGACTACTGCTCCAGTCCGTTGTTCTCCAGGCCGAACGGCATGATTAGGTCGAGTAGAGCGGGATAGACGGCGGAATATACTTTCGTTGGAGACGTCACTGGTGCCCCATAATTCGCCTTTTTCGCACTTCAACTTCACCAGTTCAAGAACAGCTCGGGCATCCTCAACGGAGTCATGACCAGCCATTCCGCCCTGAATCTGCTTGTTTTGGTATTTTTGCATGAGCCATTTTAGGCTAGACTTGAGAGGTGGGCCACGCGGGTGCGGGTAGATGATACTGGTGTCGACAATGAATGGATGGACCAGTTTGAGGGCGGTAAGATCGGAATTCAGAGAGTGACCAACAAGAACTGCACGCGGAGTGAGAAGAGTCAAAAGCCGTTGCTGAATATCGGCGAGGGTCGTTGTGACTGGTTCTAGCATCTCCGGGGTGATGCCGGAATAACGGGTTAAATAATTGATCACGGGACGTGGTGGTTTGACCAGCTCATCGAGGACTACCTCGCCGTCCCAGCCGACCATGCTGATACGTGTGAGTTCAGATTGACCTCCCTCTGTGATACACATCTCACAGTCAAGGGCGAATACCTCCCGACCAACAGTGACACTGCCACTTTCAATGTCAGATTCTGGAGGTTGGGCGGACTCCAGGTTTGGAACATGGGTCTCAACCCATCCATCTTCCACCGATTGTCCATTTCGTTGACGAGCCTCTGCCTGGGATTGTTTTTCCTCGTCGGAAGTGAAGAATGCGGGATGCAAGATGAAGTCGTTATCAAGGAGGTCCTGGCGTGAGGTAATGAAGGCTGTGATTGGCGTACGTTTGGGAACGAAGCCTTTCTCGACTCTTGCAGGTTTTGCACCTTTCGCACGAGACTGGTCATCTTTCGATTTAGGCGCCGAGGACATGAGGATAGCCTGTAGAGGTGAGTGGACCTTGTTGTATTTGTTGTCGCCTGGCGCCTTGACAGGCCAGATATGAGGAAATATGTCGGCCAATGGCTGGAGGGGCGACGGCAGATTATCGCGATGGAGAGACCTAGGGTTGAAACGCGTAGAGCGGTCTGGCAATGGGAGACCTTGCTTCCAATGCTCGTAGTCGACAGTGCGTTCGTCTTGTTGAGTATTCTCCGTGGGTTCCGCTGAGTTGGGCTCCTGTTCCTGTGCTGCTTGCTCTTCCGCCGTTGGCGCTCCATTCACACGTATTGTCCCGTCAAACATTCCCATCTCGAGGCCAGGTGCCATGAGTACAACAACCTTCCGTACATGACCAGAATGCTTCATGGAGATCCATTGTGGTGCGATACCATCTGCGAAGCAATAGAGGAGTAACCCCTGGAGATCGGCGATTCGGATAGGTGCCTGAAGTTTCCCCTCCGCGTAAGTGAGGTCTGGGTATTTCACCTTCTCCCCATCGACTCTCTTGCGCTTCTTCGACGCATGGCTGCCATTCGAACTTTCGTTACTTCGGTTGTCGATTTGTAGATGCGACATAGTACCGGCGACACCAGGGTTGCTGGGCGCAGCTTCTTCGCCGTCGGCTTCGTCCGTGCTGAGCTTTCGTTTCATCTCTTTCGCCATTTTTGCTGTCTCGTAAGACACTGAATGCGCAGCACCGAAATTCGCGAGACCCGCTATTCTCACGTGATGATAAGCGATAGGCTCACGTGCTAAGTCTTTCAACCTTAGGCATTAATGATTACGCGACGGGGTCTTTCCGGTGGACCACAGAGGCCAAAACCGACAGACGATCTGATAACCGGAAGATTGGAAATCTGCGATCGCCGTGCATGAGGGGCTTATTATCGGAATCCATCACGCCATCGATACTTGTTCTCTTCTCCAATTAAATTTTGACTCTTGACATACTCCAACCACATACACTTCTTGATTTCGATTACTGCCAACAGTTCTTGCGATACCTCCTCCTACACAGTATACCCCCCACCATGTCGGCCCTCACCGAAATCACCTCGGAAGCGGATTTCTCGTCGCACCTTTCGGCCCTGTCGCCCTCTGCATTGGTCGTCCTATACTTCCACACCCCATGGGCCGCTCCCTGCGCGCAAATGGGGGCTGTGCTCTCAGCCCTGGCTTCGCAGTACCCTGTCACTACCCCATCTACCATCTCTTTTGTCAGTATCAACGCGGAGGAACTGCCTGATATCTCAGAGGAATATGACGTTTCTGCCGTGCCCTTCGTCGTATGCCTCCGCAGCGGTCAGATTCTGGAGTCCATCAGCGGAAGTGATGCAGTCAAAGTCCGTGACGCTGTCGAGCGCCACGCCGGGCGCGGCAATGTTGCGGCTGCCACCGCTCCGCTGGAGGGGGCGAGCGCCGTTATTCCCCCGCCATTGTCAGCTGTTCCACGCGAGGAGGCTCCTACCACTGCTACCCAAGCCCCTATCGCCGCTTCTCACCCTCCTCCCTCTGACGCAGCTCACGCCACTGCCGTGGAAGCCGCTCCAGCCCTGACCCCCGAACAATCTCGGGAGGCATTGTTTGCCCGACTCGGACAACTGGTCAAGGCAGCGTCTGTCATGTTGTTCATGAAAGGCACCCCTAGCAGCCCTCAGTGCGGTTTCAGTCGGCAGCTAGTTGGTATCCTTCGCGAGCGCAGTGTCAAGTATGGTTTCTTTAATATTCTAGCAGATGAAGAGGTGCGTCAGGGGTTGAAGGAGTATGCGGAATGGCCTACTTTCCCCCAGTTATGGGTGGATGGGGAGCTAGTGGGCGGATTGGATATCGTACGTATTCGGTCCCACGTTATTGATGTGATTTTTCTTGTTAACTCGTGTCTACAGGTCCGCGAAGAAATCAACAACGACCCCGATTTCCTCACCCAGCACTCAGTCAGCAAACCCACCGCGGCTGTTTAAGTGCCTGCGGGCCGCTGGTCGCTGCACGATACCCATGACTCCCCTGTCTCTGGGGCTAGATGTTAAAAGTCTCATATAATGAAAAGCTTTGGTCTTGAGTATGTCCTATTCACTTCCGTCGGATTTGCATTTGTAGTATATGATCCACGACTAGAGGACAAGCACATGGTAACATCTCTTCGGCGTCGATCACATTTAGAGGTTGATCAACACCCATTCCTTAGTGCGAATATTCGGCATGCTGGGTAATTTCTTCCGCGCGATCTTCAGTGGCCTCTATTCTTTTCTCCACTGCATTCTTGTCCTCATTCCCGATGCCAGACGAATTTTCTCGACTTCGCGCGCCCATGCATCGGGATGCTGCCGTTTGCAGACAGCGAAACGAGAGAGCAGAGCATCCGTATCCACATACGCGCCTGCTAACCAGCGTGATCCTTCACTGGAGTCGAATTGACGACGGGCATGAAGGATCCGCCGGTTATCAAAGATCACACACTCCCCGGGGTTCAGCTTCATTTCGAAGATGCGTTCCTTATCGTCAAGTATCGCGGCGAACTTGGAAAGGGAGTCACGTAACTTGTTCACGAATCCAGCATGGTGATCTCTCCCGTCGGGAGTTGGGAGGGGAGATTGGAAAGGGGGCGAGTAATTGACATGGATCAGATGTCCTGTTTTGGGGTCATGTTCAAATACGGGCCGCTCGTTGTAGTAAATGTGGTTCTCGTGTCTGTACTCGTAGCCCAGACGTTGCTTGCTGAGAATTTTATACTCTTTAGGGTGGCTCGCTTTCATGATTCTCGCAGCGTGGAATGTGTCCCCGAACATCGACTCGCCGCCGGAGCACGAGTTCTCCAAGCAGTGTAGGAGCTGGTATCCAGGTGGCTCATTCATATACATCAAATCCATGTGAAAGCCAAGGAACTGGTTTGTATATGCCACATTTGTCGCCTCTGGAACAGTGCGCACGTCAAATGTCGACCCGTAGAATGTGTTGCGCAAGGGTCCCATGCGTGTCGCAATCTTTTCAACCATCTCGCGTGATTCGGGGATGCCTTGCACAAAAATAAGGCCCAAACGCTGTAACTGCCGCATAGAGAAGGCAAATTTGAACTCGTCATTCATGTAGTCCTCGTAAGATACCCAATGCTGCATACTGCCCATTCCCGACTTTCCCCAGGGAACTGGCTCGGTAACCCGCAAGCTATGCTGACGGTGAGTGTTTAGGACGGGATTTAGAAGAAACTTCCGGTCCCAAGTCGATACGTGTGTATCTCCGGACCCGAGGATGTCACTGGCCCAAGTGATAGACAGCGTCTTTCCGTCCCAATTGACCCGGCTTGGAGCGATGTTGGGCGGGATATCACTGGTCCGGAATGAGCGCTGCTTCGAGTGTTCATCCTTGCATCCTCGACACTGGCATAGATCACGCAGATAGGTATATGGCAATTTGAGTGTTTTCTTCGGCCCGAGATGAAGGTACAATTCCTGTTCGCCGACATAGAAGGGGTGATGTCTCGCCGTGTCCTTGGCCGCGGCACTCGCGTCGGTTCCCTTATTTACACTGGGGGGGTTGTGAGAATCATCCTTATGTCCAATGCTTTGTGGTATAGACACGGAAGGCTCAGATTTTGTGGTAATTGGGTCCAAGTTGTCGCTGGAGTTTTGCTCGAGGGTGGTGTCGAAACGGCGAGCAGCAGCTGTGAAGTTACGGCTCGGAATTTGGTATGTCAATGCTCGTGGCAATTGCCACAGGGTGGCTGAAGTTCGCAGACGGTGCATGGCTGGTCTAAGACTGAGATCAAGGACACAAACAACAGTAAGAGCTGGGAGGAAAGAGGGACAGGGAGGGACCTTTCGGCGGACACATGGGACGACCTATGACCGGGGAAGTGTGGGGCCGTAAGTTCGCCGGCCGAGGTCTTTACCTCTTAGGATAAGTGTCTAAGGCATCAATTATGCCTGAGGTTGGACAATTCATACCTCAGGCTGAAATCTGACACCTTAGGCCATAACATTCCATCCCCAAGCTTGGCTTGGCTTGGAAGTTTCCAAAAGGAATGACCTTACGTAAATGTCAGTGGCGTTGACAGCTTGTTTTGTTTTTCTCATTCCAAGAGGTCAACAAGAAACATGCTTCTCAATTCCTTTTAACCTACTCTAGCCACTATACAGACATTCCCAGTCTGTGAAAAGAGACCACATTCAACTCATGTCGGCCGGGGGAGAGCATCTTAAAGATGAAGGCACCAAGCGACAGGTCGTGTTGGCCGGCGGAATCGCTGGATTGATATCGCGGTTCTGCATTGCGCCATTGGACGTCGTCAAGATCCGGCTACAGTTGCAGATCCATTCATTGTCAGATCCTATCTCCCATAATGGTGTCAACGGACCTGTTTACAAGGGGACATTGTCCACGATAAGGACGATCATGAGGCAAGAAGGAATTACCGTATGCCAGACAGATATTGTCGCAGTATTTGGCGTCTAAATATGCTAACCAGTCTATTTACAACAGGGCCTATGGAAAGGCAATATTCCCGCCGAAATCATGTATGTCTGCTACGGCGCCATGCAATTCACCGCGTATCGGGGCACAACTCAAGCTCTTGCCCAACTCGGCGCTTACAGACTTCCCCAACCCGTCGAGTCCTTCATATCAGGTGCAGCGGCAGGAGGATTTGCCACGGGCTTAACCTATCCGCTCGATCTCCTCCGTACACGCTTCGCCGCACAAGGCCCGGATCGGGTGTATAACTCGCTGCGCGCATCAGTTATGGAGATCGCGCGTCATGAGGGACTACCAGGGTTTTTCAGGGGATGTTCCGCCGCCGTCGCACAAATTGTCCCTTACATGGGACTATTCTTCACAACGTACGAGGCCCTTAGGCCAGCCATAACAGCATGGGACGTTCTGCCATTGGGGACAGGGGATGCTGCTGCCGGTGTGGTGGCGAGTGTATTGGCCAAAACGGGGGTGTTCCCTTTGGACCTCGTGCGAAAGCGGTTGCAGGTACAGGGGCCAACGAGGACCCGATACGTTCATCGCAATATCCCAGAGTATCATGGGGTTATCCAAAGCATTTCCATGATTGTCCGTGCCCAAGGTGTGCGTGGTTTGTACCGTGGCTTAACAGTCAGTCTACTCAAGGCGGCGCCTGCTAGTGCGGTGACCATGTGGACTTATGAGCATGCATTGAAGGTCCTTCAGGGGCTTGAATTGGCAACTGACGGTTGAAGAGAAGTCTCTACTTTGTATCACTAATTAAATCTTGTCTTTTACATAGAACGTTTGATGGGTTCGCATTCCGACTGCAGGGTTTCAATGTCGGTACTAGACTATGGGAACAGTCACAAAATACCTAGATGGTCCTGGAGTTCTTGAAACTACATTCTCTCCCAAACGGTTCCTTTCTGTTCATTGTCTCCGTAACTTGGTTCATCAATCATATTTCGCAATGGATCTTGCGAGATTCACATGTGGAAGAAGATCATGCACAGGGGGGTACCCAAGCAAAGCCCATATCCAGGCCAATGTACTACAACTGGCAGCAGGCGGGACATCCCACTCAGTATTCAGCGCCTCCTTCCGCCGGCCCGCTCTCTTCAGCAACCTCTTCGTAGTCCTTTTCCAGAGCCGCGAGATCCTCACGCGCTTCAGAGAACTCTCCCTCTTCCATCCCTTCGCCGACATACCAGTGGACGAATGCACGCTTGGAGTACATGAGGTCGAAATTGTGATCGAGACGGCTCCAGGCCTCCGCGATGGCAGTCGTGTTGGACAGCATACTGAGTGAACGATCGACTGCTGCAAGTTCATCGTCGGGACGACGCACAGGCTTCTGATAGTTGATGCCAAGTTTGAACCCAGTCGGACACCACTCGACCAGACTGAAGGTGCCTTTGGCTTTGAGAGCTTGGACAGCCTTGGTGCAGTCATGGGGAACAACATCGCCCTTGTAAAGAAGGGCCACCGCCATGTACTTGCCCTTCCGTGGATCGCAGTTGACCATCTGGTTTTGAGGCTCGAAACCTGTCACGAAGTTAGCAAAGACGCGCACGTTTCATCGGAATCATGAGTACGTACACTGGAAAGTGAGGTCCTGCACCTTGAAGCTCTCGTGAGAGCTGCTTCTGTTGCCGATCACCGGAGCGTACGAAATCAGAGGATAGTGAATTCGCGGGTACGGGACAAGATTGGTCTGGAACTCGGCCAGATCGACATTGAGCGCACCATCAAAGCGCAGGCTCGAGGTGATTGAGCTCACCACCTGCGCGATGAGTCGGTTCAGGTGCTCGTAGCTAGGACGCGGGATGTCCAAGCTGCGGCGGCAGAGGTCATACACAGCCTCGTTGTCCACCAAGAAAGTGCAGTCGGAATCCTCGATGGTACTGTGAGTAGACAGGACGGCGTTGTAGGGCTCCACGACAGCCGTGGCTGTACGCGGCGAAGGGTAGATCGAGAATTCCAGCTTGGACTTGCGTCCATACATGTTGGTGAGATGATCCAGCAACAGCGAACCAAACCCAGAGCCCGTGCCACCACCGAAGGAGTGGAAGATCAAGAAGCCCTGCAAGGAATCACAGTTTTCTACGAGTATGTCAGCTAAGTATCTCGAAGACAACATTGACACTGGGTTGTACCGGCAATATGACGAACGCTGTCGATCACAGCTCCAGAAAGGTCTCTGCCAACGGTGTAATGGCCACGGGCATCTAGTGTATGTCAGTTCCTCTACTGCCCGTAAATCCTCCTAATGTGAAGTGCAACGTACAGTTGTTTGCAGCATCTTCCTTTCCACTGATTAGCTGCAGGGGACGAAAAAGATCACGGTAAGTGCCGGAGCGAATCTCGTCAATAGTCTATCATGATATCTTAGCGAATACGTCTCCGGTCCATCGTGCTTCCTGTCACTCACGGAGGGGTCAAGATCGACGAAGACAGAACGGGGCACATATTTGCCGTTGGAGGTCTCAGTGAAGAAAGTCTCATAAGAGCCGCTCTTCGCCTCCTCATCAGTAGCCTCAGGATCGATACATCCATCAGGCTTCAGACCATGCTCAAGCAGGTAACTGGTTTTGCGCTCTTATCAGTAAACAACTCGGAGAGGGTAGGCAGTCGAGACGTACAGTTCCCAGGCGGCGTTTCCCAGCTGGATGCCAGCCTGGCCAATGTGTAAGTGACAAACCTACAGTTGACTCGATGTCAGCTTTCCTTTTCTCTTGATTTGGTCTCATTTGGTAATCGAGCCCGCCAAGTGATCCAACTGGTGTGTATGGTTGGGGGTCAAGGAATATATACGTACTTCGCCTCGCATCGTGGACCTCACTAACGTAGGTTACCAAGAGAGAAAGTCCAGAATATGAGATGGTGACTGACTCAGAAGAGTATGATGAGAGAAGGTGTTGTTAGGAGCAAGATGAGAACTTAAGGGGCTGTTGATGTTGTTGACGTTGCGTTGTTGCGTTGCGCCGACGAAACCTGACAAACAAACGACTCCCTCTTCAAAGGAAGGGCTCTTCGTTTATCAGCATTCAAAGTCATGTTCATTTCTTCAATATACAACTACGTCCCATCTTCCATGTGACCAATGTTGGTTTCATATTCAGATCTTATGGTAGCTGGCTAGACTCTGTAAAACACCGCAGGTCCTCTTCTTTACCCAGCTTGTCTGGCAAGCTAAAATTATTGAGACCTGGTTTGCATGCTTAGCAATGCCTCTGCTCGATCACATTCGATGAGTCGACTTTGCTTCACGGTCTTGGATCAATGAGAGCAGTGCCGATGCAATGACAGCAACAAGCTCAAGGACGCTAGTAGCTACGGGCAACTCCGTCGATGAGAGTCCAGAAGTCCAAGACCGAGGTTGATCAGGTGTAGGAGCAGAAGCAATGCAAGAACAGTCTAGCCCTTGCGCCTTGTCAACCCTCATCTTCTGAGATTGTGAAGTCAATCAGAGACGAACCCAACATACGATCTTCCATATCGCCAAGGTAGACCATCTCACTTTGCCATGGGCACGAAAAAGCACCGACAGACTAGCTACCGCGGCAAGCACTCATAGCATGTCTGGTAGTAATGGCGTGAACATCCATTCTCGAAGAGTAGAGTAAAATCGAAAGGGCGACAGAAGTGTGCACACGGGGACCGAAGTGATTTTCGCTGTCTGGAGGACAAGACATGGCTGGCAACTTCCAATTGTGCTAGGGATGAGCGCGCCTCGGGGTCCTTCACGCACTTACTACTCACATCTTTAATCTTCGTTTCGCCCACGCCCACGCCTAGGCTGTCGGCATTAGAATTGGTTTTACTGATGCACCGCCAGGGGCTGAAACAACTGTGGACTCGCAAATGAGATCAGTTCTGCCGGGATTATCTGCCTCGTCTCGCCTTGGATGGCCAAGAATGCTCCATGGTCAGAAACAGAGAATGAATGGTATTTTATGCAAAGTTGAGCTGCAAGGCTCAACCAAATGCTGTATGTGATCAATATGCCGCCAAAAGGAAAGATGAACAAGGGCTTTGAGACCAATATGTGGGATAGATGTATAGGTAGAAAGAGAGTTTGAAGTTTGACAGGATATATGGCGATTCTATGAAAGGGTAAGGGCAAAGTGACAATGGTGTATGTTCAACCATGTAGACCATATGTAAGACCAAAAATCATGACAGCTCGATCAATGCGGATGTTCTTTGACATCAGGAATTGCGGCTGGAGGCGCAGGGGTTTCAGCCGAACGACCCTGCTCCATCAGGTCGTCCCGATCGTGACCCACACTGCTGCGGTGATGGAAGAACCGGTTTCGGCTGAGGGATGACCGGCCGCTACGGTAGCTGTGGGCGTCGGTCGACCGGCGACCGTCGTCGTTGTTGGAGGGAGCGCTCAGGTTGGAAGGGCGACGATGACGGGAGGATGACGCGCGACTCCGGCGTTCCTCTTCGTCCTCATTCTCTTCCTGGATGCGGCGCTCGGCGGCATCGCGGTTGGCAGTACGGACGACATCATCAACGCGGACAACGCGATCCTCGAAGACATCGCCCATGACATCGTTGGAGGCCATATTGGACATACCCAAGGAGAAATCGACATGTTTGCGCTGTGACACGGATGGACCGCGTGCACGAGCGGTGGCAGTGTCCATACCCTTGCGGAGGATGGATGGGTGACGGGCAGCGCTGCCGCTGCTGGTTCCGGTGTTCTCGGGCAGTTGACGAGATCCCTCTGTCATCGGGATCTCCTCGGCCTCGATGGGCTCTTGTCGAGCAGCAGGGCGCTGGTTGCCATAGTTGACATGGAAGGGGATGTCGAACTTGGCACCCTGGAGGTTCATGCGTGGGCCCTCGATACCAATCTCCTGGAGAGCGACCATGAGCATGCAGATGAACTTATTACGACGTTGCAAACGAAGACCCTCATTCTGCCAGTTGGATTTGTAGAAGAAGACCACATTCAGTGTGAGTGAGAAATTCTCAGTGACAGCGCGCATTTCGGTGAGAATGTTGCCCTGGAAATCGCGTTTTTCGCTTCGGACAAACTCTAAAAGTCGCTGTCGCAGGGAGTCAAGTTGGTCAATGGTGGTGCCGTATTTGATAATGATTGGAACTGCCTCGGCGAGTGCACCCGATCGACGCTGGTTGAGAATGAAAAGACCGTTGAGGTAACTGTTTGGCGCCTGCACCACATGACCTTGCATCTTCTTGAACTCCGTGTAGAGTAAAGTAATTTCCTTCACAAAGTAATCATCACCAAGACCGGCATCGCCAGCATTGCCGTAGATAGTTACCCGGTCGCCCACGTCAAAGGGGTGCTTAACGAAAACGAAGATGACCGACTGGAGGAACTCCTGGGCCGTAGCAGAGAACAACCACGACAGGGCGAGAATAGCAGAGCCCGCAGACGTGAGCACGCCGGCAGCGGAGGTCGAGATGAGCGACAGGAAGACGATAATGACGATGACAATCACAAAGAACATGAACACTGAGTCCAATTTGGATACAACAGAATCCAAATCCTTGAGAGATGCGGTGATTGACTTGCGCTCGCGGCCAATGTCAACGCAAACAGCCTCCAGCTCCTCCATTGAGATGTCGCCATTCATGTCGCGATCGAACATGGCAAAGGCAGCTTCGGCCTCCTCGCCGTCATCGAATGCGGCCTTCAAGTCACCACCAAAGACCGTGTCGAAGCCATCTCGCACAAAGGTGCGATAAAGACGGCGAGCCAACACCTGACAGCCCCCGGTAGTTCGCAGAAGCGCCAATACAACCTGGTACGCATCGGTGCTGCGAGTGGCCGTGCGACCAGTGACATCGGCCACCACTGCTCCGGCTATGTCGGTGACCCGATTTCCCACTTTGTTTAAGGCTCCCTTAGCCTTCCGCTGAGCAACGTTAGCATAGTGCAGTGGGGTCTTGACACCGGAAGAAGTCCCCTCCTCGATCTTCTCGTCATATCGATCGTCTTGGTCGGCCAAGGTTGTCCGGGAAAAATCGTACAGCTTGGTCAGACTGCCAATCTGGAACTTGTTGATCTCAATGCGGTCGGCGTAGGTTCGCGTGTGGAAGCTGATGGCAATGAGCTGGATCAGGATCTTTTCGATGAGATTCAGAATGGTCCACACAAAGATCACGATGATGATTTTGTTGAGGGTGTTTTCCCAACTCCTCGTCCGTTTATCGCCATTGACGTGGTGATTCTTCATTGTAGGCAGGAAGGAAATCTCCACTCCGAGCCACCAGAAAAACAGGGCCGCGTGGAGCTCGAGCTGCTTGGCCATGTCGCGCCATTTCTTCGCATTGTTGGTAAAAATACTCGCAAGGGCACCGACGGTCGGGGGTAAACATTTGCTGACAAGCTAGCAAAAGAAAGCAGGTTAGTCAAGCTCTTCCGACAGATTGTTGGAAGCATTGGTACTCACTCGCCCAGCCCAGAGGGTCAGCCACACGATCTCCAGCCAGATGGCAAACCACATCAACTTCACACCACCCACGCTGGCCTGCGGAAACTCAAGAGCGCCGACCAGCAACGGAATCAAGAGGATGAGGACAACGGGGGAAATGTAGGTCAGGTAGCGCAGGAGGAAGCTTGACTGATGCAGTTTCTTCACAAAGACAGCAATCTTGGTGTTGGGTTTCTCCGGAGGCTTGTAGATGGCAGTCTTTTCGTGTAAAGGGTTTGTAGCTTCGTCAAACTCGTCCACGGGCTCCGAACGGCGCGAGCGGGCACGTGTGATAGAATTTTGATCGTGTTCATCATCGGGTTCGTGAGTCGAACGGGAGGTCATTCGTTCCGCTTGCAGCAGCAGCAGATCATCCTCTAGACGTGTCGCCTGCTCCCGACGGGCCGATGGTGTGCGCATTGGAGGAACATCATCATCATCCGGGGAACTCGTGTCGACCCTCAAGGTATCTGGGCGATGGGTCGGTCGCTCGGGTACATAAGTACCTTCGTCAGATGTAGGAGAGATATCGGAGTCATTGCGCTTGTCCTTGGGGTCTTGCACAAACGTCTTCCGTTCCTCCGCTGGGGATGACATTGTGGCGCCGGGCCAGATAGTTGGAATTGCGGGGGGGATGCGATCCGAAGAATGCAAGGGAGATTGCCGGTCTAACACAGTAGATAACCTATACAAGAATAACAAAATAGAAAACGAAAAAGAAACGAAAGACTTGAAAGAAATATAGTAGAGAGTAGAGACCGAGGTAGAGAAGAATTGAGAGAGCGAAGTGTGAAGCAGAAAAGTCCAGTGGCCAGTGGAGAACCCAAGAAAGTCTGGGCCCGGAAGAATTTTTAGATTTTGCTGTAGGAAGGAAGTAGATTAATTGAGAGTACAAGGGGAATAGGTGGTTATAATACTAGGAGAGGATGTACTCCGTAGATATCATAGATATCACTTTTATGCTTCAATCTAATGCCCATTGACACGTCAAAGGTGTAGTTAGCATGCTCTTTTCATACACTAGTTACTGTGTACATAACTCCGTACTCCGTACACGTAGGCAATTCGGGGAATATGAAATGGACCCTTGACAGGTCAGCGATCTGACCCACCAAGTGGCGACAAATGACGAGCCAGTTCCAAAATAGCAACTCTCCCGAAGATCGAGGGAAGCTTCGGAACTCGAACAAAATACGCAGGATTTACGCATCTTAGCCAAGGACGCCTCTTACGACGCCTCCCCGCACATCACAGCCACCTTCAGGGGTATTGGCTCGGTAGAAGGATAGGAACAGTCATTGTCATACGCAGTAGCGAGCCAGGCAGGAAACTATTAACCGCGGTCTTGTCGAGAGTTAGCTCGTACATCGACATGCTGTGAAAAGTAAATGAAGGAGAATGAAAACAGCGTCAAGCTGGTGTTTTGATTTCAAACCTATCACATAGTCTGAAAACATTTGAGATAGAGAAGCTACTCATCACCGGAAAAGAAATTGCTGACGAGCAGACCAAAAAGAAAAACAGAAAAATACCGGAACACCTTGCTCCAAATCGCAAAACAACATTCAGACATAAGAGACGTGAGAGAATGGATATGACAATGTATCCCAAGCCTAAGGAGGTAGGACAGACAACAGGGGTTTACATAACAAAGTAGATCAACAATATGTAGACAGAACGGAAACCATGTCCGATAATCAGCAGAAGTCACGGCCCGGGCAGAAAGGAGCCGAAGACCGAAAGAGCCAACACATCTATCGTTTGAACCGGAAGCTCAAGTCCGACCGATATCGCTCCGGGGCACGAGGGGTCTCCTCCGGATCAAGACTGGGCGAAGGATGAAGAGGCCGCGGCGTAGCTTCAGCGTCGAGCGTAGGGCTACCGTCCGGGTCTACCTCCGAACCGGGTTCGGGTGTCGTCACGTTCCCAGACGGCTTGACTTCCGGAGTGAGAGGCGAAACGGTGGGATGGGGGATGATACCTGGAGGCAAGTCCCAGGGGGGTGTCCTTTGACCTTCATTCGATGTGCCCGGCTTGGTCTTTTCCCCGCGGTCTTGCGTTCGCCCAGAGTAGATCGAGGTATCATGATGCGCCAGCGATGGCCGGTGCTGCTGAAATGCTGATGTTCCACATCCCGAGGGAGTGTCACGAGGACTGACGGGTTCTTCCCCCTCTGATTCCTCCGGGATGCTGAGAGCCTCGAAACGGTCCTCGTGGCTCGTACTGGCGGGAGAACCCAAAGACCCCTCACTGGCTTCGTGATCGGCGGACTCTGCACATTGGCTACGAAGGGCCTCCCTCTCTTTCTTCAGCAATTCCTCGCTACCGCTGACGACGCTACCTCGACTGTTGGTCCGCATCATTTCAATGCCCAGTTTAGAGCCAGGTCGCCGGTTCCGAGAGGGGGGACTGCGACGTGACACGGAATTGCCGAGCTCTTCATCCTCATCGTCGCCAGATTCGGCACCCTCGTACAGCTTTTTCTCAAGTGATTCCTTCTTGGCACGAATCGCTTCACTGGACCGCTGCTTCCGGGGCGTCAAACCACCGCTGGCGTCCATAGCTGCGGGTGCGGTGGCAGCATGAAGAAGGTGAGGAACGGGTACGACGTTGGGACCTGAACTCCCAGAATGTTGCGCCGGTTCCTCTGAGATTCCCAATCCACCGTGCCGTTGATCCCAATCATCCGAGTTGCGCTTGATGATAACGGGGACGTCATCGGATTTGAAAGAGTCCATCTCACCAAACACGCTACTACTAAGCGAATCCTCCCGGCTAGAACCACGGTAAGAGCTGGGGGGATTGAGCACAAATCCAGAAGACACGGAACTAGGACTGTCCTCGTTCGTCGCGGTACGGGACCGAGTATCAGAGCCCGGAACAGGAACTGGTGGGGAAGGACTGTGCTCCGTTGAAAGCGGCTTCCACAGGCACCATTTAGCCAGCGCCTCGGTGAGCTTGGGTAAAGTCGGAGGCTTTTGGATCAAGGCATCGAAGTTGTGATTCTCTGGGAGGTCCTTCAAATAGCCCGTGACAGCAATGATGGGAGTATGTCTGTTCGCAGTGCGAGTCTCCCTCACCATACGAGCAAAATCAACTCCGTTGACTTGGGGAAGTCGATACTCGGTCATGATGATATCGAATTGCACCTCGCTGAGGGCGTATCTGACAGCCTCCGCGCCATTGGTAACAGTGATAGTCCGGCAGCGGAGTTTTTCAAACAGGCGTTCCATGACTAGTCGGGAGACAGGATGGTCTTCACAAATAAGCACATCCAATGGGCGGAAGAATGGCCCTTCCAAAATGTTGATTTGGGATAACCGCCGGGAGCTTTGCCGGCGCCGTTGGACCTTCAGAAGTGCTTTCGTGCGGGGATCCTCGTTGTCAGAAGACGAAGGTGAGATGTCAAATAGTTGGCTCCGGCGTTTGTAGTGATGGGGCACGAATGCTTCCTTGGGGGACGAGGGAATATCCCCGTCCTGAGAGCCAATCGTGTGCGATCGAGTACGACTGGCTGGAACACTGCCGTGGCGTTGGCTGCTCGGCGTCTTCTCCGGTGAATGGGCTGGTATGCGGTTAGCCTTGACGGGAGAAGAAGCAAGTGAACCTAGTCGGAGGTTCGGCATGCGCCCTTGGTCAGCAGAGGAAGGCTGGAAGGCTCCGCCTGATTGATGAGAGGCTGATGAGGAACCTGACGTTTTGCGCCGTTCTTGGCTGGTCCCCGTACTAAACTGGACTAGAAGCGGAGATGATGGCTGCGAGGGTCTGCTGGGGGACGAGTTTGTCTGGCTGAGTCCTGACGGGGAAGAAGGTCGATTATTACCCTTGGTCTGCGACAAAGTTCGCTGGAGTGACATGGGCAACGGGCTACCTTCTAATGAGGGCTGGGACGATGTGACCGGTGTTTGGACGGCCGAGAATGAGCCGGGCTGTCGATGCTGCGCCTGCAGAGCCTCCTGCCGCATTTTCTGAATCACATCTTTGTTGGCCTTCTCCAGCATTGGCAGATTTTTGAAGTTGAAGCTGCCGAAGTCATCGGCCAAGGCCGGTTCGCTCAATCTCCGGCTTCGGGAATCCCGAGCATCGCGAACGTGTGGAGGGATGTGTAGCGGCATGAAGGGTCGCTTCGTAGAATTGCCTTGGGATCGCACCTTGAACAATGCATCGTGAGGCCGGTCTTGTCCAGTGGGAGCTGGCGGCTGCGGCGAGTTTTCATCTTCCAGTTCCTCTGCAAAAGACTGCAACGTAGCACCACGGGCATCGAAATACTCCGTGTCTTCTGGATTTTCGATGTTGGGAACGAACTGTGCTTTGTCCTCCAGTAGGGTATCCCAGTTGATCTCGGCGAACCACGGATGGCTGCGAATCTCATCACCACCATTTAAGAACTTCTCTTCCACATTAGAGCCTATTCGGTCACGAGGGTCAAGCGTCATGAGCCTATTCATGAGATCCAATGACTCGGCGGAGGTATACTCCTCTGGGTCGTCGGGCCAATTGATCCGGCGATGAAGAATATTCTCAAAGACCTGATCGGGCGTCTCTGCATTGAAAGGTGGGTATCCAAAGATGAACTCGAACATGATACATCCCAAAGACCACCAATCACTCATCTCATCTTGACCAACGCCATTGATAGTTTCCGGGGCCAAGTAGTCGGGAGTTCCCACAAAACGGCGATCATGGTCTTCAGGGTCAAACAGAGCCATTACAGGAGGCATCATGCTCTGTTGCGGGGGAGTATTCTGCGCTAATGGATTGCTGAACGTTGGCTGCAGGGGCTGAAGGCGAGGGGAATCACCGGCCTCGCTTTGGCCCTCCTCTTCAACCATGCTAGTCGAGAACAGACTAGGCGAAGGCGTAGGGGGCTCGTGAGCATTATCGTTCAGCGAGAACGCCCTGAATATTCCATTGAGACCATCACTGCCCAAGCTGTCGCTGCGGTAACCCGAAGCTCGACGAGAGCTTTGCCGACTGAAACCAGCCTGGTTGAGGTTGAAGTAGGATGGCTGCACGGCATTGGCGGCAGCTTCCGGGGTAATCAGTGGAGTGGAGCCAGGTGATGCGCTGGCTTGGAAGTCAAAGGAAGCCGATCGAGACGATGTAATCGAGATTGCACGGGGAAAAGAACCTTGTTTTAGCAGATCAGGGGCAGACTCGTCAGGGCTCTTCAGCACCCGTTTCTGACGGCCCACCAAGCCCATGCGTGAAAGGCCAAAGTCAGTCAGCTTCAAATGACCGGTTTGATCGATCAGAAGATTGTCTGGTTTTAGGTCACGATGTACAATGCCTCTGTTGTGAAGGTGTTGGACTCCAAGCACGACCTCGCCAGTGTACTTTTTCGCCCAATCCTCGGGAAGCCCCCCAAGAATCTTTACGAGTGACGAACAGTCGCCTCCGTTGAGATATTCCATCACCAGATAGAGATAGTCCTTGCTGGAAAATGTCCAATAGAGCTTGGCAACGAAGTCACTTTCTCCTTGCCACATCATGATAGCACGTTCTGCCTTCACGTTGGTGACCTGATTCTTGGCAATCATATCCGCTTTCTTCAGAACTTTCATTGCGTAATATTCGCCAGTGGCTCTCTTTTTCACCAAGTAGACGCTACCAAAGGCACCTTTACTGATTGGCTTGATGATCTCAAAATCTCTGATAGACAATGGAGCAGGCCGAGGCTGTTGCTGGCTTACCGAAGGTAAACGTGGGGAAGGGGGCGGCTTTGTGACGTCGGAAGAAGTCGCTGATGACTGCCTTCGATGGTGACGACAGTGATGGTGGGATAGTTCACTTGCGTAGGTGGATGGAGACACTATCGGGGACGGTACACTTTCCCCGCCGCTAGACATGCGAGGCTTCGGCATGCGCAATGGGGAATGTGGACCAGAAAGTCGAGCGGGAGAAGGTTGCCGACGAGGAGAAGAACTTGAAAGCGCAGGCAGTACTAGGCTCCGCCGCTTCCGCTCGAAACTTCTTTCAGAAGACGGTGAATCCGTTCTGACGCCCCCAGGAAAGACAGACGACGGCAGACTGCTATCGCTACTTTCCCCGGCATCAATCTCCGCCAGCGAGAGACCCAGTCGAGAATGTTGTGAGATACCCAAAACTCCCGCAGCACTCTTGTGGGAGCGCGGGGTGGGGCATTCCATGGGACTGTTGGATCCCGTGGAGACAGCCGCGGAGGATGGCCTGCCTTCTGATTGTGAGAGCAGAGAGCGATCCGGCGAATTGCGCATTGACAATGTCAAGGCAGACGTCGGCCGCCGCGGGGACGGTGCTGCTGGATATGGCTTTTGTTGGGATTCATGGCTCGTAACTTGGGAGAGGGACTCATCGTCGGGAGTCAGGGTGTCGTCCTGGGCAATGTGACTATCAACGGTGCTTTCTGGTGCTATTTCTTCGTCGGATGAGCAGGAGGAATCGCTCAGCTGGCCAGCAGCTATACGCTCTGCTTTACTGAGCGCGGCTTCAATGCATTCCTCGACCAGCACCGTATATTCAATGCGAATGCGTTCGCCGTATTCAACAATCTTGCGATGGCGTACAACTGCGTCAGCTTTTGCCTTGGCAACCTGCTCTGTATCTGCCGACAGGGCAGCTAACCCCTGTTCTTGTTCCAAGGTATTGGCGCTAGGGGACTGCCATTGTAAAACCTGCGAGATTCGTGATTCAGATTGTGGTGACAAAGTCCGGAAGTCCTCCGTATCTGTGCGGGAAGATTCCTTGATCATCGGCATACTGATCTCCAATGAAGTATCGCACAAGTCGAGAATCAGTTCCACGATGCGAGCCAGTGGTCTCCGCACCGTGAATGAGCGGGGTCGGTTCGGCCCGGTACCAGAGACGGAATGATCTCGAGACCGGGGAGGCGTGCCGGGCGCTGAGTTGCTGTTTGACACAGGGCCAGATGACGGAGTAGAGCTGGGGCCAATGGCTAGACCCTTATACTCCGCCAGAGGAAGAGGCGATGGGTTTCCGTCGCTGTCGATGAGAGGCCTGCCTTGTCGGGCCTCTAGAGCATCCAAAACCTTGACAATGACGTGGCGATGCTCATTGAGGTTTTCCTGTGCCAGCTGAACGTCCATCTCAGCCCGATGTTCCTGCAAACACAGGTCCGAGTGTTTTTCGAACCACCACGGCGTTATCTGACGCTCACAGATGCGACAGAGAACAGGAGTTGGGGCGGGGTGTTTGGAGGGATCGGGTTCGGTCGCTGCAGCTTCGGCTAGTTCGGTCAAGTAATTCGCCAGCACCTCTGCTCCAACGCCTAAAGACTCCACTAGTAGGGGCGGCAAATCGATTGTCACTTCTCTCGGCTCGGTAAGCGGTCGTAACATCCACATGGTCTATACTCAGAAGCAGTCAGTCATATGCATGGCAGTCGTAGGTGACACAGCATTGTCGGGGTACGCACATGTCCAGGTTCATCCTCCGTCCGATCGTAAACCATGATTCCCTGTCCCTCCATGTTGAGCATATTGTGACCATACTCTTCCTCCTGTGCATCCTCAACGCCCTGTTCTGCGCTTTGCTCAGCGGTTGCGTTACCGGTGATCGTCGGGGGTGGTTCAGGCGAGTACTTCAAGACAGAATCCGGTCCCATCTTCACAGCGAAACGCACGAAACGACTCCTCGAATCGTCCTGCTTCATCGATTCGATTGCGTCGCGGAATACATCTTTGTTTCCTAATAGAATATCCGAGATCATACGACCCTCGACAGACTCAGGGGAGGAGCCGATCACCTGCGTCCACGAGGGACTGACCCATTTGATACGACCTTCGAGGTCCATATCAACAATGATGTTCAATGTCTGTTCGGCCGCTTCCTTCAGATCCTCCCGTTCTTCTCGCATGTTATCACTCAACGACCGGACCAACTTCGGATCGATATTCCGAGCCTCCTGTCGCAACGCTGTCACGGCAGGAGGCGCAAGAAACTGTGGATTGGGGGAGTCATTGCCCGCCATGGTGACTTGGGCGACCAAGCCGGTTTGTGTAGCTTTCAGGTATGGGCTTTCGGGTATGGGGATTGATCACGGTGCGATAATTCCAAAGAGATTGAATAGAACAAGAACAATGTTTCAGCCAAGCAGAACCGTCTGCTGGGCAGCGCGGGTGCCCTTGATCGAGGTTATTGATTCATCCGTAGCATCAACCGGCCATGGCGAAATTCGTGCGAATCCAGGAAATGTCGTCGTGCTTCAACTTGAACACGGGTCCAATCGACCTTTTTTTTCAGTTGTGTAGTTTCACCAGTGTCAAGACAACTTCTGAAACACTCGAGCCGTTGAAACGGAGGATAACGGAAGCCGTGTCTCTGCGGGGAATGGCGCGAGATCGACGCGCTGAATCATGGACAACGTCAACCCCAAAGGAGGCTGACCCGATGAGGGAAGGGAAGACAAGATTGGGAGATGAGAATCGATAAATTGAGCAAAAGTGCAAGATATGTAGAGAGAATCCTCAGGAAGAGTGATGATGGGGGGGAAATCGAAGGAGTCGAAGGCGGTGATTGGTGAGCTGTGGGTTCTCCTGCACTACTTTCACCTCTTTTGTTCTCGTACGGTCTTTTTTCTATTCTATGCTCTTCTCAATACAAATTTCAGAACTAATACATGTATCTTGGCCTAGTCTACGTTATGATATCCAGGACATATACACCCACGACTATCCATGGAACCTACCACGTCATGGTTGAATAATCTGCTGGGTTATCACTTAGACTAGGTTGGTCAGTCTCAACTCTCAGGGATTTGCACTATGTAGGTACTTTTGTATACGTGTCGATGTATGGCTATCGGCTGTTATGAAAGGTATGCCGTTCAGCACTCTCATACCTACACAGTCAAATCGAAGGTGAGCGTAAAGAGAGTATTCATTGGACGCCGTAGACGCCACCGGAAGTTGTTCCTAATTCCCCAGACTATGAGACTCGTAATGAAGTCTAGCCTGCAACTGAAGTGCATATTTAGACCATTCGACTGCAACTGCTTAGAGTAAAATCCTTATTCCTTTGGATCTTTTCCTACCTAGAGTATGTATACACGTTGAACTACCAGTTGATGTCCGATACCTTAATATGTAGTAGACTGCGTCCCTTACTGATTCATGCCCTTAACCTGGTCTAAGGATAACCCAATTCTACATGTACGCAGTACTTTGTCTCCTCATTCTTTCTCCCATTGGACTCTCCACTTCCTGGCTCGGCATTGGTCTGATCCCGTCTCTTTTCCCTTCCCCGGATCTGCGGGGTTGTCAGATGATTGACTTTCAACATTCCTAGTGATTGGTTGAAACATCTCTACGTTGTATTGCTCACCTTGATCTTCATCCTTTTTGCCCCATCACCCTAGTGACCCTACCAGTGTTGGACAATATTATGGAGAATGAGAGTCACTAACAACCTACAACTTGACTGCTTCTACCACGTGCAGAAATGGACTCCGCACCTTCTACACCTCCCAGGAATCAGGAGGGCTTACCCGTAACCTTCACCAAATTGCGTGCAGCACTCTGTCTCGTACTGTCTCGTGGTGATAGGAGTTAAGATACTCCCCGACAAAACTCTCCACTTCTCTGCTCTCCCACTGGGCAATACCCCAACCGTCTCCGCCACTAAACCCTGCACCGATCGGCTGTGTGGTCCCCGTTGACTAGTCAGAGGTTATGATGCTTGTCTCCACAGAGTCCAGTCTATGACGAGCTGGAGCAGAGATCAAATTACAAGAACATATTACGTTGTACACTGATCCAAGGGACTTGCCGGCTGCTTCCAATTCAATTACTCCGTATGTATCGTGCTTTTGACCGGCGATCCATACACATGCATGTATAAATGTTTAGGTACATGTTCTCCACTCCGCAAGGCCTTAGCCTTCAGGTCTGCGGAATGGAACTGTTGAATTTGATAGAATATCGCGAAGCGGTCCACCCAGTGACTACCTACTAGGTAGTCTACAACATGTTTTGTCAAACGTATAGTAGCAGAACATATATGGTGACACTGTTGATACAGTAAACTCTCAGCGTTCGCTCCTGTCATGCAAGGGAGAGGTTTGCATGCTACTCGTCGTTTGCCCTGAAAACCCGAGAGTCCTCACTTCTCCCGTCGGTAGCAATATCGGCTGCAATCTTTTCTGCTAGCATGTCTTGAGAATCATTAGCAACAGTCAAACCGACGAACAATAGGAAACTCACAGACTACAGACTGTGGATGGCCCGGTGGGAGAATCGGAAATGCGCTGGCATCAACGACTCGCAAGCCCGTGACACCAAACACCCTTGCTCGACTGTCCACAACAGCCATGCTGTCGTTCTGAACACCCATCTTGCATGTACACGATGCATGATAAATGGTCATCATAGTGTTTTTGATGATATCTAAGATCTCCTTATCAGTCTGAGAACTGATTCCATGGAGATACTCCTGCCTCGTGATTACAGAAGTCATTGCTTGGGTGCGGAATGCCTCACGGGCGCGTTTGTACGCAGCGACCGCAACTTTCTGATCAGTGTCGGTCCCCAGCCAATTCGGATTTATCACTGGCGCATCCGCGGTATCAGATGACACAATAGTCACATTCCCTCGTGATGTTGGAGCCCCTAGAACTGCGACAATACTGGCATATCTCCCAGTCCGAGGTTGTTGTGCATACGGGTTCGAGAAGTTTCCCGTAAATGCGGATCCTACGAGGTACTAAGTGGACTTCTGATTAGCATGAGTCTTGCGAAGGGGGGCATAAATTTCAGGTCTCACTTCAGCTTCCGGCCAATCACCCGGAAACCAAGCCAGATCTTTCTCATTGACCTCAGAAAATGCACAGCGAGATGCCTGCGGAAGCTTTTCGAATGCAATATAGTCTGCCGATGGATTTGTTAAGCGTCCGTTGCCCCCGAAGAGCCATGCTAGCCCTTCTCTCAGCAGAGAGAATATATGGTTATCCAGCATCCCCAAGGTGGGCAAATCAACCTGGTAAGATGGACCGAAGAACACATGATCCCACATATTCTGACCAACCCCAGGCAGGTCGACGATGAGATTGACGCCGTGAGTATTGAGAACCTCGGCAGGGCCAATCCCAGAAACCATCAGAAGCTGTGGCGATTGGAATGCGCCCGCTGAGATGATCACCTCTCGTCTGGCCGTCAACACAAACTGGGTTCCTTGTTGAACTACCACCCCAGTGGCTCGATTTCGAGGGTTGAACAAGATTTTCTTTGCCATGGCAAATTGATACACGATCCATGAGCCAGATCTCCAGCCTGTATGCAGAAAAGCAGACTCCGAGCTGCTTCTAGATGCATCCGATTGTTGGATTGTCATTGCACAGAATTGATGACCTAGCAGGGAGCCACTGTTAAAATCCTGCACTTCTTCGATGCCGAGCTCATTAAACCCTTGTTTCGCCCACGTGGCAAATGGCGTTGCATACTTCGGGTAGGAGACTTGTAGTGGTTGCCCATCCTTGTCAAAGGCACTGGCGTTGTATAGTGGAGTAGCATTCGCGAAGCGAGTTCCCACTGGCGGTGAGAAGGAGACGGTCTTCTGGAAGAATGGTAGTACATTTTCGAAGCGGTAACTGGTGTCGTTGACAAGCTCGGCCCAGACTGCCATAGATTGTGCAGACGGCCTATTTCGACTCAGCACCTTCTGCACCCTCAAGTCTTGTTGACAGTGACTGACCTTTGGTATATCATAAAATTTGATGCAGACCTGGACAACGTCAGCGAGTCCCATTGATATCGCATGATAACCTCTTACGACCCGCCCAGGCACTTTCCCCTTGGGTAATGAATGTCACGGAAATTTGCGCCCTGCACACCGTGTGCTACGAAGCCCCAGTCGATTGGGGTTGTGGTTTGAACATCCGCGCCGGCCCCAAGACTGCAAGCTCCTGGAATTCGAGCGAGTGGATAAAGGTACTCGTAGTAACCTCCTGCTTCGACCACCGCCACCTGGTAGTTTTGCTCTGCCAGCCGTACGGCAATAGTCAGACCTGCTGTTCCCCCCTACGACGACGTAGTCGAACGTGGCGTCGCCCGCGACCTGTTTGTGCAATTCATTGCCGGCTGATAGGTCTCTGAGAACACCAAGAAGGATCGAAAGCAGGAACGTGAGTGTAAAGCCGCTTGGGATCAACATCGTCGAATGGTGGATGAGACAGAATGAACACCATACTGTTATCAGCGGCCTGTCTCCATATGTCGTGTTCGCCCCTGCCGTCTAAGGCTCTTGCCGTTATTAGACTTCCATACTGTGACGCTAACCAGGACAGGAAGCTCCGACCACCATCTCACGACTTGGAAGGCGCGAGGAAGCAGCCTAGCATATGTACCTCCGCCTGTGTGGGTAGCCCTCTCAAACGTACGCCTAGGGACTAAGGGACTGGATAAACCATCACTGCTACGCCTGGGACACGAGCAAAAATTAATATGAAGACTCAACAAGACGTAGCTCTCATTTCAATATTTGGAGAATTGCAAATTCAGATCACTACTCCCACCTTCACTTCGCCAACAAGTCAATCTGCGCACATCAAGAAATAGATGGTCGAGTATGTGAAATACCTCAGATGAGCTTGCGCAGGAGGACTTTGAGGACATTGTCCTGCTTCGCCACATCTCGTTTGAAGTACTTCTGGCTGCCCTGGGTATACACAGCAAGAGCTTTCTGGCTCTTGAAGATAGTGGGGGTCGAGTCGCTATTCCAACACTCCAGAAGATCAACAATGTTGACATGAACACGAGCCAGGGCCTATGTGGGCTAGTAAGTCGCTATCGTCCGGAGGTCCTGAGGTCCTCTTGTAAATAATTTGATACTATACCTTCTTGCACTTGTTGATGGATTCGAAGGATCCCCGAAGGCCGACCTTAGCACACAACTCCTGCCATGTGGCTAGGCTGGTCACACGCGAGCCGATCAACCGATTATACTCGCTATTCATACAGGCATTCCAAGCTTTTCTCCATCGCTTAGACCCAGGCTTCCAGCCTCTCTGTACGCTGACACGGCCAAAGGCGTGGCTAATGGGAAGATCGGGGTCGTAGGTGACATTCAGCTCTCGCAGATATCCATTAGGATGCTGCAAGATAGACAGTGGAATAAGCATTGCGGCGTCTGGCGTCCATCTCCCAAGTTAGCATGCTCAATCCGAGGAGATTATCATGGGTTAGTCCGTGCTCACTTGCGCTGAAGAAGGCCAAGTTCTGAGAGGGAGAGAGATAGGGAGAGCAGTCCAAAGGAGTGACAGGACGGCAAGTGGTGACCCACGAAGAAGATGGTGAAGAAGGCGCGAGAAATTGAAACCGCCTATCTAGTAGGTAGGGTAATAAGCCAAGAGCAAGTCTGTGGATAGTTTTATGTCAACCCGCTAGAAGCAAACGCAGCAAACAGCTCTGGTTGATGAGGGTACTGCAAAGTTGTTGTCGAATGTTTGACCGGACAATCCAAACGGGCACCTGAGACACCCCACCAAGTATGGAATTAAGGTGTAAACCAGAACATCTATCTACCAAGGAACAAAGAACAAGATGATACGACCAACAACTCCATACATAGTCATGCCCCATACACTTTCATAGACGGCAAGTGTCGGCAACATAACTACACGTCCAGCCCCAGGATAGTTCCAAGTCAAGCAATGGCGTCTGTCATGAGGCGCCTCATTAGATCAGAGCATATACCATCTCTTGAATTTGAATTCAATGAATTGCGCTTCTTCAACTCATGATTTCATCAAGAAACTGAGGTTGTCATTGCAACTTTGTGATCTTCTACTTTCGGTCCTCGGATCCTTAGGCACTTCAACCTTGGGTTCACTGTTGTGGGTCTGCTTTGAACCAATCAAATGGTGGTAATTGGAGCTTATTCTTTGGCCCACTGTGCAATAACCGTGGAAGTCAGTAGACAATAAAAGACATAAAGAGGCGTACCTGACTAATTTATTCTACATGAGCAGGACGATTCATGTAGTTTGCCCGATAAGGAGGAGAGAGATGTATTACATGGTTGCGGAAATCAGGTGGTTGAGAGTGAGACGATCGGCCGAAATGGGGGATCCGGGGGGCTTGGCGGAATGTGGGGAAGATCCAAGATGCCTCTAGTGGTACACAGTAGAGAATCTAGGACTAGAAGACATTATTCAACTCCGCAGACCAAGTGGATGCATTTTTATTTGTCCATTGCCATCACTCCGTACCTGCAAGTCCACCGCCACATGGCGTTGCTTATTCCTGTCCCTAAGGTTGGCCACTGAGTCACGGACCCCTCTGTTGGTGGCCTCTAATAGGCAGGATGTCCGATCCTATTGCGTGCTATGGCGTATCCGACCGGGTTGTATGCTGGACGTTTACGGATCACGAGAGACGGGAACATCCTGTGTGCATTGCCTTGCGGGGTTGAATTTAAGAGCTGGTAATGCACCTCGAGCTTTCATACTTGAAAATCCTCGCATTCTTCTTCGTAGGATCTCGGTTTCCCCGAGTGTTACGTGGCATAGCATGAGGTTACCAGGAACCAGGCTTGGGGCCTTCCGAGCATATTTCTTCGGATTTTTCATATGTACGGCCGGTTTCTTGTTTGGATATGATACTGGAATTGTTGGTAAGTCGGAAGGGTTCAGTCAATTCTCCATTCAATTCTCCCCTCTGACAAACCTCGATGAACAGGCGGTATCCTCGAGTTTACATCTTACATCGAAGATTTTGGCTACAAAGACCAGACGACCGTTAGCGCTGTGATGGTTAGCTTGCAAAATGTTGGCGCATTTTTATCAGCCTTGAGCATCTTTTGGGTGTCCGAATTGTTCGGACGAAAGAAGACGGTCCAGGCTTCCATGACAGTTTTCTGCGTCGGTGTGATCCTACAAGTGGTACCGTCACACTCCCTCGTGTGTTTCTACATCGGACGGTTTGTTGCGGGTCTGGGTCTGGGTGCGGGTACAGCGGTTGTCCCAGCATACAATGCCGAGATGGCACCTAAGGAAATTCGAGGCAAGCTCGGGTCGGGCATGCAATGGCTGTTCGCCTTGGGTGTTATGTTGAGTTATTGGATTGACTATGCGGTGAACGTTACACTACCTGTATCTTCAAAGCAGTGGCAGATTCCTGTTGGTCTCCAGATGGTGCCGGCCGGTGTTCTGGCACTGGGCCTCTATGGTATGCCTGAGAGTGTACGCTGGTTGGCCAAGAAAGGACGTTTTGATGAGGCCTGGAAAAGCTTAACATGGATGCGAGCGAGCGAGGGTAGGAGAATATCCCTCACCGAGCGATAAGTGAGCAGAGCGTTGACCAAGCCCCAATAGGCACCGATGTCAAGGCAGAGTTTGAGGAGATCCGGGTTGGACTCGAGAAAGAGTTACAAGCCACAGAGGGCTTCAGGAAGCGTGAGTTACTTGAGCCGGCGAACCGTTACAGATTGCTTCTCGCCTTTTTCATGTTCTGCGCTCAACAATGTACTGGCATGACCGCGCTTGCCTACTTCGGTCCGCAGTTCTTTAAATTGCTTGTCGGCAACAACACCGACCAGTCTCTTCTCATCACTGGTCTCTTTGGCGCTGAGAAATTCATGACTGTCGGAGCCTACATCCTCTTCGTCTCGGAGATGTGGGGGCGCAAGCCGACCCTTTGGATTTCGGCTCTTTTGATGGCTGGGTGTTTCATAATTGTAACAATCGTCAGTAAGACCACCCCAGAGCCCGATGCAAGAGCCACTCCGGCTGGTATAGGCATGGTGGCCATGATCTTCCTCACCAATTCGATCTACCAATTCAGTTGGGGCCCATTGCCGTGGCCATATACCGCAGAGGTGAGTAGGGTTCTACTGGTCTGTCACCAACTCAACCACTGACAAGTACCCAGATCTTTCCAACGAGAATACGGGGGATTGGTACCTCGGTCGCAGTGTCAACACAATGGCTTTTCAACTTCCTGTTCTCACTGGTGACGCGCTATATGATGAACTCGTGGGGTAGTTACGTGTTCCTCTTCTATGCAATCCTCGATATCATCATTGCCCTCATTGTCTTCTTATTTGTCAAAGAGACCAAAGGAAAGAGTCTGGAGGAGATGGAAACCATCTTCAACAGCAAAGCTGCATTCGATGTTGATGCTGTACGACGGGAGGCGATGCAGGATGCGAATGAAGTGAATGTGCACAACAAATCCGCCGACGATCCTTGATGGAGAGAAATGAGAATGCGACACCCTATTTACATCTGGACAATGTGAATTCATTCAAGAGTCGAAGATTTGAATTCAAGTATATTACATTTAGGCATACAACCTCGGCTGGACCAATCACAAGCCTTCGGATTCACTAGTTCAAAAAGGGTGGCGCAGATACAGCCACCTCTTCGGTCTTTTCCCTTTTTCCTCCCTCTCGTCTCCTTTTCCTCTCTCTCCTCCACTGGGGTATTGAAGTGTGTGGTGCGTATCCGATTGAGAAAGATGGGTAAGTTCATATGTTACCGCAAGCAGATGGTATGATCCGGATGAACTCATGACTGACCGAATTGTGTAGGTTATTCTGAGGTACAGCTATATTTGAACATGATTAGCAAGCAAAAGGTCTGACTGCGTCCTAGTTCTACTGCCAATTATGTGGTGTGAGCTTCAACATTCTTTTCCGCCTCCCATCTGGGGAGTTTGACTTGCCTTATGATGAAAGAGGCAGAAAAAGTGCTGAGCCAGCTGTCGACGAGACAGAATCAGTCAATTCCGCAGATGAGGACAGTATAGCTCAAGATCTTGATTTCATTTCTCGGGAAGAGGATGAGGACGATGAGCCTTATGAATACGACTCCGACCATGAATCAACTGACGGCATGAGCCTTGACGGAAATGACACGAGTGCCAGTGAAGAGAGCAGCACTGATGTTCAAGAGGACACAGAAATGCAGTGGTACTCTGATTGGGTAGCAAAAACTTTTGATGCACGAAGGTCAGGCCTTGAAGAACACATTGGATACTACGATAGCCCGATGTCTGGGTACTCACTCGATGCTATCTCGCCCGAGCAGGCCAAAGGCTGTCGCACTGCGCAATTCCTAGTCCATAAAAGCACTGCGACACAGCCATGGCAGTCTGATGCACTACATGAGTCCTGGGAAGTCAAAGGGGACTGGTTTTTATCTGGGATTTGTGATGGAATACCATCGCGTGATGTCGATATTCCGAGGGTGTGGCCCGCACGAAATGGGATGGAGGACATAGAGGCGGATAATGAGCTCCCCTCTGTAAGTTTCTCTTCCACAAAGTAAGAGCCTGGGACGGGTCCGTATATCCCAATACTAATTGTTCATAGTACCGAGAGGGCGGGCCAAATGGCGTAGCCATGCCGTTTCATCCGTGGTGCTTCGATATATTCTGTCGACAATCCAAAGTTCAGTTCCAAGAAATCAATGTGTCGGGGCTTATGATGTGGCGCAATTCCGAACTTGACTGGGATGTTTTCCGCTCCTTTCCTCGAACCGAAGAAGTCAACAGGGCGCGGGAGCAATGGTGGAATCATGAGGATGGTAGTGAGCACTTGGTCGCCAATCCTCTTTTCGTGCCCGGGCTACCAGCACTTCTTCGCGATGCGGTGCGTGAACACATAGTCTCAGACTCAACGAGCTCACACGAGGTGATGAAGTCGTCTCAGGTCATGAAGAGCTGCTATACCTCACGTCACACTGGCAAATCCGATCCTTTCTATTATCTTCCCTGGGAGATTCGACTGTTGGTGATCGATTATTTGTGCTCCGACAGTATCAACAATCTAAGCCGTGCCTCTCTGGCTTTCGCTAATCTCCCCAACAGTGTGTGGCATAAATTGGTACGCAAAGAAATGCCGTGGCTGTGGGAGGCATGGGAGGAATCAGAATGCATGCATACAACCCTGCTCTGGTCAAAAGTCTCAACAGCTGAGATGAGGTCTAATCTCCGAGAATCCAGTCACTATGCCCAGGTCCTGATGGAATGTTCGTATTCTAGGGAAGACGCCCAGGAAGCCGCCGTGCGGCGATTCCCCTTGCCACTGGCCGAACCGGATGAGGTGAAGTTACCAAGAGCAAATACGGACTGGCATCGCGTGTTTACCCAGATCCGACTGAATTGGGAAAACCTCAAAGGCTTGCAGAACCGACAGCGGATCTGGCGCGATGTAGAGGAGGTCGTGAGGCGCATTCGCAAACTTGAGGGATAGCATACCACTCCCGCTCACCGTGCCTATTTCAGTTTTTTAAGTTACTTGATTATCACCCTCGTGTTCCACCAACTACAGTAGTAAGAATAGAACCTAGGCATACTACCTACTAGGTGGTACATGCATGCTGGCAAATATACCGAAACAGGAAGGCCAGCCCACCTCGCCTTGGCAGTCTCCACTCGGTCCGCGGCGAATCTTCGGCAAGTCAACCCCGCTTACATGTCATCCTGGTCATTGTCTAATTGTCTATTGCGAGATCTCATCCTCATCTGTTCCCTTATCCCTTCTTTTGTCTTCTTATATATCCCATACGAGATGGCCGCGACCGAGAAACGTCCCGAGATCATCGACCTTGCTCGGGGACTGGCAGGAGTGCCTATGTGCGATGACTATGAGCGTATGATATCCGGAATGATGTATGTACACATTGTCAGCTTCTGTCTACAGCACAGTCCAGGAGAAGATAGAGCATTGACTCTCTAGGTACAATCCCAACATTCCGCAGCTGCTAGAGGCGCGGCATCGCTGCCGTGGACTTGCCGCGGACTTCAACAATCTGGACACCAGAACTGTGACATATGATAAGATCGTCGACAAACGTTTTGAATTATTGAAAAAGCTCGTTGGCAAAGTAGGAGATGGAACGTTTATCGAGCCACCCTTTTTGCCTGACTATGGGTGCAACATTATCATAGGGGAGGATTGCTTTTTCAACTGGAAGTGAGTACTTCATTCACATCCCTCATTCGGGACCATTCCATCTTACCATCACTAGCGTTACCATTCTAGATACTAGTCTAGTTGTCATTGGCGATCGCGTGCAGATTGCCACTGGGGTTAGCATCATCACTGCTGGTCACGATACCAGCATTCTTTCTCGCCGCAAGTTCGTTGAGTTTGGTCATCCGATCTTCATCGAAGACGACTGCTGGATTGGAAGTAATGTGACCATTCTTCCCGGTGTACGCATCGGCCAGGGTTCAACCATTGGGGCTGGGTCGGTTGTCACTAAGGATATCCCGCCGTTCTCTGTCGCTGTTGGCACACCTTGTCGCGTGAAGAAGACCATTCCATCGGCGGAAGAAGAGGAGCAAGATCCCAATAACCAATATCGCAATCTTGTTCGTGAGGATCGATAGATCATGCCCGGGCGGGTGAGGCATATAATCAACGGGGGATCCATTAGTACCTAGCAGCGTCTTGGATTAGAGCATGATATATACCTATCCACATGGAGCTATTTCGCCATGGATGATAAACCACAGGCTTTTCTTTTCAACCTAGGTTTCTGCCAAGTCCACCCTTGAAGCCGTCCCGACCTACCAAGTAGGTTGCGAATATTTCCTTGTGTCTAGATGAATGTAAAGTGCAGAAGATACTCGGTACACACATAAGTTACACTGCGTAGTTAGCCTAAATAAGATAGAGCACTACTCTGCAGGTTTGACCTTACTGTGTTTGGAAGGTTACCGGCCGTCCGGTAGTTAGTATACGGTAGTTAAGTAGACCATGGGGTATCGGGCGGCTGTTTTCTTCGGGGTGGGTATTAGACTATTAGTGCTGTAGCGCTTATCCTTAGCATCGGCTTTGTTCAACTAGCCCAGGATGACCGAGCTCACACTCACAGAGCAAGCTGAAGCTGGGGGTGTCCGCCTGCCTCATTCCAGCCAATAGACCATGTATTCCAAGATTCCCCTCTGAAATGGGGGAAACCCGGCAATGGTCGGCAGCCCGAGCGTGGGATATCTAGATTTAATGAAAATGGCGGCGCGTTGTTGCTTTCCCCGGTATTATTCGAGAAAAGGCCTCATGGAGCGAGTGGATATCATTTGACAAAGGAAATCTGGATGACGCTGACAATGTATTTGTCAAGTTTTCTTGCGTTTTATGACGTCGATTAATACACAGATCTTAACCTTTAGGCCTTAACTAAAATCTGTACCCCATGTTCTGCTAATCTCCAAGTTCTAGAAAGAACCCGGGGGAGATGAGATCCTTCTCAAAGAGATTTCGGTGAGAGAAAAGACAGGGGGAAAGAATGTGGAGGCGGGGAAGCCTGCACATTCCAAGGTTGATGCTGTGACCTCCTCCAGGTTAATGTCGGGACTCGGGCTTGGCACTGTATGAAAGTGGAGTCTGTTCGGGATTGAATTGATCCTGATTGGCTTTGTCTCCGAGTTCCTTTTCCTTTTCTTTTTCTTTGACTTTCATGTCCCGTGGACCGGAGATTCCGTGTGCGAAAGAAAGTTCCCGTAGGAATTTCCCGAAACTCGGTGACTCGGGAGGCATGGGGGTGACTTTTCCGCAAGGCCCTAGTTCTACACAGTATATACAACCCACCATATATCCTGACCTTGAAACAACATAAGTGAGGAAAATCAGATTTGACCGTTTCTCCAATGAGAAGACCTAAATCATTGTTCGCTTCACTCGTGCATCGGACAGGGGTATTTGAGCCGAGTCGGCCAACTCCACTGTGACCCCCGCGTGTTACCGTTTTTGGCGTGGGGGTACCGGGGTAATGACTGAGAAAAGAATGTTAGCGCGGGGGTCACAATGACAAGGTTCTTTCTCCAGTTTGCCCTTAAATAAACGAGCCTGCTCGGTCTAGCTGGGTTTTCTTTCCATCATTCGTCCTTGAGAAACACACACACACACACAATGGCGGACGATATTTCACGACAAAATCGTGATCAGATAGAGGTGGAGGCCGAGAAGGAGCGCATCGAAAATGTTGAACACATCGCCTCACCAATGGTGAATGGCCTACCTCAGATGGATCCGGCTCGCCGCATAGTCGTCGAGAAGAAGCTGAAGCGCAAGCTCGATGCCCGCTGCAGTTTGTTCGTGGCCATCTACATTATGAACTACCTGGACCGCAACAACATGGCTGCAGCCCGTCTCAAGGGTCTGCAAGAAGATCTCAGTCTCACCAACACGGAGTATTCCACATGTCTGAGTATCCTCTACGTCGGCTACATTATCATGCAGGTGCCTTCCAACATGTTCATCAACCGCATCTCGCGACCATCACTCTACATCGCCCTGGCCATGTTGCTGTGGGGTGCTATCTCTACTCTGTCCGGCAACACCAAGAACTTTGGACACATGGTGGCAGTCCGTTTCCTGCTCGGTTTCATCGAGGCTGCCTTCTTGCCCGGTGCCCTGCTCATTCTCTCCAAATGGTACACCCGCCGCGAACTGACCACGCGCAATGCCATCCTGTTCTGTGGAAATCTCATTTCCAACGCCTTCTCCGCACTCGTCGGTGCCGGTGTGCTTTCCAACATGCAAGGTGTCCTGGGCCATGCCGCGTGGCGTTGGCTCTTCTGGATTGAGGGCGCCGTGACCATGTTCCTCGCCCTCTTGGCCGCCGTTATCTTGCCCGATCTGCCACACAATGCACGCGGTTTCACCGAGGAAGAACGCCAAGTTGCCCAGCTGCGCATGATCGAGGATGTCGGCGAGGCCGATACCGATAGTGAGGAGCTTGGTGCCTTCGGCGGTCTGATCATGGCCCTGAAGGATAAGAAGATCTACGTGATGATGTTCACCTTCGTTGCCTACGTTGTCGGATTGTCTTTCAACGCTTTCTTCGTAAGTTCTTCCTGAAGCGAATCATGTAATCTGGGACATTTCACTAACCCGACTTTACAGCCTACCCTGACTGGTACTCTCGGATTTGGATACGTCCCCACTCTGCTCATGAGCGCTCCTCCCTGGGTCTTCTCGTGTATCGTCTCCGTCATCAACGCCTGGCACGCCGACAAAACCCAAGAAAAAGTGTGGCACATTCTCGGCCCGATTGGGATGGGAGCCATCGGCTTCATCATTTGCATGAGCACCAGCAACGTCGCCGCCCGCTACGTCGCACTCTTCCTGCAGGCTGGTTCCTACGCAGGATTCATCGTGTTCTACTCCTGGATCAGTTCCTCCTTCCCGCGTCCTCCCGCCAAGCGAGCCGTTGCCATTGCCATGATCAACGCCTTCAGTCAACTGGGTAACGTCGCTGGCTCCTACGTCTGGGACTTGGATGACAACGGATTCCGCTCTAGTTACGGAATCGTGTTGGCTATGTTCGGTGTCACCGTCGGCGGATGCTGGTACTTCCGCCACATGCTGAACGATTTGAACAAGAAGCTTGAGGAGGGTGAGATGGCCGACGCTGCGGGTGCAAGCGGGAACGATATTATCGAAAGCGCCGACGAGTCCCTGCGCATGCGCAAGGGCTTCAGATATCTTGTTTAGAGCGTTATATACTGTGCGAACCTGGTGTTCCGTGGTCGGGTTTCTCATGTATTTCGAGAATGACCACTATTCATGTACGTTGAGGGCGAATTGGATTGACCCTTTGCGCTGAATGTATGATATCAATGATATGACTGCTTGCCACCATTTTTTGCAATGATGTAGAACAGTAGGTAGGTAGCAGTAGAACCTCCCGTCGGAACCTATTTTGGTCCCTTAGGTTGGAGTGATTGGACTCAGCTTATCCATGGATATAGACATTTTCCCTTCACCAGATGGAATTCTCAATGTATTGGATGCGGACCAAATACGCAAAGATATACAATAGGTTGCAGGAGGATATTAAGTACATCGTACGCAGGCATCATCTCACGGACACTCCAGTTGATTGCTCACCTATCGAAGAGCAAATCTAGTCGATATGGATGTCAAGTGAGTCGGGCTCCTTGCCAGCATAGGAGCTGTGCTTGTCAAGCTCTGGTCCAAATAGTCATATTAATACATTTATGAATCCGTTTGAGTCCCATGATCTAATCTGAAAATTTACAATTGCTTCTTGCCTGCGTCCGATTGCTGCTGAGCAACAATATATCCGACCGCACGGGCGATACCCTCGTCCAAGGGGACAACAGGCAAGTAAGCCAGACGGTGCTTAGCCTTCTCGGTGGAGTAGTATCGGGTCATGCATGAGTATCGCACCGTCCGGGCAGTGAGACGCGGGGTCTTGCCAAACATTCCCATAACCGTCTCGGCGAGAGCACCGACAGTCTGTAGGAGACCCTCCGGTAGAGCCCAGACCTGGTGCGGCTCGACGACACGGTTGATCAGAGCCCACATGGCACGAGTGACATCCCAGAAGTAGACGGGAGAATCGTTGGTGATGTTGAAAGCCTCGCCGTCCACGCGCTCGTAGTCGAGGGGCCCGCCCTTGCCAGCCGCGTGAAGCTCGTAGCTCGCCAGAAGTCGGTGCGCAGCAAGTAGATGGCCGTATGCCACATTTCCAACGTAGGTGAAATCGAATAGGTTGTCATTATCACCGAGCTGCATCCGCAAAACGGTGTCTGAAGCCTGGGATCCGTGCTCGAGAATCTTGTGTGTAACGGTTGTGTCCTTCTCTCCGTGGATGCCTGCAGGGCGAATAGCAGCCGTCAACATCTGGTTGGGAGACTGCTTGTTGTACTTCAGGACGATTTCCTCGGCATCCGCCTAGAGACACAGGAATTGGTTAGCGGTGTGTTACGACGGAAGTCCATTCAGGCAAAGGCATTCTCACCTTGGTCTCGGAGTAGTACTCCTTTTGTGCGGGGCCCCGAATGTACGGCCATTCCTCATTGACATTCTTCAGATCACTCTGTGTGTCGTGAACCACGGAGCTGGAGCTGGTGTAGACAAATGCCTTGCACTTACCCCCCAGTCGCCGTGCTCGCCACCCGCGACCTCAAGAAGTGTGCGTGTTCCATCCACATTGACCTTGTGCAGCAGGGGCTTGTTTCCCTCAATCATTGAGGGCGAGGCAGTGTGAATGACGAGATCGGGCTTGACCGCGCGGAAGACCTCCATCATGGAGTCAACGGAGGTGATATCGCCATCGTAATACTTGGCGCCTGGGAGACGGTTGTTGGTCGTCCGCAAGTCCACGACGGAAACAGTAGATTTGTAGTTCGGGTAGCGCGATCCCAGAGTCGGGAACTCGAAGCGCGCATCACCGACAGGCTTTGGCAGAGCGTAGCTGGGGTCGGTCTCGGAGGGGAAATTCAACAGGTGATCGACAATGTGCCACCCAAGGAAGCCGCAGCCTCCGACCACCAGGACATTGCCTAACTCGAGTGTGCGCCCTTTTGCGGACATGATGTGTGAATAGGAGAATGGGTATGGAAGTTGTTTGAAAAGGGGAAGTTGGCGGAGTCTTGGAGAAACTAGGCGGTCCGTGCGGCAGGACTCGAGGCTTCTTAGGTCGAACTTCACAGCCAACTGAACTACTTGATATATTGAATCACAATGGACCTAAGTCTGTAACTGCCCTGTTTCAGTTTGGTGTAACGGGTGTTTCCTTACTTGAATTTTTTTAGCTATCAATGTCGATGCTGAGCTGTCAAATAGCGAAATAGCAAATACACGCCGAATGTACCCCACAAACCCCGGTTCCTTTATCTCGTATCAATGAATACAGCTCATGAAGGAGATTGAATGACGGCATATCATATGCTTCAAACACACTTCAAGCAGAAATCGGGCTTATGGAGCTAGATAAAGACTACCATGCGGTCCTTAGGTAGTGCCGGAATGAGACATGGGCGACATGTCCACGGCGTCCTGAGCCAGTCTCCCTTAGCACCCCTCCAGAGACGCTCGAAGTTTGCGCCGATAGAGTTTGCGATCCTGATCCGTCCCCCAGCACAGAGCGCTTGCCTCAGGACTCACCGTCATCAGGGGATTGAATGGCGGATTGTCCTCCTCTAGGCTATTGACGATACCTTCGATGTGGTGACCTATCTCCTCGGAATGTGAAGGAAGGTACATGAGCACGCCCAGCTTCGAGACCCGAGTATGGAACAGAGGTGTCTCGACGAAGACCCGGGGTTGTTCTTCCGGGTGTCGGGGACTGATGTAGATCATGATCTTGAGAATGCCGCCTTCGAGCTTGGACTCATTGCGACCAACGTAGGTAAGCCGCCAGGCGAAAGGATTCCCATCAACCAGTGATAAATCAATGATATGAGGATGGGCACCCAGTTCCGCCGCAATCTGCCCATGCTGACCTTTCAATTTCACCGCAATCCCAGCTTCCTGCTCGACCAGAGCCAGGCCCTCGACGAGCCAATGGCGTGTCTCTTCCATCAATTTGTCTCGGAGGCTCAATAACCGGGCCCGCAGGTCGGCATAGTCCCAGCATCCCGTCATAGCGTTAGTGGGGCCCTCAAACGGCATTTCAATGAATGGCCTGCCTTGCCTTGTTGGCTCTTCCGCGAGACCTTTGTCGATGGCCTTCAAGTAGAACTCAAAGTACCATAGGAAACGCTTCTTGTAAAAGTCTTGGAACTTGCTTTGACTGAGCAATTCTTCATTTTCCACATCAGTACCTTCTCCCTGGCTTGACAACTCGTCGTCAATGATTTCGGCCCGGCGGCGAGAGATTGGACTCCGGAGGGCTTGTTCCAGAGGCACGATAACTGTCAGTCGCAAGTTCTCGTGGCAAATCTGGTATCGACATTAGTGGCTTCAACCCACCGGTTAGGTCCGGGATCTTACCTTGGAGTTGTAGATCTTCATATTCTCCTTGTCACTCTCCTTTCCGGCATCCTCAAACCCTGGCTCGAGCGTATATGGATTTGGGGAGAGCAGGCTCTGAATTGATAATAGAACCGATTCAAGCCCTTGAGCAGGTGACCACTGCTCTCCCCGAGAACCTGGCCATGTTCTGTAGTGATATTTAGCAAGGGATCATGTAAGAAACCCAGATCGTTCTTAGGCAAGCTTACCCCAGGATCGACCTGAAGCATGTCAGTATCAGACCTTACATCAATTGCACACCCTGGGCAATACTTACAAGCAGACCTTCCCGTTGGCATAAAGGTTCGGACCAAAGCGAGTTCGACCTCTGTTGGTTGTGCGGATTTTCACCACGGGTGGACTTGCTGGGTAATCTATGTTCCTACATTTAGCAAGTCTTGCCTATGAACAATAACATGGTAATTGGTCTTACCTGATGGGACCTTGATTGTGAACTGACAAGCAACGGTTATTGGTTGGTCATCTCATGGAAAAGCCTGAGTGGATCTTACCTCATAGAACCCCATCTCGTATGGGGTGCCTGGAGGCCCGACGATGAGAGCCTGGATATCACGAACGTTGTTTTCTCGGTAACGGACAGTGTAAGCTGCACGATGTCAGTATGTAGATCCCAGTACCAAAGTGCTTTTCTCGCCGGAAGAGGCCATCAATCGTACACAATTGGTCACTCCGTTCAAGCTGTCGGAGCTCCTGTTCAACGGATTAGTGATGGATTCTGCAGTTGTGCTGGAGTATACCATTTCCAGTGAGAAGCACGTACTCGGATAAGGCGCAGAGTACATTGGTCGCCCATCTTGTCGGACTCTTTGGGGAGGGCGGAGCGTGTGCAGAACTTGAAGGGTGGGGGGTGGGCAAGTCAGGAACCGTGTGGAGTGGTGGAATTAAGGCTTTGGACTCATAGGAGCAACAAGAAAACCCATTAATTACGATTTACGAACCGCGACAATTACGGAGTGTGAAGTGGCCCGTAGATATAGATGACGCTGAGTATTTCCACAAGTCTGGGTGTTGTCGCAGGCGGTTCCAACCATTTGAACTCACCTAATGTTTGAATTGTTTAGTTTCCCTTGCCTTGCTTAAATTTGTTTTCTTTATTCATCTTCACAATTTCATATCTATTTGGTTTAATTTACTTTTTATTCTGATCTCATTTACTTACTACTGTGTAGACAGTAGTTAACTACATGTACTTGACAGTACTTCTCAATGAGTGAGGACGTCATCTTCCAGCCTCCAACTTTCTCCTGTACGGGTAATCGCGTCAAACTCACTTTCTAAGGAGTAACCGCTGTTCCATGGTTTACTAGTACCAGCGATAGAAAGGTCGTGAATTATTGACACTGAAGATACCTACTAGTACTATCAAGTACTATCAAGTACTACATACTGAAGAGGTACCTGCCTGCGGTACCTAGCTGGGTTTACGTTTACAGCCTCGGGTAGATACCTGTTACGCACAGCAAGTATGTCGATGTCTACATGTACGGAGTAGGTGCCCTTGTCATGGGCTCAATCTATATTGCCCTGCTTCCTGGATCACTTGCTTTGTGTTAATTTGTCTTAAGAAAGGCCAGATGAGAACGGATGAATAACGCAACTTTACGGAGTATAACTAGTCACTATAAGTTCACAATGCCCGATCATATCATAACTAGCACACATAATAGTAGCTCTTCCGACTGTTCTATAAAAAGCACTGGATCCATGGTTCCAAGGTTGACACATAGGGGTAGACATCTACTGTGTACATGTAGAAGGCCCTACTTCGATATACACACGGGGTTTCACTTAACCGGCATCTATGATCTAATAAAATTAGCTCTTACTCTGTCATTTCTTAATTGAATTGTAACCACATACCCCAGATATCACACTGATGAAGTTGGTGGACATGGAAATACTATAGACCACGTGATTCAGGGCCCCGAACTAATTAGGGGGAGGGGGGCAACAAATGCCCAAGCCATCTCCATCTTCATTCCTCCCCAGCCCACTTCTTTTCCCCTCGCCCTTGCACCTTATTTTTCCCTATCTTTTTCTTTAGGGTACAGGTATTATTCCATTCACTTTGGGATGATTGTCGCCTTGTAATCAGCACCCTCTGTCGGTCTCACCTTGAAAGCTCCAGTCCCCTCGGCCCCCGCGTCCTCTCGTCTGCGCGCGCTTTCAACCCTCCGTCTACAACCAACCTTCTCGTGCACCGCCTCCATAAGTCGACTCGAGTAACCTTGCGCGCTATTTCTGTGACTTATATCTTCGGTCATACCGTATCTTTACATGTCGTGAGGGTGAGTACATTCTGGGACGCAACAGTGATCCCAGTTGAAACAGCCAAGACAATGACATTCTAATCTAAGATGCAGACCCTCGACTCTACGCGCCCAACTGTACCTTGGATTCTCCGCCAGTCTGTGACCGCGTTGTATCTTCGATTCAATCCCCACCCCCAGTCAACCTTGTTCACCCCATCTCCTTCAACCGTTCCCTGTTCTCGATTCATTGCATGCAGCGTTCGGCGTGACTCAGTCCAGCAAAACTATCACTCCTCAACTGACGGGGGACCAAGATGCCCCCCGGTGGACTCCCAGCCAGTCTGGTCGCAGGCAACCCCAGCGGCCGCCCCACCGTTGACACCTCTGGCTACGGGGCTAGCTACACCAAAAACACACCTACCTCACCCGAAGACAGCTTAATCCCATTCGACTCACCATCGACACGAACTGCAGGACTCAGTCCCATCACTCAGGCGAACCAGGAGGATGGGCGCTCAAGCCGTGGACCAGGTCCCGACCAGGCTGGCTTTCGCGACCGTTCCGCACACCGTGATCGCTCGCGAGTCAATGGGCGTCCGACAAAATCACCCGGCGCATCATCTCGGCTCTGCCAAAAGTGCGGTGAATCTCTAACGGGCCAGTTTGTTCGAGCGCTCGGCGGGACTTTCCATCTGGAATGTTTCAAGTGCGAGGTATGTTAGGCAATTGACCGGCCTTGCTGGGGTGTGTCGCTGATTTACATTCTTTATTTAGGACTGTGGCGAGATCGTTGCTTCCAAGTTCTTCCCGGTCGACTCAGAAGACGGAAGCTGCCAGTTTCCGCTCTGTGAGACCGATTACTTTAGGCGACTCAGCCTCTTATGCCACGAGTGCGGCGGTGCACTACGTGGATCGTATATCACAGCTCTTGATCGGAAGTATCATATCGAGCATTTTACTTGTTCCGTTTGTCCGACCGTGTTCGGTGCTCAAGACTCGTACTATGAACACGAGAGCAAGGTCTACTGTCACTTTCACTACTCAACTCAGTTTGCTCAGCGATGTCATGGCTGTCATACTGCGATCCTAAAACAGTTCGTTGAGATTTTCCGCAACGGCCAAAATCAACACTGGCATCCCGAATGTTATATGATTCACAAATTCTGGAATGTCCGATTATCCCCTGCTGGTCAGACATGGGAGCCTCCGCCAGTGGATGAAGATGCCAGTGAAGAAGAGCGTCAGCAAATCCGCGAAGAGGAAGATGTCATGGAAGAAAAGGTCTTCAATATTTGGAACACGCTCTCTACCTTTGAAGAATCGTCGGCCGCTTGCATCTCAGACATGTTACTTCATGTAAGTAACGGCGCTTACATAGACGGTGTCCTGGTAGCCAAGCGTTTCATCGGCCACGTGGAAATCTTGTTCGGCGCAGTGGACCAGTTAGCGAATTACATCAAATCGCACGAGTTGAAAGGTAAGTCATGCACAGTTGGACCGATTGTCTCTGGGGCGACCACTGACCTGTTTCACCTAGAACTTTCCTATGGCCGTGAAGCCAAGCTTCTCTGCAAGAAAATTGTTGCTTTCTTCGCCCTTTTGTCGAAGACCCAGGAAACCGGAGTTCGCAAGCTGGGTGTCACCCAGGAGCTTTTGTCTCTGGTCACTGGTCTCGCCCATTACCTCAAACTCCTTATCCGTATCGGTCTGCAAGGTGCACTCAAACTTGAGCGTGAGAAGTCTGCGCCCGATGGTTTGCACGATTTCCTGGAGCACCTTCGTAATCTAGAGTCGCTGGCGGAGCCGGATGATGAAAACGCCCCAGTGGATTTGATGGCTGGGGTGGAAGGGTTGGCGGATCAACTTTCCGATTGCTGCATCGCTTGCAAGGAACCCATCGACGACGAATGTGTTCAATGGGGCAAGAACCGTTGGCATAGCAAGCCCCCTCATCTTTCATGTAAATCATGTGAGAAGGACTTGACTCTCGATCTCCAAGACGCGTTGTGGAGCGGGAGCGACGAGCAAGTCTTTTGCGGCGCTTGCGCCCATCAGAAGAATCTGGGTCCCACTGTTAAGAGCGGATTCACCCCGGTCTCGAAGCTGCAGCAATTCGTCTTCTTGCTGAAAGTAGCTCTCGCGCGGCTCCTGGCTGTTCTTCGATCAGGGGGAACCTTGCCTCACACGTCAGGTAAGACTCTTCTGCACCACCCCCAAGCCGCCGGCAGTCTATCTAACTTGATTCGCCCCAGACGATCCTAACCTTAACGATTATGAAAATAAAGATGGGCATCGTATCACGCCTCATGTACGGCGATCAACCACACGCTCTCAATCACATAGTGCTGCTACGCGAGATGGTGGAGAGGAAACGTCCCTTGAGCAGACGGTCGGTGAGATGCGACGGCTGCGCTCCATTCGCAACGAGCGGACATTATCGACTACATACAAGCGGGCCCGCGCATCTAGAATCATTGATGGGCCGGAAGGCAGAAGTGCCCGACCAGGGTCATCTGGCAACGATGGCAGTGATCCTAGGGGTCCTGGTTTCCAGATTGTCGAGGAGCGAGATGCCAATGGCGAGACTGTCACTGATCTGACTTTTGGAGCGCAGGACGCTTTGACATTGGATGATATCCCGCGCATTGTTGCAGCGGAGCAAGCTAAGGAGCAACGGCCTAATGCCTACAGGCATGCCGGCACCAAGCTCGTTGGGGGCACCGAGCCGATTCCCAAGTACAACCGTGGCCACCAGCGGGGAGTCTCAAGTGGAAATCTGGAGGCGCTCATGGAGCCAACCCGAACCAAGCGCTACTTCTCAGAATTGACTGCTTTGGAGTATTTCATCGTTCGTCATGTGGCTGTACTACAGATGGAGCCCTTGGTGGAAGGGTACTTCAACATGGAAGAGCTCCTTTCTCTCATTGAGTCGCGCAAACCCACCATATGGAACATTTTTGGTCGCGCCTTCAAAGACAACAAGAAGGGCAACAAGAAGAAGGGTGTTTTCGGTGTGGGTCTAGACTACTTGGTCGAGAAGGAGGGCACCGAATCGAGCCATGGAGTTGGCCCTGGTGCACTCCGCATTCCGACATTGGTTGATGATTCTGTCTCTGCCATGCGGCAGATGGACATGTCTGTGGAGGGCGTCTTCCGAAAGAACGGCAACATCAGGCGGCTGAAGGATACCGCGGAACTCATCGACACCAAGTATGAGCAAGTTGATCTGACAAAGGAAACCCCTGTTCAGATCGCGGCTCTTCTGAAGAAGTTCCTTCGCGAGATGCCCGATCCCCTCTTGACTTTCAAGCTCCACCGACTGTTCGTAATCTCACAAAGTAAGTTACAATGTTCCGATCACGGGCCTGCGGGTGCACTACTAACCCGTATCTTAGAAATGGACGATCCCGAGAAACAGAGACGATTGCTCCATTTGACATGCTGTCTGCTTCCTAAAGCCCATCGTGATACGATGGAAGTCCTGTTTGCATTCCTGAACTGGACATCATCATTCTCTCATGTGGATGAAGAGTCCGGTAGCAAGATGGACATTCACAATCTTGCGACTGTCGTCACACCTAACATTCTCTACCCCAACGCCAAGAGCAGCACTGTTGACGAGAGCTTTTTGTGCATCGAGGCTGTCAATGCCTTGATTACCTATAACGATGCTTTCTGCGAGGTAGGTCACCCAGCCTAATGTCTGCAGCAATAATGCTAACCCCTCAATAGATTCCCGAAGACTTACAATCCATCCTGAGTGATCCAAGTCTTTTCAAAGAGAATGCCGAAGTCACGACTAAGGAAATCCTCAAGCGGTATGGGGATATTGCTCGGGGCAGTTTCTCACAAAAGCCGGAAAACGGCGGCGAGACCTTCACGATCACCACCCCCAATCGCAACAACAGTGCCCCAGCTTCGGCGCGCATCGAGACCGATCCATCTCAAGATGCCGCATGGCAAATGCAAAGCTCGGTTCGCCATGTGCCCGGGCCTAGCGGACACTCCCACTCGGCAAGCACCAATGCTCAAGCCGGACTTGATTTTGGACCTCCGTCCGCCGCATATCACCGCGACCGCGACCGCAGCGCCAGCAACGGTAGCCAACCACCTACGGGCCCACCTGAGGGGCAACCGTCAAGCGTCGCATATCGGCCGCGTCCAAGCCCAGGTGCGATGGGCGTTACTAGCTAGACTCCTTCTTTCCTTCCTGCACGGCTGCAATACTGTGATACTCACCATCCGACCTCAACTTGCATCCACCCGTCTGATCCATTCTATGTGGAGTGTTTTCGTTTCTTGGGACCTTCTTAGCGTTCTTTCTCTTTCTTTTTCTATCAAGAGGGGTTGGCCGACGGAGTTTTTTTCCTTTTCTTCCCTTACAAATTCCCCAAAAGTGATCATCAAGCTGGTTGGTCGCTATTGATTGGTTTCTCTTGCTCTCTGTCTTCTCTATATTGGCCACAATGCCTTGCTTCTTTTTCCTCTTTGTTCATCTGCATCTGATTCAAGGGATCAGCCATACCCATACCTGTTCCTCCGGGGCGATAACTGTCCTGTTTTCCATTCTCTCGCTTTCGATTTGAGCATGCTCGAACTTATTCTTTCTTTGTGGGCCAGGCTACGGCTATACCTAGACCCTTTTTTTCATTACTTCTCTTCTTGTCCTGCTCCCCGAATCGGCCCTTTGCTGAACGTTGGCGAGGGAGCTTTTATTTCCTTTTTCCTTTTGCTATCTCTTTTCCACAATCAAGATGATTGTCACGATACCTGTGCTGAGTTTGTAGTTTTTACTTTGAATTTGAAGGAGACTAGATATGTTCTCAATCCGGAAGCGCTGTGTGCTAGATGATAGGTATTCTACGCATAAGTACCATTGAGAAAGCAATGCCATCTTCCCCTGCTTCGATCCTGTCGATCCACCACATAGTCTGTCCATCATTTTACTGAAGTATAATTGAGGCTGCATTCCAGAGCTTGCCCAGCTATCTATCCAACCTCTTAGGATTGCTTACAGTCTCTTGTGCATTCCGATCATGTAATGAAGATCGTACAGATACCTCAGACGGCATACCGTGTGTTATGGTTCCGGGGGTACCTTTCCGGTCTGCTAGGTTGTGAGTAGGGATGTACTGCACTTTTTCTCCACTTGCAAGTGCAAGGGTCTAATCCTAAAAGGGATAGCCGATAAGGTAGCCGATAAGATGAACCTCCGGGCTCAACCACAGTTCACAACTATTACGATATCTATAGCTTCAACTCACTATATCTGTCCACCATGCCATCTACCAAAGGAGAAGAGGCTGTTATTCTTTGCTTTCTCTGGCTACGATTGCTTTTGGCTTATCGGCGTCTGTTGCGGGCCAGACGCCGTATTCGCCGCCCTCTGGCTGCGTCTGCCTCTGAATGGGACCTGAATATGTGGGATGATTCGAGGTGTTGGAGCCTCACGAGGTAAGCTCACTTTATGTCTACCTGGTACTTCACTTTCTACGCGATTTACTAACAGATATAGGTTCCATCTGCGAGGTCCGAGTACTTGCCCTGATTCTACCACTGCCTGATCGATATCGATTTCGCAACAAACCAACACCCGAATTGGCTATTTGTTTGGTCTTGACTCGGCTTGCCTGCCCTAATCGGCTACGGAACGACCTAGAGCGTCTCTTTGGCCGGTCTTCTGCATGGCTAAGTGCAGTATTTACTGACGTAGTACTGCACTTAGCTAAGCGCTTCAAAACGGCCCTATCTTGGAACTATACTATCTCCCTATCCTAGGTTAAAGCTATTTGCTGAGGCAATTGCTTCTAGTGAGGGAGACAGTGATATAGATCCACGTGCTTGGGGGTTTGTTGATGGCAATTTTCGTCCGAGCCGCCGCCCTGAGGACCGCCAGGACCTTTCCTATTCGGGTGATAAGCACCTGCATGGGATAAGATATCAGGCTATAACTAGCCCAGACGGACTAGTTATTAGTTTGATTGGCCCTTGGCTAGCGAAAGATAGCGATGCTGCTATTTGGTCTCAATCTGGCATTGATACAAAGCTAGATGCTATCATGGAAGGCCAAACTAGGCTATTCCTATATGGGGACTCAGCATATAGTGGGAAACACCATGTGTCTGCCCCCTTTAGGAAGCCAGCCAATGGCAGCGACCGGTCTATGGCTCAGGATCATCGAGATTCTAATCTGCATCTATCCAAAGATCGGATATCTGCGGAACAGAGCTTTGGTCTGATCGTGAGCCAATTCAAGGAAAGTGAGCTAAAAATGATCCAGCGACACGGCGTCTGTCCTATCGCGGCTCAATTTGAGGTCATGGTTCTTTTTGCCAATATTAGGACCTGCATGCAAGGGAGGAACGTGATATCAGACCGATACGGTCTTGCACCACCCTCTGTGGAAGAATATCTAGGGCTTGATCGGCCATTCGGCGAAATTGATACTCTTGAAGAATGCATTATCCGAACCTCTACCGCCATACTCGACTGGATACAGCAAAATCGCCAGGAATCCATCAATCAGAAAGAGCTTAATCAGCTCAAGCAGGAGGTACAAGGCTTAAGGGATGGAATCGATGGAATCAATCAGGAGGTATAAGGGAAGGATGGAATAAATGAGATTCGAGCTCTACTTCGGAGGAATCTGGGCAAATTCTCCTTCGACCTAATTTTTGATTCGTCTAGTACTCTCTATCGTCACATCTTATTCACTCTGATTCGTCCAACACAATCTATTCTTTCTTTCTGCTCACTCTGAAGAAGGTCCCTAGGGAGTAAGATTGATAGCAGCAACATTAGAGGGTGTCGATGTCCCATCTGAAATAAATTTATTCAAACAACAGTAAAAATGGCCAGGAACGTATGCCTGACCTGAGATGATTTACACAGTACACCTTTATGACACCGCGCCAATTTAAAAGTCCAACAGTAAGCGCAGCGCCGGGGTCTCAAATTGTTCATTGCAGGTCTGCAATCGCCCACGTCCAAAGAGACAAAACTACCAATCCAACTCCAAAAATCCTGTACGTATCCGGTCATGTATAGTGCTAAATCCGCTTGCGCAGAGCTCGAGTTCGAGGTGCAGTTTCAGCCACAGCCGGGGCGGTGGCCTTCCGCATTGCAGCAGTGGTGGCGGTCTTCTTCACAGTCATCGATGCCGCCTGTGCACGCGGAGCAGCCTTCTTCACGGCAGCGGCAACAGATGCCGTTGTCGCCTTTCTCGCTCCAGCACCTGTCCTCGCTGTTTTGGTGACGGTGGTACCCGAAGACGCGGTGGATCCCGTGCTATTCTTGCGCTCGCCCTGGCGGGTCGCTGGACGCGGCAACGGTGACCGAGTAGTCTTGGGTCCCGTAGCGGCACGGTTAGTAGTCCTCTGGAGCTGGGAGGGTGGCCGCTGGTCTTTCACTGCAGAGACTGTGGCACCGCGTGATCGCAGCGGACTAGACGGCTTCAAGGGAGAAGTAGGGCGCGACAAGTAGGTAGGTTGGCCCTTCTCGGGGGATGCACGGAATGGCGAGTGAGGATATGTTCGGGAATTGTTGGACTTGGGTGACAGGATCCGGTTCTCGTTGCCTCGTACTTCCTGTGAAGCCACGCGCGTGGGCCCGCCTGGTCCGGCTGGCTTCACACGGCGCTTTGGATTCTTGATTCCCTCGGGTGTGCCAGCGGCAGGTGCGTTTTCTTTATCGGAGAAGTGCGGGTCGTGGCTACGTGTGCTGTCAGTAGGAGAAGCAGAGTAGATCTGGGGTATATCGTACCTTGCTCCCCGAGTCCTGCTGTCGCGTCTGGGAGATGTCGCTGGGTCAACAGAGACACTCGCAACGTTACGTGACAATTTGGTGGGCGAGTATTTTCGGGAAGGCGAAGCGATCTGTTGTTTGTTCATGGCAGCATTGTGCTTTTCGAGTAGCTCGCCGATGTTGGCTTTACGCAGTGAGACTGGGATTCGATTGACGCGTCGTTCAATGCGCGACCGGAGATCGTTCGCCTGAAGGGCATACTGAGCCCGAAGTTTACGCGCTCGTTCGGTGACTAGGTCCAGAGTCAGTTCCATGATCACTCAGTAAACCCATAATTCAACCCACTTTCAAGCTGTAGATTGTCGATGAGTGCTTGCTTCTGGTTCTGTGTCAAGCGCATCTTCTTGGTGGGACTGCCCGTAGGCGTGACGTCCATGGCATCTGACTTTCGTTTAGTGGTAGACATTGTGCTTAAAGTCCAAGGGATATAGACTGGTGGGATGTCGAAGTTGACGTGCGGAGGCAAGGAGGAACAACAACAAACAGCCATGGGCGGAGAGCGGTGGCAGAATGCAGAGCTTCCACCTCGCCTTCGTCATCCGCCTTCAGCACTCTCATACAACTTCCTATTCACTCGCTGTTACGCCTTCGCTTGCATCGTTGATTCATATACTCCGCCATCATGACGCTTGAAGCTACTATGATCATGTTTGTCATTGCTTCCTCCGCATAATAGCGTACTTTGCTGACTCTAAGCTACAGTGTCGACAACAGCGAAAGCAGTCGCAATGGAGACTACACGTGAGCACATCCGATCATACCGTCGTTTCATCCACGAATGAATGTCTGACTGTCACAGGACCACCCGGTGGCAATCTCAAGTCGATGCCGTCAGCATCATCCACAATGCGAAGATGCGTGCAAACGCTCAGTCAGCAGTCGGCCTTATGAGCATGGGCGGCAAGGGTCCCGAGGTTTTATCGACCTTCACACCTGAATTCGGCGCCATTCTGGCTGGTCTGCACGCGACTAAGATTCACGGCACATCTCATCTCAGCTCGAGCATTCAAGTTGCAGGGGTGAGTTTGTCCCACTAATTGCCGCGCTCCGCAGTAACTAACTCGCCTCTTTACGTTAGTTGGCACTCAAGCACCGGATGGAGAAGACCCAGCGTCAGCGCATCATCGTATTCTCCTGCTCCCCTATCGAAGAAGATGAGAAGACCCTCGTGAAACTGGCCAAGAAGATGAAGAAGAACAATGTGTCGATCGATGTGATAGCATTCGGAGACTTGGAATCTGACCAGACCAAGAAGCTCGAGGCTTTCGTGGAGAATGTCAAGAGCGGTGACGGCTCTCATCTGGCCATCATCCCTCCGGGTCCCCATCTGCTCAGCGATCAGCTGCAGATGACCCCGATTCTGGCTGGCGAAAATGCCGAGGTCGGCGGTGGTGGCGGTGAAGGCGAGGCAGGCGGATTTGGCTTCGATGATGCCGCCGAGAACGATCCCGAGTTGGCATTTGCCCTGCGGTTATCGATGGAGGACGAGAAGAATCGACAGGAGAAGGAGAAGCGTGAGCGGGAAGAACAGGAAGGCAAGACGCAACTGGGCAACATCCCCGAGGAGGGTGGCGAGTCGAGCGGTGACAAAGACAAGAAGGATGAGGACAAGATGGATACTGCGTAAGGTCCGATCGGACTTGCTTGAATACGACTGCGATGCATACCCGGCGTTTACTTCTATCTTTCTTTGCCTTGTACCCTCTAGAGTCCGAACCCTTCGGGTACGTTTCTTCAGTGTGCCAGGGAAATATATTATGTGATTTTGGTATTATACGAGTCGGAGTGATCTCCGGATCCAAGTACACAAAACGTATCTAGTTCGTAAAGTCATGATGTCTATCCTCTTTCCGTGCGAGTGGGCTCATTGCCGTTCGAGGCTACGTTCTCCCTCTCAACCATGCCCCGAGATGCCGATCGAAGGCCTCACATCGCACCGGCATCTCCATCTGATAGAATGGGTTCTTCATGACGAAGTCCGCATAAAGCTCGTAAATCTTCTGCACGATGGTGTCCACATTGCCGGTCATGGGATCCGTGAACAGGAGGAACTTTGTGCCCGTCAAGGTCTGGAAACACGTCAATCGAAACTTGTCGGTCTCGAGGTAGTCCAGGCCTGAGACAGGAACGCCGGGGTTGGGATAGGAGAACCCGGACGCGGGTGCGACGGTACTCGGCGTAGAGGTGCCAGGGGTAGCCGGCTGAGAGATGGGAATTTTCGGTGTGATAGAGCGAGTGATAGCGTGGACACTGGAAGAAACAAGAAACTGTTAGATAGTGGTGGCAAAGGGCTTCGGATCTGGAAATCCGCCAACGCGTTCCTTACCCGTGGAAGGTGCCCGCTAGAACGAGGTAATCATTTGTCGAGAGCTTGCGCAGGCCAGCCTGAAACTCGCGCTGGTAGATGAGACCACCTGCTTTGTTGATGATGATCAGGGAAAAGACGGCCCTGTTCGAGGCATGTTAGTTGCTGTGTGGTTCATTGCGTGTATGGGGCGTACATGATGAGCTGGACCGGAGTAGCCGGAGATGTGAACGAGTGCTATTGAGATCGCATGCCTCACGAGTAAATGGTGGATTGGTTCCTGGAAGGTTGTTCCTGTCAAGATATTGTTTGGAGTTGAATTAGGAGTTGTATTCGCGCCGAGTTATTAAGCGGGGATACGCCGCCCCGGAGAACAACATCTCGGCCCGTGGATATATTGAAGAGCTCCATACACACAGCAACCTAACTTCTATGATCCAATATCTAAGGTCTGTGTATGGATAGGAGCCCATATCTTAGCTCTTCAAAGAGTTAAGAGACCAACACATGCAGCGAGACCTAGCGAGACCTAGAAGCATCCAAAAAGGTCTAAGCTATTGAACCTCCAGAATATACCACCTTGTAAGTAGTTATGGCTGGAATAGTTACGGCATTCGCTTCGATAATATCACCATGTCCAACCAATTGCCAGTACTTCATGGTAGAGTGGCTAACCCTAGGGCCTGGCCGAGACTACCCTGTGATAGGGGGACGGACCACTTAAGCCTAAGGTGACTTAACCCCATTTGCTTAACTGGCTACGTAGTAGTGGGACTCGGGGATAATCCTCTCTCGTTGCCCTATTGAGAGCCCGCTCTCTTGTCTCCACGACTCTTGTCTCCACGGGACCCCATTATCCCACTCGAAAACTCATCACATTTGTACCTAAACTTCATCTCCATCAGAACTGAGAACAATGGCCTCGCAAAATGAGCGTACCTCCGAGCTCACTGACGAGGAAGTCGAGAGACAGTCCGAACTTCAAGATTCCACTGAAGAGCTACCTTTGTTGCCGTCGGATCCAATTCCTTCAACCTGGAGCCCGCCGCCAGGATTCACCTTGATTCAAATTGGTGAGTTGGTTGAAGCATACATGATCTGAGCCAAAGAATTGACAGTATCAGCGATCATGGCCAATGTGTTCCTGGGCGGTTTTGATGGCACAATCACGGCCTCAACCTATGCCGTGATCAGCTCCGAATTCAATGCCGCCAACACTGCTTCGTGGTTGACTACCTCGTACTTGATCACGAGCACGGCGTTCCAACCTCTCTATGGTCGATTCTCCGATCTCCTCGGTCGGCGCGCTTGTTTCTTCACTGCCAGCATCACCTTCATGGCTGGTTGCTTGGGATGTGCATTGGCCCGCGACGTAGTCTTTTTGAATCTCATGCGCGCCTTGACGGGAATTGGAGGTGGCGGATTGATGACGATGGGTAAGTCATTGATCCTTTCGAGTCAAGTCTCAAGAATATCAACTGTTAACCTTTACCAGCAACCATCATCAATTCCGATTTGATCCCTTTCCGCCAACGTGGTATGTACCAGGCCATTCAAAACGTCTCGTACGGCTTTGGCGGCATCTGTGGTGCATCTTTCGGTGGTTCCATTGTGGACTCAATCGGCTGGCGCTGGTGCTTCCTCCTGCAGGTTCCAGTTTCCTTGTTCGCCTTGGTCATGGGCTATTTAGTCTTGAAATTTCCAGCCAACGCTGCTAGTACACTCGATCAGCCGAGACGGAGCATTTGGCACCAGATCGATTTGCTGGGCGCATGCCTGCTCATTCTGGCTCTCTCGGCCCAACTTGTGGGACTGAGCCTGGGCGGAAACCTCCTCCCTTGGACTCATGTTTGGGTTATTCTGCCCTTGATGTCTAGTGTGGTTCTTGTGGGTGCGTTTGTCGCCGTCGAAGCGACAACCACTGCGGTGCCTTTGATTCCATTGAAGATGTTACGTGGACAGCTCGCCATATCTACACAGATCGCCAATGTCTTCGTGGGAATGGCAGCATACGCGGTAAGCGTGTGTTTTAAACTGTGTGAATATCCTAACTGACATGATCCATTCAGTTCCTCTTCACTCTGCCTCTCATGTTCCAGGTGATTCTCCTCGACTCACCTAGCAAGGCTGGCAGTCGACTGGTAATACCATGTCTATTCACCCCGTTAGGTGGTCTCATAGCCGGGATTGTCATGTCACGCTGGGGAAAGCTGGCCTACCTTGTACGCACCGGTGCGGTTCTGATGTTTATCGGTAACCTCCTCGTCGCGCTGCTCCGCTTCGATGACTCGCAATGGAAATATTTCGTCTTTGTGATTCCCGCCAACTTGGGTCAGGGGATAGTGTACCCAGGTCTCCTATTCACATTCTTGGCAGCCTTCGACCATGCCGGTAAGCTGCTTTCCCCGCCCATCTCTGCTTTCCGACGCCAGCTGTATCCCTGGAATTTATACACCACCAAGGCTATCAAGCTCACTCTGTTAACCGTAACCGTGCCGTGTACAGACCACGCCGTCTCCGCTTCGACCGTCTACCTCGTCCGTTCACTCGGCACCGTTTGGGGAGTCGCTGTGACCTCCACTATCATGCAGAATACATTGAACTCAGGCCTCGGGGAGGCCTTGAGTGGAATACCAGACAAATGGAAAGTACACTTCCTTCGCTCGACGAGCCACTGGGCAGGCCTTGCTGACCAACGACTTCCCTTCTTCATTAGTTGATTGACGAAATTCGCCATTCGGTCTCCGCTATTTATGATCTTCCCCCCGACGTACAAATGGCCGCTAGGCTGGTGTACTACCGCGGCATCCGACTCTCCTTCATCGCATCTGCGCTCTTTGCGCTCGCCGCGACGGTCGCCGCACTGTTCACCCGTGGAAAGGGACTGGAGCGAGCGGGCAAGTAAGGAAACACAGCTTTGCACTTTGCTCCAACCTTACGATGGAGGTGGACGGGTCGCGTTGTCGGTGAGGTTAGCCTCAGCTCCGCGCCGGCCTGAGGGCGCAGTAGATTTTTGACGTGATTTTCAATCCTTTTGGGTACATGAGAATCACCTTTGCTGGGGAGAGAAGGTGATAACGCGGGAGGTAGATATATCGACCTGATCAGCAGGTTCAGGTCTGGCTGCTGTATGCGAGAGATGGTAGATTTCTCATTGATTTAGCTGTTGCGAGTCAAGGAGGAAGAACTGCTGAGGAATGATCAAGTTCAGTTTAATCCATTTAGTGACCTACTAGATTACTTACGCATACTGCGCTACGACCTAGGGCAGCCCGCACTGACTGTATGACTGTCGGTATCTCATTCTTGTACTACTATGTATATGCATGCAGTATGCTAATGAGCACTATAAACAATGCTTCAGTTTGTAGTAAGAACCGCAATACTCAAGTTAGGCAATTTGAAAGAGAACTCTCCCTTTTTGCCCGCCTTGATCTTAGTGGTCTTGCTATTGACCATGTTCTCGCCACCAACCTCGTTCATATCAAATGGATCAGCCGCCGTCAAGATGGTCAAGTCGGCCTTGGTTCCACGACCGACACCCTCAAAGGTCAGCGAGACTGGCACTTCAGCTGTGCTGTTGTATACTGCCGCCTTGAAAATGTGCGAATCGGTCTTCTTGTCAACACCGGTCACGTAGTATAGAGGACCGAAATCGTCAGAAGAAGTGGCTGGGAGGGTGTTGGTCATGTGGTTGTGGTTGAACAGCTGCATTCCAGTTAGTTAGCATTGGGAGATGCACTTGGACAAGGTTAAGGAGTAACCTACGCTGTACAGATGCCATGAGGTTGAGCGAGCCGTCTCCTCAGGGTTGGAATTGAAGGAAAGCAAGGTTGGGGACCACTGGTAGCTATCCAAGTTCATCAAGAAAGGAGCCTATAGATCTGTATTAGTAGTTATCTTCTGATAAGCTGAATACCTGGTAAACTCACATAGGTAGTTCCAATAATCTTATCAGCGTTGCGCTCTGCGCCCAGAAGGAACACAGCCTCGGAAACGGTGCCAATCCACCAAGGATACAGAGAGAAGTTCTTGTCATCCCAGTTGATACCAACTCCATTGTTGGGCTCGGTAGCAGCAATCTCACCTTGACGCATGTTAGTGTATACCCTTTGCAGTTCCCTCAAACAACTTACCAAGCAAGATAGGCTGGTCCGGTCTGAAATTATCGAACATGTTGAACTGCTTGACCATGTTATCTGGGACATCATACAGGTGATAATCCCCACCGGCCTTTCCGGGGATGGTCATATCGATGGTAGAAGCAAGCACCTGAATATCAGGATACTTCGCCGAGATAGCATCGTAGAATGCCTGGAAACGGTATGCCTTGTACGAGTCCAAACCATCGCTCAGGTTATCCTCGTTTCCGACCTCGACATAGCGGATTTTCCATGGCTTTGGGTGTCCAAGCTTGGCGCGCAGTGCACCGTACTCGGTGTGCACAGATCCAGTCAAGAACTCGATCTCATTCAGAGCATCCTGAACATAGAAATCAAGCTCTTCCTCAGGAACAACTTCTCCGCTCAAAGAAAGTCCGGACCAAACCGCCAAAACTACGTAGATACCGTCAGCTGAGTTTATTATTCAATGGTAGGAGATGCACTTACTAGGCTCCATGTTAAGGTCGTCGCACCATTCCATATACTCGATCAAGCCAATTCCAGAGGTTTCCTCATATAGCCATGCGGTTGCACGGCCAGGGCGGTCTTTGAGAGGCCCAATGGTCTCGTTCCACTTCCAGCGACCCTCAATAGTCTGACCCTCGAGGTTGCTTCCTCCAGGGAAACGGAGGAATTTCTGCGTGTCCGATTAGATTGAGCTTCAGGATTTATCGAGATACGCCAGGTATGAACTTACAGGACCCAGATCAGCCAAGGCTTGCATTAAATCCTTGCGCATGCCGTTGGGGCGATCGTTCCATGTGGGCGGGAATAAGCTAATCAGATTGAAGTCTAGCGAGCCATCTGATGCTTTCTATCGAAGGGAATTAGCCTGACCGCATATCAAATTCAGTGTGGAAGACCTACCGAGGCATCGAATGTCAATGAAAAGGTATTATTGGTATTCGCAGCCTTCTTCTTCGGGAACAGGACAAACTCATGTTGCACCCACTCATGCGCATTGCCTTTTGAAGGAACCTTGGTACTAGCCAGGACCTTGCCGGTGGATGATAGAAGGGAGGCTGTGAAGGTGCCATGGTAAGAGCCTTTCACGTAGAAGGATCCGGTATACTTTTGAGGGCGAACGTCAATTCCCCAGAAGCCCGCATTGACAAGTCCGACTGTACCCTTACCCTTGACGTTGACTGACGTCGGCAGGGCAGTTGAGAGCGGATCAGAGAGGTTTTTCAGAGACAGGCTCGAGTGTCCCACCCCAGACCAGGCATCGAGGGATGAGGGATACATTTCGCTACCCTGGAAGGCTCTGTTGCGGATCAACTCAGCGTAGAGACCTCCGTCACCACAGTGGTTGATTTCCTGGGCATTGGATTAGATGCAACACACTCAACACACTTAATCCAAAGAGGCTCGCCATACCTCTTCCATTGCGCCATATTGCAGATTGGTAGTGACATTGCCGCCTGATTTTGCCACCGATATGGTGACAGCTGCACCATATGATGCCAAAAGCGGCAGAAGAAGGTATTTTCGCAGCATTTTGTATAGCTGTGTGCCCCAAAAGTGGCAGTTCCAACTATACAATACTTTGTGATGCACGTTAGTTTGGATAGCAAGCTGTACGGGTATTTATATGCAGGACCCTTAAGTCCAGAAAAGAGTTCCAAGCCGGTTAATTCGTCCTGCTCCTCCTCGTGTTGCAATTGACCCGGACGTTTGAAGGTACATCCGGGGTACAGGAAGGTGCCTAGATCTTTCCGCTAGTCCAAGGCTATTTCTGCGGAGAAGCGATGTCATGCTGGCAAAGGACTCCCATTTAGGCAAAACTCCATGAGGAGTGCATGCGCTAAGTCTCTTAGAGTATCCCTCTAGTAAACATCGGGACAACGTCGGCACAATCGAGGCTGACTTCAGCTTCTGTCTTGCATGAGGTCATGCACCCCAGGGGCAGCTTTACCTTGTCCATACTCGCTTGGTTGTCAAGAGGCATCCTCTTGTCATTGATGGACTGATGGACGCCTTGGGGAATGTGGCTGGTGAATTGTGGTTGTCGGGTAATTCAATTCCCCTTTCTCCGCTTAAACCGCTTGTGCAGATCCTCCACTTTCCGGGGTATATCCGGGATAATGGAATCTTGGCGAGATGAAAATGATCGAAGGTCTAGCTTTGTGATGCTCGCAGTTCGACATAGTATGACCACTGTTCCAGGCTCTTGTCTCCAAGGCTGCTGCTGATTTATCAAGTACTTGTCCCATCGACATCTGACGTGCAGGGTGTCTGTGCAAACGAAGACTTTGGACGGCGTTTACCATCATTCATCGGGTCAGTCGGTGACAAACCAGCACGAGTGGTCACAATCTCAATCGCTTGAGTCTTCTGTTGTCATGTCGCGAGATGATGTTTGGCCAATCGAGTGGAACATCATTGAGCTTCTGATTCAAGGAAGTCACACAGATCACATTGAGAAGTTGACTGCTTCGCTCTGAATTGAGTTGCATCATGAGATCCTGCAATATCAGCAGGCTTGACAGCCCTGGAGGCCTCTCATGCCGCCGCCATCTAAAGATCGAAGGCCCAGATATTGGTGTCAAGTGGGCGTCCAATGTTATCTGCCGAAGCCATAACAGCGCTAATAATTACCGGGATCTGCTACCTTAGCAGGTGATTGATAACAACGATGAATTGTGGAACACAAAATAATGTACATCGGTCATTTTGTGCATAAGCAAATCCCTAGGAGGCGTCTTGATGTCGGATGAACAAAAGCAGACGAACACCCGTCTTACCAGACAAGAGGAAATACAGTTACGGCAAGCTGATCATATTAAAAAATGCAATGAACAATATTGGAGCTAGCACTCAGGCAGCTTCGCCGAAGAAAACAAAGGCTCAGTGTGATGGAGACGAAAGAAAATATCGCAGTCCAATGATGCGATGGTCTGCCCTGAAAGGCTGCAGGGCATAACGAGAGATTCCAACGCCAACAGGAAGAAAGGCATCGTCGTTGTCATAGATGAGGGAGCTTAACAGCATACGTCACAGCATTCGGCGCAGCATTCGCAGCCCTCTTCACATACGAAGCAACAACACAGGACAGCCAGACTAGAAATCAGAGCTCCGGTTAGCACTGTTCAAATTATCCAAATTTATATGAGTCTTACCAACTGGCCAGACATCCCTTATCACTGCTCTTTTGCTCTGGCGGTGGCGCTTGTTGGTATTGCGGTGCACCAGGTTGCTGGTATTGCGGGCCGGGGGGATACTGAGGAGCGTAGCCCTGGTTGTAGCCAGGCTGCTCATAGCCCGGCTGGGGTGGGTAGTATCTGCATTGAGAAATCAATCAGCGCTAGGTCCAAACACTGAACAGGATATGAGCACGCCAGGGGGCAGGCTATGACTCCCTCGGTCGGAAATTTTGCACAGCTCAAGATCGGCGGGATAAGTCCAATGGGATTGTCGAAATTGCAAGTAGACCTGATCACGATATGACTTACGCCTGTTGGGGAGGTCCCGGTGGATATCCTTGCTGATAGGACATTGCGGCGATAGGGTACCTAATAGGATCGAACAAATTAGCGATGTGTCCACCAAAATGATAGGGCCTCGCGACGCTGGATATGAGAGTAGAGCGAACAGTGGATCGGCCGCCACAGTGGTAAAATCCACGTACCTGGGACAGCGCGAAGAGGAAGATTGGGTGGAATGAGGGGAGGCTGTAACAAGCGAAAAGGGTGAGCAAGCGAAGTGAAGAAAATCGGATGAGGATGAGTGAAGATTTGATGAAGTTCAGAGGGTCAGAGAAGAGGGAAAGGAGGGTTAGGTAACTCACTTCAAGGTTGTATCGCAGATGAGAAGGAAATCGTTACGGGTACTTGAAGGTACTTTCCTTGTCTCCCGAAAGGAGAGTCCGTTCGCCAAGAACACAGGGCTGAGGTACCCTCCGAAGTACCTTTTTCTGCCTCTCCCCCTTTCCCCTACTTCTCCACCCGGACCGAATCTGTTGATAAACATTGCCCATCCATCTTTATTGTTTATGCCTAAATTACTGTCTACGTAACTTCAAGGCCTAACAACTCGGGTCTATATACAAAATAAGCTAAAATATCCGTTGCGAGGCCTCTGAGTATCTCAGAATAGTGTCGTACATGTACGTATTGGATACCTAGACCGGAGTATTAAGTGGCCCCTGTGAGGATTCTCTAGCCACAATTCGCCAGCCCTATCACAGACTAACGCAGTAAGCCACACCGCGCGTTTTGTCGGATGTATCCTATTGGTCAGTAGATCGCCACTCGGTCATCAAAACCCCACATAACAAGGCGGTCAGCCACTCATGATCATTTAGCGCGAGCTTGACCGCCTGTAGGTATTGTTGCTGCCTAGGCAGTACCCGGTACGCGGTTTGCCATACCATGGAACACCCTAAGGCTTGTACCTGTCACTACCGTGGTATTCACTTTCAAACCTCTCTCATTTTCATCTCTATCAACACACATTCTCTGTTTTCCAACCATGGGTAGACTTCGCTATACATTGGGGCCATTTCGGTCCAGTATACATGACAAGGACTCCCAACTAAATGTTTTTGTCTCCAACAAACATTTCCAAATCGAATTGAAAGCCGCAAACTTTGAGAAGTCACCGACACTTCTGGCCGATTACCTCCAGTATCTTGAACATTTAGAACCTGATTATCTGCCTGAATCAGATGAAGAACTTGACTCGGACCCTCTTGAAGAGCTGGCTGAATGGGCATTGGAATGTTTTCTCCCGATCCTTCGAGGGATTCCACCTTTGGATATACACCGGAAATACACTCTCCATGATTGTCTATTTCCAGAAGTTTTCCATTACTCACTAGGTGTCCATCAGGACAAGTTGTCACCTATCTTCCTTGACAAGGTTGGAGAGAAGCGGTTTCTCGGCGCTCTTCTCCCAGAGCAACTGGATTATTCTACATTCCCAATTTATCGCTCTGATCAAATCGAAATTTCAATACCAGATGAGAGCAATAGCTTGCCAGCGGTTCCGCGAAAAGTATACATCCAGGAGCAACATAACCAAGTCGCTTTCTTGAAATCAGTGAGCGCCGGGGATGTGAACAGCACATGCAGAGAACTCAGCGCATACACAAAAATACAATCGGCCTTATTTTCCAAGCCTATCTACGCAAGTCGGCTACTTGGAATTGTTCGTATTCCTTCCTCGGGCCGAATTGTCGGTCTACTTCTCTCATATATTGAGTTTAAGGATAATACAAGTGATTATACAACCTTGCTTTGTGTGGGAAAAGGCCCCCAATATGTCTCAATGAGGCAGAAATGGCTAAGCCAGATCACCCAGTCTATAGAGGGGCTCCATGCGTGTGGTGCTGTCTGGGGAGATGCCAAACCTGATAATGTTCTGATAGATACGCAATTGGATGCGTATCTTATTGATTTTGGTGGAGGCTACACCAGGGGCTGGGTGGATAAGGAATTAGCAAATACCGCTGAAGGCGATCTCCAAGGTCTGAAAAGAATCTCCGAGTTTCTTGAATAACTCGTTCCATGTCCGCCTGTCTATGTGTTTTAGTGATGCTATTTCTATTCTTCCCCAATCGGGTTAGCGTGGCAGAATTCTGACAATTCGGCAGAATCATAGGCGGTGGTCTGAGGTAAACGTAGGCTACCAACTAACACTGTGTACAAGGCTGAATACGCACTACTTATTGCAACGTTGTGGCACATGTTCATTAATCATTATTACACGCAAATACCAGTTCGAGCTTCTCACTGTCAGTACTGGTCCGCGAGATTAATCTCTACCGAACGCCCTTATCCTAGGTCCCAACCCCAAAGTATCGCCAAAGAAACAAGATAGATCCAAATCCAAGGGATGTCGCAAGTCCCCACTAACCTAGAGACTGACCTTCAACGCACAACCCAAAGTACAGTACACGATCCCGACCCAACCGAGACCTGCAACGGAAACAGACGCAAAAGAACGATGAAGAGATAAAGGGCAAAACAGACTACGATCGCTCACTTGACATACGAATCAATATCCGGCATGCAGGATGACTGCGAGTCGGAGAACGGAGATCCTGCCGACGTCTCGTCCTTCCCCGAGAGATCAACATCCAACTCGAAGTCAAACTCGAAAGGCGCTTCGGAAAAGTCAGGGAATTGGTCAGACTCCTGCAACAACGCGGACTCCACAATATAGGGAGGCTGGTCTTTGACAAAGCCACATGCAGCGACAGCGAGTTCATACCCAGGGTCTCTGGTTGGATCGCTACTGCCATCATTCCGAACCAGAACTTTGGATTTGACGTCGCCAGTCGCCTGATCGGTGATTTCCTCGGTAGCAATCATCCAATGTTTCAAGACTTCCATGGCAGGCTGGTTGCCGCCGCCCTTCCCACCGCGATTTTCGCTATCCTTGCCACGACCGCCACGGCCCCGCTCACAAGGATTGAAGTGTGTGCGACGCAGATGTGCAGCAGCATTATAATTGGCGCCGTACCGCTTGCCATTGCGACAAGCCTTGCAATTTGCAAGGAAATACTTGCCAGGCGAGATATCGTTGCAAATCCAGACCGTTCGGACGGAAGCATGCACACGCTCGATGTGGCGGCGCAGCTCGTGCTCGCCGTGGAAGCCATCCGGATGGTCTGTGCACAGATGGCAGTATGTCTTGGGTCGCGGTGGCCGCCGCACGGAGGCCTTGGGGATGGCGGCAACCTCCTTGGTTGTGCCGTCCGATGAAGCAATGCGAACCATCTTGTGAGAGTCACTTTGCGGCAAGCTGTTGCCGTGGGACTCGAGTTTTGGAGCGATGGGGCGGGTACTTTGAGCAATTTGCTCTTGGGTACGGCGTGCGGCGCGGGAGCGCAGGGTCGCCGAGTATAGACTGTCAACTGAGTCGGAGGGCTTCATGTCCACTGCATCGAATTGTGGGTAGGGGTGGGGCATAGGGTAGTGGAAGGACGTGGTTGGGGGAGCAGATGCCGAGAACTGTGGGAAGGAAAAGGGAGCAGACATTGCGGGATCTAGGTCAGGATACAAAGGAGGGGTGAAGGGGATATTATACGGCAAACCGGAGGCTGTCGTGGGCACCCACTCTGGCGATATGGAGTAGACCTGCTCTTGATAGTGGGAGGGTCCGGTGGAGTCGAAGCGGAACATGTTCATCCCGCCCACCAGGGAGTCAGTAGTTGTGCTCCTCGACATATTTGCCGCGGTTGCTGGGCCTTGCTCGGTCCAGGGGGTCGTCCGGTCAGGGTATTGGGGGAACGTCGATCCGTTTTCTCCATGATTCGCGAGTTCGAAAGTCAAGGCCGAGTCATATGGTTGATCAGAATGGTTATCCAAATACTTCGTGTATTCGGATGGCGAATATTCGTCGACATGGGGGAGAGGATGTTGGGTCGGTACTGTGCCGAATGATTGGCGTTTCTCCATCACTGCGCCAGCTTGTTGACGCCAGTAGGATCCTGGGACCTGTAGGCTCTGGGACCTCACCATGGGCGTGTGTCGGTAGGTGCCTTCTTCCGAGGGGGATGCGACATTCCGAGTGAGGTCGGGCGAAGAGGCGTGGGAGTGGTTCCGAACTAGGTCGACCGAAAGATCCGGGGTCTGTTCAATTGTCAATCCTCAATCCAAGGACGGATGGCGATCAAGAGAGGATGGCACGGGAAGAGCGGAAGAGAGAAGGAGGCGGGAGCAAGTAACCAAGGTCACACATACGGTGGCTCTCCGTTTTGCCCGAGGAAGACCAGACTCAGAATATGGCAACGTCCGTGGAGTCGTATCATGTCGTGTCCGTTTCCCGAGGCTCCCAGCGGGCTCACAGTTGGTATCCCAGTCGTTGGAGACCGGGATAAACTGGCTTAATCGTTCAACCCAGAGCTGAGTTCGTTCGGATTCCGGTAAGTGGGAGTGTTGGACCAAAAAGGCTTCGCGGTACGAGGATATAGCACTGGCGAACAGCTCGTCATCGTTCAGATGGACAGTCATGGTGGGATGGCTTCCTCGTTGCAGCGGCCAGGAAATAACTGTTTGTCAGTAATCAGTGAGGAAGGTGGGTTGTATGTCTGGGAGTAGTTAGCGGAAGTGTTGCGAGAGCCTCCGAGAGATACATACGCAGAATTAGAGCGCAATATAGACGACTTAGATGAGATTGAAGCTGATAGAGAACAGGTGCAATACAGATTATATCAATGCGATCACGATTAGGGAGGATCTGCGTGGGGGAAAGATGTAAATGTAGAATTACTGTGGGAATCAAATGATCAGACAATAATCTGACAGGTTGGGAGAAGAAGTAAATGTAGATTGGGCAGGAGAGGTATGGAGTAGATGAATTGAAAGAAGACAAAAGTTCTGATCGACGATGAAGGGCACTCTCCACAAAATGAGATACGAGAATTAGCACTTAGCAGAGTCGATTATAGACCAACGAACATGGGAGTCGATCACCGGTGACCGGTCTGGACCCTAAGAGGTTCGGGAAATGATACATTGCTGTTTTGGTTAATTTCGGTACTTCCCCCAATATTCGATCTTGGATGTATGTCCTCACAATATCGTTCTCGAGATCAGCCATCAGCCAAGTCATGTCCCCAATAGCAGACATCCGGGTGAAAGAGCCGACGATCCTGACAGCAAGATCTCGTTGGCTGAAAGGGTGCAGACGGCCGCAAAAGAAAATTAGACTAAAAGTGAGGCAGCGAACCGGATCACCGCGAAAGTGGTCCGGGCCAGCAGATGCGGCGCAGCGGCCCTGCTTACGAAGAGGTGACTTGCTACATGTCGACCATGGGGTACATAAACAAGTCACTCTCCCATTGAGAACCGAGCGCCTACAGCGGAAGCCCGAAAGAAAAAGGATTCCAGTCCACTTTCCCTTAAGTACAGCCATGCCTCAAGACCGCCCCCCCAAGGATCCATACACGGTCGGACTATGATCGCTCGGACGCCTCGAGGGCTGCCACGTCGTCTGGTGTGGCAGCCAGGATGCAGATGGCGCCCTCGTGCCCAGCGCCCAATGCCCAACGGGTGATTACTAGCAAACAGCATTGATCGCACATGGCAAGGTGGTTGTGGTATGACTATGATGTATCCAACTTCCAAGTACTTCCATCCAAGGACAAGCTGTTTATCCAGCGGAAATAGAGTGTCGTACAAGAACGGGTATATTCACGTGTACCGTGGGTCGCTCCCGCAGCAGTTCCAGGAGTTTGTTTTATGCTTGTGGCAGATCAGGAACGGCTGTCAAACATTTTCACCCCCTAGTTAGGAGTTATTACATCGAGGTTATTTCCGGTTCAATAATCGATGCAATAGTCTTGTCCAACCTTGGTTTGCCATGCACTAGTGCTGGATCAGCCCCACGTGATGGCATACCGTTAGGGACAGGGGAAATTACTGGCGCAACACTAGTCCCGAGGCTCCATGATTTTAGGTGGATCGATCTCCTGATCGGATGAGCCATATTTGCTGCTTATCGCGATGAGAATTAGTCAATCTAAGGGGTGGCGACTGCTGATATTGCTGATATTGCTGCTGTTTCAGTAGGATCGGTCAACCACGGGCAGGAGTCAGACGTCAGTTCCTCGGGCTAAGCGGCGGCAATCCCGGGGTGATGGGGAACGATACAAAGTACGTTGACCAATCTAGCAGTGAAAGAATGAGATCTTGCGAAGTGTTCCGCGCGTCGATCTCTATCTCAAGACCGAGTTTGTATGAGCAAATACCTAGGCAATCAATACTCCGTAAAGATCGTCGGACTGGGCATGTTTACACGGACAAAAGGTTCCGCCAAGGACCTGTCAATCTGGATGTAACATCCCTCCCTCCTCCCCCTGAGACAGGTCAAGTGTTTCTAGGTATTCATGATTAATACCTAAAGCTATTCTATTCCATCATACAATGAAACCTCAATTAAAGCAGTAGACGGCTGGCTGCAAGAATCGCAAGTGAGCCCGTTCTAGGCCGCCGATCTGCCAGCGTTTGATGCAATAAACTAGGCAGATAAATGTCAAAATGCAAGCTTTGATTCTAACTTTCTAGCAACACAAGTAGCGACAATGCTCGGGCTTCCAGAAAGACTTAGCGGCAGCACGCCTTGAGATCCTCAGGCATGAATATAATAGTAGGTATTTCATTCCCTCGTGTAGGGGCCGGCGGCCGGCGCATGACGGATTCGAAATCTAGTTCCAGCGGAGCATTCGAAACATCTGTTCGGGTAATAACAATCTCTTTGGCCGCTAGATGAGCCCGTAGCACTGGGCTGTTCTGGAGTTTGTTTGAGATGGTAGAGTTTTATCACGACTCTACGCTCAGGGGATCTCTAGATGTGAACAGTATGACTATATTGACTTGGTGGTCGGAATCTGAGAGTCACCCATATGCATCAGCTCGTAGGGAACCATCATTTGATAGAATACTAAAAAAAGTCAGAATACCATACTAACTACGGTATTCTGGTTTTATAGACGGCCGGCATGGGCTAGCAAGTGGGCAATGGTTATTTCATTTGATAATGCATCGCCCTCTAACTAGGTGACCTGAGAGTCCACCTGCACCCACCACTTGACAAGAGACTTACTTTGGTTGTTGACCGGATTCACTGCTTTCTGAGACGGGAGGTTGTGACAGGCCTTTCACGCAATCTAGTATGAGAAGAGATATCCGGACATACTTCGATGTTTTACTCTGTTTGATACATGTCAACAAGAGCTCAACTGGGTATAGATAGATGTCTTATAGCCGGGACGTTGACCAGTGTGCCCCTGCGTTAATGTTGAGGTAGTGCCTGCAGTGAGTGAGCTCTTGTACAGCACAGGTCACGCGTGAGGCTGCCAGAACACCAAACTTGAGACACCGTTGAGCCAGCTTCGATGATAGGCTCTGTGTGGGAGTTTGTGCGCTTACTAGAAGTTGTTTCGATGCATAGTGCTAGATTGGGCGACCTATATCAATCCAACTAAGCATTCTCCCAATTCCCAGGCCTCAGCTGATGGTAATTAGTCCCCGAGAAAGAACGGTAAACTACAAATCAAAACCGGGCGGCCTGAGGGATGCATAGAGTCAGCCGGTCCTTTTCCGGCTCGTATACTTCCATGACACTTTGTACCCATACAGCTGCGCTCCTCGGATTCGAAAAACGGGAATGCAAGAGACGCAGCCTGCTTTATTGTGCATCTTCCATGTCACGGGACAGCGCGGCCTGTCTCCCGATTGGCGATAGAATCAATATGAAGAGTCAGTGACACATTCGCGATTCGCGCAAATCTAGGTCAACTCGGACATGACTCCAAGAAAGAGCATTGAGAGCCCACGCATGGAACTTCTAGGTGATTCGACCATAAGGGAGGTTTATAAAGCAAACTGCCTTCCACCTGGCCCTAGGTAGGTATATATTGTGTGATAATCTCAGGGAACGATTTCTCATAACGCATGGATCCTGTGTTGTGAGATCAGTGCGGGTAGCCGGTAGGTATCCATAGCAGCATACATTGTGCATGGTTACAGCCCGGCGTCAATGGACGGATATGTTGTTGGGAGCGTACCATAGTAGTAGTAATTGCTCGAGAGTATACACACTTACACATGTGCACCATACATGGTTCTTTGAGATCCCCTGAAATCCAACTCCACAGTGGTAGGTCTCTTGAAGATAAAACGCCCAGAATATTCAGGAACTTCGCAGGTGGGTCTGACGTCAGGTTGCCACGCTGGGGCCCCCAGGGCCAGGGAGCTGATGACATGGAACTGGTTAGGATGTGGAGAGGACAAAGTGAGGGAAGGGATAACTTGAGGAAGATACATCATAGACCCCATTACACCCATAGGACATTGCTGATGAAGGAAAGTCCCAGTACACAGGAGATTCCAACCTGCACGTGATGCCCCACCAGCCACGTCATAATAAAACCCCAGGGGGAAATTTACTTTTCCCCTTAGAGATGTTTCAGCAAGAAGGCAAAAGCTCCCCTGAATGAATTCGAACTAGTCTCAGCGAGACCTTCACGCTTCACTCTCCACTCCCGACCTCATCACCACATACCTATCTCCAATATGTCAGACCCAACCCTTTATCTCTACACTTCCCTGACCGCGGGGTCGTCGCACATTGTCACCGCCACTGCCCGGATTGAGACGATTCTCAAAGCTAACAAGCTACCCTTCCGCGCTATCGATGTTGCCACTGATGAAGCCGCCCGCAAACTTTGGGGCCGACGCTCTAAGGGCAAGAAGCTGCCCGGGTTGGTGAAATACGGTGACATTGTGGGAGTATGTGACAGCCACCATTGCATGGGCCAGAAAGGTACTTGTGTGAGGCTATGAATCCCGCTAACGTACATATCTGCAGGATTTAGAACAGATCGAAGAATGGAATGAATTCGGAGAATTACGCATGGTGGTGAACAGCGTGCAGGACCTGGGTGGGATGCCCGCTACCAGCTACCCGGCCGATGGAGCGACCGAGAACAAACCTAAGACCGAGCCGGAACCCTCCACTCCCAAACCCTCCACTATCAAGATCCAAACACCCACCGATACAAAAACCGAAGATAAGAAGAATGACATGGCGGTGCTGGCACTGCGCCAGGCAAGCTCAGAGGCTGCCTCCAAGGCCAAGGCAAAGTCGAACGAGAGGAAAGAGCCCACGAAGGAACCAGCTTCAGAGGAACGACTTGCCAGCCGCGCACATCGCGGCTCGGTCGCTCCCGAGCTCCCCGACACCCAACCAGATTCGCCAAAGACCCCCCGACGTCCGACCTTAGTGCCAGAACAAGCCGCCGTCTCATCAGCGAACTTCCATGCGGATAATGCAGAGATGCTCGGATTGGTTGCACATCATCGCGGGTCTCGGGTGTCGACCCTCGAGGATGCGGATCAGGACAAGGCTTTGCGTGAAATAAGGCAGTCAATCCATTCCGAGGAGCCTACAGGCAACCTGGAGGCTCTGCGCAAAGAAGCTGCAGAGAAGACGAAGACCGAGACAATTGAAGAAGTGCCAAGCCCGACTGGGGATGATGTGGCCGTCGAGAATAAGGAGGAGCTCATGGAACCCAACGAGCCGGAGGGCACTGCTATTGCGGAGGTGATTGCGAAATCTGTGGAGCCAGGAGAAATCAAGGCAGAACTCGCGAAGGAGGCCCACGAGGTTAAGAGCCCGGGCGACGAGAAGGATGGCTCCAAGGCAGGGCAGGTTCCCAAGTCCGCAGAGTAGGCAAGAAAGCCCCCATGGAGAAAGGAAGTTGCTGGTCATGGATGAACCTGATGATAATGACATCTGTACATCAATAATTTCTCATAGTCATAATTCACTTCCCTTTTCATCCATGTGTGTTGGCTACAGTAAATGTAAATAGTTTTAAATTTCGAAATTCTATTCGTGAAAACTCGTGCAGATGCGATTCATAAATCGTAATCAATGAATAATAAAGAATCTAACGGAAAAAAAGTACCTCCCTGTGAGAAACAAATCGACACCCTGAACCCTCTTTTTGTGTGCCATATATAGTCTGTTCATTTCTCCGCTCCGCGACGCTTCTCGACCGCCTCGCGCAACTTCGCAATGACGTCGCCGGGATCCTGGGCACCGAAGACTGCTGAACCCGCAACAATCACATTGGCGCCTGCATCAGCAGCCTGGTCGATGGTGCCCAGACCAAGTCCTCCATCAACTTCGATATTAAGATCGGGGAACCGTTTGCGCAGGGCGGCGACCTTGGGAAGCTCCGAGGCCATGAACTTTTGCCCTCCGAAACCGGGGTGTACAGTCATGACAAGGACCATCTGTGAAACGGAGTCAGTACAATAGAATCAAGAATGCGACTGTGGCTGCGGAAGAAAGAAAAAGGGTAGGGACAAGATAAGAAATATATCGCAAAGAATGCCAGGACTCACATCAGGTCGTTCCGCGGGATCCTCGCTCTCAATAATGTCCCACAATACATCAACGGGTGTATCCGGCTTAATCGCAATACCAGCCTGCATACCCTCCTCATGAATATAGCGAATCAATTGCTTAGGGCTGGTGCGAGCAGTAGTCTCTTTATCGGTAGGGTCGGTAGCAGCGACGGAGGAAACAGCCGCCTCGTAGTGGAAGCAGTAGAGATCGCAACCAGCCTTCTTGAACTCGTGAACCCATTTGTGGGGCTACAATCAAGCAAAAGAAAAGTGTCAGCAGTGAGCGCGCAACGTTCCGGAGTCGCGCGGGTCAGAGGCCTCACTCACCTCCATAATCATCATGTGGCAATCGAAAGTTCCACGACCGCAGGGTTCCGAGGGGCGGTCGACGCAGCCACGAATTTGGGAGACGACAGGACATCCGATGGTCATATTTGGTACGAAATGGCCGTCCATAATGTCGACGTGAAGCCAGTCGGCACCTTGCTCCATCTTCTTGGAGCAGTCATGGCCTAGATCAGCGAAGTTGGCGCTGAGAATGGAAGGGGCGATAATGGCAGGTGGTGCCATGGTGTGTATGTTGGGAGGTTAGGTGTGCGGGGGTAAAAAAGAGAAATTGGAGAAGAGTATGGAGGGGGAGCCGGGGAGGGGGGTATAAAAAGAATCCTACAATAATTATAGAGCTTGAAGCTTCTATTAACATCAGTGGCGAAGAGTGGATAACTCTCGCCTTGTTGGGTTCACCGTAGAACAAGAAATGTTTAACAAGATCCAATGCTGATCATTGGTGGCTTATTAGATTCAATAGATTGCATACATATTGTATTTATATTCATTTTTTTAGTTATTTCATTCGAATCATTCTAGAAGCCCATTTAAACCCTCAAACGTCCAAAGTTCCCCCAACAAAGTCGATGATGCAAATAGACGATAAGGGTTCTGACTCTCACGTGTCGTCGATCTATGAAGATTGTATCCACACCAACGTGTATGCCCAACGCATCCAACGCACGGGATGAGCGCAGACCGAATGACCTCGATATGTTCCTGGATGGCCTATCTTGGTAATCCCGAGAGGAAAATGTCGTTCAGTCTGGTGACCTCTATATGACAGGGATTTCGTTGAGTTTAGTCTCAGATCAGTTAGGCCCTGGAAGTATGAGCTTCAGCCAATTACGGAGCTCTACATTCGATGATCCCGGTCTTAGGAGGCTTAGCATTTTATCTTTGATCTTTGAGATTTCTACACCTTTGACTACTCTTTATGCCAGCACCTCCGCTTTTAAACCCACTAACTACTAAGTTAATCATGCTTTGATCAAGTTACTAAAAAATAGTAGGTCAGTCCCCTAGCCACGAACGATCTCCCTCACCCCACGGCAAATCGAATATTGGGAACTAAGCTCTCGGTCTCAATTGCCATTTTCTCGTGGAATAATCGCCTCTTTTATCCCGGAGATCAGAGAAAAATCTTGGAAAAGCGGGCCATTTGTCTGTGCTGGTCCTGGCGGGGCACTCTGCTCCGGACACCAACATTTGGGGTATTGGAAAAGGCTTGGATACTCCAACACATTTGAAATGTTAGCAATACACCAGGACATCAACCAAGATATCGTTTGGTCCCACTTTGAACTTAGACTCGGATGAGGGAATAGAAGGATAATACAATGCGCTAGAAGGGCATAAGCACGAGTGGGGGTAGATCGCTGGTGCAGCACAGATTGCACTTGGCGTCATTCAATCCATTCAATCATGCGTTTATGTTGTCATTTCTCGGATTTCGAATCCGGAAGACACACGCGGGCACCTGTCCATATCTTGCCACTGAACTAGTAGGTTACATGGATCTCAACCGAGAGTCCCAGACAGTCCACTTCTTCGTTCCAATCACGAACGGAAGACTCGCAGTCGCCGCTGTATCCAGCAGGGACCCGGGACGGCCCGTCGTGGATCAGATGCGCTGGCATGAGCTTTGTACTCAGGATTGGCCGGGTGAAGGGAAGCCTAGGTGCGCCAAAATAGCTCTATCTTGACCTAGGAGTCCTCACCGTCGGAGTATGGAGGGAGTTGTAATCAGCGATGATCCTCGAGGATACTCTAGATCTTATCTGTCCTACAAGCCAACAGACCCTGATACGTTGCGGTTATTGGAAAGGTGAACTTGACCCGGCCTGGATATCGGAGAAAGCGTCATGACAATGCATATTATGCCGCCGGTCTGAAACGCAATCGAACCTATTATAAAGTAGACAGTGATCGTACTCCCAACCTCGGGCTGCGACATGTTCGAGTTACAGCATCTATGGTTCGGAGTAAGTGTCAGGTACATTCCATGCACTTGGTACAATGTCGGAGGAAGAGCCGTTTTGGCAAAGGCTACATACTGAACTATCTGGAGTCACCTCAGTCCACCAGATCCATGGAATGGGGTAATCACTAAGGACTTCAAGTAGCTTTCATGCTCGATTGCGTAGGTATATATCCCCTCAACCTACCGGGCTAGACGATCAGTGCCCGATAGCTAAGGAGTTTTGGACTTCCATCACGGCAATCTTGGATGTTTGGGTAGGAGTTTTCCTATACTCTTTCATATAGGAGCTAGAGAGGGGTAGCCATATGTCAGATTTAGTTCAATATCACTAATATGCACACATCTTACTCTTTGTTGCATCATCGCGGCAATCATCATACTCTAGGTACGCGCCTTTAGGGTTGCATCGTATGGGCAAACTGAGCAGTAAGGTCTATCGTGAGATCGAGGACGGAACACAAAGGTGAGAATGAAATGTGACAAGGTCAAATGAGGTCAATTAGTCCAAATTTCTATTATTATTCCTAGCTAAGTGACCCGTCCTGCTCTAGTCCTGCTCTAACGTGCAGTAGTGATCCGTATACACTTGGGCTTGGCAACTATTTCCCCTCATTTTCCCTCCTATCTTACCGACTTTTGTCATCCTACAGCATCGAATCATGGGTATTTCTTACCTCTCTGGGTGCTGGAAAGTGGCATAATTGATGTTACACTTACCTAGAAGAGTCACTAATTTGGCTAAAGATAGAAGCCGGCGCCTATATGTGGCCAATCAGCAGTCTCTTCACACTGCATATCACCTCCCGGACAGTTCGTCACAGAATCAGCGAACCTCATTCGTCCTCTTCTGTCATTTCCGACTTTCTCTACTTGACTCTTGCTTTGAAAAATGGTCTTGGCTGTGTGCTCACGGGTGAAATCCCTGACAACAGCGAGGCGCCCATCTCCTCGCCACCAATGGGATTCACGGTTGCTACCCTTGCAACGCGGGTTATTGGCTTGATTGTGCCCAGTTCTGCAGTAGTGTCTCTGAAAGAGTCACTCCCTGCGAAGACGATCGGCTCAACAGGGCACGTACCCCGTGGCTGGTGGAAAGCGCCCAATTGACTATAAACCCTCCCCAACTGCCACAACTCGTGCGAAGGCTAGCGTTCTTCAGTTTATTGATTTCAGTTTCTTGTACTCGGTGCCTATAGCTCTGGTAGCTTTTGCATCTGTTCTATTCCTTTGTGTTATCTTGTTTTCCAACATTCACTTGAGAGACCCGTTGATCGGTGTCTACGCCATTTCCTACGAATCGAGATACCCATAGATACTTCAGCCGTGAGCGAATCACGCAAACACAACATCCAACAGTCCAACAGTGTGCAAGATGACCGACACACTCCGCATGTCGACTGAACGATATCCGCCCCTTCGGCAGGCCCGGGGGACGCTGCTTAATACTATAATGGAGGATACGCGCGAATATCAGTTCGCTCAAACCAGTCCGAAAGGTTCACTTCCTTCAAGACCCACACCGGCCGTGACGAGCCCAAAGTTGAGATTACAGACCAGCGGGCTATCTGTACCAACACATGCCAGGCTCGCCCGTCTGATGTCGCCGCTCTCAGCCGGAACTACCTCATCATGTTCAGATACAGAATGGCAGTCGCAGATGCAGGGATTCCAAGGATACGACGACTTGTACGACGCCACTGATGATGACAGCATCGACGACAACGAGACCGAGATCAGCGACTCCTGCTTTTCCCCCGATACGCGGCCATCGAGCTTGATCACGCCCATCACCAGAAACTCGGTCACCTCGACTGGAAGCAACCGAAAGCGCTCGTTGACCCTGGAGATTCCGTCACCTACGATGTGGCCATCAATCAACAACGCCTGCAAAGGCTCTCCAGTCCCACCGACGCCTCCAGCGAAGATTCCAGTCTCGCCAGCAGCGCTGTCGATGCTCAGTCGTTCTGTACCTGCGTCCTATGCACCCCCTTCCCTCGACGGCAGTATGTCCTCAGATCAGGACTCCGTCATCAGTGCATTGGCCACACCGGATAATCACTCTCTGCCGGACACCAACTGGGATGCACACGATATTCATGTCCGCCCGGATCTGGACGGAAACGAGAGCGATCTAGACAATGCGGACTCCAGTTCAGATATCCAAACCATTCCTATCGCAATCGAGGCCCCGCATGAGAATTGGAGCCATGTTCTGGGCAGCTTCCCCCAAATTCCCACTGCAGCACGATCGTATTCGCTGTCGCCCACGCCATCCCTCAATCTGACGGATGAGCCGATCTATGAATATGATGACTTGTACGACGCACCGGAGCCTGTTGACCAGGGTGTCTTCCTCCCTGATTCAGCGTTAGCGATGTTGCACCATATTCGCTTGGATGGAAACCCCGATTCGTGGTCTGAGACCTCGGAGGGAAACGGCGAAATGTGGCAACTACAAGCGCCTCCCAGCCGCCCAAGGAGTGCTGACGGCGTCACCCCTGCATCCGAGCTGTCTGCATATAGCTTCACTGACCTGAGTATCCCTTCTCCAGGGGGGTTCTTTGCCTCGCTTGCCCCCCGCACGCGCCACACTTGGTCAATCCCCAATACCAACAACCAACCCTCGTCGGCGGCCGCAGAAGGTTTCTACAATTTGCCATGGCGCCGGGAAGAAGGCGAAGTTGTTGAACAGATAGTCGAGTGGCCTGAACGCCACACCGAGGAAGACCCGGTCACTGCGGTTCGTGATGAAGACGGCCCACCCACTGCAATTCGACTCCCATGTGATACCCCGACTCGTCGGTCTGTATACCATGATAGCCCCATGAGTGCTGCCTTCGATGCAGTTCAGGTCCAGGAAATCCCCCGTTCTGGAAACGGGTATGAGTATGATGAGTGCTATGACCAAGAGCTGCAGAACCGTGCAGTTGCCAGTCATGACCGTACCAGTATCTGGCTGTCTGCTCAAGCATCCTACCTCGCAGCTCTCAACGAGACGAACCCTATGAATGACGTCGACCCTGCTGAGCCTGAAGGTGTCGAGGTCTCGGCTGAGGCAACCACAGAGGACTCTTCCAAGAAGATGGTCCGATTTGCCGAAGGTATTCCAGAGTCTCTTTCCCCTCTGCCGCCACTCCGTGCCAGCAAAGATTCAATCTACTGGCAGGGCTTCCAGTCCATCCGGGAGCGGTCCACCAAGGCCGACGGGTTCATGCACCGTAACATGCGGTTCGATGCTGTGCACTCCATGCGTCTCGCCATGAGCGACCTGCACATCAATTGCCTGCGGGGCAAGTATGAGCTTGTTCGCCCCGAGCGCCCCGCATACAAGGGTCCCTTTGCCAAAGCTCCCCGTAATTCGGTGATTACCACTGAGCTGGCGGAGAAGGCCAAGTACGCGAAGGTTGAGAAAGAACAGCTGGTGCTCGCCCAGCTGTGCCAGCCCATGTGGGCTATGGATGCGCTGCGGTCTCTTAACGGCGGCAGTCTACTCATCAGCCCTGTCCAGCGCCTGCTTTCGCGAGCAACTTCCAAGTCCAGCATGTCACAGGGTCCTCGCAAACGCAGCTTCCGAATTCTGGATCTTGGTGGTCACTCCTCGTGCGACTGGGCGTGGCAAGCCGCCTACGAGTTCCCGAATGTCAAGGTCTACACCGTCGCCTCCAAGGCCCATACTGTCAACAACGCCATCAAGGGCCCTCCCAACCACCGTCAGGTCACAGTGGAAAATCTCTGGGAGCTCCCCTTCGGCAACAACCAGTTCGACGTCGTCTCAGCCCGCTCCTTGCATGCTCTGCTCAGGACCGAATGTCCCGCCGGCAAGGACAGCGACGAATACGATCTCGTCCTGAAAGAGTGCATGCGCTGCCTCAAGCCCGGCGGCTATCTGGAGTTTCAAGTGCTAGACGCAGAGATCTCCCACGCCGGCCCATACTGCAGCGCCACCTCTGTCGAGTTCGCCTTCAACCTCCGCGCACGGGGCTACGACCCCCTCGCATCAAAGTCCTTCTCTGCACGCCTCCGCAACAGCGGCTTCGTTGACACCAAGCGCGCATGGATGTTCCTGCCCATGGGCACAGAGCACGTGGAAGCCCCGCCACTGCGCGAAACACCCGCGCCACGAGTGCAGAGCCAGATTGAGAACTACGAGGCTGTACAAGGGCCTATCGGCAGCACTGCAGATATTGCCAGTATCACCGGGCTGATTGGCGGGTGGATGTGGGAGCAGTGGCTGGTGAAGCTGCGGGTGGAGATGGGTCGTGAGAGGGGCAAGTTGCTTGAGGGCGTTGGGGCGCTCTTTGATGAGGGGAGGAAGAGCGGAGCGGGCTGGACCTGTTTGTCTGGGTGGGCTATGAAGCCGAAGCGGAGGAGTGGTGTGACTTCGTCTGTTGCTGGGTCTGACAGGCGCTGAGGCTGCTCTGGGACTATTTTATGTACTTAGCTTCGGCCCTGGCGGCTTGCAATTAATGTAATCAACGCTGTTACGTCTGAGATGTCAGTGCAAGGCTGGATGTGTTCAAAGGCTCATTCTTCAATATTTCATAGACGCAACGAAGCAATTCATCCATTTCGATACCAGTCACCACCAGTACTCGAGATCATGGCCGACCAGAAACAAAGTCTTTGGGGGTCTTGAGACCAACTTCATCGTTGAACTGCGGATGCCCCAAAATTGCGGGGAATAAGCCCACTGGACTTGACGAGTAGGTCAGATTATTTATTTCTCGCTCAACATTCCAGCACTTGAGCATAGTCGTAGGAATTGTAGTAGTTTCAGTCTATCGACGTAGACGACATAGTTAGCTTAACCCAGGAGGAGGCTAGGAGCAGGAGCCTACTCCGTACTTGTACGGCGAGATTGGAAATTGCTTATCTGCATGCACGTGACAGCTCCCGGCGGCTTCTGTTTCGCAACTCACCTTGTGCACTCTTAGACGTCGTCGACATTCCTAGCATTCTAAAGGTCGTGCGATTCTTCAGGGAAAGCTTTGAATTACCTGGCCGCGTCAGAACCAACTCTCCGCTCTGGTTTAGCGCAACACCAAGTCATCGACCAAGTCATTGAAGCACCCCTCCAAGCTGTCCTGTCAACCCAACCGCGACTATGCTTTTCTTCAGGTAGGTGATAGCGCAAATCGCGAAATCGTCCGATGTGTATGGCGACTAATGGGGTTCGTATTCCAGCTTCTTCAAGACCCTGACCAACCAGACGGTTACCATTGAGCTCAAGAATGACATCCGCATTCGTGGCATTCTGAAGTCCGTCGACCAATACCTAAACATCAAACTTGACGACATCGAAGTGCTGGAGTTGGCAAAGTACCCTCACCTGTCTTCCGTGAAGAATATGTTCATCCGAGGCAGTGTGGTGCGATATGTGATGTTGCCCCGGTCGGAGGTCGACGTTGGGTTGTTGGAGGACGCTACACGGCGAGGTGAGTTGCGCCCGTTATCCCAGCTGCCTCCCTGGGACTCAACCTCTGTTTCTATCTCTTACAAAGCCCTTGACGGTTCATGACTCAAGTATCATTTGGACCGATACTAATCTATTCTACAGAGGCCGCCAACCAGGCTGGCAAAGCTCGCTAAACGACCCTGACCTCAAATTTACGATAAATGACGCATCGCGATCTTTCAGCACTGTTGTTACCACAGGGTGGTCTTACAGTAAACACAACGATAATATGTCCTCGAGCATGTGGACTTCATGTGGACTCCCGATATCCAAACGACCTAAGTGACGGTCGAGGGGACAGAATCAGGCAACGAAGATATCCAAAAATCCGATACCGTTTGATTGTGTCCACAGTACAAAGTGGTACTTGAACTGCCGCTCATAAATTCCTATTGATTCGCTGAGATAGCGATGGCGTTGGAGATTTTCTGTCCATGGCTAATGCTGGCACCTTGGATGTGTTGTTCTTAATACCTCGTTAGAATCATCTTCTGCAATATTGACCAGCAAGCTATTATGAGATTTGACATTGTACACAGTAGAGATGCTATCAAACAGCTTGGAATCCAATGTAGCCCTGAGCCCTGGGCTCTTTTGGAAGTAATAGGGACCACGTGACTTCGTGTCGCGATTCGGTTTCTTCGCGCCTTTCCATCCGATCAACCGCTAACACTTTTCTCTGACGGCCGTGTACGAATTATGAACATGTTGTATATTTGACCACATATATTTCCTTTCGCTTCAGTGTCGCTACACCTGCAAGCTGTGGACTATCTGATATCCTCGCCACGCCTCAATTTTTGCCCTCGGTGCAATCGACTCCCAACTCTGCAACCGAGTCACAATGGCCGGAGCCTACGCTAAGAAGGCAGCCACGCCATCCAAGACTACCTCTAGACCCAGGCCATCCTCGAATAAGCGCAATTCGAGCATCTTGAGCTTCTTCCAGAAGACCGACACGCCGCCAGGCGCCACCTCTCGCCAGGCACGAATTACGCAATTTACAACAGCGTCTGCACGTTCACCCAGCAGCGGTCGGAGTACTCCGGCATCCAGGCGAGGAAATGGGATAAGGGACGATAATCCAGATGGGCTGTTTTTGGAGGATAAGAGAGGTCTGGCCAAGATTGAAAGAGCAGCTGGAATTAACGAAAGAGAGCGGTCCCCAACACCTGACTTTTGGGGTGACGATGAAGAATTACCAAAATCCGACGAGCAACGATATAACGAGAAGGATTCGGCGGTCAAGCGTCGCAAGTTTGACTCACCGAGTGGCTCGGTGGACGAAGGGCCGCAACCCGAGTCCTATACGAAGACTAGAGAACAACCCGCTCCTGCAAAGATCCAAAACCGGAGCGGACCCTTCATCGATGAGTCTGATAGCGAGGATGACATGGAAGCATATCGGGAAATTGAAGACACCACGCCTGCCACTACGATCATGGTGAACAACAATGCATTGCCAATGGAGAACACCGCGGCCCCAGAACCCCCTTCCGAGCCCGCACCCCCGTCATTGGTAAGAGCCGCCACGAGTAACGCCGATTATGATGAATACCCAAATTTTGACGATCTAGATGAGGAAGATGAGCTTATAGGGGATGATTTTCGAAATCGACCATGGGAAAGAGAGAATCAAGAGCAGGAAGTTGAGCTTGAGGTAGAATCTGGAGACGATGTGAACGATTGTTCTGGTACAGAAGATGTTGGGGGTATAGTCAGTACATGCCCCATCTGCCAGATAGCACTTAAGGGCTTCAATGAAACAGTAGGTGGCCACTCATTCTTCTGAAGTCGACTGAAGTGCTAATTCTTGGTATAGGAAATTGCAGTGCATGTCAATGACTGTCTGGATGGTAAAGGCATCCCTGCCATCCCCGCGCCCGCTGCAGAGCCTATTGCGGAGGTGGTTCCCAAGCCCCCCGACATTGACAGAGGATTGACACGGGCAGAGCGAGCTGCCATCGCTCGGCCTGCGCAACGTGATCCCTACGCCGAGAACAATCAAAGCTCACGTTCAGCCTTCTCCAAGATGATGGCTGGGAACGCCGAAGACACCGCCTGGGCTGCTGCGGCCGCAAGTGAGGTGTCTTCTCGTGGCAAGCAAGCCTATCAACGGACGTGTCCATTCTACAAAATTCTCCCTGGACTTTCCATATGCGTGGATGCCTTCCGGTATGGCGCTGTCGAAGGGTGTAACGCATACTTCCTCAGCCATTTCCACAGCGATCATTATATAGGTCTCAGTAAGTCTTGGTGCCATGGGCCCATTTACTGCAGCCGACCCACTGCAAATCTTGTGCGGCAGCAGCTGCGCGTTGATCCTAAGTGGGTTGTTGACCTAGAGTTCGAATCTACCACCGAGGTACCGGGAACGGGAGGAGTGCAGGTCACTATGCTTCATGCAAATCATTGTCCGGGTAGCTCTCTGTTTTTGTTTGAGAAAGGCTCCAGCAACGGACCTAATACTCAAAACCAGCGGATCTTGCACTGCGGTGACTTCCGTGCATCTCCTGCCCAGGTACAGCATCCACTTCTACGCCCTAATGTTGTCAACCCAGCCACGGGCAAGGAGAGGCAGCAGCATATCGACAAATGCTACCTCGACACCACATATTTGAATCCAAAATATGGCTTCCCCGCTCAGGAGGATGTCATTACGGCGTGCTCGGAGCTATGTGTCCGTTTAAATCAGGAAGCCAGTGGTGTTGGACTTGACAATGGAGAGAACGACACCGGTAATCTAATGAACAAATTTCTCTCGACGACCACTGGTAAACAAAAGCCAGTGGACACGGGTTCGCAAGCTGCCGGTCGACTGCTCGTCGTCATTGGTACTTACAGCATTGGGAAAGAACGGATCTGTATGGGGATCGCGCGAGCACTTGGATCCAAGATCTTCGCGACCCCACCCAAGCAGCGAATCTGCGCCTGCTTGGAAGACCCAGAGCTCTCCGCAATGTTGACCACCAATCCCCATGAAGCGCAAGTGCATATGCAAACTCTCTTCGAAATCCGGGCCGATACTCTAGCAGACTACCTCGATGGACTCAAACCGCACTTCTCGCGAGTCGTGGGTTTCCGCCCGACTGGTTGGACCTATCGCCCACCAGCCGGGCGGATGCTCCAAAATCCGCCCGTGTCTACCGTCCTACACGGTGAACACTGGAAATCCACATTCACCAGTCGTGACCTTACCCCGCAGCGCGGCAGCACGCGTGAAAGCGCATGCTTCGGCGTCCCGTATAGCGAGCACAGTTCATTTCGCGAGTTGACTATGTTCTGCTGCGCTTTGCGGATTGGACGGATCATCCCGACTGTGAATGTGGGCAGTCAGAAGAGTCGGGATCAGATGAAGGTTTGGATGGAGCGGTGGGATGCTGAGAAGAAGAAGAACGGGTTGTTTCAAGTGACTGGCGATCGATGGTGATCAACGGGCTGCACATCCCGTACAGACCTAATTCTAGACTCATCGCATAATTCGAATGTACATGTAAAGTTGTGGTGGCCTCGATTTGGGTCTAACGTCGGGGTATGACTGTTCATGTTGATGTATCCTAGTGCTGTCTCTACCGACTTTCTTTGGATCTGTACGGAGTATAGAGTAGTGGGTTCTCTTAGGATGTGTTCGGTCAGGTTCCAGGTACCCTCCTAACTTGACTCCACTTGAACTGAACAAAGCCTAACTCCAACTTTGGAACGCTTGTAGATCTTAGGTTCGCTTGGGATTTTGGGACACATTCACCCGATTTGGGAAATATTCTCGCACACTAATGCACTCATCAGGAGACTTGTTTCACGAATTCCTTCGAAGCCCCTGATATCAAATGATTCCAACACCAGTATGGGGTATTTCGGTTCGAGATATCGATCACGAAGGCTGAAGCCCTGACTCGGGAGAGCTCTGATCCATGCTCGAGCATCAACTGATGTACGAGACAAAGGTATTATTCCTCATTGATTTACGGTCCAATGAGGTCTGGATCCGTGTAGCTGCTCTCATTTTGTTCTCATTTTCAGGGCGCGGACCAAGTGGATCAAAAGGATCATAGATCGTGAACGCCAATTCGCCCAATTTTTAGATTCGGATCGACAAGATACAGCAACAGAAAAGCGAAGTTGAACTGTTTACCCGTTCCAGTGGGGTTTGAATCCGATTGAGAGGTTCTCTTCATTCGTTCGTACCTGGATTGTGATAGAGGACAAAGGCAGGTTAAGGCAACGGTTCATGCACAGTCTGTTTTCTGACCGGGATTAGGGCTTAGCTCCGGAGAACAACCTTCGATGGGCGTGTGCACTATCGATCTATGCATTATTAGTCTAGTCCCACTCCAAATCGCATATTCTCACACATTCATCTTTTGACAAATCACTTTGGGCTGACGAGAATTGGACTTGCCGCATTCCGGATCTATTTGAGTTCCTGATAAACGTTCTATATAAAGGTCAGGACTCCTCTCTGACGGAAGAGAGAATTGTGGAGATCCCAACCCCAGACACTCATTCATCATGCGTACTTCATCAATCGGCCTCTGGGCCTTGACGGCAGGTGTTGCCGCTGCGAAAACCTGCCACGACATCACATTGGAGGTTCCTGTCACTGCTCGCAATGGCGTGTTCAACAACATCGAAACGCCCGAGACAAACTTTGATGCTACTTGCTTCGCTCTTTCCTCCACCAAACAAGGTAGAAATATAACAGAGATGGCCTTGTCGGGCTACGCTACCGTCTCCGGAGTCTACAATATCTCGGCCCAGTACTGTATGCCGATGCCTACTGCAACTGGCGCCCATACCCTTCAGATCCTCACACATGGAATGGGCTTTGACAAGTCGTGAGTTCAGAGTAGATTGTTCTTCCGAAAATAGTGTACTAACAATGGGTCTAGATACTGGGACCTGTCGTACAACGACTATAATTACTCCTACGTGGATTACGCCTTGTCTCGCGGCTATCACACACTCTCCTACGACCGATTGGGAATAGGCAAATCTTCACACGGCGACGCAAAGAACGAGATCCAGGCATTCCTAGAGATTGGGGCCCTTGCCCAATTGACCCGCATGGTGCGCGATGGCGCGCTGGCTGATCTCAAGACCCCCACCAAGATCAAGAACCCTGCCAAGATTGTCCATGTCGGACATTCATTCGGCTCTGCCCAGACGGTCGCCCTGTCGGCGATGTACCCGGATCTCTCAGATGGCCTCGTCCTTACTGGCTGGTCGACCAGCGCTGACTATATGCCCATGTTCCTCAGCGGCGCCAACTTCCAGCAAGCTCGTCTTAACGCCAAGAACTCCGACTACACTGGTGGATACTTCACGAGCGCAGACGTCAGTAGCAACGTGTACCTCTTCTTCTACCCGGGTTACTTCGACGCCGGTCTTCTTGACTATGCCGAGGCGAACAAGCAGCCCATGACCATCGGCGAACTTCTGACCATCACCGGTCTACCCACACAAAGCAAGTTCACCGGACCGGTCTATGTTATCGACGGCGAGAACGACGTGCCATTCTGTGGCGGTGACTGCTCGTTCACTGGTGGAAAGGGAGATTCCATTCCAGCTGGAGCCGACAAGGTCTTCCCCTCCGCCAGTGCCTTTGCTGCCTACGTCCACCCCAACACTGGCCATGCCATCAATGTACACTACAATGCCACTGGCGCTTACAAGTTGATCAATGACTTCTTGGGAGGTCACGGGTTGGCCAGCAAGAACCACCAGCACGATCACCTCCGGCATCATCTGTAAAAGGTGCAGTGAAAGGAAAGTTGGAAATGTTTCATTCATGTATATGAGATTTGACGATTATAGACAATTAATGGCCAAGTACATATTCTTTTTCAATCAAGCGATCAGCAAGTCTAACTGTCTACCGTCCGCGGGTATATGAAAGTTGTGTTCACAAAATTATGCTTACACAGTTATGCTGGAGTCCTGAACTGGAATTCTCGTTGCCTGAGGCTACAGATATTGATGCCTGATTAAGTAACCATGACAGCACACCTTTGGCCTGATAATCCAGGCATCAAACTGTTTCAATCTCTCACGTGACTATCTCGGAGTCTATTTCCCCTTAGTCACCGAATCAAGATCTCTGGATTGCCCAAACAAAGAAAAGAGGCAAAATGGGGACCAACATCGACCAATGTGAACTCGCTGGTTTGTCGCCGTCATCAAAAGAATAACCGAACACCGGGCTGTTCGGAGGCTTGAGACGGCAGTCCCCACGGATCTCCGCCCTTAGCGCTGGAACTCCACACTACCGAGACTCCTTCCCGTTGCCTCGACATAGCCTCGGGGATCAAACAGCCAACGTCCATGAACCCCCTCATAAATAAGAACCACGATCTTCTTTGGTTTCTGATACTACGTTTCGATTCTCTCATGAACATACATCTGCTCTATATCACTTACCTTCCTGTTTAGGGTACCCTTTTTTCTTTTCTTTTCCTTGTCCAACACTCCTTGTATACGGGCTGTATATAACACTCCGTCATCATGTTGGTGACCCTCGAGAACGCCCCGTTGATCCTTCTCGGTCTCGTCGCAGCCTATTATCTGGTGCCATACTTCCAAAAGTCGCATTTGCGTGACATCCCGTCCGCGGGGTTCAGCGCTTTCTCCCACTTTTGGCTACTGCTGCAGGCTCGCAGGGGTCAAAAGTACCGCACAATCGACGAAGCCCACAAAAAATTAGGAAAGCTGGTCCGCATTTCTCCTAACCAGGTCTCTATTGCCGACGACCACGCTGTTGCGAGCATCTATGGACACGGCAATGGCTTCTTGAAATCGTACGTCATCTCTCACCCCAGAAAACACTGCACTCAAACTCATAACTACATTCAGGGACTTCTATGATGCATTCGTCTCTATTCGTCGTGGCTTGTTCAACACCCGTGACCGTGCCGAGCACTCTCGCAAGCGCAAGACAGTCTCGCACACTTTCAGTGCTAAGTCCATTGGCCAATTCGAGCAGTATATCCACGGCAACATTGAAGAATTCGTGAAGCAATGGAACCGTCTGTCAGACCTGCAAGGTAACCCTAAGACCGGGTATGCCAGTCTCGATGCTCTCAACTGGTTCAACTACCTGGCCTTCGACATCATCGGTGATCTGGCCTTCGGAGCGCCATTCGGTATGCTCGAGAAGGGCCAGGATATTGCCGAGATGCGTCTGGACCCCAAGGATCCTCCCAAGTACGTCGCCGCCGTCGAGGTTTTGAACCGTCGTGGCGAGGTCTCCGCCACTTTGGGCTGCATGCCATCTCTCATCCCCTTCGCCAAGTACATTCCCGACAAGTTCTTCAGCGAAGGTCTCCAAGCCGTCGAGAACCTTGCCGGCATCGCTATAGCCCGCGTCAATGAGCGTCTCAAGCCCGAGGTCATGGCCAACAATACCCGTGTGGACCTGCTCGCCCGCCTAATGGAAGGCAAGGATGAAAATGGCAACCAACTTGAACGCGCCGAACTGACCGCTGAGGCCCTCACTCAACTGATCGCCGGTTCCGACACCACCTCCAACACTGCCTGTGCTATTCTCTACTGGTGCATGACTACCCCGCATGTGCTCCCTAAGCTGCGCAAGACCCTGGACGAAGCCATCCCCAAGGATATCGAAGTTCCCACCCACGCCATGGTCAAGGAAATCACCTAGTAAGCTTCCCTCTCACAAAATTTCCCACCAAAAACATCAAAAACTAACAAATATTCCAGCCTCCAATGGGTCATCTGGGAAACCATGCGCATCCACAGCACCTCCGCGATGGGTCTTCCGCGCGAGATCCCCGCCGGCTCACCCCCCGTTGTGATCTGCGGTCACACCTTCAAGGCCGGCGACGTTCTCTCCGTTCCCAGCTACACTATCCACCGCTCCAAAGAGATCTGGGGTCCCGATGCCGAACAATTCGTGCCTGAGCGCTGGAGCCCCGAAAGGCTTACCCCGCGCCAAAAGGCAGCCTTCATCCCCTTCAGCCATGGACCACGTGCCTGTGTCGGCCGCAACGTCGCTGAGATGGAACTGCTCGTCATCTGTGCTACTGTCTTCCGACTGTTTGAGTTCGAGATGCAGCAGGATGGCCCTATGGAGACGCGCGAGGGATTCCTGCGCAAGCCGCTGGGTTTGCAGGTTGGTATGCGTCGTCGTCGGGTTTGAGTGCTGCATATCAGCTTTGGGGACGGGTTGAGATAAATACGGTATGGACCTAGGGTGGAATGGGATTTTGGATGATTTTGGACTTTTTATCTGCTGTCATGATGATGACTTTTCTTTGACTTCGATCTGGCTAGATCTTGTGCCTGTGTGGCTTTCAACATAGGAGATCTGGGGATCGGATCTTGTACATATGGTACCCTTCTATATATTCTTGCATTCAACGTACAATCATGAACATCCCTACATGTACCTAGGCACTAGACAAACATAGGTAGCTGGATACTGTCATAACAGCCGGTCTCAATTAGGTACCACTCGAGTCATTGAAGCCTCATTGCACTCTAATTTGACACTACCTTAGGATCAAATGAGCTCTCAATAACCTCAGACTGATGGAACGGATATAAAGCATAGTGAGACTCCTTCATCGATTCCTTTTCTCCGTAAAAGTCTACCTACCTTCTCTTTCCTCTCATTTCCTAGGTTCTTGTATCGGATTCCTGTTCATGTGATTTGTACGGTGCTGGACACCATGGCTGCTCCTTCCATTTTTACTTCCCTTCCCGTCGTTCTTTCCTACCTTCCCCCCTTCTCTCACCTCTTCCCCTCCGTCCTCTCTTCCATCCTTTCCTTCCTTCTCTTCCTTCATGAAGGGCGACCTCCAGGTACCCGCTGACGAGTACCTGGCTGGTACCCTTCTTCTGAAGTGGGACCAGCTCATGTTCGACGAGTTGCTTGGAGGGGCCTCAGAGCCCGGGAATGTCGCGTTCGTGATGTCCTGGGCGCTCTCTCAGCAACCTGATGGTTGTCGTGGCCCCAGGCATCGCGGATGTCTGGATCCTCTGTGTGATACTGACACCTGAGTTCCTCTGGTTCGGTCTTCACTGGCGCCTCAGAACACATTTGCAGTGACGAGACTGCATTTTCTACCATGCAAACCTACCCCCCAGGGGAGGAATACAAATGGTGGACTTCAGGCAACCAGGAAGCCGTGGCAGATGCTCACGGCATTGTTAATTTAACATTACATCTCGGTGACAGTCACGTTGAAGCAGCTGGACAAGCAGCTATAAAAGCGACGCCGGAACTGGGCGGGGTTGCCACAACCTGGTAAGTGTCAACCGTCGGCATCGAAGCAACAACGCAGGCTAACCGTCTCTCAGCCCAGTTAACTACATACTCCTCCCGTCTGCTAGCCCTCCTAAACTCCCACCTGTTGGTTGCGTCCATGGCCCTCCATTGTAATATGGGGGTTAGGGGTTCAGCAACAGGTGGTGGGACCTCATCCACCATCTGGGGACCTATCTCTCCCCTGTGGCGGCAGACGCCGCAAAGCCAGCTATCGTTCCTCCCACGGTGGACTTCCCACCCATGGAGGGCATCGGTGTTTCTGTGGGTGTCTGGGTTGGCACCACTGTCCGTGAGTACTCTCCGGACATGAATTTCTGTGGAGAGTCCGGTGTCCGTGTCGATGCACCATCGGCTTCCACTTTCGCTGCTTTCATCGCGAACCCTGCTGCTGCCACTTCAGCTGGCGCTTCCGCTGCCCCCGCCTCCACGGTGTCACCTCCCGAACCATCCTGGCAACCAATGGCAATTGTTGCAGCACAGGCACCGCAGATAGTGGCCACATATGAGGGGAGATTGAATCCTGCTGACGCCAGCAACCCTGACGACCAGCGACATTTTTTTCGGAGGGGGCAGGTCCGCTTTGAGCTGGCGTGAGGCCGCTCCCTCTCCGAGCCCCGACTGAGAGGGTGTTCAACCTCCAAGGTGAACTTGTCGGAATGTTGAAAGGTGGCGACGAAGCTTACGGCACTGGGACAATGACGCTTATGGTAGATATCTTCGACGACATCCAGAGTCTTACAGGTGCTACTAAAGTGCGCATTGCCCCAGAGCCAGTTCCTTGATTTCTTTGTCTTTTCCCTGCTTTTTGCTTTTACATTATTAGCCAGGATTGATAAACCTGAGATATCCACAAATCGGATGATTGCTGGCCCATATATTTCTTCTATTTCGCAGAATGAATATGTTACTCGTCAGCAAGCCCATGAGTAGCAGTCCCATAAGCTTTCTCACTAATTAGACGGTAGTATCTGAACCTAAAGGGGTTTGCGGCGAACTGCCCAGAGGCCTAAGGCACTTAACAAAGACTGTTGAATCACGGCTATCGAGATTCTAAAGTATGGACACGGTTTCGTCAGCAGGGATGATTATAGCAGGGATTTTCTCAAATCCTTGGAAGAAGATATTCACAAGACTTGAATTATATAGTTCAATGATATCGTTAACTATTAACTATTCGTGGCTGACGTTAGCTTCACGGTAACCCGCAAAGGTGTAAGACGCCCGACTTCGACCAAAGTCGAAATTCAGAATCCTCGCCCGACATCTACCACTTGGTGGGACCGAAAGTCTCACCCTCAGCGAGAGGCTGGCGAATGGCAGTATCAGTCACGTCCATAGTGCCACTAGCGATTCTAGTTCCCCACCACTCAGGGAAGGGATGACTGGTCAAGTTGAGGGTCAAGAAGATCAGAATAGTGCACAAAGCAAGACCAACATCCAGACCAGCGGACAGGACGTAGTTGTACTGCATCCACCAGCCGCGCCAGCGGTCACGGATATACTTATTAAAGACAAATCCAACAATACCCCAGGTGAGGTAGTTGAGGGGCGTAGCGGGGGGAATCAATCCGGCACCGCCGAAGATAATGGGAGCGCTGAGGTACCTGACCGGGCTCTTGGGGAAGCGACGGGCGAGGAAGTAGAAAACGACGGGGAGGCCGGCGCCGGCGAGGAAGAACCACATCAGGGGAGAGTACAATTGGCCTGGTGAGAACATGCGGGCGGGACCGATGACACCCCAGATGACGGAGGCATTGAAGAACACGCGACCATTTGGACAAGTGTAGTGGTTGGCCTGGAACTGGGTGCAGACGTCCTTGATTGAACCGAGGGCCCAGTTCATGGTGGCGATCTGGACGAGGGAGGACCACAGACCGGCGACCATCTGGGCAGAGAAAGTCACACGAGGGGGGATCTTCATGTAGTGGCCTGAAAGATTGGAAGGTCAGTAAAGGTTATAGCGATATGGGGCAGCAGAAGTAGCGGAGGGCTCACCGATTTTCAAATCCTGGGAGAAGTACATTCCCTGGTACATGCTAATGTAACCGTAGGTCTTGAACAACATCATGGCCATAGGGCGACCGGGCTGCATGTAACCGATGATGAACTCGGTGATAACGTTGAGACCGATGTCGATGTTGGTAGCAGCCTTGATGATTCCAATAGGAACGAACCAAACGAGCGCGATGATCAGGGCGATGATAAATGACCACCAGCTCATATGGGTCGGGTACCCGAGGACAACGCCGAAGCCAATAGCAGTCATGGTAAGAGCGACGATACCGTACCACAGGAGAGGAACCTCCTTGTAGTTAGCCATGAGACGGCCGTGGACATCCTCCTCCTCTCTACCGACGCGACGGAAACGAGCCCAGATATCCTTTCCGTTGAAGAGACCGGCGTGGAAGAGAACGGCAATGATACTGGCAAATGACAGACCATAAGAGAGCATGAAAGTGGTGGAAAGGAAGAGGGGGGAATAATTTTCGTATTTGACGGGGTCGAAGGTGTATTCGGGAGTCAAAATGCGGGAGACATTGTAAGGGACGGCGGTATTGTCGTAACTATTAGAGTCGCTAATGGGCAGGTACTGGGCGTAGAAGAGGTTGGAGTAGTGGATGGCGGGTGTGACAATGAAGAAGAAGATGACCATGCCAATCAAGGTATTGGAGATGGCGTACCACGGGGCAATCAGCGGACTGAAGTTGAATCCGGAGATCTGTGACCAGTCGAATGTCATGGGAAGGAGGGAGAGACCGGTCGCACCACCGAAGAGCTGGTTGACGATCACGTTCTGGGGCTTGATCCAGGTGATCCAGGCGAAGATGCTCAGGAAGGGAGCGATATAGCCGGGGAACCAGAACCAGCAGAATGAACCCAACATACAGTACAAGAACATCTTGTACTTTCCGACGGTCCAGCCAGAGGTCTTGGCTGGGTCTGGTTTGGTGCGATCGTGGAGGGCAGTGAAGAGCGAGGTATTAATTAGGGTGGAAGGCCAGATCATAGCGGCAGGCTGCACCAGGAAGCGGGTGAAGAAGCCAGCCATGCCGAAGCCCAGCATCTGGGTCGAGATACACATGAGAATCTCGAAGCCCCAGCCGAAGTGTTGCCCGTAGAAGGCACGCTGAGCCAAGAGCACATCGGTTGCATAAGCGGCGCCACCACCGAACGTGGCGTTAGCCATGATGACCGTAATGGCGTGCTCCTTCTTCGTAAAACGGCCGGGGTTTAGTTCGAATTCACGACCGAAGATTCTGAATGTGTGTTTAGGCATGAACTTCTCCCATGCCTTTCCGACGGGATAAGCGACGACCTGTGCGATGTATGAAGGAATGACAATGTACGGCTGACGCATGGAGAACAGCATGTTCAGGGCAGAGCCGATGGTAGCAAAGATCAGTCCAATCACCCAGGCGCGCAAGGTGTTGCAGTTGCCACCTTCGTCGATGTTGGAAACGGCAGCACGAACTTCAGGGTAGGGAGAGTTGTCCAGGAGTTCCTGCGCGATCACTTCCTGGGTGCGCTTGTCGTTCGTTCCCAAGGCCTCATCGAGTTCGTCGACAACATCTTCGGGCAAGTTAGGATCCCAGTGATGGTGTTCTTTGAGGTTGCGCAGCTGCTTGAGGGTGTCATCGGGTGCGGTCTCATCGACCATCGCACCCGACGTAACGGCGACAGACTCGTCCTTCTCCATAGTGAAAAGATGTGGAGTCAGAATCAAACTAGGAGGGACATGCGAGAAGGAGGTAGCAGTAAAGGGGATAGTATTGATATATATGGGTTTAAGCTCACTGTCCACCAGCAACCCGTCGGACTTCCGCCTTCCGCCTTATCGACCAAACGCCCTATCTCAGGCTTATCCAGTTGCGGATGTAACCCACGAGCCGATATGAGAACCGAAAGCTGAGTGGATGAGATGATTCGATAGGAAGCAGAAAGTGGGGAAAAGGAAGACAAGGGATGGAGAAGAAGAAGAACAGAAGGATCGAGACCTGAATGGCTGGGATGGGGGAAAGTCGAGGCGCACAGCGGCGATGGCGCATATAGGAAACCGCCACGGCCAATCCGATATGCGCCCATATTCTAATTTGGCCTTGCAAGGCCCCCGATAGCTCACAGACCTCGCCATCGGTACGCATACCGGGTATGTGCATAGCATGAGTATGGACATATTTGGTGGCGTTTCTTGGGTTACTTTCTATCTTACCCTTCGCTCGTTCAATACCTATCCCGATTCATTGTTCCCGGCTTCAGCTGGCTGTCCACAAAGACCGCTAGGAATTTGTGGTAAACCGTAAAGTAAGACAATTACGGGGGGCAGCGAGCGAGAGAGATAGGCAGAATGTGGGTATCATTTCTGGATAAAAGGGCGAATTCAGGCGAGAACAAGCATTCTCCGTTGAGATAGAGAGAAGACCAAGACACCAAGACAACAGAAGCAATCCCCCTGAGAGCTTGTTAGTGATAAGCCCGCGCTCGGAGGACCATGGTAAGCCTGTCCAGTTCTCGTTAGCCTCAACACTAATTGTTCAGCTAAATCTGAAGGCTGACCAATCACAACCCCAGATCTCAGCCTGAGTGGACCCATCCTCGGGGCCGTACCTTGTCTGGGCAAGGAAGATTGTGGAAGGGGCCAATTGATGCCAAGTTTAGAAGGTGTTCGACACCCGAAGGAGGCGGGGAATCTGATCCTTGCAAAAAAATATCCGTCAGTACCCTCTTATCAGTAGGCAATGGAATCTAGGTGATCCTCCCCGGAATGATAGGAACGAATTCTAGTCCCATCTACGAGTAAGCACGATCGGTCTAAGCATATTCCGGGTCCATTGTAAGCATTGCCAAGAGCTTGGAAATAGAAACCACCTACACAAGTATGGAGTACACAGTATGTGAGTATGTACTCCGTACGGAGTAGCTCATGTAAGAAAGACAAGCACTGTGGCACAGGGAAGACCCGAAAATGCGGGGAGGACCTTAACAGTGGCGATCACATTCAACCGAGCCCGGTAAGGTGGTACTGTAGCTCTCTCCGGGAGTATTCCATACAACCTAACTATTTCGTATACTTCGTACACACTACTATTGGAGTACTACCGACTAGTGGCGAATTCTAATCCCCCGCGACCCGCGTGGTACCCGCGTGGCTCCTTGGGACGTTAGCGTGTCTCAGACCGGTCACCGGAGTCCCCACGGACGTGCGGGGGTTTTACAACGGCTGGTCACCATATTGTATTTTCATAGGTCGAGATCATGAAATAGATCATGTGGCCAAGGAATGGGGATCGCTTGGAGTTTTCATTAGGTTATGTTAAATCAAAGAAACGACTCCAGTGACTTCGTAGAAGGCGAACACCCCGGGTTTCTTTTGTTCAAGCTTCTCTGAGTCTGGGGTAAATCACACGAAGTCAAAACATAATGGCCAATGAGAATGGTCCCTGAAGACAAAGGGTTGATAGAGCCGAGGCTGACAGCGGGAAGCTTGAAATGTACGGAGTAGACCGTCTTTTCTCCGATCGCCTTGAATATGGGAGAAAAAGATAACTATCGACAAAAATAATAAACATGTAACTAACTAGACTAGTCAACTAACTAGTTATCATTTAACTAACTATCAATTAATAATTTTAAACGGTCATGTGCTCCGTTGATCGGCTTGTATATGATGTACATCTACATCGGCCGTATCAAGTCTCCCGGATGTCTCCTAGATAGCTTGCCTAAGGTATCAGTGATCCGAAAAGTGGAAGAGCACGCAGTAGTGTTTCACAGCCCTAAATGCCATATGCAAGATCTATATATGTGGCTGCAAGGCCGCGCCTGGGAAGTGATCTGCATTGTACTGCTTCGATCGTAAGCTTGCTAGGTATGGACAGCGGCTTGATATCTGCCCGTTAGATCTTTATTTTGACATCTCCATGAGGTGGGGTCTGATTCCACAGGTATCACGCAATGTGGCTGGAGGTGTCTGACACTGCCGATCGTTGATCACGCCCCAAAAAGGCGAAAAACCATGACCACAACCGCAAACCTCAAGCCTGGGATAGATGGTAGGACGATAGGACCCATTGTCTCGTGTCTGAGTGCCCTTTGCAATGATGAATAAGATGGCTTGTAGTAGTGAATATATCGCTCCAGACAAACGTTTCCTCCATATCTAGGTGTTATAGTCAACTGTAGGAAAGGCTCATGCAAGATTGTAGGACGAATCAAGAGGGAACGAGAAGATCTCATCACTCAACCACTCAAAATTGGTCAAGTAATCCTCGTTCATGTAGAGATCGTCTCGTCGGGAAGTACTCAGGTTCTGGACATTCCCCCTAGAGGAGGGCTCTCGACCGGGATCTGTCCCGACGGTAGCATGCCCTACCTCTATCCCCTGAAACGATCTGCCACGCGAAGAGATATTGTCCATAAACTCACATCCTCGCATTTCAGCGCGCGCCTTGGGGTCAAACTCATCTCGCCACCACCAAACAGAATCCAGAATCTGACTAAGGATCAAGCGACTGCGAATTCGAAGCGCCGTGTAATCCGAGCCATCGGCTTTGCGGAATGCTTTACTGCTGTTCCAGAGCTGAGTGAGCACAGTTACTATTTTGGCCGCCGTGTCGCTTCTGTCAGTCGACATCTGCTTCGCCAGATTGATAGCAGCAAAGAAAGTGGCTCGGGCCCTGCTTGTGTCGAGTCCGCTGGATGCAAGGTCGCTTTTGAGAATGCGCAACAGCGACATCGAAGCCAAGAGTAACCCAAAAGTGATCTGAACAGGCACCATGAAGAGGTACCCCGTGCGATCCGCTAAGGCTTGAACATAGTCCACCAGGTTGCAAGCGGTGACGATGAGACGCGGAAGACACCCGCTGGTAGCAATCGTCTGCGTTTTGTAGAAATGGAAACTTTGGATTGCCATCCGGCAAAGGAGCAGGTAGTACCTTTCATCTTCTGCAAGAGAAATGAAGAGTCAGTGCACTTAACATTTATTGGGAGACATGGGCAGAAGACTGACCGACCACCGCCTGCAACGCAATGTCGTCCACGTCCCCCTCAAACCTTCGCAACAGAACATCCAGAGCTAGCTCCTGTTCCAGGGTCATCGCACGGACTCCATTCTCGAGAACTGCTTCGCAGCATTTCCCCAAAACCTCTTGGCATCTGAGTTTTTGGACCAGGTGTGGGGCGATCATATCAAATAGTACCTGGCGTTGGGTCTCATCCTGTGCCATGGTTACAAGGTTGCGAGGGGACTGCCCCTTGATCAAACATGACCTGTCCTCAATCAGCATTAGCTACCGATTTCCGAGAATTGGAGGGAGGACCAACCGACCGTTGGTACACAAGAACACAATGAGCCCAGAGCTCCGAACGCCGAACCATATCCAATTCAGAAGGCGCCGGTATCTTTACTCTGGAAAACTCATGGCTCGACATCGGAATGTGAAATCCGTTTTGCATCGCCACGTGTAGGAGCATCCCACTCATCGGAAAGGTCACATCTGGGCGGTTGTCCTTGGGAAATGGCCAGGTTAACAAGATCAATAATCCCTGAATGATGTGCCATGGCGCACACGTTGATAGGACCGACATGAACGCCATCTCCGTAACCTCCTGCGCCAGCGCAGATTGCAGGGTTGGGTTCCGACCATATGACCGACTGGAGACACCAAGGATGGCCCAAAATAAGAACGGAGACTGCGCATAGTAGACATCGGGTCTAGTCTGAGCGTCAAGGATTGGGAGGAACGAGGCATAGTGACGGAAGAAGCTGTGGGACGTCAGTGACGATGTGACCATGCAATTCCCAGGACACCTACTTTTGGTACAGTTCATCAATCTCTTCGCCTGCAAGGGTCACGCTCTTCAGGGCTCGCAGCTTTGTACCGTCATCATCGCCCATTATCGCAACCTGCGTGGAACCCGATAGAGGAAGCTGATATTGGGGATACGACAGTGTTGAAGCCCGAGGATCCCCCAAGTGAGCATCCGACTTAATTACGGCCGATACCGCTATTGAAGCTGCCGCTGTTGGCAAAGCAACAGGTACGGAATTGGTAATCAGCTGCTGTGAGCTTTGCAGTTGTTGACGCCACTGTTCATTCTCATGTTCGAGCTCGATGTATCGGCTTTGGGGAAATACTTGTAAGACGTGCATAGGTCCATGTTAGTCTGGGGCACTCACCGACGCTTGTGCTCTCTCGTAAAGCTATCGTCTATGGTGCATTCGAGGTTGCGCTTTCGGCATCGGGAGCATGGCACGCTCTCGTCCCGCCAGACATCGCATTTTGCCTGCAAAGGTCATTAGCACGAGCCTATGAACGGAGAGAATCGAGAGATCTGGAGACCTTTTGCTGGCGGCACATGGTGCATGCCTTTTTGCCTTTTTTGGGTAACCTGCACATGGTTATCAGATGCTGGTCCGTAGATCTAGAGGTATCAATGCTCATGCCTCTCCATTTCAGACATCTGATCAACAAAGACCCGGGACCACGAGGCTGATAAATGAGGAACAGTCGGTCTAGTCCTTTCCGACGTCTCTTTCGTCTTTCGTTTGATCTTCTCGTGTCTCAGAAGGGAGAAAAACGCAAAGTGTAGTACTCAATCCCGGTAACGGGATGCTGGCGGGTTTCTGATTGGTCAAATGTGATATTGGGGCGATCACATGGTCATGTGATGACGGCAGAACGAGCCTCACCGTCTGATTGGCCTCACCGTCTGATTGGCCTCACCGTCTGATTGCGGCATGGGACTCAATCGATAGTTCAATTAACTATCCTGTTGCAGTCTAGTTAGTTAACTAGAAGTAGTTTCGAATATGGTACTGAAAGGCACTGAGGCAGAAAGGGCAAATTGGAGGGTTATGAAATTGTATATAGACTGAATATTCTATTCGAGTGCGTTCGGATTGAAGCTTGTTTGATGTCAAGAGTTAATCGCAAGCCTTGGAGGTTGCCAGCTTCCAAAGTGCTTCCCGAGATACACAGAAGCGCTCAACAATAAGCGCAATAGTGAATCCGATAAGGCTGGCAAGTAGCAACGGGAAGAAGAGTGAGAAACACAACAACTAGGCCAGAAAAGCAAGCACCTCCTGACCAGATGTTCCAGCAACCGGGTAACTTTGGCATCTGGGCTGCTTGCCAGGTAATAGTAGCTATGACCTGGTCTTGGAGATCCGGAGGCCCACCGCCTTCAGGAGCGATTTGTCAGGAATTTGCAAGGGTGCCATACTCGAAGGCGCTCTTCTGCGACCTGAGGTCTTCGAGGTGGTTTTGTCAACACCGGTGGTATCTCCCGCCGGGCTGTCTTCTGCTAACGCCTTTACAGGTTCTCGTTCTGAATTCTTCCTGTGACAAAGTCTTCTCCAAGAGGCCCGTGATAGTAGGACTGCCTCATGACGATCTTGAGCAGAAGCCACAGTCTGGATCGCAGTCACAATTTTTGGCGTTAGAATGAGGTGCGAGATATTGTGGGACGGAAGAGACGGCACTAGCGGCGTGGAGGTTCTCTGGTCAGTGCGCACATGAGCATCTCGTCGACTATCCGACAGCGATGCTGGAAGATTTTCCCCTCGGGGTGGGTGATAAGCTCCTCCACAAACGCCGCTCCGAATAGGGAGCACCGGTTTCGACCGGAGTCCAAGGTATAGGTCCAGGCCTGCTGGCAGATGGTTGCTGCTGTTTCGACAAGCATGTCTCGCTGGGCACCTAGCTCAGGGGCTATCATGGCCCACGTGCCGGAGCAACAAGCCTCGATGACTATCAGGGGGCGGACATTGGTGCAAGCTAGCCCAATATTTCCAGATTTGACCAGTTGGCGTGGCTTGTTCTGCTGTAGTCGTCCCAGAACGTCTCGCTTTGAACTGGGGTTTGGTGGTGGTATGGCGCATCGTCTTCGCCGCCTGTTCCCCTGCCAGATTTGCTGTCTCTGGCAGTGCGACAAGACAGAGGCAGCGGCAATCATATCGGCTTTGAGATATCAGATAGAATCATCCATTCACAGATCTCAACTGGTTCAGCAGTAACCATCCACCTGACTGGATGGAACCTCACGATAGGTCGATTGCCTAGAACTCAAGTTCCTCCACCTCCATTCCGCAGTCGACACATGTCTTGACTCCAATCCCGGTCTCTGGATTCTCAACAGATCGGCCCCATTGATGAACATGTTTCCGTCCAGAAGCTAGATCGTCACCGAACTCTCCCCCCGAATTCCCCTGTCGATTTCGGCGGTAGGCCTCCACACGCGTGCGCTTCTTCAAGTCCTGAAGCTTTGTTTTGAATTTAGCTTCTCGTCGCCGTTTCTTGTCGCTTTCTCGCCGCTCAAACTCGGCGTCCAGCGCCTCCGTCGAGCCCCATTTCTTGTCAGAAAAGGCATACTCCTCGATCTGATACCGTAAATATAACATCATGCTGTTCCATGTAGACTTGTGTGGATTGGGACGCTCGAGACGTGGCAGGAGTTCTTCATCTCGTAGCTCGGCTGTGCGCAGGCTGGTTAGCAAAATTGTGCCTTCCCATATGCCGCATTGGAAACTCACGGTCCGTCAGAAGATAGTCTTCTTTGGCTTCAGTCTTGGTTAATAAGCTGTATTTCTCCGGAAACTTTTCCTTGCAGGCATGGCAAATGCAACACTTCAGTTCTTCCTCCCATTTCCAGTCAATTTCGAGACTACCGCACTCGCGACATGTCTTTTGCTTGCTTTTATCATCGAGAACACTCAAGCCTGGCTCGAATGGTCCCTCTCGATTCCGCTTTAGCGATTGGAGCATTTGATGGCGTTCCCATTCCCTCTGGGTCATATGTGCTGGTTTCTGCGCCTCTTTCTCGTTCACCACGTGAAGCTGCTTATTGAACGGATCATCCTCCTGTGTCAAGAAGCCACCCTTCGTGTCGGTCATCTTGCTAAAATCATAATCGACATAGCGTGTGAAGTTGCGGGCCGGCTTGATAGAGTCCAGTGGGCGATTTGAAGAGGACGCGTCACGCATATTGGCAGGTTGAGAGGACGCCGCCATCGAGGTGAACGAGCGCTTGGCACCTGTTGCGGGATGGGAGGTGTCAAGAACGGGTTGGGATAGTTCGGCTTCGCGCTGCTCTCGAAGAGCTTTGGCTTTCATACGATTCAATTCCTAGTAGTGAAGTTGTCAGCTTGCGTTGTTTGGACAATGACAGCGACTTTTGCGACACACTTACTATTCTGCGCTGCTGCTCTGGAGTTATCGGACCGCGAGGAAGGTGTCCTGTCCCAGAGCCCGTAGGCTGTGGAGGTGGTGTAGAGGGCCGTTCTCCTGACATTATGTGAATAATCGATGAAATAACTCTATATGTCCCTCCGGGCTTCCAAGTCACCAGATTTGGTGGTCGCGTTGGTAGTATCGGAGGGTCGCTGAGCCGCATCGCTGGAAGCAGCAGGCGGTGGATACCAAGATCCACCGCCTTTTGCGAGGACGGCTGAGGTCACTGTGAGTCTGTGGCATGTCCTCGCCCCCACCTTGTCTCTTCTTTTCTCAATCACTTCATCCGTTCATCTTGGTTTGGTTCCTCTTGGCTTCTCTAGGCTCCACCAAAGCGTACAAGGTCACACTGTAACCACCAACCTTCACACCTTCTATCTTCTCTATCGCTGGGATCTCGCCGATGTGCCTTTCCATATTTCAGCAAGTGGTCCCTTTGGTATGATATCCGACTACTCAAGAGCCACACTGGCGACCCGAGGGCAACCCTCTCGCATAACTCGCAGCGCGATTGGGAGGAAAGCCTTTTTGCAACGCTGGAATCACTTTCTGGGCTAAAGGGATCAGTTAAGACCAGATTCGGGTGTGCAGGGAGATGGAGCAGGAGCAGATGACCGGCTGATCTCGAAGCAGCCTATCTGGGATAGGTGACCGGCTATAGCCCTCACAAACGTCCGTGGTAGACAGTTAAGGTAGCAGCCGGTCATCTGCTCCTGGCTCCATCTACCTGCACGCCGAATCTGATCTTGACTGACCCCTTTTGCTCAGCAAGTCTCGCACGAGAATTTCATCTGATATGAGTCTTCTGCTCCCGCGGCGGCCACCCGCAGACACCGATCAACAGCTTCACGTGATGCCGATACGTTGGGACGTCATTGGCTCCTTCGACCAGTAAACAACACCGAAATTGATACTTGAAAGCAAATAAGTTGATTTGGCAAGGAATGGACTCAACGGAGATGCTATGAGTCTGCAAGATAATCAAAGTCTTCTTCTCGATCTTGGCCATACAAAACTTCACACACACCTCCGACCGGCACGTCCATGACCGCATCGGTTCCTTCACTCCATATTTCCCGCCAGTTGACTTTGCGGTTCTGGGGGCCCATGATCTGGTAGGATGTCGCACCTGGCTTCATCTTGCTAGCGCCACCGGGACGTCTCCGACCCTTACCATCAATCACCGATACATTGGCGACCTCGTCAACAATGTTCTCGATACTATGCATGGGCAAAGTAAGATACCCCGTATTATATGCGGCAAGCGCAACATAGATGTAGATAATTAACATCACCAACCACGCGGGAATCGCCAACGACCACCAACGGTTGGGGTAATAGTAGATGCCGAGTTGATGAAGGAACGGCGAGGGGAGATAGGACCATAGGAGATAGAATACTGTGGTAGAGGGTCAGCAAAAAGCTGGATGACTGGGAATGTATTCTGATACTTACAAAAAGCCAATGAAGAAGCTAGGTATAACACGAAGCCATAGTATTCATAAGTAGGAACCTTTGGACTGGCGCGCGGAACAGTGGTAGCACGACGGGCTGACTTGGCGACTGCTGCCTCGGTATCATTGGGGGTCTCTACATCGGAGCTATCGGGAGTGGTTGGACGCGATGTGGTGGTCGAAAAGGGCGGCCGTAAAAGCGAAGTCAGTGAGGGTGAAGGTGGTAGAGGTGTGGGTGGACGATTGTAGAATGGAGGCGCAAATGCATTGGGGCCGTGAAGAGAGCTAGATGACTGCCGAAATGGGTGATGCCGGTCGAGTTCGTCAGGAGAGTCCTCGGAGTCCGTATCGGAGAACGCTTGATGTTCCAGTGAGTAGTGTGACTGGAAATCCGCATCATCCTCTACCTCAATACCCTCATAGCTGGGTGAGGTAACCTCGTCTTCATAGCTTTCTTGGGGTTCGTGCGGGGGGATCAGGTCCTCGGCCAGGGGTGGGAAGGGCTGGTTGGCCTCAAAGGACGAACTGAACGTCCCATGATTTGAGTTCCCCATCTTGAACCGATGGCGAGGTTAGCTTCAGGCGGCTTTGTTGATTTCCTCTCTTTCCTCCCCTTATTCTGCCATTAGCATGTTCACCGCCCCAACTCACTTTCTCTGGACATTGTTAGGACTCGACCTTGATACGGAGGATATTACAAGAACTGAATACATAACAACACCTCATGGATTGAAAGTACTAGTTTACCAAGGGATTGACGATTGATATCTTTTGCCATAAAATTAAAACACCAGATCAGACGCGGCACGTGTAGCAGTGGCATTATTGGGGCAATTCCTAGGAATATAGACTTGCCAGTTGGCTGGAACCCGCTAGCCAGTTGGCGGGAAGGATACTGACAACTGGTCAAGAATTTTGTTGCCATTCTATTTACAGAGGTACTGTACACATCTCCTGTCCACTTTTTGTATACAGTTAGCACTTACAGGTACACGGTTCACGTGTTATCTGGGTGATTTATCTCTTGCAGGTGCCGGGCCGCAGGCCTGGGGTTGGGTCTTGTAGTACTGATATCCGGTGTCATATTCTCGAATGCTACCCTTGTCGAAGGGATATGCAAAGCGGACCCAAGACCAGACAATGTAAATAACCAACTTACCAGTAACCAGATTAGTTACCGGGCTGTGGAATTGACTATACGCTACCGTCACAGATGGCAAGACCAAGAGGGTACATCGTTGAGACATCAGTCGATGACAATGATCCCACCATCAATGGTACCAATGAATTCATGGAAGAAGTGTGCTCATCACAACAACAGTCCAGCGGTTGTCGTTCAACGTGGCACTCACCGGGTCTTGTGGTTGGACATCCGAATTGTCATAGTTCGGCCTCGCCGGAGCGGTCGATGACAAAGGCACATGAAGGTCATTTGTCCGTCTGATCTAGCTTCTGAAGTTTCCATGTTCTTTTGAAGTTGTCGGTGGCACTAACCAGGGACACATCTGCAGGTCATCCATGGAACAACCGGATGGACTTCTCTGGCCAATTCAACGCCCAAACTTGACCATTCAGCAATATTGCAGCTATCGGTTCTGCCTTTCCGAGGTTCAGATCATCTCAACGTGGTACGGAACGTGCAAGCTATTTGTGATACTGCAGATATCGTTTCACAGGATGTGGAGTGTGGTGGTGGAGGGTGCTCTGCCTCATGCGTCATGCCTCAAGGCAAAAAAAAGGGCGGGGCGGGGATGGCTCATCCCCCGCAATTTCGCTTGAATCGATTGAATCGAAGAGTCGAATATTCGATTCAGGTCGGGAAATGTGTACGCCCCCACCACTGACGAGAGGGGGCAAAGCCTTCTTGATTGGGATGCCCTCACCGTGACATCACTGAATCCAAAGCCCAAGTATATAGCAGAAGGGGATGATTCGAGACAACACGCAAATACATAAAGCGCATTCTTGTACATAGCCATGAGTCTTGATATTCCTACTGTCGCAGAAATCCAGCTCGCCGCGGAGAGGGGGCAACGCATCACGCAAGCCGATGTGTCGGCCATCTCGCAGGCAGAGAGCGCGCTGACAGGACGCGGGCCTGCTCGGGGTGGACCAGCTGGTGAGTTTGGATTCCCCTTACTTCAAGCGCATATGACTGATCCATCATAGCAACGGCGCAGAGCCTTTCAATGCGCCAATCGAACTTCGAAAATAAGGTTGCCGAGATATCGCGCAAGCCATCCAGTGCGATCTCGCTGGAAGATGCAGACGAGATCCAAGCTACCGAGGTGGGGTGAAAAGTAACTTTCTGCGCGGTCAAACACTGACAAAATGGTTCGCATAGGGACGTGCATTCAACCAACCACCCGGAATCGGCTACATCTCGGCGCAGGTTCGGTCAATCGCCGACAATAATGAAGCTTTGGGATTAACAGCGACGGCCGACGTGCCTGCGTATGTCACCAAAGATGATGCCCGCGACGCACAACATGCTGAAGCTCAGGTTTATGGCGGTCAGAACCCTCGGGGAGGTATGGCAGCTCAGATGCAGGTAGGTGGACCGTGGGGAGCTTGAGCTTAAGTGGCGATGGTGGCTAATCGATGTGCAGAGTGCGGCCGACAAGATCGACAACGCTCGACGAGGCAGTTATGGGGGCTTGTACTAAGTGAGTGTTTGAAGCTGGAGAATATGGCGTCGATAGGATGGGCATATTGTACATAGTACTGAAACAGTAAATTAACATAGTTAGGCATCGCCTTGAACATACCAGAGTAACCAGACATCAGACCTCGGGAGAGCAAACAGCAAAAGTGTCCATAGCTCTCCATTGTCGCTTGGGCTTGATCGACCATTACTGCGTATACAATAGGGACGATCATAGCTGCTGTTGTGGGGCGAAATCGGTCCCTGACCCGCTATTCCGGTCCTGGGACTGGAAAATCCTTACGGAGTAGAAAACTAAGCTCTTCTCAGCATGATCCGCATGATCCTTCGACCCCAACTTGCCTGCACTTACAAATAATGGCATGTCATGATCGCAGGTCATTAGTATTGACCCGGCCTCCTTTAAGCTTCGGTGATTGATCATAATTCATATAATCATATTTCTCCAGCCGATGCCCCATTTCTCCCTCCGATCCCAAAACCTTCATGGTCTCGAGCTCCTGATTGAACAACGTGGGCTGACGATCCACCATGAGCGGTCCAACCGCCGACAGACGCCCCGACAGGATCGTCCAGTCGGGTGGGATTTGGACCCCAACTGATCGCTTATCATGGATCGGCGTATTCCCACGTCACAGCTGACAGAAAGATCAATGGAACCAGAGAGTCTTAGAGGGGGTACATGCCGAATAAACTGACAAGCCACAAAGCGGTGATGTGGTCGAATTTGTATGTTGACGTTGGCTCCAATCCAGACTCCGTCGGCCCCGAAACACAGTCAGCATAGTGGCGCGTCTGTGGCTGAAAGGGTTCAAAAGCGCCTTGCATTTGGAACAGCTAACTATGGGGCACAACAATAATTTGTCATTGACTTGCAGCCACCGCTTTCTAGGGCCAATGATCATCTAACCAATTTGGAATTTGAGAAACTCATTTGGAAGTGGATTGAGGTCGAAGGGGAAAATGAAAGACCTTTGTAGTCATGACGTTAGCTTCCAAGTACCAGATACCTACCTCACCGGCATCGGGATGGAGCATACCAAAGTAGAAGTGACTTTCCAAATGAATTAGTGAAGCTTATACTCCGTTCAAGCTCCGCTATTTGGATTATCAGGAGGACTTCGACTCTTAAATAGCCCATTCCCTCCTCCTGAGGTCCCCATTTTCAAGTACCTTGACAGAATCATCTTTCATCATGCCTATTACCGGACACTGCCTTTGCAAAGCCGTCACGTACACCGTGGACGTTGACGCGCCTTTGATCACTGCCTACGATCACTGCGATGATTGCCAGCGCCAGTCTGGTTCCACCTACTGTGAGTAGCGAGCATCCAAACATTAAAAACATATATTGACTGTTTACAGCGCTGGTCACCGTCTTCCCCAAGGACAAGCTGACCATCAACGGCCCCACCAAGAGCTGGGCTGGCAAGGGTTCGTCCGGTCACGCCGTCCACCGCATTTTCTGCTCCGAGTGTGGATCCCCGATCGCCCACGACCCCGATGCGGCTCCCGAGATCATCGCCATTAAGGCTGGTACCCTGGACACTGAGATTAAGAAGAAGCTGAAGCCGGTATGCATATTCTCTTTCCTTTCGGCTCATGAACTCGTCAACTGACTCTTTGTAGGACACCGAGATCTGGACTGTCAGCAAACTTCCCTTCTGCCAGGAAAGCCTTGCCCACCCCTTCAAGCACATGCCGGAGTAAAAACGTAAAACAGGAGTTTTGCGAATGAGAAACGGAAGATATTTGGGGGTTTTAATGAGTTATAACGACAAATGAACTATGCCGTCTAATATGCGGTTTTTATCCAATCACAGTGCCCACAGTAGATCCCTGTCCTGTTGCGGGCCAATCAGTTAGGGTGAAGAGGTATAACCCATGGAGAGCTCGATCGGCTCATTCATGAGGTGAGACAAATCCCGTCTCTCGGCACATTATCATGGCTCTGATGGCCAGAGATGGGATCCGAGGACAGCCGCTGGTTTTCACTTTGATCGACTCATCCTATCTTGAACCGCATTGCTAAACATGTCGACTGGCACTCTCTTCATCCGTGACTCACGCACTAACCTGAACTATGAGATTCCACTCTACCGAAACGCCGTCCGCGCGACCGATCTGCAGCGCATCCGGGCGCCTTCACTGAACAGCGATCGCGCAGACCAAGTGGCCCATGGACTACGAGTCCACGACCCCGGGCTGCAAAATACAGCCGTGACTCAATCGGCAATAAGTTTCTCGTGAGAATCCGATGCCATATATATCGGTGTTAGCTAATGAGTCTCCAGCGATCATGAGCACGGTCTACTTCTGTATCGCGGATATACTCTTGACCAACTCTGGGGATCCGAATTCGAAGAGATGTTTTACCTGCTGCTGTGGGGAAAATATCCATCGAAAGATGAAAGCGAAGAGTTACGACAGAGACTGGCACGCTATATGCAGGATGTGCCTGATATAGTTCGCCAGACCATTTGCAATCTTCCGTATGATTCTATCGTGTCCTTGTCCACCGCTATTTCTATTGTCTGATGAACGGCCACATACAGCAAGTCGACCAGTCCCCTACCGCTAATTACAGCCGGCCTTTCAGCCTATTTGGCCTGTATACCCGATGCCATCCCAGCAACCAGCAATGCCACGATGTATCAAACAGACATCAAAGCGGCCGACGAAATCATCCTGCAAACTGTAGCAGCGTACGCTGTCATATTCGGCACAGTCCGATCCCACCGACTAGGTATCCCCTGGAGAAGTCCATCCCTGGGGCAAACCTACTATGAGAACCTCTTCACAATGTCCGGCCTCATAAACCCCGCCACAAACCATCCAGATCCAATCCGCATCTCCTGTTTTCGCCGCTTCGGCAACCTCAACGCCGAGCACGGAATGGCCCTGACAGTATTTTCCGCACTCGTAACAGCCTCCTCACTAACAGACCCAGTCTCATGTCTAATCTCCGCCGTAACCGCCGCCCATGGACCCTTGCATTTCGGCGCGACGGAGTCCGCTCAACGCGCACTACAAGCCGTCGGCAAACCCAAGAACGCTCCGGCATTCATCGACGAAGTCAAGTCCGGAAAGCGGAAATTATTCGGGTACGGACATCGCACGTACAAGGCTATGGATCCGCGCGTGCGTCCAATTCAGACTATCCTGCGGGATTTGAGACACGTGCATCAACCGCTTCTGGAAATTGCCGAGGCGATTGAGGAAGTAGCTGGGAAGGATGAGTACTTTAGGGCTAGGGGTTGTACCCGAACGCCGATTTTTACGGGAACTTCGTATTTACTGGGATGTAAGTATAGCTGATAAGGAACGAGTGAAAATACCAATGCGCTGATCTAGTGGCTTCGAACCTGATATTATTCCTGGTGCTATGCTGGCTCATCGCATAATGGGTATCATGGCGCATTGGCGTGAGTACACGGGTAAGGTCAACATTCAGGGTCTTGTCGGCTACACTGACGGGAAGTAGTGAATCGAGGCAAGCTGTTTCGGCCTATACATCTCTACACGGGTCGTGCGGAGCCAATTTTGGGTGTCAGGCCTAGAATATGAGAGCTTAAGGGGCAGAGGATGTTTTCATAGTTGGTGTTAGCTGCATAGTGCCTGACACTGGGTCATTTTACGAACACAATCACAACTCTTTAGATCAATGACAATTCTCATGTCTGAGAGTGCTTAAACTTGATGCACTAGCAATGGGCCTATGGAGAAAATCACCGGAGGGCCAGACGGAATAGTGACGGCGATTTTAGTCCTTCCAGAAGCCCCGAGTACTTATTACCCCATCAGTCCTCGAGGAATCATACAAGAATGGATCTGCGTTATCCTCCATAGTCAAGTAAGTCAAAATGAGCCAAGATATCCCTTCGACGCCTCAAGAAGATGATCGAGTCGACGAAGAGACACCTTTGTTGCATGCCCCTAATGATGAGCCATACTCCGTATTCACGCCTACCCAGAAACGCCTCATTATCCTGACAGCCGCACTGGCATCCAGCTTCTCTCCCCTGTCGGCAAATATTTACTACCCGGCAATGAACTCGATTTCAAAGGATTTGCGAGTTAGCCCATCTCAAATCAACCTAACCATAACGACATACATGGTACATCAATTCGATCACTACATCCTACCATTGTACTAATGTCTTCCTCAAAGATATGCCAGGGCATTGCTCCCATGTTAACAGGCTCATTGGCAGACCAGGCAGGTCGTCGACCTGCATACATCCTCTGCTTCGCGATCTACATTGCAGGAAACATCGCCTTAGCTTTACAACACAGTTACCCAGCTTTGCTAGTACTTCGCGCCGTCCAAAGCTGTGGCAGCAGCGGCACCGTTGCCCTTTCATCCGCTGTAGCGGCCGATATTATAACCTCCGCCGAACGAGGGATGTACATGGGCCTTGCATCTCTGGGCAATATTCTCGCTCCATCCATCGGACCAATCCTCGGCGGAATCTTAAGCAAGTATCTAGGCTGGCAATCGATCTTCTGGTTCCTCGCCATAACAGCGACATCCTTCTTCCTTCCACTGCTATTCTTCTTCCCCGAAACCTGTCGTGGCATCGTCGGCAACGGTTGCATCTCGCCAGTTGGCTGGAACCGCTCAATCTGGAGCCATCTCCACCCCACCAGCGCAACGCCCCATTCCACCCTTCCTACACCTCATCGACGGATATATTTCCCAAACCCCTGCTCAAGCCTGATTCTTCTTTTCCACCGACCCGTGGGACTCGTCCTTTTGGCAAACGGAGTAGTATTCAGCAGCTACTACGCCGTAACCGCCGGCGTCCCGGCCTTATTCCACGAACTGTACAATCTAGACGAGCTAGGCATCGGCCTATGCTTTATTCCCGCCGGCCTAGGCTCGCTAGCCAGCGCCGGCGTGAATGGAGTATTAGTTGACTGGAACTACCGGCAAACCCGAAGCAAAGCAGGGCAGACGGTACACAAGAACCAGCGACAGGACATCACCGGGTTCCCCATTGAGCAAGCAAGGTTACAGATTGGTTTACCGATGACAGTAAGTTCAATAACCCGGTAGCATCTACATATCCGCTCTGACATTATTTGCCCCTTTTAGGTACTTGCAGCCGTGTCGATAATCGGGTACGGTGCCCTGATTTCGGTTCAGCCACCGCTAATCCTAGCACTGTTGGTGGTTTTCGTAATTTGCTTCTGTATTACCTCGGCATACAACGTTATGAACGTTCTCATCGTCGACTTGTACTACGAAACACCCGCGACGGCAATGGCTGCTAATAACCTCGTGCGGTGTTTTTGGGGGCTGGTGCTGCTGCTGCGGTGAACCCGCTGATCAAAAGAATTGGTGTGCAGTGGACTTACTGTCTTGTATCCGGGGTTATTGTTCTTGTGCTGCCCCTTTTGGGTGCCGTTTACTTACGAGGTTGGGCATGGCGAAAGAGGGCAGTCGAGATTGAGGCACAACGGGAGATCATACAAGACCGGGAGACATCGTAGTATGAATCTAGTACGGGATTATTGGAGATTGAGGGCTACATATACTAACACGATGTTGTCCGTTTATACTGTATCTTAGCCTTACTGTTCTCATCCTATTCAACGACATGTACTCCCCAACAGCGATATTGCCTCTCCTCTGGCCAACTGGCCAATTCTTCCACTGGCCCTCTCACCAACTCGACATACGATATCCCAATGGTCCATGGATCACCCCCGGAATGGAACTAGACATCCGAGGTACATAACCCTAACCTCACCCCAAACCCCAAAGGAACGAGCTACACTAACACCTTCATAGACACCAACACCCTCCCAGAAATCAACAGCGCAGCCCTAAAATGCAACAAAGAATACATAATATTATTCATCGACCTCGACGCCATCCTCCCAGGAACGCACATTGAAACCGTAATTCTCCACTGGTACCAGGCCGGTCTATCCAAGAACTGCACGCAAGATTCGCCCCTCATCGACATCCCCAATCACGGCAGCGAAGAGCACCCAACAGCTCCATACATAGCGCCACGCGCACCACCAAATACGCACCACCGCTACGTGTATCTGCTATTTGCTCAGGATGGTCGGAAATTTCCCGAGTGCTTTGCGCATGTTATTCCCAAGACGATTGATGCGCGTGCTGGGTTTGATGTTAGGGAATTTATGAGTGCGGCGGAATTGAGTCCACCTGTTGCGATGAATTATTTTGTTGGGAGACATGAGCCTGGTCATGGGGAGACAGCTACTGTGCCTGTGAGGGCGACGACGACTTCGTTTCGGTCTGTGGATTGTACGACTAGCTTGGGGCCGTAAGTTGGGGGATTACTCCCGTGGTTTAGATGAGAGCTGCCCGGGTTATGCGGTTCAGAACATCTATTTTTAGCTCTACCTATATCATTGAATCAAAGGATGCTGTTCATTTGCACCCCATCGCATCATACAGGAAGTGCGAGGAAACTGACACTCTCCATGGAAGGGGAGGTAGTTGAAAACAATGTATCATGGCAGTCGAGTTGTAGAACCGCCAACTGTCCAATACAATTATTTCACTCCTGGGAGCTTAGGTATATTGATGCTAAGATGTTTCATGGGGTCCTTCGACTAGTTTCCGGTGAGATTCTTGGCCAGTATTTGCCCTTCCTTCTCTCCTGTTCATCAACCCCTGGCGAAATGCTTCTTCAGTATATTCATCCGACTCCCATGTACGGTACCCACGCCAAGACCCCATCCTTCATCTTCATATCCTCAAGCTTCCTCATCACTAGCCGTTCTATATCCGCCATTTTGTTTTCATCCAACCAGCTTCAACCGCTATTTCCATGCGTTACTGGAATTATCCTCCGTAGGCCCAAAAAGAAAAACCGCGGGCCGACCTTCTGCCAGTCGATCTCAACGCAAGGCCATGCAAATCGCATACACCACCCAGAAGTCTCCGCATTCCCGGCTCCGTTGCAACTCCCAGAGCCGCCACTGGTTATGCTGGGTGTCCATACCTTCACAGCGCTCAATTGGAGGACCGCTTTTAGACGGCGATCGAATTCTTGGCCCGGGGGCTAAGTCAGCGCCACAGTGGAAGAGGGGGGCTCCGTATACCCTTGTGAGAGAGATAGTCTTCGGTCAATGGGCAAATACTATCGTCCATATTCGTCTGTCTGATTGGATGAGTACCTTGCCTCAATATTCATTTCTTGTTTTCCTGAGACCAGACTAGCCGAACTAGGGTGCTGCTCAAATAGGCAAATAATGCCTGATTCTTTTCTTCACAGAACGGATTTCAAGTCGTCAAAATCCGGCCGCACGGAAATGCGAATACCGTACTTTGAGACCAGATACATGGTATGATGAAATGCACGAGTAAAAGTATTCGCTCGGAGGTGGTCGAGTAGAATTGTGGACCGTCAACTGGCGAGTGTGGCAGAGGGTACAAGTGTGATACACGCACGCGGGTCTCAGGGAGGGTGTGACAAACCAACTTGTAATTGATAAAGTTCAAGATCCTGGATGTAACTCTTTGTCCTTTCGGAAGTTGCTGCGTAGAAAGTCCATAAAGTGGTAAATTGGTTGGCATCCTCCAGTGGATGCGAGATTGCAATCAGACGTGGTTCGGTTGTTGGACAGCGAGGTTATTCATATGGGGCTGATAGTGGAGGGTGGATGAGCATATATCATTGAACATAAATACCTCGACGCAGTCCGGGGCAAGAAAACATCAATCGACGGTGCAAAAACAAGCTCCTCTTTTCATTTCCATGATTCACATATGTCTGAGAGCACTAGCAAGAGGGCTCCCCGGTCAAACGATCAGCTTCAGCCCAACCAGAAGATGCGCACCACCTGTAACGCCTGCCAACAAGCAAAGATAAGGTGCAGCCACAGTCACCCATGCGAACGATGCGAGAGCCACGGGTACCAATGTATTTACTCGATCTCACAACCGTTAGGGCGGCCGGCCAAGAAAAAGACAGCTCGGCTGGCGTCGAGCGTACAAACACGCAAGCGGGAAGGGGAAGCAGTTGATCGTTGGGCACGACGGAACGCTAGAAGGGGCGCCACAAGGCCAAGTCCACCAGCGAGAGAGCAGCGGGTGCGCAAGGTTTGGGATCGGATGCCGAGTCCGAGTACAACATTTATCGGCGCGGATCCTATTGGGAGAGAAGTGTTGCACAGAAGTGACTCGGGCACCGGTACTCGAATCTTACCGGTGGATGAAAACTCGCAGTGGCCGAGTATCGAAGATTTAATCTCGGATATTCCAGGTGGGCAGATAATCAATCCACAGAGCGCGAGGAAGGTGATGAATAACCATTGAAACCCACAGAGGACCACATTTCTGGTGACGGTAACAACAACCAAGAGCCAGTCAGCAAGTATGAGTCCAAGACATGTGTCGATTCAAGCTCCCTTGATATCGACCCCCACTGGTCGTTCGAGCAAATGGACGGATGCGAATGTACCGGGTGTTCCACTCTTCCAGAGCCCAGCTCTAACCATTCCACGCAGTGTCTTGCTCCCCAGGTCGGTTTGATGGTTGACGAGACTCACACTGGCGACAGGCGTCCTTTCCACGCGGCTGTGCCAGGTACCCAAGGCACATCATTGTTCCGGGGTGGTGCCATCTACCCTTATAGCCTATCGCCAGATGCAATGCAGATCTCGGGAACAGTGCAGGACCCTGCCAGAATAATGGATCTGCCCTCCACTGAAATCTGGCAGGAGGTTCTGGAAGCTGATCTCTTTCACTTTCTTCGGCCCGAAAATACTGATTTGTATGAACTGCCAGGGCAATCCTCCGCTATCCATTGCAATTGCTATTCTCAGGCTTTCAGCGAAGCCCTTCGTTGTGAGGAGTCAAAGGACCCCCACGAGATATTGATTCACCTGGAAAGGGTGCAGCAACGGGGATTGGTCACCCTTCAATGTCCATCGTGCTATGGAGCAAATGCCAGGGCTGACATCCTGACCTTGTTAATCATGGGAATCGAGAAGGCAGCACGCGCGTTGAAGAGTAGGACCACAATGGCGATTACCTCGGTGCAAGGGGGAATCTATGCCGTCTGGGGAGCAGAAGGCCTTAGCCAGTTGCGACGTTGTCTTTCTCATCTGTCAATCATCGTCCGCTTTATATACCACGACCTCGAGCGTGCGACACCCTCAACGTGGCGCTTGGTCATGGCCGATGAGACAGATAGGCGGCTGCAGTCGATCATTCGGCTCTTTGAGTGATCGCGGATCAGTTTGTTGTGTAAATAAGCGATCTGCAATAGGACGTACGATTGTGGACATTCCTGTATGCTCTTAAATCTCAGCGGCCCCATTCGTGAGTTGATAGGTATCGACCAGAAACATGGAAAGGTGATAATAGTTCCAGGAAAAGTTTATCACCAGGACTAGTTGCCCATGGCGGAGGCATTAGATCTGTGTTGTAGGTTCTGGTTTCTGAATTGCGCTGATCAGCTGTGTCCCTGTGATAAAAGTTAGACGGCGTTGCGTTTGTTACCATAATGACAAAACGTTGCGCCCACTAAGAGATGAGAGGAAGAATACTTCCATTGGCGAACAACCGATAATTTGCCGGGCAATCATAATTGCGGGGCATTTGTCCAGGAATTGAGACAATGCTAGTTAGGACTTAGGATGTATGGACCCGTTTTGTTGCACTGGACAAGGATGTTATGTCAGTTTCCTAGCAGAGAACGCTAGAGGAAATAGGCCTATGAATACAGACCATTTTCGGACTTTTCTGGGCCAAAAGGTCCTGGAATAGCACGGAGGATGTAAAGCCCTCTTTCAAATGCTGGGTTCTGTTACTAGGGGATATTCAATAAATCCTGCTTGCATATCAGGAGACCATCACAAGTAAATTGCCAGTAAAGGGAGAAAAACAGGAGAGTGTTGTAGGTGGTGTGAGAGGTAAGTCTATAACTGCAGAGGGAAAGTCTCCGGTCACATAAACATGGCACGGCAATGGCGATGATTTGATGTCAAGTCCCACGTGCAGTTTGCTCTTAGGCGAACATTTGATGCGCAGGGCGACAGGCGACAGGAACACCAAGCAATCAGCTCCGAGGTAAGACAGATTTCCAACAAGCCCGAGGTCGTCGGTGATTACTAGAGGCAGTACCAGACATCAGCTAGACACATGGACAACAAGGTAGTAATTCATCTATAAGAATATCTATTGTTGTCAATTCGGCACAGTGACCAGGGGGAGACTCACACAATGAAACCGCAAGCAACCCTGGCGAGACTGGAGGAAAAGAATACATATCCGCTGCCAAGTTTCCGGGCACCATATTCCAAACCCGCCATCCCGCACCGTCACTTCCCGCCCACTCCGCATTCGTGTGACAAGATTGTGAGCCCATGGCTAATCAGAGAGGCCAGGGCTTTTCGAAGACCCCAGTCCACTGCCCCCAGCCGACGACCTTGCCCGCCATAGCACGTTTGATATCGTTCTTGGTTGCCTTCTCGGGGGCCGTGAATTTCAGCGACTCATTGAGCGCTACAATGGTGAAGACATAACGATGCTTGCCGTGACCGAGGGGCGCCCCAGCACCTACATACGGCACCCCGAGCAGGTTGGGAACGAACCGCCATCCAGAAACAGTCAGGCGAGAACTCTTGGCGTGTTCGTCGGGCTGGACATCACTGGACTGGATTCTCGTGATGGAGGCAGGAATAGCCCAGATGAGGCCGTGGTGAAAAACGAGGAACGGGATCGGTGGATCAAGGTCTTCACAGAGAAGTACGTACTCTATGACTTGCTCGTGACAGTCTGGAACCGTCCAGTGCAGCTCGGGAAGACGGCCCCTTCCATCGTCGGCGTTGCAAGTACAATAAATCGGTAACTTGGAGCCAGAGGGGCCGATATCAGGGGCCTCAAGAGTCATGTTTGGCTCAGGAAGGCCCTTCAAGGCGGGGCAATGGAGGACCTGGCGCGAATCATGACCGCGAATCGGGTACAGAATCCTGCCTATGATGAATTCGAGATAATCCAGTATCGCCATGGCTGGTAGGTATATATAGCCGGGGCTGTTGGGTTTAGAAGGTGGGAGAATGTGAGCAATCGCAAGAAATTTCGAAATGTCTACGTCGGACGTCAGTCAGGTGCCGCCCGATTAGGAAGCTACCCTGAACCGGCCCGGAATCGGCAGGCGCGACTGAGCCTTGCCAGAGTCATTTTACCCACGCGAAGTTACATGGATGTACATGTACATGTACACATGCTGGAGCATTTCCATGTATCATCTAGTTAAACGACACACCAGCATAACCATTGAACTCCCCGGTGTCTGCCTTGGAAGAAGATGGGAATCTCATCTTCAGCCAGCGAGGCAAAGGTATCCTTCCCCAACGGTACTCAGCACAATTTCCGTAGTTTGCTGGCTCAATTGCCCGCGTTTAAATCAAGCACAATTCCAGAATAGCCCTCGAACAAATCACGAGGTTTCGGCATCAACTGGTGAACTCGGTGCCAACTGGTCAACTTGGCGTCAACTGGCCATTTCTCCTTCTGTATTCGGCCAATCTCACCGGCACATTCACCCCATGACAATTCTGCCCGCTCTGACGCTCACACAGAGAATATTGATTCTGCGCAGCCTCAACCGCGGTAGTCTGGGCCAAAATAGGTGTGAGGTGAAAGCGATGGGCACTGAAGATCGTGAGAGAAAACATATTTCCCAAGGAGGCAAAGATTATCTATCGATGACATCATCCGCAATGTTGCCGACTCCCGTGCCCTTTCCGCCCGCATCCGGCATCCGTCGGTGTGCCTGGATACCTTCAATTTCTCACGTGGGGGAGTTTTGGAATAACACCTCCCCCCATGCTATCCTCGGTACGTGCCGCCTTCCAGGCCCCGTCACCTGCTGAAAGCGTGCAGCAGCGCCCACCGCGATATCCCAATGAAGATACCACTCCCACCAGCCGTCGCGAGATCCTTGGCTGGTACTCGTATGGCATTGCGGCTGAAGTGTTCGCGGTTTGTGGCGTAGGTTCGTGAAAGCATGACCCCACAAGAAAACAAACCCCAAGAAATACAACTTACTTATCATACTTCCAGGATCATTCCTACCACTCACCTTAGAACAATTGGCCCGAGAGCGTGGCACCTTGCAGACGAGTCGTCTTCCCTGTGTCGGTTCATCGGCGGGAAATAGCACAAGTGATGAAAATGGCCAGTGTGTGGTCCCGGTCTTCGGCCTTGAGATCAACACAGCGAGCTTCGCCATGTATACTTTTTCATTGGCGGTTCTTATCCAGGCGTTGACGCTGATATCTTTCAGCGCCTTGGCGGATTATGGTATGGTTGCATGAAGCTGCCCTGGCACTACGGCGCAAAAATGGGATATGGATTAACAGGTCTGTCCATTGGATTTACAGAGAATAACCGCAAGACATTACTCATGGTATTCGGGTTTACCGGTGCGCTCGCCAGCATGCTGTTTGTCTTCATCGCACCACCAATTTTCATCATCGGTTCGATACTGGTCGTCGTCGGTGTCACTTGTCTTGGTTCATCTTTTGTCATTCTGAACTCTTATCTGCCCGTCCTGGTCGCGAACGACTCATCCCTCCAAGATGGGAAGTCCAACGATGATACAGAGATGTCCACCATGAATCAGGAGGGAGATACCGCCGAGTGGAACGCGTGGGAGAATGAGAATGACGACACTGATAGCTTGGATGGACTTCGGCCGTCAGGGCAGTTTCAGGCCTCTCCTGAAGATGGAAAGGGGTCCAAGCCCCCTTCCTCGTCGTCGCCTGAGCTGCAGTTGTCTACCAAAATCTCATCCAGGGGCATTGGTCTTGGATATTGCGCGGCAGTCTTTGTGCAAATCATCAGCATCATCATGCTCATCACTCTATCCAAGACTGCGCTTGCGAAAGTATCAGGTACCCTTCCCATGCGTTTCGTATTGCTCCTGGTCGGTATCTGGTGGGGCGCATTCACGCTTGTCACTCGCAACTTGCTCAAGACACGCCCAGGGCCTCCTCTAAATACAGGCTCCGGCAATGGAACCGGACGATGGAGGGCTTGGTTGCGACTCGTCGGCTTTGCCTGGAAATCTCTATGGAAAACCGTCAAAGTAGTCATGAAGCTGCGCGAGGTTCTCATCTTCCTTGTCGCATGGTTTTTGTTGTCAGACGCGATGGCCACAGTTTCTGGGACAGCGATTCTGTTCGCGCGCACAGAACTCAAACTGAGCACTCCACTGGTTGGGCTACTCTCAATCACCGCAACAGTGTCTGGGATGATGGGCGCGTTTTTCTGGCCTCACGTGTCTCGCCACTTCGGCCTACAGTCCAATCAGACCATCATTCTGTGCATTGTGCTATTTGAACTGATTCCACTTTATGGTTTGCTGGCTTATATCCCGTTTATCAAGAACTGGGGTGTGTTCGGGTTACAGCAGCCGTGGGAGATCTTCCCACTGGCTATTGTTCATGGGGTGGTGTCGGGCGGACTTGCGTCGTACTGCCGGTCATTCTTCGGCCTCTTGATTCCGCCTGGCAGTGAAGCTGCATTCTATGCTCTCTACGCTGCTACCGATAAGGGAAGCTCGTTCATCGGGCCGGCTATTGTGGGCGTGCTTGTCGACGCTACTGGCCAGGTCCGGAGTGGCTTTTTCTTTATCGCAATTCTTATCGTTCTACCCATTCCACTGGTGTGGATGGTAAATGCAGACAAAGGTCGTCGGGAAGGCTTAGCTATGGCTGAGACCTTGAGCAAGTCACATGGTGACTCCGCGGAAGATACCCAGGAGGCCGAAGGGCTTCTGGCGCGCGACCAGTAGCACGACAAACAGGATAGAGCTGGGAGACGAAATGTATTTATGACAGGTCACGAATATAAAGTAACTATCACTCCCACAGGCCACGGGCTCTTGGAGAAAGCATACCATTTCGAAATCATGCCCTTCTTTACTCTGATTAGGCCATTTCCTGTTGTTAGGTACTGTGTGCACAGTACAGAGCAACTACTGTGCAAGAGACAATCGCAGATGATGACGCTCTTGAAGATGACCTGGAAACTGATGAGGCCGTTGGGGCTAGTCAGATGCATCATTCGATCCGGACAGGCCAGTTGATCTATGGACGTAGGTACGGACGTGAAATATAGTCTACTTCCTAGGCGCATGGTCTCTTACCGACTTCGTCCAAGGCTGTGGTCGGGGCGCTAGAACCGCGGGTTCTAAGGGCTGGGTGGACGTCTCTAAAGACTCGATGCCACAGCGAATGAAGCACTGCGCAAGATGGCGCCAGGCTTTTAGCTTAGCCCTACAGACTGGCCTAGAGAGGTTTGGGTGCGTAGGCCTAGCGGACCTTTGAGCGTTCGAGAGCTAATAGTTAGCAGTCCCGCTTGAGACGTCGAAGAGGAGCTCCACCCTGAGTCCAAGGCCTATCATTTTACAAATAAATACTCTGAAAGGGAGCACGACTATTGGGTAAACCAGCAGTAGGTAGCTCAGGGCTGGAGGTAGGACCCGTACGGCATTCTGCTCAATGTTCGTCGTTGAAAATGTTTTCGAGTAGGTGAGCTTAATGAGGAACTGACAGGAGGTTTATCAGCACCTTCCTTTCATCGGCCGTCGCTGGCCGAAACATCTTCCTAGACCCCCAGCGCGGTCGGTTCCTCATTAAGCTCACCTACTCGAAAACATTTTCAACGACGAACATCGAGCAGAAACCAGCAGTAGTCGTGCTCCTTTTCAGAGTGTTTCTTTGTGAAATGCTAGGTATTGGACTCAGGGCGGAGCTCCTCTTCAGCATCTCAAGCGGCACTGCTATTAGCTCTCGAGCGCTCAAAGGTCGGCTAGGCCTACGCACCCAACCTCTCTGGGCTAGCGTGTAGTGCTAAAAGCCTGGCGCCATCTTGCGCAGGGGTTCATTCGCTATGGCATCGAGTTTCTAGAGACGTCTCCCGAGGGTGTATCGGTAAGGAGAGACCCATTTGGATCTAGGTGCGGAGGAGAAAAACGAGTTCGGATTGGCTAGATCAGGAGAAAACTCGGAGGGTCGGAATGAAGAGATTTATGAATCTCAACGAACCTGGCGCGACGCAGGACGCCTAAAGGAGGGGATTCGAGGCGTATGGTTAGAAAGAGGCCTCGGAACGACGGAGACGGGCGTCATAACTTGAGAGGAGGAGATCTACGGTGGAACTGTAGAGTGCTCTGGATAATATCGTATCTAGCTAGGGAGAGATGTGTACTCCGTACATGAGTCTAGCTGATGTGTGCAGGAGCAAGCGAGGTCACGTGACCTCAACACTGTTTGCACTGTATGTTCAATATTTTTAGTCGCGCGGGCCACGGGGCTCCCGTAGGACGGGAGGGACGCCAAATCCCACCGCTTGGCACTCCTACCACTCCACATGGTAGATGGTGGGAGTCCCATGGGATGATGGGAGTTGGCGAGATCTAGATAGGATCAGGTGACCTGCCTTCCTGTCAACTCCCGAGGTATGTATTCCAAGCTTAGCATAGTACTTAGTCAATCCGAGCTATGTTCAATCTACTAGCGCGTTGTCCTTTTGGGCACGGAGTTGTTCTCCAGGCTTTTGACAATTTCCTTTAGCTACACCCAATCAAAACCATCTCTCCGCATCCCCTGTCCCTTTCCCCAGTTCCCCGGACAGTGACAAGATTGGCGGCCGAATTCCTCCCGGGGATACACCAATGGAGATCCCCACTGCTGATAGGTGCGAAATTGAGGCCACTACAATCTGACATTCCGGAGTTGGTCTAGATGCTGGAATAAGCACAGTGAACAACCGGGATCTTTCTCTATTTGGTCTGTCACGCAGTACGTTTAGCCTGGATTCCGAATGAGCTTGATCATTCGATGGGCAGATGCCCTTGGGATTTCCTTTGTTTCCCCACATGCCCGTTAGAAGCTAATGCAAACCCATCATTGCGCGTGTATATAGACGACGGCTGGCCCCCGGGTTCAGGGTCTAACAAGATTCCGTAGAACAGCCTCATTTCGACTGTCATCTGTAAACCCTCGACCACCATGGCAACTGCTGTTGACACTGCATTTGCGCTGGAGAAGACTGCCGCCAACCATGTCGAGGATACCTTGGGCCATGGCGCTATCATCGAGGCCAAGCAGGCTACCGACGATGAGCATGCGCAGACGCTGATGCAGGCGCTGCGTGAGAACCGCAAGGCTGTGATGTGGTCTGTTCTGATTTCCATGGGAATTATCATGGAAGGATACGATACCATCCTGATGGGAAATTTTTTCGCCTATCCCCAGTTTCAGATGAAGTATGGGCAATACTATGGTGACGATATCAAATGGCAGGTCTCTGCGCCGTGGCAGACTGGTCTGAGCATGGCAAGCACGGTTGGCTGTATTTTCGGTCAGTTGATCCTATCTGTCACGTTTCCAGGACAAGTACTCACCCTATCATAGGCGGCATCTTGAACGGATACTTTGCGTCCAAGTACGGCTACCGGGGAGTGATGATCGTCGCGCTTGGCTTCTTGACGGGCTTCATCTTCATTACATTCTTCGCCAACTCTGCCGCTGTCCTCCTGGTAGGCCAGATCTTCTGCGGACTCTCGTGGGGAGTCTTTGCTACAATCGGACCGGCATACGCATCCGAAGTATGTCCGACCAATCTGCGTGGTTATCTGACAATCTATGTCAACATGTGCTGGGCGATCGGCCAACTGATCGCCTCCGGTGTTCTCTACGGACTGGTCGGCCGACCGGACCAATGGGGCTACCGCATTCCCTTCGCGCTGCAATGGATATGGCCTGTGCCATTGATGGTCATCGGGTGGCTTGCACCAGAGAGTCCATGGTGGCTCGTCCGTAAGGACAGACTCGAAGACGCGAAGCGCAGTATCCGCCGATTGGGCGGTAGCAAGACCGAAGAGCAGATCAACGGACAGCTTGCAATGATGGTCCACACGATCAAGATCGAGACCGAGATTGAAGCCGGCACCACCTATTGGGACTGCTTCAAGGGTGTTGACCTGCGCCGCACAGAGATATGCTGCCTGGCTTTTGTCGGACAGATCCTGTCTGGTAGTACATTTGCCTACTCACCTACCTACTTCTTCACACAAGCCGGGATGGACGTCAACCGCTCCTTCCAACTCGGCGTTGGCTGCACCGGAGTTGCCTTCGTCGGCACATGCCTATCCTGGTGGTTGATTACCGGATTTGGCAGGCGCACGTTGTACGTCTGGGGCCAGGGGATTCTATGCACGACTTTGTTCTTAATCGGCATTCTGAATGCGGCATCTGCCTCGAAAGGCGCGATGTGGGCGCAAGCCGGCCTGTGCTTCTTCTGGCTGTTCATATATTCACTCACGATCGGCCCAATCACATATGCTGTTGTATCTGAGATGTCATCGATTCGCCTGCGCCCGTTGACGGTCTGCCTGGCACGAACATCGTACCAAATCATCAACGTGGTCTCGCAGGTGTTGGAGCCGTACTTTATGAACCCGACTGCTTGGAACGCATCTGGAAAAACTGGGTTCTTCTGGGGTGCGACGGCTCTGGTTGCGTTCATCTGGGCGTTCTTCCGTCTGCCGGAACCCAGAGGAAGGACATACGCGGAGCTGGATATTCTCTTTGCCACCAAGGTTCCTGCGCGGAAGTTCTCATCAACTGTCGTGGATGCCTATGCTGTCAGGGCGACCTCGTCGCAGGAGGGTCTCGTTCGAGAGACGACAGAGAAATGAAACAATAATTGGAATGTCAGAGTCGTGATTAGGTATCACCTACCCGCGTCCACTACATATAATGCCATCGATGAATAAATTTCGCTTCTTTGCATACCTGCAAGGAATGCAACATGAACTACCTAGCCGCATACGCAAGTGGAGCTTAGTCTAGGTAGCGGGCAGTGATAGCTTGAACTACCTAGAACCAAAGAAATTCGTATGATCGGCAGCGAACATCATCAGCTAGCCGATTATGCTATGGAACGCCTGAACAGTGCTCAGGTGCTAGCGCGAGATCTATGTAGTAACGAAGAAGACCCGAAAATGGGGCAAATAGTCGCAGCGAAACCATTAGTATTCTTCAGGCTGTCCCTATGGTTGGCCTGTGCCTTCAATTATCGACCCACAATATGTCTATTTTGACTTCCTGTGTTGTAGGTTGATGGCCATCGGATATTCGGTACTGTTCAGACACCCAGAACTGGCGGTATGGGCAAACATCCTCCCCTAACTCGGGAGTACGAGGGATACGATGAACAGCTTGAGCATGACTCGTAATTTCTCGCGTGTGTCGACTGTCGACTTCACTTGAAACTCGACGATTTCGCAGAGATCGCCCCCGCTAGGGTGAATCATCAGGATCGTCCTGTCGATCGTTCCTGGTGGTATGTCATGGGTGACCGCACGGGTTACCCCTGCATGACAGTCCCCAACCCCAAGAATTCTAATAGTCTTGATGAAGCAAAACGACAAAGGATCCAGTCCTTTCCATGGATTGAAAGAAGTGACATCTCAACATTGTTAATCGTAAATAGTTATACATCAAAAGAATCATAGAAGGGGCCCCAGGCCGAGGTCATTCATCGCGCACGGACACGCGAAAAGACCTCTCCACCTTCCATCTAGTAGGGGCATTAGAACTGAGTTCAGTATTTGGATTAAGATCTTCACTGGAACTGCCGGACTTCTGTTGAGCACCCATGATCGTCGTGGTCGTGCCGTGATTGTCCGAGCTGCGTCTGCCCGTCCAAAGCTGGCTCGCGTCATCCACTGATATTGGCTTTGAGCGACGGAAGGCAGCAGGATGATTTGAGAGATTATAAGAACCTTGTGTAGGGCTGGGTTCCCCAGAGGAGCCGTGGCGGAGGTAGCGGTAAAGGGGTCGGAGAGTGGTCAGGCAACCAGCTGTTATTCCGATGCCTGCTTCGACATTGGACCAGATAGCGATTTGGTAGGTGTTGACTGTAGGTCGTTAGTAGTGACATTGGGGCATGGACTCGAGGCGCTCGAAGTCGAGGGTGAAGAAGACTCATACATAAAAATTCCTCGTCATTATAGTGATGGATGAATGGAATGCGAATAATGACTGCGGCACTCGCACTGCAGAATGTCAGTATTTGCCACAATGTACTCCGTAGTTGGGAGGAGATGCTAGGAAGCACGAACACGCAACCGATACCCAAGATGCCGACGATCGCAGCCTTAGTGCGGCGGTTCATCCGCAAGTTCCAGATCAATGCCACTGGAAGCAATCCAATCGTCAAATCCGTAAGAGCTGCGCCGACACTATACATGTATGCGATGCCAGTGAGGAGATCCTGATCGAGGCACGAGCCATGCGCCCCTGCCCGGCGCTGATTCCAGAAGAAGTTGACGGGGGAGCATTGGAACGTGGTGAAAAAGAAGAATATAAGGCCGACAACAGTGGCAAGTGTTATGGCGCCGTAGAGGATGTATGCATGAATGCGATCGACGGTGATGCGGAGGAGAGCGATCATGATGGAGATCTTAGCGACGACGCAGGTCAACACGTAGAACAGTTGGCCTAACCACCAGCACTACAGAAACGAGGTGAGCTTTGCGTTCGAGACATTGGAGCGATGGCTCGTACCAGCATTGCGTTGTGGAAGTTGTCCGGGTGTTGGGAAAAATAGCTCAGAGGTCTCCCCAGGCCGAATCTGGCGCCCACAAGTCCACAGACTGCGAAGACTGTGTTTAAAGCCTGCCGTCGGGATTTATCAGTTACTGTAGCTGTATGCGCATGTGATATTTCAAGATGGCTCACCATCGCCAGAACCATGATCCTATCGTCCCACCCCCAGACACGAACAATGTGAGTGCGAACAAAGCATCGCAAAATCACGGCCACCAGCGAGAGACCGAAAAAGACAGCGGTAACGATTAAAATGGCGAGGTTCCGACTGTTATCCTGGCGAAGACTCTCGGGAGCCTCGGGTTTGACTTCCATGATGAATGAGGGACATGGGTCCCCTCCACACTGATAGAAAGCAGGGGCCAAAAGGGATCAAACAGAAAATACGGAGAACCCTGTTGGTTTTAACTGAAGATCCAACCCCAGAATTGGCCTGAGCACTCTAGGGGATAAAGTTTCCGACGTCTCCGACACCAAGCGTGTATCGGACATCGGACATTGCAGAAGGAAGTATCCCCGCAGACCACGGGACATGAGTTAGTTAGTGAATAATTAGTTCCTTGGTGGGGACATATTGGATCGAGTCTAATTATCGAAGATCGGCCGGCGGACTAAAGGGTGTCCTACCCATATTTTAAGAATTGGAGTATCTTCTAGATCAGGCGCCGGGTTCTCTTGAATTCCAGACGTTTGTTGCATTCATTGGACGTCGACATCATTGGGGGGAATAGAGTTCGATGTTACGGCGATCCACCCAAGTTTCCCCCTCCTTGGCTTTCTTCTTCAGGTCTCTGGTCTCGGCCGGTCTGCAACAGCTGGATCTAAGTGGGCGGTGGTTTCAGCCGAACGGGATAGGAGCCACATCGGGGCTTGTCTCATTGGAAAAGGTTAAATTTATAGGATTTGATTGGAGATCGAACAGCCATGTCATCTCGGCGCCCGGCAACGTGGATGAAAAGAGTGGCGCTTTCCATGGATCGGGAGCAGCCACTTTGTGGGCGAACTGAACTATACTGTGTTCTTCCAACTTCTCTGTAGGATTCCAAGGCCATTAGACTTTTTGACAGTTGACCTTGTTTCTGTCATATGCCAATGATAAGTTGATAACTGACAGTGAAGCCGAGGCACGACGCACGGTGCACCTTATCTCCTACGATCCATAAAAAGGTAGGGCAATTTATTATTTCGATTTATTATTTCATGAAGTTAATGCTGGACGTCTTCTAGACCGCTGGGATTTCAGTAACACTCAATTGCACGGTTGCACCTTCCCTATCGATCATCATCGTGTTAGTTATGCGGCAAGACCCGGCTTAGTATGCACTAGCATCCCGCGATCGCCCCGCCGCGCCAACTGGCGCCCCCACGAACCCCCCTCCCTGCCCGCCGGGCCAGTTACGATGATAAGATCTACAAGCGATGTATCCGCCACGATGAGTATAGACAGTATAGTTATACAGTACGTTCTGACAATTTATCCTTCAATTTCCGGACATCTCAAGCCAATAAAGCACTTCCAAGGCTGGCAGCGTCACCAACATCACACACCTATGTTGTTATGCATACTCGCCTTAAATATTCCTTAGGAATGCCAGTGTATCTCCGGCGCGAATTGTATCGCCCGGCTGGACGAGCACTTTCTCAACCTTGAGCTTGAGATCGGCCGCATCCTTCTTGTCTCCATTATAAGAGACCGCGACTTCCATTTTCATTGCCTCAAGAATGACAACAACTTGCGTAGAGGAAACGTTATCCCCGTCTGCAACATTAACCTTCCAAACGTTTGCATCGAGAGGAGCGTACAGTGTCAAGATATCAGGATCTGTTGATACCCGGTCAATAACTATGCTGACATGAGCAATGTGAGTTGTGACCCATTGGACTCACCTTGTCGCAGTAGTGAAATCTCATTGTCAGGAACCTTGTTCTGGGCCTTCTCGGCCATCCACCTGTCCATGGATTCCTTCTCCAATGCCAACATTTTTGCCTGTGCGGTGGCCTGACCAGACTTAAATGCTGCTACTTCGTCTGTTGTCTGCTCCAGGAGACGGTTGTGGGCGGCCATATCGAAAGTGACGTCTTCGTACTGGAATTCATAACTACCGGATCGGAAACGAGCCATATCACGTTCAAGCTCGTCCTTCTGTACTCGGTAAAAAGTGATCTGGTCGAAGTCGCGGAAGAGGCCCGGCTCATCCGGCGAGAAGCCCGGTTTGACTCCCAACTGGTCGAAACAGGGAATGGTTTGGCCCGTCATCTGATATCCTCCAGGGGCGTCGACGGGGTAGATGCTGTGGAAAGGAAGCGGGTCAATATCTACTTTCAACGTCGGTAGGACAAAGACTCACTTCATGCATGATCCACCCCAGCTGACGCTTCCTTCTGGAGTGTACACACGGCTAGGATTCTGCTTGGGGCAATTCAAGCGATAGCGGGGATCAATCGGGAGACAGATGGTATCGCAACAGACGAATCCGACACAGATAGCCATGAACTCAACTGAAAGGAATATCTCGATCAATTCATCACGCGTAATTCCGTTTATCTTGGCCACGAAGTCCATGTTACTTGGTAAAAACGGAGCGTATGGCCTTTGTGTCTCCATATATCGTTTAATAGCTTCCTCTTGAGCCGGGCTCTCGAAGCAGATGGGCAGACGGAACTTTCGGCTTGGAACCTTTGAGTTTCTGGGATCGCTAATGTTCTCTTGAAGCGATACCATAATGTTGACAAGGCTGCGTTGAGAGAGCTTTGAACCATCATAGTGTATTTGGAGCGCTGGTGTTGACCAATCATTAGGTCAAGTGAAAAATGACGAACATGGCGCAGGGACACTCACAATTGCAGCAGCCAATGGTCTTGTAGACACTTCGATTCAAAGCTTCGTCTGACTTTCGAGCCTTGTTGAAGGCCTTCTCCAACGCTGTCACACGGCAACGGTGGTTGAGATTGAATACCCCGTCACCGAATTCAACCAACAAGAACTCATCCCCGCCCTGTGATGGTCAGAAATTGACATAGTTTTCCCTTCGAACCATCTCTTACCTGTCTGAATATCATATCGATCTCGGATTCTTTCAGTTCGGTGCGATGAACCAATGACTTTCCCCAGCTGCCAGAGATAGTCGACTGTGGCAAGGAAGTTGGAATTGGCTCGATGGTATCCGCACTGCACTGGCCAGCTACAAGTGCCGACAGGTTTTCCAAAAACATCTCTAATTGAGCACTCATCTTGAGGGCGTCTTCCAAAGATACTCTGTGGTATTGTAATGTGTCGCCAGACTTGAGTTGGCCCATACGCCAAAGGCTGCCTTTCACAATTGTGGTGGAGGAAATGAAACCGCCCAGATCAGGGGCATCCACGGGGAAGATGACAGGACTGGAAGTGTTAGCCATAGAAGAACGGCGGTTTGTAAGACATGCACGACTGGAACTTACCTGTCTCCTGTCCAATTCAATGCTCCATTCGGATAGCCATATTCAATGACGTTACTAGGGTGCTGGCCACCCTCACCTCCATCTTCCCTTGCCCATCTTGGAGTAGGTCCAATCAGACGGATTCCACCTCTTGTGGCACTGTGCGAGACATTCCTGAATCAAACTGTTAGCAAGGCCTCGCAGCACCACCTCCCATCTTTGCCATTGGCCTGACGTACCACTTTGTGTCATAGATCATGTCAATATCTTCGGATACAATGTAGCCCTCATCGTACGGTCCAACCATGGCATAGATGTCCCAATGAGTGGAGTAGTCGGGGCGCAAGTGAGCAGGCAATGAGATCTCGCGCTCCGTCTCGACTGCATCGAGCGTCGCAATAGCCAACATATCTCCTGGAGCAAGGGCTCTTCCTTGATACCCACCAATCCCGAGTAGAGGAGTGGTTGACTTTGACCCAAAATATGGGGCGCTGCAGAGATAATTAGTTCTGAAGTCAAGACGTATAGTCTAAGTATAGCTTACATGGCCGGAAATCCTCCCTGGACAGCAAGGTAGGCTATGAGAAGATTAGCGACGTAGCCCGCGGGAACATGGGGAGTATCCTACCTCGACAGCCTCCAGGCCCACTCAACTTTTCAATAGACAACGTTTGGCCGGCTTTGATATAGAGTCGAGTCCACATTGGGACGTCAGTACCGTCAAGTTTCATGTCCATCGGAGCACCGCAGACAGATACGCATGCAGGAGCCAAGAAACGTAGTTCTGGTCCCTTTAATGTGAACTCTAGTCCTTCCGTACCAGAAGGATTCCCAACTAGAATGTTGGCAGCTATAGGCAAGAGGTATCGTCAGCACTATGTCCCTGTCATCAAGTAAGGAAGCGGCGAGTTCGTATACCTCTGAATGCCAAAGGATCCTGGGATCTAGATGTAAGCGCGTGAATTGTTTCAAAGCTGAGAAGTGAGCTTACCATTGGTCCTGCTTGGGGAATTCCTCGCCCCGCTGTTGGGCGCCCTGGATAATCTTGAATTGTTGTGTACACCCCAGGTGAAATGACATCAATTGCAGTAGGGCTGAACACAAAGTCATTCAAAAAGTTGGTCAAGGTATTCCCCGTCTTGAATCTACTGGACTGAACAATAGAGTGCAAGAACTCCAGATTTGTCGGTGGTCCACAAATGGTTGAGTGTGAGAGCACCTCGGCCAATTTCTCAATGGCCCCGGTGCGGTTGGTATCATGCACCATCACCTTTGCGATCATGGGGTCTAGTATGAAGGAATCAGAGTTTGTCTCGAAAGAACATTGTTCATGAAATACTGACCGTAATATGTGGAAATTCGGGTTCCGCGAGCGACCCATGTGTCAATCCGAGTGCCCTCCAGCTCCTTCCATTCAACATGTTGGAGCAACCCAGGAGATGGAGCGTAGTTTCGTGCAGGATTCTCTGCATACACTCGAACTTCGATTGCACAACCTACAGGCTTTTCGGGCTGCAAGGAGTGCAGATAGCCCTTGTCCAGACCTCCATGACCGCACAACTCCCGATCGGCTTGTTGAAGCATGAGCTCCACCAAGTCCAGTCCGTAGCAGAGTTCAGTAATACCGTGCTCAACCTGAAGACGAGTGTTCATTTCAAGGAAGAAGAAATCTCCTGTGGCGTCGTCGACCAGATATTCCACGGTACCTGCAGAGCCGTAGCGTATGGACTTGGTCAAATTGACAGCCGCAGAGGTTAGTCTCTCACGAAGCCCTAAGAGCTGTAAGTCAGTGTGACACATGACCTTTTGTATTGGATATGGGCCACATACCCGGGTGCCTTTCCACGAAAGGGCTGGGACACTCTTCAACAACCTTTTGATGACGGCGTTGAATTGAGCACTCCCGTTCTCCAACATGAATCGCATCTCCCAGCCCGTTACCAAATACCTGGACCTCAATGTGGTGACTCTCAGGGTAGTATCGCTCCATGAACACGCCTGCGTTCTTGAACAACGTTTCTCCTCGGGAGCGGACTTGCGTCAGAGACTCTCGGACATCTCCGGCTGAATTGCATATCATCAAGCCCATACCACCACCTCCACCTGTGGCTTTCAGCATGACCTGTAATTGATTATTATTAGCAGGCTTTCCAGTAGAAGGCAACCGCACAGAAGGAGTACCGGATATCCTAAATTATTCGCAGCGTCCACCGCCTCTTCCTGTGTACCGAGCAGTCCCTGCGTCCCGGGGACAATTGGAACACCGGCTGCCACAGCGATCTCTCTAGCCCGATGCTTGAGTCCGAAGTCTGCAATGGCTTCGGCTTTGGGCCCAACAAACACCATACCGGCCTTGGCGACGGCTTCTGCAAATTCCACATTTTCCGACAAGAACCCATAGCCCGGAATGATGGCGTCAACCTGCTTGGAACGGGAGATTTTTATGATTGAGTCTCTAGTAAGCGATACATTTGTCAGTTTCATAGCCAAAAAAACGGTCGGGCAATGACTGGGGACAAACCCGTCGATGTATGCGGTAGAATCGTCTCCTGGTAGTAGGATAGCCTCATCGGCCGCCAAAACATGTTTTGAGGTTGCGTCAGCGGTAGTATAGACTGAAATTGTACGGATACCGAGCGCTCTATTGCGGAGTATGGAGTTAGATGGTATGCTTTTTGGCAATGAACTCGTTTCTTACTTGGCTGTTTTGATGATGCGAACGGCGATCTCGCCGCGATTCGCGATTAGTAAAGTCTTCAATTTCTCCATTACGGCAGTATTGATGGCATGCAGAACTCTGGGGAATCTCCAATAGATATTTATACCATCTTTAGAAGGATCCCTCTGAACCAAAGCTCGTCGATCTTCCCACAGATAAGCTTATCGCCGATTCTCCGACATTGTCCCAAGGTTCAACACCCCGGGATTCCAAGCTTCCAAGTTGGGGCGGGGTATGGCGCATCCGATTGGCTGGAAATAGCCGGATACTTCGGTCATTCTGCTCATAAGAAGCTTGGATACGCCCGGCTCAGCGGCTCGGATCTTTTTGGGGTATCTGTATCTACCTTCCCCTCCTTCCCCCCGCCCATCATGTCGACTCGTCATGCGAGGGAACACAGACGAGTGTACCAGGTACGTAGGTCTTGGCCCCTCAGTTCCCGAGGATTCGCAATCTGCCGATGTGTAGATCTGTCTGACCCTATTAGGCATGTGAACCTTGTCGGGAGAAGAAAGTACGCTGCGAGTTGGGATCGACGGATAATCCGAATAAGCCACCCTGTGCGCGATGCCGCAGAGAGAGCAAACAATGTTTCTTTGCTGCGTCGAGGATCAGGAAGAATGGTGCTACAAAGCGAAAAGCGCAATCACCTTTAGTTGAAGAACTCAACCGGCCTCAACCTGCGATCTATCTTCCTGGCTCAACATACTTGCCCCGCAGTACTCTAAACCATGCTGTACAAGAAGCAGAGCGCCAAACGCCGACAGAAGATGGACGTGCTGCAGCGGCTTTGCTCGAGGGACACCCTCGCACCTATCATGATGCATTGACTCTTCTATCAGAGACTTGCGAGCACATGGACAACCGCACTGGCTTGGCTGATAGAGCACCCCTGGTGAATCACCCCCCAAACGGCAGATTGAACCCCGCCAACTCACCTCTTGGCGCCCATGCCGATACCAACACCACCGACAAGGGTACCAATGCGGCACTGCGCGCTTGGTCGAAGCTACGCTTTGTTCGTGGTGGACTATTCACAGCAGAAGAAGCGCTAGACATGGTGGATTATTTTTACAATTCCCTGTCAGCCTTTTCGCCTGTAGTGCCAGAATGCTTTCGCGATCATTCCCAGCACGCGACGCTGATCGAGCAAGAGCCTATATTGACAATCACCATTTTGATGATTGGGTCACGTTACAGAAAGTGGACTGGACCGGCTGCAGTCGCACGATCCTATATCGTTCATGACCGGGTCTGGAGATGCCTGCAGAGAATGATTTCATGATTGGTTTGGTCAGAGGACTTCTTCGTTGGCGAAATCCCTTCGCTCAGAGATCCCTTCATTGGTTCTGCTAGGGCGCCACAGCCGCCATATGCGGGGGATGCGTCCCATGGATTTCGCACGTTAGGAACATGCGAGGCATTGTTGCTGCTCCTGGACTGGCACCCTCGTGATCTCCACTTCCCACCCCCTGACGAGGATAGTTCATCGATCGTGGTCTCTGAGCCAAAAAGACCGCGGAAGACCCCTTCTGTTACTGGATATGACGGGCCCGGGTCTGGACACGACTGGCTCGCTCGATCGGATCGCTTGTGCCACTCCATGCTTTCCACTGTCTTAATGTTGGCAACCGAAATGGGTATTTTCTGTGAGAACTATATATTCCGACAAGACGATCGTGTTAGGCACGACTCTTCGGCGCTTGCTCGTGACCAGGAGAGGTGTCATCGGATTCGTTGCCTGATGTGGGTTTATTCGACACTGCAACCGGGCCAACCAGGTATACACACCCTCAGTAGAAAGGTCACACGCTGTCTCCAGAGTAGATTCAAGGCTAATACCGGGCCCGTATTATTATAGGACGCAAAGTTCCAATACCATTCCCTCCCACAGTGAGCGCCAGCATTAAAATTGACGACACAACGGAATGCTGGATGCGCGTCGCAATCATCACGAAGAATGCAAACGAGCTTCTCTTCGTGTCGCCAACATTTACTGGTGAGATTATTCGCAATGGACAGTACCTTCCAATTGTTCGAGGCCTTGAGCCAAAGGTCAATAACTCTATCGCTCAGTTTGATCGCGCCAAACGTCAGTACCTACGAACCCCACGGCTATATGGACCAAACTTAATTCAACTAGGTATAGTGGCGAAGCAAACCAGATATATCTTGACTATCGAGTACGAATATGCCAAACTCTGCATTTTCAGCGTCACATTGCAAGCTGTAATCAATCGGCATCACCGCGATGGTACAAGTGGGCGGTTAGATGGCTGTTGCAGAGGTGCATCAACAGAAGAGCAGAGGCATCTTAGGGGGACGGTCGAGGCCTCTCAGAGTATTCTAAGAACAGTTCTCGATGACATACACCCAGATGGAGGTTTTACTTATATGCCTGTTCGATCATACTCTAGACTTCTGGGTGCAACATTAATTCTCCTGAAGGTAAGTCACGATTCTCCGTCATCCCCTGGGTTGTCTTCATTCATATTTGCTTCGTGGATTCTAAGACTCAAAATCAGTGCTGTGCTGCCGGAATAAGCGAGATCGACATTCCCATGGCCTTCGACCTCGTCCAGCGAGTGGCTGTTGGCCTTCGCAGCTCTGTAATCGATGATATACATCTGGGAACTCGTTGGGGCGATCTTCTCGAAAATCTCACTCGCCGATTGCAGTCGCGCCTAGGCCATCCAAACACGCCAAAGGGTTCTGGCGCGGGACGTCCATCGGGAGCAACTCCATCAAATACTTACGGAGAGACCTCTCAGGCATTTCCAGAAACAGAGCCATCGACAATCAGTTTGTCCACCCAAGATCAGCAGGCTAGTGTCTATCCCGAACACAGCGATATCTTAGATGTCGACCGACCGAGTTCCGGTGATGCAAGGCGCGACACCCAATTCGACACCTTGTCAATGTGGTGGGACAATGCGTTCTCCCAGGTGAATCTTAATTATATGCCTTGGTATCCGACTTTAGGGCTCATGGATGGAATTGATCCCGCATGCCCGAATGATGCTGGGACTGTGTTTGAAAGCGGCGGACCAACCCATGGAGCATGAAATCTAATATTGAGGAGAGATCGCCACCTATGCGGAGTAGATAGGTAAGAATTGAAGTTTGTTCTCCTTCCAACTGTGGGGTCGTGGGGTAATGACGCAAATGATCAACCTAAACCTTTCAGTGTGCTCGGATAACGCAGGAAGCAAACCCATTCCGAGCCGGTTCAGCTCCGGAAGTTAAGCCTATCAACATTATAACCGCTAGCCAGGGTATGTGGTTTCTGTAAGAGCTGTAAGTAAATAAGAGAATGCAAACAGCCGAGTGGCTGTTCAACTTTTACCCGCTTCCAATGTTTGGAGATTCGCTCTACTCCGTATATATCTTCCAACTTAACCCTTTGCCACCTCCGAACAAGTTCTGTTTTCCATTGACCTCTGCGCCGAAAACACGATCACATTGTCGCAACTCGCAATATCATCTATACTAAACTGAACGACGATTTCCATTCACAATAATGGGGCCTATTAAGCATAAAGCCCTGATCAACGTTGATCTAGGGGAGGGGTTCGGCAACTGGACAATCATTTCGGATGAAGACTTGCTTCCATTCATTGACCATGCCAATATTGCTTGTGGATTTCATGCCTCGTACGTTTTATTTGTTTCTCTGTCTCATCTGCTAGATCCAGACCGCGATGGTAATTTGTCGCCTATCCAAGATCGATCACATTCAAGGGCATTGCTTCCTGGTGTTTGACTGACATATACTCCCTTCTGGCAGTGACCCCCTCATCATGATGGACACCGTTCGCAGCTGCAAGAAACACGGCGTCAAAATTGGAGCACACCCCGGACTGCCAGACCTCCAGGGCTTTGGCAGACGAGAGATGAAACTCTCGCCGGAGGAGCTTACCGCAATCACGATTTACCAAGTTGGAGCCCTCAAGGGGTTCTTAGACCGCGAGGGAGTCCCACTTCACCATGTCAAGCCCCATGGGTCACTTTATGGTATGTGCTGCAGAGACTACGACATTGCGAAGGCTGTCTTTAGTGGCGTACCCAAAGGCGTCAAGGTGTTCGGGCTCCCGGGTACTTGTATGGAGCAAGCTGCCAGAGACTTGGGACTCGAGTTCGTTGCAGAATTGTATGCGGATGTCAAGTACAATGCGGATGCTTCTCTTCTCATCGAGCGCAAGAAGAAGTAAGGCTATATTCTCGTCTCCTCGTCTGCTCCAGTGCGCTAACTCGTCTTTTACTTTTACAGGGCTTGGGATCTTGATGAGGTCCGACAACGCGTAACCCAACAGATGGAAACGTGCACTGCGCGTGCGACCGATGGATCCACATGTGACTTGCCTGTCAAGGATTATCCTATCTCGATCTGTTGTCATTCCGACGTTCCCGGGTGCTTGGAATTAGTGAAAGCAACAAGAGGTGTTGTTAACACCTTCAACAAGGCTTACTTCCCCGAGTAGATAGGTAAAAATACCGTCATGGATTGGATTTCCTCGCTGCAGCACTATCATACCTACAAACATGGGATTTTGTACACAGATTCGCTCTTCCATCCTGAACATAATGTTAATTTAGGTCTTTTTTTCCACGCAGTCAGACCACGGCCACGGCCCACTGCCAACTGGCCAGCTGGTACTACTGTAGGAACCTTCGCAATGGAGCTCCATGGTGTTTTCCCTGTGCTTCCCTGTATTACTATTCATCCACTGTGATGACCTGACTGGACGACCCAATGTTCCTTATATTGTATCGAATGTTGCATATTGAACGCTATGATCCCTGACTCCTGAGCAACCCTATCCTCTTGGAAGTACAAGAAGTGCAAAGTAATCAAACAGAGCAAACCTCACAAACCATGCAAAGAGTCCCATACACTCAATTGAATTTCTTGGCACAAAGCGGGGTACAGTGAGATGCTCTGGCAGAACGAGCTCTAGATCATTTCCAAGGTTCAGAAAGTGCATGTCGCTTTAAACCTTCACTCAACAAGCGATTGATAATGATTATCAAACACTGCATCAATGCAGCTCAAGTTTGAAGCTAACCTACACATCTACACCGCATAGTTAGTTATCGTACGGAGTAAGTGGTAATTTGGTAGACCAGTCTCACCCACTCCATAAGTGATGATGTCACTACTCCTGCGTCCCGACTCCACTAAGAGTGTCATGATTGAAGTCATTCGATATTACTGCAGACTGGGTTCTGCCAAGCTGGGTGGATTAGCCCATACAGAACCTGATGAGAGGGGAGGGTCTCTGCTTATGCCCTGCTTATCACTTCTCTGATGTCAGTGCAGACTGCGGGCAACCATGAAGTCATTGGAAAGGGGAGGGACGGGTCGAAGGTATTTAAGTCAGCTCCGTTGCCACTCTCTAAAATCATTATACAATATCCTCCCCTTGTTCATTCACAACTAAAACAAAACATTCTCTCCTTCTCTCTCAAACCTCTTACACTACATCATCATGCCTATCCCCGTCCCCAAAGCCAACCGTCTTCTCGACCTCCTCAGCCTTAAGGGCAAGGTCGTCGTTGTCACCGGTGCCTCCGGTCCCCGCGGCATGGGAATTGAAGCCGCCCGCGGCTGCGCCGAGATGGGCGCCGACCTTGCCATCACATACGCCTCCCGACCCGAGGGCGGCGAGAAGAACGCCAAAGAGCTCTCCGAAGAATACGGAGTGAAAGTCAAGGCCTACAAGTGCGACGTGGGCAACTGGGAAAGCGTGGATAAACTCGTGAAGGACGTGATCAAGGAATTCGGCAAGATTGACGCCTTCATCGCCAACGCCGGCCGCACCGCCGACAGCGGTATCTTGGACGGCTCTGTCAAGGACTGGGAAGAAGTCATTCAGACCGATTTGACCGGCACTTTCCACTGTGCTAAGGCAGTGGGCGCACACTTCAAGGAGCGCGGCACCGGAAGCTTCGTCCTCACCGCATCCATGTCCGGACACATTGCCAACTTCCCTCAAGAACAGACCTCTTACAACGTCGCCAAGGCGGGCACCATCCACATGGCCAAGTCGCTGGCGAATGAGTGGCGCGATTTCGCTCGTGTCAACAGTATCTCGCCTGGTTACATTGACACCGGATTGTCTGATTTCGTCGCCAAGGAGACTCAAGATCTTTGGAACTCCATGATCCCTATGGGTCGCAATGGTGATGCGAAGGAATTGAAGGGTGCTTATGTCTACCTGGTCAGCGATGCCAGCACCTACACGACGGGCACCGATTTGCTCATTGACGGTGGTTACTGTGTGCGGTAAATTAATGATTCAAAATAACACGAAGCTGCATGATTACCCTACGAGAAATTGATTCAATTCAAACATCCATTGAGTTCATACTATGTAGCCATTGAGTTTGTTGATGTAGCATCCGGTTTCAAGTATGACCTCATAGATACGAAGCTCCTCGAGCTCCGTACTTGGTCTGGGAAAAAGTGGACCCTCACCCGAAAACAAACACACCTCCGTACTCACATCCCACCTCACAGAGGCCCAGCAATAGCAGCTGTAATCGGGGCCTCTTCAACAAATATGCCGGACCAGAACCAATCTTCCGGAGCTGCATCCAGGCCCCCATTATCCAGTCGCAATTCACCAACATGCCAATCGGCCGAGTTGGTGGAAGGCGATGCACCGACGGCCGCAACTACCTGGGTGAGATCATCCGACCCACTAGACGCCCAGAGCCCGACCGTCCGCGCATCGAAATCAATATCGTACGCGAAGTTGTACCATTGGCCTGCTTCCAGATCAGTTTCCCATTGCGGGATTCCGCCAACGCACCAGCGCAGCGTGTTGTCATCCCCAGTGGCGCCGCTAGCGGTACCATATTTGAGTTCGGTGAAATGACTCTGCAAAAATTCCATTAGTCCTGGGCACCAATATAGACACGGGGAAGACCAGTACCTCGAAGAAAGCAATCTGATGCTCGAAGCCCGGGTTAGGCGCATTCGTCTCTTCCGTCTTCAACGAGAAATGGTAGAACAAATGACCACTCCCCAGATCCGCCGTCGTCTGCGGAATAATCTCAGATCGTTCCATCGTCTGTCCTTCCCAGAAGGAGGTGCCATCCTGTGCTGTTATCAGCGTTTGTTTATGCTTACCTACGACGTGATCTGTGACTTACGATCGTGATCCGGATACCCTGGGCATCACTGGTATCAGCCGGGTTCTTGTAATCAGGCGAGAGCTCTAGGTAATCCTCTGTGGAGCCGGAACCGTGAATATACCACTGCCAGGCACCGACCTGGTTCGACCATGACCCTTTATCAGTGTCAGTAGTGAGCAACGGCATGTCGGAGGCCGTACTTACATTCGTCGAAGTCAGCGACGGATGCAGATTCATCGAAGAGGCCACTCCAGAGAATCTCACCCGCGTCTGCCAGCAGAGGAAGGGAGATAAACCATGCAAGAGACCGCATTTTGTTCTAGATATCACGATTCGAAGTTGGACTGGGCACCTTGGGGGATGGAAGAAATTAGGGCGCAATTAATATACCCACAGGTCCTGCTTTAAAAGGCCAGATCTAACACGGAGGGATGCAAATCCCAGGGTCGCCTGGCGTGCCGAATCTGCAACTCGCAATGCTCAATGTGAACATCTTCAAATCTTGGCATTTACAATCGTCACGCTAGAGTCCTGTCACTTCCGCCACCAAAAGAGTAATCAGATGTCGCCTTCGTGATGACCTTCATTGTACTGGACACCAAAGCATCAAGGATCTTACATCAGATTGGTTCAATGGACACGATGGAAATGATCGACAGATGTGTCGCCAAATAAGACACGGAAACAAGGATGTTGGATGAAACTCTGCAGAACCCTGAAACGATGCCAAGTACAAAAAATCAATTCCACCGATCATATCGTCGGACCGACAAGCCATTGCAGGTAGCTCACAGTAGATACAGAGAACAGATAAAGTCCCTTGTCTACCCCAAATCGACCGGTACGTTAGAACCCATGAAATAACCCTATATACATTCACTGATCAATTTCCCAATTTCCGCAAATCATCGCATCGTGAGTCATTTAAACCTTGGGCTTCTCAGCCATAACATCATCGCTTGCATCTCCCTTGCCGTCGATATCAACACTATGTGCCTCGGCAACATGCATTCGCGGAAGCGACCGAGCAATGCGAGGCGGATCAAAGATATTTCGCGACTGCAAGAAGATCTCATCTATCTCTTCAAGGGTGCGACCATTCGTCTCCGGGAAGAAGAAGTAAACAGTCGGCACAATGGCAGCATTAAGTACCGCGAAGATAATGTAATACTGCCAATCGATAGTCGCGAACCCGACGGGGGTGACCTCAGCCAGCAGGAAGTTGAATGTCCACACAGCGGCAGAGGAAATGGCACTGATGGAAGCGCGACACTGCAGGGGCGCCACCTCAGTCGCGTACAGGAAGGTCAAGCCCGAGTAACCGACTGTGAAGATGAACTCGAATACGAACAGGAATACCACGGCGCAGACCAGGCTTCCAGTGTTGTCTTGTAGAGAAGTGGTCCCAGCGAGAATTGCCATTGAGATGGCCATACCGGCAGCACTCCACAACATCAACACACGGCGCCCGAGTCTGTCAATGGTGAAATAAGCTAGCAGGCCGCCCAGCGGCTGGGTGAGACACATAGAGGCCGCGAGAATACGGGATTGAACAGGGTCGAGCTTGAGATATTGCTGGAAGATGGTCGTAGCGTAGAAAGTGATCAAGTTGATTCCACACATCTGCTGGAACATCTGACCCATACAGGCGAGAACAGTGCGATGGAAGAGCCGCTGGTCACCCATCTTAAGCATATCCTTCCAGGATCCGTTGCCGGAAAGTGCCAACGAGGTTTCAATATCGCGAATATCGAGAGTGATCTGTTCAGACTGAATATCGACGTCTTCGAGGGCGGCGAGGATTTCCCTGGCCTTCTCGATGCGACCTCTCTTCACCAGCCACCGGGGCGATTCGGGGAAAAGCATGACGAATGTCATGACCATCAGGGAGAGGAGAACTTGGAAGACCAACGGAAATCTCCAGGATACCGAATTGGTCTTGACAAAGTAGAAGCCGAAATCAACCCAGAGAGCGAAAGTGATACCCGCGCCGATGAAAATGCCATCGGTTACTACATGCGCGCCGCGCTTGTTAGGCTTCGAGATCTCTGATTGCCAGACGGGCACCGTGGCGACATATCCGCCTGTGCCATATCCCAGGACCAGTCTTGCAACGATAAATTGCGCAAGGGAGAAGGACGTCCCCATCAGAATCGCACCAATCATCGAGATAAACGAAGTGAACAGGATCACCTTTCGCCGACCGAGCATGTCGCCGAGTTTAATGCATGACAGCGAACCGAAAATTCCACCGACGGTGTATAGCGCGACAACCGTTCCTGCAGAGACATGAGAAACCGGCCAAGAGCTGCAAGACGACGTTTCACTTGACATGCATCTGCGCCAAGAGCTGTGTGGGATTCCGTCATACCTTGGATGGTGGAGTTATAAGTCTTGTCTTCCTCACTCGCAGTGATGGTATTCATTTGCGGAAACGTCTCAGCAAAGGACTCCAAGGTCAACAGACCGCCCATCACGCCTTGGTTGTAGCCATATGTCACGAAAGCCGGACAAACGACCAGCCACATGATGGCCCTGTTCAGGGAAGGGCCCCGGAGGCCAAAATATGGCGCCATTGTATGTCGGTAGATGGAAAGACGAACGTAGGATTCGAGATGTCGAGATCATGCCACATCCGATGCCCCACTAAAGGCCCAATATGGGGTTAGGACTAATGTTCTATATACACTCATACCCTCGCACTGTTCAACGGCGAGCGCCGTCCACCGGTCGATCATAGCTCTGGGGAAACGCAGCGGTACGTGGGCCGGCACACCCCGGACCAACCACAGACCCATTGGTGAGGAGATAAAGGGGTTTAAGCCCAGTCCGTCGGCAAGTGTGGAGCAGAGGCGTCGAGCGATCTCTGAAACAGGACGATCGCATTGTCAGAAAGTCTTGGTTTCCCCGGATTTCTCACTGCATTCACATGGTTATGTGAGATCTGGCACTTATTTAGAACTTCCCCGAACTTCCCCACGTGTAGGCCAAGAACCCCGTATTCAAAAAGCTGGGGTGTAGCTGAAGTTCGTTGGTTGTCTCAGAATGGTCGCCTCGCTTCTGTGTTGTGCTCCACATCGGACCTGGCCGATGGAGATAATTGCGGACACTTTTACCTCGGGCCACGGTGAACTCGACTTTCGAATCATATTCTCGAATCTGTTGCACTGCTATCAGGCCAATTATCGAGCTAATTTACAAATTTACACGGGCCAATGGAGCCTGTTGAGCTCCCAGGGCGATCTAATCGTTTAGCTGCAGCCTGCATGAGAAGTCATTGACAGTGTCCAAACTCCGCGGAGTGCAACTTGTCGCTCGCAAGGACATTCCTAAGCTGGAAATTTACATGATCGACCTTGCGAACATCTACTCATGCAATTGGTTTCCATTGGTGGTACTCCAACATCACAGTCGACACTCATTCTCGTGCAGTGAACTTACTCCACGTTCGTATCCTTGGACCGTAGATGTAAAAGATGATTGGAACAGGGAAGAGGGCCGCAGTAAGACAACCAAGGAGAGTCATTGCCCAATTCACTCCCAAATTGTGAAACTAATGCGTCATCCAGATAAGCGAGATTCAGACAAATACCGCCCCGGATCGAAGGACATACCATTGGCTTCGCGAACAAGGGAAATCCAGCACCAAGCCATGAACGAAAGAAGGAGTTGGCGGCGAGCGCCGAGTTGGCATACATGGGATAGACATCAATGATGTAGTTGAGTCCCTGGCGAAGTCACAGTCAGCGGGCAAATCACCGGAGGTAAGAGGATATCTAACTGGGGAGCCTGGCAGACATTGAAGAATCCCCAACAAGAAGAGTCCATACCTGCAAGAAAATCAAAAGCACTCCTGCTCCCATAAACCCGCCCGAGACCACCTGCGGGACCCAAATCACATTGGGATTTGACGTCCAGCCGAACCAAAACATGCCCGCTGGTAGCAAGATACCACCAATGATCATCGGTATGAGCCTTTCCTCTGGATTTACCCGCCCAGTACGACGAAGAATACTGCGGTAACGCGTCAAGGAAAACCCAATTATAATCAAACACCCACAAAATACACCGACGACTATCCCGGCAAACGGCAATGCTCCGACGCCCTCGTTCCACCCACGCTCCTCTTGAAAGGAGATTGGGTAGGCCACGAAACAAATGTACAAAAACGCGTAGATAAATCCCGTGTACAAGGTGACAAGAAGAAGAATCGGTTCCTGGACTAGCATCAGAAATGGACGCAGGAGATAGCGTGTCGCGATATCTCCATAATTCACCACCTTCTCTTCTGCTTTGGCGTGGAAAGCCCAATTATTGCTCCTGGCGCGCTGGAGCCTGGCCCGTTGGGTAAGGATTGTCCCAGCAAAAGTCTCGGGTATTAGTAGGATACCGATGGCAGTGAAAGAGAACGCCCATATGGCGGTTATGTACTCCGTCCAGCGCCAGCCAAGGAAGGACATAGTGACAAAACCACCGACAACTGGACCAGCGACTGGGCCAATGAACGTGCATGCGGCGAAGATGGAAATGGCAATACCTCGCTCTACAGGCTCGAACATATCGGCCAAGATACCCGACACCTGACGCGGGGGTGGATGCATAATGAGCGAGAGATTTCCCTCATGTCGGGGGAGGATGTCGCAGACTCACAATTGCAAGAGGCGCACTGGCAAAGATGCCGCCGAAGAAGCGACATATAAAGATTGTCTGGAGGTTTTGGGCCACCGCGCAGGGAATTTGGAAGATTGAGAATATAAACATACCCAGAAACAAGGGCCGCTTTCGGCCATACAACTCGGACAGAGGTCCGAAGATGATGGGGCCAAAGGCGAAGCCTAGGACAAACAGACTGACGGCTAAGACCATTACTTCTTCAGAGACGCCGAACTTTCGCGCTGTCGGCCTGCTCGCCGTACTGAAGACGGATGAGGCGAATGTCACACAAATTGTCATTAAACCCAGCACAACGGTGATAAGCCATTTTCTCCACGCAGGGAAGTTCTGGGGTTTCCCCTGGTCAGATATATTAGATAAGTCGCCTCCCGGGTTCAGGTGAAGGGGGATTGCCTGCCGGATCATCTGGTCCATCCCAGTCGACGATTACGCTGCGTTCCTTCTGTGAGGGCCTTTCGGTGTATGTTGCAAAGCCTTCGTTTCTTTCTAAGATATCCCCCAAGTCATGTGTGTCATCATCAGCAAAGAGAGTACTCACGCTAGCTGAATCGTGAGCCGAGGAGGTCGTATTGTGAGAGGAAAGTGAGGTTTGAGTTTGTTTATCGGCCATTACAGATACGACCAAGCTGGTGTCTTTGCGTTCTCCGCGTTATGAGGCCCAAAGCGAGGTCCCCATCTGATATGCTGAGTCAAGTGAAGTATGTTCCGGCGGCGACGACATCGTTACGTATGTCAATAGCTATAAAGGAAAGTGGAAGGAATAGAAGGATCAGTTCCTAGTCGTCTGCTCTTCACGCTTCAGCTTATCTACATAATGAGAAGCCATTCAAGGTGTCGCGGTGTCGTAAAAATTCATCTTGCTTCATCGGAAAGAAGCGCCTGCATGGCCATTACGATACTAGCGGTGTCGAGGGATCAAGCTCGTGTCTTAGGAAGTTCATTGTTTTCATTCAAGAATCCACTGTTTTTATTAACCCGATTGAACTGGCTTTGGGACTAAGGATAAGAACCGGGAGACACAGGCCATAACTGTCATTGACGCATTCCTTTCAATACCGCACCACCCACTGCGCCGACGGAGTTTGGTTATTCACCGGGCCTTGCTCGCTCGCAAGCTTGGCCACATAGAACATGCATTGTCTCATAGTGACAGAGGGGCCAGAACCATGACTCTGAGAGCTGGATGGTTCATACACGTCAGTTGAATAGATAACTGGCGAGTATTGTGCCACCCATTGCCCGGTACCCAGTTGGATCTGCCGGAGGAAATGGTTTCGTCGTATGTGCTAAGAAAACCAAATGCAGTCGAGAGGTCACCCATGTACAGGAGAGGCTGGCCCAAAAGATGCCGCAGCAGTCCAGGGTTGTCGTATGCCCGGGTGAGAGAATGCTCAGCAACCCATGGGGTCTTCAATGTGCCCAAAAGCCTCAACTCATATCTAGGCTGACCCACGGTGCTTAATCCCACGACATCTGGAGGATTGTTGTATTCAAGGCCGGAGCACGCAAAGTCCCCAAAACGTAGATTTACCCCCTGGGCCGCCAGGGCCACTCCAAGTACTTGCCCTATCGCTTGCTGAAAACGTCTTCGAACGCCGTACTTGTCTCCAATGTACACAAACTCAGGTTCCAATATGTAGAGGCCAGGGGTAACAACAGCCGTGGAACTGCGACTCAACTCTTGGGCATCGTAACATGCTTGTACCGAGATCTCGAAATCGGGCCACGGGCTCAAAGTCCCGACAAAGGCCACATCGTGGAGTTCTGAGTACGTGGTCTTCCCAGGCCCGACCTTCAAGTCAGGTAGAGGGGCTTGTAGGATTCGCTTTGATAGGACGCGGGTTTCTGTCATGTTTCTAACTCCCGGCGCCAAAGTGGGGGTCAGTATAAGTTGCATACTGTCACGCACTGGTGTGTTGCTTACTGTGGCGCGTGAAACGGAATGTTAAGACAGATTGTAATCAGCTTGGGTATTTCAGCGCTGGTGATAATATCAACGAGATCAGCATAGGATCTTATCCATTCACCGAGTTTGCATATAATGCAACTTACCTTGCGTTACTCGCCAAGTACCTAAAACTCACTGGAAATTGGTGTCGAGAAATTCGTTCGTGTGTTCGGAAGTGGTTATTGAGAAAGACGAGGAAGGGGAAGAGAAAGACACACTGGGTCTTAGTCGTGCTGTGGTCAGGCACATGCCTAGCCCCATCCTTCCTTCCTCTCAGCCGTCATATGACTTCCAAGTCTCCATCGACATGAACTAAGCAAGAACCCCTTTTAAGTCAATTATGGGCATAATCTATATGGGAATGTGCTCATCCATTTCGAATTACAGGAAAGATTTGATCCATTGGAAGTATGCACTTTAGCTAAACCAGCAGACATTCATGTCAATCACCAAGCCCATTTAGTACTGTCTCTTTTCCAATCGGCGTTCTTGGGTGGTATAGCCAGGCACCAGCGAACAAAGGTCAGGTCGGTGAATTCTTCTTCAGGGTCAAGGCGGGCTGGGACTCGGAACCCTGCGATATGCCTAAAGCTAGTCAGCCTATTCTGCTCAGCACTGGGTATAGCAGATACCACATACATCGTCCCTGTAACTTCGTCGTAGATGATGTTCCTCAGTCCATGCACCGCTGGCTGCCATCCATAATGTTTCAACTCTCTTAGATCTGTTAGTTTTAATCTCGACCGGTGAATGAGGGGGTAAACTATACTCCCAAACATCGCGGAACTTTGCGCGGATGGCCTCACGTAGTAGACCTGATTGAGGATCCCAGAATTTGTCCTGGTTAAGTGATTCCCCGGGGACTTTCTCCCATACAACATGTGTAATGTATCCACCTGGGACCCGGGCATCATTGTCTTGTTTTCCTTCTTTATAGGCAAGGAAAGTTGGGACCACCGGACACTCTCGTAGTCTCAAATCCTTTGCCACGTCGAGCTCAGGATGCTTTCGTGGCGGAGCGGCCTGTTGTTGTCGATCCTCAAGGCGATAGCCATTTCCGGCGATGGGAATCTGAAAATAGATTCTCATGAATGCCTTCTTCTCGCTGTCTGTCGCACTGCGGCACCGATATGTGAACACGGTAAAGGGAGGCCCACCACCACCATCAAGTTCCCACTTTGACATTTGTTGGGCATCCTCAGTGAGCTTCTTCTCGAGAACCCACTTTTGGGATGAGGGTGTGGTGAAGTCGACCACTGTGCCTTCATAAAGCCCAGGGAATCCAAGCGTCAACATTTTCACGAATAGATACAATGAGACCGAAAATGTTCAGAAATCGAGTGGGAGAAAAAAAGGATCAATAATGTTGTGTAGTGTCATGTGGTCATGTTTGCCTAAATTGTCAACCTCATCGATCAGGCAACTTCGATAACTAAAGGTCTCAAGGATCATTTAGTAGATATGGTCCAGAGGTCAATTGCGGATGTCTAGGTCGCTAGAGCTCATGTCGTATTCCTTGAAAGCGTACACAAGCGGTTGATAGCAAATGCGATACTGTCTAGATTCTTACTACCTAGCGAGAGTAAGTTAGTAACCCTGGAAGAGACTGAGTATCGCCTCGCGGGCCTCGGTATTTTGCAAGTACTCAGCCACTTGGGCTGGTGTCTTTTCCTTTCTACCGAGCCTCCTGCCAACAGACAGGACAGTGGGGTCTGCGCCAGCCTCCAACAGCATCTGAGCGATTTCCACATTGCCGAGCCTCGCAGCGAGGTGTAGAGGTGTGCCCCATTCGTCGGTAGGCCCATTTGGGTCTACGCCCCCGTCAAGCAAAAAGCGGATCTTCAGTACGCGCTGCTGTACATGCGGAGCGAGACAGTAGAACAGCAGATTTGATTCCAATTTCGTGCCGTGCTTGAGTTATAGCTCTAGCATGGGGGTATCTGGTTCCCGGATGCTCACGATAACACGGCCGAGGGAAGGGATTCCCCTTGCTCCGCGGAGGTTAGGGTCCGCGCCGGCAGAGAGCAATACAGCAGCAGCCAAGGGATTAAATACTATACCATCAGAGAAGACATCTTATCACTTTTTAATAGGGCGCAACATACGGGAGGAGAGGTTCGCCACTAGAGAGCCTCGCGTTAGGGTCAAGCCGTTGTGTAGGAAAAGACGGACAATCCGAGGGTCCTGGTGGCAGTCTTTTCCGTGAAGATGGTCCGTTGCCCCTGCTGAGACGCGAGCACCGGCGTCAACAAGGGTATCAGCGTCATTAGTGTTGCATTCTCAAGTTCGGTGTCAAGGTCTTCAACGGTTAAGCAGCCGGTGGCGATTGCTTCATGGACGTTTGGCATGTCGCCAAGCAAGCACGCATGGTGAAATTCCCGGTGAAAGGCGTTAGGCTCCATTGTAGCAGGTTGCCGGATATCCGGACCAAATTATAGATGGAGATGGTTCCATGAATGAGGTCATATTGATATAGAGAAAAACACACGACCGACCCATTGCCAGATACGGTTATACCACCTAGCACATCATCAGATCAAAGGAGCAAAGAGGTTGGGAGCTTGCGCTTAGGAAGTAAGATCAGAGAGGTGTAGGAGTGTAGCCCCTTAACTAGCTGGCAAGGCGCTAGTCTCATTACAGTAGCGCCAATTTGGACTAGTACCCGGCATAATAACTCCCCACCGCCTTTATGCCGGGTAGGTATTTTCATTGGCTAGATAGTTTCCACCGCTTTCAGCCAGATTAGGAATAGTCTCATAGCCCTGAATTCCCATCGCGCCGACGGCGCGGAAGTTCCACATGAACTAGAACGCGCTTCATTCGACACATATTCATGGCGTTACCTAACAGCGTAAGTTGTGAATGTGGAAGGTGTGTCGCGGGCCTGTTATACATTCACTCTGGCCAAAGCAATGCTGTCTTCTTCTAATAGGCGGCTGAATCGTCGGAAAAGAAGTAAGGTCCATTGCCGACTGACTGCCTGCAAGAACGGCCATGATGCGAATAAGGAACTTCCATTGGACGTCTTATCCGAGAACGATAGGTGAATAAAAAGGTATGACGCGTCTATCATGACGGACCAGGAACGACTTGGCCCCATCGGAGTTTCAAATGCGGCAACGACTTAGTGATCTCTCTTCCTTGTCCCAGTCTAAGTACCGTGTCGCAGTACTTAGTTGCTGGAGTCCTTATCCTATATTTGGTTAGTACAATCATAGTTCGGGGCATCTTGTGCATTTTCCCCGGCTCGTTCTGCGATTTGTCTGGCCCAAACAGCGGTACGCATAGCGAAAAGGCCGGCCTCATCCCCCCGAATGAGCTCTAGACCGAAAGAGAGTAGGCGACAGACTGGGGTTGTGGTGTCGACCTCTGTGAGTGAGGAACTGAAAGGAGAAAATGCGGCAACTGGCCTGATTAGTGAAGTATTCGTGCCGCTTGCGCAGCTGGAGAAACTATATCCGTGACCATGGCCATCGTGCTCCGTGGCGGGGGACTGTCGCAGCTCGTCGTGGATGGGAAGCACGAGATGGATCTCGTTCTGGCGGTGTTGACGCCGACTCAAGGGGAAGTCATTGACAACTGAGCGACTCGCGAAGGTGATAGAAAGGCCTCGACATCCTGGCGCGGCGTTGGTGCTCACGCAGTCCGTTGGAGTCGTTTTCAGGACCAGGCACGAGCCCGGGTCCAGCGGTACGGGCAAACCTCACATTTTGAAAGAGACTTGCAAAAGTGGAGTTGCGCAGTGTCAGCGGCGGGAGCAGATTGGCAGTCCGAATGCCGGGCTAATGTCAAGGGAGCTGATCTCGCTTTCAAGGCGGCAGCACGGGGATGGGCTGAGGTGGGAGCGGTGGGACCTGGCTCTCCAATTGGACCGGATCTTGGGGGCAGCAAGTCATTTAGGGATTGGTTGGCCGTCCGATGTGCCACGGGAGGTGCGAGGCCCAATACGCGGAAGATTTGGAGACGCCAAGCTTCGAGCGTCAAAAACTAGAGTTCATTCGCATCAGTTAGTATCAGGGTTGCGGACGTCGGTGTTGCGGAAGTTGGTGTCCGCGCCACTGGTGCTGGTAACGCTGGTCTCGACAGCGTTACCCGTGTTAGTGCCAACGACGTCGCTGGCGGCGACGATGCGGTTGGTGACAAACTTAGTTTCCATCACAATGCTACCAGTCACGACATCGCTGGCGGCAATGTCATGGCTGGCGTTAAATGGGTCATTGGCCACGAAGTCGCTAGCGGCGATGACGCGGTTGTGATAAAGTTAACATCATAAGGTTACCAGTTACGACATCGCTGGCGGCAATGTCATCGCTGGCGGCAATGTCGTCGCTGGCGTTAACTGTATCGATTCGGGAAAGCTCAACCTTGGGAGCTCTGACTTGAGGAGCTCTGATGGGTGAAGTATTAACTTGGGCAGTTCTGGTCTGCTGGGTCAAAATGGGGCGAATTCCTTGCTGCTGAGATCCAGACTGAAGGGCTTCAAGCTGACTGGACCCAAGTTGAGGGAGTCTGAATTGGTAATGGCCATACTCAGGAGAAACATACTTACCAGCACCATACAGACCAGCACCATAGTGAGTAGCTCGACATTGAGACGCGCCATGCTGAGAGGCGCCAATTTCAGTGCCATAGGCAGCAGATCCTAACTGTCGTCGCGCGAGGTGCGGTGACGACGAGTAAACCAATGGAGTAGGGCCGACAGGTCTCCAGTCCACTGAAACTCAGCCTGGGTAACCAGCAGTCCTCGACTACCTCTCCAAACAATACCATGTCCCGACCACATGGGGAAGATGCCCATCCGGAGCAGCTGGCGCAAAACATGCCTCCGGATTAGCCCTCGGGGTCTTCGTACCCTACCTCCTCCATTCATACCGCAGTCGCAAAGGCAGGTGGCTCACCCGCCTGGTCTGGCCCCTTCCCCAATTCATCCACCTACATTGAATGCCGGGACCAATATCAACCCAACTGAGCTTCCTTTCACTTCCGGCAGCAGCACGGGGATGGACTGAAGTGGGAGCGGTGGGACTTGTCTCTCCAATCGCACCCAAGCTTGGGGGCGGCAAGTCACTTAGGAATTGGTTGGCTGTCCCGATGGGTCACAGGAGGTGCGGGGCCCAATACGCGGAAGATTTGGAGACGCAAAGCCTCGAGCCTCTAGTATCGGGGTTGCGGACGTCGGTGTTGCGGAAGTTGATGTGGACGTCGTCAGTGCCAACGACATTGCTGGCGACGACGATGCTGGCGTTAACCGGGTTATTGGCCACGAAGTCGTTGGCGGCGACGACACGGTTGACAATAACCAAGTTACCATCACAATGCTACCAGTCACGACATCGCTGGCGGCGATGACGCGGTTGGTTTTAACAATGCTACCAGTACCGACGTCGCTGGCAGCGACGACGCGCTTGGCGTTAACAGTCTGATGAAGAAGGTGACGAAGGAAGTTCGATTCTTTTCAGCTAGAACGACAGGACTGGAGATGAAAGAAAAGAGAAGAGGGAGGAGAGAAGAGGGAAACGACGGAGAGAAAGAAAAGTACAACCGAATCCCTCCCACCACGTGACAAGTCCTTTTCTCTCACGTCTCCTGCAGTCCTAATTCCATATGTCTCGTGACAAACAGTATTATCGGTGACGACGTCGCTGGCGGCAAGTCATCGATGACTCGGCTGCGATCTTCCCAATCAGATACCGTGTCACATGCCACGGCATCAGTGCCGCAGCTGGAAAGCTGGCTCTTTTCTCGTACGAGCCTTCTCAACATACTACACTACCACTTCGGCACAGGGCCTGGTAATGAATCAACCCGCAAACACGGGATTGTTCATCTGGTTTTCAGTGCCTGTATGGTCCTTGGTGCAGCTGTCACGCACTTTTGGATCCCGCCTATTCAACAAACGCCAAACCACAAAGGTAAGCTATGGGGTAATCTGCCTGCCCGGGACACTGGAAAGCCTGGCCCCCGGTCGGCGATGCTGGTTTTTGGAAACGAAGATTCCTGCATCGGGCGTTTCAATACGTGGCTAGAGCATGTCGATGTCTATCATCATTCACTTCGTATATACATTGGCTTGAATGAGTTGAGAAGATGGCAGACAGTGAGGAATATGTGGACACAAATTAAGTTACCACCCCCATATAACTAACTATGTATTTCATCACATTGGATTATACTGTGTACGCGCACGCTCGGAGCAAGTCTCCTATCTCAAGGTCCACGGCAGTCACCGGGCACCTGCATCGAGCACCGGCCTCGTACTTCCCCATCTAGATGGAATTAGAACGCATCAACGCAACATCCAATGTCCGCACAGCTAGCCCTGAAGCTGAAGATGTGTACTGTAGATAATAGGTTTATGTTGGAGTCGAGGTTGCCCCGAAGACACAACGAAGACACGCGCCAAAGGTTGATCGGAATAACCCTATTCCGGGACGAGCTTGCCAAGGAGACTTTGGAAGGTTATCCACTCATCGGCCAGGGCTATCGGCCCAGCCCCGCAAACGTGACGAGCTTGACGCGCTTCAACTTCGCGCTAGTAGTAGTACTGTGTATGTCTACGACTTCAGACCGCCTTCGCGCTCTTCGCACTCAATAGTTTGGGAGCTTGCTCACTCTTCCAAACACAACTCTCTCACTCTCCCCCTCCTGTTCCACTGCAGTAGGCTTCGCCACAATGCCTACCCAACAGCGTAAGTTGTTCATCATGTTCACTTTGATCAAAGCATCATCACCATTCACCCCAAGCAAAAGCCTTGTTTTGGTCGTCTACATCTTCCCACGTGATGGAAATGCTGATGGGCTTTTGAATCATTCAAATAGACTTCCATTGCCGACTGACTGCCTGCGAGAACGACCGTGATGCGAATAAGGAACTTCCATTGGAAGTCCCATTTGAGACCGATAGGTGAACGAAACGTGCATGACGCGGGTATCAAGGATGGACCAGGAGCGACTTGGGCCCCTCGGAGTGTCAAATTCAGCAACGGGCTTCGTGATCTCGGTTCTTTTCCCAGCCTAAGTACCGTGTCGCAGTACTTAGTTGCTGGACTCCCTGTCCTGGGTTTGGTCAGTACGCTCAAAGTTCGCGGCTTCCTGTGCATTTTCCTTGGCTCGTTCCGTGATTTGTCTGTCCCAATCAGCGGTAGGCATAGCAAAGAATTGCGGATCCATTACCCCGAATGAGCTCATGGACCGAAGGAGAGCAGGCGAGAGTCTGGGGTTGTCGGCCTCAGTGAGTGAGGAACTGAAAGGGAGCCAATGCGGCAACTGCCCTGATCGGTAGAGATTCCGTGCAACTTGCGCAGCCAGAGAAACGATATCCGCGACCATGGTCATTGTGCTCCTGAGTGAGGGACTGTCGCAGCTAGTCGTGGGTGGGAAGCACGAGATGGATCTTGTTCTGGCGGCGTTGGCGCTGACTCAAGTGGAAGTCATTGACGACTGAGCCACTCGCGGAGATGATAGGAAGGCCTCGACATCCTGGCGCGGCGTTGGTGCTCACTTAGTCCGTTGGAGTCGTTTCCGGGACCAGGCACGAGCCCGAGTCAAGCGGTACGGGCGAACCCCACAGTTTGAAAGAGACTTGCGGCCTCGCCAAAGTGGAGTTGCGCAGGGCCAGCGGCAGGAGCAGATTGGCAGTCTGGATCTCGGGACCAATGTCAAGCGAGCTGATTTCGCTTTCACTTCCGGCGGCAGCACGGCGATGGACTGAGGTAGGAACGGTGGGACCTGGTTCTCCAATCGGACTGGAGCTTGGGGGCGGCAAGTCATATAGGATTTGGTGGGCCGTCCGATGTGTCACAGGAGGTGCGGGGCCCAATACGCGGAAGATTTCGAGACGTCAAGCTTCGAGCGTCAAAACTCGAGTTCATTGACGTTGATATCAGGGTTGCGGACGTCGGTGTTGTAGGAGTTGGTGTCGACGTCATTAGTGTCCGCGACACTGGTGCTGGTAATGTTGGTGTTGATGGCGTTACCCGGGTTAGTGCCAACGACATTGCTGGCGGCGATGACGTTGGCGTTAACTGGGTTATTGGCGACGACGTTGCTGGCGGCGATGTCGTCGCTGGCGTTAAATGGGTTATTGGCCACGAAGTCGGTGGCGGCGATGACGCGGTTGTGATAACAAAGTTACCATCACAAGGCTACCAGTCACGACATCGCTGGCGGCGATGTCATGGCTGGCGCTAAGTGGGTTGTTGGCGACGACGTTGCTGGCGGCAATGTCGTCGCTGGCGTTAAATGTATCGATTCGGAAAAGCTCGACCTTGGGAGCTCTGACTTGAGGAGCTCTGATGGATGAAGTATTAACTTGAGCAGTTCTGGTCCGCTGGGTCAAAATGGGGCGAATTCCTTGCTGCTGAGATCCAGACTGAAGGGCTTCAAGCTGACTGGACCCAAGTTGAGGAAGTCTTAATTGGTAATGGCCATACTCAGGAGGAACATACTCGAAAGGAACATACTGACCAGCGCCATACTGACCAGCACCATAGTCAGTGGCTCCATATTGAGAGGTGCCATGCTGAGAGGGCCCAATTTCAGTGCCATAGGCAGCAGATCCTTACTGTCGTGGCGCGAGGTGGGGAGACGACGAGTACACCAATGGAGTAGGGCCGACAGGTCTCCAGTCCACTGAGACTCAATCTGGGCAACCAGCAGTCCTCGACTACCTCTCCAAAGAGTACCATGTCCCGACCACATGGGGAAGACGCCCATCCGGAGCAGCTGGCGCAAAACATGACGGCACGCCGCAATTCCTCTGGATTAGCCCCTCGTGGTGTTCGTACCCTACCTCCTCCATTCATACCTCAGTCACAAAGGCATGTGTCTCGTCCGCGTGGTCTGGCCCCTTCTCGAATTCTTCCATCTACATTGAATGCTGGGACCAATTTCAAGCCAGCTGATCTCGCTTTCACTCCTGGCAGCAGCACGGGGAGGGACGGAGGTGGGAGCGGTGGGACCTGGTTCTCCAATTGGACCCGAGCTTGGGGGCGGCAAGTCATTCAGGAATTTGTTGGCCGCCCGACGTGTCACTGGAGGTGCGAGGCCCAATACGCGGAAGGGCTGGAGACGCAAAGCTTCGAGCCTCAGAAACGCGAGTTCATTCGCGTTAGTATCAGGGTTGCGGGACGTCGGTGTTGCAGAAGTTGATGTGGAAGTCGTTAGTGTTAACGACATTGCTGGCGACGATGTCGTTGGCGTTAACGGGGTCATTGGCGCCGACGTCGCCGACAGCGACAACGATGCTGGCGTTAACTGGGTTATTGGTGACGACGTGCTGACATTGGGACCAATAGGGCCGGACATATTGGCGGAAAGTGCGTGGCCATACTTTCTGTGCGCGTCGCTTCTTCAAGTCGCATGACTTCACTCTATGAGCTGGTATGTGGTCGAGCGTAGGCAATACGTCTGAAGGCAGGACCGAGCGGTCTACGCAAGCATTCCCATGCACCAGAAATTTCAAACCTTCTGTTTACTTGTCTTTCCTTCACTCTCTTTGCCTCGCATTTCCCCGTCGTTGCTCACCATCAAGCACTACGGCTAGCAATCTCGCAGCTCTCCAGTCTACTGTGACTCAACCTGGGCAACCAGCAGTCCTCGGCTACCTCTCCACAGAATACCATGTCTCGACCACATGGGGAAGATGCTCATCCGGAGGAGCTGGCGCAAAACATGCCGCCACGCCGCAATTCCTCCGGATTAGCCCCTTGGGGTCTTCGTGCTTTAGCTCCCTCGTTCATACCTCAGTCGCAGCACCATGTGGCTCATCCGCCTGGTCTGGCCCCTTCTCGACTTTCGTCTACATCAATGAACTTCGAATGCGTTGTGCAACCTCAGGCTCATGCGCCTGAGCCTTCTCATGGCCATCAGTATGTCAATACCCAGCCAATCGGCCCCAAAACCCAGCAGACCAGGACTGCTCAAGCTCATACTTTACCCATCAGAGCTCCTCAGGTCACAGCTCCCAAGGTTGAGCTTCCCCAAATTGATACTCGTGCACTTGGCCCTAACGCAATGGTCCCCGGCCTATGGACGCCTGACCCGTTGAGCCCTGACTCACTGGCACCATCACCACCACCGGCAGAATCTACTCATGATCTGCGTCCCCCTCTCCCGTCTGCTCCTCCAATCGATCAGCAGCGTCTCCCCCTCCTCGCGGGCTTGCATCAAATGGCTTGGGTAGTTTTGGCCGCCTTCCATCTACCGTCGAAGAGATAGGACGGTCTTTCCTGACCACGACTACAATCGATCCCCACAATGTCTACAAAACCGCGACGCGCCCTTGCCAAATTGCTCATAGACAATACACGAACTGGACTCGGGTTGCCTACAGCGCTCGGATATTGCCGGAGACATTCTTGACTAGGTGGCATCAAGCTCTCGGAGAGGTGCGTTTGGTATTTGGATATTCAGCTCTCCCGAACATCATCGTCTTCAACCAATTCCTCTCCGCCGTCTCCGCCAACCCTGAAGCTCGCGATTGGGTAGCTTCCCTTCATGTTCCCATGGACAGACCGTTGGCAGACTCTGTTATGGAAGAGACATACAGGGATTTTCTTAAATGCAAGGCTCGTCGACTCGGCCACCCTCCGTCGATATGGAATCCTCAACCTGCGGAGACCAAGGCACCAACCGCTGAGGGAGGACTCAAGTATTACTGCCCACTTCACCACATTTTGACCGAGCGTTCTATGGAGGATTGTCCGCTCCTTCCACGAAACGCCAGCGCAAAGCAGGCTGAAAATATGGGTGGAAGCAAGAAGGGTGGAAGTCAGAAGGACAGGAAGAAGAGATGAAACCCAGACAGAAGAGGTATCCTTTTCCGCGAGGGTCATCTTCTTTGCTGAGCATTGGCTCTCGCATGTATGATACATTTCCCACCAATTCACCACTCACTTGATAATTTTGAATGTACAAATAATCTGGATGTTACCTCGTATGACTTATGTGACTTATGCCCCCGCAGTACATGTAGTACTCATAAGGATTGAATGATTCGAGCTCAATTTTGTACCTCATACTTTTTGGAGGATAAGCGCAGTCAAGATTCAGGGCACTTGCCAGTGGCCCTGGCAGTGGGGCAACCTTAAGGATCAAAAACCGGCAAGCTCCATCAGTGATTTGCTATTGTCCAATCTAGTTGAACCATCATCTAACTAGAGCCTCAGGAGGTTGGGTAAATGGAAATGGGAGGCCTTGTTTCACTGCGCCAGGAATTACGCAGTACTCTCCTTGAAGATTGTATTGGACTTTCAATGTTGGCAGACAGCCAGTCTAGATGGTCCGAGGCCTCATACCATCCAAGACATATAGGCCTTCGAATATCAGCAAGAAGGGAACCTGTTTGGGTGAGATCAAATCTGACAACCGAGAGGAATCATGACCGAGGTTCGGTTCCCAACCTAGGGTCAGAGTGAGATCTCCGGGGCCAGTCAGGAGTCAGCTTGCTTATCCAAGGTTTGATCTGCAAGGCGACTCCACAATAATTGGTCTGATCTACACCGTAGCACTAATTCTAATCCTGTATCTGAGACTTGTACAGCCTGGGCCACTCATACTGCTTCGATTATCGGTTGTAGATCTAAGCGCTCGCTGCTAGGGCTAAACGTTTAACGTGCAAATGGTTCATCCAAATATTCAGAATATAAATACCATCTGAGAATATCGATACCACACTGGACGTGTCGAAAGTAGCATAGCTGCGGAATAAAACACCCAGCGGAAGCCATACTATGCATTACCCCCTAAATAGAGGCGAAACAATCATGATTCATGATCGAACCCAACATTGATGATGCCAGCGGTTCGTTGAAGAGACAACGGTCGAGAGCTCTGGGTGAACGACTGCATCGGAGTTAGGCTAGCGTGGTGCATTTTATCGACGTGAACTGCTGACTTCGCCGGCCAAAATCCGAACCATGAGATAAGTCTCAGCGCCGTCGTGGCTCATCCGTTACTTTCAGCACACGAGAAGCTAGCACCGCCTGTATCATCATGAAGTGCCTTGCCAGAGACCCATAAACCCATTCCGCACTGGGAGAATCATTAGTGATCTGTCACCTGTGAATAGACTGGGTCGGTAAAGCTTGACTAACTAAGCAAGCCCCAATTGCGACAATCACCAAATTGATACCCGTGAGAAGGATCTTTTTCCAAGATTCCCCATACCGGCCACGGTTCATGAACAACCAAAATATTCCACTGAGACCATCTTTCGCCGCAGTCAGCAGTTTGATCGGTCATTCCAAAAGTAGTCACTCACAGGTAAACCAGCTGGCAAAAAGCGCGGTCTGTTCGGGGAGGTTCAGTTAGCCGCTGTAATATCCATCCAGGTGGTGAACACCCACGATAAGGCTCAAGAGGGTGTTGAAAACGGGGATTGCCTCGGCAATTATCCAGGCTATGATCCAAAGCAAAGCTGTCATTCCGATCCAAGTCCCGATGGAGAGAAAAGAACGCCGATGTATCTGATCTGAACCCCTGAAAATGCGGACATATATGTATTTCGACGCGACATGACCGTTGATAACACCGGCGATGACGATCTAAGCCATGATATTAGGGGATGATACTCTAGGATGCGAACGTCAGAAGAAGTCTCTCACCGTTGGAATCGCAATGCCATATGCAACCTTAGCCGTTATGGGGCTTGTCGAACTGAGGGCTGGTGATTTGACGTCCCTTCCTCCGTAGATGTATATCACGACGGCCGCGACCACGTACAGACTAGTATCAGTTATTTGGAGCATGTATAGAGTCTTGGGGTAATCAGTTGGTATCTTCATCTCAGAAATGAATCCAAAAAATGCCACATGGCCAGCTGGAAACTATGAGTTACTAGACAATTCAAAGTCACAGCTGAGGGCTTACCGTAAGCAAAGACAATATTTGTCACAGCCATAAACCCCTTTGCAAGGCTGACACTCGTAGTCGCGTCGACCTTGCCGTCACCCGGACGTTGGATAGAAATGGCGATCATGGTGATCAGGAGTGCTGCGATAATACTTGCAAAGGCTGCAACCGTCAGCACTGAGTTCATAGCAGAGTGGAACATCCATTCAACTAACAAGCAAAGGAGAACCAAGAAACCTTGCGCAAAGTCCGAGGCAAGGCAAAGACAAATGAAACAATCAGACCAACGATGCCAAATACAATTGAGCAAGTGCCGTGATCTGTCAACGTATTCATCATCACAGTAAATGTCAAAATATGACTTCCCATGATGAAGATGAGAAATAGAAGCTGGGCTGTCCCCAGGAATTCCCTACCGAAGCGAGGTATTCCAAGCGGACGAAAGAGCACCTCCCCAGCATCTCCCATGCTGTGTACTTGCGGATATCGAAGTTTGAATTGACCGATCACATATCCGGTGTAAGTTGCAACGCCTCCGAGTCCAACAATGAGAATGACGGCCCTTGGAGCGGTCTCAGCAAATGGATGAGTTAGGCGGGGATAGAGTGGACAGCTTACGGAACAAGACCTAGAACTGCCACAGCTGATGGAAGCGAGAGTATGCCGAGGGAAATGGTTTCCGCGATCATAATCATACCACATTGCCACCATAGTAGCGTTCGATACTTGGTTTCGGCATGCTCTTCATTGCCAAAGGGTTCCTCGCAATGTATATCACTAGATCGACGATGCTCGCCTTTTTCGATCGAGGCTTTGCTGTTATCGTCATCGGCATGCATGCCGTCATGTTGGAGACCTGACATTGTGTGATAGAGGGTCAAAAGTGACTGTCAGAAATTTCTCAGTCGGACTTTGTGCCTGAATACACCCCCAATGAGTGGTATACCGTAGGGCAATAAGTCCAAAATCGACAAATAATCATGATAAGAAGGCCCGGGATGAACAACCGACTTTATTTGCGCGCCTTTCACGGGTGGCAAGACGATGTCATAGTGCGGGGAAGGAACAGCGGATTCGGAAGGCGGAAGTTATGGGAGAGCGAGCCAATGAAGGTCGTAGGATCCATGATATGTCCAGACAAATAAAGAGTGAGCCGTGGGTACAAGTAGCAAATACAACCATGTTCTTCGTTAAAAGGCCAGCCTGGAGTGAGGATAAAGCTGCTGCCCGATCTCTGATGTATCGGATTGTGGACGTGCGGTAGCCTGTAGGAGTTGACATTGAGATCGGCGATGTTCCTGTCATCCAAGTAGGCGCCACCGGAGAGGGCATCATAGAATCGCTGGAGAAGAGCGATCATCCACTAACTAGGTCCCGATCAAGGCACCGTACTGTCGGACGTGTCGGTACTGACCGCCGACCGGACTTAACGGTGAGATTCTGACCGCGGAGCACAGACTGCTCGCCATTGAAAAAGGCCCTGCGAGTGATACCCGGAAGCTGTACAGCTTTGTATTAAGCTTCATAGTATTCGCAGTTTTGCCTGATGAGACTGCGGAAGAGATGGATACTATTCAATATCTTGATGTCATATCCGACGTTGCCCCACCTGGGGATTGAAAATCCGGGGGATGAGGCTGAACTGTGGCTGCGGATCCGAGCGGAAGAACCCAAAAGTGATCCACGTGATCCACTCGTAGAATGCAAGAATGGAACTGTGTTTGGAACCAGGCAGGTATTCCGAGAGTATTCATTATCTCGGCTTCAACTGTGTAGTCACGTCCAAAACATTCCTGGCATATTTGTTGCCAAATGGTTAACAGATTAATTACACATTGGTATGGTATCAACAATGGCCAAGTTCCGAATTTGCACACTTCAGCCGAAGGAGCGACTCCGAAGGGATTTTAGCGCATTAGGACTAGCTCGGGTTGGGGGGTGGTGGAATATGAACTTTGGGTGGTGTCCCGAGTTCTTCCCGACTCGGAATGTACCTATCTCCAAGCCAAATCCTGCCATAGGCGATTCGCTCTCTTGTCTCCTCAATTAGATATATTAGACAGCGCACCCCCCCCATGATTAACACTCCTCTCCCAATCCTGAGGTTTCGGCGGGAACACCACTTGTTCCAAATCAACAATCATGATCTCGCCCGTGTTGCACAGTAAGAAGTTGTCCAGTCGCTGGTCCCAGTATTCCGCGCCATGCGAATGTATAAGATGCATGGCTTTCGCAAGCTGACATCGAATCTCCTCCACAGAAATAGGAACCTCGCTATAAGCAATTTCATGAAGTGTTTTCCCGACCACCTCGGAAAGGATGATGGCAGGACTGTCGTTGAAAACCCCTTGGCCGAAAAAAGTGGGAATGACCCGGCCTTGTAGGCTTTTCAGTCTCTCATAGACTTCTATCTCCTGTTTAAATTCATCGTGCCAATTTTCTTTCATTGTTTTGACGATTACAACGGTCGGAAGACCGTGTAAATCCTGGCATGTTTTGAATTTCAGGCGATATACTTTGCGACGTGGATGCAGGCGTTGGATAGTTTCAGCATGGATTGGAATCGTGTTAAAGTAGAGTACCTGCTATATGAGAGACAATACAGAATTGAAGGTTTGAGGACGACATACCTGTTCTATTTCTTCATCGGATTCCATGGCAAATGTCTCCTAGAAATTGAGCCTTTCGAAGGGGGAGATAACTAGGGGAGATGAGTCTTCTTATTTAAGCGCCCGGGTATCTATGTAGAGCGGTCTCGCAACCCAACATGGTCCTCCTCCTTGCATTGAACACGGGAAAGTGCAGGGATATGCCACTAGGCTCTGACCTATCATCCCTGAGCCTATCATGCCGCCCAATGGGATGGGGGCACCTTGCGAATTTCCCTTCAAATAGTGTGGAGGATGCCTTTCCTGGCTAATTCAGTTTGTGGGTACCAAAATCCGAGCAATGGGGTCGCTGAAGTTCACTGCTAGGACGACTTTAAAGGCATGGGCTGGGAATTCTTACAATTTACACCTTCTGAGCGAAGAGAGTGGTAGGGATAGGTCTTGATAGTACTGATATTTAGAATGGATTCTATCTATTGACATTGACATTCTAGTTATTCTATCAGAGACTCACACATCTTCCTCACTTTTGCCTTCCCAAGCCAACCACGCGACAAAGATCCACGACTTCAGAATTGCAGCTGTCCACAGGGCCCCCATCATGCCAACAGTACTATGAGCCCAGAGACCACCCAAGATAACCCCCAGCAATAAGCAAAGCACAGCACCAAGGCGGCGCATCTCATCAGCATGACGGACTACCTTCGTCGACAAAAACTCAGGATGCGAAAACAAATCACAATAAATGCTAGTAAGAACAACACTAGTCAAACTGGCCTGATTCAGCACACGACTCGTAACCGCCTGTCCACTACTCTGGAATGCGACCAGCGCAAGCGGGACTAGAACGAGCCAACTCAGGGGCGCATCCCGACCGGGCTGGAAAACCGTGACGATCAACGCGGCAAGCGACACACACAGCGCCTGGAACAGGAACGAGGCACATAATACCCATCTCCGTCTCGCTGGGAAGAGACGATGGAAAGAGGCGAAGCATAGCGAGCCTAGGCAGAAACCTGCGATGGACACTCCCGACTTGATCCAGCGATCGTCCTCGGCGCCGACGAGCCCCAGGCCGAAATATACGGTGTTGCCTGTTTGCATGCTGACGAAGGAGCCCCAAATAAACACGGCTGAGCTGTCGAGTAGACCGGTAATGATGTAGCAGAAAAGAAGGACGAGATCTCCATGGGCTGGAGTGATTTCCTCGCGCAGGTATTTGGTGAGACGTGAGGGCTGGGCATTTGGTGTGTCATTGCCCAGCAGGGGATCTGTTTCTCGAGACATGAGGTGCGCGGCCGATATCGAACAGGTGAAAAGTGAAAAAAAGGGAGTTGGTTAAGATTCAGTACGTGCGAGAACTTCCGAGAGTGCTTCCGAGAAGCACCTTCCAATCGATCTCCACATCTAAAAGCCCCGCACTGCGTCATATCTCCACCCGTGCGGAGAAGAATTGCGAGATGCTGCATCAGGTGTAATCAGGCAGTCACATTTGAGTCAGCAATAATTAAGCTTCTTGAAACATGACGGTACATGACAGTTGGTCCTTGGAGAACCGTCGGAGATGGTGACGTCGATGCGGGGAAATCCGATTCCCGAAGAAGTATACACTACACAGTACTTCTCCCGACGAATTCCCCCTCTTCCCAGCTACGTGTAACTATTCTTTTTTTAACAACAATGCAGCTTACACGCTTTCTGCTGAGCTTGGCAGTCTCTCACATTGCAGGGGCTGTCCCTGCCCCGGATCTTGATCTGCAGAACCTCCTAAAAGTACCAGCCGGCCATCCAGCAGGACTATTCCAACAAACCGTGATTGGACCCGAGCCACCATTCTCTCCGGGGCATCGCGACCCTTATGATCACAAAGTGGACTCTGTTGGCGATGGGATACAACCCCTGCCATTCCGTAACGGAGATGGTACTACAGTGATGGGACCGCGTAATCCAGATCGCGAACGTCAAAATCCCGATATTGTCCGGCCGCCAAGTACGGATCATGGTAGTATGCCTAATATGCGATGGAGTTTCGCGGACTCACATATTCGGATTGAGGTAGAGTGTACCTAATACATCTTCACGAAAGATACCCGTCAAACTAAGTATATCTTTGAGTTTAGGAAGGGGGATGGACCCGCCAAACCACCATCCGCGAGCTACCTACCAGCCGTCAGCTTGCAGGTGTCAACATGCGCCTAGACTCGGGCGTTATTCGCGAACTGCATTGGCATACCGAGGCCGAATGGGCGTATGTGCTTGCCGGAAAGGTGCGAGTTACGGCACTCGACACAGAAGGCGGCAGCTTTATGGACGATTTGGAAGAAGGCGATCTATGGTACTTCCCTGCTGGCCATCCACACTCGCTGCAGGGACTAGGTGAAAACGGCACCGAGTTTCTTCTGATTTTCGATGACGGCCATTTCTCCGAAGAGTCTACGTTTGTGTTGACTGATTGGTTGGGTGAGTCGACCTTGCCCTTTCCTTCGCCTACAGCTGCCCTAGAAAGTGCAAATGCTAACTCAATCTCGCAGCACACACCCCAAAAGCCGTGCTAGCAGAGAACTTCGGCATGTCGCCGCAAAAGTTCGACAATATTCCCTCTTCGGAGAGATACATATTCCAAGGCTCAAAGCCCGGAAGCATCGAGCACGAAAAGCCGCGAACCTTCAAAAAGTCCAAGATTAACTTCACGCACCACATGCTCGCTCAGGAACCCGTACAAACGAGCGGCGGACTGGTTCGGATCACGGATTCTACAAACTTTCCTATCTCCAAAACCGTAGCAGCCGCCCATCTGGAGATTGCACCCGGCGCACTCCGTGAGATGCACTGGCACCCGAATGCCGATGAATGGACGTATTACAAGAAAGGTCGCGCGAGAGTGACGATATTTGCCGCTGAGGGAAATGCAAGGACGTTCGACTTTGTAGCTGGTGATGTCGGCATCATACCTCGGAATATGGGGCACTTTGTCGAGAACCTCAGTGACGATGAGCCGTTGGAGATTTTGGAAATCTTCCGAGCGGATCGCTTCCAGGATTTCTCTTTATTCCAATGGCTTGGTAGCACGCCTCGCCGAATGATTGCTGATAATATCTTCCCGGATGACCCAAAGGCCGCGGAGGAATTCTTGAAAAAGATTGAAGGGGCTGAGAAGGATCCAATCAAGGATACGATCTAGAGCTGGCCCTTCATGTACTGTGACGACTGGCTTGACATATATGGATGCTGGTCACTGTTCAAATGATCGCGGTATCTGGCATCGAATTGTCAATGACATACGATATGGATGCAATTTACATAAACGGAAAGATCGCTGTTCTTTTGCTGTACCTAATGTCTATTGTCTACCATACACGACTGTTTGTTGGCTCTTCTGGCATTCCCTCAAATGTATGTAGTGGTATGTAGAGAGCGCTCCAACGCCGATAGAGAATTGAACCTTCTTCTCTTCCCTCTCTGGCCATTTGCCGGATAACCTTCTTTGAGGACACGATGGGCACGGTAATATGGTATGTTGCATATCAACACAGTTCTAGTATGTTCCCATCCGCACAGCACCTCCAAGGTCTAGACGGGACCTGCTACAACTATATAGGTATCGATATAATGAATAGATCAGGAATCCCTATCCGACACTCTGACAAGCCGATGAGCCGTAGCACCATCGTCCAGCTTCAAGATAGTCTGCTCCCACTTGAATCCCTGTATTCTCGGCAGAAGCTTGATCCAAACGAAGTAGTAAACTCCACACAGACCGATACTAAATGGACCAATGTCAGTAATTCATACTACTATAAAGTTCATTCGGACAATAACTTACATGCCGAGAGCGACGGCGCAATATGTCGCATACCAGAAACTTACATCCCCTCCATGAGCTCCCTCGGTCGGTGGATACCACGGCATCACCACCATGTACAGGTTAGAGAGAATCGCAAAGGCAACTGTGATGTGCCACGCCTGGTACTCTGGCGCTGGGATATTGAGACGTGCGCGACGAATCCGCGTGATCACCAATCCTATGGTCAGCAACGAGCCGAAGAAGGACATTGCGTAGACCGCGAGATCCACAACTGCTCTCGGAATTAAAGGTCAGTACACAATATATGGAGTTTCGGGTGTGATGAATGGGACTAAGCTGCCAGACGAGACGAGGTAGGACGCACCGAAGTTGAAGGCATCACCAGCCGGTGGCGCAATAATCATCAACACTGTTAATCCCCATTTCACCAGATATGGGCCGAGTGGTGTACCGAAAGGTCTTGTCGAAGTCCAGAATGAAGTGAAGGGTAGGACTCCTTGTCTGTAGCGATCAACTGATTAGAACTATTCAAATGAATCCAGAATCATTGACTCACCTCCCACACTCTCTCAGCATACGAGACTGACCAATGAGGACTGCGAGTAGATTCCCAAATGCGCTCAGACAGATGAGAAAATTCAATGCTGAGGCAGCACCACCAGTCCCAAATACCTTTTCGAAAAATAGACCGGCGGCGACGACCTTGGACTCAATGATCTCCTCCTTGCTTGCAGCACTGAAATAGGCAATGTTCGCCAGCAAATATAGAGCTGCTGTGACACCCAAAGAAAGTGGCGCACTCCATTTCAAGGTTTTGGTAGGGTTCTTGGTGCTTGTCAGCAGACATCCCAACTACAGGGCTGCGTGTAGGTGGGGTTGAGGCACATACTCTGACTTCGTTGACGACATTGAACGCATTCTCGTAGCCCGCGAATGAGAACCAGACTTTGGTTAAAGCATTTGTTGCTCCATATGCTGTCGCTGTATCGGTGCCTTCGAATGCGTTCTTGAAGTTTGCTGTAGGGTTTTTGACCGAGGTGTGGCCACCGAGGACCACCAAACCAGTTATTGCGATGCTGTTTATATCAAGCGTCGAGTCAGAGTCGCCGCTGAATGACTTCGGCTAGTCACCATGGATATTGCAGTGGAGACTCACAAAATCAGCGTTACCAGCTTGACCAGCCCAATGGCATTCGCCACTCTGAGGGACCATCTAGTATTGAATGCCAGAACTATGCAGTGTCATTAGCAAACATACCCCACAAACCACCTACAGGGCATCTTACCCAGAACTGCAACGCTATAACAAGCCACTGCCACTCCCTTTACTTCCCAATTAGTATAGTCCGAGTCCGCAAGTTTGAAAAGATATTGCGCCAACACTAGACCAGATTAGCAAGTCGTCACCGGATCAAGCCACAGATGTGTAAACGTACCAACAGCATTACTGCTACTGAACGAGAAAAGCACAGTCTGCATTGCAAAGACAGTCGGAAAGAAGTACTTCGGTCGAGGATACGACTGCTCCAAGTACACGACCTCCGAACCAGATCGACTGGGGAAACAAGCCGCAAACTCCATGTAAACGGACAAAGAGCTGGCCGCCATCAAATATCCAATCACCCAGTAGAACAACGTGAGACCGACGGAGCCAGCACCTTTGAGGACGGTCGATGCTGTTACCTGTCAGTACATCCAGCCAGCAAATCGTGGGTTGTACGCACGCGTCGAGAAGACTCCTGTCCCGATCATCTTGCTCAAATTCAAGAAAACGACAGTGACCCAGCCGACCGAATACCCCAGCGGTGAATGGACCTCGACGGGTGCCCCCGATGCGTCTTGGTACGTTGCTTTGGTGGTGTTCCCACCAATCTCCGTGGTGTACCCCATGTTGACATCGTCGCTGCCCTGTATCGACTCGGTATTCTCGTTTATGGAGGATTGGAGACCCATGATGTATGACGATTGTGCTGAAGAATGCACGCAATGCTGGAATTTTGTACAGACCTAATTGACCAGCGAGGATGAGTAGATATATTAGTGATTAACCCGGCCCTGCCGTCCTATCTGATGGCCGACAGGGGTGTCACCTGGAGGCCTCATAGCTGGCGATAATGGTGTGATCTGATAAAATAGCCGACGATGAATCGACGTCTTGACCAACATTGCTTTCAGTGGCAGGTTGTATCTGCATGCAGACTCCCTCTCTAGGTTGCTCTGCCCAGGCGTGCTTTGGCTTGCAACGTGCAAATAAGCAAGGTCGGGCGGGGCTTCTGCGGGCGGGATATCGGAAATGGCAATCTGTGACCAGTCAAATGCACTGTTCTGAACGCCATGAAAGGCCAAGTGTTTCCAAGCTTGTTGCGAAACGGCATGGCCAATGGCGCAATATTTTGCCACGGGACATGAAGATGAGGTGATGGACACGAAATGAGGGGCTGTAGGTAGTCTCATCCCTGAAGATCGTAGCAGGAGCATTCATTTATTGAAACTTCGACGTATTGACATTGTGAGGTCGATTGCCCGCTAAGGCTAACATTATGAGCCAGGTCGATCGACAGCTACGCGAGGATCCATCTATCGTCTGATCAGATGTCCAATATCACAAAGAGAAGACAGGAAAAGGTAGGAATGTCCTACGGAGGAAATCCATTGCTGGGCTTGAGGGACCCAGGGGGATTAAGAAAAGGACATCAGAAGTCCCATTCAGCCTTTCCATCTTGTCTGTGTGGCATTCTTCCAGTTCCACGCTAAGTCAACATCGATTGTAGGTCGCTAGTGATTGCCGTGGAAGAATCACCACCTTGAGGCATCCACATAGCTGTAAAAAGTGTTTGGCTCATGGAAACTATCTTATTCTTGCTCTTCTAGGTCCATTCAAGACGAACTTAAGTAAGTAGCAGGGCTTCGGTACTGCTGAAGATTGAAGGGCTGATCACATGTCAAGGCAGGGGAAGGGACGTGTGTTTACATCTGACTCTTCACCGCCCCATCGTGCCTTCCTTTTGGACATTGTACTGTCAACTGTGCATTGTTGAGCTCCTTCCCAAGTTGTTATGTATTCTTCTTCGCCCTGAGACTCTGCGGGAATACTTATACAGTGCAAGTTGATACTCTCGATACTGAACAGGAAAGATTTGCGTAACCCCAAAACCCTTCCGCCTAAAAGGGGCGCTAAAAATAGGCGCCAAGGCCCAAGCCCACACGCGTCCCTATAGAAACGCCGCATGCCATTTGGTGATGTGGCTGACGATCTTTTACAGATCAACTCCTTTAATCTCAGCCTAGTTTGCGGAGCTGTTTTGCACCTAGAGGCTATCCGATGCCAGTTTGACATTTTGCAACTTCTCCAATCTCCCTATCTTTCCCTTCCCCGATCCACAATGCCAGCCCTATATGCAACGCTAGCCCGAAGCGTGGTGGAAACGGCCCCGCACCAACTAGCCCGGCGTGGCTTGACAGTCAACCATACCCAAGCTGTGACCTTGGGGGTGATGGCCGCCTATGTGGTCGTCATCGCCCTACTATGGAATATACCCTATGTCCGCTGGGTACTATGGCCCTTCAAAGTAAAACCACCCCCAGTATTGAGCCCACGACACTACTAACCCGTGAGTCGTGACAGATGCTGGTCATTGCCTTCCATGAGTTCGGCCATGCGATTACTGCCTGCTGTACCGGCGGCAAAGTCAAGTCTATCTCGCTGGATCCGCACGAAGGTGGTGTAACCCATATGCAAGGCGGTATCAGTGCCGTCACTCTACCTGCTGGCTACCTTGGGTCATCGATTATCGGTGCTTTGTTGATCTTTGCCGGGTTCAATATTGTTGCCAGCAAGGTTGCCAGTATCGTCCTCGGTATCTGCTTCCTACTCACGCTATGGTGGGCGCGGAGAGACTGGTTGACTATCATGACTATTCTTCTCTCGGTCGGCTTGTTGGTGGCATGCTGGTTCATTGCCCATGGCGAAGCCTTGCGCTGGGTCGTGGTAAGTCCCATATGTTCGACTGTCAACTTGCAGGATTGTACTGATATTGTTCCGCCTCTAGCTCTTCATCGGTGTCATGTCCGCTTTGTACAGCGTCTGGGATATTGTAAGTATCATATGGACATTTACCCACCGGAGGTCTCTCTCTAACGGCTTTGGCTTTAGTGTGATGACCTTATCCTCCGCAAAGTAAATAGCTCCGATGCTAGCGTTTTTGCGAAAAGGTATGGCGGATCATCCCAATGCTGGGGTGTCATTTGGTCTCTCATTTCTCTCGCTTTCATGGCTGTTGGCATTATTGCTGGGATCGCAGCATTCCATCAATCGTTCGACGAACAACAGTCTGATTCCAAGCACTTCATCCCGACTCGCTAGAACATGTTGGGGGGATTATTGAGATGCTGCCATCGGAAGTTTTTGACTTTTAATGAGTTATGGAAACGCGTTAGGGAAGATACCCACAGAGCCCAGGACTTGAATACTTTGGTTACATGTATAGTTATCCTGCACATCAAGCTACGTCGTGGCCTATTATCATCATGAATTGAATTACCACACTTGAGCAACATGGCGATAACATTGGATGCCTGACGATTTGTTCGAAGCAATTGTAATTTATTTGAACTGCCGAGGGCTATGGACAGTTCTTGGAGGAAGGTCTGATACTGGTACAAGTATGTGTCGATTATAACTTCTAGTTAGGGTAACAGGGATTTGCAGAATAAGTGCAAGGAACTATTGTAGATTGCCACCCTCCCAAGCCTCCTCGTGTTGCAAAGCCATCTTGGCCATGACGTCCCGCGCCGCAACCTTAGCTTTCCGCTTCTCATTCATGGCAATGTCGTCTCCGCTGTTATCCTGGTCACCAATCAGGTTCACATTGAAGGAACCAGAGTTGCGCTTGCTTTTCTTGTTTGGTCCTAGATTGGAACCAGAAGGAGTCTGAAGGTTTCCTTCATCATTTGGTGCAGGAGATGGTGCACGCAGACTGGGACGAGATGCGCGACGCCGTAACCCACTTGGCTGATTGTTTGACCCAACGTTCCCCGGCGTGCCAGAGACAGTACTGGGTGACTGTGTGGCAACAGCGTTGGTGGCTTGGCTGACTGACTTCCTTGGTCTCCCAGGCCGTCTTTTTTGCGGAACTGGCTCCTGCTGCGGGGCAGGCTGTTGTTGCGGCTGGGGAGGAGCAGGTTGGGGAGGAGCAGGTTGGGGTTGGGGAGGAGCAGGTTGAGGGGCAATTTCCGCAGATGTACCCAGGCGTGGGCGTTTAGCTATCGTTTGTTGGTAGGTGTGAGTTTCGCTTTGGAGTGGCCTGAGAGGATTTAGAGCCTCCGGGGCATAGACTTGAAACTCCCCGGACCTAACCATCTCGCCAGCTGACCCATTGGTAATGGCGGATTGATCTTGATCGTTAAGAGGAACCCGTGAGGAAAATAATGTCGGGTCTGCGAATGACATATCATCCGCCATATCATCTTCGTCGAATGAGTCTGCGATTGCCTGGCTGCGGTCACTTGAGAAAGCGTCCGGCCAGGCCCGCTTGCGGCCCGCTTGAAGTAAGCCAGGGCTCCGAACTTCTGGGAGCGCGGCGTTCATATTCATGACCGATAATGGCTCCTGCTGTGGCGGCAGCGTCACACCCATGTACCGATTCTTGAGCTTGAGCGCTTCAATCTCCAATTTCAATTTCTCAATCTCGTCAGACTTAAGCTTGAGTTCCTTCAGCACGGTTGCAAACATGTCGAAGTCATGCCCTTGTAGCGACCCTTCCCCTGCCATTCGATTTGGCCCGTTCAACTCGATTCGAAGTGCCGTGAACGAATGCTTGAGATCTGACATTGTGTCTTGGAGGTGGTTCACTGAGCTCGAAATCTGATCGATACTCCTGCCTTGGTGTAGCATTTGTCTTTGCATGGTTGGATCCATGGTAGTGGGATCGGAGTGGCCCGCCGGCACCAGCGCACTCCCCTGAATATGGTCGGGATTTCTTCGTGGGGATTCTTTCGGGGTGGGACAAATCAATCGTTCGAGGGCTCCCTGTTTGAAGAGCGGCTGGACGGTTCGCATGGTGACAATTTCCCTAAAAGCGACTTTGGACATCTTCCACAAGATGTTCATTCTAGAACCGAATTAGCCGTAAGAAATGGCGCCCTTCTTGATCAGCCACGTACCCATTATCGAGTGGACAGATTACCCCCATTCGTTGCTGGCAGAGTTTGCAGGAAACCTCCTGGATGACACGACCACGTAGAAGAGTCATATCAGACGTATGAGGAATCTGCTTTCGCTCTGAGGAGACAGAAATCCGATGGAGGTCGACGCTGAGCCATGCTGTCGGGATGGAATAGGCATTAGACAGTTTGCCCCATTCGTTCTCCAGTGCTGCCAGCGAGCTGGAGCACCGAGCGCACTGGCACAATATGCCAGGACGTGTGAGATGGGACAGGTCCATCTTGGCGCGGTCAGTTTGAGCTGAGGAGAGCTGTATGTGTGAGGGCGTCAACCTCTGAGGCACATCGATAAGGTCCCAAAGTTGGGGCAATGAGAGTGCTGAGTCGTCAGTCGAGGCCAATGAAGGGCTAATCCTGATTGGGTTATCGATAAGAACCCTCTCAGGTTACCTCAGCATGATCAGACTACGTTGATTGGCTGTGGTAAAGTCACATGACCAGCCCCCAGTGACTACGGGATCACGTGTTGCTCCCCCTCTTTCTCCAATCTTCTCCAAATAGACATGGGATCAGTTTCAACGAATCCATGAATCGCTTGCTGCTCCCAATTCGTCGCTCTTCCTTGACATTTCGATCAAACCAATTGCAAGGATTGACACCCGTTGTTCCATTTTCCATGGCACAGCTTTCAACCAATGCCAAGGCTATGGTCTCGGCGGTCGTCAACAATGCCGACAACAAGTCCACTTGGACCACTTCCTGGCATGGGGCTGGAGCCGCGGAGTTTGATCTCAGAAGTATGGGGTCAATAAAGAACGCAGGCGTAATTTGCACTAACCTAATATAGGCGACACAATGACGAAGCCTACCCCCTTGATGCTCGAAGCTATCTGCCAAACTACGCTTCTGGACGATGTCTTCAATGAGGACCCAGTCACCAATGAGTTTCAAGAACATGTCGCCGAAATCACCAAACATGAAGCTAGTCTGTTGGTTCTTTCCGGTACAATGGGGAACCAAGTAGCCATTCGCTCGCATCTCGCACAGCCACCCCATTCAGTGCTGTGTGATTATCGATCTCATATCATTTGTTATGAGGCTGGAGGTGTAAGCGCCTGGACTGGTGCCACTGTTCAAACCGTCACGCCGAAAAACGGGGTCTATCTGACTTTGGAGGATGTCAAGAAGCACGCTGTGCTTGACGATGATATTCACCACTGCCCGACCAAGCTAATCAGCTTGGAAAATACACTTGGCGGAACGATCATGCCACTCGCCGAGGCAAAGCGCATCGTGGAATGGGCCCACTCTAATGACATCAAAGTTCACCTGGATGGTGCCCGATTATGGGAGGCTGTTGTCGCCGGTGCTGGGAGCTTGCCCGAGTACACAAGCCTATTTGATAGCGTCAGTCTTTGCTTCTCGAAGGGATTGGGAGCGCCCATGGGCAGTATCATTGTCGGGTCCAAAGACTTTATCAAGAAGGCGCGCTGGTTCCGCAAGTCCATTGGTGGCGGTGCCCGACAGACGGGTGTGATCGCAGCTGCCGCGTGGGTTGCCCTTGACGTAACTTTCGGGACAGATCCTAATGGCCAGACCGGAAAGCTCGCTGCTACTCATGAGAAAGCGAAGCGGGTGGCCGATCTATGGACCAACCGCGGGGGCAAGCTGGAGCACCCCGTAGACACCAATATGGTATGGTTGGATCTCGAGGCCTCGGGAGTGGGTCCAAATGACCTGGCAGAGATTGGGAAAGAGAAAGGGCTCCAATTACTTGGTGGTCGCGTTGTGATACATTACCGTAAGTGGTTCCCATACTCACCCCGGACTAATGATACATGGACCGTGTCTGATTCGTTACAGAGGTATCGGACGAGGCCATCTCACGGTTGGAGCAGGTGTTCGATGCTGCCCTCAAAGGTGATTTCAAACGGAGTGAAGACACCAGCAAGCCTTACGGTAGCAGATAACGGCGTTGTATCTCTCACAAGCTGGGTAATAGTCCGACAGCTGACGTGGATGATCTTGTGGATCCTGATGCAAATCAACTTCCTCTTTTTCGACATCGCAACAGCATTCATCCCAATCCAATTTATGCCGTTCATTGTTCTGACGTGGGTCATTGTCAACGTTGCTAGCACTATCAGTCCGTTCGAGATGAGCGCCGGGTTCTTCCACTGACATGCTGCGGACTTGAATCTTGGAAGCTACTCATACTTCCTGAATGGGCGATTCTCTGGTTTGGCGCGCGGAGAATTCGATGCAATTTGCTGCCAGGTCGCACCACGCCCGGCGCGACCCCTATGGTATGTAAATAGTTTTTTTCCGGGGTCATGACCAGTCTGAATCTACGGAGACCACGAAGCAATACAGTTCTGTATTGGAAGCTCATGAACTATGTATAAATGTGATACCATGCATCCAGATACCTATGTGAACATATTGCCACACTTCTATACTTCCACTGGACATAGTCCATAGGTAGTATATCCATCGCGTGGAAGCAATCACAGGGAAGTTATCTACTCCTCTGGGGCAGAGTGCCCCAGCTTTTCGGCAGCGTGCTTCTTCCCGCCCTCCGTCACGCGAGGATTATGCTGCGCGCTACATGGATAGGTCAATTAGATATTGAACAGCTTTTCCTTGAGATCAAACTCACGCTTTAAGCCCAGCTGAAACCCTCACTGGGTCTTTGTTTTGATCTCTTCCGTGATACAAATCTTCGCGAGGCTGATCACCGCCGAGCTCATCAAGCATGGATTGTGCATGCTGCTTTGCCTTTTGTGAGACTCTTGGGTTGCTCAGGGTACTGTGAAAGATAGCCTTAAGCTTTAGATATCCCTGAGAGGTTCTGTGGTTCGAAATATTGAACTTACGCTTTGTACCCACGCATCTCGTTGACTCTCTCTTCTGCCGACATGTTGGTTTTAGGTGGTTCGTTTCAGTAAGTGATTGTTTAAAAGAGTCCAAGTCTGATTCCGACACAAAATTACTGTACTTAAATGTTTTCCAATTCCCTGTCGGTCGACATATATCATCTCTCCGTCACAATATTCTGCCACCATTTATTCGCCGTTATGATATAACCATGATGTGCTACGATCCGAAGCCTGGGCATAGCCTCCATAGGCTCCATCCCATCATATGGCTGTACGTTAGGGCAAAAGTCCTTTAAAATTTCCACCCTTGGAATTGGCAATCACTCTTCTCCATACCAAGGATAAAGGTCGAATTGGGTGGCTGAAAACAGACCGATTGGCCTTCGAGTACATGGAGCCTCGCCACCGGAAGACGTCCTACTGTGTAGGAAGCTGTCTGTGTACGGAGACTGAGGCAATGCGAGCGCCATTGGAACGACCTGAGTCTGCCTGGGTGTCTTAAGCGTCCACCAAGCCGAATCTAGGTTGCAATTACAACATTTCCACTACGAGGTAGGAGTAGGACCGTCCCTGGCCAGGCGAACGCCCTCACACAGCGGCGGTCCGCTTGGGGAACTCGCATCCGCAGCTGGTGCATACTATATATATATAATGGCCATTATCCTGTTGGTATACGTGTATTCCGTGTGATTGGAACCCCTTCAAATTACTGTTGTCCGGACAGTAAGTCCGGTGGTACCTCTGAGTAGATCAGTACCCGGTCGATACTTTCACTTCAGTCTCACCCTCTCTTCTCCATCTCCCTCGCACTGTATGGAGCGAACATATCTGCGCCGTAAATGGATTTACGTGGTCAGCATGTCGAAGTGATGTACAGAGGAGCGGAGTCATACTCACATGGTTGGGGGAAACACCACACGACTCTGTCTGCCTTCCGCACGTTCACAAACAGAGACATTCGATCGATTCGAGTTGTGACGACGGTACCTGCCGGCTACCTATGATAGATTCTCATGTCAGCTCACAGATATAGGAAAGATACTTACCCCCGTCGCCAACCAATTGAGCCACCACATGTCCTGCTGCCTTCCGCACGTTCACAGACAGAGACATTTCTCGACCGGAGTCGTGGCGACAAAGGTCACCAACCACCTACGAGTGATTCTCATGTCAGCTCAGAAGCATCAGACATAGGAAAGATACTTACCCCAGTCACCATCCAATTGAGCCACCACACGTCCTGCTGCCTTCCGCACGTTCACAAACAGAGACGTTCGATCGATTCGAGTTTCGCGACGGTACCCACCAGCCACCTACGGTTGGTTCTCATGTCAGCTCACAGAAGCATCAGATATAGGAAAGATACTTACCCCCGTCACCATCCAATTGAGCCTCCCCACGCTCTGTTGCCTTCCGCATGTTCACAGAGAGAGACGTTCAATCGGTCCAACCCGCAGCAGCGACACCCACCAGCCACCTGTAATCCAGTCCAGTCAGCCCTCAGAATCATCAGAGATAGGAAAGATACTTACCCCTGTCGCCACACAATCAAGCCACCACACGTTCTGCTGCCTCCCGCACGATCACAGACAGAAACGCTCGCCTTCGATCCTAAATAGAAGTTAAAGGGCAAAAGCCCAAAGCAAACGGCAAAAACCTCGAAACAAGAACAAAACAAAACGCCAGCAAGTACAAAAAACCAGATTTTTTGGGGTTTTATGAACTTTCCGGGAAAAGCAAACGGCAAAAGCCTCGGAACAAGAACAAAAAACAAAAAACAACAAAAAACAGGAACAAACCTAAGGGAATTGAAATCATGCCTTACCTTGTGGACGAGGAAGTGGACCCTTGGAATTGGCTATCAGGATCTGGTACATGCCCCAACAATGAGAAGGAACGCAAGTACGGCTGGCAAGGCTGGCGCAAGTCTTGGGAAGATGAACGCCATCACAAACAAGGCCCAACTAAGGTGGCTGAACCAGGCGCGGACCATGGGCCCAACCTGGACATGGGTCTGGACGACCACACGTGAATGCCCAGCCTCAGAAGGAGAGTTGGTTGTGGATGGCGCAGCCAAGGACTTGGGTACAGGCGTTAGGGGCAATGTACCGGATGACCCATCTAGATCGGGCAGGGCTTCCACCAGCGCAGCCAAGTCGAATGCGCTACCAGTAGCCTCCAGATCAGGGAGTGCATGCTGCAGCGCTGACATATCGAAGGTGTGGCTCTCAGGAAGCGCACTTGTCAATCTCGACATGTCAAAAGCCACAGCATGTGAACCGTCCATGGCAGGTTCAATGGTTGGGCCCTGACGGATGGTCTCTGGCAGTGGTCCGCACTTAGCTGTCGCTGGTGGTTGCCCACGGAAGGAAGTCGCCGCATCACTGGAACAATCGGCTGCCGGCGTAGCCTGGGAACCTTCCGAGGAAGGTTCGAACCGGGGAGAACTGGGTTCAGCGGCATACGCAGCACCGAAACGACCGGGACATCGCACGTGCGGCCGAGCAGAGCGTGCTTTGGGTCCTCGGCGTTTCGGTGATTTCAACTTTTGGCTGGGGAGCCGATTGTTGTTGGCTGACCGATGCGGCGAGTAATTGATGAGGTCCTTCCGCCACTTGTCTTTAGCTACCCCCCGAGGAGCGGGGTGCTCTCACGCCAGCAACGTGGGGGGGAGGTTACGGGCTGGAATCACTCGCACCTGAACGAGGTCCACATCATCCGCGAAGTGGACAGACTTCCGGACGAATGGCTCGTCAGATGGGAGCTCCTCCAGGTCCTCATCCACATTGACAAGGCAGGACTTCCCAGGAGGGGGAGCGTCGCGGCAGCGGGGGATAAGATCGGCGGGGGGAGGAAGATAGGTGAAGTACATCGTGATGATATGAAGAATGATTATGAAGAACGGTTCGTAGGGAATATCAGATGCTATAAGCAAATGAAGAAAGCCAGTGGCAGTGGAGAGGAGAAAGGAGAAAAGAAAACAAAGAGTCAGAAGAAATGGGAGAAATAAATATTGTTTGGGACCGTCCATGGCAACGAGCAACTAAACAGGAAGCGACATCAAACTGAAGTTATACCAAGGCAGGTGCGGTCGTGGCCATGGAAACGCCATGGACAAGTGGTTAGGGCAAGGAAACTACGACTTCGCCAGGGAAGGAACCTTCCAGGTTGGAATATCTATATTATGTGAACATGAAAGTACAAGCTAGATGTGAGTCTGCTCATGTGAATGCCATGAAAAACAGTAACTAGGTCAAAAAACAGAAGTTTTAGTACATACTTGAGTAATGATGAAGCTATACAAGGTGTGAGTGTGGCCATGGCAACGACCTAACTAGTCAGGGCAAGGTAACAAGAAAGTACGACGTCGGCGTCCCCAGGACAGTAACATCTATAGATTGATAGGTTGAGTAGATATCAAGATATACAAACCTAGTAGGTGTGAGGGTGGCCAAGGAAACGGAGTGATTAGGGCAACAACAAAAGGAAGACCACAACTTCACCAGGGCAGAACCATCCACATCAGTGGCGCTGACTAGTATATGCCGCCGTGGCTGTCAGGTTGTGAGGGATTCGAAACCAATGGGCTGAGTGACATAGACTGGTTCATGGTTTTCTCGTGATGCATCAAGATATGCCGCCATTGCATCAAATTGTCACCATCTGTAATTGTGTTGGATCGTGAAAATGATCTACGAAGTAGAAAAGTTGAGAGAGCACAGATGAGATTGCCAATGTTGCTTTGAATTGTCAAATTAGTGCTATGACACGCCAACCATATGCTTGTTGTACTCCGACAATACCAGCTAAAGATAACAGAAAGATATACAAGAATTGAAGAAGAGCAGGGCTCTTCTACTCGCAGAGTTTGGGCACATGCCCTAATTGAAACAAGTTGGGCTTCCTACATGCAGGGAGATGAAACACAGGTTACCTGTGAGAATGCGTTATGGAACCCAGCCGGCTGGACCAAAGAGGCACGTCCAGATGTAGAATGAAGCGGACCAAGCGGTGAAAGCCAGATCAAAAATCATTGTTTTGCTTTCGGGACTTCTTCGAGTCTCTGAGCTTGGTCATTAAGATCACCACGTGTGCCTTTGACTGGCTGAGCGGAGTCAGCGCCAGTCTGGAACTTGTATGTGCACAATACACACCTAGTACTGCTACTTACTAGTAGTCTAGATCAGGTTTCACGAGAGGTATAAGTATATCTAAAGGACTGTATGTTAATGTTTCGAATGCTATGCTTTCATAGATCGGTTTGGCTTGATCGATTTTCCCAAGGTTCTTCCAAAGTTACTTCCCCGCTAAATCTGCCCGAGCCAATCAGCAGGCCCGTTGCCTGATGAGTCAGAAGCTAGCGCGACGGCGCCTCAGGAACCGATTGTTGCCTGAGGTAGCAAGTCACGATTGTTGCGGCTCGTTCTTGGTCTTGTTCCTCCGACGACGACCTTCCAAGGAGTCCAATTTTTCTCTGGTCCGATATCCCCATTTTATCTGTGCACTGTTTCAAATTCCACCCGCCGTGGCCAGATGAATAGGGATTCTCTCAATCTGTGTGAGTTGCGAATCAACCTCGAAGTCGAGACTCAAAACAATGGACCTTCCAAACTTCAACAAGATCATCTGCTAACTTGTTGAAATGGACAACTACAGAGATACCTATTTCTTAGCCGAGATCTCTTAGCCGCCCCGAAATTGCTCAACCACCGTGTCTCCCATAGTTCCAAACTCGTAATACGGAAATTCCATCGAGTTACTTCTCGTTGAACAGCATCTCGACAACCCGGTGTCCATCGACGGATTTACACCCGTGAGAGAGGGTCAAGGTTAAGATCCATTTCTTCCCCGGAGCCAGGGGCTGGTTACTTTCGACTCTATCTCATGGGAAACGTCGTAATCTGTGTTGATCGACACTAGCTCTAAACAGAGCTGAAGGACACCCCGCTTCACAAGGCGTACGGCTCGCGTCTCATTTACCCACTGTCTGTTTCAGTCATTGTGATCCTCGAGCGGACGGTTCATGGAAATCCGTTGATCTGCCAACATACCCGGTAAATGCCGACCGACTGTGCATCATATTCTTCCCTTGCATTAGGCTTTGGCCGGGTATCTGATTTTTCCGGCTCCAGTACTACATCTCTCAAGGTATATATCTTACTGTCCTGCACGTTGCTGTTTCATACCGTGAAGCTGGCTGACATATTCTACCTCTAAATAGTAGACGACTTGAATGACCTTTTCATGCACATTCCCCTTGCTGTCCTCACAGCAGCACATATACCCAACAAAATCGCATCTGTATCCCTAGTTGTTTTCCGTCCTCATTCATTCTATTCCACCTTTGCTGTGACCTGGATTCGTGCTTCCTATGATGGAAGGGCCAACGCAAGAGCTAACGCAGCCATGTGCTGATCCTCGACGCATGGGATTGCATAACTCCGGCGTCCAAGATGAAGATTTGGCCGACATCGTATGCATCCTTCATCCAAATTCCCATGCTGCTCATGATGCGGTCGGTGCGACTGCAAATCTACATCCACAGCATATTCTCCAAAGAGACATACTTGAATATGAATCATCACCTCACACGGCAGCGTTGGACGTGGCGTTGCGGCTCTCGTCGAAAGTCCATGACTTGAATCTCGGCTTCTGTTTTGGTCGCAATCGCGGTCGTTGTGATGTTCTCCTGACTACGGATGATGTAGCGAAACGAGTGTCCAACACTCACTTTCGCATTTATCTCACGGTTGATGGCATTCTCATGCTCCAGGACACCTCAACGAACGGTACCCTCGTTGACAACTGCCGCCTGCGGAAAGCTCAGAAAGAGAGTAGTCGAATGCTCACGAATGGGTCTGTCATCCAGGTCGTTGCGAGTCATGGCGATGAGGTCCGATTCATCGTGCGGATTCCATCACGAGAGGGATTCGCCGTCCAATATCAGCAAAACCTCTTTCGTTATTTCGAACGCGTTCAAGCACATGCCCCGGCGCAGACAAATAGACAGGGCCAAACTCCGTCCGCTTTGACGTGGTCATCCGCCAACGCTTATGGTATGCATTGGTCTGGTGGTGCAATGTACAATGTGACCGGGCAGATTGGGAAAGGTGCTTTTGCTACAGTTTACAAGATCGCAACCAAGCAACACGGTGCCATTTACGCCGCGAAAGAACTGGATAGGCGCCGCTTCATGAAAAACGGTATTTTGGATCACAAGGTCGACAATGAGATGAAAATTATGAAAGACCTCAGACATGTACGTATTGCTTCTGATTCTGAGTCTTGGCGACCCAATTGACACGATGCAGCCGAACATTGTACAATATATCGATTACCACGAGCATGACCGTTGGATCTACATCATTATGGAGTACGTTCCAGGCGGGGAGCTTTCCACATACCTACAAAGTCAAGGAAGGATTCCGGAGGAGATGGTGAGGACAATCGCGCGACAAGTATTGCGGGCGCTTCATTATTTGCATAAACGCCGCATCACCCACCGGGATATCAAGCCAGACAACATTTTAATCGCCTCACTAGATCCGCTAAGAATCAAGGTTTCCGACTTTGGCTTGTCGAAAGTTGTGGAGCAAGAGACATTCTTGAAGACCTTTTGCGGAACGCTTCTTTACTGTGCGCCGGAGGTGTACCCTGATTACGAACAATATCGACCCCGCGAGTTCCGCAAGAGGCGCCGCGTTGGAGACCCGTGAGTCTTTTCCCATGCCCGCTTGAGAAGGTTCTTTCGCTGATTTCATTAGCCCTTCTAAACCATCCCCGTACGATCAATCTGTCGATATCTGGTCTCTTGGAGCAGTACTTTACCATCTCTTGTCTGGCGTCCCGCCATTTACAGGGCGTGCAGAAGACCGAGGTGCCACGATGCTTCGGACAATCATGACAAGCGGCCCCGACTTCAACGCCTTACGTCGTGTGGGAGTGTCTGAGTATGCCATCGATCTCATCCTCATGCTTCTCGATATTCATCCGCAGTATCGGCCAACCGAAAAGCAGTGTTTCCAACATCCTTGGATTGCGGAAGTCCCCGATGTGGATGAATATGAGGATGACGATCTGCTTTCCGACCACCAAGAGCGTCTTTCTGTCATTGGCGAGGATGCCGAGGACGAGCTAGATGCTTCACAACTGTCAATTGCGGATAATCTTGAGTACGCTCCCCATGCCGAGGGGGAAAGTGGCGGTAGCAGTGAGGCAGTCTTCAAAAAGCAGCGAATCGAGTACTTGCCCGCGGACATACACTATCCCAGCCTTCCGAACATCGAGAGCTTTCAAGACAGCCAGGCCGCTGTGGACAACCATGCCAGGCGTTTGTTTGGCGAGGTTTCTGCCTCAGCCTTGCGGAGCTCCCACGCACTTGGCGACATGGATTCATACGACGCCGATGAAATGAACGCCGACCTAGGCTCTTCTGGTGAGTCGTTGATGACCGATGATCCGAATGAATCGATCATTTCCCTCCCGGCAGTACCCTTCGGTGGCACCGCGCCTAGTTTGATGGGCGCGGAGAGACTCGTTGGGCAACTCAACATGAATTCTTTGCACCCAATTCTCCAACCCAAGGGTGGCGTGGTTAACCGATCGACCCTTCGGCAGACCAGTCCTGGACGCAGCAAGGACCCACAGCGAACTAGTACGGTCAACAGGGATTCTGTTCCGCCCACTTCCAGCCCTGACGAACAATCCGTTTCGAGCCCCCAAGAGCCCACGCCCAAAGCGAGATTCACGCGTCGAATTGACCTTGCACTCCCCGACACCGCCAGTGAGGCTTCCAGCGAGAATAGTGGCCACTCAGATCGTCGTGACCCTACGCCCAACGACCAGCCTCGTCCTTCCAAATCACAATACGATGTCGACTTTGCCACAACCCTGGACGCTCACACAGGGCAAGCCATTCTGGATCAACTCCGTAGTGAAGAATCAGACTCTTCAGACCCGATTGTCCACCGGCTCAACTCCCCTTCCATCCCCTCCACACCATCGCATCTCGGATTTGCCAAACCAGCGAAGAGATATGGAAAATTGAAATCTCTCCCCGGCTCAATCTTCGACCTGACCATATATCTCGAAGATCGACTCACCTCCTGGGGCCGAGGGCCATTAGCGACGGTCAAGCATGGCGATCGTATGGACACAAGAATCCCCGCCTATGCTCTCGAAGTCACGTTCTGGGCTCCAGGGATTGAGGCGAAGATTGCGGCGGGCGAAAATTGGTTCGACATCCCCGGCGTAATGGCAATTCTGTCCACAAAAGCGCGTCTCGGGATCTGGGTCAACGATACTCTCCTGCGCCGTGGCTCCATAACCGCGGAGGGCCCCGAGGCTTTACAGTTCGGGAAGCTCTATACGGGTGACGTTATCACCGTGTACCAAAATAAAGAGCGAACCAAGTTCCTCAAGTTCCAATGTGACTTCACCCACGGCGAGAGCGCCCAGCCTCGACCCACGCACGAAGCCGGGTTTGTGGTGCGACAGGCGCTTATGGCCAAGACCGAAGGAACGGCAAACCGAATGCCGACTCGGTCACAATGTAAGGATCCGCATTAGCTATGAGATTGGCACTAGTAATCTTCTGTGCGACTAGATTGGTTGATATGTTGAGAATTTCATCGTTACTTCAACAAAGGTCTTTGTCCGCATGCAGTGGCTCACCGTGGCTGTAGATATCGAAAAGTGGAGCCGATGGTGGCTCCGTAGGATCATCCTAATTGGGTAAACTCATAATTAGTTCCGATCTAGACTATACTCCGCAGTCCGTACAGCATTAACTATACGAAGTAACAAAGGGGTTAAGGACTGCAGGGTATGAGATATGTGAAATGATCAGCTCTCGATATTCACATGACACATCAAATCCAGCTTGAGTCGCCCTTTCCCGTACATAAAGCGTACACAAAGCACAGGGAAGGTAGCATCAGCACAGACGTGCCGCATTCGGCCCTACAACCTTCAAATCTCACTGATGGGTCACGACTCGATCCGGGGAGATGATATCTAACATGACATTTGGTGTTTTCTCTCTTTAAGATCTCTCTAAGATCCAAGTCATCTCCTTCCATCTTCCCACTCCTTACGTTTCAAGCTGGTCACTCTGACCTCACAGGCAAATCCATTCCACCCCCTTCGCTCCACTGTTCCTTGCGGCATCCACCAGATTACACGGTCTCTCTCCAGGAACCCCCACCTTCACTGCCGCGCCAATCATCCCCATGACCTTGTCGCGATCACCCTCTCCCCACCGGGGCGGGGGTGGTCCAGTCCAGGGCTTGTTCCGGGGAGCGGCACCGCATCGCCACGCGCCGGATCATTAACACCAGGCAACCCAGGCGGCATTTCGTGGGCTGCTGCGCAAGCGAAAAGCAACGAAGTGCGTGGGTATCCATCATTTACGACACGGAACAGCGGCTTCTTTTCTCGCCAGCGACATAAGATTTCGGCTCATTTGCCCAGCTTCCGAAGACTTTCTGGGCACGAATACGTCGACAAGGATCATTATGGCCGCCAATGGAGATCTACAGGTGGGGGACATGGTTTGCCGGGGAGACTAGGATTTGCAGTCCGTCGAAGTCGGTTTCGGCTGGTTCTGCTGCTGTTTGCGATATGGATTGGATATCTGTTTTTCTGGGCGAGTAAGTGGTTTCTACACGGTCCTTTTGGCGTTATAGGCTAACGAATATTCCAGCAATTGTCCAGGCATATCGACGGTCAACCATAGGCGGCGGGCGCAAGTTCGTCATCATCCTCGGATCTAATGTGGAAGGCGGCGTCATGGAGTGGAAGGGTGCACGCGAATGGGCAATTGAACGCAACAGTATCTGGAACAAAAGGAAATATGCCGAGAAATGGGGCTACGAGCTGGAACTAGCCAATCTGCTGGCTAAGAAGCGGTATTCTCACGAATGGCGTGAAGGCTGGGAGAAGGGCGACGTGATCCGCGAGGCCATGCGCAAATACCCTGAGGCCGAGTGGTTTTGGTGGCTTGACATAAACACCTGGATTATGGAATACGACACATCACTACAACATCATCTCTTCAATGACCTCAATGCACATGTCTATCGCGATATCAACACTTATAACCCTCTCAACATCACCCATCCATTGCCGGAGTTCTGGCTCGACGAACTAGGTCGATCCCCCGAGGGCGACGGGAACCCAGACAGCTTGAACATGCTTCTATCGCAGGACTGCGCTGGCTTTAATCTCGGATCATTCTTCGTACGGCGATCCCTGTGGACCGATCGCCTGCTTGATGCTTGGTGGGATCCCGTTATGTACGAGCAGAAGCACATGGAGTGGGAGCACAAGGAACAGGATGCTTTTGAATATATCTATCAGAGCCAACCTTGGGTTCGCAGCAGCGTCGGGCTTTTGCCACAGCGCAGGATCAATGCCTTCCCGCCAGGCGCATGCGGCGACGGAGATAATCCAAATATTCACTACCAGCAGAAAGCGCACGACTTCATCGTCAACATGGCTGGCTGCATGTATGGCCGAGATTGTTGGTCTGAGATATACTATTATCGCGAGCTAACCAAGTGGATGAGTCGGTCACGTTGGCGGAGACTGCAGGACGCGTTCGCTGATGTTTACGATTATGTCTCAGACATGGTCAAGGGTTGAGAATGCGTTTTTTCTTCGCTTTGCTTTTCATGTCTATTATGGCTCTCCACAACATCACCTTGGAACAGATTACTTGAGTCACTGAAACTTACATCACGGAGAGGGTTCGGGTTGCAATTTTTTGCTGTATATGTCTTTAGTATTCGCATTATCTCGATCGGGCGTCTGGTATTTCTCTTTTTATGGCCCACGATCTCTGAAAATATGATTTCACCGGAGAATAAGATGTTCTTGTATTATGTGTCCACTGACCTCGGAATCTTCCATGTAATTGAGTCAATTTAACAAGTGAAGCCAACCAAGCAGGAGCTACGCAGTATATAGGTTGCGTTTTTTTGTACCCGCGCTATACCATATTAGGACGTCACGAGATTTTCAGATGTACCCCGTATTCTAAATGGTAATCTGGCGTTTGAATTTCTTAGTAATGCCCTAAGTTAGTAAACAAATTTTCGTAACGTTAACTAACTAACTAACCATCATCACATTGGCATGTAATCAAAAAGATCCGAGGGCGTTTTCGCCCTCGGATTAATAAGGCTGTTTCCGCTGAACAACCTGGCCGGTCCCCTACATCTCAGCAACACAGAGATGAGGTCAATGAACGGTGGGAAACTATCAAAACTCAGCTTGATCTTGTGTTTTTAGCACATTCGGAGGAGGAGCATGAACTACGTTGGCAATGCTTCCGAGATCTGTATGAGGCAGATTACGGGGATATCCTACGATATGTACATGATGAATGGATAAGTCAGGTCCCCGAGGCCTTTCTCCGGTTCCACACGAAGACTTATTTCCATTCAAATCAGCTGTCAACATCTCGGGTGGAAGGCGCCCATTCAGCATTAAAGCGAGCCCTCCAGGCATCAAATGCTGATTGACTGTTAGTGGCTGATTCATTCGCAAGTACAATCAAACGGCATAACCAAGCTATCAAGAGCACAATTCGGGTTCAAATGACACGAAGACAAGGTGTCATTCATGGATTCCTCCGACCGGTTGGGCAGAAGATCTCGGAGAAGGCGATACATCTGGCTGCCACCAAATATGACAACGCCATGTCCGAGAGAGATCGGAGGGAACCCCGAGTTCGTGAAGAATGTACATAGTGGGTTGGCCGTTCGCACAACAGGAATCCCCTGTATGCACGCCCAGAGGGGTCTAAGCCTCTCAGTGGCTGATTTCCACTCCCATTGGCACCTTCTAGGTGCAACACCAACTCAGCCATTGATTCAGCCATCGACTCAGGTTATTCCAGCATCTCAGGTGCTGAACCCCATTAAGGCTGTTACCCGAGGCCGCCCTCCAGCCTCATCCGCGCGGCAGGCTATCTCCCAGCGCTCAACCCGGCGCTTACGATCTCGATTTGAGATCGTTGAACAGCAGATGATAGCTGATAACCGACAATCCGAGGCATTGCGGGCGGCATCACGGGCAGCATCTCAGGCATCTCAGGCATCTCAGGCATCTCAGGCATCTCAGGCATCTCAGGCATCTCAGGCATCTCAGGCATCTCAGGCATCTCAGGCATCTCAGGCATCTCAGGCATCTCAGGCATCTCAGGCATCTCAGGCATCTCAGGTATCTCAGGTATCTCAGGCATCTGCAGCCGGCTGGGTCATGGGGGATGCTTCAGAGGATGAAGGGCCAAGAAGATCACGACGGGCGCCCAAGCCAAAGAGGAGAAGAACGGACAAGACGACCCAGGGTGAGACGACTGAAACGGACCGTTGAGAACCCATGTAACTTAGTTAGTTATGGGGATTACTAAGAAAATAAAACGCCAGATTACCATTTAAAATACGGGGTACATCTGAAAATCAGGTGACGTCCTAATATGGTATAGCGCGGGTACAATAAAACGCAACCAGTATATAACTCACAACCTTCCGCTTTGGGAATGTATACATCCACGTGACCATATCCTTAGTCAAATCTGCACAAAAGGTCCTTCCCACCCTCCTTACTCCATCTTCCGACCGCCCACACTTCCATCCAATCACAACCCATCTAATCCACCATCAAGATCAACGACCCAAACCACCGCATCAAGCAGTCCTCAATCGTCAACCCTCCTCAACCAACCCCATTGCAGTCATTGTCCCGTGCCTCAACAAGCACTTACTCGCCATCCACCCTCCATCCACCTCAAACCCAATCCAAAAATGCCAACCGCCGAGTCCGCCGCCTTCCTGGCCAAAAAGCCCACCGTGCCCCCGACCTACGAAGGCGTCGACTTCGAAGACAACGTCGCCGTCCACAACGCCCGCGACGCTATCATTCGCGAACAATGGGTGCGCAGCATGATGGCTCGTCTTGTTGGTGAAGAGCTCGGCAAGTGCTATGCGCGCGAGGGCGTGAATCACCTTGAGAAGTGTGGTGTTTTCCGAGGTTCGTTTCTCTTTCGTTTCTCTTTCGTTTCTCTTTCGTTTCTCTTCCTTTCCATGGTTTGCGGAGCTGTACCCTAAAATACATACTGGGTTTGGTCTGTGGAGGACAATGCTGTGATTATGTTTGAAAGGACCAGGGGACTTACGAGGTTGTTATGGATTGTGCTGACTGTGCTTACAGAGAAGTACTTCGAGCTCATTAAGGAGCGTAAGGTTAAGGGATACCTCGGACAGGAGAAGAACCGCTTTGGTGGAGAGTCTGCATAAGCGGGTCGTGTTTTTGCTTCTATGCGATTTGTGTTGCGCGACCTCGGTTTGCGGGTGTCAATGGCTACGGACTGAAGAATCTTGAATCTCGAGGTAGTTGAGCTTGGATGGTACTTTGTGACTGTGTTTCGGACTGGTCTCAAGTTTTCTTTCACAGCCACCGAACAGAGTCTGGTTTTCAGGGAGAGGAAAAGATAGCAGAAGAGGGTCTGGAGGTTACCCGCTTTGTGCTTTGTGCTTTTGTACTGTACATATAGATATCACTTTGTTTGATCAATCTTCCTTTTTACCTACTGTGTACTTGCTGCAAACCTGGTTGGTGGTTTCATTTGGAGGAACGTAGGTAGTCAGAAGATTGACCGACGTCGGTCATACGTTGCAGCTATACTCTAGCCATTGCACTTCTGCCAGGGGTACAGTACCAAGTAAAAGCTTAGACATCGAACATAGTGCGATGATTGGTTTCATATGGCAGTATATAGCAATATATAGCAGTATCTCCTGGGTATCACTCAATAATAGACGCTCGAGGCAGTCGCACTTCGGTCCGGGAAGCCACCAGGAGGTCCACGGTGATCAGATTGAACTGCCTCGTCCTCGCTATCGGAACCACCGAATTGCACATCGTTTCTCTCATCCGGCGGAGCACGCATTCGCATGAGCTGATCCTCATCGAGAGATGGGGGCTGATATGGTGCTGGCGGGGAGTGAATATCTCGGCCAGAGGGCAGGTTAGACAATAAAGGAGCAGATGGCGGAATGATCTGCGTGTTTATCTGGATTGAGTCAATAAACCGTGCAATCTCAAACCTCATGCGATCGCAAGAGAATATCGAATTTGAACTCACCGTGTCATTCATCTTCTCCCATTTCGTCTCCAGCATCGCGATCACTCGCCCTTCCTCACACCGGCCTGCGTCATCCCCCGCATCCAATGGTCCTTTTTCGCTCCGACTACCACCAGCATCCTTAGCTACTCGCCGGTCCTCACGACGTTCTGTCCACTCTCGTTTCAAGCGGGACAGGCCGCCCTTCGCAGAGCTACCCGAACCAGCGCCTTCATCCCGAGAGGGCCCTGCTCCGCGTAGCCCAAGGGGTGTACGTGCAGCTCGTAGCCAGGCAATACCTTCACCAACTCTGCCTGATAGCTCAGCGTCTACGCCGAAAAAGCGACAAGCTCGTCCCCGAGCAACGCGCGCCAAAACTCCAGTATAGCGGACCAAATCGTCATCGACACGGCCTGCACGATTAGACGTAGATCCAACAGCACCTAGACCCGCAGCCGCCTGTTCGGCGTACTCAGCGGCACGAACACACAATCTCGCGAAAAGCAAAGCGCGCACTTTGGGGATCTCCGGCGCATGAACCATCCACTCTGTATCATTTGGATTGCGCGACTGGATGCACGCCGCAACATACGCGTCATCTTTAAGCACAGCTAAGAGTGTAGCCTCCGCCAGCGCAAGAGACGCCAGTGCCGATTGCGTAGCAGGATCAAGCTCCGGTGCGGGCGACACCGCAGCGGTGAGTGAGGGCGACGAGGCGAGCAGGTTATGCACCGAGCTGGCTTGTAGTAGATACCGTGTTGCGGTCTGCATCGCAGCAGTGCGCTCCTCAGCAGTCGGTGTAGACGATGCATATAGAGAAGCAAGAACTTCTGCGCGAGCCATTCTGCTCAACACATACCCCAGCGTCGTGAGGGTAAATCCCAGTTCAAAGTGGATGCCTCGGCCAGAAACTCGCCCGTTACGCGTCCGGAGGCCCTCGGTTGCTATGCTGAGGCCGCCTGATGAAGATAGTGTATTTCTCCATGCTGATTCAAGCTCCGCATGACTTGTGATGTCGACTTCTTCGGTGCGGAGATTCGGTCCTCCTGTTGTATATCCATCTTGTGGCGTGGAATATGTATCCGTATGAACTGAGCGGCCATTCAATCCGCGCGAGATTGCGAATAAATATGGTATGTAATCGTTCAAAGCGGCTAGCACGGTTGGTAGGTGGGCATCCTGGCGGGGGCGGGGTAGGCGTTTATGAGCCTTCAATGCGAGGCGGAGAGCATGGCGGGCTGTTGAGGCTGATTGGGGGAGGGAAGAGTGTGTGGAGGATGTGATAAATGATTGGAATGAGAGAGGTGATGTGGTTGGGAGGGTAAATGCGTAGACCATGTTCATTGGCGTGGGGAGTTGGAGAAGGGAGGAGACTCGGGATCGGATGGGCTGATGTCGCCAAGATCACTGATCAGGTACGGACTACGGAGTTCACTTGATTTCCTCATTTTGACTGGATGTATTTGATGGAGAATTGGAGATGTTGGTTTCAATGGTTTGAGCTTGATTCTGATTCTTTCCAATTCACCGGAAAGATTCCAAATTGTTGGATTCCGTGTCAACCGGGAGGTTGTTTTGCTAGGAGCCTACCTGACGGAGCCCGATGCCTAAGGTAGGGCTATAGCCCGGTATTGACGAGCATCCATTGATTCTTCGCCATGGAACCTGCCCGCTGGTGGAAAATAGTCTAGGTAGACAAAGACCCAGAAAGTAGAAACACAAAGTGATTTCTTTACCTTCCAAGCGCTTAGCCAAGACTCAGCTTGAACTCCCTCGACATTCTTGAAACCTACAGCCCCTACAACGCCCACCCCCAGGACTGTCTCAGCCAGTTGAGCATAGAGAAGCCAACACAAGGACACCTGTTTCATACAGTTTCATGGAGACTTCATGGCCTATGAGTCTATGACCAGGATAAACTACTTCTACTGTCTCTCTAACATCACAGTCTGAGCCTTCCATGAGACTTTCTCAGACGACCTTAGTTATCCACGATCCCATATATCTACACACGTATGTATGATACTCCCCAGTTCTTTGCCATATAGACCCTTGCTTCTCTACCAACCTTGACTTCTCAGCATCTTATCGCACCTGCTCAGACTCCCACAGAACAGCAATTTAACCAATACAACACCAGTAGCAATGCCACCAACTCTCTACCACCACCTTGATCCCATCCTAGAAGCCGAATACGCTAATATAGTTCGCATCGTGGAAACACAGATCGAGATCCTAACCTTCAAAGCCTGGCGGCGCCACGAAGTAATTGAGAATCTCGACATGCTATGCCACCATCTCGCCATCCAGGCAGCCATCGACGAGCGCAAGCCTCGCAACTGGCTTGCCGGCCATGCTCTGTTCCAACGATTCTGCATGACGCTCAGGCTGTGCGTCCCCGAGGCCATTGTCACTTTGCAGAGTTATGGAACGACCTACGAGGTTGACGATGACCTTTTTGACTGGGAGGATGAAGAAGAGCTTGAACGTGACGCGGTGGATATTCTTAAAGACGCTCTGCGTGATGCTCAGTCAACAGAGTGGTATATCTGACGTGACTTGCCTGGAGTTCGATCTGACTTAAACTACGCTTGGTCTATTGAAATATCCCGTCGTAAATATGTCGACGGTGCAATTTATACCTAGTCTACTACTTTAAGTACTTTTCAACAGAATATTGACAACACCAAAGACCCTCCAGTAAATCCTGCGGGCCTGCGGCTGCCCGAAGCCTCCATAATGCGCAAGGCAAAGCTTATTAGCTACTCACCTGCCAACAGGTGAGTATCCCGCCTTGATAACGGGGAGTCGGGCTAGGGGTTTGGAATATGCGTGTAACCGTGTAGGTATAATGAAAAATGAGGCGCAAACTCCGAATTATAAGACGATGACTTATACGGAAGCCCACTGTACAGCTTTTCCTGTTGATAACGAAGAGCCGGCCAAGGTTCGGAAAGACATTCAAGTATGCTGCCCAGGCGTAATGCGAGTACTCTGTTGAAACAGCGATTGACCGCAAATTACGGCAGATGGATAAAAGATTGGTTGGTGTGACAGGTTTGGGCTTCGTTTGTCTGCATTTCGCTTGCACTTCGTTTGAAACCTATACTGTCGTAATTTGAGGACTCCGTTCTGACAGTACCTATAAGGCTATAACCAGTGCGCGGGAATGCAGAATATAACTTACTTCAAGTAAAGCGTCCACCAGGCGGGTAATATGGCCGAACTGGGTATATATCAGTCGGCGAGGAACCAAAGAGTAGTTATACAAGCCATTGGCCCCCGCAGCACGTAGAATGTTGTTTGATGCATTCACCATCGATCAAACGGCTGATTTTCCCCTCCGGTCTGTGCCTGCTCTCGGTGCTCTGCCGAGCCATCTTTTAGCTTCTACTTCGGTGTTGAGACGGATGTCAGTACGAGAAGTGCACCCCACGGCTCATCGGGACACATTTCACTTTGTCATAACTCATGATTGGCTGAAACCGTCCATGGCTCTTGTACTTGGTCTCAATCGATTAGCAAACCCACCAGTCAACCCAGGACATTACACAATCCCTTGTGTCGTGTAAGTAGATACCGGATTGAACATGGTTGAAGATCAACCGTTTGAGAAAAGGGAGCAGGTGGACACGAATACCAATGGGCATGATGTCGTGGTGAAGTGTGAGCGGCAACGCAGCCTCACGAAAGCACAATGTGACACGTCCCTCCAATGCGCTCGCCTTAAACGACCTGTTCATGTCCAATGTCCAGGTATAGCAAGCGCTTATGCCGTTCCAAGGCTGTAGGTCATATGCTCGCGTGATCAGTCGTGCCCTCTCTCCCTCTCACTTCATCTTCCCCTTTCTCAATTGATTCCCCATCAACCTTCATCCCCAGACCAGTCAATATACCTGCCACACCATGGTTGATCTGGTCTGCGGAATCGGTTGACAAGGCACCTCATGACGTCCGAGTAGAAAATCAAGGGCCCCAAGCGCATCCTTCCCTCGGCTGCCTCGTTGTCTCGACGTCGGCGGCCTTGATGTCGGCGGTCTCGCTGCCTCGAGGGGGGCTCCACCCCTCGTCTCACTCACTCTGTAAGGATCCCGCCATCTCTTCCCTCTCTTTCTATCTCCTTTCATTTCTTTTTCTTTTCATCTTTTTTACCCATCGCCCGCAGACCATCTCCATCACGAAAGTTGATACTGACGGCTGCAGACGACACGGAGTCCGAGGAGTGCATCGCTTTCTCTCCGATGGTCCACAAGGGACGGAGCCCCAGTTGCTCGCAGATCAAAGATAGGCATCTCAAACAATCTCCAATGGAGGTCGAGTGCCTTTGAGACCCAGCATCTTGCTCCTGAGCACCGTTGATTGACGGTCGCCTCGATGGCGTGGCCATCATCTCGGCCATCGCCGATGCTGCCATCAATACGACGAATGGCATCGTCGACGCTGTCATGAATCCCCTCCAAGCAAGTGCGTACCCTATCCTAGGTCGTCTGAACCAGAAGGAAGTTTCCGAGCTGATCACTGACTTATATTGCTCCCAGGGTTGTCTCCCGTAGGCTTCGCACAGACTCTTCGTGGCGTTGTACGGAAAAAGTCGAGATGCCAAACCGATATCTGAAGGGGGTTAAGAAGGGAGACCACTGGGCGCCCTGGTTGCAAGCCCTGCGACATAGTCGACCGAGTGATGGTGGACTTCTTCAAACCCCTCGGCAATGTACTGAACAAATCGACAATCCAGAACCCGATGCTCGCAGAGGCGTTCCCGTCGAGTTCCCGTCGAGTTCCCATCAGATACCCGCAACAGGTAGTGACGATACAAATCACAATGGTCGTACAGCGCGTCTTCCCCTCGACCGAACGCCTCTGTAAGTTATCCATACCCATCGGAACCGGAACAACATGGGCTGTTTGATGGCTAACGTGTTTGCCCTTTCGCATGACAGGTCGCGAATCCCGATTGGTATAGCCGTCCTTGGCCTACAGGAGGATCATAGTCCTCCACCTCCAGCTGCCATTCCAGCCACAAGGTCACGATTACGAGGACCCAGAGCGTAAGCGAGGCCGCGAGGGCGGTTATTATGACGAGCCTCATAATTCTGAATAAGAGGCGCCGCCCGGAGGCAGAGACCGCTACAGCGGCCGTGACGACCGCCGTGGTGGCGAGGAATCTCGCGGTGCTGGTGGTGGTGGCGACCCCCTCAGTCTCTGCCGACGCCTAACACCAAAGAACCAGAAGGCAAGTTGGCCTTGACAGGCGCAACGGACAGTGAAGCCGAATCGGAATATGCTTTCACTGCCCTGACAACTGGCCATTCCATGGCGAGGGAAAAAACACCGACAGGAGTGGAAACCTGCCTTATTTCGTAGCCAAAGCACTCGTTATGTGGGCCACAGGGCCCTACGCCATTTCGACTTTCTCGAGCAATTCGTCGATCTCCTGTTTGAAGAATTCACACGAGAGACGTTTCTTCCGGTCGAGGACGTCAGCCATAACCGGCCAAAGTGCAAGGTGCAAATAGGAGCACCTGAGCAAATATGGCACGACATCAGAATGCTACCGACGAAAGCCTCCCATGACCTGGCGGCTACCCGACACGAACCTCTGACCGAGGCCGACTGTGTGGTGGAGAAGAGCAAATACGAGACGGCGCAGCCGTATCGGCCTCCGAGTGGGAACCGATTGAGCTGAGTGGCCGCATTGTATAACTGGCCCGCTTTTCAAAGTCTTCAAAGTTATAAGGCAGGCCCTCTACCTGCTTCCATATTGATGCCTGGTGTACGGATGAATGTACATAGTCTCGTTTGAATTCACTCTCATAAATAACTAACTACATCTGGATACCGTTTGTTCATTACTCGTAAAGCGGCATTGGATTTACTGTTGTCCTTGAGATTTGGTGATAAAAACGACGCTTTTATTATGCATAAAGAAGCTAAAAACGGCATCCTACTAGAGGATGCTAGAAGCAGGGCTACCAGGACGCCACCGCTTCAAATTCTATCATGCTGGAGGAGCCCCAGCGCCATCTGGATGGCCCCCACAAGGCAGAACAGCACGACAAGAAGATTTCTGCACCGATCGCCCAAAGGACGATCGGCAGAGAGGAGATAGCGCCCGAGGCCGAACTGGTCCCCAACCCAGTTTCTTCCGGCTCGGACCTCGATGCACTAGTGGGTGATGGGGGCCAGCTCGTCAGATAAGTGGGCCGTCGAGTCGGAAGTGGAGAGCGAGTCAGTAGGCGAGGGCATCTCAGAAGACGATACAGCCAAGGTCGCCGTCGGGGTAGAGGTAACGAAAGACGTGACTGAAGTCAAGTCTTCAAGTGAGGGGAGATCGAAAGAGGCAAGCCGATGAATCACAATGCTACCTGAGGAACCAGAGTCATTGGAATAGGTGTAACTCTCCGCCGGGGTAAAGTTCACGATCTCGACGGACTTGACATACGTCGTGAATGGAGCCTTGGAGTAGTCAGTCTCGCCGCCGGCCCAGTCAATCGTGCACTTGAGCCTGCTCGGATCACCCCCTGCCCGGATACCAATCCGCACGCGCATTGGCGTTTGCGGGTAGCGAGAGCCACGTTTCGCATCGGCATAGCTGACCGTCCAAACGAGGCTGCCATCGAGGATCCAGTACAGCTTCTCTTTGGTCCAAATCCAGGTGTATTTGTGGAATACCTCCTCGGGTGTGCTCACCGGCTGCCAGCTCCAGCGATTGTAGTCCTCACTGGTGTCGCCTTTGCAGATGTTATCTGTTTCCAGGTTGTCGGTGTATCCACCCAATGCTTCCTGTGTTGTAGCCATTAGAAATAAATACTTGGCAGACTTATCGCAAAGGATACTTACCCAGTTGATTTCATCATTATCGTCAGATAACATGTAGACAGAGCTGACAATGCCGTTGCCAGCAGAAGCCTTCATTTCAACCGAGACTTCACCGTAGAGGATGTAGAAATCAGTGACGATAGTTGGGGCCTCGCCCTGCTGGTTGATAGTAAACTCAGCGCCATTGGGGCCGCTGAACACGTCTCCACCACTTGTGGTCCAGTCGTTAAAAGCATCGAGCTTGGTCAAGTCGTAGTAGAGACGAGCTTTGGTAGTACCCTTATTGGCAGGGCAGGTTTTGGCGAAAGCATTGCAATCTGGGACGTTTTCAGCGAGAATGAGGGAAAGGATGGAAGCCAAGGCCGCGAAGAAGATGAAACGATTCATATTTGCGATCGATAACGTTATCGGCACGTGCTGTTGATAGAGTAGATTTGGGATAGGAAACGACGATGAAGAAGTACCGAGGTCAACGAATTTATTCTTAAGCGTGTGTGGCCGTACTCGAACAGGAAGGCGCAGAGATCGATTGCCTATACGAGTAAGAGCCATTCGCGCTCACACCTTCCCTCGAGATATCAGGCAAGTACTAAGCAGGTTTCAGTCCAGTCCTGTCCGTGGACCTCACCGAGGCTTTAAAATACTGCGGCTATTCGTTCATGCTAGCTCTCTTCTATGCAGTTCTTGTGAATGGATACCAGGGCTGCCGATATACGCTGTACACCTAAGGCTGCATCGGATGTCTGGCTGAACCACAATTAGATCCATACCTACCAACTACTCTAGCGAGGATATGAAAGCTGCCACTCATTGCCTAGAGCAATTGTTCCTGTTCTGTTCTACTGTGTAAACGGCGGACCTGTGAATTACTGTATGCAGTTAGTTTTGCCTTTTTGGGCTCAAGCGGCACGGGCACAATATGCTTTGTGTTCATGTATTTGGGATAGTTCCCAAGGCTCTCGTCGATATGCACAACCAATTGTGCATGGCCCGTGTCTCCATCAGACAGCGAGCCTCCCACCATTGTGCCGTAAAGCTTCACTCGCCGTCGCTTCTCTAGATCAATTGCCAGTGCGGAAACCATTCTCCCTCTGTATTTGTCAGTGTGTTGGTCGACCCATAGTGCTGGACAACGGGGTCGCATTTGCTGTCCACCGGTGTCTGAAGCTTGATTTGAGATTCGGGGGCTGGTACGCTTTGCATTTCAAAATAGCGCCGAATTAACCTATGCCATCAACCAGCATCCAGAGGTTACTTGGAGGTTTGTATAGGATCTTTAATTTTCTTTGTCCATGGTCTTACGGCTGCCGGGGTCTTTGATTGTGGGTGGGTGTGTGCAATTCTGTTCCGGCTGGCAACCACAATCCAATCATGCTGAGTTAACTGGAGCATCTGGTGAGGGCGAGCTCAAGGAACTGAACGCCAGCCACGCTGACCGTGAAGCCGGTATCAACGATAATGTTTTCAAGACTCCTTTTTCTAGAACAATGGGCCAAGGTCTTGCTTAAGTTGGATGCAACAAGTATGCCGCTCCGTTTTCCCCTGAGTCTCGCCGCCATCAGCTTGGCATAGTACCGACAGAGCAAAAGTTCAGTGGAATTCGATTGATTGATTAATTTCTAATACCTTTCAAGTGCACCTCTAAGTATCATGGGCCTTTTAGATAGTTATTATACCCTACTTATTTCTCCTAGGTACCTCGCGTGGATGTTTGAGGCTCACATCAACCTGGAGGTGTGTACCTGGTCGATCAAAGCTATGGAATGTGTTCACAAATACCTGGTATGTTCTTAAGGCTATCGACCGCGCTAGGTCACTACCTACCGGGCTAGGTACCGCTGAGTTCGAGGTCGATGAGATTCAGTTGTGAACCAGCCTCGAAATGGATACCGTCGGCCATAGGATTAAACACTTTAGACGCGGCACGTGTCGCTGTGGGATCAATATTACCTACTGGATATAGACTTGCCAGTTGGCGGAACGCTCGCCAGTTAGCGGAAAGCTCTCTAAACACAGAACTCGCACGCAATGATTTTGAATAGCGTACGTGCCCATTAGCTTCTCTTCTATGAATGAATACTATGAAATACCCAGGGCTCACTTAGAGAATTGCCTGATTCGACCAATCCCCACAGAAACTTTAGGCGTTCAAACATAAGGTCGAGTCTATTCTCAAGACCTCAAAATATTCCTCAACAACCGCAACTATTCACAAACTATAAACAGCGGAATCACCCCCATTCCAAAAGATTCCCCTAGCCCCCAAGATCAATAGTCGGAAGATCAGACATATGCAACTTGGAACTCCCATACGGCCGCAGCGTCGCAACAAAGTTGTCTCCAAGGCAAACCCTGTCCTCCTTAGCGGGCGGAGAAGCAGGAACAGACCCTTTGAACAAAGGCCAATCAATCAGACAAGCCTGTGCAGTGACATACATAGGCAACTTCCCATCATCAAAAGTAGGCGAAGGCAAAGACCCAGCCCCAGAATGGAAAGTCAGCGTCGACGGGTCAATAGCCACGTTCCACTCAGTTGCATTTGTCAAAGAATGATCTTGCATCTGGGGTGGATATGTCCCTTCTGGCCATTCTTGCTGTGTATTATAATAGAGGGGTGGACCGCTTGTGGTTATTGGGTCGATGTATAGGCTGTATAGAATTGGACCGCGGTAAACGGCGATTGTATCATTGGCTCTGGATTTGGTTTGGATATTCATGCCAATATCGTAGTTGAGGGTTGTCTTTCCAGATTGAATCCGGACTTTTGTTAGGCCTGTCCTTGAGTCGATTGGAGAGGGTTGCTGGTTTATCTTGATTCCTGTTGACCATTGTGGAACGCGGAGGTAGAAGTCGAAGGACGTCTCGCTGTTGATTGTGTACGATAGGCTCGTGTTGAATGGGTAGTCGGTTTGGCAGTCTATTGTAACTTCCTTGTCGTTGATTTTGGTGTTCACTTTGCCTGGACTGAGGAGGGCGTGGACTAGTCCGTTGTTGCCGTTCTTGAGGAAACTGTACATTGTAAATTTGGGCAGCCCCTGTGCAAGTATTTCAGCAATCATTGTCTAGTTGTTACGATGGGTTGGGTATCATACCTGAGGATGGTTGACAGTACAACATGGATAATTCGGCTCAACACCAAAGGTCTGACCAACAGTATTGACATTCCAGAAAGGCGACTCTGAAAGCCTCTTGGAAAATGGCTGGTTTGGCTGAGTCATATATTGATGCGACGTCCAGTCGGGCCACATCGCTGCTGGTAAAGCATTGAAAGCTGCCAGTTCCGTACGGTCTGCGTAGTCTGGGTCACCAATTGCCAAGTAGTTATATGCAAGTGAGTAGATCGTTTCAACATCGGTGCAGAGCTCGGATCCGTAGAATGGATCCAGCCCAGCGAGACGCTGTCTTGTGTCAGCTTTCTCCAGAATTTTGACTATTGGCAGGTTCACTCACCTCGTCAGCTAGAATGGAGCCAGAAGCTGAGCCGTGATATTTGAATGTCCAGTCAACCTGCAGAGAATTAGCGATAACTCCAGGGATAGTTGAAGTTTGAGAACCGTGTGAGCATACCCCATTTTTGGCAGTAGTGATCAGACTATCATTGTGAGTAGAACGCCTGAACACAGCAGCATACTTCAAAGCTGCAACATCATACATTAGCTTCAACATTCTCTCGACCACGCATCAAACGTACCTTCAGCAACAGTAACACCATGCAAAAACGGCCACTCCCGATCCGCAACCTCCTGAGACACCGAATTAAGATCCTCCCGAATATAACTCCCCTCCGTATACCACCCCTCCCACTTGTATGAATACTCATGAATCAGCCGAATATTCTCCCTCAGAAGTTCACTCTTATCTCCCGGATGATAATCAAGCATCCACTGCAGTGAAACAACCATATCCTGCGACCTAGACCGGAACCAAATGAAATCATCTGCACTAGGCTTGTCACCATCATGATAGATCATCCCCGTGCCATTATTCTTCAGCATCGAATTCATCAACTCGTTGAACCGAAACAGGGCATTGATAATAGGTTCCTCATATGTCTCCGGATCGGCATCGACGAGGTTCGTCAATCCTAGAAAGACAGGGGTTCGAGCCCAGATGAGTCGGTTGCCCGCTTCGAGAGTTTCAGGTCCAATCCAGCCATCGGGTTGGATGAGGTCGAGGATTTTGCTGACGACGGTTTTGATATCGGCTTTTAAGCGGTCGTCTTGGAGTGTGTAGGATAGTGGGACTATGGAGTTTAGCCAGTAAGGGAGGGCTTCGTTAAGTCCGCTGTACTCTTGGTCGCCACCAATCCAGGAGGAGTTTGCGACGTAGCGGTAAAAGTCGTATAGATGGCTATTATTCGTTAGTTGGGTTGCCTTTTGGAGGCTAGAGGGACCTTATCCGGGGTGATTACTTACCCTCCTAGTCCTGCTGCAGAGGCTTCGAGCTCTGTTCTGAGCCACCCGTTTGGTGTTATACTTCCAAGTGGTAAGGGTTCGTATGCGAATGGGACGACTGAATCTCGGCGTTAGTTATTTTATAATCTTATAGTGAATCAAAATAGAAAACTTACGTTCATCAGTATCCCTTGCCTTTATTGCGATTGGCAACAAACAAAGTGTAGCGTTAAGCAACCTCATGGTGATCGTCGACAATCCTTGAAACTGTACAACACAACTTTCACTCCTTCGGGTTGCCTTTTGAAGTAAATACCAATAGCCGACAACCGACTGCCAGACGGTAAAATTACAAGCGAGTCGGTGCAAAATGGTCCGAATCTGGAATATTTGTTTACGAAGTGAGGGGAAATGTAACTGTAACATTTCAGAAGAAGGTGCGGAGCGTGTCGATCTATACGGATTCAAGACGATCGGGTTTGATTATGACCAGGATACGATTCTAATTCATACACCGATTCATTGAAACGTCTCAAAGTCGGGCTTCGGACTTTTATACGTGACTATCAAGGACGAATCACAGTGCTGTTCTCCTTGCGGACAAACTGCAGGAACTCATCCAAGTCGGGGTTCTTGGTGTTGTTGACAAGGAAGACAGCAGGCTTTCCGTAGGGTGCGGATACCCGTGCGGTCTGGCCACCGTGGTACTTCTTGCCAGACCAGACGTGGGTGAAGGTCTGGTTCTTGCCGGGGAAGTAGACGCTGACGCCGGTGTGACCGGGATCCAGGACAGGCGCAACGTACAGATCAGCACCCAGGTAGAAGCTCTCGTAGCTGATTGCCTTGGCCTTTACGTCGTTGGGGTGGTAGACAACGGGCATGCGGAGCAAGGGCCACCCCAGTCTCTTGCTCTCGGTGTCCAAGATGCGGCGACGGTAGGCGGCAAGACTGGTGAACATACGCGCGTTGTAGCTGAACCAGGAGTAGGTCGAGGAGTTGGAGTAGAACTGGGCGTTGACCTGAGGGACGTTACCCTCGTGGGTACGGAAGACTGTGCTGGCAACGGCAGAGAGTTCTCCCCAGCGGCCGAGCAGCTCGGCGGAGCGGTTGACAACGCCGTTGCTGTCCCAAGTAGTTGTGTAGCCACCAATCTCGGTGTGGCCGTGGGCGTAACCGGACAGACCCATGTGACCCATAACAGTGACGGAAGATTTGATTCCATCATTGACACCCCAGTTGGTGTCCTGATCACCAGCCCAGTAGAGGTTCATATAGCGGTTGGCGGCCATGGCGCATGAACGGTGGAAGAGAATAGCATCCTTGAAGCTGGGAACACTCTTTCCGATCCAGTGGTGAAGGGCGGCCCACTCACGAGGGTAGGTGTTGTGGTAGACCAAGGGATCGATGCTCTTGTTGGCGAAGCGGGTGTCGGGGCTGATAGGAGTGTATTCGCCGAAGTCGGTCATGAAACCAGAGATGTTGGCGTTCCAGACTTGAGACAGTAGGACGTTCTTGAACCAGGATCGGCCAGCGGGGTTTGTGAGATCAAGGATTCCGGCGTCAAGGCCAGGACCACTGGAAATAACGGAGGTATCATTTATTGTAGAGTTTTGGATCATGTATCCTCCCTTGGTAGCCTCCTCGTAGAGGTTGGAGCTGTATCCATCAGGCTTGGTGCTGACGTTCGCCAAGAATGGATTGATGTATGAGAGAGTGCGGACGTCGTGGTCATCACGTAGATTCTGCACAAACTCATTCCAATTTGGGTAGAGCTTGGAATCAGACTCCCAGTTCCACCAGAGTCGGGAAACGTTGAGAGACATGTAGGAAACACTCTGCGAGTGGGTGCCAGACCAATCCTGAAGCCAGACAGCGGCAATGGGACATGTCTGGTTGAGTCCCTGATCGACAATGCGGTTGACCTTTGCCTGTCCACCCTGGATACCGAGTACAGCACCGGTGTCTACCCACTTGGGCAGTTCGGGCATGCGGCCGGTGTAATCGGTCAGCATGGTAATACCGTTCAGCATGTTCTCAGCTTGCATGAAGTATCCATCAACATCCAGGCCACTGTATCTAACAGTGACGGCGCGGGCATCTGTAAAATTGAAGGTGGTGTAGGCGGAGCTCTCTTGTGTCAGGTGGAACACCCGGGCATTGGAGCTGATGTACTGAGGGACAGCGGAGTAGGTGGTGAAGCGATCTCCACCGGCAAAAAAGCTGTCCTCAGACTCAAGGTCAGTCGTTGGATGATCGCCACGGCCGACACCCTGTTCACGGGAGAAGATGGGGACCGTCTGGTTCTTCAATGATGCGAAAGAGGCCTGGCCACCAAGACCGTAGAAGTCCTCAGCAGGAGAAGAGCGGTAGGTCAGGAACAGCTTCGTGGAATCCGAAGCGTTCGAGTTGACATTGGCGCGGAAGGCAATGCGATCGGGGAACTGAGATGGCACCCAGAAGGCGACGATGAAAGGAGCAGTGGCATCGCCACAGCCAGTAAGATGACCTTCAACAACAGCAGCATGGTCATTGGTGCTGCCGTGCCATTGACGTAGACCAATCTTGGTGATCTGCTGACCGGTGCACTTGTTCTGGTCAATTTCCTTGATCTTGAAGTTACCGTTGGCAGCGATGATCTCGTCGTCTCCAGCGCTGGCACTGAGGAATCCCTGTCCTGGCACAGTGTCCCAAATTGGGTGACCATCTTGAGTGATCGAGAGATGATTTGCTTTCCCATTCGCAGTGAGCTCGAAGCCATTGCCCAGGCTCAATGGGGCATAGACCGCGAGGGACGGCGCCGCGGAGACCACAAGAGAGGCCCAGAGCCAGGTACTGGGAGAGCGCATGCCGAAATGAGACTTGGAACAGAACGAGAAATGTCCCTGCGGCGCCTGTTATCTTTTAAAGCTTTGCCGATAGTGTCCCTGGATTCTGCAGAATCTTCGATGACATCTGAGGACCTTTTCCGTCCCACTTGGTTTGATAGTTAGCGGAGGTTTATGGTCCTGGGCCAATGAAACGAGACCCATGTCGTTACTTTTTGATGAAGATCAGCTCATTCCATGATTCCAATTAGCCACGGCCAATGCTGATGGAAAAATTGACTCCACAGCCGACGGTCCCGACGGATCGTCGCGTGTGGCTGTTCGGGGGCAAAACGCATAGCCGCGAATCCGGCGAGCGACCGTCCCCATGTATCACATGCAGATGAATGGTAGATGAAATGTTAGAAGTCCTCAGGGTCCTGCCTTACCTACCTAGCTGAGCTCAGGTACTCTTTCGTATCTTGTGAAGTCATTGCATAAGACATTGTTCGGGTGATTTGCTGAGTGGTATAAGAGATGAAACTTCCATTGAAAATTTGAAATGAAATTCGCGATTTATGTAGATCTAGTCGAGACATGGAGTGGGCGGCATGGTATGGCGTAGCCACCTAATAGGGACGATATCATTATACGCAGTAGCACCTAGAGGGAAAGTTCCAAGCCTACAAACCTATACAAAGCTCGTGTCGTTGTTTTACTGTTTCAGTGCGCGCCGACGAGTACCCAGATGATCATGCAGACGACAATAAACCCGTTCAAAGGGAATGAACGTGTCTAGGAGGGGGGTGATATGACGAGAGCACTGAAACCAGGACTGTTAGGGGAAGAGCTTGTCATATGAGGGAGGAGCTCAGCCGTAGTGCTCTACGCCTCTTTCTTCTCTTTCTTTTCTCTTTCTTTTCTTCCCAGTGTTGTTTTAGGTCAAGGAATCAATTCCATCCTGTTTGTCTTCATCGTCTCAGTGAGAGTATAGAACAATAATAAGAGAGTTATGAGTCAACAATAGGAGCAAGAGAACAATAGGCAGGTGACCAACCGAATCCATGGATGGTCGCCGTCGCCCAATTGGGAAGGCACCAAAATCACAGTCTCACAGATATAGATACCACGCCCCTTTCCCAACTCTCCTTTATTTTTTCCTCGAACAACGATCAACCTTCTGCCCGATTTCTGTACCACTACTTTTTTTTGCCAAACAACAAATCACCGTTCTGATTTCTACACCACTACCAGTCCCGTTCAAACGACAAGTGAGGCCAAGATCAGTCCCCTCACTTTATGCACAGACTCACATTGTTGTTCTCTTAGCAAGATGTCGCAGTCACCCGCAAAGCAACCTGCGGCCGCAAGCCCAAGCCCAAGCACCATACCCGTCTCATTCCCAACCAAACCAAGTTCGAGCAGAAAGCTTCCTGACCTTGAAGCGGCGCTGCAGCAAGTAGCTTCCGCACGGAGCAAGTACCATGTGCGAAAGATTGGCATGTTGGTCCGGTGGGAAAATGATACAACTCATGCGGAGGATGACATGGCTGTTGCATTGGACCCCAAGCGGTTTCAGAATTGACTCCATTGTCACCATGTCATCCTCCGCATGAGTTGTATCATTTTAGCACCGGATCAACATGCCAATCTTTCGCACATGGTACTTGCTCCGTGCGGAAGCTACTTGCTGCAGCGCCGCTTCAAGGTCAGGAAGCTTTCTGCTCGAACTTGGTTTGGTTGGGAATGAGACGGGTATGGTGCTTGGGCTTGGGCTTGCGGCCGCAGGTTGCTTTGCGGGTGACTTGATCCCCAATTCAGACCAAACACCCGCCTGGAGCCTCCAAGAGAAGCTTGACAAACTCCTTGGACAATGCATCCGCTCCTCACTATCCTCTCTGTTTATTTTTTATTATGCTGGTCATGGTGGCCTTCATGATGGTGCTCTGTGCTTCACGTCACGCCACAAAAGAATTCGGTGGCGTTCCATCATAGGTACTCTGGAATCAGCACAGCCAGTGGATTCTCTGGTAATACTCGATTGCTGCCATGCGGCCGCTGCAGCACGGCAGCCCAACTCGACAACAAACATTCAGATCATTGCGGCGTGTGGAGCTCATGAAATTGCATCCGAACGCTCGAATCGCGCCTCCTTCACCCAAAGACTGTTCCGCGCCGTGCAAAGGTTCAAGGGCCAAGAGAATTTTACAACGGCTGAGTGGTACCAGCAGGTACAACTCGAAAAGCCGAAGAATGCCCCTCACGCCGTCTTTGAAACCTTAAGCGGCACCGGAACCATCAGCCTTGGGTTCAATAACGCTAGTACATCCCGCATCCCCCGGCCAGTATCTGGGGTGAGCCAGAAGCACGTGCTGGTGAAGCTGACGCTTGAGGGGCAACGAGACGCTGTGGATAGCTTTTCGAAAGCCGTTCGCTCACTCCCGGCGAACATGCAAGTTGAGATTTGCAGTGCATTCGAAACAGATGCCTCTATTTTCTTTATAATGCAGATGTCATGGGAAGGGTGGCTTCTGTGGACCAGCGTTATACACTTGGACTTTGTGGGTGTAACGCTCGGCTCTGATTTACTCCATCCGTTCCTCTCCCAGACCGATGTATGGAAACCGACGAGATGTTACGACACAGTACAGTCATAATGAGGTAGATTTTTTGTTAATGCCTTAAAAGACTATTTCTTACCAGCTCTATAAACCACATTATCCTCAAGCTCTATATCAGCAGAGTTCTTCTCTAAAAACAAAGATGTTCGAGTTTAATGATAGCGCCTTCGAACATGGCCGGCAGGATATCGAAGGATTACCTCCTTCGGTCAAAACATATCGCTACAGTAATATGGACGATTTCTGCCAGATCATCTGGCTTGAGGATGACCGTCTCTATGGTTCTTTCCGCGTTGGACAAAAGGCAAAAGCGTGGGCAAGTAAGTGGTGCAAGTTGGGAAGGACTCCAAGACCATTCGATCACGCTGCCACAGACGGAAGACACTGGTGAGAAAGACAACACTAAGAATACGCCAGGCGAAGATCATAGCCCCGAGGAAGAAGACCACAGCGAACACCTCATCTTCTTTATTGAACCAACGGTTTTCGAGCACGACTTCATCAACTCGGATCCCCCTGTTCGTACCAATACATTTTTCAATCCGAAAACAAAAATCCTTATCGTCAAAATGCTCGGCCCGGTGCACGAACAAGCCAAAATGGCTTTCCACGACATGCTTAAACTGGCCCTTGAGCCAATGGGCCTGCATAAAGCAATTCAATCCTGGGGAAACACAGGGATGCTTGCCATAGATGGCACAACGAAGCAGGCAGACGGGGGGTGGGGTCCACGAAGACCCCCCGAAGCACTCCTAGGAGACCCACGGTTATTTTGGAGGTCGCCAATTCGGAGACTTACGCCAAGCTCCGCCGTGATGCTCAGTACTGGATAAATCCAGCAAGACAGGAGGCTAATGTAGCTATCGGAGTTAAAATCCATACAAAAAGGCCCGACATCACGATCGACCAGTGGGAATGGAGCTCTCAAACCTCTCACCCTACCAACAGGTCTCACTTCACCATTAGTAGGAAATCTGATGGTGCAGTGTACTTTGATCCCCATCCTCTACCTCAGCTCGTGATCCCTTTTGAATCTCTTTTTCGACGCCCCGCACAAATAAACAGAGAACGTGATATAGTCTTTGAGACACAAGAACTTGTCGAATTCGCATCCAGCGTGTGGGATGTGCAATTTGAACAAGATCAAGAATGAAGCAAGAAGTGGTTCACTGTCCACTATAGTTAGCGGGTGGTTTTTTCCTGAGTTGAACCCAACTTGGTTAGGCAGGTCATTGTGGGCATAATCCAGCGTTTCTCAAACTACCTTAGGCTAGAACATCTTATGTGCATGCAAACACTGTCCAGTTAACTGTGTACACAGAACCTAGCTGGTGATACTAACACTGATCAGTGGGTGATTACAGTCACAGGTCAAAGACTTGAGACTTATAAGTAGGTTGGAAGTAGGCAATGTAAAAGCGGACGCTCACGGCTATACAAACCAACTCGACCAATCAGAACCTCAGATTTGTGCCAGGAACCGTTTGTAGTTTGTACTTTGTTCACTTCTAGTGGATCACCGACCGGCCGCTAAATTGTTTCAGGAATGGAGCAACGGACTAGTGTGACGAGTGGATCTGAATGGATATGAAGTACGGAGTACTAGTTAGTTAGTTAGAAGTCAAGGTTCGTAGATACTTTCCCTCAGGCTCCAGCAAGTATCATCTGAACTGTATGTTCATTCCTGCGACACTTCCTGTGACCTGTCATCCTGATACTAAGCTCAAAGAAGTCTAGATATGCTTCTCATAATGTCTTTGTTGATGCCTCCATATGCCTTGCCCATGATGGACTGGAGAACCGGAGACTTAGACCACACAACGGAAATCCTCCTCTTCCCGCTCTACCTTCTACATCTTCTTCGGCTGCTCGACATGAATGGAATGGCACGTGGAGACGACCAAAAAACTGGGATAATAAGCAGCGCAATCCGGAAATCAGACAACCTGGACGAAATCGACTGGGAACGGGTCGGACACAACACGAGCAGCGTAGGATCCGATTTCTTCGGGTAACAAAGCACTACCCAGTAAGGAGGGCGGATGTCATGTCGTTGCGAATGCCGATACCGAGTTCCACAACTACACTTCGTACTGAGATGCAGGGCGCCAGGAACGGTGGGTTTATGAGAAGCTGGAACTAAGAATCAGTCGCAGGGGGATCTTGATAGGGAATGTGAATAGGTCTGATGTTCCGTTTACGATGATGGCGCAGAATCTCCCTGATTCGGGACTTTCATACTGGGAAGGAGTCGAAGTACTCTGGTCAATCTGGGACATGTTAGACCATTGAGAGGCAAGGTGGCTCCGTGACATGTAATGCATTATGCATGTGTTCTACCACGCCGCTACATTATCTATTAGAGGGGTTGAGAGACAGTTATTTATGCTAATGTACAAATAGAAGTATTTCTTGCGCGCTCTTTAATGAATGGGTATTTCCGGTCGGTGTGAATCAAAGCCATGTTGAGGATATCGTTCCAATCATGCGAGGCTGCAGCATGGGGTAAGCCGAGGGCAAGGCATTTCGGAGGGACCACAGTGTGATTCAGCGGGCCAGGGATCACCCAGCGATATTCGATTCGAGTATTGGAACAATCATATGCGTTGTAGGAAAAGGTGTGAGGGCAAAACGCCACTCTGCTCCAGCGCCGCACATACAATCGCAGTTGCTTGCTAGCCACCGTGTCGTTGTGTGCATTGTCCGGCATTCGTTTGCTATCAGACATGTAGTATTCCCAACAATCTGATTGGGTATCATAAACACGTCTGCGAAGTGGTCGGGGGAGTTTGACTGCGTGGAAGAGGCAGCAAGAACACGTCGCAGATCAAGCTTTAGCGATGATAACAACCCTGGACAACGAGCTATGACTGCCGTGTGTGATAGTCACTTTTTGCTCGACTGGGACCAATATTTGTAAGGGTATGGAAGGCGCCAGCATTTGGGGTATTTGTGGGTATTTGTGGGTGAGAAGTTGGCGTTGGACTCTTTCAGATGCCGGCCCCGTTGAGCCTTTCATGCGACCATCGCTTGATCGTCTGAGAGATGACTTGGGGCAGCACTAAACCCCGATGTGTCACTGCCCGTTGGCTCAGAGGACCTCGCGCGGACTTGCGCGGTCCAGTCTTGAATGCTGGGGGCGCCACCATCAATAACGACTGGGTGTTCCTCCGCGTGCTTTCCTAGGACAGTGCCAGCGTAACGAGACTCCTCACCAGTCTTGCTGTGTTTCTTCTTCAGGGCAGTCAGGTAGTCCTCCTTTTCAACCGCATCGGGATCCACCATGTCGCCCTCGCTTGGGACGAAGCCCGCAATACGTCGAATTTCACGGTGGGCTGGCCCAGTGATCCAGCCAAGGAATCCATCAAGTCCACGCATATCTTCTTCGCCATGCCATTCTTCTTCCCATTCGCGCATTTGTGGTCGTAGAGCTCCGGCGTCCTGTAGAGCTTGGTAGATGTCTTCGAGGGCCGGTACGGGGTCGTCGGGGTGCGCATTGGCGGCATGTTCGACTGCAGATGAAGCGAGGAGCATCAAGTAACGCCCAGTCAGGTCCTGGAGCGACTCGAGCACCGAAGGGCGCGTCGAGTGGAACCCTTGAGCGCGGAGGATTTGGATGATCGGAGGACGGAGGAGAGCATTATGAAGGTTTGGGCCTGACATTCTGCCGTGGTAGCGATAGCGTTCCTCGAGATGTACGATGAATGAAAGATGCCGATAAATTGGTGGTTCGAAAGGAAGCGATGTAGAAAGGAGAAAGAGGGAGAGTGTAAAAGTTTATAAGTAGAGATGTTGGAGAGATGAGATGCGGTGTTCGCACGCGCGATCCAAAGCGGAGAATTCCAACTTGCCGCATCTCACTTCCACCTATCGCAACCACCATCCTATCACTCCCTACTGTCTTTATCTCTCCTACTAGTCAGATAGCTCTTTTACCGGCACGATGCCTCTCAAGATCAAATTCTCGAGACGGCCAGAAACCCCAACCGGCGAAGCAGCGCCTGCACCGGCACCAGTGCCTACGCCTACGCCTGCGCCTGCGCCTGCAACCCCCGCGACCGAAACGCCTCAACCTCCACGCAAGATCACACTGAAGATCGCACGCAAGCCTCAAACTGAGGAGCCCGATGAAAAACCGAAGAAGAAGAAAGTTGTCAAGAAACGGCCGGCGGAAGCTGCTGCGCTGCCCGTGCCCGCGCCTGAGCCCGAGACAAGCCTGCAAGGACCCAAGCGCCTGAAGCTGAACCCATCGAAGAAGCCTGGCCTACAGTCAATCCGTATCAAGAACAAGGGGATCGTCCCCAACCGACCGGTGGGTGTTGGCTACGACTCCGAGGCCTCGGATACTGAGCAGGATCCTGCCATCGAAGAGCAATTCATTCTACGCATGCTCCCAGGAGAGGACTGCGAGCATCTACGGAAAACTATCAACGAAAGGACTTTCCATCACTCGGAATTTGGATTCAAGCCCCTTACGCGTGAAGGTCGGCGTGCCATCTTGAAAGTGAGAGACAAACAATATGCGGCGGCCCTGGTGGATCTACCTTGCGTTATCGAAGGAATGAAGAGTTGGGACCGACGAGGTTGGTACAAGTCAGCGGACATTTGCCAAATGCTCTTAGTATTAGGGCGAGTCAACAGCGACCAGGAAGCTATGGAATACCCACTGCCCGCGGACGTCGAATGCCCTGACGAAAAGACACTTCAGTACCCACACGGTCTCGCACCGCCCCTGCGCTGGGTCCGTAAGCGGCGATTCCGCGACCGCGTCAGCACCCGTACAATCGAACAGGTCGAGAAGGCGGTGGAAGAACTCATGGCTCTGGATGAAAATTCTATCTTCGCTCCGAAGTTTGAATTGGTGGACAGTACATCGCTGAACCGCGTTGAAGGATTGGTGCAAACCGATCAGTATGAGGAGGAGTACGACGATGAACAGGATGCATACGGTGAAGCGGATGAAGAGATGATGGACGACTTTGAAGATGATCTCGCTGCTGAAATGGAGGCTGCCTTGGCCGGTGATGACGAGGCAGCTGGAGCCGGAAAGGAGCAGGCAGACACGCAGCAGCCCTTCACGCCGGCTGGAGGACCAACCGAGCGCGGGGATACCTCTGCCGACGAAAGCAATATCTCCGACGAGGACGACGATGATGGTCAAGAGGAGCTCGATGACGATCAGATTGAGCAGCAACAACAGCTCCAGCAGCAGCGCGAGGAAGTCGCCGAGTTGGAAGCTCTCATCCGCACCGAAACGGCACAGTGGGAGAAGGTACAAAATAACATCCTTCGCAACAAGATGGGCCGACGAATCCAAGAGCTCAAGAAGGATCTGGAACTCAAGAAGGTCTCTATGGGCATGCCAGGCGGAGACGATCTTTGATTTTTCATCCTCAATCTTACAGCACTCTACGAGTGACCTCTTTTTATTCCAGCGCTATTTCTTTAATCATACCCGATGTCCGATGAGATTGTCTGACCGAGTGCATTCCCGGTGACTATGTTAATACAAGCAGCGCTTAGCTAGCTGAATACTTAATGAAAGTCATGTCCAGCAGAACCCCCTCCAACATCAAATCGAGTAACTTCAGAGCCTACTTCCCCACAACCGGCTCCCCCGCCGCCTCCTCAACCGCTCCTTTAACATCCAACCGCTCATCCCTCTCCAACTTCTCCCTTCTAACACCCTCCCTCTCCTCAACCTCCCCATCCATCGCCGGACTCCTCCCAACCCTCTCCCCAAGAATCCTCTCATGTTCAGCTGTTTTCTCCCCCATATTCGCCGCAGTATCCTCCGCCTCCCCGAAACCCGGATGTCCAGGCCCACCAGCACTCCCAACAGGCCCCGCATGAGCACCAGCCTGAGCCCGCTGCGTCCCCATCCCCTTCCGCTGCACCGCATCAGCGATGTATCCCTCCGCCGGCTGTTGCTCGACGCCGTAGTCTAGATCGACGTCGGCGGCATTCTGCATCTCACGCTCGTGTTGCTTGTGCTGTGCGTCTAGATTGGCACGTGTTTCGTCGCTGGATGGGTTGGACTGTGCAGTGCGGGTTATAGATCCGATTGAGTCTCCGTGGTGTCTGATAGCCTCGGTTGGGGCTCGTTGCTCTGGTGGTGCTTGTGTGACTGGATTAGAGGATTGAGTATAAGCGGCTTCTTTTGGTGGCTGGGGTGTTTGGTTGGCTTTGGTTTGTGAGCGGGTCTGCATTTTGATGATGTGGTGTTTCTTGTACGTAGAGTTGACTGGAAGATGTATGACTGCGTAGAATGATTGTATGTTGTATGTAGTATGAAAGAATCAAGTCGAGCTCCTACTTCTGTACTTATTCCCACATGCTGAAGAAAGTGACACTTCGTCCCCACTTATGACGTCAATTTTTTTGGCCAATAGTAAAGCGAGGATGTTAATCCCTGCATCAGGTTGCATTAGGTAGTTCCGACAATATCCTGACAAGATCCTGGCCAGAGTTTCTTTGTACACAAGTACTAGTTTCCTTAAGATAAACAACTCGAAATAATAATTGTTCATGCCATAACACAGTACTCCACCCATCCCCTTAGCCAAATTAACCCCTACCGAAACGGCTCCGATCAGCCCCCCCTTCCGGCCCATTTCCCACTAATTTACCAGAAGTTCAGAACTCAACCCGACGCCCTGTTTCGTCCCGCCGCACAGATCTTCCACTAGACCCAAACCCTCGGGATTCCCAAACACCCGGGAATTAATAGTTCGACTAGGCAACGAGTCTCACCCTGTCAAATCCCCATATGACATGTAGCCACTCACTCGGTAACCAATGGCAAGGATATTACACAGCCTAGGCCTCGGGCTGCCCTCCGTAAGACCCAAATGAAGCGGTCCCCTCTTCTAACTCATTTCGACGCCGTCCGCGTGGGTGAGGAAAGTGAACTCTATTCAAGCTCCACCGGGGGTCTCCCTCCCCGCTCGCTTCCAAACTATGCCCTTCTCCTCTCTCCTTGTTTTCACACAAACAGTCCAATATCGATACCATGGCTGAAGCTCTCTACTATCTGCCAAAGGGCTCACGCATCCTGGTGACAGGAGCCAATGGGTTTGTGGGGAGTAATGTTATACACAACCTGCTGGAACTAGGGTTTCGGGTTCGCGGGACTGTCCGCGCCGCCAAACCATGGCTCGACAAGATGTTCCAGGACAAGTTCGGGGCTGACTCGTATGAGTCGGTGATTCTGACGAGCTTTGAGAATGTGGATATTCTCGTCGAGGTACTGGACGGTGTATCTGGCGTTGCCCACGTGGTATGTTATTTCATCAGGGGAGTGCGGAATTTGAGGGGGAGGACACGGCTGACGCTGTTGATCGAATTAGGCGACGGATACCAGTTTCAAGCCGAATGTAGAGGAGGTTGTTGGTTGGGCAGTGAGAGCAATTCACAATCTGCTCGAAGCTGCATCCAGGCACTCTGATATTAAACGGGTTGTCATGACCTCTTCTGCAATCGCGGCATTGTTCCCGGTGTCGAACAAGGAGATCACTGTTTCTGAGGGTGAGCCTGATGTCCATGTCGAGAGAAATGAGTGTCGCACGATCTAATGCTATGCAGATTCCTGGAATGACGAGGCAATCACAACTGCCTGTGATCCGAACACCCCCGATCGCTTGAAGGGCTTCTTCGGCTACGCAGCCTCCAAAACAGCGGCCGAGAAAGCAGCGTGGAAATGGATGAAAGAGAACAACCCTGGCTTCCAATTCAATACCGTCCTACCGGACTTCACCGTGAGTCATGCCCATTTCGTAGATTGACCACAATCCGCAATATTGACTTGCAACAGCTGGGAAGAGTCCTGCACAAGGAGATGGGCGGCTCAACCATGGCCTGGGTCCGTGGCCTAGTCGAAGGAGACAGACTGATCTTCGAAACATTTGTTCCGCGTAAGTGTTGCAGTTGAATTGGTCTTTGGTCATGACTGATATACAGAGAAGAATACTTCGTCGATGTCGGCGACATTGCCCGTCTCCACGCAGCGGCCCTCCTCGATCCAAACACAGTCTCGCGGCGACTTTTCGGCTTCGCCGCTCCCGTGAACCTCACTGACATTATCTCCACCGTTCGCAAGCTGCGGCCCGAAAGTACTTCGATACCCGAACCTCCTGTTGACGAGGGACGTGACCTGAGTGTAGTCCTTCCTGCCAAGGAAGCAGAAAGACTTCTGAAGGAATTCTGTGGGCGGGATGGGTGGACCTCTATGGAGGAGAGCATTGCCCATGGGCTTGAGCGTTGCTAGAGATGTTGGTTGCGTCGTAGATATCCAGCTTTTGATCTAATTGTCCATTTTGCTCACACGCACATACTAATCAACCTGGAGGTGGCTTTGTTCTTGAGTTTATGTCTGGTGCTTATATAGTTAGTACGAATCAAGTCCGCACGGAGGAGTGGCCATGGTAGGCTCCCAACATTTGGGTGGCTGCTTCCAAACAATCATTCTGTTTACTTTCGTGCCTTCCTTTCTCGAGAAGCCTCCAAATTAGACTTCAATGATCATACAAGGCAGGAACTGAAATCATTTTGCGGAATTGAACTACTGAGAGTTTCAAATTACTGCGGTAATGTAACTACCGCCCTTCCCGTGATACCATCTTTCTTCAGCGCCTCGATCAGAGTCGGTACGTCAGAGAAATCAAAGGATTCGATCGATGGGGTTATCTTTCCAGCAGCTGCGGCTTTCAATAAATCAGCCAGCTGGTCCTCAGTACCAACGGAGGACCCTATGAAGGTAAGTCCTATTGTTCCAGGTGTTAGTACTTGATTCGACCATCCAAGAAACCAGGTCCATACCTCTCGCCGTACAGAGCGTTGCCGAAAGGGGGATGCGCAAGTCATTCCGCGGAAGCCCAACATTCACAATGAATCCCATGTTTCTCACAAGGTCAGGAGCCATCTTCAACGCTTCCTCTGTTCCCGGCACCACGATAGTTGCATGTGCTCCCTCGCCAGTATACTCATGCACTCGAGCTATAACATCCTCTGTGCGATAGTCGAAGAAGACCTCCGCCCCAGACTCCAAACTAAGCGCCCTCTTCCCCTCTCCACTATCCACGGCGATAACACGCAAGTTCTTCATCCTCGCCGCAATCTGCACGCCGATATGGCCCAGACCTCCGCCAGATCCCGAGATAACAATAAAGTCACCAGCCTGCAATTCGTTGTCAAGCTTGGATAAAGCACCGACCATAGTCAATCCGGCGCAGAGCAACGGGGCCGCAATCTCATCCGCCACGCCTTCTGGGATGTGGGTTAGGAAACGCGCATCCGTAATGACATATTGCTGCAGTGTTCCGGGGACATGGCGACCTGTATTGAGCTGTTGTGCGCAGTTATGCGGGAACCCTCGCTTACAGACGGAGCATTCGTTGCACGCACTGTATAGCCATTTGACGCCGACGCGTTCTCCAAGAAGGGACTCTGGGACTTCATCTCCTGTTTTCACTACTGTGCCGACTCCTTCGTGTCCGATGATGGAGTTGTAGATACCCCATGCTAAGACGGCGCGAAGTTCAGAGCGACTTTGGTTTGGATACTTTAGCGGGGCTTTGGGAAGCGGGGGATAGGTATATTCCGTTGCTTACCAGAGTCCGGTGCAGGTCAATTTCACCAGAACCTCATGTCTTCCTGGATTTGAGACAGGTATGCTATGCGCAAGCTTGATGCTTGCGTGCTCGCCCGGATCTTGTACCAAGGCGGCTTGTTGTAGAAGGGGAATGGAATTTGCCATTGCGAGCGATCACATATGACGTTTCTTAGTGTTTAGGAAATTCTTAGTTATTTCCAGTCTTTATTATACCTGGACCCCGCTAAATACTTTTGCGTAAGAAGCACCGATGTCTAGTTACCGGGTCTGCATACCTTTGTCAGGGCGATGTTCGGTTTGCCGAGGTTATTGTCGTGAGTCGGCCACCAAATCGGCAGATAGGGCAATTTCCCGCCTCAAAGTACAACCATCTTCTGTTGCGCTTCGGTATGGTCAACGCATATCCTGGACGGTAGAATCAATGGCTGGATATCGAGAAGATACCAGGACGAAGAAATTGAAAGCCCAGTACCATTCGGCATTCGGGCCAGAATTGGGTGTCCTGCATACTTATGCGCCCTACTCTATGGTCAGTGCTTCAGAGCCTTGGAAAATCGCAAGTTATGCAGATAGAGGGTCTTTTGTAGCTTGAGATTACCTCTAGTTGGAGGAGTTCTCCCACATGCACTAATGTACGCTAAAATGCACATGCAAAGGGCTCGTTCCATGTTCGAACTAGGATGCTTCGAAGTATCATCTTTGGGCTGGATTCTGGGCGACACTGAGGGTCTTCACCTACAGCGTATAAATACCCTCATTTATGCTGATCTATAATTATCGCATCTGTTCGTAGTCGATATTCTTACTTACTCGTGATTGGAACAAAGCCTTGGGTACATAGTTCGGAGTTGATCCGACGGACATCATTCGCCAGTTGGTGCGGACCGCGGTTGAGTACCAACTTGGCCCATTGCCCACTGACGAGGCATCTTTCTCCTTTCGATTTTAAACCTCAGAAATTATTTTCAGAAATCCAAAGTGATATTCTCCTTTCTGGGGATCGATTTCAACAGCGTTGGCAATCACGTGACATCATCCGGGGAACTGGCATGTGATACTGGCCGAGGTCTGATTATTATTCACAAGTCACAACTTCCACGCGCCCGTGTAGCTAGATCAAATTTCTATTACAATAAAATATCGTCGATCGAGTCCCCCCCTAACAACATCCCTATCTAAATACACTCATCATGGCACCCCTATTCACCGTCCCGATCAGCTCGACCGGGGGCTCGATTGTCTGCACGAACCCCAGCGCAGCTCCCGAGCATGCGACCATATATGTGCTCACCTTTAGCTCGCCTCCCGACAACCGGCTGACGCCTATCTTCATTGATGCCATGCTGCTTGCCCTCGATATTATCGAGCACCGCTATCCCAAGGGTGTCGTAGTCACCACCAGTGGAATTGTCAAGTTCTACAGCAATGGCCTTGATCTCGACATTGTCGCGCAGACCGAAGGTTTCCTTGAGAACTGGCTGTGGCGGTTGTTCCGACGCTTCTTGACGTATGTTTAGTTGTTTACTGCTAAGCGCCAAGCGTAAACTTCAACACAATGCTAACATGACGCCCAGATACCCTATGCCAACAGTGTGTCTCCTAAATGGTCACGCCTTTGCCGGTGGCTTTATGTTGGCCATGTACCATGACTACCGAATCATGAACCCAGACCGTGGCTTCGTCTGCGTTAACGAGCTGGAATTTGGTGTCCCGCTCCAGACGCCCATGATGAGCATCTTCCGCGAGAAGCTGACGCCAACCACCTTCCGCAATGTTGTCCTCGAGGCCCATCGCTTTGGTGGACGTGCGGCATTGCAGGCTGGTATTGTCGATGCCGTTGGCGGTGCCCAGGAAGCTCTTGCATTGATCCAGGAGCGCAAGCTCCAGACTAAGGCTGCCACGGGTATCTATGGCACCATGAAGGAGGAGATGTATTCGCGGGTCTTGAGTGGCTTGGATGATCATGAGGGAAACTTGAAGTGGCGGGAGAATGTTGAGACGACGAATGAATCAGTCAAGAAGAGGGGATTGCAGGCGGTGCAGGAGTTCGAGAAGAACGGGAAGGCGAAGCTTTGAGGTTGGTTGAAAGCAGAGGTGCATGAAGTGCTTTGCCAATGCTATGCGGCTGTGTACATATTCTCCCTATATTTTACTGGTTGTCAGTTACTGAAGAAGCTAAATAGAAAGATTTATAGACCATCCGCCAAGGTAATGGATATCAATATGCCTGTTCGAGCCAGGCAGAGAGATAACAGTCCCGTCATGTCCAGTCAAACATACCGATATTATGTCAATGAGCTTTAGACGCACAAGGTACCTTTGTTCACTTTACAAACACAAGAAAGGCATGTTTAAATCAACAGCCATGTAGGCATTGCCATCGAAGCTACAATATCTGCTGGTTTCACCGCATCACCAATAGCTCTCTTACTTTTACTTCTGGTTCAAACTATCTATATCTCAGTGCAGGCTGAACGTGGCCTGACATTGAGCCACCGAATCAATGCGGCATATCTATACTTGCGCGGGGGCTCGTAGGATGGCTAGTAAGATCATTCACAATCAAGGTTGCCACATGTGGTACGTATTGATGTTTGAATAAGTCTGGTTGATGTAGCCTGTCGAGCACAATATACGCGAGGAAGTATGTCGATAACTGTAGCAGAGTGCTTGTGATGGACTCAGTGTGTTGGGACTGCTATGGTAATGAGCACAGAGCGCAGTCGCAGCTGCCTAGATGTGAGAGAAGTAAACAAGGCAACTAATATCGTTGATATCGTGACTGAGCAAGTCACGAGGTCTACGGCCAGGTATATATTGCTCTTGATTGTCATCGTGCTTGTCGTCTTCTCTTCTGCTTGTCACATCTCGCATCTCCTTCCTCACCTTCACCTCTTCAACTCGCGACGTCGTCGACTTCATCTCTTCATCTCGTCGACGTTGTTGAGATCAACGTCGACTTCATCGATTCCCGACTGCCAGATATCTCTCCCAGGGACTTGGAAGATCCCATGGGAGATCTCCATAGCTCCTATTTCAACGGTTAGTTTTTTAATCTTCCTCTATCCTAGTTCAACCATGCTCATCATTACTAACCCCTGGTAGGCATCGAAAAGGGTCCGAAATGGCCCAACACCATTGGCAGAGCTCATCACGCCGCCGAGGGCCTTTCCGAGGACGAGGCTTGGAGACTAGTCGCTGCTGCGACTTCTCGGAAAAGCCCGCGAGAAGGTTAGATTGTTCGACAAGGCCTTCACTTTGGCAAATAGCTCTCCCAGGGACATGGAAGATCCCATGCCAGACCTACAGAGTCCCTATTTCAACGGTTAGTATTTTAATAGTTCCCTATCCCAGTTCAACCACGCTCATCATTACTAACCCCTGGTAGGCATCGAAATGGCGCCGAATGGCCCGACGCCATTGGCCGGGTTCATCGCGCCGCCGAGGGCCTTTCCGAGTACGAGGCTTGGAGACTGGTCGCTGCTGCGATTGTTCGGAAAGGCCCGCGAGAAGGTTGGGAATGTTCGACAAGGCCTTCAGAAGGCTCGCAACTTGCTCCCCTCCCGTCATGGAGGGTGACTCACCTGGATTTCGACTCTGCGGGGTTTATATCCAAGAGCTCGAAGTGCTCCACATTCGGTTGTTCAAAGCGATGCCCTGACCTCGGGAGGAAAGGTGATTCGACAAAGTGGAGCACAATGCAAACTCGTCGATACCAGGTGGAGCCCTACGATCCTGACATTCTTTCATGGCTCTAGCCTCTGCTGGCATTTTGCCGTGGTGGCAGCTTGGGCTGTAACAGGGGCCCCCGCCCAACATCCTCCCCAGACTCTCTCCCGACCTGTCCCGGACGAAGGGGAATTCTGTCCGGTATGTGGCTCTAGGTGTCTGAGTCTCTTTTCATGCCCCTGTTTCTTTTCATCTCCCTTGTGTCCTTGATGAGATGTTCGGTAGCTTCCGAGAAGGATGGAGTTATTCTATTTGTGTTGACTGTCGAGTCACCCACCAATAATGACCAAAATCATTGACGTTACCTTCTGATTCTATGCCTCTCATGATAACCTCGTAGTTCTTCAGTGTTGCGGTCTATGCGGTCTCCGTGTGGGGCTAATCCAGTGGCGCCGGAGACCTGAAAAGCTTGGCATTATTTCACTTCCACCGATTCCGGAAAGGTTAAAAGTTGCATGCTCATTGCTCATGGTATCGAGAATACTCTCTAAGTAAGTCTGTAAGAGAGTAAGAGACAAACAGTCTAACCTTGAGATAAGTCCGCTGCAAGAGGCAAAGAAGAAGGAAGAGGAAGCTATCTACAAACAAGGCTTACCTTAGGACTGGTTACGGGCTACATGACTACATGTTTCTCAGACACGGAGGGAGAAGAATTGCGGAGTTTGATGTCAACCTTCTTCAAGCATTGATTTGATGAACCTAAACCTCCACGAGTCCACAATCTATTGAGATACCAGAAGATGCCTGAGCAGTCAACGGTCGGGCAGCTCCCTCTGATGGGAGACCATCACTTCCACTGATGAGACACGTCGAAGGCCATCACAGCTGTAGCAGCGCTGTGGTACCAATCATTCAACGCTCGACCCTTCATCTTCACTGAGGTGTACTAGCGGATAGACAGAGTGATCGCAACTGATACCAGCATCAACCGGACTGGCATCATCCGCCGTCATGCGGAGTAGGCCAACTCTCACTTGAAAGCCCCGACCAAAAATCCGGTAATAACTTCCGATAGTTAAGTGATGTACCTAGTTGGGTACATATGTTGAAACCAAATATCCATAGGTATGATCTTTCATGATTGATGTATTCTCATTTCGCCATTATTGTGAATGTACGCAAGACACCATGCAAGGTGTGAAACCATACGCCCAGCTCCATCCGTAGGCTCTAAAATACATAACTTCGTAGACGTCAATTATCCCATAATCATCAAAGGCCCTTTCGCGGGGTCAAGTCTGCTTCGCCTTGCTAGGACGGCCACTTTTCGGTGTGACCAACTGATCTACCAATGGCCTATATGGAGAGGCCAGTAGATATTCTGGTGCACGCTGTCCAGGCTCCCCCGAACTCGGCCGATGTAACTGTTCCTCGTGCATGCGATCAAGCGACTCCCCGACAACCTGGTATTTGCCCCAATTGATTGGGGGCATGCGAACGACATTCTGCGGGTTGGGGATGTGGCCAAAGTCCGAAGACGGTGAACGGTCTGGGTTCGTGGGTTTAGGATCTGCTTCCTCGTCCTCGTCCTTGTCGTCTGTCGCAACGTCCGAGAACTGGATTACCGCACCGTGGTTCTCGGTCTTCAGCGCGCCTGCTGCCAACTGATGCGCAAAGCGCTCTGGGTCAGCGGCAGCGGAGTCCTTCAAGCGATTTAATGCCTGGATGTCGCGCAAGCTTTGCTGCTTCTGCATCTGCAGGATCGTGATAGCGGAACGGAGCGCGATCGCATCTGGATTCTCGCTGTCGGAGATGGCGACCGGGGGTGGTTGGGGTATGAAGACAGGTGGGTTTGCTGGGGGAGTATGTTGTGAATAGTCGGGATATGACGGTGGAAAGTGTGATCTAGGAGAGGGAGATGCAGGTGGCGGGGCGATTCTAGGCTCATCGGAAGGGAGCGGCACGAGTTGGGCAAACACTGGTGTCACTGGTGAATAAGGCGGACGAGGTGGCGTGCCAGACTGATAATCTTGGTACGAGGCCGGAGCCTCTTCTTGCTGCATGATCGAGGTTGAAGGTGAGGATTAAGCAGTTGGGGCCAAGTGGGGGGACAAATCGAGGTCGATAAGGCGAGATATGACGACAGCGGTTCCTGGACCCGCCAGCAATCACATGGACGCAGTAAATCGCAGTAGACGAGTCAACACAAATATCGTTGAAGGCAATGTGATCGAGTTGCTGAGACGGAGATTTTCAAGGACGAAGAAAAATAATGACTGGCAGGAAATAGCCTGTCCTCGGATAAGAGCAGGCGCATGTGCTATGCGCCACTGTCGGAAGTCATGGCTAGGCAGCTTAGACTGAAGCTATGTTGATTGAAGTTTCAATGTAAACAAACAATTAACAATATTTACAGATTCAATGATTGAAATCATAAATGACCATAGTCAACATCAGATCGCCCAGGTTCTATCTTCATTGAACTGGACATGCCATCAGCCAACAGACTTGACCGCCTCATCGTGGGGCTTCACCGCCCGGAAAAATCTATGAAATATCAGACCACTCTCTACGGCAGCTTTCACTCTTTTAAACACCCAGAATGAAGCGCAAAACAGAATCAAGAGCCTCCATGGATGGCAATGCCATGCCCAAGTCGAAGAAACGGGCTCTCTCCAGCGAGGAGGCCGCTGCCTGCTTCCGCGACGGCCTGTTCGACAATGCGGAGCAGCAGAAATACACCGAACAATATGCGAAGTCTTCTCCGTATGTATAGGCAGATCAATAGGTCAATGGCAAAGTATTGACGTCTCCGAATTCATAGGTACCTGCACGGCGTCATCCATCCTCTGATCGAGCCCAGTCTTCTGCGCTCCGTTCGCGATGAAATTGAAACGCAAGTGTCCTTCACCGAAAAGGAAACCGATATCTATAAGATCTTCCAGTCTGGGGACCTCGCCAATCTTGACGGACTTGATGACTCTTCTCTCTCTAAGCTGCCGTCAGTACTAAAGCTGCGCGATGCGATGTACTCGGCACGGTTCCGCGAGTACCTGTCCTCCGTGACGGGCTCAGGCAAGCTGAGCGGACAAAAGACCGACATGGCCATCAACGTCTACACCGAGGGCTGCCACCTCCTTTGTCATGACGATGTCATCGGCAGTCGCCGTCTCAGCTACATTCTCTACCTGACCGACCCAGACACACCCTGGCAACCCCAGTGGGGTGGCGCCCTGCGCCTTTACCCGACGACCACTCAGAAGGACGCCAACGGCGAGGACGTCAAGGTCCCCAGCCCCGACTACAGCCTCTCCATCCCGCCCTCCTTCAACCAACTGAGCTTCTTCACTGTTCAGCCCGGCGAGAGCTTCCACGATGTCGAGGAAGTGTACCACCCCCGCGAAGACGAGGACAAGACACAGAAGCGCGTGCGCATGGCGATCAGCGGCTGGTTCCACATCCCCCAGGAAGGCGAAGACGGCTACGAGGAAGGACTGGAAGAGAAGCTTGCGGAGCGCAGCAGTCTCGCACAGCTGCAGGGCCGCGGCGATATCTACGACCTGCCGCAACCACGGCCTGTGTCCTGGGAGGAGCCTGAGGTTGAAGGCAAGGGCAAGGGCAAGGTAGAAGAGCAAAGGGAGAGCGAGTTCACCGAGAGTGACCTCGCCTTCCTGTTGCAGTACATCGCCCCCTCGTACCTGACCCCTGACATTGCAGAGGAGATGTCAGACGCATTCTCCGCTGAGTCCTCGCTCAGCCTGGAGCGGTTCCTGAGCGACAAGTTTGCTTCTCGGGTCAGCGCTTACATCGAGGAGCAGGAGAGACAACCTCTGCCTGCTTCTGCGGATGAGATTGAGACGCAGCGCGGGTGGACAGTTGCTCGTCCTCCGCACAAGCATCGCTACCTGTACCAACATCCCTCTGGCGAGGACTCCGAGAATCCAATCCAGGAGCTGATGAACGTGTTGTTACCGTCGCAGCCTTTCCGCAAGTGGCTCGGACTCATCACTGGCGTGGACCATCTTACAAGCTACGATCTACTTGCGAGACGGTTCCGTCGCGGTGCGGACTATACTCTTGCTAGTGCTTACGAAGGCGAAGAGCCCCGGCTTGAGTTCTCGCTTTGTCTCACTCCGACCCCGGGATGGGAAAAGCAGGAAGAAGAGGAGGAAGAAGAGTCAGAGAACGAGGACGGAGAGGCCAAGCCATCTGAGCCGAAGAAGACGGAAGACGACGTTGTGGAAGGCCCTGCACTTGGCGGGTACGAAATTTACATGGCCGGTGATGACGAAGAAGATGAAGATGAGGAGGAAGACGCCGAGAACGCTGATCAAGTCCTGGGTCGGAAGAAGACCAAGGCCGATCCGGCTATCTACCGCTCAGCAGGTGCAGATGAGGATGACGGTATTCTGTTCAGCACCCAGGCAGGATGGAACCGACTCAGTATTGTGCTGCGTGACAGTGGCACCCTCAAGTTCGTGAAGTATGTCAGTGCTGCGGCTAAGGGTGATCGCTGGGATATCACTGGTGAGATTGGTGTTGAATTTGAGGAGGGCGATGATGACGAAGATGAAGACGAGGATGCGGATGAGGAATAGATGATTATGATGGCATATACAGGCCTTCACTTCCCTCAAAATTTGTAGATATTGGAAATAGTGCGCTTATATGACCTGAATTGACCTCATTGATGATTTATTCTCCACGCTTTTACCTACGCGATTACTTATCAATTCGCCCTGGATACTCTTTAGGTAGGGCAACTAAACACATGGAAACTGTTTACTACTGTGTACACATGTTTTCAGACAAGACATGATGACCCAAATATTACGGCCATCAGCAGACCAGTAAGGTTAAGGCTACTGTTAACATCCAAATTTCAATATGTCAGCCATGAATCGCTCTAATCTACGGGCAGTGTAGTGTGCACTGCCAAATCGGGATGATAATCGGTCCCTGATGTCCTTGCATAGAAACGAAACCCTTGCCACCAACGTCCAGAAGCAGCATGTAATTCATATACCGACCGCGAATCCACCGACACCATCCAAGTGGCAACTGGAACACAGTGAAACAATCAAAATGCAGGAAGATCTCCGCGTCCCGAAGGACAATGGAACATGCACATGGCGGGATAACTCGGTTCGGGCCATATGTGGACCTTGATGCAGTAGGGAATATACAATCAGGCAGAAGTCAGTCAATATTACTGATTATTCCAAACTACTGCATACCTAATTCGAGACCAAAGCTGGGGAGGAGACCACCCTAATTATTACCCACAACATACATTATCAGCTCCACTAGGTGTACAGTATAAAACCCATCCCATCCCCACCAACATAACCATAGTGCATCTATACCTCACATGCACGACTCACATTCAAGGTTGGACATACGTACCATCGACACATGGCGCAAGACCATGCAAGGAGCGCCACGGGAATCCACTTATCTTCCCCGTGGAATTCTGAATGCAAGACATGCCATATTCGGGAGGGACAGAAACCCACTATGACATACACTAGTCATGTAGTAGTATTGAGTTTATCCCTTTGAAGACAATGGACTTTGGGGATTTGACACGCGAGGATAGCCAGTTCCACACATTAGGGAGCGGATATATACTCCCTGGGGATCATGCCGGCAAGGGGTTCCACGACTAAGGAGTGGGATATCGTGGAATGATCTGCCAATTAGGAACGGGTGATTGAGGACAAAAGTACATATGTGATCGTCGAAAGGATGTGGATGATTGTCCACTATTTACCTAGATGGTGTAGTGGTTCAAGGGATTTTGTGCTGTGTAGCTGCACTGAATGTATGCGTAAGAGGGATGAATGTCTTGTTTCGAAGGTGTGTTCTCGGATACTCGAGCTTTCTTGTTGATTATTGACATGGTGGGAGTGAAGGAATATGGTTTAGATTTCGATAGGTCGATAATGAGTTGTCAAGCCGTATTTAGGGTTTCTAGCAAGACTTGCTCGGATAATAAACGGAACGAATTGGAGATCGTGTTGTTCTGAAAGCGATAAGCGGTGGGCATCGTATCTCACAGACTCACCAGACACCAGTGTCAATTCAGTGCTCTAGTCTCTGTGAGTAGTCAGGTCGTCAGATCAAGGTTGCGAGTGAACGTTGATATACTGAGTCTAGAATCAGATAGATGCTCAAATGGCCTGAGGCACTATTGATGCCTGGCACGAACCATGGCTGCGGTCTAACGGTCAGTACCTCAAGTTCCCAACCGTGGAAGGTGGTGCTCTACTAGGAAGGTGTTCTACTACGGTCCTATCAATATACAAACCTCAATATGTAGACTGGCAGCCAATGAGTCGATGTTGTGGTTCGTATTTTACTGATCCAACGGATTGAAAGCCCCATGTTTCAGCGCAAAATATCGACAGTAGCGCTTCACCGAACCAGGCAAGCAGCCACAGCTCAATGAATGAAGCCTCATATTCGACCCCAACGGCATCTACATCCTCTAGAAGACCGTGGCGACAAAGACTTCACTTTCCGGCACTGGCGCCTCTCCCTGCACTAAACCCCAACTACGAACACAATCTACCCGTCTCCTCAACGCTGCCGACCCAACGTACTTGCCCGCGTCTGCCTAAAAGCGGGTGTTCCCGCACTCGGCCACGAAGGATACATCCTGTTCCGACAGAGTGTTGTTTCCATCGAAGCCGGCTGCCGAGGTGACTAACCTGACTAACCTCGCACTGCTGAAGATATCAGACGGCAGGACAGTTGTGCAAAGTGGCGGGAGCATCCGAGCGAGGAAGGATCATCCCACGCGCTGCTCACGAGGGATATTTGATCATGCTGTGCAAGAAGGAAAAGAAAAGGAATGAGGGGGTGTGCTATGTTCTATACGCAACCGACCAGTCCGAGATTTGGAGGACTTTCCGAGCCGTTTGTTTAGATGTTATGTGTTCGGTGAGTGGGTATGCACTGAGCTACGGGCGCCAACCCCATGAGGATGTTTGGTGTCGGGCGGATGCGAAACAGTGGTGATACGCGGGAGGTTGGGGATGCGGCTCGCCGGTGGACGGTACAGGTGGCAAGAAAATGAGGGCTATTCTGGGCTTTACGTTGGTTTATTTCGGAGTACTAATTGTATGGATTGGAATTGAGCATTCTGGATGGGGATTCTGGTATGACTGGGGGCGCTGGATGTGAATCTGCATGTAACCTCTAAGCTTAGGATTTGCGCTCCCCAGCTTCGGGGATCGGAGCCGATGCGAGGATCGTCAGTGCAGGAGTTTCACTTTGTTATTGTATTGATCCCTAATATATGGTGCGTCGTTACTCTGTATGTGAGTAGGCAGGTATGGATAGTAGAGTGGCGACGGGTGGTACGCAGTAGAGCAGATGCAGAGAGACCACTACTGCATTACGGTGTGCGAAGGACATGTAGGTAGGACTCAAGGAGAGTGTCTATGTATATAGGTAGGAAGACTATGGAAGCACTATTTCAATGATGAAGTCATAGCATGCCTTATGATCAGCAATAGGAAGGTTTAGCATCGCCATGTGAGGAATGGGAATGGGAATTGGGTTGGCATCAGGATGGAATTGGAACCAGAAGAAGCTAGAGGAAACCAAAAGAATTACCAGCCCCTAGGTAGCACGACTCGCGTGTCAAGACTATTTGAAAAGGGAGCAAGGCACGGCCCACGACCACGATATCGCACAAGGCGTGGAGGCAGGAATGGGCAAGGGCCACGGGTGTATTGCCATGGGGCGAGGCGGATGGGACTGGGAGCATGGGGGAGAGCTTACCGTGGGAAGGGGCCCATGAGAGAGGAGTAGTTTCCCAAAGCCACACACTATTGACATAGCGAACTCTAGCTCAACGGATGTGCATCCATGATCCATCCCTTGATGGTTGAAAATACACGGTACGATGTCGTGGAGATAGAGTCGTACTGGGAATTCCGGCTGGGGATGGACGTTTTGGTCTGGCGTTTGGCGGACAGAGATAAGATACTCTGGCCTTCTCTCTCCCTATTGTAGGTCCGTTAGGTGACTTAGGTCAAGTATGGAGAAGTGCTACGGTATCAGAGGTTCAAGGAATGTGCATTTTGCCGTAGATCTAGTTAGGATCTTCAAAGCATTCCGCAAGGTGAGGATGCCATGTGGCATCCTGGAGAGGAGATGATGGGCAGGTCATGACTCGTATGTACTTGACACATGCTTGACTATGAAATGGCTGTTGCCTAATGTCTTTGTGTCTTTGTACGTTCGTTTACTCAGTACGTTGGAAGACTTGCATGGCAGGACAAAGTGGGCTGAGCCACGGTGTGGCGCGGCTAAGGCGTCGGTCTGCCCGATGGAGACAGCGGTCCTGTGGTGGAGTGTGTATTATTGGCGTTTGAGCTGGTATTTGATACGCCCCATCTGGATCTATTCTCGGACGAACCCCCCGAATCAAACGGAGTCGAGATCAAATCGATACATCAACCACCACCTGGCCTAGGCAACGCGGCGTCGCGAATTGCAGCGTAAGTGGCTATCCCTTGAGACCAATGCCCTCGGGTTGTGTGTCTCATGATGTGTGGATATGCTCCCATGAGGTTGCCCAAATATCGTGCTGACTGCTGACTACGGAGTAGATCTGAAGTAGATGACTCCATAAATAGGTCCGATAAGAGGTCAAGTTCCAGAACACATCGCCCCGAAATAAGCTTGATCATAATCGCCGAGCTGGACAGTCTCCAGGTCACACCGAGCTATCCGGAACCGGGACAAATATACCCATTCTCGACAGCCTCGTGCGAGGATTCCGGTGAAGAGAAAATAGTCGAGCAAAATAGTGAAAATAGCCGCGCGAGATAGGACTCATGTAACCACCCCTCTTTGACAGGTCAACATGTGATGATTCGGGCGGAACGGGTGGTTGCAGGGCCGGTATGAAAGCTCATGGAAGCGTGGGGTCATGACCCTTTCGTTTTGGTCTTCTGCCTGTGTCCGAGGTGTTACAAACAGAGATATGTAGGGGAGAGAGGGTGGATCATCGTGGTTTTGGCTAGGAGTGCAATCAAAGGGAGGAGAGGAAACATGATCATAATATAGGTCGTATATTACTCTACACTGTAAAGAAGACATAGCAAAGGTACCTTCGGTGAGTAAGTTGAATCGCCATGTGTGCCACTGAAGAAATCAGTGCGTGGGAGGACAAGGATGAGTCGATTGGAATTGATCGTATTCGGTACTTGGACAGTTTGGGATTTCCCGATCTAAGAAAGGTATTTGCTACTTTAGCCCCGAACCCTGCATCTTTTGCCATGTGCTTCCTCTTTTTTTTCTCGTTTTCTCGTTTTCACCTTTTATTCTGTTTACTCTTACTCCTACAAACTATGTAACTGTGTATATACTCTCACTCTAAATAGTTATATGCATATTAACTGTAATCTCCCGGCAATCTGCAGATGGTCCCGGTCGCAAAGACTGGAAGAAGCAGGAGACTCAAATCTCAATACTGAATACACTCTGGAAGACTGCAAGGGGAGAGCCACGTGAAGGAGTGATCGACATGTATCCAATACAGATGGAATACATGTAATTAAAAATAAAAATGAGTGACGTGAAGACTGTACGGATGTAACGTACGAAACGTGTTCTCCTTGCTTTCCCCAGGGATTTAACTATTGATGCCACGAGAATGCAGAACTAGTTAACGTTAGCTATGGATATAATTCAGATATTCAAGTGTTGATAATACATAGAGTGGAATAGAGAAATAAATACATCGTGAATAAGTTACTACGTATACCCAAAGAGACTCCTTACTCCCCAGGGTCAGCCTCGTGGCACACAGTTGCAGTAGGGCCTTGGCGGTAATACCAGTACATTCTTCAATTTGTTTGGACAATTCGATTTTATCGAGAAAGGGGAGTTGATGTTTAGAAAAGAAGGTTAAAATAGGAAGAAAGAAAATAATAATAAAATGAAAATAATTAAAAAAAACGTGAAAAAAAACATGAAAAAAAAAAAAAAACGACGAGTTTCAGCAGAGACTCGCATCGAGTCGCGGGTTTCGAGTCTCCAATTTTTGATTGTTGAAGGAACTTCTTCTTTAACTCTCTCTCTCTGCCTTCAACTTGATTTCTTATACATCTCTATAACCCTGCAATACCCTAATACCAACCTCTATACACTTCCGGACCTCTAGTCTTCCGTGCCACGTTCCTTTCGGTAAGCTTGATCGGCCCTTATTTGGTCTGTGTTGCCCTCATGTCTAACATGTCTAACCTACTCTCAATCTAGCCTTTATTTGCGCCCTACACTCTTGAAGCCTTCGGAAACCAGAACTTTCCCGGAACTACGATCCTCGTGAATTCCATTGTTTCACCGGTGAATCATCCTTTGGGAACTTCCAGGTATCCTGGAATATGCGATAGTGTGGGGGTAAAAGGAAAGGGAACCGACAAGAAAAAGCAAAGAACGGGCGCCCTCGACATTTCATTCTTTCACTCCCATTGTCCAACTCTTCGCCTGATTCAAACACTCTCACCATGGATCCTTCCGTCGCACATCGCCCATGGGAGGCAGTCTCAGGACCTCAGACATCACCAGCCTCGTCACAAACCCTACCCTCGATTTCAACTCTTACCGCAAATATGCCCGGGGCTGGAACTCCCGCGGAGAAGTCCCCCGGACATGCCTCCTTAAATACGATTGAGCGGGACTCGGGGAATTGGTCAATACCGCAGAGCACAAGTAGGAGACCCTCGCCTGGTATCGATTGGGAGCGCCGCGGTGCTGACCATGTAGGATCGTCCACCTACTCTACTACAACCAATGGCACCGGGAACAACTATCCCTCCCTCGGCTTCATTGCCGCGTCGCAACCCTCCCCGAATCGCGGACACCCGGCTGTCGACCGCTCCCCTTACCCCCACGATCAATCGACTACCCCTTCCTCCGCAGGCACCCAACAACCGTCCCCGAACTTCAATACCCCCACTTCCGCCCTCCCTTCCATCAATCAGAATTACGAGGCTCCCTCCCAACGGGTGAGTGTAGCAGAGACCACCGAATCCCGGCGCAGCAGCGTCGACAGTCGCATGAACCAAGGGATCAGTTCTCTGGCGATCAACCCCGCCTCCCCCTACCACAGCACCAACGCGTCACAATCCTCCATTGTCTCCAGTCTGCAACGAGAGCGCGGAATTCCGACCGACATGAATTCATACCGGGGACCCCGCTATTCGGGAGGGAGCCAGCCACTTTCCCCGCTGGGCCCTCGGGTCACCGATCAACAACGGAGCTTCGCAGCCGGTCGCACGGCTCCGGCAATTTCCTCGAATCCTCGATCGGAGATCTACAATGCCGAAGCACCCACTGCGGGTATGGCCTATGCCTTCCCCGACCCGGCCGTGGCGCGCTCGAGCTCCGTCTCCTCCAAGGGGGAGTCCAATCCCCCATTCTCCCGAAAAGGCAGCATGGCCGAGTCTATGAACAGTATGTACTCTGAGCGCATGCCCCGAGGACAACACGGTACGGTTATGCACCCCACCAAACTTCACTCTGCCGGCGCAACGTGGCTCATCACTCTTCCAGACCTACCCCAAAATGTACACCACCACCATTCCCTCCAACACAAGGCAGTGCGAGATTTAATCGGCGAAGAAGAGGGACCGCCAGGCAGCACACCATACAGTCGTACACCCGAACTCCGCGTAACACACAAGCTTGCGGAGCGCAAACGGCGCAGTGAAATGAAAGACTGCTTCGAAGCGCTCCGTCTGCGACTACCACCGGGGCAAACCAATAAATCCAGCAAATGGGAAACGCTAACGCGGGCAATTGACTACATCGCCATGCTCGAGAAAACAGTTGCGCAATCGCAGCGCGACCGCGCCGTCATGCAATCCGAGATGGAGGAATTGCGCGCTCAACTGAACCAGCAAGCCAACGGTGCCTCTCGCCCGCCGTCCATCTTCGAGCACCACCAAATGAATGGCAACCAAGGCAACGGTATGCCGGGTCCTGTGTTCGGTGGCTTTGGCAATGGCAATGGCAACGTTGCCCAGGAGCAGCCGCGCACGTTACCACCACTAATGAATGCCCCTGTTGCTCCTATGCAGGGCATTGAGTATGAACGACGGTAGCGGGAGCCCGTGTTTCTGCCGAGCAGACGCGACGCGATGCGAAAGGAGCTGTGTATGAGATACGACTAGTCATGCTTCAAACCTCTTGTCATCAACGACCTGTTCTTTGTTTCTTATCATATTTGTGTTATAAACATGACCCCGTTCGACTCCGGATTCTCGACGTGAGGTTGGTTTATGTGCCTTGTGCTTTTTACTCGCATGGAGTGATGCTATGCTTTTTGTTCTTCATACCCGCAATCGCTTTTGCTTTTGCTTTCTGTTTCCCCCTGCATGAACACGATAGGATTACCTGGATATGACCTGGATTTTCTGGTATAGGCGATTTGAACACTTCTACTCGATTTTGAGTTTGTACCAATTCAAAAAGCATTACTTGGTGTCTTCATTCTGTGTAATATGTAGTGTCTGGTGGAGATATTATTCCCAGTCTGATCCACAATGAAACAAAGAGACAACTGTTTCATTAAAAAGGAAATAAACAAGAAACTATTCAATCTCATGCTCATCTTTAACTTCTATTTCGAGCAGCCAATTCCTATTGGCCCACCTACGCGCTCGACCCTCCCCGGCGCGTAGAGACTGGGCCCAGTCTGACACTTGCATCCAATCCATCACCATCCACTCTCCTCTCAACCGTCCCTGATGATCTCTCTCTCTGCGATCCAATCGCGGAGGTTGAACCGAATGTACAAGATGTTGCTAGCTTCAGACGGGTGTCTGGGATCACTGCAGAAACGCAGCATCGTCCGATCGTCATTGGTTAGCGCCCAGGTTGTTTATAGCCGGAGCTCTATGAAGTGACGGGACTAGACTCTGCATCGTGACATGCAGAAATAGAGCTCACAGCTCCGATATCTCGGGTCTTTTTGTTTCTTTTTGTTCTTTTTGTTCTTCTTGGAGATTCGACTCTTTTGTTTCTTTCCTTTCTTTCCTTTCCCTATTGTTTGCATTGCGGACTACTTCAATAGACTTCTATTCGGGGCCATTGTCTATTGTCTTTGACTGCATTGTTGTGCTGCCTGATTATAATATTAGAATCCTCTTTGTTCTTATATCCTCTACCTTTCTCTTTCGTTTATTTACCGGAGACCCCCGTGGTATACGCAAAATCTCGACTCCTGCATGTCCTTTCCTACCAACCTCTACGGAAACACCGTCTACTGAGACATCAAACCCATAAGATGCTCTCCAAACAGAAACCACAGCCAACCCTCCAGGTTCCAGTCCCAAATTTCCCGTTATCCTCGCCGATCAGCGAGGAGATCTCCAGCCCATCATGCTCCTCGGTAGAAGATCACGACGAGGAACGTAATCGACCCTTTGCATTTCTCAACAAGGCAACACGATCCGCGCACCGGGAACCCTCGAGACTGAATATCCGCGGTATTACAAAGAAGCGGAAAAGCGTCGCGAAGCCAGTGGGGTTGAACCTCGTTACGGATTTCACGTTGGCGCCGGCACCAGCGAGGAAGGCCTCGGTTACAGAGGAGTTACGTACAACCGCGCCGTTTGTCGACCTGAATGATCTGAAGATGCTCTCGAAAGTGCGGGAGAGAGAACGGTCCACGCAGAAGTCGAAGGAGCTTTTCAAGAAGCGGGTTTCGCGAGGGTTTCAGCGGATGCCAGACGAGGGTGTGCATGGCGAAGGAGGCCATCCTCCGAATGAGACCTCGTTTCTCAACCTTGGAGACGGAAATCCATTCCACGATAGACACGAGCATGGAATCTCTCCTTCAGACCGACATGTAATGATTGGCCTCACTGTACCTCGCAATGAATCAATAGAAAGGTCGAGGGAGCTCGACAGTGCAGGCACACCACTCACCCCCTCAATTATTGTCACTCCAGCAAGAGAAGATGCACCATGGAATGCGCCCTCGAACGCGAGCACCGAGATGCTCCGGCCGAGAGTAGCGTCAAGTGTCTACTCCCAGCCCACGCCTCGTCTTTGGCAGCATGAATCAAACGTCCCACCCGTGCCAGCGATTCCGGCGCAACACTCAACTGCCAAACAGAGCTCTAAGACCGAGAACGGATATCCAAACACACTCGGCGTAGAAAAGAACGCTCGTCCCCTCTCAACCTCAACTTGGGAAGACGACAGTCCACCCGCGACACCGGCGACACTTCGCCCAACAGAACACAAGCAAGGCCGTCTCAGCGTCAACACCACAGCATCTACCAACAGACCTGCCTCCCAAGGCTGGTGGACATACCTCCTCTCCCCGCTGCTAGGCCGCTCAATCAAATCCCCGCTCAGCCCATCCTTCCCGCGGGATTCACCGGTGACCCCGTCCACATCTACCACCCTTGCACCACCAAAGCAATGGATTCAGCGGGAGAAAGAAGTATCCTGCTTTTCGCCCGATACACCAGAGACAGCCGCTCCGATGGACGAAAAAGCGTTCGAGCTGTCTTCATCCTTCGATACAGACCACTATCAACATGGCGATGAGCGCCAGCAATCCCCTCCACCTGCGTACGTCTCGAATGCGTCCAGCAGACAGAATACCATGTCATTTATGTTCGGCAGCCAGACGACCCAAGGCGAAGCTGCGGAGTACTATCAAGCCTGTGCGCATGAGCTTTTCAGCAAGACACCGTACTTCGAATGCTTTAACCACGTCTGCTCCATTACGCCTGTCAACCCTGCCGCAGTCGCACTGAACGGGACTGCCGAGGGGAGTAGCAGTCGGGGAGCTGGAATCGTTGCCGTTGATGCATCGAACGTAGGTTCCGGTCTATCTGGTCATAGGGGCACACAGGCACACGAGAATCAAGTCTCGGTTGCCGGCTCAACGAAGTCGACTAAGAATGAAGGTTTACTCATTGATATTGATTCACCACGTGGGTCGATTGCGACTACGACCCCGGCTGGGTACGCTGTCCGTGCTAAGGAGGTGCGGCTGCTGTCTCCTGGGTCAGTCACCACCTTCGATTCATGGGATTGCTCGGATGTGGATGAAGACGAGAAGGATTCTGTGGCTCCTCAAGCTGCTAAGGGAGGGGTTGAGAGTACCAGGTCTAAGCCCACGTCTGCCGATCCTGTTTCTGTTCCTGTGGCGTTGGCAACAACTGCTAGGCAGAGTAATGGTCATGGAGCGCCAGCGCCAGTTGCTATTCCTATGCCCGAGCCTGCCACTACCCCTGCCCCTGCCGCTGCTTCTATTTCCGCTCCACCACCGCAGATTGCCCCGGTCACTAATATACACCTTCCTTCGCCTCCGCCACAGCAACAAGCGCAACCTCTTCAGCCGATAATACAATATGTGCCCGTCTTCTCTCAAGCAGGTCACCCATCCCAGATGACGGCGCAAGAATCACAGCCGCAGGTGCAGGAGCTATCGCGAGGGATTCCGGAGGCTCCAGCTATTCAGCCAGCACCTCAGGTAGTTTCACCGAGATCAGAGTGGCCATGGGGAGAGCGAGATCAGTCGCGAGAGCAATCCCAGGTTCCACCACCGGTCACTCAAGGACAGACAACCGGATTTGAATGGGCATACTCCCAACAAGAACAACCTCGACAGCCACCCGTCATCTGTGGATTGCCCGAACACCCAAAGGTAAAATCTGGACAACCGCCTGTCTTGGGAAGGCAGCCGACCCGCGGTCATGCCAACCAACCTCGCGGGCCGCCTATTCTCCAGGGACGTCTTTCTGGATCTGGGTGGCCGTTTGGTATACACGCGCATCCTCACTCGCATGCACCGCCCGTAGCACCGGTGTCTCAAGGCCTGCCTACAAGATCGGAATCCCAGAGCCGACAAGCTCAGCGTGGATCTGACGTGCCGCAGACAGAACGAGGACTGCCTCAAGGTTCCGAGCTTGCGCCCCAAGGACATTCCCAAGCATCCGAGCCAATCTCTCCTGGATTCCAACGCGCCGCCGGCGGGCCTGGCTCAATTCCAATGTCTGACATGCAGGCCCCAGCTCCTGCATACACGCAGTATCCCAGAGACGCACCTCTCCCGCCGCGGTATGATCTCCAGCCCCGGTATGAGCACAACCCTGAAGCTGGAGTCTCCATTGTCAATCCCAGCGGCGCGATCGGGCCCCACGAAACACGACGCCGCCGACTCGAAAGAGAAGAGGCCACAGGCAGACGACTCTGCGGGCTCTGGCGCGGCCGGGGTCCATTCAGCAAGAAAAATGGACGCCCTGGGCGTGAGGGTCGCACTCGACGAAGATGGTACTTTGTGATCTGCATTTTCTTCTTTATTATTGTGATCGTGGCAACTGTTTTGGCAGTCACACTGACAAGGAAAGGAGCAGCGACTCCTGTTCAATCGCAGTGGCTTAACTTGACCGGCTATCCCCCCATGCCGACAGGCATTGCCACACTTGCTGGCACTCAGCCGCAGACTGAGAAGTCAACCTGCGTTACACCTTCTTCGATGTGGAGTTGTGCGTTGCCTAAGGACCAGCGGGATGCCAATGAGCCATACAATGCGAATCAGCCCAATTTCCGGGTTTCCATCCAATTCCGGAATGGCACGTACGATAACAGCACTGCTGTTCATTCGAACACTACAGGCAGCCTACGCGTCAGAAACGATGACTTGTTCGACCCTTCGCCGGCAGCTCCCAGAGAGGCCGAGCAAGCCTTCCTCGGCCAATACTCAGACAACAACTCAGCACCCTACGCCGGCGAAGCAACCCCATTCTACATTTCCATGCTCTCTCCAATCTCCTTATCATCAGCCAGCATCTACCGCCGCTCCGGCATCTCCAATGGCACCGCCTACCCTAACATATCCTCTATAATCCCGCCACCAGACACAAACGCAGATGGCACCGCGGCGGCAGCAATGCTCTACCCCCTCCCATCCTCCCAACCCATCCGCCTCTACAACCGCAACCTCCCAACCGAGCACTACGGCTTCTACACCTACTTCGACAAGTCCATATTCCTCACCTCGCAAGACAAATCCTCTCCCGCCGACACCAACGGCGGCGTCTCCAAATCCTCCGCCCACTACCGCTGTACATGGTCTCAAACACGCTTCCTCGTGCAGATCTGGACACAACCCGACAAAATCGGCCTCCAGCTCCTTTCCCCAGATACCACAGCAACAAATACTACTACCGCCGCAACCCCCACCTCAACAAACAAACCGACATCATCATCCTCCGCGACAGACTTCTCGCGCCCCGGTTCATTCCCATACCCGGTAACCGTGACGATCGACCGACACGGCGGCGCCGAGAAAAAGAAAATGGTCTACTGCTACCCCGTCGAAGACGACGGACACTACAACATCACGGGCGCGCAGCTGCAGCTCGAAGATCGCGCTATTGGTGGCGAGCTGGTGAATCCTGCTTCGGGACTTTTTAAGGGTCTTAGTGGGACGCGGAATGGGAATGGGGATGGGTTTGGCGGTGTTGATGGGGGGTCTGGAGGGTGTGGTTGTCAATGGGTTAATTGGATTTCGAGGAAATAAACTTGCATGCAAAAGCATTTTCTTCTAGATGAAAACATCAAAAAAGCCGGCGACCTAGATATTTTATTCCTTGTTTCATGTTGCATTTGTATGGTGTTTTGGGATGCATCTTTTCTTTTTCTTTTCTTTTTTGCTCTTCTCCGTCGAGATGAATAGCGCATAACCGAATCAGGAGATGATCAGGTCACAGTTGAATACACTCCCTTCAAATTCCTCATCATCATTTGCATAATTGCATAGGTACTGCTACGCAGTAGATACAAGAACCAATCTCCTCGTAACTTGGTAAGAGCGACCCACCGTCACCCACCCACGTTGCACCGAGAACCCAATCTCAAACCTTAAACCGGCTAATGTAATGGGCGAACCTAAAGCACGATAAGGACCCTGCAGGGCGATCCGGCCTAACGGCGTGCTTCGGCTGGAGTTCTATTAATAGAGTATGACCACCATGAGTCGTTCGTTGTGCCTTGCTTTTTGCCGTTGATTTAGAGTTTGTTCCCTGGAGTCTATGAGTCCATGACTGCTGGCTATCGTGGCAACTACTTGGATAACAGATACAGGGCGCCTAGTTGGATGTTCTTTCTAAGGTTTTTAGTGGTTTACAAGATCTCCTAGGTCTTGATCAAATGCCCGTCAAATTAGCGTAGACAAATCAAATCTTGAATTATAATCGTATTAGGTACAGTACTCATATATCAACCCAGAAAAGCAGAGAATCAAAAAAATCAAAAAATCAAAAATCAAATCCTCTAGCGCCTGTTTGAACATCCCAGTCGCCTCATCACCGACATAAAACACCCGTGTGGTGAACATTAGCGTAAAGTCTATGCGAGAAGCATAACAGTACCATAGACAACGCTGCCAATCACAGCACCAAAGATAGAGGTAGTGACCTTAGATCCCGGGCTGGAAGCATTGAATCCAGTCGAGCTGGGCTCAGCAGCACCAGTACCGGAGCCCTGGCCCTCTCCCTGACCAGCCCCAGAGCCAGATTCAGAGCCAGAGCCAGCACCAGCGCCAGAACCAGAACCAGCGCCGGAGCCAGAGCCCTGACCAGATCCAGAGCCGGTACCGGCACCACCGGCACCAGCGCCACCAGAGGGCGAGGCACCGCCAGCACCGGCACTGCTGGAAGCAGCAGCTCCAGCGCCGGCACTGCTAGATGGAGTCCGGATGGGGACGTGGACGGGGATGGTGGAGCTACCGCCGGGCAGAACGGAGGATGAAATGACAGTGCCGTTGCCGGGCTGGGTACCGTTGCGGCCGGGAACACCGGTCATGATGGGGTGTGTGCCGGTTTGGACGCCGGTGGCACCGGGGTGTTGTCTGATGGCCTTGACGTGAACGGGGGGCTCGTTTCGGCCGGCGTTGACGCCGGCGGCGAGGGCCATGATGGCGATGGTAGGGGCGGAGAAGTGCATTTTTGTTGCTTTTATAGATGGAGAAATGCGGTAGAAGAAGCTGGTCTTAACGAGTGACGGAGCTGTTGGCGGTGTTAGATTGTGGTCTTTTTCTTTTTTGGTCTTTTGTGTCTGTGACAGGTAGACAGAGTAAAATAGCTTACCTAGGGTGATAATGCTGATGCGACTGGGAGAGAAAATTTGCTAGGAAGTAGGGGGCGCCGAAGGAGCCATTCTTATAGATCTTGCTAGACATCCGAATCCGGATACTGACTGGATTTAAGGTTACTTGGTGATGACATTAAGAACGATTATGAGTGCAGAGATTTTCCGATTGAATTTCTGTGCCTCTCGAGTGCTTCGTTCCTTGCTTGCGCTCTTTGGTTAAGATGGCGGAACCGAAGGACTCGAAATTTTTTCTGATTTCACCTGGTTGACTTCCGCATCCGGGGGATGAGGCGGCAAATGTCACGTTGGAGTCGAGGTGGGGCTGGATCCACTGCTTCATCCCTGGTACAGTTGGCAATCACTCTTGCCTGGCCAGATTCTCGGTCCTTAGTGGACTTGCTGTATCTTGCTGTTCGTGTGAAGAGAGTGGGCTGATGAGGGCCGTGGTGGTCACGTGGTTCGGGTTCCTGATTAGGAAGGTGAGGTCATTGCATGCGGATTTGCTTGAGGATCTTCTACCAGCGAAAGATTCCAGAAATAGCCACGTCAAAAGTGGTTAGATAAGTTAGCGGACTCCATGGGCCACTGCTTCATTAAGCAGGTTCCATGTGGTGTTGTTCCAATGTTTGAGGCTTACTACCTCTCGAAGGGCAAGATACATACTATATCTGTAGAACTGCTCTATACATCCGGCAGAGCATGATGGCCTCTCGACCCTGTTACCAAAAGAGAGGGATATCTTTAGTAACAGGCCATTGAAGTCCCTCCTTCTAGAACATAACACAACATCAAAATTTCCCGAGGCCACCACTGTCACACTGTGTAGGGCTGACACGCCTGGCTGATCCCCAAGCGACTGCATTCGGCCCGCAGTGGGTTTGCATCCACGAAGATCATGAACATCTCCACTTGAATGAGAAAGACAATGTCACTGTCAATTAGTTGATACTAGTACTATGTAGCTGCAACCCCGGGATTATCTGAATCGTGGAATGTTAGTGGGCCGTGGCGTTCACGTCAACTGAGAATCCTCCGATCATTCCATGTCATTTGCAAAAGCCAAAGAATGCGGCTGCTACGCGGTGGCTGCGGGATGCCCCTTCGGGGCTGATCTACTTACATAAATGTCTTGGTTTCATTAGAAGGTGTTCGTTTGGTTCGTTGTTCCCTAGGTACAGTAGGATTCGAGAGGAAAGATCAAAGACATTATGTTCTCTTTGGATATGCCACAGATCGAGGATCTACCGTATCCTGTCATATCCATTTTCGTCGCCTTCGGCTTAGGCTGTAGTGCGAAGATGATCAAAGGGGCTTAGGCGGCATTTACCTAGGTAGGTGGGCGACTGAAATCTATTTCCTGTAGGTGCGCGATTCAGTTCATTCTGGTCCAACTTCTCAGTTCTGTTTGTGCAATGAGTCGATATACAGTGGCTGTCTAAGCGGAGAACCATTCAACGGTCGAAAGATCGATGGTAGCCTGCGTCTTTGTAGGTGACCCGTTATCTGTACTGACATTGATCGACCTTTGTCAAGTACGACATACTCTGAGGCTTGAGACTGAGAGTCTCTTGGGATTTGCCAGTTGGTGGGCTCTGCGGTGATGGTCACATGCACGAAGCAGCGGGTGTACACGTGACATCGTTGGCAGCTGAGGGGAGAAACGTTCAATGCTTATGATGTCTGCAAGCCTCAGATAAGCTCATCAAGGACCCAGATCCATTTTCATACAAATACCGTCCATAGTGTACGTCCATAGTGTACTCCGTACTGTGTTACGGACTACGGAGTACGCAACACAGCTGTCATAGATCGGCTTATCGCCAACTGATTGGAGCTCCGGAAGTCTTGGCAACCCAATCTCCCTTTCTCCAAGCCATTTGTTTTTTAGTCGTCATCATAGCAATGCGGCGCCCCGACCTTAGCCCTTCCCTTCTTTCGCCCGCAAATTACGACAATGATGCGTCTTCATTGCGCTCGCCCTCAGAGCAGGACTCTGATTCCGATGATGACGCCCTTCTCGATCAGGTCCGCAGTACCCTAGAAATCGCAGAACACGATCGCGCTGTCCTAGAAGACGAGGAAGAGCTAGAGAGACTTCTGATCCGCCGGGGTGCTGGACACGGCCTGCGAAGAATGTTCAGTCCCAGTGGCAGCAGTGTGAGGATTGGGAAAGTGAAGAAGGAGCGGCGACTGCGGAGGGGGTCACGTCGCGAAAGAGTCAGCGAGGATGGTGAGCTGATGTATGAAATGGAAGAGGGGATCGGGGATGATAATGATTCTCTTTTGAGTGGGTCATCGTTGGATCTAGACAGCAAAGATGGGTACACATATGAGCCGGTAAGATGCGCGGTCGCTGCTTTCCACGCTCTCCGCTAACATGTCTGCTGCTTAGCCTCCACGACCTTCATGGCGGAAGTTCCTCTTCCTATTCGCTCTCGTCACCATTCTCTTCCTCATCCTCGTCCTCGGCGCGTACAAAGCTTCGAGCGGTTTCCGGGCTTCACAAGCACACTCTCCACCCCTTCTCTCCAACGGCACAGCTCTCTTTGCGCCAACCACTATCTTAATCTCGCTCGACGGCTTCCGGGCTGACTTCCTCGATCGTGGTCTAACCCCCGCGTTGAACTCCCTGGTCGCCAATGGGGTTTCCCCGCAATACATGACCCCCAGCTTCCCCAGCGTTACCTTCCCGAACCACTTCACACTTATGACCGGACTATACCCTGAGAGCCATGGTATTGTAGGTAATACATTTTGGGACTTGAAGATGAATGAGGAGTTTTACTACACACACCCTGAAGTCAGCATGCAACCCAAGTGGTGGATGGCGGAACCGCTGTGGGTGACAGCAGAGAAGCAGCTCGTGAAGACCGCCATTCATATGTGGCCAGGGTCTGAAGCGCACATTGGCGACAAGGAGCCGACTTTTGTAGACAAATACAATGGTATGGAAGTCCTGTCACGCAAGGTGGATCGCATCCTCGAATTTTTGGATCTTCCAGGCCTCGAGGAGTCGCAAATGGCACCGGAGCGGCCGCAGCTGATCGCGGCTTATGTGCCCGATGTCGACCGCGACGGCCACAAATTTGGTCCTAATAGCACTGAAATTCGGAAGACGATTTCCAAGGCGGATAGCATGGTCGCCCAAATCATGGATGGACTCGAGCAGCGCAATCTCACAGAGGTGGTCAACGTCATCGTTGTCTCAGATCATGGTATGGCTACCACCTCTACGCAGAGACTGATTCAATTGGACGATTTGATCGATTATGACCTAATTGAGCACATCGACGGGTGGCCATCAAGCGGTCTGCGTCCTAAGCGTCCCGAAGATCTGACCACCCTCCAGCAACAACTAGAGAAGGTTGCTCAAGAGTACGAACATGCGTTCGAGTTCCATACCCGGGAGACAATGCCTGAGCGGTACCACTTCTCGAACAATGATCGAATTGCACCTTTGTGGGTCATTCCCAAGGCGGGATGGGCTATCGTTGATCGCTCGGAGTTCGACGTCAAGGAGGCTTTGAACACGGGTCAGAAGTATTATCCTCGGGGCATTCATGGATACGACCATGAGCACCCTTTGATGCGTGCAATCTTCATCGCGCGCGGGCCAGCCTTTCCGCATAAGCCAAACAGCCGGATAGAAGTATTCCGTGAGTAACTCCTCCCAATCATGAGCCTATCTCTTTCTGACGTACCCACCTAGAAAACATCGAGGTATACAATATTCTCTGCGACTCACTGGGTGTCGACCCTCTTCCGAGCAACGGCACACTACGACTCCCGTTCAAGACAGTCGGCCTCCACTCGGACGAGAGCGCACCCGTCCTAGACACACCACCTGATCCCCCAGCCCCAACCTCAACAACAGCAGGGCCCGTGCCGTCATCACCCTGGCCTACAACGTCAGGCACCCCGCCGCCCGCAACGAACCATGACAGTGACGACGAAAAGGGTTCGACATGGTGGGGAACGATTGTACACAAGTTCGAGGACGTGAAGAACTGGGCTGGCGGCGTTGCTGATGCTATTCAGGGCAAGCACCCTGAGCCTGGGAGCAACTAGAATTGGTTCTTCCATTCGTTTGTACTTATTCATATACCTATACCCCGATCACGTTTGTCATGTTCATCCGCTCTTCAATCTACTTTGTTTATAAAATGTTACTGAGACTGTTGGTATTGCATGGTTCAGACTCAACCGCTTGCAGAATATACGTGCGATGATAGTAGTTTCTTGAGTACATAGCTTTCTATGTAGCAAATTGGGGCATATGGATGGGCCAAGCGGGTTGAGAGTATCATTCAACTAGCATTTCATAGTCTATTGGTTGGTCATCTTGGTGGCTGAATTAGCTAGGGTTGTGTCGACAAAACTATCTTGCGCCCCATGCGCCTATAGAGTTAGAACTAGTGTTACAATTGATCAACCAGCCAAGTGGCCGAGCAGTAACCCAGCCATCTTATCTTCCTTGGTCTAGTGGTGATGATTTCCGCTTGTCATTAAAACCGATAAGCGCGGGAGACCGGGGTTCGATTCCCCGAGGGAGAGATTTCTTTTTGCTTTTACATTTTACAATGTTTTTCTATTCCTAGTCACCATGGAATTATCTTGCTGGATACAATCCAAATAATGCCCAAGCAGCGCCAGTTGCGCTGCAACCTCAAGTGAAGGTGACGTGGGACAGACGCGCAGAAACCGCCCTGCGCAGCGCGCTGCAGCACCAATGAGTCAGACCCTCCGACACACCCAGGCAGAAGCCACCAACCAGCTGAGTACGGTTGATTCTCATCCAATAGAACCTCAATCCGAAAAGTATCGTGGAAACCCACTGCGTCAGGCGCACTTCAAGATTCAGCTTCTGGTGCGCGACATGAGTCTTAGGCGGAGTTCGGCCGAGATTCAGGATTTCAGGCGCACATGAGGCTCTTGATCCACGAGGGCGGAGGGCCTTTATAAGATACGCCTTGACCATGTTGCTTTCGCATTCATTTAGAGCTCTTTGAGTTCTATTTTTCTGATTATCCAGAAGTGTGCACTGGGAACTCGATCATGGAACATAACATAACCCACCCCACCACGCCATCACCGCTGTCCACGTCGGACACGGCGATGCTAGAAGTCCTAGTCCCAGGCTTTGGCTTCATCTCGAGGATACTGATGTCGTATCTCAACTTTGACATCAGCTCCTACTTCCAAGTTCTCGTCGGACTGGCCGTCTACGGTGCAACCATCCGATACGCATTACTGATGCTTTGGGAGCACTTCAACGAGCTGTTCATCTCAAGAGCTGAGATACGTTTGGATGACGAGGCATTCAATTATTTGATGTTTTGGCTCTCGCGTCAGCCGCTCATGAAAACAACAAACCGCTTCGTTGCAGGCGTCAGAACCAACAGCTACTGGGACGACGAAGAAGAATCAGACAACGAAGATCTAGACGAGACGGCTGAAGACGTCGAGACTCTCGACGGAGAGAAACAGGATGCCTTTGCCATGTACTGGGCCAAAGTCACCAGCCGCGACAAGTACAAGAAGATGCGCTTCACCCCCTCTGAAGGCTGTCACTACTTTTGGTACAAGAACCGGCCGCTCATGCTCGAACGTGCACAGCGGGAGGGGGGTCCATATTGGTTAATGAACAACGAGCGGATCTTTGTTTCGTGTCTCGGTCGCAACCCGGCGATCCTGAAATCGCTACTGGCAGAGGCACAGCAGGCATACGTTGAGAAAGACAGCAATCGCACTATAATTTATCGTGGCTCGCGGTCGCCCGCTGGTTCACAGTTCTCTTGGGTCCGATGCATGGCCCGGTTACCGCGTCCTCTTTCTACTGTCATTCTTGACCAGGACCGAAAGGAAGATTTCCTTGATGACATTAAGGAATACCTTCATCCCCGCACACGGCGATGGTACTCCAACCGGGGTATTCCCTACCGCCGTGGATACCTTCTGCATGGTCCCCCAGGGACGGGAAAGACGAGTTTGTGCTTTGCAGCAGCCGGGATTCTCGGGCTGAAACTTTACCTGCTTGATCTGAATTCCACTGCGCTGGACGAGGAAAGCCTGTCGATGCTGTTCTCGGAACTTCCGCGCCGATGCATTGTATTACTTGAAGATGTCGACTCAGCAGGCATCACCAAATCTCGAGGAACCATTCCGGCTCCCTCAACCACGACCCCTCCCAAGTCGGATGCTCCTGCGGCTGCAACCGAAGCCACCGAAGCCAGCGCAGACGCGACATCCAAGGATGAGAAGAAAGGCGGCATCACGCTCTCAGGACTTCTGAACGTGATTGACGGCGTTGCTGCCAGCGAGGGCCGAATCCTCATCATGACTACCAACCACATGGAGAAGCTCGATGCCGCTCTCCTTCGTCCTGGGCGCGTCGACATGACAGTCGGCTTTGGGTACACAAGTGAAGCAGATATCAAGGAGCTTTTCACCTCGATTTATGTCGCGATGGAGAAGGACATTGCTCGTCGTGGAATATCAACAATCTCCAGGAGTAGCCGCAATGGTTCGGTCAAGTCACAAAATTCCACCATTTCTCTCGATGCACCAAAGGCGAACGGCAAAACTGTCCATCTCGGGGAGAGCAATGGAGCTAGCAAGAAGGGGAAACATACAGATCTGCAGAATCTGACTGTATCCCTCCGAGCTCGTATCCCAGGTCTAGCCTCTGAGTTTGCTGCTATTGTTCCGGGTGGCGAGTTCACCGCTGCGGAGATCCAGGGTTATCTTCTCAATCATAAGGAGTCACCTGATGCAGCTATTCAAGGTGCGGCGGAGTGGGTTGAGACGGCACAGGAGAAGAAGCGTGCGAGAGAGGAGAAGGATACGGTTGTAGTTGCATGATTGCCTATCTACCACGATGTTATGATGTTATGATATACTTAATCTCACCTCGTTTATAGTTGGAAAACAATGATTCTCTGCACAGGACATGAAGCTTCTGTGATGAATGATTTGCTGTCTAGATTCAGGCCATCCATTCGTCTAGGTTAGAACCTATTTCAGAGATGAATAAAGGCCCACCGTTTCAAGGTTCCTTGGTAAACAATCAATGCCAGTAGCTGTCATTGGGTATATGTCACATATAAGTCCTCGAAATCCGGGGTATATACCTAGGAAATCAACAGCAGAGGACTGCGCGTTAACTCAACGCCAGCCTTGGAATATCAACGGACGACAGCCAACAAATCAGACTATCTCAAGCAATTGAAGCGACTGTCCCCTCCAACTTCACATTCGCCACGTACATACACCTACTAGTCCTCTCCTCCGAGCAGAACCCATGGAACAACATGCGATCCCCACAACCACAAACCGTGCCTCCACCAGGCGAGAGAAGCCCAGTATTCTCCGCATTAATCAGCGGAACATTCGACTTACTATAAGGCCCCGTAATACTCTTCGAGGTCGCATAGCGCACATCATAACCCGGATCCGTGAAGCAATGAGTCGAATAAAACAAAAAGTACGTATCACCAGACAGAATCAAATTCGGCGCCTCAACAAGCGGACCATCACCATCCGCAGTGTTGCGATCAAGGATCTGCACCGCATCACCGACGGGCGTGACGCCGTCTTCCGCAACCTTCTGCAGCAGGATAGGCGTGGAAACCAGTGGCTCGACGCCGTTGTTGCAGTCGCCGCCGTTGCCGATGCTGTTCCCGTCAACTTTGAAGACGACGTAGCGACTGCCGTCCTTGTCTAGGAAGCCGGCTGCATCAATTGAGCCACCCTGGTCAAGGCGGCATGATAATGGGGTGTCACTTGGAACGTAAGGGCCTGTAGGGTTGTCTGCTACGGCTGTTCCGACGCAATGGTGTCTGAGGTTGGATTTTGCTTCGCCGGAGTAGTACATGACATACTTTCCGTCATTCTGGAAGTTTGATTAGGCTTTGTTCCAGGGTTTGCTTTATTTCCTTTTTCCCGTTGTTTCGGAAACCGAGAGAACTTACTCTCATGACCACGTCTGGAGCCCAGTGGTCTATGTCGGTTTCCCATGAAGAAAGTGTGGGAAGGGCTTCGACGTCGAGTAGCGTCCACGAGACGAAGTCATCGGAAGTTGCGACTTGTACACGCTTTCCATTGCCGTTTGTGCCGAATGCATACCATTTGTTATCGGCTGCTTTCAAGAAACTGGGATCTGGGAAGTCGGTGTTCAAGCCCAGCCAGGGACCCTTTGCCCGCTTCTCGAATAGAGGCGAGCCTGTAACTGCGGGGAGCACAGATAGGACAAATACAGCCCATGAAGACGGGGATGCCGTCAATGAAGTGGACCACATAGTGAAAGGCTAAACAGGGAAGAAGTGACACTCAGTAGGACCACTGATCATAGAAATCAAGGGTAAACATTACCTAGGGCACAGCGGAGTACCCTTCTTATATGCATATTTGACCGCCATTGTTCGGCACCCAAGACCCCGAAGTAAATATTCAAAGCTACTAGTGGGACTGGGACGTCCCTATTGGAGTTAGGGTATCAAGGCCCAAGAGACACGAAGTAACATTGAATGCTCGGCGTCTGCTTGGCTCCGAAGGGATGGAGACATCAGGGTCGCTAAGGAGCGCAGAGGAAAGGGAGGGAGAAAGACAACGGCCGTTCACCCGATATGGAAATCCGTCATGTGGTACCGATGCCTGATTTTGGCGGTCCACTCATGCGGGGGCTCTAACGCATGGTTGTGCTTTCATCGAAGTCCAATCGTATGGCGCTATATGTGGAGTACGTGTGAAGAATTTGGAGAAGAACTGGGCATCATGGGACACATGCGAGATGACTGGATAACTGCCATGCGGAACCACGTTTGAGATATCTGTCTAACCTGTTTGCACCAGACTAGCGGGCAATATCAGGTACGCAATTTAGCCTGTGTGAATCCAGGGAGTTGAGACTCGGTTTGAGGCGTAGCCAATATTGCGGGTATGGCTGAATGGCTGCACGAAGTATGTAAGTTGTGATGCACTGTTGAAGCTAGTAAAATTATCTCAGCTTGTTATGTCGTGAATCAACAAACATAATACAACCCGGGAGATCCTCCACCTCCACGCGGAGAACAGAGTTAATCTTCGTATGAGGTCGACTGGATTGTGTCTTCAGACCGATCAAACCGCCAAGTTTGCCCAATCCAGCCCAATGCGGTAAGGCACACGGACTGGGGGTTTTAGTGGCGTATGGGGTCAAAGCTTCTACGGCCAAGGGACGAAGAGTTGTTCCTTGAATTTGGGCGCCTCGGCCTACCCGAACTAGGCATAATCAGGAGTAGCATTATGCAAGGGCGTATACAAAGCCCCTGGAATCTGGATCCAAGTTCAAAGTCTCGCCATAGAGATATCTCCGCGAGAGAAAAAGTGTTGCCATAGGCGATGGCCACGCCGAGAAATTAATCATAACCGAATACGCAGCCCAGATCTGATACTTCATATGTTGACCCTAACTAGGACCCGACATAGACAACCTCTCCTCTCTGAAGGACGTCGGGGCATTTCGAATGGAGATGACAGGTCGAGAATAAGCCACCCCCGCGGCCCCGGGACCGGCGAGTCCCGCCCAAAGACATGGCTTGTTGGTTACACAGGACGCATTGGGCGCATGGCTTCCGACCGTAGTTTCGGGGAAGTGTTGTCATAAGAGCTCGGGGCCATATCTGGGGCCGAACACATGGCACGCTACGGTAAGATGCTGTGCTACAAGATCACAAGATTGAGGTATCACCAGATATGTGGAACTGCAGATCTGAAATAGCGTTAAGACCATTTATGAGAAGTTATGATCAAGACTCGATTTTATGACTTTGAGTTAAAGTTGCACAGTTCCATGGTTGAGAGCCGCACTATAAAACCCCGCAAGCCCCTTCAAAACATCCAGAGAGATTATCCCTTGAGTATGAGAGACGTATTATGAGAAGATGTGGAGATGCTGTTTCCTGTGGGTGAAGACACTCTTATAAGTTGGGAGAAGATGCAACTCTATCACAGCCGTGGCCGCTGAAGTCACTCCCCATGATAATTTAGATCCGATCGACAAATAGCCTACCATTCCCGGATGTCGACCAGAAACAACAATTCGACACGTGAGTCTCTTTGGAGACAACAAAGCACCCAAATTCAAGCTTAACCATTTCGTTGGTTGTTCTTACCCCGCATTCTGACCACAGCGAATATGCATAAAGTGACCAGTCGGTGAAACCGTTCCACTTCAAGCCCATTTTATGATGCCACCACGAGCCCTACATCGGCTAGTCTTTGATCGGCAGATCGCATGACAGGAGTAGGGACAATGACAACACATATTCCGGTCACGATGACTGGAAATGCGGGGGTGGAAGAGACATCTTCTGACTTTCGCGGGCATGGTTACCACATTGGATAGCTCGGTGAGTATTTGCAAGAAATTGTCAGCATACAGGATGGACTTCAACCTTCCAGTCTCAAGGTCACAAAAGTATTTGTATCAAGTTGGGTTTGCCTAACAAATCAAAGGAAAGCATCCTTTTCCACCTGAGCAACAGGAACCAACCAGCTTTCCCCGGAACCAACTCGCAGTTTCAGTCGAACTCACAGGTAGATAAAACCAAGATCTGATACCGATGATGCATGTAAGTGTGCCCTCGATAGCGAACAGCCACCTCCATCCTTGCCAACCGCCAACAGATCGCATGTGCAGGATTCCGAATGCTAAGAAAGCTGCAACGATAGTAGTGTCGTAACAGAAACAGTAAAACACAGCAACCTGCATCGGAAGCTCCTGATTCGTGTAGAGGTAGGACAGAGAAAGTCCTTGGCGTCTTTCTTGTCCTCTAGGTGCTCGCATTTGGCCACAAGGAGGTCGATGTATTCCCCAAATTTGCTCTGGGACGAAATCACCTTCAATCCATTCGGAGCAAGCAGCGCTCGTGTGGCATAGAAGCTTTTTCGCTGGTGACTAGACCCTGATAAACCCCGACAAAACTCCAGAAGAACCATCTGAATGGGCGTCCATGGTGTGGAAGTCATGTAACGTGGTAGTGAAGAATTCTTTAAACACAAGATATTCTGTTGCAAATGCTTTCGGATGCCAAAACCGCATGGACAACTCTTGAAATCTGCTATCGCCCGAAAGGATTTATAACAGAATACCTTGCTTTCAAAGAATTCCTCAATACCACCTTAGATGACTTCCACACTATGGAAGAGTATCGGAACAAAGTCAAACCATTGAACGACGAACTTTCGCGCTGCAGTCAGGAACCATAAGAGGCAGGATCACTTGCGTCCGCAATCCTGAGACCGGGTCCCAGTGTGCTGTTAGAAAGCGCAAGAGCTGTCTCCATCTTCTCGAGTCACTTCGAAAACCCTCCATCGCGCCCAGAGAAGGAGGGACCTTTTCGCAAGATTTGGGCAGTACATTACTGTACATCGATCTCTTCGGGGCCAAATGCGATTATGCGACCACTGAGAAGACCAGAAAGATGCAAAGGACATTCTCTGCCTGTCCTCGCAGGCTACATGAAGACGGCCTCTTCCGTGAAATCGGATGGACACCCCTCCGAAGTCCGAACCGAACAACAGCCGTGAGACGAAGTCTGCCTCCTTCGCGAAGGTCGCCAGTCGGGGCATCCGCCAGATCCCAAAAAGCGCTTGGACCCCCGCTTGGGCCATGGCCAAGACCGGGAATAATCGGCCCGAGAAAACACTCCGCCCTCGGCCGTCGGCGCGCAGGGCAGGGGCGGCTCCACCCTATCGTCAACACAAAGGGAAGACCGCCGGAGGCATAAGGCAACCATACCGTCCACCTGTCCGATATCGGGACCGAGCTTTTTAAGTACACAGTAGCGACCATTTGTGAGGGCACCTCTGCAGACTGCACACGGGAAGCAAATATAGAATATCGTCATGCCGTAGTTATATTGATTGGTTGATGGATCGAGATCATCAAGCATTCCGCCCGAAAGTGCTTGTCCGAAGTTACCACGATCGAGCTGGAGAGCAAAGAACAGTATGCAGCCCGACGCATGAACAAATTCGGTAGTCGAGCTATATTAGCGAACATCAGCTGGTCGAATGCTAGGCTGGGAGCCATGAAGACTCATACCCTTCGAACCAACTCCTCCTCTTCCTTCTTCGTCCATTGAGCAGTTCCATGGGTAACGGTGTCTCCCTTCGTACTCAGAAATGGGCTCATAGTACTCACTACTCTATTGCGCCACCCGCATCTAAAGCTCTACTTGTTCCATGCTGTGTTTTTGTCGGGATCGGCACCTTCGTCGTAGTCGTGACAGACACCTCTTTCGAGTCAAACGATGACGAGGGCATTGCCGACATTGTGTTGAACTGCAGGCGGGCACTTATATTGTAGTGTTTTTATGTAGCAGGGTATTGCCAGTCGTGCCATGCGCGATGCTGAGCAACAAATATCAAGCCAAGCGTCACTCGGCGTGGCATGACCCTGCTGCAGAGAAGTTGAAGTGAAATGTAACCTGAGATGGTGAGTTCTTACTGTGCACAACGACGATTTAGTTTGCACTGTGCTAGCAGGCTTCTGCTCCACTCTGAAACGGAGGGTTGATTAATATTATGCCTATAATTCACACTATATGCCACAACATAATCTCTATGCATCAGTCGAATCCACACGGTCATTAAATCTCCACGGTTTCGTATTTGCTCATAGCCCTGAGTCTCTTTCCCATCTTAAAGAAGACCCAAGGGACAGGCAAAAGTGCAACGGCGATGAATCCAAGCACGCTGGACGCCCACCCGATGCCGAGTTTGGTATACACTAAATATACATGATTAGACATTAGGTGGCAAGACTCATTGAATCAGGGTAGACTTACTTGGGATGGTAAAAAGAGGGAACGCGGCTCCAAGCCCATAACGCGCCAGGCCATTCGCACTCATGGCACTTGCAACAGTAAGACCCTGATAGACATCGGTGATGTACTGCGTTGTGCTCACGAACACGCATAGGTTTCCCCACGCAAATACCATAATCGCCACCACTGGACTTGCCCAGGAGATATCGGCTCTAGCGGTCCATGCGAACCAGAACAAACCGATGGGCAGTCCAATGCTTCCTATCAGTGCTGGGTAGAGACGATGCTCGGGCGGAACCTGGGAGCCTGGATGTTTCGCAACTTTGGGAAGGTAGAGGAAGATGTTGCAGATAAGGACAGTCACGGTCCCCAGTAGACACCCGACAACGATGGCCAAGAAGACGAGACCTGAGCTCTCAGGGTCGAAATTATAGACTCCGCTAAAGATTAATGGGACCGCAGCAAAGAATGAGAAGAGTGTTGCAAATTCACATGCGATATAGAGGCAGATGAAGCCAACGATAGGTTCAACAATGAGCATGTGGAGAGGGCGCAGCAGGGATATAGTTACGAAAAGTCGTATTTGTGAAGATATCGGTGGCGAAGGAGGAAGTTTGATGCCGAGTTCTTTGGCGCGACGACGCTTTATGACAGGGTGAAAAGTCTCTCTAGAGAGCGCGATCTGAATCAAGGTGAAGATGGCCATAAACACTTGTGTCCACTGTGTCCAACGCCAACCTTTCCGATTGACAACAAAGCTGCCAATGACAGGGCTGGAGAACAGTCAGCGAAAGGAGGACTTGGCGCGAGGATGAGCTGAAGGATACTTACCCTAATCCCGGGCCTAAGAAAGGCGTTAGAATAAAAATAGCCGACGGGAGAGCACGATGGACTGGTTGGAACGTTTCATTGAGTGTCCCAGCTGCAATTGACAGAGTCGGAGCGTAGCAAAGACCAGCTAAGAAACGTAGAATGCATAGGCCAGAGAATGTAGGAGCAAATCCGACCCCCAGAGTGAACAAAGTGCCGAAAACCATGCACCCAAGGTAAACTGGATATCTCCCCACGGTTTCAGAAAGTGGTCCTCCGGCGACGGGGCCGAGTGCGAGCGCAAACACGTAGAGCGACAAGGGCAGGATGGCGACAGTGCTGCTAACTCCGAATTCTTCCATAAACGCGGAGTGAGCTGGGCTCAGTATAGACACTCCAACAGACCTGTGTTAAGCGTCAGGTCTCGAGTCAGATTCACAATGAGAGAGTCCACCTACGTTGTGAAAGCAGCCCACCCAATCACCATCACTTGCTGAGTCTTTTGTTCCAACGACCAGTTGTAGGGGTTGCTTGGATCACTGTCCCAGTCCCAGGTGTCCCCGGGGTTTGGTTTGTCTGCATTCACCCCTCGTGATTTCTCGGAAGTATCGTCGGGCGAGGATATCTGAGCCTCTAGAGTACCGTGCACATCAGCGTCCGAAGCCTCCTCGAGTTGGCCCATGTTGAACTCGAGAATATGGGATACCGGAACGGAGAACTGTGCAGGTATGGGCTGTGACCGGACTCTTTGAAACAGAATCAAAAAGATTTGGCGACAGATTGGTGTATTATATCTCTCCCGAGAAAGTACTGCGACATAACTGGGTACTGCTCCATAACTGGAATCATTTCTTCAACGCATCCGAGGCCGAGGTTAGGTGGGCCACTTTACGTGTTTGCCAAGAGACGCCTTATCACTCAGAACAAAGAGTATGCAACTAAGCGACGGCCCGGAGGGCGGGGATCTTTGACAATTATTTAGTCGATCGGTTGTGGTTGCCCGGCATCAGGGCGTATTAGGGGGTTGTCCGAATGCGCTGGATTTCCGATTATTCAACAATGACCGATTACCGAATAATGCCGTGCACTTTTGAGACTGCATTTCTGTATGTTGAGATTAATTAGAAGAATAATGAATATGTTGAAATTTATCTCGGGCTTGTTGAATAAGCGTTTATCGTGAATGTTGAGCAATTGCCGAAGTACCTCGCAGTACCTATGTGGCGGATTTCCTCTGCCACTTCTTGGCTTTCCCCTTCCGTTTTAGTGCTCAGACCTTGCCGCTTTTTGCTCACTGAGTAGAACTGAGCACGCCTCTGAGCGGCCTGACCTGCTCCGCTCGAATAGCATCTATCAAATTTAACTGTGGTTGGTTCATAGTGACTACCAGCACGTGACCTCCCTTTTTGGTGCAGGCACATAGACGCACTTCTTTAATAGTGAAGCACCGCCCTGGGCCACGGGGTCTGAATCACATGATCCAAAAATTCTGCCTAACTTTTGGCGCGCTAAACCAAATCGGTAGCTTCTGTTGCTGATAGAGCACGGAGTAGTAGATGAGTCTGTATTCATGGTTGCATATATGGTGTACACTGTATACTATGCTAATCTGACACTAAATCCATCCAACATTTAGATAGGTACAGCTTCATGAGATCATCTCTCCAAGCAGCCACATCCATCTAAGACCGAGGCAGATTAGGACACTTCCCAGGCAAGGTGATCTTGCGAACATTCTTGCCAACATTGATTCCCCAGATGAGACTGTAGAACTTGTTCTTCTTCTCTCTAGAGATATGGTAAGTATTGGTAGCATAGATGAACAGGGTTAATAGAAAGTGAAGTACGTACGCTCGCTGCTGGAACATCCACGAGAGAGTCCCCCTTGACCGATTGGCCATGGACTTGAGAACAACATCGATATACTTGGGCCATTCGTCTTGCAATACAGGGAAGCTGTTGCCTTTCCGAGAGTGGTACTCGTCAAATTCACCTAGACGGTTATAGATGGCTTCGTATGTGGCACAGAACTTCTCCCATACATCTGGGTGATTAATGTATTCGAAGACCATGCCCATTGTCTTGGTGGTTTGAAGCTGCTCGTCTGCGCTTTTCCTTCTCCAGTCTTTCCGATCGGCAGCTTGGCTTCCTCCAAACATCTTATTTCGAGGTCAGCAATGTGCTCTCTAAAGCAGCGGTAGATCCAGCACTTACTCCGCCTTTCATTCCATTGGCTCGGCCTTTGAAGATCGTCAGCCTATCCAGGTGCTCTTCGCTGCCAAGTTCTCGTAGAAGCACCATAAGGAAAGACGCGAGCTCTACATTCCCCTTGCTGTCTGTAATACCCCACGAAATATCTTTGTCGACGTATCGAAGTGCATTTTCGCAGGACCATATGGGTTGCGGGTTCCTTGGCATCGGTAACTGATTGACAATTTTACCTTTGTCAAGCCAATGGGTGAAGAAGCCGCCAATGAGTTGGCCTTCAAAGACATGTTCGGCTATATCGGTTAGCAAGCTTTCAATTCGCCATCATGGCGATACATACTCTGATACTGGGCTCGATGTATCCCAACGGGTGTCAATTCCACGTCGTGTTCCTTCAAGGGTCCGACACTCCAGTCGCTGCATAAGGAAGAGGTGTTTCCCCACCATCTTGAGATGGAATCCCATTTTCCATTCTGAATCCCGACCCACGTGGAGGAGGCATCTCGGGGAAATTGAGGATACTTGCCAGGGGTACGGGCGTATTGCCTCTCTCCACACATCGTGACGTACTTCTTGCCCATATTCGCCGCTCCAGGCTCCCAACTGTGAAGTTGATGAAGCGTTGAGTCGCCCTTAAATTCCTCGTCTTCATATTCGGACGATGGTTCAAGGCCTCGCTGCTTGAGTGGGCCTGGCACAACGATATTACCTCCGTAGGGCCACTGTCTGTTTGAAGGGCTTGATGAACAGGCATCACAGTCCTTATAAGACGGGATATCACTGTAGGACCACTTGTAGTCCATACTCACGCAACCACAACAGAGTCTCTTCTTTTTCTTCTTGTCTTTAGTATCGGTGCACGACCCACAGTCTTTACATCCAATGGCGCCCTCAGTTGCGTCCCCGATCCACTCCAACACGTTCTTGTCAAGGATCTCACTTGCAGTCGGCGGCTTGGACTTGAGTCTCCCGTAGTTGAAGTCCCCAGGAAAGGCCATGTATTCACCTGGATCCCCGCGGAGCTTGAGGCTGGTTCCCTGAACCTCTTCGGGGAGGCTAGAGGAGTTGTGGACATTCTCATACCTAAGGCTACGTTTGGCGTCATGACTGGTGACATAATTGGGGTAACAGACGGCTCCACGGCCGGGTGCTTGCTAATTTGTCACGAACAAGATGAGCCTAAAACATTTGACGCATTCACAGATGGAAGAACTCACGAGGTCGTCTCCAAGCCGAGGAGATTCATTGGTCCAATAGGCTTTCTCCAGTGCCTTTCTGCCAAATGGAAATGGATTAGAAGATCATTTTTCAATGGCCGAAGCAGAATATGGTCGAACTCACGATTGGGCCTGTTGAAAGACAACGGTCCTATAATTGGAATCGACGGTCAATGACGCTCGTAAACAGACGGTGTCTTCACTTGACACTTACGCAACCGTGAAATCGGTACAAGACATATCAGAATCATCATCCGCAGGATAGAAGGCGAAATTTGAGACGGTGTTGTACATCAATGCCATCTATGACGGGTCAGCTAGCTCCAACAACAGAACACCCGGCCATTGTGCCCGGCAGGTATCGAGGAACTCACATCTCCAACTGCGGTCGATTCGAGTGTACGGCGATCTTGCCCATGTACGTCAAGGTGGATATTGACACCAAATCTTAGGAAGGTGCCGACGGCCAGCTTGCCGCCGTCGCCGTCACTGTACCAGACCTTGTTGTTGTTGTTGTTGTTGACAAAGATCTCATTCGGTGCAAATTTGCCAGACTCGGGTTTTCCGCTCTCTGGAAAGTCAATTGGCCAGTATGCAGTAACATTGGAGAAGTCCTGGATCACTCGCGTCTCGAGATGGCCGATGAAGCTTGTGGCACTGTTGCTGAAGGACGTACTGTTGGATCCGTTGAAAGAGGCGAGCTCATAGCTGACGTCAAGGTAGGGCTGAAAGACACGAAACTGTTTTTACCAGCCCTGATGGTCATTCCTTTCAGATCGAAGGATCGTGTCGCGCCGTGAATTGGATTACCCATATCTGCCCTGGAGAAATCGACCTCACTGAAGCCGTCAATGTCATATGTCAGATCACTCTGACCGCCGGCCGTGATAAAACCGTTGGCCTGTGAGACATAGAGCTCGTCTTAGTACTCAGCAACCATCGAGAAGCCAATGTACATTTTAGCATCAATTTTACCAACGACATAGGCTGCAAAGGCTTCGCCCCAATCTTCTCCCTCCACTTCACAATCTCTGGCAGTCTGATACCAAACCAGCTCGCTGATGTTCCGCTTGATAGGGATGGCATTGGTGCTATCGTATTCAAAGTCTGCGTGTGAGCGTGAGGACGTATAGCTCCTCTTCCAGTCCTTGGGGCTGGACGACCAGAACCTTTTGACTCTGGATCGTGCTTCCATCACGCCGTCGTCATCCTCGACTCCGGGCGAGTCCACTGTTTTGTCCCAGTAACCTTTGACGTTCGAGTAATCTAAGCGGATACTCGTTCTGTTGGTCGTATCACGCCGACTCAAGCCCATATTGTAGTCAAATTTGAAGTCGTAGACCTGGGATGTAGGGTTCCGCTTCTTGATCTCGGCGGACACAGCCTGGTCTAGAGCAAACAATCAGCGATGATTTTGAATATCTCCCAATGGTGAAAAACTCACTCTGGGAAGGCTGCAAAGAAACAGCTCGGGCGAATGTGTCAGGAGCGCACTGGAGCTTGCGTGTTAGAAGGGTCATATCACAGCGGCTAAGGACAAAATACTTACATTGTCGGGCATCTCCACGATGGTGCCCTCGACGCCTCGCTCCATCACTTGGAAGCACCCATTCAGATCATCACTGAGGCAAACGACTCGAGCTGTATGAATGTGGTCTTTGGGAGCATCCGCAACATCTGAAGGGCAGTCGAGGAAGTGAAAAGGCTCTGGCTCGTTGTCTCGCCTTCGCAGTCTCGAGACGGCATGGGACTCGCCAGCAACAAGAAGGAAACCAAAGCCACCTCCATTGGGACTCATAGAGTCACCACCTCCAAAGGTCGAAATGCCGTAAACGGGTTTCGTGGAATTTAGTGGACGAATGTCCGAGGGGAATATGTGGGCATAATCGACAAGATCAAATGCAGATCCGGAACTTCCCAGAGCATCTGAATCAGACACAGCTCGCAAGGCGCTGAGACGGTTATCATCAAGATCAATCGCCCAGATCATCAGACCGGAAAGACCCATTTTGTTGGCATAGTCGATTTTCATCTTGAACGTAGTCTCGTCGTCAAAAGAAACCCAGCTATTGTCATCGTATACCATATACCTGACAGCAGCCTCTTTGTCAAGATAGGCAGTGCCCCCAGTATCCTTACAGATCTGCGAGATTTCCCTATATGAGAGAATTCCCTCAGTATCAGTGCAGGGACCTTTTGCACCAGCACCACTGAATTCACATCCGGGCTTCCAGCACGAAGCATCACGAAGCTTAAAGGTCCGGCCATAGAATCCTAAGCCAAGGACAATATCAGAAGGATCGATATCCACTCGCCAGAACAGATCAAGTGCTTCATCAATACCAGTCAAGTTGGTGTGAGCGAGGACTCGACTGCCGATTGGATTATCTCTATCCCATTCACCGTGAAGGTCATATGCCATCAGATTAATCCAGTCAACATTATCAGCCATCGCCTTCAGATCAAAGTGGCGAAGATACCAGTAGGATGTTGGAGATGTGAAGGTGACAAGATAGTCACGGCCGCTGTCTTTGATTGCATCTTTGAGCTCCTTGAGAAGCTTGGCATAGTTGGCTCCATCATCGGCAGAGCCACCACGGTCATCGGCCCCAGGATACTCCCAGTCAAAGTCAACACCATCGTGGTCCCAAATCCACGCACTATTCCCAAAAGGGCTCTGATCCGCGGATTCACCCGCCGGAACGTGCGGATTCTCCACTATCTCCACTATCTCCACTATGTGTCTCAGCCTTAAGCTCGGACATTCGATGAATATCAATTTCCGATCAGTGGGACATTTTCATCTGAGACATTTTGATTCTCTATTTTGGAGACCTCTTATGACAACCGCGAGACGCATCTTGAAACCTGGGAAAACATTGACAACATGAAAGGCCTGGCATACTTCGCAGTCATTGCCTCGGTGCAGGCTTCAAAATTTGCGCACCAGTCCCTCCATCGTGGGGCTACCAGTAGTCCGAGCTGTAACACCTACACAGTGAAGGATGGAGATACTTGTGCAAAAATTGGCAAGTCGAGTGGAGCCACATGGGCGCAGTTGCTCTCATGGAACTCCGATATCAACCGCGAGTGCTCGTATGTGATCTCAGGGACATCATGATTGATGATAGAATGCAGCTCAACGCATGATTTTCTAGGAACCTCGGTGACTTCTCTGGTAAGGATATTTGCATCAGCAATCCTGCGGGAGACTATGCAATTACTGTCCCTAGTTCCACAACCTCAAGCAGTGCAACCGGCTCGCAGAACATTATCACCACTACTGCGTAAGTACTCCTGCAAGAACAGAAAGACGATTAGCACTCTCTCATGCTTATGAAAAACAATCAGCTCTATCCCCTCGCCAACAGTTTCCGGAACCAACAGCAAGTGCGCTCGATACTATAGAATCGGAACGGGCGAGACATGCGACGCTGTGGTAAAGAAGTCGGGTATCTCTATGTCTGACTTGTCAGTCTTTTTCATCGCTAGAAAAAATGAAGTTGGTAACTAATGATTGTACAGCCTGTTCCTGAATCCAGAGATCAACGAGAAATGTACAAACCTCCAATTGGGTGCGTACTACTGTGTGCAGGCCATTGGATACATTACAACGTACCCTGGCTATGGAGGGACCTCAGATGACTATACCAAAGTTTCCATGACCGCCGTTCCTTCATCCGTTCCGAGACCAGATTATCCCGGAGCCTTGCCGAACAATTCCTATCCCGCCATTCCCGTTGCCAACGGTACCAGGAAGGACTGTTACGAGTTAGTGCATTTTCTTATCTCTCGGGGCACTAACTAGCTAATGTTTGGATAGCTACATGTGGCTGAGCAACACCACAGATGACGCGCTCGCGGATTGCTGGACCATGGCGATGACCAACGGTGTCTCTGCAGAAGTATGTTCTTTTTTCCCCTGGTTGGGTACGTCTTTCTCTCTTTCAATACAAGCTGACCCATCTAAGGACTTTGTTATGTGGAACCCTTCGCTCGAAGAGGAGCCGCGTAGTAGTTCGTCCATCGTTTCAACAGCCAGTACGAGCTCGAGTGTTACTTCAGACTCGTACTACTATCCTTGCACGCTCCGAGCCAGCTCGTCTTACTGTGTGCTGCTTTCTAAGCCTAAGAAGACCAAGGCAAACGGGTCGCCAACTACTTCATCAATTGCTGCGTCGTCTACTCAAAGTCCGAAGCCTACATCTAGTGAGTTTCTAAATATCAGCCTTGGATAATAACCAGGTTCATATATGCTAACCATATTGTCAGGTACCTAAGTGGCCCCCGGACAATGCGCTGGATAGAAGGGGCAAGATAATTGGAGGTACCAGTGTAGATGAATCAGACATACCTATCTGTCTCATTTTCTGTCCCTGTGGGCAGCTTTCCTACTTTATGTATCTACTAGCCAGAATTTCTTTGCTTCTCCATTCCATTCAACCATTCAATCTACGTAGTATATACTCCCGTCATTGTAAAAAGACTTAGTGGGCTGACAATGGACCCTTACGCACATGTTCAAATCAGTATTCATTGGAGTCATAATCTTCCTTACAAATATCCATTTTTATCAAAGCATCGGTCGGTCATGTGAATGTTCAAAATCGGGGTCCAATGCATCTCTCAGCACACCAACTCCAAGGCGGACGTCAAGGGGATAACGCTGCTCAAAGGGATTTCCTCCTTCACCGTAGATGAAATCCTCTACCTCCTTTTCAACCCATATACCGTGTCCAAGTCTAGGGCTCCCCGCCGTGATTGGCACGCCGACGGTAATTTTTGGTCTTGAGCCCGCATCCCAGTCTCCCCCACAGCGTGCCCTCCGATACCATTCGCCGGATCTCTTCCAGCATACTATACCAGGTTTCACCGCGAGAGAGGAAGTGCAGCATACTAAGCTCAATGGAGCGGACGGATTTCGGTAGCGTCTTGAGGAAAGAGACGCAATCATGCTGTGGGAGAACAAAGCCGGAGAGTTCGAAATGGCGCAAATTGGACCATTGTTCCACAGGCACCATGCCCTGTAATGGGAGCACAGGATATTCGTCGTCATGGTAGAGATCTTCATCAAATGTTGTATGCAGCCTGAACTCTTCCATGTCTTTTGCTTCGCCGACTGCCCGGCGCAAACGCCCATTAAGCAGAGATCGCCAGCATGCTTCGAGGTCTTCATCCCGTTTACCACCGACAAGCAAGGCAAGGTCCAGACGACGGAAGCCTGGCTTCTTAAGCACGGTAGCGAAATGGTCGTACTCTTCGCAGGGCTCATCGAAGATTGTGCAGTTGATTCCCGTGGGGATAGAGTTGGAAGTCATCACCAGCTCAGAGACAGAGTTGGGTTCGTTGGCGAGGACGCGCATTGCCGTGCAGAACCCGCGGTACCGATCTCTAAGTTCTGGGTATTGATTCCATGAATATGCAGTAGCGGGCTCCCCAATGGCTCTAGGGTACAGCCAACCACGAGGAATGGGGTAGTTAAAACCTTTCGGGAAAGCACGAATCATAGGGGTCGGGTAAAGCGGGGTGATGAGGTTGCCGTGGGTTCCAGGTGTGATGGTAACTCTCTTGAGGGCAGGAAACTGCTTAACGCCGAACGCAAACGCTTCCAAATCACTCTGACTGGCAAGAACTTCCTTCTGTTGACGCAGCAACTGCTGATAATATTGCCAGTGCTCCCTTAGCGAAGGGTGAGCGAGAACCTGTTCTCTGCGCGCGATAAGGTCGGGCCTGTCCACATCACGACGTTTCCGGCGTTTTAGAACGTAAAGGGTTTCTTCACAATCCTTTTTGAACCATTTAGGACACCCATCTCCCTCTTCATACTCATGGCGCTCAATGATCTCCTCTCTGTATTCCTGGTAGTATCCCGCAGCCCATTCTCTGTTGTTATCGGGTCCATCCTCGTCCGAGAGCAATTCATGTCCCTCATTAGTTTGATCTGTTCGTGCTGGACCTCGATGCAAGCGCGCCTCATCCCAGATAATCTCGTTGACCTGATGGCGGAACTTGTCGTGTGAAGCAATGTTGCGGAAGACGTCTATGTTGAGGGGGTTGGCGGATAAGAAAACCCGATTGAGTCGAAGAGACACTGTATTGTTGAATTGCTTGCATGTCAGACGCAAAGATTTTATGTCGGCATTGCGTAGATGTGAGCCAATGCAGCTCCAGAGCTCCAGGGGGAGCGCGGGGGGGCTGGTATCAGCCATAATGTGATATTGTAGAGTTGAACCCGGGACTTCCAGGGTGATAAAGTGCGTTTTATTGCTGAGCGTTACCGAAGCACCCAAATCATATGTTACGGCATGTGGGCCTGACACCACCTGCCTAACGTACTAACCTAGTAAGTCCAGGCGTTAACCAAAAAGACCACTATGACAACTAACAGGTAGTTGTCATGTCAGGTTTCCAATTCATAACCACAGTACAGGATCTTAACATCATAACTAAGGGGATACCGGGTCACGTGATCTAGATATACATACTGACTGTGTAGCACCCGGCATAATAACTCCCCACCGCCTGTGCGGTGTGGTGTGTGCTGTCATCACCTGTGTAAGTACAAGTTACGAACCCAAACTTTACGAACCCCCCCACCTCCTTCTGCCTCACCCTACGGGCCTACTCCACCACCGCTTGACCCTCCTACCGTCTACGTGAGTCCTACGACCCACGGGAGTACTTGTGCGGTCATTGGCGAGAAGTCGTGCATCATTGACACCTGCTGAACACTGATTACCCCAGTTAAACTGATAAGAAAATGGTTCTATGTAGATCGAGTCAAGGAAACTCATCCTGTGACGGTGGAAAGCCAGGGGAAGAGAAAGATGATGATATTGTCTATCGATGAAGCTGGCTAACTACCGACCGGGGGCACGTGACCATGACTAAGCCTCCGGTGGGTGACACATCCAACCGTCTTCGCCCTGGTAGTAGATCACAGCCCGTTTAGGGGATCGCCAGACTGGTAAGCGACGTACTATTCCGAATGTGATTTCGAGGGGCATAGGCTGAAATGTGAAAATGGTAGGTCAATTGAAATTTGAATAACTAGCCCCTTTGTCTTTGTAAATTGTGGGGCTTTTTACTTGGATAGGATCGTGACCGCGAGACCGAACAGTCAGCCTAGTTGACTGCGCCAGTTTTCTTTTTATGGGGCGATCTAAATAAGAAGGCTGCATGTGATTGATGGGGATAGTGTGTCGAATTTTACTGTGTAACTACACAGTACGTGTAACGTGGTTCCTGGCATCCCATCAAAACTTCAACTTTTCTACCTTTTTTGAACGCCAATTAAACAACCAGAATACCATAAATTTCACTAGACTATGCTTTGGCGCATCTATTAAAAGAATGTCCTTTCTAATTAGTAGTAGTGATTACACCCAGAACAGGTGATTTGCCGACGTTTTGTCTGCTTCTATTCCCCCCTGTAAGTTGTAACAGCTTAACAGGCCAGGTCACGTGTGCACACGTGCCCCTACGACCGACCCTACTTGTACCGTGTTCCTGTTCGCACTTTCATGCTCACTCCAAGATTTTGATAGATTAGTAGCACCTGGCTTAGTGAAATTGTATCAAGATTCGCTCCAGCCCTTCACACCCCACCCCCGGCGAACGCTTGATTTCGTCCCGCATCAAGAATTCAAGATACGCTCATGAATTAGCTTGAACCAGCATATTGTAATTTGTAAAACTATTGAAAATCATGTTTTGCAGGCGAAGAGATCTTATCAGTAGCTGAACTTAGACCAGAATTGAGCCTAGATTTTGCCTTTAAGTTTTCTAGCTACCCGGTCGTCTGAGGTAAATCGGTAGAAATATTGCTACCTGATGTTGAACCTTGTGAAAGTGGTCGATCCGGTAGAGGCGGAGATTGAAGGCGAGTGTTCAGCTTTGATAGCACGCAATCGGGGTCTGATGGTACTAAAACACTGGAACAGAAACTGCGAAGGCACTTTGAACGATAGACTTGACCCTGACCGCCAGTACGACTGGACCCCGCACGTAGACCGCAATATCGACCTTGATATTCCCCTGACTACTGGAAGGACGCCAAAGTAGCTGATCCCGCGTCCCTCGAAGCCCGTTCTGACGCCTCCCCCCACAGCCCCCAGTACTCTCCGGCTTGACCAGCGTCAGCCTTCAGGTGTTCGAGGCGGATCTCAGGGATGTGTTCGGGTAATGATGACATGGCAGGCTTACATCAACTTATCACCTTCCACTTGTCTTCATCCTTCTGTTTGCCTTTCACCTTTGATAATATAGTTTAAGTGGTATACTCTTCTTGTTTGAGACGTTCTTGGCATCATTGTAACAGGCCTGAGGTCGCAGACAGCCCGGACAGTGAGCGCTCAGTGAGCGCTCAGTGCGCGGCCATTGGACATCAGCACTGATTCATCACGTGATGGCTCTGGGCAGCTCATGGAGACTTCAGTGACCCGGAGTCCGGACCGAAATCTACTCAGTGACCCTGACTCTGAGCGCCCTCATAAAAGCGGCGGCAGCTTAGATAGGAAAGCCCCACCCGGCAGAGGAAATCCTCTACATAGAGTGACCGATGTAGCGAACCCCAGATTTGACTATTGCCAATAGCGTTGTCGGTTCTTTGTGACATCCCTGTAAGGCTTGTGACACAACCTTGTCAAGCTTCTTGCCTAGCAAGGAGAAAAGGCATTGTTGTAACCAACGAACATCAATGCTGCTGTGACCACCAAGTCACAGTGCATACGGGCGGCTACGCCGCTGTATAAGCGCCAGGGGCCAAAATGCCGTTTCTAACTAATCTTGATGCCTTAATGCCTGACTTTGGCCTGATTTGGCCTAGGAGCCTGAAATTTTGGCCAGGCCCCCTGACCGCCTTTTACACCGCACTGTACAATGTAATGTAAACTGTAATCATATGCTTGTACAATTGAAGCTTTTTGTCCCATACAAATGCATGCATCTCCAGTTTCGAAGGTGGTTTACTCTCCATGTGTGAGACTGAAGCCTTTTTGTCCCATACAAATGCATACATCTCCAATTCGAAGGTGGTTTACTCGTCATGTGTGAAAATGAAGCCTTTTTGTCCCATACAAATGCATGTATCTCCGTTTTTGAAGGTGGTTTACCAGCGCTCTCTCTCCGGCACGGAATAATGCACAGGTAAACCTCGATGCTTTAATAGCTAATGAAACCTTTACAAGCTAATCCCTTACAGTATTTTATTTTAATTCCAACCATAGGTTAATTCTATATTCACCCAGACAAACCGACCATGCATCTTCCCGTAACTAGAGATGTATGCGTTTGTATGGGACAAAAAGGCTTCATTTCGCACATGGAGAGTAAACCACCTTTGAACTTGGAGATGTATGCGTTTGTATGGGATAAAAAGGCTTCATTTTTATGGCTGGACAGCGAGCTAGCAAAAGTATGGTACCTCGCTTATTAAGTCAAGTGTAATCGTAATTCAGACAGCCCTATTTTTCTGCCTGTCGTAATTCAGGCTCCTAGGCCAAAACCTCAGGCTCCGAGGCAAAATCAGGCCAAAGTCAGGCCAAAGTCAGGCATTAAGGCATCAAGATTAGTTAGAAACGGCATTTTGGCCCCTGGCGCTTATACAGCGGCGTAGGCGGCTACTTCCATGAGGGGAACCCGGTACAATCTAGCTGTTCGCGGGGCATCAAAAGCTCAGTTTGACTTGATCACAGCGTTCCCATAATCGAACATGGCATGGTTTATCCATGCAACGATGCGACGGTCGTCCAGGGACTATATTAGCATGGGCGAATCGGCAGGGGGCCGCGATATATGCCTCTCTTCGGGGCTTTTCGGGGCTTGCGACCTGAAATCATTCCAACCCAGATATATGGACAGCATACTTTGTATACAGCGCACACAAATATGCGGTGAGGACGTAGCTCTGCTCGAATAGAAGATTCATGCTGGCCAGCTGGCTGGTGCATCGCATGATCACACTGGGACAGTTATCTGAAATGCCGATCGACGGGATCGTTTTAGATTAACCTTTTCGCGGCGATGAAAGCGTTGTGGAAAAGGGGTTGAACCGTTGAAGGCTGCGGCTCTTTTAGCCCCGCGCAATCGACGTTATGGCCCAGCTTGGATCTGCCTGAGACGGACCGGGCTGACAGCCTGACACCAATAAACTGCTGTGCCAGAGCCCGTCTGATGCGCTCGGTCCTACCGTTCTTTCGCTTCTTTTTGGTATCAGATTCAGGTTCCACATTAGCTTGGGCGATCAAGTCAACAGGGATTTGTATGGAACAGATTTAGAAATGGAGATCGCCCGGTGCTTGTTTCAATGGGGAAGGAGCCATGACTCGCGCCATTGGCTAGTTACCTAGACAGAGTGGGGCTCACGAGTCTCGGAATGTATTGTCAAAACGGGATACTGAACCATTTCAACGTAACTACTGCGTATATCAGTATTGAAGCACTGCATCGTCTGTCTTTCAGTCTTTGTCCCCAGAGAAAGATCGGCGGCATTACCATTGCACTATAGCCTATAGGCATCCTACTAAGTAAGCCGCAGAAAAAATATCAAGGGAAGCAAACCATAGGTTGTATTGTAAGTGTTCTCTTGCTACAGTAATAGACTTGATAGTTCTCATTAGCACATGCGAACCTTGACTCAAGTGGCAAGGAAAATCGAAGCACAGGCTTTCCTACCTAGGAAGTACAGATCTATCAGCCTAGAAGTGGCGAACTACGGCATTTCATCACTGCACCACCGGGATTATCATTATGGCGGGAGGACTTTTCCACGTTTCAATCATATATCACGGATATCAAACGCACGGGCTAGGTAGTGCGGCCCAAACGGCAGTCAGCGTTTGCATCTACTTTGACACGATACCTCGTAAGACACCGTCAGAAATATTGGAGCATAGGTACCACTCACACAAGCATTCACAAATCTATGATGACTTCAATGTCGACAAAATCGTCATTCCAAGTCGGGCCAAGCAGCACGCGAGCGATATAGCTGTCATCACTTGGATCCATCTCACTATCATCTGCATCAGCCTCCAAGTCAGCTCGTCGGCGAATGTGCTGCGCATCTCCCAGGCGCAAAGGCCTCCCATCCGGGCCCACATAATCCTCGTCATCGAAAGCAGCATCTGGAAGGGCGCAGAATTCCAGAACCATCCGTGCCAAAGCCTCTGCAACTATAAGGTCATTGCTGCGGCCAGCCTTGAGCAGGCTAATTTGCGGAGGCAAGAAGCTCTGGAGAATATCAGAGAGATGTCTAAGGCGAGTGTTATCCCTGGTCTGCGTGCGGATGCGGGATAGATGGGATAGTGCTTGCAGCCTGCCAATCACCCGCTCGTGCTTTTCTGGGTTATACCGGAGGCAGACGATCTGTCGCCTGAGGGCTCTGAGCACTCGCTCGTATAGGGTTCTATCACTGGGCTGCGGCATGTTCTTTATACCTATGGCCTTGGCCGATTCCCAGAGTGCCAGGATATGTGGTGGTAGTTGTCTGCCAGGGAGTGGTAAATGCTCAGGTGCGGGCCACGGTTCATGAGGAGCCCCTGGTGTCGACAACAGCTTCATGGCGGAGGCAAGGGCTATTTATCTGTTGCGTCTTCATTTTTACTCATGGTTGGTCCCAAGACAAAGATAATTGTGAAGGACAAAGGAAGAGAAACAATGTCATTGTTAGTGGCCCGCGTCTTTCTAGAAATGACAGGCCTGTCTTATTGCGAAATTCATCAACCCGAAAGACTCATTGTCGTGAGTCTTGCAGCTTTGGAAAGATGAAGATTGGCCAGTTGGTAGAATTAGGAGGAGTAGCATATGGACTTTGAACGCCAAGCCAGAATTTGCTCATTCTAGTCGATGAGGCCGATAAGCTCAATGATTTAAGCCTAGAGGTACATAGTGTCTGATAAATGAACATGCTTCGGGAGAAGATATCGTGACTTCAATATCGTGCAGCAAACGAATGAGATGGCTATCCGCCGCGAAAATTATGTCTCATCAGATGCTGCGACAGAATTATTCACTCTTCGTGTCGCAAGGTTCAGTGACGGCCTCAAGAAAGGGGATGGAAGCACAGGTCCAGCTGGCAATGTGCTCAGTCATGCCGAGGAGTGATTTGGGTAGATACCATGTTTGCAGGAATGATTGAGATGTCGGAAAAACCAATTCAAAGTCTCATTCAGAAAGCTTTATCTGCCCGCAAAGAACGACGTCTTCCCCGAATGGATACCATTTGACATTCTTTAACCTCGCTGCAGAGATGGCATTTCCACCGTCATCGAACCGCCTGTCAGGTGTAACGACCACACCACCTTCGCCTAGCCACGTTGGAGCAATTGTCACAATGACACTATTCAACAACGACATGTATGCTGGGCTTAGCAGAGACTTGATGACCTGGCCACCTCCCTCTATCATGATGCTCTTGAGACCCTTCGATTTCAGAATGACGAGCAAGTCTTGCCAGTCAACCCGATGTCCACCAGTATGCGTTCTGAGCATATTGACTGTGATGAATTTCCCGCCGTACTTTTCCAACAGTGCCTGTCTTTCCGGGTCTACATTCTCAGTTGCGATGATGATCCAGGGGGCGCGGCCACGTCCCTCTCTGCAAAGTTGGAACAACTTGCTATCTTCCGAGAATTCCCAGCGGGCTGTCGGATCAATGATCACTGGTCTGGGCTGGCCGTCTAAGCCGGGTTTTCCATACCCCCCGACTCCTGCGATGCGACAATTGAGACCCGGATCATCCGCTGCTGCTGTACCAACGCCGACGAGAATGCCATCGTGACGAGAACGTAGGTAATGAGTCATCGCCTTAGACTGCGGCCCCGAGATCACTGTGCGTGCGCCAGGCGATAAAGCCAAAGAAGAGTCAAGTGAAGTAGCGAATGTGAGTGTTGTGAAGGGGAGATCAAGACTGGGTCCAGAGCCATCCTGGGGTGGTAGATGGGGCTCTAAGAACCCTCTGTCTGACTCTGGGAAATATAGTTCATCCCTAGCTGGTTCACTCATGTTGACCTTTGTAGTGTTGAGATGGATCGATTCTTGTATCCGTGTGTTGTTGAATAGAGACCTCAAAACCCGAAGCTTGGCGGTGGGATGAAGTTGATATCGATGCCCCAGGCTTCATAGGCGCCAAGCCCACTATGTAACTAAACTCAATTGGGCCAATGCAAGATGCCGCGCCTGCCGCGCCTATCAACACCCGTGCAATTGCGGGGCTTTTACTAGTACTGTGTAGAGTGTAGACTGTAGGTGTCGAGAATAGTGGGTCATGGTCATGTATATACACTATTCTAGATAGGCCTTAGCGCATGGTGAGGTGATCCCCACTCGGTAAGCGAGACACACAGTGTCTCGTTCCCGAGTGCTCGCCTCCAAGCTCGCCAATCAACACAATATTCATTTCCATTGGATTGGTTCCCCTTGGCTTCTCTAGATTACATCTATGCACGTTTCTGCTGTGGCTCACACTTTCATAGTTATGAGCCCGGTGTCACGTTGTTGAATCAGAGATAAAATTTTTCTTCTTCCAACGAACCAACTCCCCTTACATTCACGAAAACTCAATTGGTCCTTGAGGGTAATCCGGATAGCCCCTCAACCAATCTACTGCAGAAGGTCCAATTGGATAGACTCACAGTAGAGTGTATGCGAAAAAATATGCAGCCACGTTGGCTGTACGAACTGCACGAATGATATTGGCTCTGGAGCGAGTCCAAATCGAATGCTGCAGCCAGAGCCAATATCATTCGTGCAGTTCGTACAGCCAACGTGGCTGCATATTTTCCCAATGTCCACGTGTCTTCACGCTTCGATGGCCGAAGCCGTTGGATTGATTATTGAGACGAATTTCACCACGAATAACGTATATGCGAATCTAAATCAACGAAGCTTTGGGCCCTTACAACGTCGTCGACAACGGAATATGCAACAATAAAAAAATACCTAACATTAGAGGTAGCGACTTTGCGATCCTTCACCAAAATTGAGCATCACAGCCCCGTGGGACAGAGTGGGCCATAGTCCGCTCCGTCCAGACGCCGCTCGTACCAAGACGGGCTCCCCACACACATTGGGCAATAAAACACGCCCGTCGGGTCGTACTTTTGCTTAATGAGCACTAACCGCCCATAATTCGTGCCAAAGAAGTCAGTCGCCCATAGGGGGTCATTGCAATTGGCCTACCTTTACAGTCAGAAGAATGGTTCAGTCGCGCCAAAGGGAAGACGTCCATACCTCGTTCATGTAGCTCCCAAGGAAGGGGTTGAGTGATCTCATAGCCCCTCCCTTGACATAAGTAACATCATTCTTTATCGCCTGTGCATCGGCGTCATCAGTCCAGGCCCTGCTCACTATGTTGACGATATAGGTAGATCTCCAGGCGGGATTGACCCCAGAGTACTTATCCAATCCATCTGTGAGGACTTTTCCACCACCAACAAGCTCGACGGTGTTTGATGCACACTCTTCGGGACTGCCTGCCATGATACCAATGATATTGCGAAGCGCGGTGCGATTAGCTGTCAAGGCACTTTTGCCAAACATTTGTGATGTCATGGCTGAGTTCGGGGGGCCAACTGGCTGTGATACACCAGACATAGCTTGGTAGTATGCTCCATAGGTTGGAAATTCATACCAGGCCACAGATATGTCAAGAGAAGAGCCATTGTACTTTTGCAGTGTCTCAAAGAGCGCATCGAATGCCTCCTTCGACTCGGCAATGCACTTGCCCATGGCCGCAACAATGTGTATATAAACGGCCGCCCGCTTCGCGGAAGCGGCTGTAGTGTTGCCGATCGACCAAGAGCCATAACCAGAAAATCCTGCATCCATGATGTCGGGATATTGCTGGTATACATCAGTAATTGCGTCTAACAGTACTTCCGAATCATCGCTGCGCGGGGTTATTGTAAGGGACTGCGCCACGACAGGTTTGCTGGGGTACGCCTTGACGGTCATCGACGTGACCACGCCATAACTTCCGCCCCCTCCGCCTCGAATCGCAAAGTAAAGATCTGGGAACTGACAAGCATTGGCTGTGACAATGTTGCCATTCGCCAATACAACCTGGGCCTCTAGCACTTGATCCGCAGCAAGGCCGTAGTCATGACTCGCCGGTGAATGACCCCCGCCCTGTGTGTAACCGCCAATACAGCCAACGGTCTTCGCAGAATGTTAGCACTTTGTTTTTTTATGGATGAATTCTCTCACGGACCGGGTCTCCCCCACCAACAACGGTTATCTTGCGTTTAAAGGCGACATCGTACACATCCTTCCAAACGTAGCCTCCGGCGATGGTCATTGCAGAGCCAGTCCATTCGTTGCTCGCACAAGGATCCGAAGGAGTATATCTTTCCTGGAAAGAGATCCCCTTTTGAATGTACTTGATCCAAATTTGCAAAGATCCATAACCTTCAGATCTGCAAGCGGGTGGCGGGTCAGAATAATGCGTTCGCTGAATAGTCTATCGGGCGTACTTACTTGCCCAAAATATCATGCCCGGTGTTTCTGATAACAAGACGAACATTATTTTCCCGAGCAAACTTCACACCAATTGCTACCTCCTCAGGCTCTGTGGCATTAATTGTATACACCGGTGCTGGTCCCAATGTACAGCTGCGATTCGATGGAGAGCCGGCGGTGATTGGAAGGCAGTATCCTTCTGCACGATGATAGTATCCCACAGGCGACAGTTGGTGAAATGTCGAATTTGACCATTGCGAAGAAACATCTCCGCATTTTTCATTGTCTTGGTAGATTCCAGGGTAACAAGAGATAGCAAGTGGAACATTGCGAATTAGCTTCCCAGATACTGTCGCGTTGAGTACATCCCATGTCCTTGGTGAGGGCCAACAGGGGTCTCCTGGAGTCTAGAAAGTAATTCAGCCATTCAGTCGCTGTACTTGAACGTTTGAAGCAGGCGTTCTTCCAGTTGGGTTTTGGATGGTCGACTTACGCATTTGCATGATGAAGTCTGAAGACCCGCATACCCGAGGCCAGGGAGCTGCAACAGCAACAGAAGCTTCAGGCGCATTTTTGGTGGGGTCTGCTTGGAAGGCACAGTTGATGATTGAACTCCAGAGATATTTGGGACTGGCCGCCTGGCGTGTATCTCCTCTTTTCAGAGAATTCAGGGGGCGTTTTCCTGCACGCGGCACACCGCATAGGGCAAGCTCAGTCTGCACAGCAAACGCAGTCCCTGACACCCTTCGTTGGCCCCACCCATGCTTCCTGTCTGATTGACAAACCACGGTTTAACCTCACAGTTATCTTGAAAGGCGCCTTCGTTAGACCGGGGAGGTCTATGCTCGAAAGGTTGTTGTCTAACCTGGAGCAGAAGGCCAGTCGAAGATGGAAGAAGGAGCAGATAGCTCAGGCAACTATTCTAAGTATGTTTACATAAAAAACTGTTTTAAAACAATTGTCCTCGAGGGCTGTGTAATTGGGACCCCATTGATTGCTACTCTTTACCCGATCCCGGACTCCTTCAGTGGGTACACAGTTAATTCACCAGTTGACGCAACTCTCACCAGTTGACGCTATCCGTCGGTCAACCTCCTGGTCGACTGGGCTATGTCTGATCATCTAGTCACACAAGCGAATTCCTTTGAACTGATACTTGCATTCTTCCGACTGTGAGTTCTATAAGCTCCAAAACACGCTTGCTGCACGCCATACCAGCCACAATATTACCCCTTGCTACCCTGTTGCCGTGTTCACATACAAATGCAAGCCGGGGCCCGCGGAGCTCTGGGATCCATCCCGTTTGCAAGTTTCCCTTCGTCCTCAATATCATACATCCATAGGAAGGAAAATATCAAATGCGACTAAAGACTCTGTCGGCTTCCTTTCTTCAAATCGGGACTGCATACATTAGCGTTCTCATTGATTTTGTTGGTCACCACCCCGGGGCTGAGCCTGCACAGAAGAAAAGCCTCAGTACCCAAATGTGACCGGACCCAAATTTCTACTATCTCGCAATGACATCGCATGACAACTTGATGTTTCACCATTTATGAAGGGCTTACTACGAAACTCGCAAATACATATATTGCCATGATCAAGCTGCGTTGCCCTCCTTCTAATCTCGCCTGACGGGGTCCCCCGGTCTTGTCCACTCCGCAGAATCAATTGAACGAACAAATTCTGTCAAGCTGTTACTCAGGAGTCAGGCCTTCTGTACACAGAAACCCGAGGGACACCAACCCCACTTTGAATCACCCCCAAGACCTCTTCATGGTGAAGCAAACTTGAACTGCTATATCGCAGCGGCTCGTCCATCTTCCACTCACTGGAGTGGGGATACCCATACAGTGCTCCAGCTGCAGTCTCAATATATTCTGCGACTATGGCGGACCTTCCGCCTCCTCAGGGACTGGTAACTCAGCTTTCGGTAAATGGTCTCATCGCCATAACCTGGGTGGGAGCGGGACTGGGCATCCTCTTTACGACTGCACGCATCGCCATTCGAATAATATACATAAAACGACTACTAGCCGATGACTACTTTATGCTGCTCGCCTTATTCTTCTTGATATCGAACGCGGTTCTGCAAACACTACAAGCACCCCATCTCTATTATTTGGTTCTCAACACGACAGGGCCGGATATTGTTCACCACGGACTTCGCTACACTTACTACGAGTTTACAATAATTGGACTCTTTTGGTCCGTGCTATGGAGTGTAAAGGCCTCCTTCTTGGCACTCTTCTGGATGATATCCCACGGGCTACCACGATACAGGCGGGCGTGGTGGGCTACTGTGATATTCACTGCTTTGGCATATATTGGATGTTGGATTGCATCGGTCTATACGTGCCATCCACCATCCAATTACTTCAAATTTGGTATGATGGGTTTCGTTTTCCTCGAGTTCAAGATCTTGTTTCCTAATATTTTGCAGGCAAATGCACCAAGCCATCTGACCAAACAGGATCTATAATTTCCATCTCGTATAGCACTGCAGTAGATATCCTCACTGACCTATTGAGTATGACGAATATTCCGTCCTGTCTAGCAGAGCTCAGCTAACGCCCGACAAGTCATGTCTCTACCCTTACGCATCATCTGGCAAGCAAAGATCAACATGCAGCAGAAAATCGGTCTGGCCATACTGTTCTGTCTCGGATTCGTGGTAGTCGCAGCGGCGATCGTCCGCGCAATTGAGATCACCGGAAAAGCATATTCAGACCAAGCTGCCCTCGCAGTATGGAGCGTCGTTGAATCATCAATCTGTGTGTTGGGTAGTAGAACTCCTATTTACGGAACATTAATAACAACCAATACAGCGATTATCGTCGGATGTCTGCCTCCATTCCGAGCCATCATATCCAAGTCAAATGCAATCCAATCACCCTATGGCTCCTCGGGTGCCAAGCCCAGTTCCAATGATCGTAATGCGTCGGTACGCGGGAATCACCGTTCCTCCATAATCAGCTGGAGTGAACCCCCCTTGCCGCTGCAAGACCGGGAGCAGCAGCAAAATTTAGGTCATGGGATGGGTACACGGGATGTGTACATAAGTGGTGGGCGTAAGGCCGGAGTATCAGATAACTCGCAGTCTGGAGTGTCGGCGGAAGAACTCCGAGGAGATATAAGAATGGTACAAGAATTTGTGAGTGCATTACCAACAAGAGCATATCCGAGGAGATAGGTGCATCGGGGGCTAATTGCAAGTTCCCTCGCTTAGAGTGTAGTATCATCGTGATGCTGACTCATTGACTCATGGAGCTGGGCTTGTGGTTTCACACCTTGCATGGTGTCTTGCGTACATCGGTGCTGTGTCTCACAATAATGGCGAAATGAGAATACATCAATCATGAAAGATCATATGGATTTCTGGTTTTACTGGTTTTAACATATGTACCCAACAAGGTACATCGCTTAAATATCGGAAGTTATTACCAGATTTCGGTCAGGCCTTTCAAGTTAGAGTCGGCCTACTCCGCATGACGGCAGATGATGCCAATCCCGGTGATGCTGGTATCAGTTGGACACACCGATTCGCTCTATCTATCCGCTAGTACACCTCGGTGAAGATGAAAGGTCGAGCGTTGAATGATTGGTACCACAGCACTACTACAGTCGTGCTGGCCTTCGACATGTCTCGTCAATGGAAATGATGGTCTCCCATGGTGATGGCAGATGGAGCTGCCCGACCGTTGACTGCTCAGGCATCTTCTGGTATCTCAACAGACGGTGGACTCGTGGAGGTTTAGGTTCATCAGATCAATGCTTGAAGAAGGTTGACATCAAACTCCACAATTCTTCTCCCTCCATGTTTGTCAAACATGTAGTCATGTCACCTGTAACCAGTCCTAAGCCTTGTTTGTAGATAGTTTCCTCTTCCTTCTTCTTTCCCTCTTGCAGCGGACTAATCTCAAGGTTACACTGTTTGTCTCTTCACTCTCTTACTTAGAGATTATTCTCGATACCATGAGCATGCAACTTTTAACCTTTCCGGAATCGGTGGAAGTACCGGGTGAAATAATGCCAAGCTTTTCAGATCTACGGCGCCACTGTATTAGCCCCACACGGAGACCGCAACACCGCAACAGACCGCTTGAGCAAACAACAGGGACAGCTTGTGGGACAAGTCGGGGTTGGTATCACCGTATTGCATACAAAATTCGCATGTATCAGGTGCCTCTTGAACATGTCAGAAATTTAGGGTATCTATTATCTCCATGTACCACAGTACCAGCTGAAGAACTACGAGGTTATCATGAGAGGCATAGAATCAGAAGGTAACGTCAATGATTTTGGTCATTATTGGTGGGCGGCTCGACAGTCAACACAAATAAAATAACTCCATCCTTCTCGGAAGCTACCGAACATCTCACCGAGGACACAAGGGGCATGAAAAGAAACAGGGGCATGAAAAGAGAGTAGAGACACCTAGAGCCACATACCGGACAGAATTCCCCTTCGTCCGGGGCAGGTCAGGAGAGAGTCTGGGGAGGATGTTGGGCGGGGGCCCCTGTTACAGCCCAAGCTGCCACCACGGCAAAATGCCAGCAGAGGCTAGAGCCATGAAAGAATGTCAGGATCGTAGGGCTCCACCTGGTATCGACGAGTTTGCATTGTGCTCCACTTTGTCGGATCACCTTTCCTCCCGAGGTCAGGGCATCGCTTTTGCTTTGAACAACCGAATGTGGAGCACTTCGAGCTCTTGGATATAAACCCCGCAGAGTCGAAATCCAGGTGAGTCACCCTCCATGACGGGAGGGGAGCAAGTCGCGAACCTTCTGAAGGCCTCGTCGAACAATCCAACCTTCTCGCGGGTCTTTCCGAACAATCGCAGCAGCGACTAGTCCCCAAGCCTCGTCCTCGGAAAGGCCATCGGCGGCGCGGTGAGCTCGGCCAATGGCTTTGGGCCATTTCGGAGTCATTTCGATGCCTACCAGGGGTTAGTGATGATGATGGTTGAACTGGGATCGAGGAAGATTAAAATACAAACCGTTGAGATAGGAGCCATGTAGGTCTCCCATGGGATGTTCCAATTCCCTGGGAGAGCTATTTCGCAAAGTCGGGGAATCGATGAGGTCGACGGTTATGAAGTCGACGACGAGAAGTCGACGATGATAAAGTCGATGATGGAGTCGACGATGATGAGTCGACGATGAACGAGGTCGACGATGAAGAAATGAACTCGACGACGTCGCGAGGTGAAGATGAGGAAGGAGATGAGAGATGTGACAAGCAAAAGGGAAGACGACAAGCACGACGACAATCAAGAGCAATATATACCTGGCCGTAGACCTCGTGACTTGCTCAGTCACGATATCAACGATATTAGTTGCCTTGTTTACTTCTCTCACATATAGGCAGCTGCAACCACGCTCTGTGCTTATTGCCATAACTGTCCCAACACGCTGAGTCCATCACAAGCATTCTGCTACAGTTATCGACATACTTCCTCGCGTATATTGTGCTCAACAGGCTACATCAACCAGACCTATTCAAACATCAATACCACATGTGGCAACCTTGATTGTGAATAATCTTACTAGCCATCCTAGGTACGAGCCTCCCATGCAAGGTATAGATATGCCGCATTAATTTGGTGGCTCAATGGATGTCAGGCCATGCTTAGCCTACACTGAGATGTAGATAATTTGAATATCAGATGAACCAGAAGTAAAAGTAAGAGAGCTGTTGGTGATGTGGTGAACCCAGCAGATCTTGCAGCTTCGATGGCAATACCTACATGGCTATTGATTTGAACATGTCGTATCTTGTGTCTGTAGAATGAACACAGGTCCCTTGTGTATCTAAAGCTCATTGACATAATTTTGGTATGTTTGACTGGACAGATATGTACACAGCCTTGCATAGCATTGACAAAGCAATCCATGCACCTCTGCTTTCAACCAACCTCAAAGCTTCGCCTTCCCATTCTTCTCAAACTCCTGCACCGCCAAGGATCAGCGCTTCCAAGGCTCCAACCTTCCAACCTTGGACGGAATGTATACTTGCCGAACCGCAAAGTGAAAACTTAATTTCAACCTCCTCTTTAGTTAAAAACCCCTTGAAGTCATGAATTTAGTGTAAGGGTACTGGGACATGACATAAAGTCATGAATCTCGAGGTCCTTTTGCCGGGGGATTATGCCTTATCTCAGCTGGCAAGCCATCTATCCTCCAATCATCAGCCACAACCTCGTGCCAACCCCGCGAACACTCCGTATGCTACACAATATGGACCAAAGGAAGCAAGATCCTTGGCAGCTTATGAAGACAGCTCGTGTTCTGGCAAGGAGAGCTCGTTATCTTCCGTCGATGTTCATTGTGGAGTTTCCATCATCATGACCAAGAGACAAGTAAGCTTGTTTTCTCTCGCTCTCGCGACCCTCTTGTGGCCCATATCTGCTTTGTCGGATATAAACTGTTACAACCCCGACGGCTCCGAGGCCAACGATGACGTCCCTTGCACCTCCGACGCAACAACATTTTGTTGCAACAGAGCCGACATCTGTATGTCCAACGGTCTATGCTATCTACAAGGAAAGCGAGGATTTGTACTCTCACGCGCAAGCTGTACCGACCGAAGCTGGGACTCTTGCGGCTCATGGACCTATTGCAGTGAGCAATATCATTCAAGTTCAAGTGGTAATTCCGACACAGTCCATTGACTGACCGAAATTGCCTATAGTGCCGTATAACGAGAATGCGGGATTTCCTATCGTCGCCGCCCAGTACAATGGAAGCAAAACGGTGCATTGCTGTGGCACGGCCTCGTGGAAGAACGGGAGCGTCAGCTGCGGGAATTTCAAATCAGTCAGTGTTCCAACCGGTACTGCCATTCCAGGCGTGGCTGGACTTGCAGTGAAAGGTGCTCAAGGTTCGAAGTCTTCAGAGACAACTGATTGTGGTTACAATGTCTCCCGCGAAGCTGCTATAGGTGCCGGGATTGGGGTTCCACTTGCAATAATGACCCTTGCTGCCATTACGTGGGCCATGCGGGAACGTCGAGCTCGATTCAGAGCTCTATCAACGGTATCTCCAGCGCCAATGGCGAAGCCCCCTCCACTGAAACAATTTGTTCAACAAGTCATTCCGCATCGTCCCGTTGAGTTAGGTGCTTCGGATATATCTGAATTGTGCGCCGGAGAGAACAACTACAAGCGGGTGTCGAAGCACGAGCGCCGATATTCATGTGCTGTCTGAGATGCAGATGATCCAATTGCTCTTACATTTTCTCTTCCACTCGGATCATCCAAGAAACCCTGGGTCTATTGTAATATGCGAGAGTGCACCAAAGACCTGTTGAGGTCTACTTGTTTTGGTTAATGAATGCCTACCAGTGAGAACTGAATCTTAGTGCCATGTAGTTACTAGCAGTTGTCAACATGTGCTATCATTTCGAAAGATTCAGGGCTTAACTCCTAAGTGTGTCCCATCGACTGATCATAGATGCTCCTTCGCGATCAGTAAGGTGGTAGTTACCCGTGGCAACCCATGCCTAGAATTGTGACTCGCCATCATAGAACTGGCTAGGGGTAACAACTCGAGCTTGCTAGCATGAAGTCGCGAATAATGGAAGACTTGAATCCACGGAAGACGACCGATTACTCCGGCAGATCGTAGGGCCAAATATCTCGCAGGTCTTTTTCATCCCTGATAGGCTCATCATCATCCGGATCACCATTTGTCAGTACGGCTTCCAAATATTCCTTGAACGTTGCTTTATTTCCTGCTTTTGCCGTTTCCCAGTCGTCTAGAGGAACCCATCCATCAGATGCAGTGTTAAGTAAGCTTAACAAATCACGCTTCAGGTTCTGAGCTGCCTCAAAACGGATGTACTCCTTTCGGTGCAGAGACATCTCTCCTGGGGTCGGTAAGGCAAATGGACACGAACCATGCAATCCGAGGGCTTCCCAGTCTTGAGCGGTTTCAATGAGCTCATCCCGAAAGGCAACGGCGCCGTCTACCCACGTTCTGTAGCAGTACTGAAAGGGTCGAAACAAACCTTCATCCATTGACCTAGGGAGTGCGAGCTTTGGAGTGAGAAACCGGGTACAGGCTTCGTAGGCTTTTGTGCATAGCTCGCTGTTATCTGTTCCTTCGGCACTTGCGGAGGAAGGTGAACCGGTTGCGAAGTCGGGGACCTCATCTGCATACCAAAATGCGGGTTCTATGCTGGTCGACTGCCAATCGATGATACCAGTTATGACCGAAGGATCATCATGCGAAACAAATATGTTCCTTTTGTGTAGGTCGGGATGAAACAAGACAGGCACAGCTGCACCATGGACCCTAGTATCTGCAGACATTTTATTTAGCACCGCACGACCACATTCCAGAAGAGTTAAATGTTCCTGAACCGAGCCTTGATAGATTGATCGATTAGGGAGCTGAGAGTCCTTCGGTGGGATCCTCGAAAGACCGGCATCGACAAGGCCATCAGCATATGCACCGATCGTCGACCCTGTATTCCGAGACTTAGTCCTGGTTCCAGGAATGGAGGTTATAGCAAACTCACATGGACCTTGATTGGGAGCTGTATGGTGGTAGTACCTGGGGTCGCCACGAGCCCAATACCTTGTTCCACAGTGGGGCCCGAGGCAGAAGTCGCCGTCTAGCGGTAGCCTAGAGGAAGAGTCCAATGGTGTGGTGGATAAATATATGCTTCCATAGGCCGAAAAGTTGAGATCAACCATCTCTCTGAGCTTTTTGTAAATGGCGGCTATGCACCGGACTTTCTGATCGCCCGCCATGTAGGGCCATTTCTGGTGTAGCGAAATGCCAGCCGCATATTCCATGATGATGTATTCGCTCCCAACAATATTCGCCGTGTCGTCGCACCAATCAAGTATTTTAGGGATCGGAATGCTGGTGTTTCTTTGTACTGCGTGACACAGATAATTAGCGCAAGCGCGGGTCCCTCACAGGTTGTTTCACGCACAGTATTGGATAGTTGCTACTTCAGAAGCAGTGGCTAGTTTTGCTGGGCCAGCTGATGTGAAGGGTAGCCGCGCCACGACGCGTGAACTATCGTCCATGGTGAAGATGAACACCCTGTTGAAGCCACCCTCCTTCTTCTCACAGCTTTTGATGTGTTTGATCCCATGGGAAACGTCAGTTACCCTCCGACAGAGCTCGTCAAAGTTAAAGTCAATCTGGCGTAGCTGGCGTTGATGTTTGTCGTCCCGAAGCCATCGACCGCTTGTGTATGAGTGAGGGTCAAGCCCTGTATTTATATTATTATCAATATCAATCACTTGAGAAAGGCCAAGCCTACCATAAGTATTTTTTTGGTCCATTGAAAGCGCCGAGAAGGGCTGTGCGTTATTGCGCTTGGAACGGGAGTGGGATGTGGTATCGTGGATGAGAGAAGGCCGAATATGATGAGTTGGGTGAAGATACAATACTGTATTGGGATGAACGAAGGGGAGAAAGAGATAGGGGGGAGAGTGCAGGCAAACTATCATATATGTGATGCCTCAAGCACCCAGGCATCCAACACGATCTAACAACATCTAGCAGGCAACACAGACTTGGTCATAATCAAACCGGTAAACTGAAAATTCCCTGGACAGCTATAAAGGGAAAGCGCAACCTGCACGAGGGCCGAGGCAGTTCGGCGAGCTCGCATGCCGACCCATTCAATCCGGTACTTGGCCCAAATTTCCAACCGTCAGTTAATCTCTTCGTGGTCTCTGAACGGCCACCCCTTCTTCAAAAGATCAATATCCTCCTGGTCATCCTCACAGTAATCAGCCCCTGTAGCACTGACTAACCGCCCCGGCCGGTTAGACGAAGTGTAAGCGCATGCAGCAGCATGCTGGCAGAGATCATCAAAAGGAATTTCGGGCAAGTTTCATTATTATAGATCTGAAGCCAGTTGGCAGTTGTCCATCTTTTCACCAATCATCATTTAGATAGGATCTTTTGCGGCGTAGAAAAGCGCGCTTCACCCTTTCCAGATCTGATGCATGTTTTTGAAGTTCGCATTGGCGCCAAGCCGCCAAGGTGTAGCAGGACTGGAACGGGTGAACGGATTATCCGCCTCGCCGCAGCCGCCAAGCGCGATCTACGACAGCGCATCCAGGAACATTGGAAGTTTGGAACAAGCAGGCTAGCAGCGGGAAAACCCACATCTGGACCCTGGACCCACAAATTGCTTGGTGCAGACCTGAGACGCCGAACAAGACCCTTCGGTTGTACGAAGGACTGTACTCACTGTTGAGACCGCAGTGCGCAATCCTAATCCAGATGCGCACAATGAGGATCGCCCTTCGGCACTTCCTGTTCAAGATCAAAGCTGCAGATTCCGACAGATGCAGTTGTGGGAGGGCTCTCAAACGCCGAAGCACATCCTACAACAATATCCACTGTTAAATGATCTTCGGCAATCATGAACGCAATTGGACAAAGATGAGGTCGAGGTGGAGACCAAAAATGACAAGTGTCACGCCGGGGAACGAGAAACTCTGCAAAAGTCGACAAGTATGCCTGCCAACTGGCCGGCAAGAACAACATTATGAATTGAAACTAAGGCGAGGGAGGATGCAGGAATGATGATGGGGAGTGAGAGTGAGAGTGAGATGGACGGTGCAGTCCATAGAAATGGGCTAATTCCTCGCTCGTTTCAAATCAGCCTCTGTTTCCTCTGTGGCTCATGTAATCCAGCTCTGGCGTTTGACCGAGTTCTTGCTTCAGTTGGATGAAGCGCGTGCATAGTCGTGCGCAACTAGTTGGGCTGCAACACTTCCTTTGTTTGATTAATTTCAGTGGATTCTAGGTCTGGACATCAAACCTTGGGAATTCATAGAGACTTGATAGCTACAAAGGATTCTAGTCATATACCACTACATTGGAACATATTTCAGTTGATCTTGGTAAAAGCAGATTTTCATGGCCAAACTAGTTGGACATCAAGAGCCTGATAGAGTAGGTATTTAGGTAGCCTTTAACCAAGTCCCCGTCCACATTCTTGTCCCTTCTGCAAACAGTTCCATTCCATGTTTTCCAGCATAGGTGACTTTGCTATAGCCAAAGCGTATCATTTGCATGAAGCCACTGCAGGGCTTGTGCCAACTTAGGAAACTGTGATGCTGGCGGAACCGCTGCTCTGGTAGCCCTCGGTGCTGACAATCTGGTAGTCGTGGGAGCCCATGTCCATTCCAAGACCAGCCCAAGCGTCAAAGTGGTTGGCAGTGGTGACAGTTCCACTGCTGCGCTTGTCGCGGCGGATGGACCAGTACTGCATGAAGGTGGCGGTACCCGAGATGGAAGGCTGGTCGACTTGCTGGTGGGTGTAGATGTCATAGACGGAACCATCGCTGGTCACGGTTCCCATCGAGGTCATGCTGGGGCCGGGGTCGTATTCGCCAAAGTTCTCCATGATGTAGTACTCGACGAGGGGGCCGGTAGTCCAACCGTAGACGGCGAGGTAGGCATTTCCGGAGGGGTTGAAAGAGCCGGAGAAGTTGATGTCACTAAAGATAACACATATAAGCAAATCGCTCAAATAAATCAGATGGTATGGACTTACCGAGCGCTGCCAGTAGCCCAGCCCTTGCCAGAGGTGAAATCTCCGCAGTCGGTCCAGCTCACACTGTACGAGCCGGAGTCGCCATTGGTGTAAGAGACCTGGCCACCACCGTCGGTCCAGAAAGAATAGTAGTAGCCATTGTTCGTTCCAGTCTGGCTGGTGGTGATTGCCTGTCGCTTCTCCAAGGACTCACTGGGGGCCGCGAAAGCGCTGGTAGCTGCACAGGCAGCCACGAAGAGGCTGTTGAAAGAAACCATGATGAGGATCTTGATAAAAAGGTTGGACGAGGGATTGAATTGTCTTGTTTGTCTTGTAGTAAGATGTCTTTTTCTTCACGAAATCCTGTCCCTTTTATATTGACGAAAGGATGCCGGGCGAGTGTTTCCAAACAGTCTCAACCCCTGGATATCTTGATTCAATTTATCCACTGGTCCCATTTATCCTATACTCGCCAGTCTTCACTGCACCAATCACAAGTGGGTCATGGTTTATACGAGGTATTAGCAATAACCCACCTGTTGTTCCCGTGTCGAAATAGTTATAGATCTCTGGGGATGCCCCCAGCGGGCCCAGCCTAATCTCGGCCTGTCGGCGTTTTGGGTCGAGTAATTGACGGCATCTAACCCTTCCATACGGCTAAAATTGAAAGGGACCGTGGCAGAAAAGGACTGTTACAGAATTCAGCCACAAGCGCTGGTGGAGTCTGGAGATGCGGGGAAATTCTTCATGGCGGAAGCTTGGTTCAGCCGAGAGCGCCCGAGGCTAACGCCAAGATCAGCCACTGCGTAAGCCGGGAAAATCGACGAACATTACCAGTTTCGTTTCTATTCATCTGTTTGTCTGTTCGTCTGTTCAAAATGAAGTGAATATAAAGTCATAAAAGCGGGACTAGATGGACGATCTATAGAGTAGACCCATGGATCATCAGGATTCAGCAAAGGCTATTTTCAACCCCACAGACTTCTTATCCCCCTGGTCTAGGTAGTCTGGTGCAAATCACCTGAGATCAACACAAACAATATCTCGGCTAAATGCCAAACGCAAGAAGCCTTAGTGCTCTTGGCATCGCGCTCTATCACACAATTCTAAACACTCCGGGAGTCGTGCGGGTAGTTTCGAGGCGATTCACGTGGCACTCATGTCATCCAGAGAGACCCGGAGATTTTCACTAAGAGTACATGCCTGCATAACTCGGGCGCACAACCTAAAGACTTCGAGTAGACTTTGACTATGTATGGCACTTTTGCAAGAGGATGTGGGGAGATTTGCTCCGCATTCCCAGTATCCCGCCTGCAGTTCTTGATCCAGACAGAGTCACGTCGGAGCGGGTCATTTCTTCAACTTGCGACATGTCGATATGGGACAGATGAGTCTCATAGAGCAGTGGCCTGCTGCACGTTTTCCCGGCCCGTGATTGAGGTATCAGTGTTTACTGTAGTTAGTTGCTAAAGAATGTGAGCTTCGAATAACATCGTCAATAAACACAGCGTCAGACAAAGCATCGGAGAGGCCCTGTCACAGATGCCACTACACTTTTGCGTTCCGTCAACCATATCATGCGTTCAACGTCATTATGTAGAGCGATGAGCTCAGACTTCAGGTGTTTATTCCTGTGTACAACACTATGACGAATATCTCCGTGTATGCCTCTTTGCCACCCGCATTCTCGCTGGACAAGCCTATCTTCCTCCCAGTCATGTTACCGTTGCAGCCTTGACTCAAGGTTTTGGCTACCAGTCTCCCTGTCCTTGAGGTTGGCGCAAGGGGCTCCCATTTGCAATGCACCCCTGTCGGCAGCTTTGTCCAGACTATCATACGGTCCCGTTGTGAAAGTCCAGTCTTGATTAGCGGTTGCATGGTATGCTCTACAGCTACGGGATCAGTCTTGCCAATAACTACCATGCGATTCGATCACTCGGAATCACAAAGATGAGCTCTCTAGCCACATTCCACAATGTTCGCTCACATTCATATAAAGTCGACATACCCTGATGCGCGGCTAATACAGAGCATTGCCGATCCAATCTTTCTTTGTCGGTTGGCTTGACACTTGATATTGATCATCATGAGATCTGCAACTGTAAAGAAGGCGCTTGGGCTACAAGACTCCCCCCATCTGCATGGCAAAAACGTGCCAGCTTACGAGTCCGATCCAACTGTTCTAGAATGGCTCCACGACGTCTTTCCTTCAATGGGACAGGTTGGAGAATATTTCGTGGGCTTGCTGCCGTTCATGCGCTGGATCCGACATTATAATTTTCAATGGTTTTTGGGGGATTTGGTTGCAGGTAGGTGCCTTTCATCGAATTGCCTTTGTGTCATCCCTAACAAACTCTTGCTAACTATTCCAGGAATAACTGTCGGGGCTGTTGTAGTCCCCCAGGGTATGGGATACGCCAAGTTGGCTAATCTTCCTGTTCAATATGGGCTCTATACCTCATTTATGGGGGTTCTCATCTACTGGTTCTTCGCAACATCTAAGGATATCACAATAGGAGTGAGCTAGCCATTGCTATTCCGTCCTCACATTCGCTAACAGACCATCAGCCCGTGGCCGTCATGTCAACCGTTGTCGGTAGCATCATCACCGATGTTCAAAAGAAGCATCCAGACATTCCCGGCCCGCAAGTTGCCCTGTCAATCGCCATAATGTGCGGAAGTATAGTCACATTCATGGGCCTAGCACGATTGGGCTTTATTGTCGATTTCATTCCTCTTCCTGCTATTGCAGCTTTTATGGCAGGCTCCGCTATAACTATTTGCTCCGGGCAGGTCAAGCAGCTACTTGGCGAGACAGCGAGCTTCGACACCAGCACTTCTGCATATCAAATAATCATCAACACCCTCAAGTCTCTACCGACATCTCAAGGATACGATGCAGCAATGGGTGTCACCGCATTGGCAGCCCTATACATTCTCCGATCGGGCTTCAACTACGGCGCTCGCAAGAATCCGCGTTTTGCCAAACTGTTCTTCTTCCTCGGCGCTTTGCGCACAGTGTGCGTCATCCTTGTCTTTACTCTGATCAGCTTCGCGGTCAACCACCATCGCCGCAAGGATCCCGCATTTGCTTTGGTCGGGACAGTGCCTCTCGGTTTCGGACACACGGGTGTCCCTGTTCTCACTGGTGATGTGATCAAGCTCTTTGCATCCAAGCTTCCTGCCTGCGTCATCGTCCTCCTCATTGAGCACATTGCCGTCTCCAAGTCCTTTGGACGAGTCAATAACTACACGATCAACCCCTCCCAAGAGCTCATTGCTATCGGAATCACCAACCTCCTAGGACCTTTCGTCGGTGCATTTCCAGCAACAGGCTCCTTCTCACGCTCGGCCATTCAATCCAAGTCAGGAGCCCGCACCCCTTTTACTGGCATCATAACCGCCTGCATCGTCCTAATCGCCATGTACACATTGACTGCCGGCCTCTACTATATCCCCAAAGCAACCCTCTCAGCCGTCATTATCCACGCAGTCGGAGATTTAATCGTCCCACCCAACACAATCTACCAATTCTGGCTCATCTCTCCACTCGACGCCATCATCTTCGCAGTTGGTCTGATCGTGGCTCTAGCAAGCACAATCCCTAACAGCATCTACGCAACAGTCTGCCTCTCTGTAGTAGTCCTATTATTCCGCCACGCAAAAGCCCCAGGCCACTTCCTTGGCCAAGCCTGGATAAGCGACAGGAATAGCGAGCGTCCTCTCTTCCTCCCATTGGACGAAACAGAAGCAAACCCATCCATCAAAGTTGACAGACCACGTCCAGGTGTCTTTGTATACCGCTTCTCTGAGGGTCTAAACTATCCCAACGCAGGGCACTACCTGGACAACTTGGTTCAGACAATATTCAAGCACACCCGTCGTACAAATGCAGAGGCATACGCTAAGAAAGGCGATCGCCCTTGGAACGACGCTGACTCTTCCGATAAAGATGTTTCCCATCTACCGGTCCTGCGCGCCATTATCCTTGACTTCTCGGCTGTCAACAATGTCGATGTGACTTGTGTCCAAAATTTGATTGATGTGCGCACACAGCTGGATCGCCGGTCTGCACCGGTTCCTGTGCAGTGGCATTTTGCCAATGTTAAGAATCGATGGACGAAGCGAGCCTTGACGGCGGCGGGCTTCGGATCTGCACCATTACAACAAGTAGCGAGTGCTAATGATGATAAGGCTCGCTCGGATGTCGAAAAAGGCAGTGTCGATATGTCTGTCTCATCTGAAGTGTGTGACAAGCCGACCGAAGATGGACCTCGCCCTTTCTTCCATCCTGATCTGACGAGTGCTTTGCAGAAAGTCGATGAATACTTGGCTTTATATCCTGCAGAATGAGAGAATCTATCTAGCCGACTATCAGCATATGCTGCCTGTCTCAAAGGATGAAATGTGTATTTGCATGTCATAAACAATCCACAAGTCATGCATGTACATTTAAGAAGAATACCACATGAATCGTCGCCCCAACGCCCAATGAATATACCCAGAAGAACACCCCGTATGCAAAACATTATCATGACAGAATACCTGATCCAGGGCCCCATCAATGCGTGAGTAGCCAAGTATCGTAAGGAACACCCCGAGGCCGAGTCTTCCCATCCCTGTCAGTCGAAAACAACACAGGCTCAAAATCACAAGCCGCAGAGTACTGTCTGATCAACTGGCGCCAGTAGCATGACTCCGCAGCGGGAGTAAGGTAGCGATCTCGGAAAGTGCGCACGGCATTATTCGCAATACGCTCCGCAGTATCCGGGTGATCAATGAGATAATCGATCTTTTGCGGTAAATTAGACCAATCCCCGTCAACCTCAACATAGTTCGCATCCGGACCAGAAGCAACCAACGCAGCATGATGAGCCTCGCGCCATTGAAGCGGATGCGATATGACAACCGACCGACAGTTAAGAAGATATTTGCCTCTGCCAGAGAAGCTCCGACCCTCGGTGTGCGCGAGGAACATATACCGACAGTGATCCTCAATAGGCAGGAGATTGAACCGAATATCATTTTCATCGTCCCAATCAATGACACGCACGCTAGCCCAACTACGACCCTGGACGGACTTGAGCAGCTTGGTCCGCACGGGCGGATTAGTTGCCAGACTGCCCCGCCACACGAGCTGCTTCTTCTTTTCCTTGAATTGCAGACCCAGTACGTGCGCACCGTCTGCGGCGGTCTCACCGTCGTCGATTGCGGCTATGCGGCGGCGGACTTCGTGGTACGGTCCGATATGCACTTCCGGCCAGGCCCAGTATCCGAAGTCGGGCATTAGCCATACTGAAGTGTCTGAGTCGCGCTTGGAGTATGCCCAGATGGGGCTTGGGCCTGTTGTGTCCTCTGCGAAGTCTTCTGATGTGAAGATGAATTCGATGCTCGGTAGGAGGTGGCGGTCGGGGAATGCTGTCAGGGCGCGGTGAAGGGAGCTGAGTGTAGCGCGTGCTCTAGTAGCTGTAACGGGCATTGGGGCATATTCAACGATATATAACTGAGATCAACATGTCAGAATCGAGTGCTTTCCGAGGGGTGAATGCTACCACTAACCTCCCCACGATCAATGATTCCCCGCATCATGCCATCGTCGACCGTCCGTGAGTTGAGCTCCGTGTAGGAAACTCGCTTATCAGTCCTCAATGAAGAGGACTTGTCAATCTCCAGATATAACTTGGGAAAAGCAATGCGGCACTGCTCCTCGCTGAGCCCGTGGTTGTTCCCATCCCGCTCAACGACAAACTCCCACCCCGCAGACGAGTTCACAGGCGGGGCACAATATTGCTGTCTTGGGTATGGTTTTATGATATATTTTGAGGAAAGACCGCGGGATGTGTCGGTACCGAAGACGAAGAATGTAAGAAGGAGGAGGCACACCCCGGCGCCGATGGCCAGGAAGCGGAATGAGGGGCGTTGAGTGAGCATTCCTGAGATTCGAATTCGCCCTTTTGATATAGACTTAACATTTGCTGATTTGAACTTCCATTTGGATCCCAGCTTAGAAGAGGTGAGGATCAATGGAAGTATTCTGCTGCTTGATGTCACTGGTCGCGTTGTGTCAACTGTTGATTGTTTCCATAGCAACGCTGCTCTAGCCGGCTTATCACATGGAGGCCTGGACCTTATGGCTGTCTCAGCACTATTCAATTCTACATGAGCAAAGCATAACAATATAAACAGTCGAATCTATAGTCCCAATTATATCGGATTATTATGTACATGGGAAGCAACCATAGCGAGTCGATATATTCAAGGGGTATCTCAACGGGTCATGAAAGAAACGAGAAAATAGAAAGAAAGATGTAGAAGATGAGGTGAGACCCGTAATATCGTAAGACATGAAGAAGGCGAAGCGCACAGGATCGGCGCTTCCAGCATGAGTGAGTCGCAAGAATTGGCAAGTTCAATGCAGAGGGAGCTCTATTAGTCGCCATTCATAGGGGGACGGGGGCTGTTGCTGTTGAAGTAGCTCTCGTCGATTTTCAGGATCCATTCAACCTTTTGCGCCTCGGTGCGTGTGGCAAAGAGGAAGGTGTTCTGGGTTCCATAGACTGCGAACACGTTCGGCCGTCCTTTGGCAGAGAGTGAGCGGTCGGCTCCTGCCCCTGATCCCTCTAATAGTCTTGCGAAGTCGGGCGCATGGTCAACACGTGCATTGCGGAGGTTGATGGCGTTGATTTCATCTCCCTCTGGAACCGAGTAGATGTGGAGGTACGGCCGGCGGAGCTCCACGAAACGACGCACCCAGACGCTGTTGGTGTCATCGGGCGTCAGCACATAGCCCGTCTTGAGGGCATCGGGGGCTTTGGGCAGAGTTTGGATAGTTGCGATGAAGCGAGGTTTGAGCGAAGTCTTGTCAGACACACCGATGGTATCTGAATTCCTGATATGTGCTGCTCCGTCCGAGGGAGGTTCAGTATTACTGCGGACAAGGATATTCTCGGTAGGATCCTGCTTCAGCGACCACAACTCGATGTACTTGCGCAGAAGTTTCATTTTGCGTTCGTTAAGATCTGTACCCCGCATTGGAGTTGACCTTCCACTTCGAGCCGGCGATGCAACCAGGCTGCCCGCGCTGAGGGCACCACGGGCAGCATAGAGCTCGGCCACACGCTGCCGGCGCTTGCGGTTTGCAATGTAGTCTCGTACAAGGGAGACCTTTCGAGGTGCCCAAGTTGTCAAGAGCTCTTCGCCCTTCACGTAGTCATTTTGAGTGTTCATACGCCACAGATCAGCAGCGCGCTTCGCTGAGATTGGTCGAATGACCAAGGAGTACATGCGAGTCGTCGAGTGCACAACTCGGATGGAGTTCCAGAATTGCTTGAACATGGATTGTTGACGGACGTATGTACGACCTTGGATCTGAATTGTCTGGTCTGCTTCGAACACCACCGGGCTCTGTAAACGACTAGAGATGAGATCCCAACGGAGGGTCACTTGGACGCGGTATTTTTCTGCAGTCACTCGGTCAAGTAGCAAGGAACCGTGAAGACTGGAATCCCACTGGCCGATGATTGTAACATTGGAAGTTCCATCGGCATTGTCTCGAAGCATTGGCTCTTGAACAAACTTCAGAGGAACGTCCGGGGTCTGGAAATCCTGATCTGGGATCTTACCCCAAGGATCAAGAAGGCGCACAGATCCTACCCGGATGTTATTGATATTGTCCCACGGAAGGCTTTCAGTTGAGCTGTAGGTCATATTGATTGAGATGCGGCGCTGCAGTCCCTGATGAAGCTGTGATGTCCCAGCATCAAGACTGCTGCTCTGGATGACCTCCACCGGGAGGTATTCGCCAGATTCTGACATTTCAAGTATCTGGATTCTGGCAAAGACGTCATGACGCTCTTCCGAATAGTATTCAGATTCGGCGATTCGGGGGGCAGTTCGCTTCTGCGGCACAGGCTCTGCCGAGTCACGCATGTCGTCCCAGCTAAGGAGCTTGTCGAGGTGAACCGACGTCACAGCAGCATAGACACAGACCTTCAATGCGGCAGTCCGTGGACTTGACAACGGCAAGCTCATGCTGTGCACGCTTTCAAATCGGACTGGGCCATCCTCGAACCCTGAGATCATTTGGGTTGTAGTTGCACCTCCTTCCTCCGAAATACCTGGGACGAATAGCTGCGCGTGTACATCAGATCCTTCCCACTCCGCAAAGCCGACCATGTCCCGCATGACAACGTTGAATTTCAAAGTTGAAGAGGGCGCCTGCGCGGAGGATGGTTCGAGGGAGAGACGAATGATTCCGATGACACTCTGGGTATACGGCGAGGTTATCTCAACAGAGAAGTCCTGCACGCGCGTCTCGAATACAGCAGTCAGGGGTATGTCGGCATCACCGACCAGAGAATACCGAGGCGAGCAAGGCTCGGAGAATGGGTTGTCGAGTTTGAAGTGTTGAATATAGTCGGGACGATCAATGTATTGGTGAAGCTGGCGCATGGCTTGGAGACGACGCTGGAGCTTTTCAATCGACCACAGGTGAATCACGCATTGCTTGTAGTCAATGACTCTGACACCGACACAAGGCTTCTTGGCCTCGTCGAGGAAAACGTCTTCGTCGCCAGATATCCCATTCAGCACGAGGTCATAAGATGATTCCATGTTGTGGCCATGGTCCACGATCGCAAATTGAAAGACCACATTCTTGTCCATGATATGGCTCATGACTTGGGCCTCTTTCAGAAGGGATGCGTATTGCAAGGTCTTTTCGGCCATCCGCACGTAATTTCGCTGGGACCAGTGGGCGTATACTGAACGCGCGACCTCAATTTCGTGCTCGTCCAATTTGGCAAAGCCGTTCTCAAATATTTTAGGAACTGGCTTGCCCATGTCACGAATGTGGGTTTCAAAGGTCTCCTTCTGTTTCCGAAGCTGCTCTTCGAATTCCTCCTTGGCTGTTCGCAGTGCGTACTCCATTCGCTCTTTCTCGGTGCGCAGCTCCGGCGAGTCCGGATCGGTGGCCTCCACGGTCTTGAGTTTCTCTTGGAACTCTTCCTTGCGGCGATCCAGCTGCCGCTGCATGTCTTGACGAGCTTGATGAAGTGATGCGACGCCGTTTGCCTCGTCATCATCGTTCTGACGGGGCGTGCTTGGCATCGTAATCGCGGTGTCTAGTGAGAAGTTGTCGATAGTTCCGTTCGACATATACTTGTCTCGGATCGGGAAGGAACTGATGGAGTCGGAGTCCTCCTCTTCAGGAACACCACGCCGACCAGCTCGAACCTTCTGCACATCCTCCAACAATGTGTCTAGTTCATCATCGGGCAAATGCGCGATCTGGTCTGGACCAACCATAGCACTGACAGCTTCTCTGCGAGCTAAGAACCAGTCCGACTCGCGACCTCGCTGTGAAGGCATAGGTGAGTCTGCCCTGCTCGAATCGCCATCCACGTCAGATCCAGCCTTGCTGAGATTTCGATCATGCGTTTTAGTGGGCGCTGGTGACCCTAGCTGGCTCGTGGTGACGGAATGGCGCAATAAGCTCTGTTCAACTCGTTCGGCTCTGGCTTCTTGGGGATGATTAAATCGGAAAATGTGAAAGTCGCCAAGAATGATTCGGAAACCACTCTTAAGTCGCGTGGGCTTGTCGACCCGTAGGCCGTTCACCATAATAGCGGCGCCTTCGGTGGGTACAATGGTCACAATATTATCCACATTTTCGAAGGTGCAGTGCTTCTCGAGGATCTTGGATCCATTCAATCGGATCTCGACTGATTGAGCTCGATCCATGTGGCCAACTGTGGTGGTGCCAGGTTTGATGTTGTAGACCAAACATTCCGCAAGAAGAGGATCGTCACTAAGGTTGACCAAATGAGGCATTTTCTTTGGTGTACTCAGTCCAATGAAACCCTTTTCGATGTTGATTCCCAGTTCCTCCAAAGCTGCTTCACGTTCCTTGTGGATTTGCTCTGTATTCTGCAACTTCTCTTCCCATGTCTGATTGAGATCTTTATAAAGCTTCTCACTCTGGTTAAGTTGTTCTACAATCTCCGCCTTGCTGACTTGAGTGACACTTCCGTCGGGCTGTTGGATAGAGACCATCTGTTTCTCCAAGGGTGTGTCAGGGGGTAATACTCCTGCGGTGTACCACCGATGGCACCAGCTGCTCCTCCAGGTCCTACCCCACCTCCAAGTTTTGATCGAAGTTGTGCCAGTTCCTCTTTGAGTTCGCGAATCATGCGAGCATTGGGATCTTCGTTGACAACAGCATGGTTCTTGATACGCTTTGCGGAATCGGCATATCGCAAAGTACCAAGAGTTTCGTCAAAATTGATATCTGCAGGCGAAATTGCCGCAATCATGGATGTCATGGAATTACCACCAAGGGAGTCCTTCAGCAACCATGTCAGAATTGAATCACGATATGGTACCATGGATGCGTTTTTCTTCTTTCCGGCAGAGACATCGGCGAGTGCGGCGATGACACGACCAAGCGTTGACAACGAGCGATTGATCTCCGCACCTTCCTTCAATCGCGCACCGGTTGCTCCAGTCGAGTTGGCTCTTTCTGAACCGGCCAAATCGACCAAACTGATTTTAGACACCTTCTCGGTATCCATCGAAGTCTCCGCGTCGTGTTTCTTCTGCGTCAACGTCAGGGTGAAGACGGCATGTGATCGACTTGACGTCTCGTTCATGTTAGTCGCAGCCACCGTACGCGCTTTGTTGCCCTCGTCCATCAAGTTCTCAATTTCCTCGAAGGACCCAACGACAAGCTTAGCCAAATCTTCGACGTATGGACCCGTTGACGGATGCTCACGGACTTTCAGGTTGCCCTTGTTCGACGGGTTGAGCAAATCGCGTACCCGCTCGTTGTAGATTTCGAGGTAAGACACTTCAACCGTGCAATTCAAAGACTTGTCCGCCTGGATCGCTGTGATGCGCTCGAACATCGACTGACAAATCCGTGGAATCACACCGTACTCCTTGCCGTAACCCATCATGGAGTATGACTTTCCGGAACCGGTCTGGCCATACGCGAAGATACAATTGTTGTAACCACCGAAAGCATTGTCAAGAAGTGGACTACCCAGATCATCGAAAAGATCATCTTGTCCGGCATAATTCGGGGATTTCTTATCAAAAGACCAATATGATCGGTCAAAGGCGAAGACTTTATTCCCTTCGATGGCGCCCTTTCCACCTTTCCGTGATTTATCTTCTGCGCCAGGTGGAGGGGTGAGCACGGTCTGCGAGCCTTTCATCGATACGATACATTTTGCGCCGCGTTCGATCTCTGTGTAGAGACATAATTGTCAGTTTCAAGTCTAGGGGAGAGCCCCTCCTTCAATGTCCACTCACCTCGACTGTTGAAAGGCCGCACTCGCACCACCACCTTAATATTTCCACCACCGCCTGGAGCCATCTTTCCTCTCTAACCCATGCACGGGAGACCGTTGTCAATAACGAACGTGTGTAGGGACCGGAGTCCAGAAGTGGGACGCAAGTGGTGACAGGGGTACACCGATGCGCAAACTCCGCGAGGAGCGCGGCTTGAGAGACTGTCGCAAAAAAGCGAGCCTCGATTCGACCGTGGCTAGATCACTTGTGATCGTTTGGGGGTTGTTCGTAGTGAGGTTCGAAGCCGTGAGTGTCAACAAAGACGTCATGTATTGATTCAATCTGGATGTTGCGCGTTTCTGGCGTTTTTTTTTCTTTTTTTTGTGGGGGGCGTTTGCTGGCGCACGGGGACACTTGTATGTTGGGTGTTTGAAGTTGACCACCGAGGAAACCCAGCCACATTCGGTCTCGAGGCACAAAAGACAACCAAATGCGATTGAAGTCAAGTCAACACAGCCATGCGGAAAAGCCACATGCTCCCCCGGGCCCGGGGCGGGTGATTGCTGAGTAAGCGTTCCACCGCCTCCACTGCCACTGCCCTGAGTGGACTGCAGGGGCTGGGCCTACCAAGGTTCCGAGATGTACTAAAAACACCCCTCCACTTCATGTTCTGACTTCTGAGTGGTGTCTACGAATTAAGACATCTAGGGATGGCTCATTGACCATCACAGGGATCCATTCGATGCGCTGACGACTGCTTTCCCTGCTCCAAGCACAGTATTCCGGTTATCCCCTACTCGCGCTTGGATACTACTCACACAGCTAGCTCTGCGGTGAGGACGTGGGCGATATGGTCCGAACAATATCCGAGTCCGATACTCTTCGTCTTTTGGTCTTCTTCAATTGCCAACTCATCCTCCATCTATCATCTTATGGGACAATTTCGATACAAGACTACAAGTTTCCGATATGATGATGAATTGATGATGCTTGTTAGAGCTCGCGTGACCTGTCACTTGACCTCCATTTCTCCCACAGATAGCTAGATTTTCCCTCCTCCTTTTCCTTTCCTCTCCTTAGCGCATTTAGGCTACTTGAATGTATACTACCTTCTAGTACCTTCCCACAATGCTGCTATGCGGGATTGCTGTCAGGACTGCCGACAGCTGAAAAGAGTGGTTGCAGCCCACTGGGCAACTGTTGGGACCTCGCTTTGCGCATTTCCAATCAGTGGCCCTAATCGGATCGTCTCCGCCGGCTTCTACGACGGACGCAACGACAACCGAATATGAACATTTTTCGGTAGTTCGTGGTTTTGTTGGTGGTGGTCTCTGTGCTATCTTGCTGCGCGCCAGGATGAAGGGGATCAGCCGAAGTGGGTTGAAATGTCGGGCTATTCATCGTCGTCTGGCTGTTCATCCATGCCGTCGTCCGGCTCGCCTATGCGGCGCATCTTCGAGGCTAGCTGGAGCCTTGTTGTCCTTTGGCATGCCAGTGGTATCACGGTTAGTCTTTGTGTCCTTTGCTTCGTTTTCGAGCCCTTTGGGCGTCCAGGGCCTCTTTTGGGCTGGATGGATTGAATGGGCTAGGTGGCTGTCGCTGCAGCCTTCACGGCGATTGCTGAGTCCTGGGGGATCCGTGGGGGCTCTTCTCCACTCCGGGGCATGTATGGATTCGTCGAGTCCAGTCCATTCTGATGCATGGTGTCTATCCTGGTCGACGTTGCTCCTTTCCCGGTCTTCGTCCGTCCCCCTCCCGGAAGTGCATAGGCACGCGGTGATCCGCAGGGCAACTGGCCAACGCTTGTTGGGCTTCGTTCCTCGCCATAATCTTCACCGGGCATTCCCGGCTTGTAGGGCGATGCCCTTCGCCACAGTCGGCGCACTTCACTGGTGTTGCGTGGGCCCTTTGCTTTCGGACATCCTCACGAAAGGGTGCCCGCCGGCGCAGTGGCCGCATTTGCTTTCATTGGAGCAATGTGACTGGATATGCCCAGGTTTCTGGCATTTCCTGCACAATTTGATACGCCCCCCACGGCAGACCGTACTGCGTTGTGGATCTGACGTCCACACATGACTCCCGAGGCGATGGCGCGATTACTGGCCACGACTGGGCTGGTAACTTGATCAAGGTGGAGCCCTCCGCCCTCTCACCCGGGCAGGTCAGCCATCCAAGATATTAGTACTGGATCTTGGCGTTTTCAGCCCAGTTGTTCTGAGCTAGTAGCTCGTTCGCAACATTTGCCATCGTCTCGTCTGTTATTGAACAAGTGGTAAGGTGGTCCGTTTGGAAGGAAGATGCCAATGTACGCACATGCTGCGTTTGGCTGTCCTTGCGTTTGATTTCCTGGTCAACATTGGAGTGGACAACCTTTGGTTGGAATTCTAACCCGGGAAGGCCATGGCTACTACCTAGACTCTGAATATATGTCCTGTCAGGTGTTGGGACTATCATGTTTGTAACAGACGGGACTCCGCTAGCCGAGACACGGGAAACTGTCTCGGGTGCTCCCAAGAAAGTTGACTACCAAAGTGAATTCGACGGGCGACGGGATTAGTGGTGCTTTAGCTCTGTCTTTGGTCTTGGATACAGATCACACAGACGCTTTTTGCGGACCTCCTGTTGTAATCCCAGGGTTGGGAATCACGGTACGGGAGCGGTACGGAACGCTTGGCTTACGCGCGGTGATGATCGTTGTCTCGAAGCCATCGCCGTCAATGTAGCGGTCCCAGGTTCGAATGGCCTCCTTCATGGCCAGGCTCTTTCTCATGCACCGGGTAATTGAGCTTCGCTTCGTGCAGCCAGACTGCGCCAAACCGTACACCATCGAGACCGACGCTTCTGAGTGGGCGCTCGGTATGGCCCTCATGCAGGAGGGAGACGACGGGAAGCTTCATCCGGTCGCGTGCGACGGGCGCAAGCTGCACGGAGCGGACCTGAACTACCCAGTGCACGAGAAAGAGCTCCTGGCCATGAAGGAGGCCATTCGAACCTGGGACCGCTACATTGACGGCGATCGCTTCGAGGCAGCGATCATCACCGCTCGAGCGTAAGCCAAACGTTCCGTACCGCTCCGTACCGCGGGTGATTCCCAATCCTGGGATCACACTGTCATATCTGCAGATCAATGAGCGCGTGTTATATATAGTCCTATCTGGAAAGAACGTTTAAGTATGGTTGGAAGATACCTACCAGCGCGCATCAGGTAAAGGGAATTCGCACAGAGTGTCTGTTAACATCCATCTTATCTACAATTCTGTACCTCAGCCCTGAAGTGAAAGTAAATAAAAGCAAAGTACTACCTAGTCGAACCTAGCGGATAGGGCTAGGTTTTCATGGGAGGTTTCCGAGGGACTCTTCCATGCCGGGCTATGACCAACCTACCTGAAACCTTCTTGCCGGGCATAATTCCATGGATGTGTCGCAATATAACTACCTATGGACACGGGGTATGGACACCGTATGGTTGCTACATATACCTACCTACCGCCAAGACCATAGAAAATAGCCAAATTTTTGTTTACAAAGACAACGATTGCAGGTTCTCTTTACTCAAAGATCAATACTACTACGCACCGGCAATCTACTTCATGAAAATATCAAACTAGGTATTAATATTGAAGTTGGCTCTCTCCAGCTATGGCGAAGTCCGGCGGCCAAGCTTCTCACACGTGGGTATATCGTACGCGGGTCCGGAGATGAGACCCATACATTCCTGTGGATCGGGGCTATCGCTAGCGCCGAATGGCCCAGGGGAAGCTACTGTATGTACATAGTTGGCTACCAGTGCTGTACAGTAGAATGCACGTGGGGACAGTGTGGAGATAATGTACACAGTAGAAAGCATTCAACATACTACTGTGTAGCTATGTCACTGTTATTGCCGCTCGTCCGTGAGGTGTGCGGGTAATCAGTCGGGCTCAGGACGAGACATCCAAAAATCCAAAATCTTGGAAGAAATGTACAGGTCCGAAACAATACCGGAAAGGTGGGGATTTAAGCGATGAATCTACGGTGAGCTACTGAGCTGAATTCTTCGACCGCCATTTGGATGTGCGTTGAATAAACACTGTACCATAACGACGTGTAGGGCTTACGGGCATGGACTCGGTTGACAGGATAATAATGCGCTATGCCTCGGCTTGAAACAAATGTGACCGTCATTCCAAAACAGAGTCATATTCCGTATGCACCTAGTATATAAGGAAGCCCCCATGTTGTTGAGACCTGAACCAAAACATAAAGAATAATCTTCAGATCTTCCACCTCAGGCAGCGGCAAATCGATAGGCTTTAGGTCCAGAAACCGCCGTCATTTCCGCCCGTATTAAAATGTTGCCGCCCGGGACGACGATTTCATTAGCGCCACCCAGAGATCTCATCACATTCCCCTGAGGTGACGAACGCGAGTATTGTGTTTAACGATCCTTGTTCTATGCGATGGTTCCTTTGTCCTTCCCCGGAGTACACGAGCTTGGAAGGATTATGGGTGTAATGGGACCTAAGGTGGAGAAGACTTCCCCAAATAGGGCACAAGGCCGAGATACTCGGTGTCCACGGTGAGCACAAGAAAAAGAAAAGAGAAACGGGTGAGTTCGAGTGTTGACATTGATATTTATGAAATAGAGGTAAAGCTCAATGAAAAGTGCCAAAAAGAAAAGAAAGAAAGCTGGACGTGATATTGAAATGAGGCGAGTGATAACTAGCGTCGATGGACATGCAGCCGAGGGTATTCAAAGTTCAGCTTACTCCGTACCCTGTTTTGAATGCCCCAGGTTGAAACCTAAGGTTGGGAGGGAATTGCTCCTTTTTCTTTCAGAGGGGAGTGTGGGTATATCTAGATGGTAGAAAGAAGTGGCAAGTGCTTAGAATGTAATTGCAAGTGGGTGCAGACATGAATGGTGTAGAATGACTTGAAGTATAAAGAAGGTCAAGTATCAAGCCCAAGGCTAAAGAAGAAAGAGAGATGCGTCATGATCTCGGGTCGCACATGACGAGAGCTCGGGACGGCCGGATTTGTTTCAGTACTGTATGGTCATAGAAATACCATTGGGGGCCATCATCGCCCAAATGAACCAGTAACAATTGGTACTGGGATGTAATTTCCTGTCAAATCGCAGAAAAGATGGGCTTTACAGCGGGGGACCAAGGCGGTCTCTTCGTCTTTAACCAGTCAATCTCCTACAAAACTGCCCCATCCGCCCTTTTTCCTCGCTTTCTTCCCTCTGCCTCTTCTCGTTGGTTGCCCTCTTTCCAGTTCATCCTCCAATCGCACAGTATCATCGATACCCCCCCTTTATCATCTCATTGGTGAAACCCTGGCATAGCTACTTTATCGTTGTGGTAAGTTATACATCTCGCAGTCTACGTTATTGTTATTGCAATTGCTTTTCTTTGTCTGAATATTTATCTCAAATCACTTTTGCACGCATTCTTCCCAGTTTCTGTGTAAACACACGTCACAAAATCATTTCTACCCTCTTTCTATTACCCATTTGCAACGATTGTACCTGTTTTATACCTCTTGGTGTAACTCTTGGTACTGCTTGTACTTTGTCCTGCCTGATATTGCCTGATTATCCATACTTTCTGTGGTCGGGCCACGGAACTGGCCGGCTTGACATCACCCCCCGGTCGCGTACAGAACCACCGCCTTCCCTCTCGTTGGCACGATTCCTCAATCTCCCCCCCCCCTCTTCCCTCCCAAGGTCAAATCATCGTTCACCCTGGGATCCCTTGATTGCTTAGGATTGGAAAGTCACCCTATCGCGGAGATTATCCTAAATATCATTTCTCCCAGGCCGATTAAGGTAACCAACTAAGCTCCAATCCCACGTTGTGCGCGCTTTTGTCTATCTCGTGGCAAAACAACGCGTGCCAAAAACACTCTTTTATTTCACTGTCGCAACTTATCCTCTGGTCTCTCACTATCCCCTCTATCATTGGCTGATTTTTATCTCTTACACCCGATCGCGTTTTTTGTTTTTCTTGTTTTGTCTTTCGCCCAATCTGCGCGCGCGCGTCCTGACACTTTCATATCATCTTCCTCGTGGTTATCAAGTCGCCTCTAACATATGATTCCTAGTCGCGCAAGTTCATTCGCTCCTTGAGAAAAAGCCTTGCTGCTTTTTTCTCACTCAATCTGTCCTGCAGAAGTCGATCGACAAGGTATGTTCCCAGCTGCAGCTCACTTCCGCCTTGCCAACGCATACATTCTCCCCTCTCAGCCGTGGTCGGTCTAATCCGCCCCGGATTCCCAAACACCCCCACCTGAACACTGCGGAAGTGACAGCGCATTGGTCCTTGGTCCGTTGTATGGATTGGTTCAAAGATCTGAAATGCTAATGCCATCCCATAGTAGTCGGTGTGTGGAGCCCTAAAGGTGCAGTCTGACATCAACGCCTAGGCGTTATCTGTCGCAAGTCCAGACTTGTCAGCACCGCCCCAGGTTCTACGCTTGAGCTGGCAGAAACTTTGTCAGAATTGCGTGAATGAGGTAGTCTGCCAACCGTGCTTGAAATATACTGCGTAGCCTCCACACCAGGTTTGGCATCATCAGGTCATTTTGGCTTGACAACGCATCAAGCCGACGTCTAGTCGAGGGGTACCCCCGGCTTCACTGCATCGCAGCCCAACCACGTTACACCCGACAGTGGGCGTAAACGAACTTGCACAAAAGAGCCAAACCCCTCCGCGCGTTCGAGATTATTCTTGACACACAAGAGGTCGACGCGAGAGTTTCTGTTGGCGAAACACAGAACGATATTGGCTACTCACGACGCGTGACCTTCAATCTAAGGTACGTACCTGGTCCCTGTTGTGTTTCTTTCATACCCCCGCCCTCCAATCCAGTGACCGCCCGGTGATGCGCTTGCTGACGCGAAACCCCTAGCCCGCAGACCCTGTCATCGAATCAGCAGCCGCCTAGCCCAACGCTTGTGGTGGCTCCGTTTCTTATTGCGCGTTCCACGATATCGCGACAGGAAACTCTACCAAACAGACAACGCCTGTCAACTTTTGATACCTTGACTCCTCCCACGGCGGTTTTAATTTAGAACATCTGATTGGTGACCTTAATTTTATTGAGTCGCTCAATCCGGTACCATCCCCTGAACCGGACCCTCAGCCCCTAGTGTGACAAGATCCACCGCCACAGGTCGACGACATGGAGTACCCCCTCAATATCAACAGCCTCATGGGCAACATCCCCATGCTTCCTCTCATATCCCCGGTCCATATCAAACCGGGCCACCAAACGCCGGTGCTCCTGTCGGGTCGATGGCATCGCCTACCAACGCCCAGGCACCCATCCAGCCCCACACCGCTCACCAAACATCTCCCATCGTTCCGTCGCAACCTCACTATCAGCAAGCACAAAATGGCCCCGGCGCGGTTCATCAACAAATGAACTTCCCCCAGGGTTATGGTGTCCCTGCCGCGATGCCTCAGGGCTACGGTATCTCACCGACGCAGGCAGCCGCGATGGCTACCGCGGCTGCGTCGGGCCAGTTCTATCCCCTTCACCAAGACTCCATGGGTGGCCAGATGACACAGGGATCCCGAGCGTCGCCGCGCATGGCGAACATGCAAATGAAACATGACCGCGACCCCCGCTCGCCATCGCAGATGCAAAATCAGATGCCCCCGATGGGATCTCAGGTTCAGATGCCACCTAACCAGCAACTCCCACAACGTCGGATGAGCCACGCCGGAAGCCCCAATGTCCAGAATGCACAGGCCGGAATGAGTCAAGTCGGACGACCCCCGATCGCCGCCCCAATGGCCCAGCCATCGGTACAACAGAACCAGCCCTCGCCGGATATGGTTCCCGGAAGCAACCAAGAGGAGTCGCCGCTGTACGTCAATGCCAAGCAGTTCCACCGAATTCTGAAGCGTCGCGTAGCGCGGCAAAAGCTTGAGGAGCAGCTGCGGTTGACCTCCAAGGGCCGCAAGCCTTACCTGCACGAGTCAAGACACAACCATGCCATGCGAAGACCTCGTGGACCTGGTGGGCGATTCCTGACGGCTGATGAAGTGGCTGCTATGGAGAAACGAGCAGAGGTAACGGGCCAACCTGTGACCTTTGAGGACCTCAGCAAACCATTGCCCACAGAGAACGGTGGTGGACAGAAGCGCAAGTCTAGTGAAGCCAACGACGATGGCGCAAGCTCTTCCAAGAAGACAAAGGTCAACGCTAGCGCCGATGGAAGTGAAGGGGATTCCGCCGAGGCCTCAGACGAGGATGGTTGATCGCCCTTGTTTTCTCCCCCTGTCGCCAACAACAAGCCGAAGAATTTGGTCGTGAACACCGCGCCACGTCCTGTTGAGGCGATTTGCGGTATTGAATTTCTTATGTTTCTTTCTTTTGTCGTCACGGCTTTATGGATGGATGTCTTGGACCTTTTCTCTAGCGAGCGATGTGTATGGATTCCCTGTTCCTGTGCTCTATGCCCTGTCTGTTATCTGATCTTACCCCCGTCCATTCGCACAGGGCTGATGTTTGTTTATATCTGCTATGCTGGGACGATTTTTTTTCTTTCTTCATTCCCCCTCTTGCCTATTTCTTCCTCGTATTCCCCTTCTCACGGTAACTCCTCAAGTGAGATGCCTTGTACAAGAATAACCGTTCCGAGCATGTGCACTACTCACTCCGTCAGGTGGCCCGCGGGACTGATATAGCACACTTTGCTTGAACCTGCAGAAATTCATCCACAACTGTGACCTGTATATCACCTCATAGCCCTCTGCAGTGTCTACATATCAGTCCTGGTCGAGATCACTACCATCATACCTCTACACTCTCGATGAACATGCTGCTGATTACCTTATTGTCATTCTTCTTCTCATGCATCGCTATCTCATTGATTTATTATCCCCTATTTCTTATTTGCTTCGGTGTCTCGTGTTGTGGGGTTTGGGTCTCCGGCTGGGGATATTAGAGAGGGTCTCCATCACTGGAAAAACAGATCGGGATATCGGTTTTCGAAAGACTGATTTGTGTTATGAATATCATTTGCAATTTGAACTTTTCTATTTTGTTCCTACTGACAAATATTTGGTTAGTTACTTTGGTTCGTGTTTTTTTGCATCTGGAGGATGGAATGGATTGTAGGTCTTGGAATATATGGACATAGTAGGTATACTGTTGATTGTATGTGCTGTGTTTTTTTTTCCTAGGTAGCATTGCCTATTCATGTGGGCTAGCAGTACCTCCATTAGGTATTTGCCAGGATATTCGTAGATATTGTCCGCATCTGTAACGTCGCACGGCGGAAATAAGATGCCTTGATCCTCACTGGCGCGTATGATGAGTGGGCCACGTCCATGTGGATCAGGGCGCTTTGGTGGGAGATATCAATCCTCTATTCGCTGAGAACTATGTTATAGGCCCCGCTCATATCGATGGACATTGTATGGCCCTTTACAAGCCTAATAGAAAATGAGAAGCCACTGGCACTGACAAAACGACTTGTCCACGTGATGGTCATGATATGCAAATCCTACTTATGTACATTTGTTGAGCCCAGCCTGCCACAAACAGTGGGTATGTGATCACTTGAGCAATGGGCAGGTGCTGGGTCCACAGTTGGCGAGAATCGTTCGTTCGGGGTGGTACAGCATCGCAGTCTCTTTGTTGATGAAAGCTGGATTTTGGTTCGACGGGATAGTTGAGAGGGATGGGGTGAGGCGTGACAAACAGGGAAGGAGATTGAATGAATGAGCAAAGAGGTTTATCCCGTGTGATGAAGTGAAGCGATGCAATAGATCTGGCGGTCGATTGCGGGACAAATGAGAGAAAGCGGGTTCATGTTTTTGGTGCTGCGGGTCTCATCCTGGGACTCTTAAGTGTGTTGGATGACTCCCCATGGAAACCTTCCAATCGGCTTGGGGAGAGGAGCAGAAGTTCAACGCAAGTCGCACCAGCGTGGGGCTTGAAGAGGGTGGCAGCTGAAGTGGTGATATCAGCACTGAGTTTCGTGGCACGGAAGCCTTCACATATCAGATGACGGTGCCTCTGGCGGCTAGTGACAATTTCCTCCATCGATTTGTCTCGAAGACCACCGACAATGGTTCTGGACTGCGTCTGCTCTCATACAGCCTCCCAATCCATGGCATCGACCATGAATTCCCAGTCCGCCTCGGTGTCTGCCCCTTGTCCATTGACATCGTCTGGACGAATGCACTTATCAACATGTTCCTTTGCACGAACATATGACTCCTCCAGACCACCGAAGATGTCGGATATGATACTCTCAAAATCAAAGCTGGCAAGCGTCACAATATCCTTTCTTTCGCCTTGCCTTTCTCTCTCTTCGGTCGTCAGATCGGCAGTCTTCCATCTATTACGCAGCTCCTTTGCCCTTTGCAACTGCAGAAAGACATTTCCCCCACCCAAGATTGGGGACAGTGGAGTAGACTGCTCCCTCAACGCCTCCAGCACATTGGCATGATATCGATGAACGACACCATTCCCATTACCCGGACCTCGACGCGAAGACGTGACCGAAATATTGAACACAGCCAACAAATGCACGATCGCCCGCTCAAGCAGAGCATAGTACTCATGGAAATCAATTTTGAACATAATTTCCGCGTGCGCGACCTGCTCCGCCGACACGAACTCCCCGACTTCAAGCGTCGCGAGCCGATACCCCTCAGCTAGAAAAGGCAATTTCCATCGCAGTCTAACGACAATTTTCATAAAGCGCGCCAACTCCTCCGCTGGCGGTAACAAACGGCCATCTTGTGGTGTGATAGTCGCCGGGCGGATGCTGCTGTTACCGCGCGCATAGGAGGGGGAGATATTGGGCGTCCGGGGCCTACGAGGAGTTTGACCCTGTGGAGACCTCTGTCGCTGTGTTTCGTTTGCACCGGGTGCCCAGCGCGAGCTGAGCAGACCCGACATGGTTTGATCGCAGGTGAACTGCGACGCGCTTTGCTGTGTGGTTGTGGTGGGTGTGGTTCTGGTGGGCCAATGAGCGGTCGGAAGGGACGATGGAGTACCTACGGATCTCGAGCGCTTGCGCGAAAGACTTCATTTGGAGCTACTTGTGGGGAGAAGGCGGAGTGTATATGAGGTCATTTCAGTTCATTTTGTTCTTGTATGTGTCTGTGTATTGTAGATTTGAGTCAGTACCTAGGATATCTAATACCGTGTCTACTGTTGTTGCCTTCCCTCGCTCACTCTGATCCTGTGTTTTATGCCTGTCGTGCGGCACTCGTGCCAGCAGATTCTAGGCTTCCCCTGAGACTCATGCATGGCCAAATGGGATCTATCACTTGGTTTGCTACATAGTGCTAGTGACGCGCCGGGATGTTCACGCCAGACGGATGTTCACAGAAAATCTGTCAAAGAGAGCGAGACAGGGAGATGGAAACAGTTTGTACGTAGTTAGACCCGGCGGTGAGTAGCACAACGCCGAAGCAGACATCCATGAGGAATCGGTCGATCAAAACTGACGCGTCTAATCCTCCTAGCAGTTGCGCTGGACTGTTGTCAGGACCAGAACAGTAACTACCTTGCTGGCAACGACGTCTCGTCACTTCATAACTCGCACAAATTATCCAACACTTTCCTCCCTCTTCTCGTAAATCCCGTCAGATTTCATTTCAGACTTAACTTCCAGTTTCCAGGAACCGTGCCGGATTAGGGCCATCGATTGCTATCTGGACTGTTCCTGAGTCCTGAGTCCTGACACCAATTACTGCGTAATCAACACGACTGGTGGTCAAGTCACGTGATATCAACGCCATACTATTCTGGGACTAGCTCCCAGCTGTCTCCAGCTTCATCTCGCCCCGGACGGTGCTTCTCCTCACCATCAACCGTCGTCGTCTTCTGCTCGAGGCTTCTTGTAGGTGGCCCTCTTCTTTCTTCTTTTTTCGCTTTCTGTTTTCTCTTTGGCTTTGTACCTTTTCCCATCTCTTTTGATACAAGCCTCCGCTCTCCTGATCCTGCATTCCAATCCCCTGCTTCATCTTCTTTTCTGAGCCATGACGCCAGCTGCGCATTGCCGGACTTTGTCTGCTATCTTTCTTCGGACGCATAGCAGCATTGGCCTTGGCTAGCAGTCTTCTTCATATCTCTTTGCCATCCTAAACCACCTGCTGCAACCATGTTCCAGATCCCTGCCAAGTCCTGGGGTCGACATGTCGCCAGAAGCAGTGTGTCCTTGTCTCTCTCTTTGCCCCAAATTCCTCTGTTATTTTCTCGTGGCTTTTTCAGCCCCACCATCGCTAGTTCGCTCTATCACGTTGCTTGGTCTTGATGTTGACGATATCGAATCTTAGCTCATCACGCTGTTCCCACCTACCTGACCGTCGCAGACTGTCCCAGCCTCGCTTTACTCACCTGGGTTGATTGAGGCCCATCGATACGCTCATCGCAGCGCGGGCTGTAGAAGTTATCAATACCGGAAGTTTCAGAACAATGGATTCCTACGATGGATATGGATCTCCCGGAAGGAGCCGTGAGTCGGACTCCTTCGCGGGACGGGGTACAGGGGATTCGTACAGACGTCGTTCGCCAAGTGAGATCACAATCGCATCCCGTTTGAGAGGGGCGACAAAGACTGACTTTCAACCAGCCTCTCAGGACCGGCGACGGGCACGACCGCGTTCGCGCTCGCCCGTGATCGACCGCTACGAGCCTTCGGATCGCCGTTCCCATCGTGAAGATTTCTACAACAGCTCTCGAGATTATGCTGCCCGAGAGCGCGAGGACCGCCGACGTGCCCCTTCGCCGACTGTGGCTAATATCGACCGCTACGTGCCCGGGCAAGAGGGTGGCGGTGGCAAGCGACCTGATATCGTCAACCAGCTGCCTGATCCTCTCGATCTTGATTATCAGGTTGGCTTCAACTTTTTCGCCGAGTGGTGGAGGTTGGAGGCATCTGTAAACGAGGAAAAGGAGCGTGCCAAGAATGGCGGTCGTCGAGTGAAGGGAGAACGTGAGGCGCGCGAGGATCGCGAGAAAGAACGCGCACAAATCCAGGCTGCCTACGACCAATACAAAATCAATCTACAGATCCGTCTAGCCAGGCAATTCGTCCAGCAACACCGGAACGAAGAATGGTTCAAAGAACGATATGTTTCCGAGGTCAGGGATCCTCTCCGCCAGCGCATCATGGCGGTCCGACAAGGTGCATATGAGCAATGGCAACGCGACATCGAAAACAACCTCTTCAAAGACTTCACCCTGGAAGGCATCTACAAAAGCGACAGCGACGGTGCCGGTGGGGTCATCGAAAAGGAGGAAGGCGAGACCACAGCTGCCGCCGATACCATGGGCGTGCTTGATCTGCTTCCCGTCCGTGGTGGAGATCTACGTGATGACGCTCTGTCACAGCCAGCTTTGCTGATCAAGACTCTTGCACCAAATGTCAGCCGCAGCAAGATTGAGGACTTCTGCAAGGAGCACCTCGGCGAAGATCATGGAGGCTTCAAAGGGCTGAGCCTCAGCGATCCCAACCCCTCAAAGAAGTTCCACCGCATGGGATGGATCATGCTGCATCCTTCCGAAAATACCAGCACTGTTGAGCGGGGAGACGGGCGTGATGAAGAGGTCGAGAATATGGATCAAGATGGAGCGCCGAACGGAGCCGCCTCAACCAGCCCGGCTGAGAAAGCTCTTGAGGCTGTCAATGACAAAACAATCTACGACTCTGTCCACGGCGACTTTGTATGCCACGTGGGAATCCATGTTCCCCCTGCTCAACCGCGCAAGAAGGCTCTGTGGGATTTGTTTTCAGCACCCGAGCGAATTGAGCGTGACCTCGAGTTGGCTAAGCGACTGGTCTCCAAGCTGGACGCCGAGATGGATCCCAATGTGGATGGCTTTGGCAAAATTGAAGAATACGTGGACGATCTGCGCGGGAAAGGCGAGCTTCAGCTTCCCGTTACAGGACCCGTCAGTGCTAAGAAGCAAAATAACGGGCACGGCGACGAAGGAGAGGACGAGGGAGAGGTCGAAGAGGGCGAAGAGAAGGAAACTTTCGAAGACGATGATGTCGATGATGAAGAACTTGTGGCCAAGAAGAAGAGGTTGGACCTAGCTGTCGAATATCTGCGACGTGTTTACAACTTCTGCTTCTTCTGTGTCTTCGAAAGCGACTCTGTTCACGAGCTTGGCCGCAAATGTCCCGGTGGACACCTTCGTCGGCCTCGTGCCGGTCTCTCCCGCCAGGCCAAGGAAGTGGCCCGAGCCAGCGCTTTCGGCCAGCCATTCCCGGCCAAGAAGAAGGAGGCTAGCGAGGAAGGAGAAGAACCGTCCTCGCCGGTGCAGGAAAAGCGCGGCGCGCGTCACGGTTCTAAGGCCGAGCAACAGCTGCAGCGTGCTTTCAATTGGGTGAAGACATTTGAAGACAAGTTGCTGCAGATTTTGGAACCTGAGAACGCTGACCTTGCCAAACTCGGCGGCAAGCCCGTCGAAGAGGCTCTTGAGGATGAACTGCGCAAGTACATGAAGCGGGAGGATGATTCAAAGTATCGCTGCAAGGCTCCTCAGTGCACTAAGCTTTTCAAGGCCGAAGAGTTCTGGCGTAAGCACGTGGAGAAACGTCATACGGAGTGGTTCGAGAACATCAAGAAAGATGTGAGTTTGCCTAGCTTGGTTTATATCTTCAAACTATGTTTCAGTTCTAACGATTGTTACAGCTCGCCCTTGTGAATGCTTATGTCCTAGACCCAGCTCGCATTGCCCCTTCCCGATCCGATGCGAACAGCAACGGTCACTTCCCTATTGGCTCCGGACAAGGTCACACTGGTACTCCTCGTGGTTTCAGTCTTAACATGCCCTACGGGGCCCATGGCAACATGCCTACTTTCCCGGCGGGTGCGATGCCCGGTATGATGGGTGCGCACGCTGGCAACTGGACTGGAATGGGGCATGACGGTTTGCACCAACCGGGACCCATGCGCCGTGGCCCGCACCGCAACAACCGACCCGGTCCATATGACCGTCGCCGATTCAACGGCGCCGGCCGACTGAGCCCTCCTCGCGGCATGCCCGGCATGTATGCAGGTGGTCGTGGTCCGCCAGCTGGCATCAGCGTTCCCGCCGGCCATCCTGCTGCCGGAATGGTCTCCAACCCGTTCCCGGACTCCTCTAACGGTGGCCCCATGGCGCCTCGCGAGGCCGTCCAGGGTCGCAGTCTGAAGAGCTACGAGGACCTGGATGCAGTCGACACGTCTGGTAGTGGCGAGCTGCAGTATTAGTCCTGTTCGTGGGTCAATATTTTGTTTGTGATACTTTTATTTCTCTTCTCATTGTTACTTCTTTCCTCCAATTGGCGACTGGCGCATTCGGAGGGACTACTGGAGAAGGATTTAACTCCGGCTTGACTGATTTGTTGACCTGAATTTCCATTGATATTTGCTCGTGAAAACATACTACTTACTTCCAGTCTCCTTTTGTCCATTGCTATCATTCCAACCAGATCACCAGCTCATCTTTTCTTTTCTTTTCAAATGTACACTAACCATCATTCTATCAATGAAAAGAATTGAATCTCAAGATAAAACATATTACATTGCAATGCGTATGGGGTATGAATGAGCTAAACTAGACCAAGCCAAATATCCTACAGATTCCCCAGACACCGAAAACACCATCACCTACGGCATCTGTATGACAACCTCTTCACTCGCATCCCTCCACTGAACCCCCAACCCCCGAATCCGCCTTTCACTAGCCAAAAAGAGCAAGAGATACATATGCATCGCAATCTCACCCCACGCATAAACCTTGAGAGAAAGGTGTGTAACAGTCTCACGTACCTCCTCCTTCTCAAGAATACACCACACACCCCATCCCGCCCGGCCATCTTTACCAACGAAGTCCTGCAGGAAAGACCAGAAAGCGCCAAACAGCTGGGCCGGCCAAACGTGACTTTCTTCCTCTGCTTTTGGCTGATTCGGGGTAGGATCGGTAGATCCTGGCCTGGTGGCCCCGGCTGATACTCGGTCATGATCATGGAAGTCATGGGATGGTGTGGCAATGGCGAAGCGCACGAGCCAGTACCCACGCTCTAGTGGGTCGAGGGTGCGGGATTGGTGGGAGGGTTTGTAGGTGCGTGCTGGTTTTAGGCGTTCGGCGAGCATGGCTAGAGTCGGGGTTATGTGGGTTGTGAAGGTTGAGGTGGAGATTGGTGGTTTTGGGGGGTGGATTTGGAGGGGGAGGGTTGTTAGGTTGATTAGATTGGGGATGGAGGTAGGAGCAGTAGGAGCAGTAGGAGCAGGACTGGCAGTGGTAGCAGGAGTGGCAGTGGTAGCAGGAGGAGGTGGAGGTAAATTATTGATTTCCAACTCTAACTCGGGATTTGAGCTAGGAATGGAGATGGGCTTGGTAGGTTCCTGGCCATGAACGGGGTTCATCGTGCGTGCTGCCTCGGGCTGGACCGATGCAGACGAGTCGGAGATAGTAACACGGTGAATTGAATCATGGCGATCAGGAGAGGAAAGCGCCGTCCGACGCCGTTTATGGCGTCGATCATCCTGCAACTCAGGCGATAGTGTCGCGCGATATGAGGCAGCGCGGACTAGCTCGTGGCCGATCTCTGGCTGGGAGTCTGGAATGACGCTTATGGGACTTTCTAGGGAGTCCGGGATAGAGGAGATTCGATGCTCGATGATCTGCCCTCGCAGCTGCGGGTCCGTTTGCGAACGGGTGTGAGGGTCTGAAGGCAATCTCTCTCCTTCGGGCCGGGGCGCCTCCCGCAATATTGGCGAGGGCACCTCGTGTTGGGGCGTTGGGAGTGAATGATGCGGATGCAGCGCATCAGCGGAGAAGGGATGCGCGTGATGATCTGGATGGGGATCCGCTTGATCTGGATCTGAGTCCAGGTCCAATGAAGTGTGGATTAATTGTTGACGCGAGGCAGATTGGAACTGTAAGATAGCAGCGACTTGGGCGCGATAGCGCGCATCATCGTGGGCAGTGCTTGGTGCGGCGATGTGGACTAGAATTTCGGTTCCAGGCTTCGAGTCCATGGCTTTGTTTTTTCATTGGTCTGGCCCCATTGTGATATTGGTTATGCATAAGGGAGCAAGAGCGACGATCTCTGATATTTGTCAATGAGATGGAGGGGAAGAACTATTGGACGCGAGGCCACGGGATGATTGGCCGGTGCTTTCGACTGATCACACCAGCCTCGCACGTACCTGGTACTTGTGAGGTACTTAAGTTTTAGTGGGGATATAGCGGTAGTCTCAGGTACCGTCTATGTTTCAGATGTTGGGGCGTATTCATGACCTCAGATTTTGTCAAGTACGCAGTACGCTGCCACAATTTCTATTCTAGCTGATGTTCACTATGTTGTAAGTATCCGCCTCTTTTCTACAATATGTAGACTGTCCAGTACTGCGTACTGTGGCAGTGATACGCCGTAAAGTCTCGCCCGTTGGAAGTGGAGCCGATCGGAAGTTAGAATGTATCACGTGACTATCATGTCCACCGGATCTCGTAATGGTAATACCGTACTTTTGGCTGGATCAAGATAGACTTCCTACACAAATACTTGAGAGATGCAGAAGAGAGCACAAGTGTAATACAAGGGAAACTTGGTCTCATCACATCCACTTTCTTTCCTCCATATTTCTTCCCTACCTTATATTCTGCATTATAACCCCCTGGACTTCTCCTATTCTTTACTCCCTCTCATCCTCATTCCGAACTTAAACCTTCTTCCCTTGCCTCTCCCTTCCCGACGATCGCAAAACTCTCCAGAATGGCAGTCAGTGGCGGGGTGTACCCAATGGACCACGCAATGGGACAATATTCTGGTGAGTTCAATGTCTGATTCACTGGTCGAGTCCTCTGAGTTTCGACTGGCATCACAATCTGCTTCTGGGCCACGGGGGCCGTGTGTTCGACGCGGGGAACCATTTCTACACCGACAGCTCCACGACGCAACAAAATCGCTGCATGATGGTCGGGAGCGAATGGACACTTGCAATGGGCCTCTGCTGGTCGTGATGGAGCTGGAGAAGCTTGGGGTTCGGGAGTCAACGCCACGAACCGGGGTTCCCCGGTTCTCGCCACCATGGAAGCCCTACCCCGACATATCGGCCCCGGATGCCCACCAACCCAGAAGCAGATGCTCGTTATGTGAAAAGAAACTTCTCAACGTTTCAAGTCGCTAACTTTATTGCGCCGATGGCTCTCCGGCTCGGCCCACGGCCCCGGAGTGCACGGTGCAGGTCGCCAGAAGAACCTCAGACCCCTACAAACAAAGGTTTCGGATCGGAAATTCTCAAGATATTTGGTGGCGGCGGTAGTGGTAGCGCCCCTGCCGGTGGGCTGAAGAAGATGACGCGAGGTGAGTGGACCCAGTCCCTCGATTGGAACATAGCTCAGATTTTCCCCAGATGGACAACAGCCCAAACGTCGCGGCCCGAAGCCGGATAGCAAGCCTGCACTCACCAGGCGACAGGAACTCAATCGACAGGCCCAGAGGTAGCCACCCGCGGATCTTATGATGGATGGTCTGGGCTAACCCACGCAGGACACATCGTGAGCGGAAGGAACAATATATGAGATCACTGGAGACCGAAGTATCACGGTTACGGGAGGCCTACACCACTGAGATCGCTGAGGCCACCGCAACGATTCGGCAACACAAGGAGATGATGCATGCAATCCGGGAGGAGAACGATATTCTGAGGGAAATCCTCGTCGCCCACGGAATCCAATACGAAGTGGATCTGGAGCGCCGCCGGGCGGAACGCCCACCCATGGCGTTCCAATCAAGCCCCGTTACTGTCACTGGTAGCAGCACTGCGTCTCATACTGCCCCTCTCACCCACTCAGGCAGCAATCACAATACGACACCTGCGACGACCATCTCGTCCGGCATGAGTCCGCTCGGCAATGGTATGGATCACTCCGACGTGTCACCTTCGATGGGGTATATTCCGCAGCAACAAGTGTACCAGACGGGCGCAGGCGAGCACCCCATGAGCATGGATCATTCATCATGCGCACCAGTCGATAGCATGCAACCCATGCCGGCTGTGCGCGGAGGAGTCTTTGAGAAAGATCCACAGCTGCAGGTTGACTTCATCTTAACGTAAGTTCCCACCCAGTCCGAACCAGCAGCATATACACGAGCTCAAACTAACTCATTTACAGACTCGAAGGCCCATGCCGCGAACACACGGACTACCTCTGTCGACGCTCGATCACCGAGGCCGATGACGAGGACATGCCGTTCTCCGGGCACGCCCTGATGGCAACCTGCCCTCCACCCAGCTATCTCGCGAAGACAACACCCGAACAACCATACCCGCACAAGGCACCAGACCTCCCGCACGCAAATCTCAGCACACTCCTAAATCTCAGCCGACAGCTCGTGACAGAAGGCCAGATTACACCCATCATGGCACTACAATGTCTAAAGAATCACGAGCTGTACCCGACATTGAGCCGCGATGACGTCAAAATCATCATCGACACACTCAACACCAAAGTCCGCTGCTACGGCTTCGGCGCCGTGGTCGAGGACTTCGAGTTGATGGATTGTCTGAGCAGCGTACTCGGTACGAAGGTCGATCTCGGCATGTCTAGAGCCGACGAGTCGATGTATGGCTGAGCGTGGGGAAATCTCTCGTAACGAAAACGATTATGATTGATGTATGGAATCTTTTATCTTTTGCTTTGTTCAGTGCTGGCTACCGCCACGGAGTAATTGGCGTTCTGCTTGCTCTGTCTGGCCTTCAGCTTTGATTGTGCCTCTTCTTCTTTTTCCCTTTTTACAGGTTTTTTCGTTTCCTTCCAATTTGCTTCTATTCTGTTATTCTATCTGACTTCTTCTTCTTCTCATCCCGTCTCTTCGAGCCTCCGTCGAGGTTGTATATATGTGAAAACTGCGTGCGCAGGTGGAGTGTATACGCCGGGATTTTCTCTTTCTTCGTGGACAAGGGGCACCAATCATATATTGCTTTCCAACCTATGTTGCTTTCAACAGCTGGGATTTTGCCAATCTAGATATAGATATCTTTACCCGACCGAACCTCGGCCGTATCCAAGCCGATGCCGTCCGCATATATCAGTATCTGAGACAACTCACCTTCTTCATACCTAAGTGCCAGCATATTTGCGCCAATTCTCGGCAACCTTCAGACGCGAGCTGTGGTTGTCGCGTTTAGAGTATATGCTGTTAGGCCCAAGTACTCATATCCCTATCACTAGCACCAGTGATGGCATTATGACCATGTTATTATTGAAAGTAGACATGCTCGTCTTCCCCACTGGGAAGCCCAGGTGAGTTCCCATGGGCTGGCGAGGTTATTCGATGGTGATGAAGTTGATAAAACGAGAGCAAAGGAGTGGACCAGTATGTTGAAGCTAAAGCTGAGGAGAGTTGAAAAAGAGAGCAAAGCGGTATATACCGTGATCATGGCAGTATCGTTATCGATAAAGGCCTCCAAAATGGGAAAACCAAACATGAAGCACGTGTTCTCCATAGTTCATCTTGTCAACAACTCTCCTCAGCGTTAGCTCACTGCCTTGCTCTCCTTTTATCAACTTCATCACCATGAGACAACATCACCAGCCCATCGGAACTCACCTGGGCCTCCCAGTGGGGAAGACGAGCATGTCTTCTCGCAATAATAACCTGGTCGTAATACCCATCACTGCTGCTAGTGATGGGGATATATGAGTCCTTGGCCTAACAGCCCATACTCTAAACGCGACGACCACAGCTGGCGTCAGAAGCTTGGGGAGAATTGGCTCAAAGTTGCGGGCACTTATGAAGAAGGGGGGTTGTTTGAGGAAGAAGGTGAGTTCTCTCAGATGTGCTCTGATATAATAAGTTATTGAGCATGTTCTTGTCGTTTGCTATTTGCGTTTGCTTGTTATGCGCATTGTTACGCGCACACACGGTTCCTGCGGCTTACGCTCTGTCCGGCTGTTGTGTCGTCGGTCGAGCTTTGCCACCAAACCGTAGAATCGCCTCCAAAACAGCAACCCGAGATCATGTTGGTAGCCGCATATATACTGTGCATGAAGACGGCGCATGATCGGGACCTAAGATACGGGCAGTCATGGTACTCGAGATGTTGTTAGGTTGTCTTCCGTCGAAGATATGTACGAAACGGATCACTTCTGAAATTAGGGTAACATCCATGGCATTTTTTTTCACCATATCTGTGCTACCGTCAACCCCGATCCATGCACATGGAAGTCGGTTGGACTAAAGCGTCACGTTACTATAGCCACCGGTGGAGTCTACTGGGCTCTATGAGCGTCGTACATAGGCGAGACTGAGAGGCAAGGACTCCTCAAAAACATTATCAATCCGACTCTATAGCCGCGAGTATAAAAGCATCAAATTTTAGGTAAGAAACGTATGCACATCCACAAGTAAGGAACATAAGTCATAAGGTTCAAGAAAAATCTACTCCTCCGCCTCATCGTTCTCCTCCTCCCGCTCCTCGAGCTCAGCCTCCTCATCCTCCTCGAAGGTAGTAGGAGGAACGCTGTACAGACGCAGGATGGACTTGTTAGGGTCCTTGATGAGAACGTACTTCTTGAGCTTGTCAGCGGGCTCATCGGAGTCAAGAGCGCGAATGCGGTCGACAATCGTGCGGACGATACCCCAACCGTTTCCAAGGTTCAGGTTCATCTGGCTAGCGAACTCGCGGGGTTTGTAGCCGGCAACGCCGAGGACGACGTGCGAGGCAGGGGAGCGGGGATTGACACGGGAGACGAAGCCGAGCTTCATGCCGTCGGCCTTGGCGAGGATGGCCTGGGTAGTCCAACGGGCGAGCTTGGCGGAGTTGTTCTTCATCTCAGTAGCGAGGACGGCACCACGCTGAGAGTTGAGCTTGGTGCGCCAGTCGAGGGCACCGCCGGAACCCTGGGCCTTGGGGTCGAACTCGTTGAGAGCCTTGATGACGAGTTGCTGGTCCTCGCCGCCGGTGGGGCCGCCCTTCATGACGGCGTCGACCTCGGTACGGACGATCATGGAGACGGGCTCCTCGTCGCGCTCGAGGGAGATGTCGAAGCGGCGGTACTTGTAACCCTTGGAGGCGAGGGGCTCGGTCTCCTCGGTCTCGTCGTAGAAGGGGTTGGGCTTGGAGAAGTTGACCTTGGACTTCTCCGACTCGATCAGGGTCTGCAGGGCGAAGTTGTGGTTGATGATGGTGGCCTCCATGGCGAGGGCGTTGGGGGTGTTGATCTGGTCCTGCTTGCCGGCGGCCTCGGCGGCCTCGAGGGGCGCATCGATGGCGTTCTCGTTAACGCTGACCATGTCGAAGGAGGCGCCGTCGCGCTTGTCGAAGTAGATCTTGTCGCCCTGGTGGACGATGACGATGTCCCAGGAGTAGACGCTGCGAGTGGCGCACATCAGCATGGAGAGGATATCGGAGGTAGCAAAGACGGTAGCGGCATTCTTCTCAGCCAGCTCGTTGATGACGGGATCCTGGGAGGTGGTGACGTTGTAGGCGGCACGGTCGAGGGCCTGGATTTTGCGTTCAGCGTTCTTGACGGGGGGCTTGTCGTAGGACTTGTCGTAGTAGTGGAGGAAACCGTAGGTCTCGAGGTCCTCGCCCTCGGGGGCATCCAGGTTCAGCTTAGACAGACGGGTGAAGTCGACCTCCTCAAGCATTTGCCAGTCGGGACGAATGTTGACAGAAGCCTCACGGATGCGCTGGGGCTTGTCGTAATCTCTCCAGCCGAAACGGCGACCACCACGGCCACCACGAGCACCGCCACGGTCGGGGTAGTTGTAACCAGTCTGCTGAGCACGGCTAACAGGGCCAGCACGCTGGAAGCCACCACGGCCACCACGCTGGTTGGCGGCACCACGCTGACCACCACGGCCACGGAAAACGGTGCCACCGCCACGGCCGAAAGTGCGCTTCTGGACACGGGTGTTATCGACGACGGAGAACGAGGACTCGTCTTCAGCGGCTGCGACAGTGAACAGGTTGGAGGATCCGGCGCCGTACACCTGCTGGTCTGTTCATAATTGTTAGCGATTGTCTTTGACAGCAGTTGGGAGGGGCAGAGAAAAAGCAGACGAAAGAAAGCCGACATACCTCTAAAGCCACGGTTGTACTGAGGACGCTGGTTTTGACGGTCCTTGGTCTCAGCAGTCCAGTCGGCCATGCGGCCGAGCTTGTCGCCCTTGGAGAAAGGAGCGTATGGCACTCCGGCGAGCATGTTGTTGGCAGAGGTGGAGGGGCCCCAGGAGTCCTCCGCGGGGGAGGGCGGCCACCAGGTCGGCGAGAGAAGTGGAAGGCATTTTTATGATGATCTAAAAGCAGATTGCGCTGGGCAAGTGCTCAAAAATCAAAAAGGTAGAGGGGTTGGTTGATCGATAACCCCGTGGAATGTGGTGTGGATTAATTGAGGCGGGAAGTTTTTTTGTGTCGCGAGGCGTGTGGCGGTGCGAACAAAGAGCACCGCCACATACACACTGTGGTATACACCGCCACATGACCACCAGCCAAGAGGTCACTGACTTCGTCGTTTTGCATCTTCGTCCTGCCATGACCGGGGTAGAAACTTCTACCAGGATATTAAATTGGACGAAAGGATTTATTGCCAACACTTAACCCTGATCATTGTTGATTATGGCCAAGGTTAACGCATCATATCCTGGTCCCGAGGTCGCCATGAGAATGTCTTGTCTCCTCATGTCTCTCGGCACAGCGTCGGAATGATATCGAATTGTTGACAATTGAATACTACGAGAGGCTGATTACTGATTAGAGATGGTGGTCTCAATTTTGAGGTTCTGGGCAAAGCCAAGGTACGAGCTGCGGCGATATCTGCTTCTACACAGGAAGCTTGGCTCCAATCCCTTCACACGTAGTCTTTCCGAGGTTCACTTATCGAGATCGGCCATGAACCATGCCTACAATCAGAGGAAGCTCTCGGTAGCAACGGGCACCCGATTAACTAGCTCCCAGGTCGAGGTATACCAAGTTCTTGGGACCGCGACAATGCCATCTCCGTCGTGTCGGGCTTCATCGTGCAATCACCGGCGTACGGCTTATCTCGGATGTCCCGATTTAGTAAAATTGGACACCCCACGGTTTACCGCAAGAGGCGCTCAGAGCGAGAATGATATCTTGACGTGCATAAAACTTACATGCACCCGAGGCAGCCGAGATTATGCATTATGACAGTGTATATTTGGTTTGAGAATCATGTATCAATTGACTTTCTGCTGGTGGATAGTTCAACTCTCGCTCTACGGTACCTTACGGAGATCGGCTCTTGGCAGTTCTGATTCGATGCCAGAGAGCAGGTCATCTTGGAAACTCGAGGGTCCACTGATAAGAAACTGCCGGAGAAATGGGAGAGAAGAAACCAGGGTTTGCCCCTGTGAATATTAACTATTGCCTTGTCTATCAACTTGGCGTTGTATGGAGCCAGTGACTGCAGATTGTTTGGTTAGGGCCAAGAGTCCAAGACTGATCGACAGCCAAGACAGCTTCGCTTGGAGTTCGTCTAGGTCATAAGTGTTATCCTCCGATCCACTCTGCTGGACTCACTCTATCGAACCTCTTTGCTCCTGCAGTGCCAGGAACAAACCGTTCCTGCATTCCTGACCCACAACTACTGAGCGGAGCCTCCTTCTTGGTCCCTTGACATTGGATTAACTGCTATCTAGAGTTTGTCGATCTTCTAGCGTCTACTGAAATGGAGACAGCTCGGGGGTTTCACACTCTACATCACGATTCAAGTTCGATGATAAGAGTAATCACAACGAAGGACGGAATCGGGAACAAGTGATGCCTTAGATAGCTCACGAAAACTATATAAGGATCAAGATACTCGACGAAATCTAGCCATCAATCACATTCACAATCCTCACTTTACTACTCCCCTCGTTGCAACAACATTCTCTCTTTTCTCTAAACAACCAATCTTACAACTCCATCAAGATGCGTTTCTCCGTCCTCTCCGTCCTTTCCCTCGTTGGCGCCGGTATGGTGTCCGCCCATCCCCAGGACCTCTCCCTCTCCAAGCGCGGAGACAATTCCGAATGTGTCGGTCCTCTCCTCTGCTGTGGCACCCTCACTACTCCCCTCGACCCCGTTGTCGACCCTCTTCTGCTTGCTCTTGGCATTGATGCCGCCAACATTGTCGGATCCATCGGTCTTCTCTGTATGTTTCCATTCCTTCGGTTACAAGCCGGGATTCCCTCTAACATTCTCATAGGCCACGGCTACGATGACAGCTGCCCAACTGCGCCCCAGTGCTGCACTCAGGCTAACCTCCTGGTAAGTGATAAGTAGGCTCGGAGCCCTACCTGGGGATATCATGACTAACTGGCTTTCAGGGCGGTACCCTTGCTCTCGGATGCTCGGATTGGTGTTAAATCTAGCCCCTTGGAACTGTCCACGGGTGAAGGGGTCACTGGAGAGATACATTCTTTTCCGGACGTTGGAGTCTCCTTCTATGTACACATCTGTAATAGCACTATATAATCTCATTCTAAGACCATCGGTTACCTACTATAAGTGTTGATGTCAGTCAGAGCTTACTATCCATAAGTAATTGATCATTTCCGAGACATACCATGGGAAATAGTGGAAGTCAAAATAAGAAACACATAAAGGCAGCCCTCAGCAATAATAGCTCAGGTAATGCAGGGGCTAGATACTGTAGCTCACCATTTCAGGTTGAGAGTTTGCACTCCCTTAGTTGGAAGCCCGTGGTTCCGTGGTTCTTGAGACGGAAGTCCGGGGGCTGATGGTCTCAAGGTCCATGTGCTGCTGAGGATCATTAGCGAAAAAAAAACCCACAAATCGAATCCTAGGGCTTTTTTTTGCCACCTCTCTTTTGATTACATGTACCTACATGTAGCCTGGGTAGCGGCGGTTGTTTGGTGACAAAGATAATCATCCTCGGTATCAGCACCCATCAACAATGAAGTCATTTTACAGGCCAGTCTGGGCATGGTGACAACAACAACACTATGATAGGCCACCAGCGTTACTTACAGTGTATCGATTGGTGTATTAAGTCTCGTGAATGGTGGAAGCGAGGGGCCGAGCGCACTCCTGATTCTTTTAGGCCATGGCGCAGTGGAGCCGTGCGAAGTCTGGGGTTGGGACCAGGTGGGTTCTTCAGTCGAGTGGATCTGTCACTTTCTACCTCTATTTATATGACAAGTACTTCGAGGGACCTGTGTCGCTTGTACTGGTACTTATTTGTAATCCCACAGATTACTGGTGGAGGGTCAACGATGTATGCTGGTTATTCATACAGTCTGCTGTACGGGCCATTCACTTGGTGGTTTTACTCTCTACATAGCCTTGGTTTAGGTATCGTCGCTCCCATGATTAGGGCTCGGTTTAGTTTGGCTTAATGCTTTCCAAGGTTGTGTCTGGTTACTTCCATAGTATGTTCGGCACATAGTCATCATTACCGCGTAGACAATGTCCTTCGTAACCACCAGCATCTTTAGTTGGCGGATGTCATTTTAATCATAACATCCAGGAAATGTACTCCCAAAGTAAACGACAGGACGTCCAGGAAAGAGCGGGCGTTACAGGTGCGATAAGATTGAAGGCTTAGTCGACCATGCTCTTAGAGACAGTTATAATATATTCATTTGTACATAGTCGTATTGGAAGGAAGGGTACAGTAGCCCTAAAGCAAAAACACCAAGTCCGTCTTGCCATTTAAGGGCGAAGATGCAAAAGACCGATCGAGTAAAAACAAAGACAAAGAATGGAATGCCCAACCGGGGACAACAGAGTCCTCTAGTGCCACATGGATACCGAACAGACACAGCTGTGCTTGGTAGATCCATGGCGACGAGTGACGAAAGGGGTATGTATGTGAAACGAGGTATGCGGTAGCCGTGAGATCAAAGCAGGTGAGTTGATTCAAGTGAGCAGCAGCGACTCAGTCATCTAATGAGCAGCACGTCTGAGATATCGCATCGTGAGATACACAGCCGCCATACTGGTGTACAGACCACCGCCGGCGGTGACCCAGACCGGACGGTGGAGGCTGAAGGAAGTGCGTAGGACGTGACCCTCTTTAGGCTGTCTTTCTCCTATGGATGTTGTTAGTTATCTGTATTATCAAGAGGGGGGCTAGATGAGACGGTCGGAAGACAAGAGGGAAGGACATACCCTGCTGGAAGATACGCTGGCGTAGGTTGTTCAGACCCTGCCTGGAGCGGGCTGGCAGGGTGGCCAGTTGCTGCATGATAGGTCCCATAGGTGCCGACATCTTGAATGTAGTATGTGAGTTAGAGTGTTGATGGAGATGTTGAGTTGATGCTGTAAGAGTGATAGAAGTTGATGGATAGAGGCTGGTAGAGTGGAGAGTTTCTGAAGAAGCAGGGAAGTACACAAACACGGCGACACAGTAGGGGATGGCTTATATACCATCATCTGACTGAATGCGGGGTTGGGAGTCAGTTAGGACTAAGTACTGTGTAGAAGTGACATTCGGGGCATCCCTGCAGGGTGGCAAGCCAATGGTCGCAATGCGTCAGATAATCGTCGACTGCTCAGGTAACTTTCACGTTCCATATACCCCTGATGGCCCACGCGGTCTGGACGTGGTAACAAGTCTGTTTGAGTTGCTCTGTCCCGTGGATTGTGATATCTACGAAGTACACGAGGGCTTCAAGTTGGAGAGACTCAAGCACATTGCTTTAGTACTTTATAGCAAAGACAGTGTCCCTTTCAATTGATGGGGGTGCCAGTCGATCCTAACAGGGGGCGCACTACAGGGCTATTATCCCCCACATTCTGTCCGTGCTTAGGAGGTCTTGATTGGCCTCGAGTGGCTGTCATTGGCCAGGCTTGGCGTCAGAGATAGGCCAAAAGTACAAGGGTACGTGTAGTATACAAGGATTATTCAAGTACCTGTGTACCTTCGATTACTCTCAGCCGTGTACATTGTGACACAGACAAATAGGGGCGGCCTGGGATCATCGCCCTGTTATGCTGCAATTGGCTCAGTGGCACTGCTAAACTGAATACTTCCTGGATCTGTGGCTTTTATTGTGGTTAACTCTTCTACTGTGGCATAGATGTAGATCGACTGGCAACGTGATAAGAGTGGATTCTGTGGAATGTTATGGTGGAGTCCGGAGCTTTCAGCCCGGTCCCACACAAATCTGGGGATTGCGGGGTTAGTGGTTTAATGGGACGGGGGCTTAGATTCACTTGACATGCAGAATTCGGCTGAACATAGAGAGACTGAACAACAAGAAGATAAATAAATGGACGCTTTTCTCTGCCTTGTCTGGGAAGGCTATTTTGGTAAAAGTAAGGGTGTCTAGTACTGTATCATTCCATTCACTGGAACCTGGGAAGGCGTACTGTGTCACCTGACAGGCACAGGTACAAACACTGATGTACCTGTCCGGATCGGGTATTAGGGCAAGATTCGGGGGTACGTCGAGGTTGGTATGAATTCCAACCTCTCTTTTTAAGCCACACTGTCACGGGTTAGTAACATAGGTTTGCACCTCAGATGAGAAGAGTCCAGAGAGCGGATCTCAGGGCTGTGTTCGGATAGTTATGACGTGGCAGGTCTACATCAACTCATCATCTTCCACTTGTCTTCTTCCTTCTGTTTCTCTTCCACCTTTGATAATCTAATTTGAATGCTAGTTATACTTACTCCTCTTGTTTGGAACGTTCTTGGCATCGCCATAACACTTTATCAAAGGTCCTCTCGACAAGCCCCGTGGTTGAGTATCGGCACATTGCTAGGACAACCACAGAGCTTTGTAGAGGAGACCTTTGATAAAATGTTATGGCGATGCCAAGAATGTTTCAAACAAGAATAATATTATTTCAAACTGGGGATGTAATCTGGCAGGTGAAGCCTGAAGGACTGAAGTGCAGTTGTATCTTTGGGTGGAGTCGATGGACGTAATATCCAATATCACAACCAGCAGCAAGCAGCAAGCAGCAAGCACCTAGTAAGCGTCACATCTTGGGAGACGAGATCAAGCAAACCTACAGATACCACATGGAATACATTGAACTCCATGTACTCCGTACATATGTCCCAGTCTTTGCTTAGCAGTTAGCACGTCCCCTTGCCCCATGGGAGGCTTAAGGCAGCCTGGTGCTGGACGTTAATAACAGCCATAGCTGGCATACCATAGTGAGTTACCATCTTCATCTCTCGTAACGCCTCTCACATCCGTGTGAATACATTTGGTTCAAAAAAATGGAGATTTATGGGGCAAGCGACAGCAGCTCAGTCGGATCTCGACTCTTCCGCCAGCGCAAAATCAAAATGGCAAAAAAGATGGACTCGCGGGGAATCGAACCCCGGACCACTCCCATGCTAAGGGAGTATTATACCACTAAACCACAAGCCCGATCAGGTGATATGTGCATCATAATAGTGTTTCAAGTTCCATAATTTGGGCTTCCAAGAAAGTGGACTCGTCGCTGCTCAGCTTGACCTCGGGAGGTCATGTCAAGGAGTTAAGTGAGGTCGGGCAGGTGATTCGATTCCTGAAGGACCTCAATGGAATGTATTGAGGGGCACTCTGAATGTCTGGTACCTATCAATACACGGTTTTTGAATATCACCACGCCATCCACGAATCTGACAACGACCTTGGGACCTAGAAATATATACACGAGACAAGACAACCTAACCGAGGACAATGAACCAAACCGGAGAGGAACGGCCCTCGAATGGAACAAAGTGTCAGACTGGGATATGCTGGGATAAGGCCTCCCTAGGCCACAAACAGGAACCTTGGTTTTTTAAAGTGGTCTAGTGGTCATTATTTCCCATACAAAGAACTACCGTTGCAGCCGGACTCACATCTTGATTGCATTTCTATTTCGATTTCAGTGGTCTCCTTCTGGACTGCAAATATGCACGAACATGAGCGACATGACACTCAAGAATTCTTCATCTACCGCTATATACAAAATGTCCAACAATGCATGTATTAAACCGCGGCAACCTTATCTAGGTTCACTCCACGAGGAAGACGACATATCTGACGCGCCTCCTCAGGCATAGTCGACCATACGACCTGGCTAACTTCCTTGCCCACCTGGTCAATGGCATCCATTGCCCAAAGGACATCGAGGTGTTCATATTCTTCGATGACCTTCGCATGAACGAGATTTACATGAGGCTCGCGGCCACCCTTGAACCGCTCTAAAAGCCGACGCCCATCAACAAGAGCATCGGACCCACCGATCCAGAGCGCGAATGGAGGCGTTTTCGGACCAAACCAAGGGCCACGAGCCCGAGCACCTAAGCATGGATCGTGGGGATCATCACCGTGCTCAGAGATAGGGTCACGTATACCAGGGCTCGCCTTTGCCTCACACAGGAGGTCGTTGTCTGTCGACAAAATGCATTTGTGCTTAGCGAAACCGTCGCTTCCGAGCCACCAGCGCATCGACTCAGCGCTGACATATACAGGTGCGAATTGGAACATTCGATGGCGCAGATCACGCTCCCAGCGCGTGTCGGACCAGTCGAACAAAAATGAGAAGACCCAGTATGCCATTGTTCCGTATACTCTGGGTGGGAGCAGACGGCGGGCGGTCATCATGACAGGGATGAAGGAGTGGACGCCAAAGATGAGTCGGAACATCGCTGGAGAGAGGAGGCTCATGAATCGGAAATATGGTCTGCTCACTAGCGGACCGGCGTATGCAGCGGGAGCAAGTGCACAGAACACCGAGAGATATTGACCCAGCTCAGGACGTTGTTCTTTGGCTAGAGCAACAAAAGTCTGGGTGGTTCCCTGGGAGTGGCATACCAGCCCCAGTTTCTCAAAACCAGTCTCATAAAGTACGCGTGACGTGAGAGCCGCGAGGTCCAGCGTGCCGAGATGTCGAATATCCCAAGACCACATACGCGGGTCGTCAGTCGAAAACTTGACGTGCTCTGGGTTCAAGCCACAGCGGTTATTCCCTAGCCAGACATCATATCCAGACTTGCAGAGGAAGAATGCCAAGCTATCCTCGTCGTTGGTGCAGAATGCACCAGCGCTTTGCAGCAATCCATGTACCAGAAGAACAGGATACCGACGTTTGTGCCGTGGGAGGGAGGTGGTTTGCACCTTCGGCTTGGTAAAGACCTCAGGCCCACGCGTACGCCTCTCTTCTGCTGGCAAGGCCTCATACTCCTGAGGATTATAAACATGCCACAGATCAATGACGAACCCGTCCTCCGTCTGGACACGAAACTTTTCGACGTCGAGACCGACTCTGCGGGCGTAATACGCAACGTCACAGACCACAGGATCCTTGCCTCCTTCCAACGATGGGCAATCTTGAGTTTGTTCAGGTCCCTGTTCCTCATCCATATCCCTTTTCTGTTGTCGCAGAGCCCACCTCCGATCGGCAATAGCCCGGGCCTTCCGGCGTGCCTGTTCCTCAGTATAGAATGCCCTCCTCTCATCTGGATTATGCCCATTCCATCGCAATCGAGCTTCCGAAATTGCTATTCCGGCTGTGCGGACTATGGCCCCGACAAATATGGCCGTCAAATAGCACAGCGACAGAAAGAACGCGGCAACTGTGAGCATGCAATATTTCGCCCTGCTAGCCGCAGTCGGTGCCCCGTATATCGGCATTGGCGGAAACAGCGGGTGGTCCGTCGTTAGGAAATGTAGACCGGCCGAAGGTTGTTTCTCTCCAGCCGACGCTTGATCCCTAGCAGCGCAGTCCATGTCCAGCACGTCCTTGGTATTGCTGACTTCCATATCCAGATGCGCTCTCTTCTCAGGTTGTATTCGGTCGAAATAGACGGGTCCCGTGGCTGCGCCTGCGTGACTCGTCTCCGCACGTGCCGTCGGTATGAGGGGCTCGAGGGGGATTGTTGTGACTGACATTGTCGCAAATTCCAATTGTCACCCTGGGTGCAAGGTTTACATTTTGGTATCTGGCTCCAGACTCAGGGAATAGCGACCAAGCGAACAGGGTGTTGTATGACCATGAAGTATCGCATCGGGCTTGCCGGAGACAACCTGGGGTTGTGTTGCGTGCATGCCTGGGCTCTGGAACCGGTTAAATCACGTGCGGATTGCAGGAACCGCCCTGGAAGCATGTGGTTGCGGGTCGCTCCGACCAATCAGAACTTACCGCGTTCATCTTCCGGCGCCGCTGACGCTAATCGTACCAAGTGCACCATTCACCAACACACCTCCGTCAACCTGGTCGACTGCGATACATGAGCACTAAGTGATGGTGTTCACAGGTCCTGAGGTCATGGTCTGATGGACTATCTGTTTGAGTTTCAAGGGATTTGAGCACGTACCATTATCTCAGGCGTCCAGTTGGGCCTAAGCCAGGTGATCGGAGTATCATTTAGGACACCGATCAACACCTACGTGAACATATTCAGCTCGATTATATCTTTCGAGTTTCTGCGACTGCCCCAGAAAGATTGAATTATTTACATTGCATGACGATTTATTAGTTTCACACGACTCAAAACATCAGGGGTATCAAATTCGAACGCATCTAGACCTCGCCAACTCTCTCCGATCGCGCAGCCGCCATTGCCGCTCTCTCGTCCAGCGTGAGCTCACTCTTAGCTTCTCGTATCCGCACAAAAAAGGCAATAATAAGAGTTCCCAGTATCGCAAGTCCTGTCTGGTACCAGAAGACGGCCTTGTAGCTGCGTCGAGTACCCTGATCAAGTGTCTGTGTCTGAACAATGTCCGCAAAACCAAGCATAACAGCAATTCCCATATGCAAAGTACAATTAATCAACGCACCAGCCAGACCTTGCCTCGCATTTGGTAGGTTCGTCGTGATGAAAACATTCGTGACGTTGAAGCTGATGTCAATGCCGACTGTGCCGCAGATCATGGCCGGGAACACGAAAGCCCAGTAGTTCCCACCAAGAGGAATGACAGCAAACAATAATCCAGATCCCACATAGCCAAGACATGATATCAGCATCAGGAGTGTTCCTGGGACTTTGTGGAAGATCAGTCCTCCCGCGACGGAGAGGATGAGACCGCCGACTGCCATAGGCACAGCCCAAGCGACAATTTGCATTGGTGATGCTCCCATTATCTCAGACATGCTATTGGGAATGTTAGTAATGAGAGCATTGTAAAAGAGGCCACAGTGGTATGGTATGACTTACTAAAGAACAGCGTAGAGTAGGAATATACCCAATGTGCCGTACAAGAAGAGCAAAGCGACAACCAGAGGCAGCATGTACTTGATTCTGAATATGTCGCCAGGAAGCAAAGGGTTCTCAACAACCCATCCTTCGACGTAAACCATGGCGCCTAGGAGAATCATGCCAAGGACGAAGAAAACCGGGATGTATGGCGTTCTCCATCCTTGAGGAGCATATGAACTGTCCGCAATAGCGAACACAATGAACACTGCTGCGGGGATGGAGAGACATGCGCCGGGCCAATCCATCTTAACTCCGCTGCTCTTCTTCTCAGCATAGTCGCGAGGAATGGAGAACAGCGACAGAGCGGCCGTGATAGCAGAGAGAATAGCCCCGAAAAAGAAATACCATCTCCAGGTGAGATATTCACCACAAAGTCCCGAGAAAAAAATGCCGACAAAGAATCCCAACGCCGCACATGCGCCGTAGATACTGAAGACGACGTTCTTTCTAGGCCCTGGTCGGTAAGTGCTGCCAAGAATCATGATGCCAGATGGAAGAAAAGCGGCTAAAGCAAAGCCCTGCAACGCTCGGCAAATGATCAGCATCAACCATGTCTGGGAGACACCGCATAAGATGGAGGATATCGTGAGCCAAATAGCTCCGCCGCTGTAGATGAGATATCCACCGTACATGTCAGTTAATCTGCCAAAGATGAGTAGCGTCGAGGTGACAACCAGCGACAGGGCGGTAGACGGCCATATCGCTGAAGCTTCGGGTAGATCAAGCTGCTTGACGAGCGTTGGTAGAAGGACATTTGAGCCTGAGATGTAGTATTCCTGGATGAATGTCAGAATTTTCCCGGCAGGATGTAGAACGGCGTTGACTTACTGCAAGGATTTGGGACATGAAAATGGAAAGACAAAAGCATACTTCCGACCAAAACCCTCTAAAGCATTTTGGACGCTCTCTTCCTAATTTCTCTAGATCGAGAGTATCTTCATTTTCTCTGGTCTGCTCTGAGCCATGTGGCATAGCCTCATCGTTCGGCCCAGGAGCCTCTGGCGCTCCCATAACACTTGGTCAAAGACTCGTGTCTTTTTCGATGGTGAAATTCACTTGAGCATTTGCTATCTAACGATACGAGGAGTTTTATATGAGGTCCATCGGAGTGGCCATTTTTAAGCGATGACGCCCAACAGCCTAACGGGGTATTAACGGGGAGACCCGGTTAAGTCGCATTATCTGATCAATAAGATCCGGTTCTAGAAGGCTAATGGATCTTTCTGCACGAGGGGGATTAAATGATTGGTCCGACCGAAGATTAATAACTGGAAACTGCGGGGTTTCTACTCGGAGCTTCCTGATTAAGAAGTTGTCGGGAGTGGGGCTGATGTGGAAATTTACGAAGTTTAGCATCGTGTTCAGGGGAGAGGTTGAATGCCTTCACCTGGGACCCTGGGCATAGGAAACCATTTATGTAATGTATACTTGTCATGTACCTACACGTAGTCACCGCATATTCCATGTAGAAGAATTTCGACTGCCGGTTATCCATGCTTGGCTAGGGCAGTTTTTGCGTACTCCAACAGCAATAGGTTCCCCAATCTCATCGCGAATCCTGGATAAGAACCTAGACGCAAACTGAAAGTGCCGATGAGCAAATCTCATATAGGGTTCAACGGAACTTGCCGAGATGATCTGAACTAAAGTTCCCGATACGTAGCTCCCACGTGGTTTCCAACCTTTTTGACCTACACGTTGTACGCACGTTCCTTCTATGAAATGCTACAACCTATCATAGCACCTCGAACCTTTCTAGAGTGACTACTGTTATCATGGCGAACCTGCGTCAATTGCCGCCTTAGTCCGTCGCAGCATTTGGCACTGCTCTTTGGGTTTGTTCATGTGTCACACAACCATGAGGCTCCCTTAGTCTCACGACTCTGGTCAGTGATGGCCGAGATGCGAATGTCTCGACTACTTTCATCCCAAACTACCAATACTAAAACCACAAATATTCAGGCGACCAACTTACAACTACGACCATGGATGTTGGGCTCCGAGGCATCTCATACTATGTGAGAGATCGAGTAGACGTACCGAACAGAAACTAGTTGCTACCTACTCTAGGGCGGAGACCTCGCTAAACAATACCACAGACAGTAATATGACTTCCAGGCTGCCGCAGAACAAGCCCTAGGAATGACATCACGGCAATCCGCTATACTCACTGGGCGGTGCATGTTACACCTCGGAGAGGGTATTCGCAATGGTCAAATATAATCCATGACGGACGTCCGACGTTCTTCCGTGTCGTCGTGGCTGCATGGCCTTATCTGAAACGCTTTTGCAATTGATCGTTGCGAAACGAGATTTGGATCTGCTTTGCTGAACGTCAAGTCCATATGAGCACGCGCACAACGAGCCAGATACAATCTCGAGGTCGACCCCGCCAAGCTTCTGCTAGGACCGGCTGAGAGCAAGACTGTAGGAGTGAGTGGCGTTACAGACTAAAGCTTGGCTGCTTCCTGCAGAAAGTCAAGGACAGATGCACCGCAAGCTCTTCAGGGTTCGGTGCGATGTTATAGCAGTCCCCACAGATATGTACTCCGGTCGCCATTGTCCCTTCTTCAGGCTCAATGTTTGACAATGGAACGTGGCCTGAATGAAACGTTCACTTGAGTCGCCCTCAACTACCGAAGATAATCAGACCTCGGGTGATAGAGATAGTAACCTCATTCGCGGCCATCCCCATCCTGGCAGTCGTCAGTGCCGATCAATGTAACACCCCCCATCATGGCCTCAACAATTTCCCCATTAGAGATAGAAGTATTCCCCCAGATACGAGATTGCCAAGGGTTCACAGATCCTGGGGTTTGTTATATAGTCTTGATAGCCCGCAATGAAAAAAACCCCGAACAACCCACACCCTCCACAATGAAATTCTCCACACAAGTACTCCTCCCCTTCTTCCTCGCTCTCGCACCACAAGCGACAGCTGCTTCCTCCGACCTTGCAGTAGAAGTCGGGCACCATGTCATCTTCTCATACGCCGGCCTCGAGCCCCCCCTCCCAACTCCTCGACCTAATCACAGAAGGCAAAGTCGGCGGCGTTATCCTCTTCGGCGAAAATGTCGACGACAACCTCACAAGCGTCGTCAACGTCCTGCAAACAACGTACAAGCAAAGCCCTCACTACTCCGGCAGTCCCCTCTTCATCATGACCGACCAAGAAGGCGGCAACGTCCGCCGCTTACCCGGCGGACCAGAGCAAAGCGCCAAGCAAGTGGGCCAATCTGCGGACCCGCAAGCCGCAGCAACGCAAATGGGCATCGACGCCGCAACAGTCATGACAACCTACAAGAACAACGTGAACCTCGCACCCGTACTCGACGTCTACCGCGAGGAAGGCGACTTCGCCGACAAGCCCGGGCGATCATTCAGCAACTCGTCCACGCTCGTCGGGACGTGCGCCTCAGCATTCATCACCGCACAGCAGTCAGCGAACGTGGTCGCGGCGGCCAAGCACTTCCCCGGTCTCGGTGCGGCGGGTGCAAGCGAGAATACGGATCTGCAGCCCGTGACTATTGATTTGACACTTGAGGAACTGCGGAAGATCGATATGGCGCCGTATACCAAGGCTATTGCTGCAGATGTGGATATGGTCATGACGTCTTGGGCTCTTTATCCTGCTTTGGATGCGGATTATCCGGCTGGATTGAGCAAGACGATTATTCAGAATGAGTTGCGGGACAGACTTGGGTTCAAGGGTGTTACTATCACTGATGCTATTGAGGCTGGAGCTCTGACTGATTTCGGTGATTATGCTAATCGGGGCTTGTTGGCTGCGCAGGCTGGTGTGGATATCTTGCTTGCTGCTGCAAGGGATTATACTCAGGGAGAGGATGTTTATAATGCTCTTCTTGCTGCGTTGGAGGATGGGTCTCTGGATAAGGATGCGTTCTCTGCTGCGACGGAGAGAATTTTGGAGGTTCGGAATAAGCTTACGTCCTAGGTATGGATGGATGTTCTCACGTTATTTGTGGAGATGTGTATAACTGGGTTGTGTATATATGAACTGAATCAAATACTGACGGACATCGTGCCCTCAGATTTGTTACCTACAGTATCTCTCCACGTCTATCATGTTGTTTGATGCTTGCCCTAATTATTAGGCATGTAGATAGCCCTGGACTACAGGGCTTATGAAGCAACGCCTGGACAAAATCTAGTGCAGACTAATACCTACATCCCATCACCGAGGCCTTTTCCACGCCATTGAACGATATCTGGGCCAGAAAAACTGTAACACCTGCAAAAAAATTGACCGACGCAGGGATCGAACCTGCAATCTCTTGATTCGTAGTCAAGCGCCTTGCCATTGGGCCAGCCGGCCTTGATGAAGAGAGTAGCCCTAATGTGCAATATGTTCCAGTGCGTTTAAAGTGGGACAAAAGACTGGCTTATCCGACAATTTGTCCAATCATATCGCCGGGTACCTATGTACAACGGGTGACGTAACGGATGATTGCGGGGACCGACAGGGCTCGAGGCACGTATGCAGCGGTATGCTGCATGCATCGATATGCAGAGAGAAGCCAGTTGAGTAAATATTGGAAGCGGGATCGATGAGTTTCAAACTGATGTTTACTGGGGTCTGGCCCCTGGGGGTCAAATCGTCAGTATCTATAATGGAAGTGACCTTTGTGGGATTTGATGTCCTTTTCTACACAATAGGTACGCAGTACATCTCCGTACTCCCGACGTCCGTACATATTGTAACCATGGATGTGGCGCTTTATATGTGGCGTCGGAAACATGATTGGGCTCTTTGTTTGCTATGAATACTTGCCTGGTCTAACAAGGAAGCAACTTCGCTAACTAGACCCCGCTACCTCAAGCATTATCTTGTAATTAACACGAGTAACGCTGGCTTGTACTGAACAAGGAAAAGCAGGCACAAATCAGGGCTTCAAATTGCGCAATATCTGGACACCAAGAGTCGTGCTCAGCGAAGTGAGTACCTTCGGGTTGGAACCTGGAAGGTATAAGTGGACACTGAATGAAGTAAGTGAATGACAGAGCTGTAGGTGCACTTGTTTCAAGTTCCTTTATGGTAGGCATGTCCTACGCAGCAATTTCTATCATAGTCATAGCATTCTTTCATGGAGTCTAAGCAGTCGAATTGAGACATCTCTGTTTCTGCACAAGGGATGTCATATCGGGTATTATCCCCGAGTCTCACTTCAAACGAAAGCGCACCGGAAAGACAGCTGACAGACCGTCAATGGGCCAAACGTCTCCAATAATGGAAGAAATGAAGCTCGTCCAAAGGGAAATTTTCTCCGCTGAGTCGATCAGATAATGATGAACACGGGAGGTGGGGTCTGGGATCACCGGCCTGGGACAAGGAACAAACAAACTGCATCGAAGTCGCAACAAACCTCTGCTATCGTCGTAGAATAATCGGAGTAAATACTGACCAAAAAAGTAAAGGAATCGGTTCTATAAGAAGTGACTCAAGTGCATGTAGCGTATGTTGTACTGTGTACGGAGTACAGTGCTAGAGTGAAAAGTCTCGCCACCACGGACCATATCGGAGGTGATTCCGCCCTGGTCATTCGAGCTCCACTGCGTCAGCGCGACTTATCGACGACTCGCATTTTTCACACCTCGGCCCCTCCATCTAACTATCTGTCACTCCCTTTTTTTCACTCATTCATAGGTCTTGATACCTACACATATATTCGAAGCTCGTCCCTTGTCAGTGTGCGGTGCTCTGAGTGAGCGCGCCGCAGATCAGCAAGCCACCGTCATGGGGCTATCTAAGACGAACAGGATCTTGATCCTGCTGGTCATTGATACCGCATTCTTCCTACTTGAGTTAATTACTGGTTAGTATATCTACAGCTTAACTCATTGCGACCGGAGGATACTAACCAGCTTTTCCATAGGTTATGCCGTCCACTCCCTTGCCCTCGTCGCTGATTCCTTCCATATGGTACGCCACCATCCACACATTTACACGCCGACTGAACTGACCGAACTAGTTGAACGATGTTTTATCCCTGTGTGTCGGATTATGGGCTGTGAAAGTAGCGAACCGGGAGACAACCTCCAACACCTACACATATGGCGTGAGTTGACCTCAACGCCAATTTGAAGAACCACCTGACAGTTGGAATTTTGGACAGTGGCAACGAGCAGAGACCCTTGGTGCCTTGGTCAATGGAGTCTTTTTAGTTGCACTTTGCATGTCGATTTTCTTAGAGGCAACTCAGCGGCTGTTTGAACCCCAGGAAGTGCAAAACCCGCGATTTGTTTGCATCGTTGGTTGCTTCGGTCTTGCCTCCAATATTATCGGACTGGCGCTATTCCACGATCACTCTCACGGACCCGGCGGCGGTCACGACCATGGCCATGATCACGACCACGATGAGCATGACCATGATATTGAGGCCGGTGAATACGCTGAGCACGATCACGCACCGATTGCGGAATATGGAGCAGGCACGCCTGGTGCTGGAGGACCTGCAAGCTTGGCCCCGAAAGCTCTCCCTCATGCTACCACGGAACCAGCATCCCCAGCATCCCGCAAACGTCGCGACACCCCGACTCGCGGTTCCAGAAGATACAGCACTTCGACAGGCCGCGGGCTTGTGAGCCCGGCCGACATTCCTGTCCTCCCAGAGAGACTCAGACAGGGGATTATTGCGGCGAGTCAATACCGTGATCAATCGTCTGACTCGGAGAACGGCCACGACGAGGATGAGATCCCATCTGAGCGCTCAGGTCTCTTAAGTCGCCGGGATCGCACCAGGAACTATACCGACGAGGAGGGCGCTCCAATCAAACCCCAAGATGACCACCATGAAGATGTTCACAAATCGCACAACCACGCCCAGCCCAAGCCGAAGGATCAGAAGAAGGGTCACAGCCATGACCTGAACATGCGTGGTGTCTTCCTCCACGTCATGGGAGACGCTCTCGGAAACATTGGTGTGATTGTTTCCGCACTTGTAATCTGGTTGACCGACTACAAATGGCGCTTCTACGTCGACCCGGGCATTTCCCTTGTCATCACACTGATCATTCTTGCTTCCGCGATTCCATTGTGCAAAGCTGCTTCGCGTATCCTTCTGCAGGCCGTGCCTCCCGGTATGAGTATCGACCATATCAAGGAGGATATTGAGCGACTCCCCGGCGTCATTGGCTCGCACCACTTGCACGTTTGGCAACTGAGCGACACCAAGATTGTGGCTTCAATCCATCTCCAAGTGGACACCGAGATAAAGGGCGAAGGCTCCGATAGGTACATGCGCCTGGCCAGACAGGTCAGACGCTGTCTTCATGCCTACGGTATCCACTCTTCCACTATTCAGCCCGAGTTCGCCCCCGATAGTGATGTCGAAGACGATGGCCAACCCTCAGCCTCGCGGGGAACCGATGAGCAAGTTCCCAGCCGTGCTGCCAGCGTTCGGGATGGTGATCCACAGGCATGCCTTCTCGAATGTGACGAGAACTGCGCACGAGGAGGCCAGTGTTGCCCCAAAAAGTGAACGTGATAAATCATGACTTGAGTACTCATCCACTTTCCATTCTCATTCTTTACCCTCTGTCCCCTTGGCCTTAGAACATTATACCTACACTCTCACCATCCTGATACCATCCTTTTCCTATGACCTATCTTTATCACGCCCACTTTTGTCCACCTCATCCCCCATTGGTCCAGCTGGTTTCCAGAAGTGTTCTCACGGGTAATCGGTTTCCTTCTAAGGGACGATGAGACATCTGGATATAATTACGCTGCACTCTCTAGACTTACCTGCATGTACTTTCTACTATTCCTAATGCAAGATCTGTAAAATACTACTAGCCTTGAACAGTACACAGTACTTCTAAATTTAGCTCCTTAACTAAACAATGGGCTAGCCCATGGCCTGCACGTGACCACCCCATGTCCGTGATCGACACATCTCGACCCGAAGCTTAACCAATTGCCAAAACCCCTGGTTCCATACTGAACACCATGACATGAACTTTTCTTTTTCTGATTATTCGCCAGTCATTCTTTCATTTCTTTTTCCGTATGTGCGAAGCATGACCTATCATTCCTTTTGTTAAACACCAGCCCCGTCGTCTTGTCCGGGGTCGAGCCACCTTGTCACTTAGCATCGGTATTAAGCTAAGCCAAACATGACATTTGCCTACCCGCGCAACTCGGGCGCTTCTACCCTCCCATCCTTCAGTCAATATCAGCCCTCAAGGCCTCGAAATCTCTTCACCCGCGCGTGGGACACCATCCCTTCAGCAGCAAAACAATGGCTTCCCGTTCGGAGTATCAGCCGAGGAGTTGCCCGAGCGAAGGCTGAGGGGATCAAGATAACAGCAATGAAGCTTGCCAAACGGACTTTCACAATCCCCAATGCAATTATCTTGCTATGGATGTTCTCCATTCGGTGGGGTGAACGGACGGTGTTTGAGGACAGCATCAACAAGTGCCTCTGGGACAGCTGGGAGGAATGGGTAAGTCGACAGTGGCACCTCTGACAATTGATATCTCTTGCCCTAGCTGGTACTGACAGTAGTCGCTCTATAGCCCCAAGACGCGGTGCCACATCACATTGCCTTTGTCGCCGATCCTCAACTTGTGGATCCCCACACATACCCCGGTCGACCATGGCCTTTGTCGACGTTAACAGTGAAATACACAGACCAATATATGCGACGGTCATTTTCCTTGATACAAGATCACCTCGAGCCGGACTCAGTGCTGTTTCTTGGTGACCTTTTCGATGGCGGCCGAGAATGGGCCACAGCTACGAGTAGCAGCCCGGAACAACGGTGGAAAAAGTACAAGGATCCTTTCTGGAAGAGGGAATATGGTCGCTTCATCAAAATATTTGTAGATCCGTGGGAGAAGCAACGGTCGCCGCCTGTGGATGATCGCGGCCGTAGGATGATTGCAAGCTTGCCTGGCAATCATGATCTCGGATTCGGCAATGGCGTTCAGGTGCCAGTCCGCAATCGATTTGAGTCCTTCTTCGGGAGCACGAACCGTGTCGATGTTATCGGAAACCACACTTTCGTTTCAGTGGATGCTCCCTCGCTGAGCGCGATGGATCAGCCCGATCCATTGACAGGTAGCTCCCCAACCGCCAGCGACGAGCATCGCTCACTGCGCCCGATCTGGAAAGATGCAGATGACTTTTTGGACAAGATGGCGATCCACAAGGCCAAGGCGGAGACGAATGAGCTGCGGATGCTACAAAACCAGGACGAGGGACACCGTATGTTCGATTACCGCGTTGTCGATGCCGTGGAGCCCGTCATCCAGCATAAGTCAGAGCCAGTGAGCGCGGGATTTCCTACCATCCTTCTCACCCATATTCCGCTCTATCGCAAGCCAGCAACTCCTTGTGGCCCTCTGCGCGAGCGCTACCCGCCGTCTTCATCCGACGAGGAACTACAAGAAGATGAGCCTAACGCTCTGAAAATTACTGGAGGCTACCAGTACCAGAATGTTTTGACGCAAACCATTTCCACAGAACTGGTTTCAAAAGCAGGACCCAACGTTGTCCAGGTCTACTCTGGTGACGACCATGACTACTGTGAAGTCTTACACCGGGAGTTCAACGGCTCCCCAAATGAGATTACAGTCAAGAGCTTCTCCTGGGCAATGGGAGTCCGCCACCCAGGCTTTATGCTCACCAGTCTCTGGAACCCAATTGATCCCAAGACAGGCAAAGCCATTCAAGATGGATCACCACCAACCATTCAAAACCATCTCTGCATCCTCCCCGACCAGTTGGGGATCTTCATCCACTATCTAACCATCCTTGGCCTGAGCGTCTGCGTTCTCCTCATCCGTTCCATCTACCTTGTCCTCTCCTCCCCCGAGCCATCCCCATCCGGCGCTCTCCTCCCCCTCTCCGAGCGCCGTTCCCCACACCACCAACATCACACCTCCGGCGCATCCAGTTCAACCCTCACATCGCCGGGTGGCTTAGCTAGCCGCGGTGTCTTGGCAGCATCTGCCCGCTATCCGGGCACTACATCCCCGCAAGATGCTTATCAGGGTCCCGACGATGATTTCGGCGGCTCCTCAAAAAGCAGAAGTGCATGGCGCCCCGCCTCGGGTATCCGCTCTCACTCCACGGCGTCCCTCATCGCGCGGGAATTGTACAAATCCATGAAGCATGTGGCGCAGGTGGTACTGGTTGTGTATTTCATCCTGATCTGGCGCTGGTAGCTGGTCCAGCGGTTCAAATGTTTCTTCAGCGAGCATAGATATAATAAACATGCATCCACAGACTAGCGTATTTGAGAATCCCCCAAATAGCCTTGATTGATCGTGTGATCACTGATCAGGCTGTTTTAGCATCAATTTTTCTTAACCGAGAAAAGAGGCATCCACCTTGGAAGTTTTAATTTAGCCTGGTCGAATTGCGCCACATCTCGCTAAACATCGCCGAGGGGCAAAATCTCGTCCGATCCCGAGACCTCCCAGGCGGCAGGCACCAGACAATGGCCCGATGATTTCCCGGGAAAAACACCGGGATAAGTGAACGTCGGGTTGTGCGTCCAATCCGCGCCTCGGGAAAAATAGCGCACTTGCACTAGCCTCTCGCCAAGGATTGGGCGCCGGCCGTGGACTCTTGTTTTTCAGCCACATACGACAATAGTTGCAGAAGGATATTGATGAGGATAGCAATTGTATTTTGTTGCTTAACTAGCTGTGCATTTCAAGTGTTTACGAAATTCTGAAAATGGAAAACGCGGGATCCAGACATGGCCACACGGGATGTGTGTGCTGGGATGGGGAAGTGATCAATTGTCATAGTCGATCTCTTACGGACATTGGTCGAGGCAAAACTGCGGGACCATGCTTATGCTGGTTTACCTGAGACCTTCTCAAACTTGTCTCCGGTGAGCAAAGCAGACAGCGGTACCTTCAACTCGTCATGACATTGCCGATCGAGTGTTGCCGTTGGACCCTGTTGGTTATTGGCTGTTCGCTCTGGTCTCGGGCGTTGACAGGTCTGGGGAAATACTGGATCGCTTGGAGTCTGGAGTGAGGGGAAAATGTGGGAAAAACCTGGAGGTGAAATTTTCTCCCTTTTAGGGTTTCGTGAGGATTGTCTTCCCTGTTCGTGTCGCCCGGTCTTGTGTAAATCATTATTTACATCACTGTTTACATCTTTTTTTACGTACTTAACTATTATGTATGCCAATGAAAAAACCAATCAATCTAAACCAAGAACCGAAAAGAAAAACGCCGAAACCCCCAGAAACATCGGACTGATGTGGGAAAACAGACAGCCGTCTTTCTGGTCATTTTCCCGATGCGGGACGCCGATGCCGATCGGCATTGGCTCAACTCGGGGGCCCCCGTTTTCGGCACCAAACAACACAATTTCCCCATGTCATGTGCCGCATTCCAGACCTATTTCCGTCCCAATTGCCTCCAAGAAATCATAAAATACACCGGGAGTAGCCTTGCCACAATCTAAATCAATCTCAAAACCACATTCCAATCACAACATGCGGTGCAATCCCGCCCCTATTGCGGTGCGGGATGAACGGGGAAACAAAACGACGCCCGATGCGAAACCTTCTCGAACAAATTCGGGTCGGCCTGAGCCAATTTACCCATGTGACCAATAACCACCGGGAGACATAGTATGAACTCCACTGCTTTTCGAGTCGGGATTGGCTCGTTCGATTTACCTCCGGTCCGATCCATAACCCCAGGCTCGAAAGCATGCTGGCAAAACTAGGGAATGGGGCGTTTTTAGTCAATGCTATCTTTGGATTGGATGCTGTTGCTTGTCTCGGGTTCTCCGGACTGTTTTCAGGATTTTTTTTCTCTGCTATTCCCCGGGTCGGGGTCGGCCTGGGGTTGGCCATGTGGTTGAGGGTTGGGGACTGGGGAAGTACAAATAGGGAGACGATGTCTCTGGGTTTTCTGTTGATTTTTTTGTTTCTACTGAGCCTCCCATATATCCATTTCTCCTAATACGGATATACTTCATACTTGATTGATATATACACCCTCAATTGGCTTTGCTTCTCTGATCACACTACACATTCACAATGGGCTTCCGTCTGAAGAAGCCCGATGATGCCGTGGGTTCTGCTACCCCGGCCATCTTGATCGGATTGTTCGTGGCATTCGGTGGTGTCCTCTTCGGGTATGTGTAATTCTGATCTATACTTTCATTGGCAATAAGTCTAACATCCATCTAGATATGACACAGGTACCATCAGCGGTATCCTCGCCATGAAGTACTGGCGACAGACATTCTCAACCGGCTATATCAACCAGGTTGATCACTTGCCCGACGTCACATCCTCAGAATCCTCCATGATTGTCTCTCTCCTGTCCGCAGGTACCTTCTTCGGTGCCCTCGGCGCCGCCCCTATTGCCGATCACTTTGGTCGTCGCCTGGGTATGATTCTGGATTGCTTCGTGTTCGTCTTCGGAGTCATCCTGCAAACCGCTGCTACCTCCATTCCCCTCTTCGTGGCCGGCCGCTTCTTCGCCGGTCTCGGTGTTGGTCTCCTCTCGGCCACTATCCCCCTCTACCAATCCGAGACAGCCCCTAAATGGATCCGTGGTACCATTGTCGGTGCTTACCAGCTCGCCATCACACTCGGCTTGCTGCTCGCTGCCATCGTCAACAATTCCACCAAGGACCGCAATGACACCGGCAGCTACCGCATCCCCATCGCTATCCAGTTTGCTTGGGCTATCATTCTCGTCGTCGGCATGATCCTTCTTCCTGAAACCCCCCGTTTCCTGATCAAGAAGGACCGCTACGAAGACGCCACTAAGGCCCTTGCCCGTCTCCGTCGCATTGACGTCAACGATCCCGACCTCGTCGCCGAACTCGCTGAGATCCAGGCCAACCACGAGTTCGAGGTGAGCCTCGGAACGGCTTCCTACCTCGAGATCCTCAAGGGTTCTCTCGGCAAGCGTCTGGCAACCGGCTGCGCCGTCCAGGGTCTCCAACAACTCGCTGGATGCAACTTCATCTGTACGTTTCATTCCTCACCACTATTTCCCTTTCCCTCAAAACCCACCAACTAACAGAAACTGCAGTCTACTACGGCACAACCTTCTTCCAAAACTCCGGAATCCAAAACTCCTTCGTCATCACCCTGATCACCAACATCATCAACGTCGTCTCCACATTCCCCGGCCTCTACATGGTCGAGAAATGGGGTCGTCGCCCACTTCTCCTCTTCGGTGCCATCGGCATGTGCGTTTCCCAGCTCATCGTCGCAATCGTCGGCACAGCCGTCGACTCCGACGTCTCAAACAAAGTCCTCATCGCCTTCGTCTGCATCTACATCTTCTTCTTCGCCAGTACCTGGGGCCCCGTCGCCTGGGTCGTCACCGGAGAACTCTTCCCCCTCAAGGCCCGTGCCAAGTGTCTCTCCATCACCGTCGCCACAAACTGGCTGCTCAACTGGGCGATCGCCTATGCCACGCCGTACCTGGTAAACAGCGGACCTGGAAATGCCAACCTCAAGAGCAAGGTGTTCTTCATCTGGGGTGGATGCTGTGCTATCTGCGCTATCTTTGTTTACACTTGTATCTATGAGACCAAGGGTCTTTCGCTTGAGCAGGTTGATGAGCTCTATGCTAAGGTTCCTCGTGCTTGGAACTCGGTTGGTTGGGTGCCTTCGGTTAATTATACTGATGTGCGCGATGTTGCGGCTAAGAAGTCCGGTGATCTGGCCCAGCTTGAGATTGATGCTGGCGAGAAGAGGGCTGAGGGTGCTATGCATCTTGAGAGTGTTGGTGCTAAGGCTGATGTCTGATTTGTTAAGGCCCAAGGGATATTGTGCGATGTTTTATGATTGTTTTGGTTTGCTTTGAGCGGGGCTCGTATGGCTTTTGTGTGTTTGATAGACTTTCTTTCGTTGTGATATCTATGTCTCTTGCATTGGGATAGAATATAATGATTTACTACCTCTCAGGATGAAGTTTTACCTCCTAGGCAGCCCCTAGCCCCGGTAGTGGCCTGAATATGCAGGCTACCAAACGGCCTCCGACCAGTTGACCGCCAGTCTTGGAACTTCCATCTCATGGCCCATCATATCCCATCTTCTTACAGGAAAAGAGATCTAGCAGTACGCCTTCGTCTGAAGTTCGTCAGCTCCATCTACTGAAAGTTTACATAGCGAGTCATCAAATTTTACCCAAGGTTGACGCGAAATAACTCCATGAATTAGGTACCTGGCAATCTTAGCACATTCTCACAAGTCACATCGTGATTCCTTATTTCTTCTCTCACTGCGGAGAAATCAACTCCGCAAAATGGACTTGTCTCTATTCTGTCAAAACAATCTTCTCTATACCCAGGAAAACTTATCCAGATACCAACCTGGGGGATACCATCCAGTCAACCTCGGAGATACCTTCAAGAATGGCCGCTACGAAATCCATCACAAGTTAGGCTGGGGCGGGTTTTCCACAGTATGGCTTGCAAAAGACATAAAGTCAGTGGAAGGACTTGAGCAGCTCCGCCCCATTTAAACTAACATCAAACCAGCCATAACCAATGGGTCTCGTTGAAAATAATGACGGCAAACTCATCAGTATCCTCCGAACTGCAGAATCTGAAGCTTCTTGAAGAACAGTCCGGTGGAATTCTTTCTTCCCGTTATATTGTCCAGCTCATTGACCACTTCACCCATGATGGCCCTAACGGAGCCCACCAATGTCTTGTATTCGAATTGCTTGGGCCGACTGTCGATGAAGTCCTTGCAGATTACTCTAGTGTGCACGATGAGCTCGAACCGGAGATCATTCTGCGAATGTCTAAGCAGCTTTTGAGAGCTATCAGGTTTATTCATGGTGCCGGCATGTGCCATGGGGGTGAGTGCATGTTCCGTCTGCATTTGAGTATCTTATTGCTGATTTGCTTAGATATCAACGGCCGGAATATCGCGTTTAGCTGCACTCAGTTGTCGACCACAACCGAGGAAGGGCTGTTCGATGTCATTGGACCTCCGGAAATTGAGCCGTTGGCCTATATTGGTGGCTCACCGCTAGAACACGGATTGCCGTCACAGCTGATAAAGGCAGCAGAATGGGTTAATTGGATAGACGAAGATGACGAAGATATCCGCCTCCTTGATATTGGGGAGAGCTTTCTTCAAGGGGAGGAGCCGGAAACGTTAGCTCAGCCTGGATCCTTGCGAGTTCCCGAAACGATCTTCATGGATTCCTTTGATTACCGCGTCGATCTATGGCGTGTAGGTTGCATGGTAGGTCAAGGCTTTTCCATGTTTTGCAGTCAAGGTACTTATCAATGTGGGTGCTCTAGATTTACTATTTCTTGTTCAGAAAGTATCCATTCTGGTATCTCGGAGAAGATGAGGCGCTTGTCTTCCAGATGATAGATCTTGTGGGAAGTCTACCGGCCGAATGGGAGTCTCAGTGGGAATCGATGCAGGCGCAATCTACCCACGACCTGAAACAGGAAGAACAAGGTAAGTTGCCCGACATACTGTTAGGATTCTGTACTAATATAGTGCAAAGAGTGTGAAATCCCAAGGCTTGAACGCGAGTTCGCAGAAAGCGTGCACCATCCAGATCTCCAACCTCTACTACAAGTGACTCGAGGATTGATGCGGTTTTTACCATCCAGTCGCATTACCGCGGACGAGGCACTGAACTTGATCTGCGACACAAGTAAAACAGAATGACTTCGTATCGAGCATCAGATGCTTTTATCTGCGTTGATTCAAGGATCCTTTTCAGCACGGGCAGTGATTCTCGTTAATATTAGCAAACAAGCAAACAAGCCCTTCAACTGCGTATGTACTTACTAATATCTTACCCAATCTCCGATCAAATCCAGACAACCTTTTCTATGTTCGTGATAAGTCAAGCTCCTGCCCCACACCACGGGCAGATCCCGATACCCGCAGTGGAACACCGGTAAGCCGGAAGCCCGGACTCCGGAGTCGCCCTTCTGACATCATGAGTAGAAGCACAACACTCTTCGCCATTCAATTCCCTTCACCTTACAAAATACTTACTAGAAACTGTCATATATGAACATAATCATCGCTTTTGTGCCATCCTTTTGTAATATACGCCAATCCCACTCTGTGCCCCCCGCTAGCTCGAACCCGCCTCACCCGACTCGGCCCTACATCAGGCCGATATCCGTAGAATGGCTTCCGCAGCGCCGCCTGCTGCGAGGACCCTATCCCACCGTCATGAGTCCATCCAATCAGACGACTGGCCCGAGGACATCAACGCTCCGCCCGCACGACATGGAGACCACAAGCAGTTCACCGGAGACGGCCTAAATACCGGCGTCCGAGTCCTAAGTTCGTGATCACGCCCAGCTTGTACAGCTTGTAGGATATGGCTAACATCACGAAACTCCGGTAGGCGACGGCCGACTCGACATAAACATCAACGAAAACCGCCCCAGCATCGCCGGTATACTGAATCGGATCCAGCAGACACCCGCGCCATCAGACCTAGAAGATCTAGCAGAACAAGAAACACCCGAGCCAATACCCAAAGGCTCAGGACAAGATTTCCCACTGCGCATGAATATCGTCATCCAAGTCATCGGGTCACGCGGTGATATCCAACCATTCGTTGCGCTAGGAAAAGAGTTGAAAGCCCATGGTCACCGCGTGCGACTTGCGACACATCTCGCCTTCCGCGAGTTCGTCCTCGAGGGTGGACTAGAATTTTTCTGTATTGGGGGCGATCCGGAGGAGCTTATGGCATTCATGGTGCAGAATCCTTCACTGCTACCGGCATTCAGAACGATTCGCAGTGGTGCTATTCAGAAGCGGCGAAGGGAGATGAAGGAGATTATATATGGATGTTGGAAATCGTGTATTGAGACTGGTGATGGGACGGATCTGCATCAGATTAAGGATGACTTGTGGAGTGATGCGGTGGATTATCGCCGTCGGCCGTTTGTTGCTGATGCTATTATAGCTAACCCGCCTAGCTTGGCTCATATTCATTGTGCGCAGCGGTTGGGAATTCCGCTGCATATGATGTTTACGTGAGTATTCCTGTGTTGCAAGTGAGCTGGCTACATTCTGACGGAATATCTCCAGAATGCCGTGGACGCCGACGCAGTTTTTCCCGCATCCTTTGGCTGTTCTTCATCAGCAGGGTTGCAAGCCGACAGTCGCAAATTTCGTTTCTTATGCTGTTGTTGATATGATGATTTGGGAGGGGTTGGGTGATCTTGTTAATTCATGGCGGAAGAAATGTCTTGCATTGGATGAATTGGATTCGATCACGGCACCGAGCTTGATCCATCGCCTTCGAGTTCCTTGCTCATATCTTTGGTATGTCTGGACACGGTCAGAGTTGAAATCTTCACTAAATAATCGTCTCCAGGTCACCCTCGATACTACGCAAGCCACGCGACTGGCCAGAACACATCGATATCTGCGGGTTCAGCGTACTCCCAGCCAAATCAGACTACAAGCCCCCTAAGGAGATCGAAGATTTCCTGAATGCAGGACCTACTCCACTCTACGTTGGATTTGGCTCTATTGTGGTTGACGATCAAATCAAACTTACCCGAATTGTCTTCGAAGCAATCCAAAACTCCGGCCAGCGCGCAATTGTCTCAAAAGGCTGGGGCAATCTCGGCGTCGACGAGGTAGATGTACCAGACAACATCCTCATCATCGGCAGTGTACCGCACGACTGGCTGTTCACGCGAGTGTCATGTGTGATCCACCATGGTGGTGCGGGCACCACGGCCGCAGGTCTTGCGCTCGGGCGTCCGACTATCATCGTTCCTTTCTTTGGAGACCAGCAATTCTGGGGAGGAATTGTCGCCCACGCAGGAGCCGGGCCGACACCAATTCCCCACAAGCAACTCACAGTCGAGAAGCTGACTGATGCCATTGAAATGGCGCTGCATCAATCGACTCAAGAAAGAGCACAAGAAATTTCAAGGAAGATGCAGGAAGAATCGGGAGTGCGGGATGGAGTACGCAGCTTCCATCGACACCTCAACTTGAATTCTCTACGATGCTCTATATGTCCCAATCTCCCTGCTGTGTGGCACGTCAAGCAAACCCGCATTGCGCTAAGTGCATTTGCTGCGACTGTCCTAGTTGAAACGGGCCGACTAAAGCCGGACGACGTTGTTTTGTAAGTCTGTTCCTCAAGGTATTGAAGACTCTCTAACCAACTGGCCCAGAAACCGAGCCGTAGAATACGACACATACCGCGATCCTGTCGGCCCAATAAGCGCAGGAGCCCAAGTGCTAGTTGGCGCCATTGCAAACTTTGTAACCGGAATCGGCGAACTTCCGTACGACATGCTCTCTGACATTGTCTCCGCAGGTCGTGCAATAGGACATCCTATCCACCACGACCACACTTCAAAAAAATGTGCATGGAAGAAGCAGCGAAAAAGAAGCCGGGTGTCGAGCACAGGTAGTGAAGAGGAAGAGTTCCATGAGAGCCCCGAGTATCAGCCTGAGAGGGCACAGGGAAGCAGTGAGACAATGACAATGAGCACTGATGATGACACTGAAACAAACGATTTTACCTCGAGCTCCATCGCCCACGAGCGAAGCTTACAGCTCGAAAGGACACAATCGATGAGTTGTGCGGAATCAACGAAGCCCGGGGGTGCTATCTATGAAATCCGCACTCACGGCAGTCGAATGTCGAAGAAGCTTCTCAAGACCATTATATGGCTCCCTACAGACCTGACACTCAGTCTGTCGAAGGGATTCCACAATGCGCCAAAGTTATATCACGATCCGATGGTCAAGGATATGCCGAAGGTTATCGGCTTCCGCAGTGGCCTTTCTGCGGCTGGAGTGGTTCGTATTTTGGCCGAAACAAGGAAGTGGATTGGTCGTACTAACCATTGATATAGGAGTTCCGAGATGGCTTCTACTACGGCATTACAGGCTTGGTCACGCAGCCTAGATACGGATACCAGCATGAGGGCGCAAAAGGTATGGTGAAGGGGGTTGGGAAGGGAGTTTGTGGTGTTTTCTTCAAGCCACCGGCAGGTATGCTTTTCCTCATTCGCCATGCGTCTGTTGATTGTTCCTTCTCTATACAGAGCTAAACTAACTTGCTGAACCTTAGGGCTATGGGGGCTAGCTGGGTATCCTCTAGTTGGGCTTCGCAGGAAGCTGCAAACATCGCTAGGCAAGATTCAGGATCGTCAAATTGTCGAATCTCGGATAGCACAAGGGCTTGAAGAGATGCGGGCGTCGACTGCGGATGACCGCGCAGAGGTTGCTAGGGCATGGCGTCTTATCGAGGAAGATTTTAACGTTAGTTACTGAGGTCTTATTGACCTTCAACGAGACATCTGCACATTACCAATGTTGTTATCATGTACAACGACAAAAGCGGATTGCATTTGACGTACATATCATTTCATAGCAAATTGATGTGAATATTCCACTTCAACCTGCATTACCACCCTCGGCCACAAGAGCAAGTAACGCAAGGAGCACCGTTCTCTTCTGCCACTCACCAAGTATCATACAGACAGCCGTCGCCATAACCAGATCATACAATCGAGTCTCCCTCACATCACGCTCCTCCTCCAAAGTAGAAGAATTCAGACTCTGTTCCAGCTCAGAAACAACATTATCAAAAACCCAAAGCTGTCCGAATTTCCGACACGCGAAACTCGGCGTATAATGCGCAACAAGACGTCCATTCCCCCAACCGGGCATTCTAGCAATTAACTTGAGATGATGGAACGGCATGAATATCTTCGCCCATTTATTATCCGGATAAACGTCCCTCGTTCCTTCCCAGATGAACTCGATATTAGCGTACTCAAAGGCGTACCGTCTCGGATGCGTGGAGAAGGGAGAAGTCCAGTTCAAGCGAACTGCTTCTTCAGCAACGGCCGGTTGTGGTCTTGGTGACAAGGCAGCGGAGTATGAAGGAGGGGAAGCTTTGATATCAGTCGGATTCAGCTGTTTCTCGCTTTCAGCGGTGTCCGTCGTATGTCCGATTTCAGGACCAGCTCTGCTCTCCCCCTTTCCCTTCTCCTTTTCCATTCTCCTCCTCTCATTAACCTCCCGATGATAAACCTTCCCACTCTCCCCCCAAACCCTCCAACCACGGACTCTATACCCCTTCAACGCGCGATCATCATTCATCATATTATTAGGATTACTCCGACATTCCCACCTAACAACACCCCTAGGATCAAGCACACCCTTCAATACATCCCCAAACTGCAAGATCCAGTTTCTCCAAAGGACCCCGCATTTCAGTATGCAGATCGGTGGCCCATCTTTCCTGTTCCCGCGTCGGAGAGTCCGCGGTGCGTTGTGGAATAGTAGTGTCGGGTGGTGTACGAAATAGCTGTTTGTTTCGTTGGCTGGTTCGGGGGTTTCCTTGTGTTTGGATCCGAACTCTTTCTTTGCGTTTATAAATGGCGTTATGGTCATGTGCGAGTCGCTTTTGTGGTAGATGTGCCAGATTGAGAGGCGGTGGCGGGTAGAGAGGGTGTCTAAGAGAGACATTTGTGGAGATGTTGGGGTTTGGGATGGAGAGTGTGTAAGCACTGAGATGCTATGTGCCATGAAAGGGTGTCTAATGTTGTTTCTTCTTAAATACGAGAACGTCCTTGATGCCAAGACATGCTAAGGGGCAGTGCCCCAGTGGAGCACGTGGGTTATGCTTCGGGCACAACAGGATGGAAACTGACCCAAAGCCATATCTGATTCGATCAGGTTATGTGATGTTGAGGCTGTGCATGATAGAAGTTCAAGCCGGCAATCGGCACCGTTCTACATAACAATAACCACCTACGCATCAGACAGGATGTATCCGATAAGGGTAAACATGCAGGGAGATAAGGCTGAATAGGGCTGCATACTTCCGATCTATCTAGATCTGCTTATGCGTCGCAACGGTAACCCACTGATGCTGCTTCTCACTGAACACCTCACAAGTAGGCGCAGCGACCGTATCAAACAACGAAGCCTTCAGGAAAAGCTTCCCAGGCGCCTTGGGGGTCTTGGTATACACCGGGCTGTGATATTCGTTAGCTATACTCATCATGTACAGGCCATCCACCTCAACATACCTGCCGCATTTGGAGCAGAAATAGCGCTGTGAAGAGTCGCATATTAGTTTCGTTTCGTTTTCCAAGCAACTTATAATGCATGACATTGGATAAGGTACGAGATAATTGCTCACCTTTACAAGATTCCCACTAAAAGCCTTGGTATCCTCATACACCTTCAATGATGATTCCGAGTCTTCGAGGGTCACTGAATCCTCGTCGACGAAGTAGTTGAGGGAGAATGCTGGGTTTGCGTCATTAGCAAGTGTGTGGGTTGCTTGTGAGAATGAACGTACCACTTCCACCGGCGCGTTTGCAGGAATTGCTTTATATTAGTTAGTCTGAGGATCGGATAGACTGCCCGTGGGTAGACTCGTACCAATGGCAGATAGCTGTGTTGTCGGGTTGCTCCGGAAGAGTAATGCGAATGCTCTCGCAATTGCAGTGGCCTTGGTATGACATATCTGATTGGGTCGGTACCTAGAGATAGGCTTTTGTATCTATAGAGACGAGTTGAGTGCCCTGGTAGAATGACAGGAAGTGGAAGATTCGTGCAGGGGATCGGAATATGTACGTGAGAAGCGCGGAATTGAGAGTCGTTCATTCCGTCCTGAACTACGCTAAGTGACGTCAAAGTGTTCGGATGAGAATTTACTGTCTTCTTTGGGTTCTTTCATATACAACGTTGGAATGTGTAAGGAAGAACAGGGCGATTGAGGCGATGTCTCTTAATCCAGTCCTGAGGGCTCTAGAGAGCACTGAGCATGAAGGTTGGATTTAGACGTACGGGTCAAGATCGTTCCTATTACTTGTGATCGATGGACAATGTCGAGTCTCTGCTTAAATAGAGACAATGTTTAAATTATAACTCCGTCCCTCATACCCAGAGCTCAGTTTGTTGACAGCCAACCTACAGGGGGTAACCTCGCAGACTATGAAGTCAGTTAGAGTGCGTCCGATAAATCCGGTCCGATATCGGCCCTGATATACCAACACAACCATATGAAGAGAACATATAAAGTCGCTCGATAAGCCCCTTAGAACCTCAGAATTCCTTCAAATCATCAGCATCAAGTTAGAACGTACATCTCCGAATTGATCGACTCTCCTGTGCTCCTGAGTCCTGACATCCCCCGCCAAGAACACATCTCCGCTTCCCCACACTTCAGCCATCAAATCCAAACATGGCATCCTCTACAGCCAAGGACCACTGGTCAGCCGAAGTAAGTGCTAATTCCTGCCCAGATGCACTGATTCCCATTAACAAGCTCAGGCATACGCTACATCTGCATCCTTCGTACACTCAGCCAAAATCACAGGAAAGCTCCTCGAATCCCTGAACCCCCAGCCAACAGACAAGATCCTCGATATCGGCTGCGGAGATGGCAAATTCACAGGGAACTTCCTCCCCGCCATCGGATCCGTGCTAGGTATCGACTCATCTACATCGATGATTGACTCCGCCACCAAAGACTACGCAAGCCCGAAAGCCGAGTTCCGCGTCGTCGATTGCCGGTATTTGGAAAAAGAAAACTCCATTGTAAATGGATCATGGGATAAAGTGTATGTCTATCACACATGACAGTAATGGAATATCCTGCTAACACTCAGCAAGGATCTCCAACGCAGCCCTCCACTGGATCCTGCGCGATGAATCAACACGCATGTCGACTCTGCGCGCAATCCATGGCTGTCTGAAACCGGGTGGCACGTATGTCTTTGAAATGGGCGGACATGGTAACGTTGCCGAGGCTAAGACGGCCCTTTCCTATGTGCTAGTGAAGCAGGGGGTACCCATTGAACGTGTGAGAGAGGTGAACCCTTGGTTCTTCCCATCTGACGCGTGGATGAAAGCTGCGCTGGAAGAGGTAGGGTTCCAGGTTGAGAAAGTGGAACTCGAGTACCGCCCGACAAAATTGACCAGTGAGGCAAATGGTGGTTTGGCGGGATGGATCAGGCTGATGGGAGCGCAGTTGCTGGATGTGCTTCCCGAGGAAAAGCGGGAGGCTGCAGTGCAGGAAGTTTGTGATGTACTCCAGGATGTAGTGACTCGCGTTGAAGATGGGAGCCAGTGGCTGGGGTATGTGCGACTGAGGGGTATTGCGAAGAAAGCGGTTTAGGAGCTAGAGTAGTGGTTAAAAGCTTTCAGCTGAAAGACTGTTGTTCCTTGCGTCGTTGAATGAGAACACCCAGAGGAATGTCTTCCTCGTCATAGAATTCTGCTTCTTCGTCCACTCCAAAGTCGCGGAGACGTTCTCCTTCGGCATTTCTCCAGGATTCTTCGCCCTCGTCTGAGTCACTTTCAGAGCCAAGCTCAGAGTCATCGCTATCGCTTCGCGCGGAATCGTCTTTCTTGTACCGTTCGTGGAATGGTTTGCGTCGTTGTACGCCTGCATGTCTCTGGAATCGCTCCAAGTCTTCCTGTTTGCGTCTGTTGAAAGCATCGATCTCGTCTTGGATAGATGCATATGTAGGCATGCTTATATTACTGGGTCTTGCAATAGCCGGCACCGGGATGCGATCTGGATCCGGAGGTGGCCATGACAGGCCAGGATCTAATAGAGACGGTTAGTATTACACAAATACAAAAGCGTCTCATCTGCGTACCTTCAAATCCGTTAGTCTCAAATTCCCAGCCACTCTCACGATCGGGCGTCGCGGCCAATGGCCAGAACCAGCTTATGAACTATAGAGGCATTAGTTTCGATGTAGAAAGTCTGAGCCATCCATGAATACTCACATTCGAGCTGCCGCCCATACTTTGCTTTATATTGGCCCATATCCCAATGTCGTATGGAAATTCCTGCTTCTTTATGTAGACCCGGATCCCTCCAGGGCCATCGAGATATCCACCTAATACACGGGCTCGACGGACAAGGGTAGCATGTCTCTCGATTTCCCATGTTTCAATGGTAGTCGTATTACACCCGATCGCCCAGAAACTCCGAAGCAGAAGTACAAATAGAGCGAATACCGTGAGACTGTTTACCACGAGGAGTATGAACAAATGGATGAGCTGGCCTAACGTGGGCCCAAGATACTATGAGACATTAGCGACCCGGACCAGCGAAAGCCTTGATTCACTTACGCTCGGCAAATGGCTGTTCTTCCATACAACCGAAGCACGCTGCCAAAGAAGACTCTCAAGATAGGACATCCCGCCAGTTGCATAAAACACAAAGCGCATGAAGTGCGGCAAGGTGAAATGAGAAACGCAGTTCGAAGTCCAAGGACAATGATGATCCATTTTCGGAATGCATCTAGAAAAAGTCAGTAAGTATTGCTACGGCGGGATTATATCGCCAGACCTTTTGCAAGTCTTGCAGTGGTGAGCTCGAGGCGGTTTGTAAGCCTCGCATCTACGACACCATCGCTGGCGACCAGTGAGTGCGTCACCTTCAAGCCTCGGTCGCTGTTGAGACTTGGGCAATCGACCAGGATCTACGAAGCAGGTTCGGTAAAAGCATATCCAAATGCACAGAGCAAAGATATTGATCTTCCAGGTCTCATTTTTGGTGAGTGGCGCAGACTCAAAGTGCAAGAACAAGTACTGCGATGAATACGCAAGAAAGGCGATCAGCACGCTGACGGCTGGAATTGCAAGCTGAGATATTGAAAAGTCCTTGCTCAACATCTCAGCGCCTTCGGTGTGCGAATAAATAGAGGAGCTGGAGAGGCGTGAGACTCGACGTGTTTATCCAGGGGACTGTGGCTGTGCTGACTGACTAACGTGGCTGAGCCGGGGGAATTACAAGTCCAACTTCATCCTCTTCCAACATTAGCTGTGTCGAACTTCATCAATTCAAGACCTTAAGGCTACCTGCATGCTTGCTGGGTTTCTCGGACACGTTGAACACGATCAGCTGAATGAGACGATTTGTGGCACTTCGGCGATGAAAACCTAACAACAAATGTGCAGGATGCCGATTGAGGCTCTTCCTCAGAACACAGTCCGCGCGATTGGCTCGACCTCCGTCATCTCGGATCCTTATTCAGTAGTCAAGGAGCTGGTGGACAATGCCATTGATGCGTCTGCCACGTCTTTACAGATCGAAATCTCCCAAAACACCGTGGACGTTATACAGCTCAAGGATAACGGCCACGGCATCTCTCCAGAGGACCAGCAATATGTTTGCAAGCGTGCCTTTACCAGCAAAATTCAGACTCTAGATGATCTCAAAAATGTCGGTGGGTCATCTTTGGGGTTTCGGGGCGAAGCTCTAGCCAGTGTCGCAGAGATGTCGGGTGTTCTCGCTATTACCACCCGAGTTGAGTCCGAAGTGACTGGACTGTGTTTGAAATATGGAAGGAATGGAGAGCTTACTGGGTAGGTTTGCTATATAACTTTTGGCTCTCGAGTTTCATTAACCTTTAATCGTAGAACGTCACGGACATCTCATTCCGTGGGCACAACTGTCCGTATCACGGACTTTCTCAAACACATTCCTGTCCGCAGACAGACCGCCCTGAAGAGTGCTACGCGAACTCTGACGAGGATTAAAAAGCTTATCCAGGCGTATGCTATTGCTCAACCGTCTAAGAGGCTCTCGGTTAAGGTTTTGAAAGCAAAGAATGAGAACAACAATTGGAGCTATGCACCAAGCATAGATCCATCGCTTTCAGATGCAGCTCTGAAAGTAGCTGGCACAGAGGTCTCTTCTTCATGCGTCTTGAAGCGGTTCTACGCGCAGAGCGAGGCTGAAGCTTCAACTGAGAACACAACATATGAAGCAGTTGCTTTTCTTCCGAAACCAGAATTCGGTATGCATCCTATTGAATATTGATAGATGGTTGTCCGGTAATAACCAGATTAGATGCGTCCAAGATCAACAATGTAGGGCAATATATCAGTGTGGATGGCCGCCCTCTATCCAGCAACAGAGGTATTGGACAAGAGATAGTAAAGCTGTTCAAGCCTTATGTCCGTCTCGCGGCGTCCAAGAATGGATCTTCCAAGCCAGTGACCGACCCCTTTCTTTGTTTGCAAATTCAATGTCCCAGAGGGACTTACGATGTCAACATCGAGCCAGCAAAGGATGACCTCCTCTTTGAGGATCGGCAGCTGGTCCTGACCTTGGTTGAGAATTTGTTTCGCGATCACTATGGGGAACTAGATGCCACGGGGAAGAGGGCCTCCAAGCAGAACAATGAGACTATCTCAGGATGCGATGATGCCTCGACTGGGTTTGGGCTTTTGATGGCTAGAAAGCCAGCAGTGGACCCTGCCACAGAGCCTCTGATTTGCGATAACCCCTTTGACGATGCTCCAGCTCATACACCTTTACCACAGAGGCCAATTCGGTCTAGTCATGGGGTTTCACCCGATCCTTCTAGCAACGTGATCCCCGAAAGCTCCAACCAATCGGCCACTGCTAGGACCAAACGTTCCAGCTTTGTCAATCCGTGGTCCATCTCGAAAATCAATGCCTCGTTCCAAACGCCCCGACGTGAGCGCATTCCGCTAAACCTGACAAGTCCGAATCTCCCTAGTGGCAGCCCTCCGGGGCCCCGAAGGGGCAGTGATTCAAGAAGCCTCCTTAATTCACCGAACCTCCCGGACTTGACCAGTCCCCCTACGTCTCAAATTGCATCTGAGTCGCCAGTTCAGCGCCGTCGGCATCAGCCGCAGCCGTCGACTGATTCCTCTCCTGTGACCAATCGCATGTCAAGTTCCCGGCGCGCTGAGAGGGAGCGTGGTCGAGATCGCTATGGGAACGGAGCTCTCGATACTTGGTTCCAAAGGACTACACAAGTCTCGTTGCAACAAACCCCTGCCGAGGAAGCAATGACTCGAGAACCGTCCGATACGCCTCTTTCTGTTCTTGCTCAACAACGCTTCGGAGGATCTGCGGATGCTTCGCCAAACAGAGGGCAAGTCAATGGACAGAATGATGGTTGTTCAAATGCTTTGTCTGTAGGTGATGCTTCACAACACCCTCGACAAGAGTCGCCAGGAAGGGAGCACCAAGAAGATCACATTCCCGAGTCAATTGATAGTGGCCGAGGGTTTCCTGTCCTTGAAAGGTGGGCCGCACAGCTTCATGAGGGATTCGACGGAGAACCTTCTGATTTGGAGAGAGCACTTGACTTCGAGAGACGGAAGAAAGAGGCCATTCAGAGCAGTCGTTTACGTTATAATCAAGACATCAGATCGTCAGGCTCGCAGGCTGTTCCAGTTTCGCCTTCGCCTCATCGCAGTCGATACCTTGCCGCTAAAGCTGCGTTGACTTCATCGCAAACCTCCATAACCGAGTCAGTCTCTGCGACGACGCTTTCTCATGATCCACGGTCGTACCTCATCCGCCAACACAGAGACAATTCTGCTGAGGCTTCGACGCATGGTGACAAGACCCGGAAGATACCCACAAACCGACTTCCCTTAGAACGGATACCTGACGGCTCCGAGCTGTATAACCTTGGCATAATCTGCCCGGTTGACTTGTCGGCTGGATCCAACGTTCTCAAGAGGAATACGCCAGAAGACCTATATCTTGCGGACAACGAAGCTACGGCGTTCTCGGCATCTGATCTGGACGCATGTTTGCCGTTCTGGAACGAGCGGTTGACGCTTATCATGACGCAGCGATACAAGAGCAGAGACGCCTCGAAGCCAATGAGCATAAAGCTCGATCTTGCGGCCGCGATATCGCAGCATTTGAGAAATATCGATACCAATGGAGGCTAATAGCCAGATACAGTCGCGGTTCATCTCATGCCAGTCTTGCGCTTTTCCCTCTAATATCAACATTTCTTCGCATATGATACCCACACTGCATATTACATCGCATTCAATACAGTTAATTCCCTCATTAATTCCCACTTAAATAGGCCTGAAATGGCTTAGCGCGCGGTACACAAAAAGGAAGCCTAAATAAGTTCACCAACCCCCAACCTTCCCACATCCTCAGACATAATCATGCCGACCACAAGAAGTCAGACCGCTACCAACCGAATACCAGATATCGACCGAACTCGCAGCCAGGGAGTTCCTGGTCGCATAATTGAATGGCTGGACTTGGACTTTTCTGAGACATCACCTGTAAAGCAAATGAACTGGAGAGATTCTCTGAATGAGATTCAAGGGGTTGAGGGATGTCGCCACATCACTTTCGCATGCCCCTTCGAACTGCCTCACAGGCTATGGATTATCATTCGTAAGGACTCGAATGAAAATAACTAAACAGAAGAGAGGCTGACAAATGCATACACAAGAGTGGTTGTCAGAAACACACCGAAATGACTTCCACAGAACAGGCAGAATTGCTGGCAACGCCAAAACGACTCTTTACCAATATAGCGATAATGTCTATTCCATTTATCGAGTTGACTACTGCATTGGCAAGATGATACATGCGGGCTTCCCCATGTATCCCGATCCAAGAAAAATCCACGAAGTCTGGATGGTTTACTTTCCTGTCTATACACTGGACTCCGAAAAGAAGCGAGAGCGTCAGCTACCTATCCTGTTGAATTTCTATGAGCGCTATGATGAGCCTTCTAATCCGATGACCGGGATTCTCAGTCAAAGCATCGCCTGGCTATCGGGGGAGATCCATTACCAAGGGGTGCAATGTCAACGCCTCGCATGGTTTATGGAGTGGAGATCTAAGGAGGCGGAAGAGCTCTACAAAACGACCGTACGATGGGTGAGAGGGGAAAAAGGCAAACACTGCAAGCCAGAACTGACACTAAATATGTTCATTGATGACTTGAAGAGCCTTGGAATGGTCGGGTATGAGACGTGGCACGCTCACTTTGAGGATATCCTAGACGCGCTGCTACTGTAGATAGCGTACCGTACCAACCAAATAAAAACTCACTCCGCGCACGGGAATGTAGAGCAATCATCTCCGTCCATGTCCATACCGTCCGTGTCAATCGTTAACGTTTCATTTCCAGCCTTGCCCCGCAGGAAAGTGCGCCATGAGTCCATGACCCATGTCCATCCTCAAGCAGAACCGACCGTCGAGTAACTAAGGGGTCCTGAGACCCTCTTACCCGCTATAATTCGAGACCAATCAACTCCATTGAGGTACATCGCTGTGGTGAACAGCCATAGTTTATCAGCGTTGGTAACCGTCTTTTGGCCCCGCTCGACCTGTGCCAGATACCCAGTCAAAACCGGTCCATACGCCTTCTTAGTGACCACCGTCTTTCGGGTCCTTGACTAACTCATCGGTGATCGCTGTGGCGAGTCAGTACGCCATCGGCATCCCGGAAATGGAGTCCACATTAGTTACATAATCTTGACATCAACATCAGACCAAGCTATAAAACAACCAAGAAGTCGCGATACATCCCATAATCCACATAGAATCCTCTAGCAATGCCCCAGTATGGCATTCTTTATCCCCCCATCAGCCCTGCAAAACCAGGCAACTAGCTCCCTGCACTCCCCACCCCTCCAAAACAAAATGACCACCAGCGACGTGGGAATCTTCAAATCAACCCTCCTCCCCTCCCTGGGCATATACTCAACCCTCTCCCTAGCAACCTACCTCGCCGCCGAAGCCACCGACCGCGTCGAACTAAAAGACTGGCTCTGGCCCTCCTGCCAAGTCCTCAACGCCTGGTGGACCGCCATCGGCCAACCAATACACAAACACAACACCAGCCTCGGCACAGCCTGGGACGCCCTCCCCTGGACCGAGCGCGTTCTTCTCAGCTGCGTGACGATCTGGGGCACGCGACTATTTGCGCGGATTGCGGCGCGCTCGCTCGTGCGCGGGAAAGACGATTCGCGGTATGAGGCAGCCAAGAAGGAACCCGGGTTTTGGAAAGGCGCATTGATGAAGCTGTTTTTGCCCGAGGCGGCTATTTTGAGTGTTATTTCTTTGCCGTTTACTGTTCCGTTTACTGTTGGGGGTGCTGGGTTGGCGTTGGAGGAGAATGTGGTGAATGTTGTAAGGGCGGTTGGCGTTGCTGTTTTTGGGATGGGCTTTGCGATGGAGGTTATTGCTGATACGCAGCTTGGGTTGCATCGGCAGGAGAGGACAGATTTGTGTCGGCATGGGATTTGGGGGGTTGTGAGGCATCCGAAGTAAGTGATATCTGCTTGTCTAGGTTTGGATTGGAGGATGCTGATACATTTGGTTAGTTACCTTGGTGATACGCTGGTTCATTGCTCGTTTGCCCTGCTTAATATGGCGGGTTCATTCAGCCCGGTTGTTCTGCTGGGTCCTCTGGCTAACTATCTCTTCCTTCGGGGTATGGGTGGTGATAAGCAGACTGAAGCTAGTCAGGAAGAGCGGTACAAGTCCGACGATCCGCATAAGTATGAGCAGCTGCAGCAGTGGCGGAAGGAGAAGAACAGCTTCTGGCCTGCGATGCGAGACTTGGTGAATCCGTGGGCACTGGCTGTTGCTGGTTGCGGGTTTATTGCTGTGGTCATCGAGGAGGGATTTAGAGGTGCTTATGATATGTAGAGGCATGCAGGGGGATTTGATTGAGTACATGGCAATGCCTTCAATTTGTTGATTTGGGAATTTGGTGCTTCAAAGGAGTATAATGAAATGGACTTTTTCCACAATTCCTCCGATCTACTCCGCGTTCCAGCTTCTTTCTTCATAGTTCATATGCTGCATATCGATTTGGCAACCAAGGATTGGTACATATAACTCTGATAGGCTGAAGGTTCAACAATCAAGCCCGCTTGGCGCAGTGGTAGTCGCGCATCACTTGTATTTCCTTACTAAGAACATGATGAGGTCCCTGGTTCAATCCCGGGAGTGGGCTTCTTTTTTTCCTTTTACCTCACCTTTTTTTTGCATCAAAGCAGATAAGGTACATCTTTCTTTTTGTTGATGAATCGACGTCTGATCAATTTGCTTAGCACCGAATTATCCCAAATGCCTCCTCCCCCTAAGCCCAGCGAAAACAAATAGCCACCGTACTTAACTTCGGGCCTCGGCTCATGTTGGCCAACTAAGTATTCATGAGAGACTCCGAAAGAGTAAGTTACAAGGAATATCGAATAGGTACCTAGCCAGCATCATGATAAGAAGCTAGAATAACATCATTACCTACATGCCCAAACTAATACCCCTTCCCCCGATAATAAGCATTGACCAACGGCTCCCCCTTAGTCATCCGCCCCATGTTAAGCTTCAGGATATCAAGCGAGCGCGGGAAATACTCCATTCCCAGCGAACTGATATGCGGACTAATCTGCACCTTCGGCGTATCCCAAAGCGCATCGTCAGCAGGAAGCGGTTCAGGATCAGTAACATCGAGAGCAGCACCACCCAACATCCCCGAGTTAAGGGCCTCAATCAACGCCTTCTGATCAATGACTTTGCCGCGCGAGATATTAGTCAGATAAGGCTTGGTCGCATGGTGGTGGCAGTTCTCAGACAAGATGGCAAATTCCTCGGCACCTAGAAGACCCGTGGTTTGCGGAGTCAGCGGCAGCGAGATGACTAGATGATCCAGCCCGAGAGCCAGGAACGAGCGAACGGATTCCCGGTCTAAGCCATGGTGCCACGATGCCGGGATCGATCCATCTGGGTCGCCGGTGCCTGGCACAATGTACCCGGTGTCGCGGCGGGACTCTGGTGTTTCACGTGGGGAGGCCGTGTATGCGTGCACGGTCATGCCCAATGCTTGGGAGACGCGAGCGACTATCGGTAGTTAGCTTGAAGAACCATTTGGGGCTCAGCGTAGATACGAAATGTAAAAACTTCAATATCCAGGGAGTCAGGGACAGAGTGCAACATACTTTGACGTCCGATACTTCCATAACCTAGAATACCCACTTTCTTGCCCACCTGGTCATGCATACCTTGCATGTACGCAACCTGCTTTTCCCATACATGTGCTTTCTGCGCCTCGTATGACTGGGTGTATTTACGTGATGAAACTAGCCAGTTCATCACGGTCCATTCTGCGATTGGGGGACCGTGGATGCCTGAGCTTGTACTGATTGGGATCTGAGTGTCCCGCAGGATTGGGTGGTACAACAGGTGATCCAGACCCGCGGAGAGCGTGTGGATTAGTTTGATGCTGCATTTGGTCAGCATGCGCGGAACATTGTCTGAGGCTGGGGGCGTTACTTCTTTGCATCCTTGAGTTCTGGAAGGTGGATGAAAGTGACCAGGATGGTGGCATTTTGGTAGACCTCTGTTCAAAATCTTTAGTTTCTGGTGCTGCAAATATCTAAGGCAATGGTAGAATTACCAGCTGGTATAGGAACGCCCGGCAGGGCTATATGAATTGTGACCTCGGCATTGGAAAATTTGCTTCGGATATGCTCTTCCATCGATGCTGGCATCTCCTGGTGGAAGGCAATGAGCACTCGCTCCGGCGATCCTGAATCAGCCATGATAATGTTGGTGTTATGCAGTATATGAGTTCGGTGCAAGGATGTTCAGGTGTTTGGGGTGAAAAAGTGTAGAGCCGCGGGCGATAGTTTCTTCATCAAATTTCCCCGCCTCCGAGGTCGGTGGCTTGGAGGTAGTTCTGCGGACAATTGTCTCCAATTTTGACAGACTTGCTGACATTTGTCAGATACGAGAAAAGTTGACATTGCTCGGTTGAAAGATATCGTTCACGTTTCGTGAAATGGCGTGAAATAGTGTGGTATGGCGACACTTCTAGGTATACAGTTGACATGTCTCTAGGGCAAAACAGCACTTCATTAGCGGGACTACAGCCCTATCTACTAGCATTGGCGCGCTCAAGGGACAGGCCCCTAGAGGCTAAGAGTGCTCCATGTCCGTGACAATTCCAATCGGTCTTCCAGCACCATCAACCCAATCGCTGCTGATCTTAATATAAGATGCATTCGACGCGCTAGGCTTCACACAAGCAATGTGAATGTCTCCACAATAAATTGCACACCTAAAGCTTCAATTCAAAGCCGAATACGGAGTAGATGCAACGGAGTACGGAGTACTCACTCGGTATCTACGGAGTAAAGATTGACCAATCAGTGAGCAGTGGCACTTCCTGAGATGCTGATGCCTTTTTCCCATCTGGTGAGTCGTGACGTCTATCACTTTCTAGAGTGTCGGCTCACTCGGCTGCTTCACTCACAAACATGTCTACACAGGGCCTAGGCTAAATCAATCGAAACTCGTGTGTTTATTTGATCAACTCAACAAAGAATATTCGGGCTAATCGGCAATTCTCTCACTGGTCAACCGAGCAGTGGAGTTCTATCCCGCTCAACGGGCCCACCAAGCTTAGCTTGATTGATATTGGATCGGCAAGCCAATCTGGAATTTTCACCGGATCCAAGGTTCTACAGCTGTCAAGAAGTGACAAATCCTCAATTCCTTCAAAATCACACGTAGTTCAGGGGCATGCATATGCTCTGACAATCCATCCCTGCTCGGGGAATTTAGCCACTCTCTCAGCACGAACTACTCCATACATCAAGATGGACAGCGAGAGATCGTCGGTTTCCACGAGACTGGGTCTCGATCACGGTGTTTGATTCCTCGAATCTAAACCCTTACCCACCGTTCTTGATTGCTTCCTGCAATCGCTCCATGCAGATCCCCACCAAAGCACGGCATATCAGCGAAAACTCGCCCAATGCACGTCCAGGAGACAGACTCAGCTCGGCCATGCTCTAACTTCGCGCCACGCGAGCGGGTCAGCACCCGCCCGCTGTCTCCCAACCTGTCACGATTGAGGCCCGCAGAACCTCAGTCATCGAGCCCTGCAGATTTCGCTTTGTAGCGTTTCCATAAGGGGAAGAACCCACGCATATCCTAAGCTTAAAGCGAGCCTAGTTCCTTGGCCATCGGAAGAAATTACGCTTTGACTCTGGCGTACCTGCAGGAAAAAACACTAGAATAGCATTTTTAGACCCTCGTCGGTCTCGCTACAAATATGGGGATTGTGCCGTCACTCTTTACAGCCCGCTTCTCCCCCTCCTGCCCGCCACATAGTCACATCATACAGACCATGTCACAAAAAAGGCCAAACCGAACACTCCTAACCCGAGTCATCGAAGCCGCGCTGGATCGCGAGGAGAAAGGATACCCACCAATGAGCGCCCACGCAGCAACAGCAGCAGCCCACGGATTTCAAAGGGGAAATGGAACTGACATGCCACCGGCTGGACCGAGACGAGTAGCCACAACGCAAGAAGAATCCCTCATCCCAGTCAACGACAAGCTCCTCGTCTTCCGCGCCTTGACGGGAATCGACAGTGTGCCAGCGCTCACAGAGGCAGGCCATCTGGCCCGCAGCGCCCCGAACGTCGGCATCTACACGCGCGTCATCCACAACGAAACCAAAGCCCAGCGCGCATACAAACTCTTTCACTTCTTGATCAACACCTGTCTCGGCGTGCAGATTGTCGTAGCGGCGGCAGTCACTGCGCTCGGCGCCGCCAGCGGTCCGCATTCTGCTGTGACGGCGTTCGGTGCTATCAACACCATTATGGCGGGTGTTTTGACATACCTCCGTGGGTCGGGGCTTCCGGATCGATTAAAGACGTACCAGAATCAGTGGAAGAATATTAGAGAGTACATCGAGCAACGGGAACGCGAGTTCTGTCTTGTTGGGTGTCCGCTCGATGTTCAGGAAGAGGTGTTTATCGTCGAGAGCATGTACCAGAGCGTGAAGTCGGAGATGGAGTCGACGAGGAGTACGGATACGAAAACGCATCAACCGGATGATCCACGGATTCGTCGTTCTGTGTTGCCTTTGCGTGATGCGACGGATAATCAGTGCAAGAGGCCACACGCTGACGAGGCCACTTCCGTTGCGGTACCTGAACCGGCGCTGGAGAAGGATATGCGGTGACTTGGGAGATAAAGCTTAAATAGGGAGGAGAATGTGGCTATGATATCCACGGCTATGAACTTATGATGGCTGTTAATGTAATTACTATCAATGTCCGGACTTTCACGAAGATACTCAACTTCTCCCCTAACAGTATGAGAACGCGACGCGTCGAAAGACCTTCGGATCAGCGCCAGCACTGGGCTAATGATTACCAGGCCCGAATCAATCTGACTCAGATAATTATTCTATATTCACCAATGAACAAAATAGTCCTCACAGGCAGTTTGGAACTTTGGATATCGAAAATTCCACTGGAACACAGTACTAGTACCTCACTACCTCTCCACCTCTCGGCACCACCGGCCTCCACATTTTCAAAACAACCACCACTACGGACATTACCACAGTAAAACAACTACTGCATACACACACAACATACTAGACCAACAACCTATCCCAACATCCAACCCGACCATCCTACTGTGTACACAACATCCATGATGTCCCTAGAAATCCACCCAGCCGACCCCACCGACGCGTCCGCGCTAACAGAACTCTTCTACGCCGCCTTCACCGGCCCCTTCAACGAAAGAATGTTCCCACGCGCACCAGACGTAACAGAATGGTGGGAGAAGAATTTCCACGACAGCATCGCGGGCTCCATCGCCGGCACAAGCAACGAGGTGAATCTCAAAGTGACGTCAGGGTCGACGATAGTCGCGTTCGCGCGATGGAAGGTTCCCGGCGCAGATCAGGATCGACATGAAGAGGTTGAAGTGAATTGGGCGCCGAGTTGTGATAAGGAGCTTTGTGAGAGGTTTTTCTCCGGCATGGAGAGTCAGCATAGGGTTTTGTTGGGGGGGAGGAGGCATTATTGTAGGTTTTTCAATTTTTTTTTTCTCTTCTCTTCTTGATATTGGGCTAGACACTGATTTTGATACGTGCTAGATCTGGATATGCTTGGCGTTCATCCGTCGCAGAAGGGACGTGGGCTGGGCTCGAAGTTGCTGAAATGGGGCCTTGAGAGGGCTGATGCTGAGGGGTTGGAGGTTTACTTGTCTGCGTCGCCGGAGGGAAGGCCGATGTATGAGAAATATGGGTTCCGGGTTGTTGATGTTCTTGTGCCGTGTCCTGGGTACGAGCAGGCGGCGATGCTACGAGCGCCTTACGGGCGATAGGAAGCAGAGACTTCCACATGCTATGATTGGCCCAGTCTTGACGGCAGGGCTATATAGAGCAAGGATAGCCATGTTAGCAAAGAGGAAGCAGATGATGCACTCGCAAGCCATTGTGGCTTGCGAGGGGGATGTCAGTAGTGAGAAGCCCGAGTATAGTCAAAAAGGAAATGCTAGCTACGTTATTCTTGTCTAGGCCCTCGATTTGGAGGGGTTTGATTGCACAGACAATGATTTTACAGCCCATTTGATGTCTTGGCATGAGGACTATCACATCGATGGAAGGTGTTATGGACAGTCCAATACGCGAATGTCCTCCAGCTCCAGAGCTCCAGAGCTCCATCTCCAGTTCCCCGGAGCAACCGCTTATAAATCCAGGATTGATAATACGCGGGCTCCACCGTCCATTTGCGGGGTTATACGCGGTTAAGACGATACGCAGTAGACCATTTAACCGTCTTTCAATAATTCACATCTGCTGACTACACGAACATCTGAGAATCGATCTTCGGCTTCCTATTAGTATTTAGTACATTTCAGGAAACGACCCTCGCTCAAGACCCGGCCAACCCTCCTACCGTTCATCTTGATATCAAGGATACGAACAATGACGAAACTATTCCTGTGAGTCTGTGCTTCAATTAAAGATGTCCAGCTCTAACAAGCCAAAGCACCGGGGTCACCGGCTACATCGGCGGCGACGCCTTAGCCACACTCGTAGCCAAACACCCAGAGTTCTCCTACACCGCGCTGGTTCGCAGCACCGAAAAGGCCGAAAAAGTAAAAGCCCAATACCCATCCATCCGAACGGTAATCGGAGGTTTGGACGATTCCGCCTTGATCGAGAAAGAGAGTGCCGCGGCAGACATCGTGCTGCGTAAGTCCCTACTCAATTCCATTTTATCACGACATACATCCATGCATGAACTTCAGGAAATCCTACTAACCAGACCAAATAGACACTGCGGATTCCTCCGACCATGTGGGAGCAGCTAAAGCCATAATTGCCGGTCTGGTCGCCGGCCACAGCAAGGAAAACCCAGGCTACTGGCTGCACACAGGCGGCACGGGCATCCTGACATATGAAGACACCGATAAGAACGAATACGGAAATAGAAGCGAGCATGTGTACAACGACTGGGATGGAGTAGATGAGCTCCTCAATCTACCTGATCACGCATTCCATCGGAATGTCGACAAACTCGTCCTCGAGGCTGCAGCCAAGCACTCAGACGTTCTCAGGACAGCACTTGTCTGTCCGCCCACTATCTACGGTACGCCTACAAAGCTCACTTTCATAAAGTGCAACTACTGAAAGTCCACCAGGAACAGGACGCGGTCCAATCTCCCAACGCAGCCGCCAAGTCTACGAACTAGCAAAACTAACCATCCGCCAACAAAAAGGTCCCATAATTGGCGCCGGCCAGTCAATCACTAATCACATCCACGTCCACGATTTAAGTGACGTCTACGCTCGACTCGTCGACGCGGCAATCGCAGGCCGAACAGACGACGGCCTCTGGGGTCCCAGAGCCTACTATCTCACCGAGAACGGCGAGCACTGCTGGGGAGACATAGCAAAAGCCACAGCCGAGATAGCCGCCAAATTGGGGTACATTCCCGAAGCCAAGACCGGACCTCTCGATCTCGAAAGTGCCAGGCAGAATGCAGGATATGAGTCTGTTAGCTGGGGGTTGAATTCTCGCGGACGTTCGCTGCGGGCGCGTAAGCTTTTAGGTTGGAAGCCTTCGGCGCCTGGGTTAGTGGAAACGTTACCGGAGATTGTGAGTGGTGAGTGGCGGTTGCTGCAAGAGAAGGCCTGAGGTGATAGGGGTTTGTAAGTCGGGTCGTGGCATGGGTCTTTCCTTTGTTTCGGAGTGGCAGTGTTCTTTGATGTAAGGAAGCAGCCATTTACCCAGCGGTCTGGTGCTGGGTTTTATATTTCCGGTCAGCAGGAAATGGGGAAATCGATGCGAGGGACAGGTGTCATGATGTAGACTGTGGATATTTCAAATCGGGCTAGATGCTAGATCCTCTGAATCGAGACATATTCCACTGCAATGAAGTGAAGCTCTTTTGATGTGGGGTGGTACAAGAGTAAGGTATGCAGTATATTTAGGTCGTCAATTGAATCCTCAGCCTCACCCATGATTCTTACCTCAGTCAGGATTCTCAGTTAGAACAGTGTATACTTCTCAGCCCGGGACCAGGGAAACACCGTGAATGGAGCAACATTTCAATGGAATCCCCAAAGAAAAGTCCATATCGAGGACTGTGGACATCTGAGGCAAACAATTCCCTCCCTGACTGACAAACGAACATCGGCGAGCAATTAAGCCGACTCCTAGCACGCAGCTGCAGTCGCATTCATACCCCAACCAGGTCGTGGAAAACCCTTGACAACCAATATGCCCGTATCCAGACCAAACATAGCGAACCAACAGAACACACATTGTCCAGTTTGAAATTCCATCTCGGATGCCGCGTGGACTGGACATGTGTCTAGCCTACTATATATGCCTGCACTATGCCTAGAATTTATGCAAGTTTCCTTTTCCTTGATAATCTTCACCAGGAATTATCTATATCTCGCTGACCGTTTGACTGCCTACAAACTTGTTATACGCCATGGCAGACTCAGATTTTCCATTCTACAGACCCGGAAGATCCGACTACGATGACAGTATCAGACCATCGTTGGATCTAAAGAGGAACAAAAGAGTCGACGATGACAAGTTCACTTTGGGTCGAAGGGGGATTCTGGTCTTCTTTACGTTGTCTGTTCTCACATTGATGGCTGCTCTGGATGGGACATCGCTCTCTGTGGCTCTTCCTGTGAGTTCTTCAACAGCCTCTCTGGGCATGATCATGAAAAGCTAATAATGTATAGGAAATTGCACAAGAACTCCACGGAACAGCCATTGAGGCATTCTGGAGTGGGACTTCGTTCCTATTATGCTCAACCGGTAACTCTTATATGCTGACTACAATACATCCATCTAACGTCAAAAAGTATTCCAACCAAGCTTCGCTTCATTCTCCAACATTTTCGGCCGCAGACCCATGATCCTGCTTTCCCTGGTCTTCTTCACCGTTGGCGCCATTCTATGCGCAATCGCAAATGACTTCACATACATGTTGATCGGACGGTCGATTCAAGGTGTCGGCGGAGGAGGCATCATCTCCCTAAGCGAGGTGATCATCACCGATCTCATCCCGCTGCGCTGGCGAGGACAGTACTTTGGGATCCTCAGCGCAATGTGGAGTGTCGGATCCGTTACAGGGCCAATTCTTGGAGGTGGATTCTCCGAGAATGTATCATGGGTGAGTCAATCCTTGTATACCTAGTCGTATAAACCCCACAAACTACATACCCATACTAACAACCCCCAGCGCTGGATCTTCTACATAAACTTCCCCTTCATCGGCGTCGGCGGCATCCTCGTCATCCTATTCCTAAACCTCAAACTCGCCCCGTCCTCCCTAACCGAGAAACTTCGCCGAATCGACTATTTCGGCACCGTCCTCTTCGTCGGAAGCATGTCATCCTTCCTCATCCCCCTAAGCTGGGGCGGCGTATCCTACGACTGGGACTCATGGCGAACCCTAGTCCCACTCTGTGTCGGCGTAGCCGGTCTACTCATCTTCGGATACTACGAATACCGCTTCGCCTCCGACCCGATTATCCCACCGCGGGTCTTCCAGAACCAAACAGCAGTCGTCTCATTCATCGGAAGTGTCCTGCAAGGTCTAATCCTCTGGTGCGCTCTGTATTACCTTCCACTGTACTACGAGGCTGTCAAAGAATACAGTCCTATTCTCTCGGGTGTTGCTCTTTTCCCTGAGACTTTTACGGTGGCGCCTAGTGGGATGGTTGCTGGCATACTGATTACACTTACGGGTCGGTACAGATGGGCTGTGTGGCTTGGATGGGTTCTGTCGACTGTCGGACTGGGTCTGATGTGTCTGATCAAAGTACACACCAGTGTCATCGGATGGGTATTCTTGAATATCGTCCCTGGTCTCGGATTGGGAATCTTATTCCCGTCGCTCGGGTACGCAGTACAGGCCTCGTCAGAACCAAAAGACCTGGCTATTGCAGTCGCCATGTTTAGTTTCTTCCGTGCTCTGGGCCAGGCAATTGGCGTTGCGGTCGGTGGTGTGGTGTTCCAGAATCGCATGTTCAGCAATCTGATGAAATACTCCGCGTTAGCACCTATGGCGGGGGCTTATAGCAAGGATGCTGCGGGTTTGGTGCAAGTTATCAAGGCTATGGCCGATGGGACGGATAAGGCTAATCTGAAAGAAGCTTATACGGACAGTCTTCGTACGGTGTGGGTTGTTTGTTGTGCGGTGAGCGGTGTGGCGCTGTTGATTAGTCTCTTGACTGAACATTATGATCTTGATCGTGCTTTGGAGACGAATCAGGGTTTGCTTGATGATGATGATGAGGTGAGGAGCGAGAAGGACTTTGAATTGAGGGTGGAGAGGTCGATGGTTACTGAGTCGAGGCCTTGGGCGTGGTAGTTCGGGGGTTTTAGGGTACAGGATTGTACAAAGTAATGATCGAGATCTCTATTCTTCCTCACTCTCTCTCTGCCTTCCATAGACGCTAATCCCTTACACATTACAGAGCCGGGGACACTAGGGAGGGTGAAGACATAAAGATAGGAGGATGCAAGCCGAAGAACCAGGCTGAACAAATATTATTGACACCGAAGACGAGCTTCATAAGAAGTCGTGTATAATCCTACTCGAATAAAACATGGAGCATGAGACAGAGCAAAGTCATAACATCGTAAAGAGGACATAAATAGCAAAAAACCAAAATTGGAAAGATTGAATCAACGACCAAGCGCACGCAGTCGGTCTTTGAGTAGATCCATTTCTTGGTCATGACCCATCGCGCGCTTTTCCCGGACCCGATCACTATCCTTAACCACCACAGACCGATAGTTTCCATCGCCATCCGGTGCCCCGACAGTAACCCAGACGAACTTGGTTCCCGGGCTGTCTGGGTGCGAGCGCTCCTGTGTTCCTTGCCAAAAGGCCTCGTCCGGCATGGATTCGGTAGAATCGGTTGAAGACGGACGACCCCCAAGCCGGCCGAACTTGATCCAGACTTTGAGGGTATCCTTGATAAAGGCGATTTTCTGAATAAACGCGTTGGCATCGAGGATATCCCGAATACGGTCTTCGGTGGAATTGACTGAATCGCCGTTCGCGATACTCAGGAACGTGGCTGCCTCGTCAGAAGCCACGGCGCGGGTGTCAAACCCTGCTGGGTGCATTTTGCCTTTGGCGGCGAAGAAGCGAGCCGCAGAGGATGAGAGATGGTAGAAGTCGATCCAGGGAGAGGAGCTGCGAGTGCGGCCGGGTGAGATCACCAGCTTGGTATGGTCGGGGAAGTTGAACTGGAAGGCTCCGTCTCCGAAGCCCCAGATACCAACGTTGCCTAGACGCTGGTAGAACTTGACAAACTGGGCACTGTTGTGCTGGGGCAAGTCTTCATCCATGATGCCTTCGTCGCCATGTCGTCCAAGCGCTCCGATCATGTATTTGCCAAATTGATCTACAAGCTTCATCCGCTTGATCTTTTCCGCATCGGCTCGTTCAAGATCGTTTCCGGAGGTGCTACGAATCTTCAACGCCTTTGAACTTCTCGCGTCGAACAGTGAGGGGGAAATCAACGCGCGGCGGATGCCCCGGCACCCTAGCAGATCGTCGTCTCTATTCTCATAGAACTCTACCGGGGGTCCAGTCCGGGGAACTAGTTGGTTGGCCTCGGAGTAGTAGATCGGTTGCTGTTTGCCGTCGTCGACGCTGCGCGCTTTCCGGCGGATGTGTCTTTCACCATCGCGTACCACAACACTCGTCGCAGGCTGCCCATTTTCGCCTTTGAACACACATCCAACACTGCCATCATCCAGGACATACCCGATTCCATAACGGTTGGTGTAATCAACCCATTTGATGACGTAGGCATGGGGCTGTTTGCGCACTCCGCCTCTTCGCCGGCTTGGAGCGTGGTTAACTAGGTTAGACAACATGAGACGCAAGTCTGTATTGACCTCGGCGAGAGAAGTCCGTGGCAACAGTCTACAATCATCGTCCGAGTGGAACATAGGACTGAGCCCCAGACTTGAACGTGCTCTACCAGTGGTCTTGCTGTTACTCCGAGCAACACCGTTGGAGTTGGATCGACCGAGTCCGTTAGATTCAGCAATCTTCGACTGTGCTAGTGAAGACGGAGCTGTTTCTTCAATGGGGCTGTCCCTCCGTCGTTCGCCTCGTGCAATGCCTGCTTTGAGGTCTGCTTTAGACGACCTTAGGGATATCTGCCGGCTGGGCACATCCTGCTCCGGTCTAGTAGACGGCCGCCGTTCGTTCGGTGCGACAAAAGGCTGTAGCAATCCCTGGTCAGCGGCTGCCAATCTGCGAGACTGAGAGCGTGTTTTGCCTACAGTCAAGCCAGATGGCATGCTTGTGGACTTGGCTAATTGGGGAACGGTTTCCTTGTCCTTGTTGTGAAGGGTGGTGGCTTGAGAAGCGGATGCCATCCTCCGTGTCCGGATGGGACGTTCCGCGAGGCCTCCCGACGGTACGTCTGTAACCGGCGGGGGCCTCGCGGGCGCTTGTGGGACATCTCGGTACGGCCTAGAAGATAAAGCAGGGGGATCGCTAATCCCAGGTGCTCTCCGGGGAGAGACAGGAGGTACTCGGGCCTGTTGACGTAGGGTCGCTGCGTGGTTTTGGCCCTCCAGTCGGCGCTGTTGAGCAGCTGCAAGCGCGGCATTGGTGCGTGATGCTGCGATAGGGTTAGGACGAACCGATAGACTTCGCTGAGACATAGTGCTGCTGTTAAGCATCGACTCATCAGAGCGGATGACCTTGCGGGAAGTTTCCAAAAGACACCAATCACCCTCAGGGTCATGAGGCCATTGGTAAACATAATCCGGCTCCAGGGGTATCATCGGCCGCAGACCTCTGGAGTCCTCCACATCACACTCAGAAAATGCGGACTTGGAGCAGTTCTTGCCAACGGATTTGCGCGCCGTACCATCAGGCTTGCGTCCCACGCCACAAAGTGAGTAAAAGGCAGCCTTGCAGGAGTGATAGCGCTGAGAAGGATCGTCCACTTGATACACATAGGCGCGAAGCTTCTCATCCGAGTCCAAGCCGTACCCGCTGACCACACAATCACCCCGAGGCGACGCATCTTTGAGCCAGAGCGGCTTGTTGAATCGACATGATGGATCCAATTGGCGAGGAATGCAACCATCGTACATGTTGAAGAATGGATGTTCGACAATGTCGTCTGGGTCTGGCCGTTCTTCGTCGACGAGATTCAAGCAACGACTGACCAAATCTTTTGCTTCCTCGGGGATGTAGTTGGTGGAATCCGATTCCTTGGGCCATACGTAATTCAAGTTCTGCACTTTTCTATACACCTCCTCTTGCGTTTTTGACTGAAATGGTAGGTAGCCGGCGAGCATGGCAAAGCTAGAATGCAGTCGTGAGTAGGACATACCTGGTCTGTGGAGATGCGCATTCTTACCATATCACACCTAGAGACCAAATGTCAACCTTCTGTGTGTGGCCACCCTTGCTCTTATCCAGAACTTCTGGGGCGATATAGTTGGGCGTTCCACACAGCGTATTCCGTCTCTTGGCATCTTTATCTGAAAGAATCATAGCTGCCAGCCCGAAATCCCCGACCTTGATGTTCATATTGTGATCGAGGAATAAATTCCCCATCTTCAAGTCGCGGTGAGCGACAAAGCGTTTGTGTAGGTATTTCACGGCCGAGCAGAGCTGAATCATAAACCGGCGTACTTCTGGCAAGCTCAGACATCGTCGTTTCCGGAACATATCCATCACCGAGCCATTCGGACATAACTCCAGGACGACGTATGTGCTAGTTTCGAAGGCGAACGCGCGATAGAACTGAACAATAAATGGATGGCGCATTTTCGAGTGGATTTGAAGTTCGGTTCGGAACTGCGCAAAAGTCAGGTACTGTTAAACAAGTGTATGCGACGGCTCGTACCTTCTCCTCCATCTTCTTTTGTGACATTTGTGACTTAACGACTTTCATAGCATACACTCGCCCATTGCGGGCCAATGTACCCTCATAGCACACAGCAAAGCCGCCTTTCCCCAGGAATCCGCCTATTGAGTATCGCTCCCCATCTCCCGGTTCTGAAACTATTGACGGCGGTGGGTCGGCGTAACTTTTGGATGTGGAGAGCTTCTCTTGTTGCTGGTTGCTTGGAGGCGCAAGGTTCTTCTCATAAGCTTTGCGATCCATGGCCAGTTTAGGTTTGATCATTTGGTTTGTTGTGCGCGGGGAGAGGGCCTCCATCATTGGGTAGTCTGTCTATGGCAGTCGAAACGAGATAGCAATGATTGCGGAGAATTCGGCAGGGGGTATCAAGCGTAAAGATTATCATGAAAAGCGAGCAAGTGCTAGTGTAAAGGGTATCAAGTTCCGGCGATAGTAGTATCCCTGCAGAGACCGAGTCAGAATTCGCTCCGTCGGGAAGCCGAAGCCGTCCCAGTTGAGAACGGAATGGAGAGAACATAACTTACCGAAATGCAAAGCGCTAAAGTAGCAAAACTGTACAGATCTCGGAAAGTCGACAATGGCGCGCTCAAATTGAGGGTTGGGGGAAGAACTGAAGAGTCAACAAAGATGGGCCATAACAGATTGCTCAAAACGGTAATCGATAAACACCGCCCTTGGCCCGTGAGATCACGTGTGGACCATTTCCCCATGTCGTCTCGGGATTTGGTTTTTCGATGTTTATTGTTTTTACTGATTTCACTGAAAATGGGATATACCTCTTTGCCTGTCGGCTGTCCTTAATACTTTCCAATTGGGCTGTGGTCCGTTGCTAGGAGGTATTGTGCGATGCGGAATATCTTTTTGTTTACTCCACGCCAGGCCGAAGAGCCGGTCTGAATCTTCATATCAACCCGAAAAGTTAGAGAGAACTTCAGAGCAATAGAATGTATTAATGGCCAGGAACACAGCATTATCACCAGTTGTCCATGCGACTCACTCAACTCATCTATTTTGAGCTTTCTTTGTGCTCTGGATGTACTTGGGTCTTTCCAGAGTGGATCTCGGGGTCTCTCAGCCGACCGCTTGCTCGGTTCCATCTGATAGGTATCATGCGTGCTCAGCTTGGGCTGCTTGGCTGAAGACTGCGCATTACTTATGCCCTACTGTGATATCGGGTTGTCACCATAGATGCGGATGAAAGAGATGGGGACAAGTGCAGGAATAACCTCAATGCCCACACTGATATTCGTCCAATACTCCGTACTGGATCAGTGGATCACAAACAGGTAGCGATATGTCCGTCATTTGGGCGTGCCTTTCACAGGTACACAGTACATGTACTCAGGGCTCTCCCTGCGGTGTAAAGCGAGAAGATTCCTAGGTGCTCTTGCCTCTTGGGTGCAGGGCGGTGGGCGATGACGAAATGGCAATATCGTGCTGAGTCACGCACGCGCGGCTCCGGGCCGCGCTCCGACCTCCGAGATGGATAAACTCCCGCGGAGGTAAGGAGATGACTCAAACGTCATCTTTGCTCTCTACATCGCCCAGCCATGTCTTTGACACTGAAGCTCTCCTCGTTGGTCATCAGGACATTATCCAAACCAATTGCTGTAAGTTGTATCTTGAGATCTATGTTAAACAAAGGCTGACCAGCCCAGTCTCAAATCAAAGCCCAGGCTCGCGAACATGAGCGGTTCCGAAAGATCTGCGTATCCATGGCTCAGGGCCTTCACCGATTCGATATGCGTCTCAAGCTAGGTTCCCTCCGTGACAGTGCCGCCGCACAACGCCAAGCCGCTGCCGCAGCGGAAGCGCGAAAGCATAAGCCCACAAACCCCACTGTTCTAAATGCGGCCGACACGAAAGCTGCCGAGGAAGCAGAGGCCAAAGCCAAAGCTGCAGCTGAGGAGGCTGCGAAACCACATCATTATCGTATCCGGCCCTTGTCCGAGTCCAAAGCCATCGAGTCCGGTGCCAACTTCATCTCTGAATCCTTCTTATTCCTCGTTGCTGGAGGTCTGATTCTCTTTGAGTCATTCCGGTCACGGAATAAGGAAAGCACACGACGAGAAGGTGTGGAAGGAAGACTGGCTGAGTTGGAACAATCTGAACAGGCGACACGGGAAGCTCTTGTGGCACTAGAGAAGGAGGTGCTTCTGTTACGAGCGAAGCACGGCGACTTGCCCAAGCTGCCCTCACAGAGGATTCTCTCTCGCGAAATATACGAGCAGACGCCAGAATTAGAAGCGCCACCCGTTGCAGGGGGGTGGTTCTCCCGCATTTCCTCTCTTATCACTTTTACCCGAAGTGCTGAAAATACAACCGAGTCTACAGCTGACACTCAGCCCACGAAGGAAATGGCTGCTTCGACAAATGGAAAAGATGCATCAGCTACTCCAGCAAGTCAGAGTCCACCAGCTGGGTCGAAAAGTGCATGACTGCTGTGCGATCAGCCTCCAGCGGATACTATCATTTTAGAAGGTGGGAATTTGCAATTATTCTGTTTGGTCAAGATACCCCGATGTGCGAAGACCACTGTAAAGGCCTTGAGGAGTTATTTTATCCTCCAGAGCAGGCGTTGTGAGGATCACTCTGTGTACAGTACAAATAAACCCCACTCTACGAACTTCCATATTACGAATTCCTCTCTAGCGGCTTAAATGTTCTTCCAGAAATTACTTCCATGCCGACAAACGCCATGTCTTTACACGTCTTCCGCCACTGCAGTCCATCATAGTCTAGCAGTGAGGCCTTGACGGTCACTTGGACTGCATCTTTCTCGGAACGGAACATCTTTGGACAATTGCACTAGGCATTGGAGCATAGAGTCAACACAGCTGTCAATCCTGCCCGTACTCCAGGCTTCTCGCGTTTGATCCTTCCAACAAGATTTTGTCAATTACAGGATCTGCGGAATTATTCATTGCCGCAGGATCGATGCCTGAGCTCTTTCATGACCTAACTCTCTCTTTGTTGCCATCCTCGCGGACCACCTGGAGGCTCCGACGCCGAGACTAATTCAAGTAACGAACGACACGATGTTAACAAGGGAAGCAATGCCCTTTGTTCCTTGCATATTGGTCTTTGTCCATATTCCTTTCTATTGTCTCTACCACAATAGTCCTTGTTCGCTCGACCCGAAAGAGCCGCACTCGAAACCGCATATAACATACGAAGTTTCGAAACAAAGCTCTACGGTTTTTTTCGCCAACTTGTTACCAGTCTCTCATCAGGCATACTATTCGCTTGTTTCGTATCACCTCCATCGTCTTGGTCTGCCGAGGAGAGCTAAACTCCGAAGTTACTGACATCCGCCGGTATAACCATGTCGAACGAAGCTATGCAAGGACGTACGCAGGCAAGGGACTTTATGATCGAGCATGGCAGATTCTGGAACTTGCTCAATGAGATTCTACATGGTTTGACGCACCACTACCCTGAAAGTCAAGACCAGATCATCGGACGGCTAGGCCATCTTTCGATCGTACTATCCAGCTATCAACGATTGGGCGATTTCCTAGGCCAGTCACTTCCACCCGGGGACAATGTTCGCCATCCACCCCGCGACTTCTTCACAACCCAGGCACAACGACACGAGAACTTCTTCGGCACGATGTTCGCGTACGCCTGCTGGTGTATCCAAGCCCACTTGAACTGCGTGATCCACGATCTTATGAGCGACAGAGACCATAGCCGCATTATGGAAAGGCTGGATCTGTCAATGGTGACTTGGCAATGGATCGAGTCGCAGATATTCTCTTACCGTATCCGTGCATTTTATCGTTCGCGGTTAACGCTAGTCTGGCAGACCTGTCGACAGTCATGTCCTCCACCGGGAGTATCGGTAGAACCACCACGGTCTGGAGGCCCAGTCCGTTCCAGCCGTGTGTGGTTTCTTTTACCTCCTCCAACCCCCACTACTCCGAACCCACAGGCAACAGGCACACGCTATCATCCGTCCTCTCCATATCCCGGCAGGGGTCAGCGAGGAGGACAAAGGCGGGGATCTTCACTGCCTGGTCCCAGGTCCGTTATCGGCCCGGAGAGTCTCCCTGATGGAAGCGTCTCTCACGGTGCGTTGGGCATTCTTATACCACCGCCGGATGATCGACCTAGGCAGCTGGGGCACGAGTAAGCATGCGACCATATGACCTCAGCCTTGGAACTACATAAGCGCTTGCTATACCTGGACCTTGGACATGAAAGGCGAGCGCATTGGTGGGTCGTGTCACATGGTGCTTTCGTGAGGTTGTGTTGAGGGTCACACTTCACCCAGACATCATGCCCATTGGTCTTCTCCCATTTCTAATCCGGTATCTACTGAAGAGCGAGAAACGCGAACCTGTCTGCGAACCAGGTCCGCCACTGGGAGTAGTGGGACTACAGGAGAGGAGATTCAATAGTCCGATATCATGATGATACGATACATGTTAATCTACTTACTCCAATAGCTGGCTCAAACAATGGTCATAGAGCACGACCTTGATAAGACCGCGAAAGAGCAGCCGCCATTTAGCATCAACGAAGTCTTCGCTATCACGAATCATTTAGTAGCTGCCTGTGATATAGCCTTTCCAATTAAACACGCTGCGAAAGATGACGGTTTCAACTTCAGCCCGACCTGGAACCCTTGTACTGTCTTCCTGTTATGAAGCGGAAGATGATGCGTTGAAGTGGAAGGACATTGACCTGTATATGGTGAACACTCCCAATATCCCGATGCTCCAGTCTCTCTTATGAAGGTTAGGCATAGGCGATCACATAGTTTATAAAGTTTGCACCTGTAAACTATACCAACGGCGATAGCATGGTAGCGGGCATTTGGAGAGAAATTCCATCTGGGCGGTGACACGGCGTGGTAGCTTCTGATGCTCTGATGGATTCAACCTTGAAACCCCGCCGTGGAATGGAACCCAATCAAATATGGCCTTCCTCACGATCATCGAACTGGGTGTCGCCCGGGATGGACTCGGTTGAGATCACTCTGATCCACTTCCTGAGTTCCAGCCCCATCTGCATTCTGCCCTCTCTTGCCTCTGCATGTCTTGAGCGGAGAATGCATTCATATTTCACTCCGGAGTGGGCACTGCCAAATGCCAATGTTCTATCGGTGAAGGACTGAAGCCAAAACTGATTCAATTTGGCTGGGCCAGATGCAATCTATCAGAAGCCTGAACAAACATGAAAGTACTGTGGGCACAGGGAGGCAGCGGTGCAAAGTGTGCAAACAAGTATTGGGTCACATGCTCACGTGACCCTAATCCCCTTTGACCAAACCTGGGCTGTTAGGCTGTATGGATAGAAAAACTCGGATACTATGATCTCTTGTTAGTAGTCGGAGCTGTAGCAACATTTTTCCGGAGGTTGTAGACATGATCAAGGGAATATATCGAAGATAGGTCACCTGGTAATTAGGTCGAGGGTATTCGACCTTTTGAGGCGGTATCGCGCTGTTCTCCTTTCCCCAAAATGGCACGTGGGAATAGCCTCGTTTCCCATTCCGGGCCCATTGCTATGAAAGGCGGTGACCGAAGGCCCGTGACTAAACGCTCGTGACCGATCGTCCCGCCTCTTTCAAAGCTACTTAACTCTCTGTCCTGGTGCCTCTTCTCCTTTCATTCTTGACCTTTCCAACTATCGTTGTTCATCGCTTTGGCCATCCTTTCTCTCGCGTTTTATCGTTTGTTTTATCTTCCTTGACATTATCCATCTTGTGCTTCCCTTTACCAGAAGGTTGGAAGCACGCGTCAATCAACAAACCTCGCCGCCTCCATTCAACATACCTGCCTTGCCATGACCCACACTGGCCTGGCTGACAACGATCTTGTGTCAAGATACCATCTTCCGCTGCACACTATGCGGACATACCGCTTGCAGATCCTGTTATGGCAACCACACGCACTCATATCGGGCCGAAAGAATGCGGCACCAACAAGTGACGTGCCTGCTACGATGCAGCAGTATCTTCCATCGAAGCTGCCGTTGTGCCCAAGAAGCAAAGCACCGTCACTCGTGCTTCAAGCTTCAGCGTGAAATGTAAGACAGAGAATTACATGGAATCCACTCTTCCCGAGCACACCGGTATGGGCAGACAAGAACGGTCTATGTGTACCATGTGCTGGTCAAAAACACGTACGACGTAAACGTCTACCAGAGGCCCACAGAGGCAGGCTCGTTGCGCGTGACGGTGTGCCAAAAGTGGTCCTGGACAGCGAAGTCCGACCAGGAGAGACGAAATACGAAGGGAAAGTGGAGAGACTTTGCATGGGAGTCAGGCTCTTCCTCATAGGGCTTCCTCGTTCTCTCAGTCTTTGTCCACTGGCTCCTCGCTCCCTGACTCCTCCTTCACTGACCACTGGACCCCTGCTACCCCATCCTCCGACTTCAAAGCCTCTGGATCTGACGATGACAGCGAGGGGGCACACGGTGGTCAATGACTGTATTAATCTTTGGCGTCCCAGGCGCTGGAAGACACATCTCGCGCGCCATTACGTGTTCACTCAGCGCGACTGCTACCCTGGTGGCATCTTCTGGATCGACGCGAGGTCTCGCGAGTCCATGTACAAGTGCTTCTGGGAGATTGCGCAAGCAGCCACGCTGGTCGAAGCCAAGGTCTGCATGTGTCGTTACTCACCCATTCCAATGGCCCATGGGTTCAATGCACATGCATGATGCCACTGGTTGGCATTGCTAGATACTTGGGCAATTCCCTACAGACCTCACCTATTAACCCAGTGGAATTTGCAGTCGCGCTGAGTAAACACGTACTGGCGCGCGAGATGTGTCTTCCCAGCGCCTGTGACGCCAAAGATTATTACTATCCTCATTCCTCACTGCTCTATCCACTAACGTTTTCTCCACATTCTTAGGCCTTCCTCCCTCCCCATTCGTCCCTTTCCCTTTTGCCAAGGGCTTGGATCAATTTTCTTCTGTTGTCTCGGTTTCTCCCTACTTCTTCCTCCCGCCGCGCCGCTTCCGGCCGTCCTGCCCAGCGTCACATCGTGACTCCGCCCCCCGCTTTCCTCGACTGGCCGGCCGCCTGCTTTCGAACATGTCGTCGTCCTATGCTGCGCTAGGAGCCTGGAAGCCGCCCGTGCTGGGCAAGCTTCTGCGCTATATAAGCATGCACGCCACCCTGGCGCTTCAACCTCCTTTTTAGCCTCATCATTTTTCCCTGCATAGTCGTTCGTCATGCCTCCTGTACGTTCAACCCCTAGCGACGTTGCTTTTTGATCGCCTTGCTGCACCTCCACCGGTGCATCGCTGCCGCCGTTGCGGTCGACTTTGCAGAAGCAAGCGGAAGCACTTATGGGCCGTTCGCCCACCGGGGAGAAATAAGAAAGCGATACCGGTGGAAGCGACACAGATGACGACCTTGCCCTAGACTTTTGTCCATCGCGCTCTGTCTGCTCATCTTCGAGCCCAGGGCAATATTGTGATATGCGTTGCCTCGACAGGCATTGCTACCTTGCTTCTCCCGGGTGGCCAAACGGCTCATAAGCGCTTCCGTCTTCTGCTCGATCCCGACCCTGACTCGGCCTACGGCGGCGGCATCGCACACGGCACTAGTAGTAGAAACTTGAACTTGTTGCACAGATTGCTATTCTTCATCCTGCATGTAGACAACCCCTCCGTCTATGTATATCTCTCGGCATATCAATCGTAGAGGCTTATTACCTGCGTCGATGGACAGTCTTCGCCACGGAAGATCGTGACAGAGGGATAGACGATGTCGTTCCAGGGCTGATTTGGACAGAGTGGACGTTATCAGTCGGCCAATCAGCAATCAGACTGATTTATTGTCATTTCTTGGCGATCGGCCGATCTTCCGTGCATTTCGAGGCCAGCTTGTCCACTTTGCTGTCCACTTTGCTGTCTAGATGACATTCTTTGATTCCTGTCTTCTTGTTGATATGACTTATTGACATTGTGTCCTTTTCAAACTACCCTTGCGCAACTCCCAGTTTACAATTGCCACCGAATAGACCGCTCTTCAATCTGGCCTTTGCGCCACTGCATATACAAGCCAGTGTCAGCGCTCGTTTCGCCAGATATTAGAAATTTTGGGCAACATGCGGTCTTCAGCGAGACTGTTCTACGCAGCAGTGTTCGCGTTAGCAGGACTCAGCCATGCCGCCGAACAAGATCCTTCACTGGACCCAACCAAGTGCGCTGTAAGTTTTGTCACAGTGTCCCGACATTCCCCAGACTGACAATGCGATTTGCTTCAGCTTGAACCCTCCGCTATGGTTTCAGATGCCTGTGTTTCGTACGGCGACATCAACGGCATGAATGACATGATTTTTACGACCATCAACTCCATCACCCAAGAAACGGACTTTTTCTCCTACTACCGCCTCAACCTGTTCAATAAAGAATGCCCCTTCTGGTCAGATTCCAGCAGCATGTGTGGCAACATTGCCTGTGCCGTGAACACGATCGAATCCGAAGACGACATCCCGCTCACATGGCGCGCCGAAGAACTAAGCAAGTTGGAGGGACCCAAGGCGAATCACCCACCCCGCAAGATTCAGGCAGAGCGCCCGAAAGAACGTCCACTACAGGGCGAGCTGGGCGATGATGTTGGCGAGAGCTGTGTGGTGGAATACGATGACGAATGCGACGAGCGCGACTACTGTGTCCCCGAGGACGAGGGTTCCGCTGGCAAGGGAGACTACGTGAGCTTGGTGGACAACCCAGAGCGGTTTACAGGATACAGCGGAGCAGGCGCACACCAGGTGTGGAATGCCATCTACGGCGAGAATTGCTTTATGAAGCCCGTGTCCGACGAGATGGAAGAGCAGTCGCTCAACGTACCGCTGGGCGGCCTCGAGGCAGCCTCTGCCTTCCGCAATATGCTCCACCAGGGCTCGCAGAGCGTGGAAGGCTTACCGCTGGATAACGAGTGCTTGGAGAAGCGAGTGTTCCACCGGCTGATCAGCGGCATGCACGCATCCATTTCCACACATTTATGCTGGGACTACCTCAATCAGACCACGGGCCAGTGGCACCCCAATGTGCAATGTTTCAAGGAACGCCTTCTGGACCACCCCGAGCGCATTTCGAACATGTACTTCAACTATGCACTGGTCTCTCGCGCCGTGTCCAAGCTCCGCAAGCACCTAGATGGGTACACGTTCTGCACCAGCGATGCGGAGCAAGACCGCGAGACCAAGAAGCGCGTCAACAAGCTCACCAGCGAATTGTCAACACTGCCGCAAATCTTCGACGAGAAGACTATGTTCCAAGACCCCAACTCCATCAGCCTGAAAGAGGACTTCCGCAACCGCTTCCGCAATGTCAGCCGTCTGATGGACTGTGTTGGCTGCGACAAGTGCCGACTCTGGGGTAAGCTCCAAGTGAACGGCTACGGAACGGCGCTGAAGGTGCTCTTCGACTACGACGAGACCAAGAACGGCGAGAACCCACCCCTGCGCCGCACCGAGCTGGTCGCCCTCATCAACACCCTCGGCCGCATCTCGCACAGCTTGGCTGCTTCGCGCAGTATGCAGCGAGCTCTGCTTACCGGCAACACTCACATGTTCCCCGTCCACGGTGCCGTCCCCTCGTCCCACCACGCCAACGCCCTTGGCAACAACCGGCGTGTGTTCCGAGACGGGAACAACAACTTCTACTACGAAGGAGGTGACAGCGACTATGTGTACGGCCGAGGTGAAGCACCGGAGCGGTATCCTTGGGAGCGCAAACCGCGCAATCCGGACGATGGCTTCTTCGAGGATCTCAAGAACGAGTGGGATATGATCTGGGGTACAGTCGGGTATATTTGGCAGTCATGGATGGATATCCCGCGGACAATGTAAGTTTTAAATTCAACGGTCACCGCATGTTGATCGACCTAGTACTCACCGGCTCTTGCAGGTTCCAAATCGGCGCATCGGAGTCCTTCCGACTATACAATTACTGGCTCGGGTTGCCGGTGCCTCCACGCATGTGGAAGTTGAAGGTGCCGACGCCGCGCCCTGTTAAGACTCAGGGTTCTCATGATGAGTTATGAGTTTGCTATTATTTGCATTAGCATCTGTACATATCGGCTTGGGTGGCGTTGGTAGACTTTGTTTATGAGTATTTCAGGTCTGATACTCTGTTCACTACAAATTCTTCAATACCACTGTAGTGATAATTGTAGGCGTAGTTCGAGGACCTGCCTAGACAGGACTCACAGGAGAATTGCATAAGGTACACACCAAGGGTACACTTGAGAAATAGAAGAAGCCTATGAGGCTATGTCTACGATGTACTCCGTACTAGGGATCTAAAATATGGTCATGCGCAACGATCTACTCTGTTCATTCTAATCTGAGATACCTCGGTCGCCTCAGATGCATCCGTTTGCCACCACAGAGATTTCAACGAACTGGTCGGACAGAGCCAACAGAAGCGACTGATCTTTGGATAATTGAATAACCAGGCTGTTCTTGCCACATTCATTCCAAGATTTCCCTTAATACTGTGTAGTTGTGTTCTTGAGTTGTCCCTCAAGTACCCTCAAGTACCAATACCCCGTATTCCGTCGGCAAACCCCGACCTCGGCATCTCCACTCCCGCCCACATGCGACCTTTTCGTCTCTCCTCTCTTCCCTCCGTCATCGTCCTTTCTCGACTCTGCGTCTCGACTAACCACTAACTCCAATACTATTTGAATACCTCGATGCGAGTCCGCTAATATCCAACTCCATGGCGACGCCTTCGCCACCAAAACCGTGGGAGAGAGCCGGCGCAGCTGGTAAGTCTCCTCTTTTGATTGCCGACACCCTAGCGCCACCAAGTCACGGGCGCGATCCCCCAGTTCCCATCTCAGACTGACTCTTTCTTCTTTCCCACCCATAGGCAACGCATTATCAACAGCATCTATCACCGGTAGCCCTGCTACCTCGACCGCGATGACTACCACAGCGGCCACCCCCGCCTCAACGGCATCCTCCGCTCCCGACCTTCCCTCCCGCCCTAGCGCCCTCAACTCTGTAGTCAACAACACCGCAACAAATTACTCACCATACGGAGCATCCCGGCTTGGAACGGGCGCGTACGGCTCTACCTATGGTGGCATGGGCGGAATGGGCGCTTACTCATCACCCTATTCCAGCTTCGGCACCATGGGCGGGATGGGCTCCATGTACGGCGGGGGATACGGAGGAGGCTATGGAGGTGGCATGTATGGGGGGATGGGTGGAATGGGAGGTGGCATGTACGGTGGCATGGGTGGACTAGATCCCAATGATCCGAACAGCTTGACGAATTCGTTCGGACAGAGCACCCAGGCCACTTTCCACATGATTGAGAGTATCGTTGGTGCGTTTGGAGGCTTTGCTCAAATGCTCCAGAGCACTTACATGGCCACACACAGTTCGTTCTTTGGTATGTACCTCGATTCTCCAAAGGAGACACTCTTATCAAGAACATTCGCTAACTCAAATTCTACAGCAATGGTATCGGTCGCAGAACAATTTGGAAACCTACGCACAACCCTCGGCTCAGCCCTGGGAATCTTCACCCTCATTCGGTGGTTCCGCACATTGATTGCCAAGCTCACCGGCCGTCCGCCACCGGCGGACGCAACGTCCCTGACCCCGGCTGCCTTTGCAGCATTCATGGGCAAAGGCGCAGGAGCAGCCACACTTCCCGATGGCTCCCCTGCTCCTCCCAGGCCATCCAAGAAGCCCTTCTTCATGTTCCTGGTTGCCCTCTTCGGGTTGCCCTACCTGATGGGCAAGCTCATCCAGACCATGGCCCGGAACCAGGAGGAAGAGGCCAAGCGCCGCCAGCAGCTCGTCGGACCCAACGGTGAGCCAGGCGCAGCCTTCGACCCGTCCAAGCTGGACTTCTGCCGTGTTCTTTACGACTATACTCCTGAGACCCAGGAGGCTAACGGCATTGATCTCGCCGTGAAGAAGGGAGATATCGTTGCTGTCCTCAGCAAGTCTGACCCTATGGGCAATGCCTCTGAGTGGTGGCGCTGCCGTGCCCGCGATGGCCGCGTCGGATACCTCCCCGGTCCGTATCTGGAGACTATTCAGCGCCGACCTGGCCAGCAGGCTATCACGGCCGGCAGCGAGCCTGGTACTCGCACCAGCACAATGAAGGGTGATTCTGTTGCCGAGGGCCGCACGCAGAGCCTGTCGTCCCTGAGCAAGCCCGAGCTTACGAGCAAGATGGGTGATATCTCGCCTGAAAGCTTCCAGAAGAGCACCTTCTACTCATGAGCCACGTCATAGACTTTGCCTGTGCCTTTCCAATGTTAGATGGAGACACTGTTCGGCCAAAAAAGCTCCCTCCCCTTTCCTCGAGCCCATTGCTCATTCTTATATCCTACAAGTGTGTCTCTGACACTCGACTTTCTCCTTTCGTGGCCTACAATCTGCTGTGCAGTAACTGTTCCCTCATACCCGAGGTCATGATCACGACTCTCCTGACTGGGTAGTTTTATATACCCCCGGTCTCCGCCCGTCCTCTCTATCTTTCACATTCTATCTCTGTTCTTCTTTTCTTTATGCTTTTGGATTGGAATCAATTTAGCGACCGTCCCGATCCCATTTGGCTTATGTATTTAGTACCTTATTAGTGCAATGCACAGAATGATTCAGTCTGAACTACATGTAAAGCCTCTTAACCCGGAATACACGGTTATCTACCTAATGTACAACCTTCCCTCATAGGTCTCTCCCTAATACGTATCAAATCAAATCTCTACTGTACCTACACAGTAAAGCCATAGAGTACTACCCTCCGTACATCCATGGATGACTGGATGTATCCCACCCGGCCCACAGTGGACCATCGGGGCCGTCCGCTCTATCCGCTAATCTTTCTCCACTAGAACCAACTACTGACAGATCTACTTCTACAAATACCTCCATAAATACATCTACTTCCTCCCAGTTCCAGTACCGAAAATACGTACTAGTCCCTTCCATTGTTCCAAGGTTAGGACCAACCTCAATCAAGTAAGAGCAAAGGGACGTAATGATAATCATGTGCCAGTTCACCCATGCGGATATCCGATCTCCCGCTAACCCCTGTAACCTTTCAATCCAGACCTCGACTTATCTGGGGTTTCAAGCTGCAGGGTACCGGATAGAGGGGATTGGACGTTTTGGCATTTTGACGTTTTGGCTGAAAGTTGATTTGTGTGGAAAGTACGAGGTACGGATGGATTGGGCTGTTGGGTCGGTGGGGATGGGATTGTTGGCTTCTAGGGACCTAGCTGGAGGGTTTTCACTTAGGTACTTCTGTTTGTACTTTGTTGGGGATTTGGTATGGGTTTACTTGTTTATATCCTTCGAGAATTGAATCTTGATTCCAATGGGGTTGAAGAGGTTGTAGAGCGAAACCTTGCATAGTTGTAGTCCAAAGTTATTAGTGTTGATTCTACTCCAATGTTGATATTCAGGGTACAAGGTTGGAAATATCGAGATTCTATATGTACTATCAATCAGGTGGTATTGCCATCTATAACTTTTCAAAATGATAATCCCACACTCACTTTTACCCGGCTGTATCACATTGTTGCTATGTGTTCTGGAGTATACCGAGTATGCCGTTGTGACCGGCAATGAATAAACGGACACGCCGTGATGGCTGATAGAGGTAGACTGGTAGTCAATAGCAAGACTCGCTCTCAAATCAAGGATCATCCCACATCAGATATCCATGAACATTCCACTCCCAGCACGAATTCCAATTCCGCCGGTACCACCCTCTGTGCACCCGGTAAATAGTCCCGGTAAATGTTGAGATGTTGTGCGCATATTCACGGAGAGGAGTTGCCAGGTGGGGTGAATATGATCGTGGGAGAGGAAAGAGTCGAGGATAAGGAACGTGGCAGCCTGAGCTCATAGCCGGGGTTACAGCCGAGTAGCTGTCGGGGAGGCCGAGTCATGATCTGGGGGTGTGAAGTTTGGTTCTGGTGAGACGTGCTGAAACGGTGGTGATTCGGGACGAGGATATCGGTCGAGCGGATGCGTGGTGATGGGGGAGTAGTATTTGTATTGGACACACAGACTGGATGTGTTCGTGGAGCCTCGTGGCATGTAGATTGTTTGGTTTCTTTGGTTCGTGCTACCCATACAAGGAATAACCATGATGCAAGATATACAGAAAGGCTCAGATGGTATGCATAGATCGCACTCTAAACGGATAATAACGCCCTTGCTATGAATCTTCCCTCTCTTGCTATTGGAGGGAAATGGGATGGGATGAGATGAGATGGACTGGGTGAGGGGGGATGGAGAGTAGGGACCATGTACATAAGAAGCGAAGTAGAAGAAAAGTAAAAAGGGAATAGGGAAATGGGATATGACAAGGCTCGCACGCTTTCGATGGGATGATGATAAGCAAATAAACATAAACAAAACGCAAATGAGAGCCGAGAAAGAAAGTCGAAACCAGAACCAAAACCATATCACATCCCCAATCCCTCATGATGAGGAACTTCCGAATTAGGATGATCATCCCTAGCCCACTTCGACATCGTGTGCGTAAGCGTATAATCCAACCCCTGCAATCTCGTTTGGAACGACTCAACCGTATTCCAGTCCGGCGGATGCGTATCTTCTTCACCAGGCGCATCCTCTAAATCCCTCGGCGCAGGCCCAGGCTGAGCATGCACCCCATGGCCATGACGGTGGCCGTGGGCAGCAACGTGATGATTCGGCTGGGAATGGGCATGGGCGAGATGGTTTCCTATTGAGTGGTGGTAAGAGTGGAGATGGCGGGGCTGAGTTGAATGAGTTGAATGCATGGTCATCGGCATGGGGCTTTCATCTAGTTCCAAGTCGGGGAGGTTTTCGAGGTGGTTTGGGTCTAGAGTGGGATATCTTGCATCAATATCATGTGTACGGACCGCCGGGAGAACCGGGGATTTACCGTATGAGCCGAGGGGGAAGGGGGGCATTTCTCGCGGGGAATGCATGTCCGGGATTGGGGAGATGGGTGTTGTGACGCTTTGTTCGTCCGCTGGTTCGGGGGTGTAGCAGGTCATATCGGAGGGTGTTTCTGCAGATTATCAGACTCTATCATACGGATTTTGAGATGATAGAATGTTCGGCTTGATATGTAATCAAGGACTCTATCGGAGAACTCACGAGGCTCAGGACTTTGGGGCTCGGTCTCTGGTTCCTTGCCTGGTTTCGTATCCCATGAGGTGCCATAACGACGGACGAAGCGGGCGATACGCTTTGGGTCGACGTTCTGCCCGTTTACCCGGAAGGCTGTCTGTTTGCCCTGGGCTGCACGCTTCTGTTGCTTGCGAAGCATAAGATGGACCTCTTTGGCCTTGATATTCTTTCGGACATGCCATGCGGCCAGTCGATCTTTGTATTGTTTCTCTCTGGTCTTGAGTTAGTCGATACTGGGACCAAGGTGGGGGATCTATAACGGGGAAGAGAGAAGTGCTGACATTGCAACACATGGATGGAGGTGAAGATTGAGAATAGTAAGGAAAAGGATAGGCATACGATGCAAAGAACTTATAATCTCGTTCCATGATGCGCTTGACATCGCGGAGTTTCAACTGGTCGTTGCGGTAGAGCTGTTCGATGATTTCGCGGTATTCATGCCAGTCGTCCGATCGGCGGGGTCGAAAGACATTGGATTGAGGGGAGATGGGGGGATAAGTTTCCATATTGAAGAGATATAGATGATATTATAGAGTAAGTTGTCTTTTCATACTGGTCTCAAGAAGAGAAGTTCATGGTCCATGTCAAGTTTAAAGAATGGCAAATCTTATGTTATGGGCAGTGATTCAAGTGAGTTTATAATAAAATAGATAAATAATACCTGCTAATACCTCTCAATACCCTGCTAATACCTTGAGAATAATCGAAAAATCAAATAAAATAAATAACTAATAGGCAAAAGATCAGGGTCGCCAAGACTATCCTCCTTCCTCTTTGCGGCGACGTGCACGCGGACCCTCGACCCCCTCGTTCCCCGGCCCAATCACAATCTTTGCCGGGCCCCACTCGACAGGCAACCTTGGAACTTGTCACGATCGTCAACGGTTGTATTTTTAGGAAAATATATCCGTTTTGATTTACATTTGATATTCACATGTTGATATATCTCTATCTCGTATATTTAGGTCTCCTTTATCCTTGCTTTTTCTCTGATTCATTCTTCACGGATTCATTGATCCCCTGGTATCTCCCTCAACTATGCCCAAGTGGAGAAAAAGGATACTTCGTACTTTTGGCCCTACTGTACAGCCTAAGCGAACTATTACCTGCAGTGCACTGGCCGCAAATTGGATGCATTTTCCGTTGCCTTTTTTTGTGTACTTCTTTAGGTCTCAAGGTATCCAGGTATCAACAGGTAGGTGTCAAGGTATGTAACGAAACAAGTTGTAGTGTCAATAGAACTTGTTCCTGCAAGTACCAAACTAATCCCAACCATAACAACCAACATTATGCAGATCCGATGAAAAAAAGAACAGAAAACCACCGGGAGCGGGCCGAAACCTCCCTGACAGCTCTCTTTGTCGAGTCTAAAATTCTCCCAGCACCATGGATCCGCCCGGTCTAATCAGGGATGTGATATACAACGTTGTAGTTCCATCGAGTACGGGTGTAGATCGGCCTCGGTATGTATATGATCAATGTGGCTAAACTGATTCAGGCATCCCTAGATCCATATGACACCTGACATGAACGCTTCCAAACGTGCCAGATCTCAACTGTCAAAACCGTTAAGCAAGGAGCAAAAACCGTTAAGCCTAGAAAAGTGGAAAGGGAACGAGAAACATGCACCAGCCGTTGAACAGGTGTCATCCCCACGGATCCACAAGGGACAGTAGTCTCCACGCATGCGCTTTGGGCTTCGGACAAGGTTCCCCTGTCACCAATTTCCCTCAAGCGGAGTATTTATAGTCTGTACGCATATTCCTCTGTATTGGAGGTATTATTCACTCCGTCTTTGTAGGCTATTGCCAAGGCTCCAATTCAAACCTCAGACCTCCACCCCTTAACGAGCCAGGCGCCATCTTACGATGCAAGGTCCGTGCTACGTTGACCTCGTTATGCTTTCCTCTTTTCTTTCTTAGACTTGGTCCTCGCCTCCCAAGGTTAGTATAGTCAGAATCCCGGTATATTTCAACTTATTCTCTGCAGCTGTTCCTGTGGCCACAACGCCTACTCGTCAGCGCTGCAAGCGCTGCAACGAATTAGTACTGCACATGACGCATATCAACGTACCCTCAATTCGAATACTGAGTCATACACCAATCTTCGTATTCATCCGATGATTCAATTCAATCTCCCGTTTTGTCCTGGATCCCACGCTCATATACCCCGGCGGCACACGCCCCATCCGTCAGCGCTTGCACGGGTTGGCCCATATCCCAAGGGCTAGAACCCCCAGGGCGAAAGTCAAGAACCGATAAGTGTCAGGTGGGAGAAGCGGGCGGGCGATGGGCGCTGCAGTGATCTACGGTTCCTTTCGGGGAGGTGAAACCCCTAACTCCCCGAGAGGGATGGGAGGTATTTTTGCCTTTGATATCCGGACGAAGAGGCAAAGTACCTACATGTGCAACCATAGTGAGAAAAGGGGTGAGAGAGAAAGGGACATTCATGAGCTGACAATAAAGTTGCCGCCAGGATTATATAAAACCAAAACCAGGAGTAACTAACTAGTAGTTAGAAAGAAAAAAGACAGATACCTTAGTTACACAAATCGCTAAATCGAGTACCCTATTGGAGCATAAACTAGTAGGATTTGAAGATTTGCAAAAGTGCCGTACTCCGTACTTTGGCTTTTCTCGTTATTTTCAACCAAACAGCTTCCTTCCCCAACTGGCAAGACGATTTAGAAGTGGACAGTGCTGGGAACACAACGGCTATCCCGCGTGGATCCCCCTCCACTGCCATCTGCGAAACGGAGAAATCTGCCGCTGCCACGCTCATAGGTCCACGGACCACCGTTCACCGGCTCGGATCGCATGCAGGTACTAAGATGAACAGCAGACTCGAGAGTTGAATCGTGGCGCAACGACGCTGCATATCGGAGCCGGCTTCTTTTCCCGAGGCTTTCTGCTCAGAATTGTGGTGCTTTTGGTATTATGGTAAAATGGGAATAATTAGGCAATTTGCGTGAATGGGGAGAACGGCGAGAGTGGGGAATAGAGTGTGAGAAAGAGGTCTGTTCCCCCTGCCCACGCGCTAGTCCTGCATCCAGCCGACATATGTCAGGGAGCGGATTGGTCGGGATGTCTCGTCGATCCAGTATTGTTGTGACGATCCAATGAGATCGTGGGTTAGTGTGTTGGTTGAAACCTCCCGTGCTATGCTAGGCATATCATTGTCATCGCCCCCTAGACTGTTGCTTAGAGCTTGTCGACAAAAGGTACGAGAAAGCGATGCGCTGTGCAGGTGTTCCATATCGTCAAGGATCTGCGCGATTTTCCTTCCCCCATGTCTGGCATCTGAATCCTGAACTGCAGCCTCACCTTGTTCTTACATGTACATATTCACCACCCCTTGTCTGATTTATGGTCGGTCCTTGGCAGGACTGCCCGGCTGTCGGGCTTGGTCGGCGGCTGCTACGGCGGCTGCCGCGACGGCAGCGGAGTTGCTAGATCCGGTACTAGCGAGATTGCTGGCATGCGCAAGGAGGAACTTGCAGCAGGTAAGCGTGTACTTGCAGGCACGCGTCCACGTCTCGTCGTTCTGATTGAAGCCCAACTTGATGCTGGCATCTCCAATTCGGTCCCGCTTGATCTCGTAGGGCAATTTCAACCCCGGTGCAGTGGCGCCGGTCTGGCCCCGCCGGGGGTTGATCACAGGTGTAGGGGTCTTTTCAACGAACTTGCCCAGCTGTCGCAGGCATTCAAGGAACGCCACCATCCCCGAGTCAAAGCGACGATGAAGCCAAGGAAGGTTGAGTGGCAGATCGCCGGACGAAAACAGATCTAGTTGGGTCACTTTCGGTGCAGCCCCCTCGACAGGCTGACCGGATGGCTGCACGGGGTACTCAACCTTGTCAATTCGCGAGTTGGACCCCAGTGGCCTGAGACGATACCCCTGGAATTGGAATCCGAGTTTCTCAGCCATCGTGGCCAGGAGCAGAGCCGTTTGTCCCCACGCGGCGTTTATTTCAGGCCAGTCAACCGATGGGTTGGCCAGCCGGCCTAGCCGTAGTCCATTGATAGTACCGAAATACCCATCATGACCAATGCAGAACGCGTCATTGTAGACATTCGTCCGTTGTAGCCGCTCAAGCTGCTGCGAGTCATGATCGTAGCGCATATTGAGGGCATCCCGTTCATTTTGAAATTCTGTCAGCGTCAAGGCAAACGCATTGCGAGATCGCCAGAAGTTCTCCTCGTCCGCATCCAGGCGCCGCGAGTCATTCTCTAAGCTCGCAATCTCGGCGTCCAGAGCGGCCTTTTCATTCTCAAAGGACTGCAGCTCTGCAAATGTGGCCCGTTCCGCCTCCAGGCTTTCATTCAATGATTTCTCTGCCGCCTGCAGCTCCTCCGCGGTCGGAATCGACCCGTTCAAGTTCCTAAGAAAGGATATGTAGGCATCACGCTCCTTTGTAGACCCCGCCAAGCGCTTTTGCAAGCTTTCCACAAGCAGCTCGGTGCACTCCACACAAATGGGATGATCAATATCGGAGCGCGCCGAGACTATCTCAAAGAGTCGTGTCGTCTTCTCTATTTGATCAACGATTGATCCGTCCTCCTGCCCACGGGTTTGGGCTTGTGTATGGTTGTGCTTGCTCCCGGAAGCTGGGCTACTATCAGCGACCGGCGGTGGTGTGACTTGGGACTCAGTCAACATTACGAACGACATGTTGCCGCTGTCGGCCCGGGGTGTCGTGGGCGGGTTGTGCTGGCCTCCTGCACGAGGGGCCGGGATAGACCGTCTGTAAACCGGTAACGTAGCATGTTTCGAGGACTGGTCGTACTTGTCACGATGTTCGGGAGGATATGCTGATCGCGCTGAGGAGGTAGCTCCAGTGTCTGACAGCGTCTTGCCCGTAGAGTCTAGACCCATAGCTTGATTAGCGGGATCGGAAATGACAGCCTTGATGCGGACCTACTAAATAGTAAATCAAAAGCAGTTGGATTTAGCGATTCCACTGAGCCATCCAGCTTCAGCGGCGTGCGACACTTCTGGCAATACATCGTTGTCGGGATAGTCGGGATGTGGGATGAAGTCGGGGAGCTGGAGCCTCGGGAACGTCATGTTTGGTTTGTTTTGCCTCCGCCATCCGCATACTTGCACTCCTTCATGTTTGCTTGCGCCTATGCTTGCACTCCTTTACTCGCGTGGAATCAACCTTCTATTTGCTATCGTCTTAATCAAGCCATGTTCGTCTACGCCATCGCCAACTGACCACATTTAAGGCACGCGCCCCACCGTTCTTATCCGCAATCGCGAGCAGCATGGACAACTCCATCGACCACGACATGGAACGGCCAGCGAAAAGGCCATGTCTGTCAAATACTCCCAGCGATGAGGGAGAGCTTCCACCGGATTTCGATCTCCCGGCTGCACGTGCCCAAAACGACTCGCGGCTCAAGTCTCTCTTTGAAGGCATTTTCGCGAAATATAGCCACGACTTCACCGATGTTGGCGACGAGATTGACCTAGCAACGGGGGATATTGTGGTAGACAATGGGCATCTTATGGGTCTACGGGCTGAGGACGACACTGGGGAGCACCCACGATCATGGCTTCTACGGGGCGACCTGGCCGGACCAGAAGACAGTGATGCGGACAACGACGACGACGGATCAAAGGGAGAGGAAGAAGACTTTTTTTCCATGACACCTACTCCTCCTACTGGCTCCCCAGATCTACGCCAAGGCGCAGGATCCGCGTCGAGGGAGCCACAAGCAAACACAAACGGGGATGATCCTCTTGATTTTGTGTTTACCTTCAAGGCATCTGGAGCTACCGGGCTTAGTCCTGTACCCAAAGAGCCATATTTCTCGCGACCCATCAATCCTATCGCAATAACCAAACCCGCTTCCAAACCGCGAGATCCCCTCTGGGACGTCCCGGACTTGCCTCAATCCTTCTCAACGCCCACCACAGAGACCCGGAAAAAGAATGTTAGCTTCACTCCGACTGTCAAGTCTCCATCTCCACCAGGGAGTGGCTCCATCTGGGCTGTTGCCAAACGCGGCAGACCGCGATCAGAGACGAAACCCAAGGCCCCACCGAAAAAGCGCCAGCCGGCCGCGAAGCGCAAATATCACTCGAGCCCTGTGACGCGCGACTGGTCCTTTGCAGCAGTACCAGACGGCGACGAGTCGGATGACCCCTTGCAGGACTATGAACCGTCCCCGACGCCATCTAAAATGAAGATCGTTCGTGGGAAGCGCCGTGTGCCAACCAAGGATCACGACGGTCCGTCAGAGCAGCGCGAGGATACTCCCTCGAAGAACCCAGCTCGTGCCATTGAAGCCGCAGTTCAAAACGATAATCAGGGAGTGGGCCATGGTGGCAAAGATGCTGACAAGCAAAAAGAGGACGTGCCTAGAGCTACACCTCGAGATGTGCCAGTAGACACCGAGGCTCATGACCATGGGGACGAGGACGCTGGCAAACAGAGAGACGGAGCACCCAAAAGTACGCCAAAAAAGGATGTGCCACTTGAACCAACTCTACAAGACAATTCAACGCCAAAGACAGGGCCCAAGGTTCTATCTACACAGTCACCCGACAACACCCCAAGCAAAAGATGTCCCATGACACCCGACGAAGCAAAGCTGATCGTGTCCATGATGCACAAACAAGGAAAAAAGGTCATGGATGTCATGCCCATGCTGCCAGGTCGCGGATACCACTCAATATGGTACTGGTTCTACGCTCACTGGACCAGGCGTCTGACCAATCCGCCTCCTCTTTCTGCGCCCTGGACCCAGCCTGAACTAGAAGCTCTGTCTCGGCTCAGCACCGAGTCAGGCCTCAGCTGGCCTCGGATACACGGCGAGTTCAAGGGTCGATCGCGAAATGAGGTGGAGTTCGAGTTACTACGTGCTTTTGTTGCGGAGGGATTTACCGCCGGGATAAGACAGAACACGGAAGGGCATGTGGAGGAACAGCAGCCACCCGGAGAAGAGCAGGAGGTTCAGATAAAGGAGGAATCAGACTCTGAAGTGGGTTTCGGGGATGCAATCAGCAGGACCTCGTCAGGTGAGGATGAAATAAAAGAAGAGTCAGACTCCGAGGAAAGTCTGGACGGATATAGCAGGGATTCGTTAGCAGACACTGCCGAGGATGATATCAAGGAAGAGTGGGACTCAGAGGAGAGTATCGAGGACGGAAATAGCAGGGCTTCGTTAGGAAACACTGCAGAGGAAGAGATTGGGCAGCTTGGTAGTTGGTACCCAGGGTAGTAAGACGAGCGACAGCAAGCCGTCCGCACCCAAAAGCTTACTGGGCATATTTATCGATCCCTTGAAATGACGAGGGTGACAATACAACTATAATAATGGGGAGGCGCCTATCGACGATTGATGACTATATCCACATCCATATCCATCTTCCTGGCGACCATGCCTCACTCAATCAACTCTTACTGGAAGTCTTCGTCCCGTGCATTCATAACATCCTCGAGCTTCGTGTCAGTAGCGCCACCCACATCTCCAGCTTTGGCCCAAAATCTTGACAGATGCCGTGAGCCAGAGTCCGAAAGTACTGTAACAATCCGGTGGCCAGGGCCAAGCGTCCTCGCTGTCTTGACAGCAGCGATGCCTATAATCCATGATCAATAAAACATAGACATGAAGTAGACCACGAACTAACTCACAATTCACAGCACTACTACTCCCAACGAAGATACCATCCTTCTCAACCAACCACCGAGCCATAGCCAACGCCTGCGCATCAGTAACCCTTACAGCATCATCAATCAATTCCTTCCCAGCCTCAAAATTGGCCGTGACACGATTGATCCCAATCCCCTCAACAATAGTATCAACCTGCCTCCTCCGACGCGTCCCCTCCCTCTCCTTAACATCAAACATAACCCCATAAACAACCCGATTAAAAAGCCCACTACCCTGCGGATCAGCAAGCACAACAGTAAGCTTCGGCAGCAGCGGTTTCAAGTAACGCGCAACACCCGAGATAGTCCCGCCGGTCCCCGCCCCAGCAACAAAAGCATCAATGTGGCCACCGCATTGCGCATACAGTTCGGGACCGGTGCCATCGTAGTGAGCGCGCCAGTTAGCCTCGTTTTCAAACTGGTCGGCGAAAAAGCCCCGGCCACGAGTCATCTGCGCTTGTGGCGCGGGGAGATCGGAGCTGGCTTCCGCAGTGAGCTTACCCGATGAGGCCGTGTGCATTTTGGCCAGTGCTCGTGCGCGATTGACGAAGTTGTCTTTCTCGACGATTGGTGCTGGTGGGACTCTGTCGACGATTGCGCCCAGTTTGAGGAGAAGGTTGGACTTTTCAATTGCCTGGTCTGACGGGAGGCAGCTGGTTGCATGGATTAGTTTTCCTTTGGAAATAGAGAGAGGTGGGCGGGATGGTGTACATGTGTGCTAAGTAGCCCTTTGCTCGGGCTAGAGTTGCTAGTGAAATGCCCGTTGATCCTGACGTTCCTTCGTAGATGGTGTCGCCTGAATGGGGCGTCAGGATACCTTGTTCTTCTGCCTGGTTTGGGGTTAGTGGGACTTTTGTAATGTATCTTCTGCTTTAGGTCTTCGGCATACGATTTCAATCATGCTCAGTGCCACTCGATCTTTTGAGCTTTGGCCAGCGCCATTCAGAAACTGCAGGCATTGTTAAGGGTCTTTTCTAGCGTAGTGTACCCAAAGTACATACCTCTGCTTTGCCCAGGATCTCACATCCTGTCGCATCTGATAGTGACTTGATCCGGAGGAGAGGCGTGTTTCCAATGCAGCCCTCTATTCCTTCCACAATAGTTGGCGGCCCAGGCCGGGCGACTAGGTGATTTGTTGGAGATGTCTGGTTCGTTGCGGTCTCCTCACGCTTCGGACGCGCAAATTCTTGATATGTGAGCGCCAGACAAACACCAGCCACAAAGGCCGTGCCTATGTATGCTGTTGAATGGTCCGGCATTGTTCCATGCACTCTTATGTCTTTGAAATTGAGATGAAGTGCATAGACGGGAGGGATATGGAGCTTGGACCAGGGTTTTCAGGCGCAAGACGGAGAAGCTCGTGTGATCCCTCAATGATAGAAGGAATTTGATGAAGTTCAATAGCAGACCAATTCATGCATACAGCTTGTTTCGTTTAGCTTCCGCAATTTAGTCTCTCAAGTGTTGGAACGAAGTTACTGAATCGCCTTGAAGCTGAGGCACGTGTTACTCGCCTGAGGCAACCAAAGTTATCCGACGGCTTTGCTCTTTTCCCCGGATCACACCTGGAGCTTAGCCCAATCACAATGGACTCGCCAGTCCTCACCCAGTTGTTCCGACAGCTTTTCCGGCACCCAGCATGCCAATCATTACGACGGTCACCTTCAGTACTTGCTCGACCACAATCCCGCTCGTTTCTGACTCGGCGCACACCCGCCAGCAACAAGCGCAACAAGCTGCAGGATGAAGTTCAGCTCTGGACGAAACGAGGGGATTACCCCAAGAACATCGACCAGGAGTACAAGACATACCCTACAGTTACAGCGAAGGAGCTTCGCAATCGACGCGAGCGACCACGACAGGTCAAGATGCTGACACGCGAGTTCATCGACGGTAAGCTCAGCGACCAGACGATGCAGAACCATAACTGACGCCACACTTCCAGACAGCCTATACAACCCGCATTACGGGTACTTCTCCAAACACGCGACGATTTTCAGTCCCGGCGAGCCATTCGACTTCAACCAAATCGAAGACGGGCCGGCGTTCCACAAGCTCCTCGGCCAACGCTATACGGAGTTCGAGGACAAGCTTGATGAGACGAATCCGGACATCGCGCGACAGCTCTGGCACACACCGACAGAATTGTTCCGACCATACTATGGCGAGACGATCGCGCGGTATCTTGTCTCAAACTACAAGCTGACCCTATACCCATACCACGACCTCATCATCTACGAAATGGGAGCCGGAAACGGCACCATGATGTTAAATATCCTCGATTTCATCCGCGACACCGACCACGAAGTGTACCAGCGAACCAAATTCAAGATCATCGAGATCTCGCCAGCGCTAGCAGACCTCCAATACAAGAATCTCACCGACAAGCTCACAGCCAAGGGCCACCGCGACCACGTCGAGATCGTCAATCGCTCAATCTTCGACTGGGACACATACGTGCACTCACCATGCTTCTTCCTCGCTCTAGAAGTCTTCGACAACTTCGCCCACGACACCATCCGCTACAACACAAGCACCGAGCTGCCCCAACAGGGCGGCGTCCTCATCGACGCTGACGGCGAGTTCCACGAATACTACAACAATCAGCTCGACCCAGTCGCCGCTCGCTTCCTACGCGTGCGCCAAGCTGCCGCCCGCCGTCCGTTCCCGAGTCCGCTGGGCCCACCACTTCTCCGTGGCCTCTGCTCCGCAGCGCCCTTTAGGAAGGAATACACGCTGCCGGAGTACATCCCCACCCGGCTGATGCAGTTCTTCGATGTCCTGAATCAGTATTTCCCGGCTCACCGTCTGGTTTCCAGTGACTTTAACTCCTTGCCAGATGCCGTGCCTGGGATCAATGCGCCAGTCGTGCAGACTCGGTACCAGCGGCAGACGGTGCCGGTGACGACTCCTTTTGTAAGTTGATGCTCATGTTCCGATGAAAAATGTGAACTGGCGCTGATTTCGTTACAGGTCCAGCAGGGATACTTTGATATCTTCTTCCCGACGGACTTCAACGTCGCGGAGGACATGTACCGTGCTGTTACGGGGAAGCTGACTCAGGTTACGAGCCATGAGGAGTTCGTGCACCGTTGGGCTTATATTGAGGATACGGAGACGCGGAATGGGGAGAATCCGCTGTTGAGCTGGTATAAGAATGCTAGCATGTTGATGACTGTGTAGATAGATCTCAATTTCAATACTATTGAACCGTCCTGGGGAGGGTCACTTCTAGTACAAGTTGCTTTTACATATTGTAGCTTTATCTGTAGGGACATCTTTCTTCACTACAAGACTTTGACATTGAAGATGCTAATACTAACATGCAGGAAATGCGTTGCCTCCAGGCAATCTTCCAGCGCGATACATTCATATTCAATCTTCCTCACATAGCTTCATACAAGTTCATACATAACTGGGCCCCCTTCGTGAATGACACAAACAACAGGAAACACATACAATTAAGGCAAAACCAATGGCTCAAACTCAAAGCTCGGTGCTACTGCTCGCACATTTTTCCCCTGTCTTTTCCTCCGGCATGGAAGACGAGAGGCTCTTTGAGAAAACTGTGCCAAACGGAGTTTCGTTGAGGATGGGCCAGTTCGGATAACTAACAGGTTGTTTCTGAGACAATGCCGGTCCAGAAATCCTAGCTCCGACAGAGGCAGGCTGACCAAACACTGGAGGACCAAAGGCAGCACGGCCAGCTGCAGACATACCAGAAGAGTATTTGGTAGATTTGGGCCGACGGTTAGTAGTTTGATGTGTTTTGGGGTTGGGCTTGACTCTTTGCAGCAGAGATGTGTCTGGGGCAATAACACGAGTCGCTAGTTCAGAAGGGAGGATCTTGGTGATTATATTGACATTGTTTATCACCGGAGATGTCTGAAGTGAGTGACCAACCGGCCTCCAGAGCCCATCGAGAGCCACTTTCAGGTGCTCTCGGATAGCCGAGTTCAAGGTTTCCCGGTTCATGACCGGCTCGGGGTTCACCACCGGCATAGTAATGTTGAGACTCTCGATTCTGGGTCTGGTGTATGCCTTATGCTTAGCTTTCAGTTGTTTCCACTGCTTGTGGGGGACAAAGAGACTGCAGTGTCGCCAGTAGTGGCCGATCTCGCCGCATTTTCTGCAGAACGCACAGTTCTGACAGCGGGGCCAGCATGAACCTTGGTGAGACCGTCCTCCACAATCTAGACAGAACGGTGGTCGTATCTCTCGTGGCTGGGTGGGTGGGTAATCATCGTCTTGGGCACGCTTTCGCTTTCTCGTGGTGCTTAGGGTCATCATTAGCAGGTTCTGCACGAACAGTGGGTGAAGGCCAGTATACTCACGGATACTCCATCGTGGTTGATCTGCGGGGGGAGTGAAAGAAGAAAGAAACAGCTGCGAGAAGAGGAAATACGCGTCTTATATTCGACAGTCCTTAGGAAGGAACGATCCTTCTACAAAACACGACAGCGATCAAACGCTTGGAAGGAACGATTCATCATTCTGGTCTATGAAGAGAGCAGGTGCGAACCACTGGCAGTTGTGCGGTATAAAAGGGAAGGGAGCTTGTATGGCAATTGACTTCGATATCGAATCTGTCATTCATCTTCGTAGGTACCTAACCTACATCACTTCACTGTAACAACCTCACTTACTTTCTATACATAGAGTGCTTTCATATATTCAGGATAATGAGTACCTATAGATTTGCCCTGGGTAACGACAGGTAAGTTAGACAAACGTATGCATGTACTCAGTACAAAGGTCAAAGTACAGCACTGCTCCCGATCCAAGCCCTAACTACCCCGACCCCCTCACCTCCCCAACTGAGGGGGTATCAACCACCTCGGCTGATCCCTCTATAAGACTAATAACAGACACCTTCAAGATCCCCCTCTCTATCTTCATCCACCAACATGACAATCGAAACAACCACCGAAGCCAAGGCTACCCCCAACCCCCCTGGAACACTCTCGTCCAAGCAAAGCGCAAAACCCAACAGTCCCTAATCCCCAAATCATGGCACCTCCCACCCCACCTCCTCACCAACCCCCCATCCTCAACCCTAGAAACAATCCATCAAAGCGGCCTCCTGTCTTCCGACGAGCTCCTCTGGACCGAAACAGCCGATATCGGCGATCTCGTCTTATTCATTAAGACTGGATGCATAACGAGCGAAGCCCTAACAACGGCATTCTGTAAACGCGCTGCGATTGCACAGCAAACGACTAAATGTCTGACCGAGATATTCTTCGAGAAGGCTATTGCCCGTGCCAGGGAGCTTGATGAGTATCTAGCGCAGACGGGGGAGCTCGTCGGGCCTTTGCATGGTATTCCTGTTTCTGTGAAGGATCGGTTTGATGTGGAGGGCTTTGATACGACTATTGGTTTGTCTTGCCTTCCATTTTCCCGCTTTTACTTTCCTTTTATTCTCTACTAATAGGTTTGTGAGCTGATGCTAATATGGTGGATATACAGGCTGGGTTGGATTAACCAATAAACCGGCTAAATCGAATGATTCGATTGTGCAGCTACTGGAGTCGATGGGAGCGGTGTTATATGTTAAGACTAATGTGCCCCAGTCTTTAATGGTGGGTTCTTTCATTCCATACACATAGTTATGCATCGCTAATCCAGCACAGATGTCCGACTCATACAACCACGTCTTTGGTCAATCAGTCAACGCCTTCAACAGCGGCTTGATCTCAGGCGGTAGCTCCGGCGGCGAAGGCGCACTCATCGGTTGCAGAGGTAGTATCTTAGGAATCGGTACTGATATCGGTGGCTCGATTCGTGTGCCGGCCAATCTACAGGGTCTGTACTCTATCTGTCCATCGAGGGGACGGGTACCCTGGGACTGTTCCTTGTAAGACCCTGACCCTCCCTTACATTGTTCGTTGGTAGTGAAAGATGTATAGTCCATACTAATGAATCCCAGCCTGACCCAACACTACCTCATCCCCCCGTCGCCGGACCAATGGCCACGTCCCTCGCAACAACAGAGTATTTCATGAAAAGCCTCCTATCCTCTGAACCATGGAATCTCGATCCAAACGCCGTTCCAATCCCATGGCGAAAAGAACTAGCAATCCCCCCAGCGAATCGCAAGTTGAAAATCGGAGTTGTATTCGACGATGGCGTCGTCAAGCCGCAACCGCCTGTTACCAGGGCAATGCGCGAGACAGTCAATGCGCTGAAAGTTGCAGGTCATGAAGGTATCATACATACTTCTCCAACAGAATCTCTCATAGAATACTAACAAAAGAAGTGATCGAATGGGACACATCCTTACACATGACAACAACAAACCTATGGACAAAGGGCATTCTCGCCGACGGCGGAAACCACTGTCGCTCCCTGTGCCAGCTAGTCGATGAACCACTAATCGAGGGAATGATAGTGGGTAAAGAGGGTGATTTTCTCTCATTGGAGGAGCGTGAGCAGGTGTGTTTCTTGTCTGCACTCTACACATATTCATCTTCAAACTCCATCCTCAACCCACCCCCCAGATCCAAACCATCCAATCCCAGTCCAATAAGTCTAACAACAGCAGTTCGAAACAACCAAAATAACCATCCAAACCGCCTTCCACAAACAATGGATCTCATCCGGAATCGACGCACTATTAACTCCCGTCCTGCCATGGGTAGGCTACAAGCCCAAGACATGGGTTCGGAGCAAGCAGTGGATTGGATACACCGGTATGTGGAATCTACTGGACTACGCTGCTGTGACGGTCCCCGTTGCGAGGGCGGATCGTAGACTTGATGATGGGGATGTTGAGTGGGAGGGACATTTGGTTAGGAATGAGTCGGATGAGTTTAATTATTCCCAGTGTGAGTATTTTCACCCTTCTCTAGTTATTTGGCTGTGGAAAATTATGTTGCTAACACCCGGGGCTGGATAGATGACATCGACCTCGTTCATGGAATGCCTATTTGCGTGCAGATTGTCGGTGGGCGATTTGGGGAGGAGAAGGCTGTGGCTGTTGGGAAGGTTGTTGATGAGCTTATGAATCCGACTCCTTTTTTTCAAGGTAGGTAGAGACTAATGTTTAGGGCAATTTATCAATGAGAACATGAGATTTGTATAGCGAGGGAGTTTTCCTCAATAAGATGCCCGTAGAATGTAGATCCATCTACTCCGTAAGCAAACCTGATATCAACTCATAAAATAGATACAATGCAGGACCATAACCAGCCCGAATCCATCCATGCAGATCAATTAATCTAGAACTCGAATTCCCTGCGGAAAATATTCACGTCCATACCAGCAACAACCTGATCCGCCAAATCCCTCCTCCCCATCTGGCTAAACACCCTCCGCAACGTATCGTAGAGATTCGTGCTCTGATTCTGGCTAATATGCAGCATACGCTCAAGACGCTCATCATCTAGACCATCAGGGGCAGCGCCATCATTAATGATCTCTCTCGCACGCTCGCGACCCTCCTGCTCGACGACACGGTGCATGGAGAGTGCGCCGAGGAGGTGTTGCGCAGCTTCAGGGTAGCAGCCGATGTTGATGCAAGAGACGCCGAGGTTGTAGCGGGCGCGGACGAAGTTGGGGTTTATGTTTAGGGCTTGTTCGTATGCTTGGATAGCTTCTTCGGAGCGGCCGGAGTTTGCTAGAGTTGCGCCGAGACGGTTCCAGAGGAGGTGGAGTTGTTCTTGTTGGTTTGTGCTGCCGGATTCGGTGGATGCTAGGGCGGCGGAGAAACAGTCGACGGCTTTTTCGTATTCCTCGGCGCAGTAGAAGAGGACGCCTAGGCCGACTTGCACGTCGGGATCCATTTGGGCGCCGGAGGGGGAGAGCTGGGCGGCTTGGATGAAGAGTTCTGTTACGCGGTCGTGGAGGAGCTGGCGGTCTGTGAAGCCGAGGTCGGCGTCACCGGAGATCTCCTTCGGGTCGATGATGGATGGGTATTTGTGTGATAGCCAACGCTCGAGTGTGCGGTAAGCGGTAGAGTCGTAGCCCTCGTTTGTGTACGATACAGCCAGGCCCATCAATGCGTCTAGGTTCCCGGGTTCGACCTTTAGGGCCTGTTCCAATGCACGGATGGCGGGGAGCTCCTTTTCATTCTGCGCCTGCGCAGAGCCCAGCATCGTCCACGCGTGCACATGCTGCGGGTCCTTCTGGACGGCAGCCTCGAAGGCCAGCGCTGCGAGGGACAAGTTGCCACCCTCGCGCATGATCTTCATGCCCTCCTCGAAGGGGTTGCCGACAGCCTGGTAAACATTATCCTCCTCGAACATGTAGTCACCGAGCTGGGGATCACGGAAGCGAGAGTTAAGGCTATCGAAGCCATCCCAGTCACCCAAATCACCGACGTGCACGTTATCAGTGATGTCAAAGTTATCTTCCTCGGCGATTTTCCTGCTCGTTGCGGTCTCAGCCTGGATCCGCTGCCATACAGACTCAAACGCGGCATCGGAGGGCACTGACCTGTCCAAATCATTCAGTTCCGCCTCAATGGCCGCATTGGCCTCCTCATCCGTCTTGGCCTCGTTGCCCACCGTCGCAGTCTCCATCTCCGCAAACTGAGCCTCCCAGTTCTCATCGTCAAGCTCTACCATGCGTCCCTTCCCCTTATCCTGTTGCTGTCCCTCCATCGGGCCCTGGTGCATGCCCATTTGTCCGCCCATCATGGGCATCATCCCCATACCCATACCACCCATATACCCACCGCCCATGGCCATCGGCCGCTGGTACCCAGACATCATGGGCGAGGCGGTCGTTGCAGCAGGGCTGGACGTCTGGGGCATGCCCATACGGCTCTGCTGTTGGAAGCGGGCAAACTCCGCAGGGTTAAATCCCGATCCGTTGTTCATCTGGGGGAAGGCAGCTTCCATGCGCGCCTGCTCGCCGGCATCGAACTCGCCAGCCCAGCCGGGCGAGGCTGCGTGTGCGGGCGCCGCCTGGAAATTGTCCAGTTCGCGGCGCATGTGCTCCATTGCAAACGGTTGCGGTGAAGGTGCGTTTAGTGGTTGGCCGGGTTGTTGCATGAATTCGTCCATCATCTTTTCCGGAGCTTCGGTTAGTTTCCGGCTATTTTCGTTTTGTTGGGGGGTATCGGTCATTGCTGTATGAGCTTACCTTGTCCTGTCCGCCCATCATGTTGTGTGAGCGCATGCTCTCTTGCATGCCTGGTCCCCGGCCGACCAGCCGGTCGCGCTGTAGTGACTTGTCATCTTGGACGTGCTTCGTGAATTGAGTGAGGGGGTTCCCCGCGGTTGAGCATTCTGCGCCACCGAGGAACGACATGTTGGGGATGTGAGTATTTTGAAGTAGGATATGAAAGGGAAGCGGAAGGGAAGCGGAAGGGATGAGAAGCAAGATGGTTGTGAAGGTAAAGATGCACTAACCCCCCCGGATATCTTCTGACACCCACATCACACGGGTGGGGTTCAAGATCTTTCCGCCTACACTCAGCCGAGGTCCCCCGGCGGCAGTTTGGGGCACAATTCGCCCTGCACTACGAAGATCGACACCGGGAAACTCCTAATTTGATTATCTTGACGGAGCCAGTTTGCCTCATACACACAGTACGGAGTACGTATCCTCGGACAATGTACGAACTACGGAGTACACTACGGCGACATAATATTCACTTGAAGTGAGAATGTGAATTTGTTCATTTCTATCAGGGTATGTGCATAATATTCCATAACAATTTTTGAATTTTCCATTAGTAGCGTGTATTTCGCTACACGTCGCGTCGTGGCCACCGATGTGGCGAATTTAAAGCCAAGTGCCGAGGTTCACTGTTACTCATTAGAAAGCCGGTCGCAATCAAGAGATTCTGGAGAAAGATACTGACCGTGAACAGCCTTCACCTGGGTGTAAGCAGACAAAGCGTACTCGCCGAGCTCGCGGCCAATACCACTCTGCTTGTATCCACCGAAGGGAATAGCGAAGTGAGAGTCTTGTGAGCTGTTGATCTGTTCGATGGTTAGTATAGCTCGTGACAAACCGGTTCTTTGCAATTACATACCCAGACCATACCAGCTTGGATGGCGTTGGCAACCGTGTGAGCACGGGTAATGTTCTCAGTGAAGACAGCGGCACCGAGACCGTACTCTGTGTCGTTGGCCTTGGCAATGGCATCCTTCTGGTCCTTGAAGGACTGGATGACAACGAACGGACCGAAGACCTCCTCGCGGACGGGGGTCATATCGCGGTTCACATCCTTGAAGATGATAGGGTTAACGAAGTATCCCTTGGCATCGGCGGCAGGCTGCTCGCCTCCGAGAACGAGCTGAGCGCCCTCGCTCTTGGCAGTCTCGAGGTATGAGAGGATGCGCTTCTTCTGGGCAGCGGAAACCTGGGGTCCGTGGTTGACCTTGGCATCGAACTGGCTGCCGACGATGGAGTTCTCGACAGTGTACTGCTTGAACTTCTCCACGAAATCCTCGTAGATGCTCTCTTGGACGTAGATGCGGGAGGTGGAGGTGCAAATCTGGCCCATGTTGCTCATGATACCCACGTGAGACCACTTCACAGCCTGGTCAAGGTTGGCATCCTCGAAGACGAGCAGGGGGCTCTTGCCACCGGTCTCGAGGGTAATCTGCTTAAGGTTGGTGGCGGCGGCCCTCATGATGGCCTTTCCGGTGTTGGTGCTACCGGTGAAGGCAATCTTATCGACATCCGCGTGGGAGGCAAGGGCAGCACCGGCGGTGGCACCGAGACCGTTCACCACGTTGACAACACCGGCGGGGAAGCCAGCCTCCTTGATCAGGCCAGCGAGGTAGAGGATGGAGAGGGGAGTCTGTTCGGCAGCCTTGATGACAACGGTGTTACCGCAAGCAAGAGCGGGACCGAGCTTCCATGCGGCCATCTATTTATTGTTAGAGCTGCAGAGAGAAAAACAAAGGAATGCTGATGGGGGGTAGAGGTTGTGATACATACCATGACGGGGTAGTTCCAGGGGATAACCTGACCACAGACACCGAGGGGCTCGTGGCGGGTGTAAGCCAGCTTGGCCTCGCTGGTAGGGATAGTCTGTCCGTGGATCTTGTCGGCCCAACCGCCGTAGTAACGGAAGACGGAGATGACCTCGGCGACATCCTCGCCCAAAGCCTGCTCGTAAGGCTTGCCGTTATCCCAGGCATCGATGGTAGCGAGAATCTCGCGATCGCGCTCGCAAAGCTCAGCCAAGCGAGTCAAAAGCAGGCCACGGTCGTAACCGCCGAGGGACTGCCATTCCTCAGAGTTGAAGGCCTTGCGGGCAGCGGCAACGGCGAGGTCGATATCCTCGGCGCCGGCAGAAGCGACGCTAGCAATCACGGACTCATCGTAAGGGTTGACAGCGGTGATAGTCTCGCCGGACTTAGCGGCCACGAACTCGTTGTTGATGAAGAGTCCTTTTGTCTGTTAGTCACTTGCGATCACATTGTTGCTAGGAAGACTTACCGGTGGGTTGGAGGTAGGAGACCTTGTTAGGGGCCGTCAATTGAACAGGTTGAGCCATTGTGAGAGATGTGTGAAGTTTGGAGATTTAGATAGCACAGACATGAAGACTTTATGTGGCGCCCGAAGGGCTTTAACTTATTGCTTGTAGAACAAGAATCATCTTGCGCGGCGGGTAGCCAAGGATGTCGGACTTGGATGTGGCCTATCTTTTTGCCTGATCAGGAAATTGCGGAGTCTCGTGGGTGCCACTGAGTGGAGACCGGAGAGACGACCAGAGGGACCACCGGATGACCACAAGGGACTGGATGCGTGACCAATTTGGGGCGAAATGAGAGAAATAGGGAGATATAAACGTTGACGAATCTCAAAGGACGATAACTACGTTCATGCACAGACCAGATCAAAGGTTGGCCAGTTGGCCAGAATACTTGCTTCTTCTGTCGATTAACATGCACCGTGCACGAGTAAGCCCTAAACTTGCGGCATCCAACGGCAAGATATCAACTCATTCTCATCACCTCCCCCAGATTTCAATCAAAGTATGGAGCCTCTGGCCCACTCACCATGAAGAACCCACCTTGATAGCGAGAACATTCCATAGACCATACCTTCTTCCGGCAGTTTACATGGCCAAGCCCTCATCATTACCAAATCCAAAATGCACCTGCGGGCAGACCGGCAGACCTCGGGGATCGTTCGCGACCTATCTTGGTGAAGTGTGAGTCGATACGGCAAGTTAAATAGATTGGCCACGTCCATTCCTATCTCTTCGCCACCACCCAATCTCTCTATACCTTCAAACCCTCCTCCTCTGCTCCTATCAACCCTCTTTCGGTCCCATCTCCGAAACACACACAGCAATCATGCAGTTCTACAACTACCCCGGCACCGAGGCCAACTCGGAATCCTTCCATTACTCCCAGACCGTGAAAATCGGCACCACTATCAAGACCTCCGGTCAGGGCGGCTGGGATGTCAATGGCAACGTCGAGCCCGATGTCGAGAAGCAAGTCGCTATCGCCTTTGAGAATGTGGAGAAGGCCCTGAAGAGCGTTGACGAACGTCTGTCATGGGAGAACGTTTACGCCGTTCGCAGCTACCACGTCAATGTGGATGAGACCTTCGACATGGTCACCGGCAACTTCAAGAAGCGTTTCCCTAACCACCGCCCCATCTGGACCTGTGTCGAGATCGGAAAGCTTGGCATTCCCGGAATGGTCATTGAGATTGAGGTGGAGGCTCACTACCCTTTCTAAGTCTGCCCCGGGCTTCCAAGGTCTGGACTATGCCAACCATGTGATGAAATCATGTATATAAAGACAATTTGAAATGAACATACCTCTACACTATCATAACAGTATCTGTTGAATGATTGTCGCCAACCATACTTTTTTTTCCTTTTTTCCTTTTTCCCTATTTCTTTCGTACTGTGTAGCGCAATTTCCCTCTCCAGAAAAAAACAGGCAGCCTTGGCAGACACTAAAGTGAAGCCATACAACGCCACACGAAAATGGGGTGTCAACTACCGAGCGCCACACAAGCCGAAGTCGGCCTCACGGGGATAGCCGCGCATCTCCAGGGACCAGGTGGAATGGTGGATGAGCATAACTGATAGCCTAGATCCCGCGCTAAACTCCATTTAGCAAGGCTATAACCGAACGTGCATCACGTTAAACTCAATCGGGAAGGTTTTTGGGCACATTTCCAACGTTCAACAACAATCTGAGTGAATGATCACCGATATCACCGATATCTAGCTCCTTTGTCTTGCGATGCACGATGGATGCCTTTCCCCGCAAAAAAGCAGTTTCCCCAAGGCTTTTCCTCGGATTTGCCTCAAGTGGATCTGAAACTTGACCCCATGATAACAGTAACCAAGCTTATGGAAAAGCAGCCCCTATCTCCGGGGGCACCTATCTATACCGGGCGAGTGGAAAGGCCCGAAACTGGACCAAATAATTTCCCTCCCCGGACTAGGACAAAGCCTCGATATTGGGGGCATGCAGTGGGGAAGCTGTATAAAGACATAGCTACATACTCACAGAGACATTCAATCTATAATTCGGACCCTTTCTCGATTCCAAATCGGGGCAAACAATGGAGAAATCAAGAGGCAGTATCGGCTCAGTCGAAAATGCCCAACTAGGCTCATACCAAGATGAACAGCTCTTCAGACTGGGCTATGCGCCGCAGATGCGGCGCACGCGCTCGCTCTGGAGCATGCTGTTCATGTCCCTGTCGATTGCGTCTATTCCCTATGGTATCGGCAGCTCCCTCATGAACGCCGTCTATGGCGGCGGACAACTCTCTTTGTTTATTGGACTTCTGCTGGTGCTGGCGCTGGACACCTGTGTTGCCGTGTCTCTTTCAGAACTCGCATCGAGATACCCAACCTCCTCAGGGATCTACCACTGGTCTTTCAAGCTACTGAAGGGCACAGGGAGCAGGAAATTCATATCGTTCGTCACGGGCTGGATTTGGCTCATTGGAAACTGGACCATCTCCCTCTCCGTGAACTTCGGCGTTGCATCTCTTATCGTGGGTACAGTCGCAATCTTCTATCCAACATGGACAGCCTCATCGTGGCAATTGCTGCTCGTCTTCTACGCCGTTTGCCTGATCGTTTTCGTCATCTGCTTCTTCCTTGACAACTACCTCCCTCTCATCGATACGATCTCCGCCGCCTGCTCGGTCGTCACATGCATCGCTCTCTGCATCACTCTTCTCGTTCTCGCCAAGGAGGGTCGCCACGATGCCTACACCGGCTTCGTGGGTTATGACCCTAGTTTCTCGGGCTGGGAGGAGAATTTCACCTTCTTCATCGGCTTGCTTCCACCCGCCTATGCCTTCTCCGCCCTGGGCATGGTAACCTCCATGGCTGAAGAATGCACAGACCCGGAAATCCAAATCCCCATGGCCATGAGCCTGGTGCCCCTCGTGGGCGGTGCTGCCGCCGTCGTCTTCTTGTTGCCCATTTGCTTCACCCTCCCACCACTAGCAGAGATCATCAACGCACCCTACGGACAAGCCTTGCCCTACATCATCCACTTGGTGACGCAGTCAAAGGTCGCATCGATCCTTCTCATGGTTCTGGTGTTGATCGTTGCACTTTTCTGCTCCGTCAGCATCACCACCACCGCTGGCCGTTGCACCTGGGCTTTCTCTCGTGACAATGCCATCCCCATGTCTCACCTCTGGTCGCAGACTGTCTGGGACAGCCCGCTCGCCGCTCTGGTCTTGGTGACCGCGATCGAGATGCTTCTGGGACTGATCTATTTGGGAAGCAGCAGTGCGTTCACAGCGTTTGCGTCTGTGGGTGTTATTGCGCTGGCGGTTGCTTATGCGATTCCCGTCGCGATCAGCTTGTTCGTCGATCGCCGACAGCAGATTCAAGAGGCACGCTGGAAGCTTAGCCCTGTCCTTGGAATTACAGCAAATGTGCTTGCCATCTCGTGGATTGCTTTCCAGGTGATTCTGTTCAGTATGCCTGTTACACTGCCTATCACCGTTGAAACGATGACCTATGCGTCCGTTGTGTTTGTTGGATTCATTACTTTAAGTATGATCTGGTATATGGTGTACGGCCGCAGAAGTGAGTCTCATTTTTCCTTACATTGATTCAATTACTAACTTCACTACCAGATTACCGCGGTCCTGTTGAAGAGGTTGATCCTCTGGAGGAATGATAGATCCCATGGACGATGTCGATTCCATCATTTCGGTATAGGTAGAATAGACCATACCATGTACATATTATAATTTGCCAATTTGTTCTCTAAATTATAAATATCAGACATTGATTATCTTCATTTCATAGAATCATAAATCATATCTTACTGGTGTAGACTGATAGTGACCATATTTTCGTCTCTTGGCGTAGTCCGATTGGCTTCGGCGGCCGCTCTAGGCGGCCCTCGTGCAGAATCCCACGAGGGCCTCGGCATCGTCGAATCGGAGCTCATACTTGACGGCAGTGCCGAAAATCTTCCAGGGTTCCGCCATTGCGGTCTCTCCCGGTTCACCGGATTGGGAAGAGGCTGGGTGAATTCAAGCGACCTCGGGAGATAGGAAGAGATCCCGATCTCCGGATTGCGGGGAAAGACACAGCCAATTGAAAACAAGCAAAGAGCAGACCCATCCAGGCACTTAGCAAAGTTAAGCGGGGATTTTCAACGTGATTTGCCCTTTTCCTTATCAGCCCTGAACTCTGTTCCCCGTGAGAAGAAGTGGGCCACTGCCATTTCCACATTGGGTAAAGCTTTGGCCAAAAGATTTACCCGAACAGGTCTAGGTTGCATGTTCAAGGCCGATCTAGCTCGTACGATATACTTGGAAATGGCCTTGGCCCTTCACTTTATTTAAAGTCACCCTCACACCCATGTATAATAAGTAATCATAATTGTTGTCGCCATAGCCATTCTGACAGCGACATCATGAACACAACCGCAACCGACCTCGGGCTTCCCTCCAGCGCCCTGCCCTTGCTCGGGCTCCTGGCAGCCGTCCTCACTTTGGTATTGGTGAAATACCCCATCTTCCGTAAATCCAAGGTCGTCGATGTACAAGATGTGAAGGAAGAGAAACCCTTCGTCAAGCCGCTTCCCAGTCCCGCCCCCATCGATCCCCTCGAGAATGCACCCAAGTTGTACCGTCCGTTCCGCCACGGACCCAACTTCGTGACGATGGGAATCCGCAAGCTGAACTGGGATAACTGGATTGAGATGGATTCTTACTTCCCGCGGTACCACGACCTGAAGGCCGCGGAGCTGAAGAAGGAGTTCAAGGAACATATCAAATATGTCGATAATGCCGTTACCAGAGATGCCTGCTTCGAGCTGAACGAGGAACTCGTTCGCCATCTTACGCACCGCTACCCCAAGATCTATAAGTTGGAAGATGGAAAGGTCCACAACAGTCTCACCGGAGAAGCTTTCCCTTATCCCCCGGGTATGTGCAATCGATCTTGTGGCAATCATCTGGACTCTACTGACTGAAGTCTACAGCAACCCCCGATGAGGCCCTCGCAATGTCCGGTCTTCTGGTACAGGATGATCTCGTGCTGATGCTTAAGAACGACGGCAAGTTCCTCACTATTCCAGTGGAAAACACAATTCACTAACCGATTTACAGACGGAGAATACCACCTCGATGCCGCCGCCGTCTGTCTCCCCGGCTTCTGGCGTCTGAGGGAGAAATTCCGCATGTCCCTCGATACCCTCCACTTCGAAGCCGGAGTCCCCCATTACGCCGCCAAGCTGCAAAAGTCCATGAACAGGTTCATGACCAAGCTCACACCCGACAAGCCCGTAGAGCGCAACAACGTACGTTCCTACCCATCCTTACCAGAAAGAAGACACAATTCTAACAAAAAGACAATAGTACTTCATCCAACTTGACGACGGCCTCCACTGGTCCCACCGCATGGGCGACCAACAAGGAACAGAAGTCGCCTGTACGTTTCTTCCTTTTACCCTCTTCCCTCTTCCTCTTCCCTCTTCCTCTTCCCTCTTCCTCTTCCATTTTCCTCTTCAAATCCTAACAAATCCACAGCCTGGGCACTAGCAAACAGCAAAGGCCTAAAAATCGACGAAATCCACTTCCGCTCCGAACGCCAAACCCTCCGACGCCTCCCCCGCTCCGGCGCAATCCTCTTCACAATCCGCACATACTTCGAGCCCATCACGCGCATCTGCGAGGAGCCACATGTCCCCGGTCGTCTGGCTGAGGCTATCCGCAGCTGGGATGAGACGGTTAGCTTCTATAAGGGCAAGTCGCACTGGGAGGGGATTTTGTTGCCTTATTTGGATGAGCAGGCGCGGTTGCAGAAGGAGTCGGGCATTGTGGATGAGAAGCCTGAGGGGGAGTTCCCTTACTGAGTGTTTTTGGTGAAATGGTCAAGGTGTGAGGGTTGAAGTGCATTGGAAAATAGCAGGCCTATTGGATTGAAACGTGGGCGATTTACGTTAGCGGCGTGATTTGGTTGGTTTTTTGATTATATTATGCCTATGTCTATGTCAATATGTCGATTATGAACTTTCACATATGTGATCCACAATTCCTAGATGTAAAGTTCTGTGAGCTCAGGCTCCTTGAGAATCCAGAGGTTGCTGGCGTCTATGATACACCTGTAATCCTTTCAATGCATAGCATATTTCAACATCATCAGAATGGCTCGGAAGGCTAAAGACATCATAATCAAGCCACATTTGCCTTGTTCTCGGAGATTCAGCATCTGCCAATGGTTTCCTGTGAAGTGCCCTGGTTAGCCAGATTCGAGGATTGATGAAGGCGAACTTACTCATTGCCATTGAAGACATCAAAGCCAGTGGAAATAATGAGCACCGGCCGAGCGAGATCGGCGATAATCTGCTTGACTGGGGCGGCAGCAAAGGGTGATATCACGATTGATTCCTCGTCGATTTCCGCGAATCCTCCTGCACCGTGAGGTCCAACAATTTTGAATCCCTTGTTGGCCAGGATCGTTTCTGCTAGCTCTGTATAGTCCGGGTCCTGAGCAAGTAATGGCACTATTTCATTGCTACGACAAAGTTGAGCTATAGTGAGAGCCATCGAATGCTGGATCATACTGCCCATCACATTTTCCACATCAGAGGTCTTATCCCAAGAGTCATGCTGCTCTTTTAGCCATTCAGGGGCGGAGCGGCAAAAGTCACCGAGCCCGAAGCAGAGAACTTTCTTCACAGTTGTTGTATCGAGTAAATCTTAGACTAAGGTTGTTAATTGCTTGCAGGTCGTGCTATTCTGCCACAACAAGTCTTTCTCGTCAAAGACTTGAGGCTGTGCTATAAGCTCTCGAAAGTTCCGCGCAGTCTGATTGCTCCAATCCACAATGTAAGAGCATAGGTAGGTTTCGATTGGGCCGTTGGGCTGTTCTTTCACAAGTCTCCAATATTCTTGGTACTTGATATAGGGTTTCCTAAGGACAACTTAGGCAGGCTGATATTGGGTCAGAATACCATCACGTACCAGACAGGATTCTGTACTTGGAACAAGGGATTGAGGATTTGGATTATGCTTCCATCAATTCGACGGACTGAAAATCGCTCCTTAGAATAGGATTGGCCCAATTGTTGTTCTATGTCTTTGAGATCCTCTCTGGTCCAAAGCTTGGTACCAGAACTGTACAAATCTGCAGCTCTTTGGCTACTGATCCGCCAATTCGAGCACCCGTAGTCGAGAATATGCTCGTGTGATGCCAACGTATGTCCTAGGGTCTGTGGCATGGTCTCGTAGCTGCTGGTCGAGGAGGACAACAAGAGGACTGCAGCCCAGGAGACAGTAGCAGGGGACCTCCTAAGACCTACTGGGAAGACACGAGAATCATACTGAAAGAACTGATCAAGAGGCAAGAGATGTGTATTCTGTGTCGTGTCTGCGCGCCCCTAAGGAGAATGAGCGGTGAACGTAACGCACGACGCCTGAGGCATCAGTCCTGGAGGTGACGCAGTTCGTTTAGGGCTAGGCAGTCACGAAGCTAATGGGTATGGTTGGAAAAACAGCGCAGCACTACGATCATGTCACTGTGTGTTCAGTCCTGCTGGGCTGTTGCACTGGACAGTGGACACGGTAGTTGCAGAGTAGTCGGGTGAGTTCTTGCCCATACATCTCTTTGTCTGATCCCATGGAATCGTGAAGGCTAGGAGCTAAAGACTACCTAGAGCACGACCGGAGTACATAGCAACGACAATATGTTCTTGACCGAGGTCCAGTGAAACCCAACAACTTGCTGAATTTAAAAACTATTGTACACATATTCACAACACGTATCTACTCCTTCTGCTGAGCCACCTTCTGCTCAGCCTCGGGCTTCTGCTCAACCTCCTTCACCTCCTCAACAACATTCTGCTCAACTTCCTTCTGCTCAACCTCCTTCACCTCCTGAACATCATTCTGCTCAGCCCCGGGCTTCTGCTCAACATCATTCTGTTCAACCTCCTTCTGCTGAACCTCCCGAATCTCCCCAAGCTCCCCAACCTCCCTTACACCCCTAACTTCCCTGTGAGACGATTTCCTATACTCCTGGGCCTTCCTCTCCTGATAAGTATTCCTCTTCAGCATCTTCTTCTCCTGATGGCGCGCATGGTCCTCAGGCGTCAGAACCTTTCTCGTCGCAAAGCTAGCATACAACTTGCGCCCATAGGGCGCCTTCCTCGCAATAATCTCCTTAGCAGCTGCAGCCTGCGACTCATCAATGAAGTCAATGTGGCCAAAGCCACGGGGCAAACCAGTGCGACGGTCAATGGGAATCCGGACATCCGTAACGCCCTGCAATTCAGCAAAGATCTCCTGCAGATCTTGATCGGTCAACTCGTAGGGGATGTTGCCGACGTAGAGGGTCTTGCTTGGCTTGCGGTCATCGCCCATGGATTTGGTGGTTGTGTTTGCGAATTGGACGACGACATGACGGCCTTCGTAGAGGCCGCCGTGTAGTTGTGTGATTGCCTCTGTGGCTTCTTCAACGCTGCTGAAGGTCACGTAGCCGAAACTGTGGATTGGAAAGTACTGAATTAGTTGACTGGTCTGTTGGAGGCAGCTTGCTATGTGTTTGAGAAAACTCACCCTTTGCTCAATCCTCTAGCATCGTGCACAATGAGCGCATTCTCAACGGTACCGAAAGTCTCAAATTTCGCGCGCAAATCCTCGGCCGTGACGTCGAAGAACAGGTTGCCGATATACAGCGTTGACTTGGGCTGAGGGCCCTCGTTGACGAATTTGGGGCGGCGCTCTCGTTCCGTGCGTCCTTCCGGAAGTGATTCAACGTATTTGATGGGGAAATTTCCGTCCCCTGCGTCATTGGAGTTCCAGCGGGTCTGGGTGATAGTCGGGTAGGTGAAACGCGTGGCGCTGAGCATCGAAGTAGAACATGTTGAGCGAGGCACTGCACGGGAAGCGATGATGGAGGAGGGAGAGGAGATTGAGGAAATCTGAAGCCGGGAAACGGCCCGGCGGAAGGAGTGCCTGGAAAATAGTTGGGTTAGCATTTGGCAATCTTTGAACGTTGTACGTGAGGATGCGCCAGTGAGCACGGAGGTAAAGATTGGCATGGCGGTACAAGACATTGGAGTGGAGGGAATTAGTTTACTTACATCTTGAGAGATATATGCAAGATGTTGTAAATTCGTCCTTTTTGAAAAAAAGACAAATAATGGCTTAAGGAGAATCGCAAAGCCAGATAACTTTTTCCCCGGCAGATACGGCCGTAAGCATCAGCACGTGACTTGTACCGGGCTAAGGCGGAGTTGGAATTGAGCGGAGTGGAAAATAGTACAATGACAGTACGGAGTAGATCATGGTATGATACATTAAGTCCAAACGCCAACAAAATCCGTCAAAAGATGACTTTCCTCAAGTTTTAAATTCATATCCTCCGTCAAATGGCCATCACAAAGAATCAAAGATATACTGCAAGCTCATAGTGGACCTTGGCCTCGACCGTTAGTCTGTTGAGACATTGGCGTTGTATCGTACCCCGAGACTGGTACACCTCCACTGTCAGGACTGTCAGTTGACGATGGTGTAAACATCGTCGGAAGTCGTGGAACACCACTGGATACTGATGATACCCGCGTCGACAGGGGACTTGTTATCGGAGGCTGTGTCATGCCTGCGGACTGAGGATATGGTTGACGTTGTGCATCAGCCATAGGCCAGAATTGATTTGTTGTGTCGAGAGTCGGGTTTTGGAGATACGTGTCCCAGGCATCCTGAACTCAAATATTAGCATTGGACCTTCCCATAGATGAAGAAAGAACACAACCTACCCAGTCAAGGTTGACCTGCATGTCCGGCATCTGCCCGAACATGCTAGTGAACGGCGAGAGCGGACCCGGCATTTCAGTCGAGGTGCCTACGCCTCCCCCGGTTGCCATCGGCGAATCCCCCAGTTTGAAACCGGGGTCAGCGAACGGCGGCGGGCCCGAGTTCATCGGGCTCATTCCGCTGCTCAGCAGGCCGAGCGTCATAGCCGCATTCTGCTTCTCATCTTGTGGCTCAAATGAAGCAGCCCCGGTGCTATTTTCAAGGCTTGGGGCTGCCATTTGCAATTTGCTGAGCATCACGCCAAGAACGGTGGAGGCCTTCCAAGCTTCCATACTCTCGTCGCGCCATTCGTCCCAGATCTCTCTCGAGAGTCGGATCGCGGCGGTCAATTCCTCGCGACGCTCTCGGCCCCAGGTGTAGGTATCTCCCGATGGCCGTCCGCTCATTTGCAACACCGAGGTGTGGTACAAGTCGAGACAGATAACGGTGGCTGCGAGGAGGAAGTCGCCTGTGCTGAGGGAGGTCACACGGTTCTGGCGGCTACGCAGGCGTCCATTGCGCGTTTCCGCGTGGATGATCGCCTGGGCTTGTAATAGCTCCATTGCAGAGTCGATACAGGTCCTGCGGGAATAGGTAAAACGAGGATTGTCCCGAGCGCGGACCAGATACGGCCGATGAAGCACACATTGAGCTTTGTTATATACGGCCATCACCTGCCGGAGAGTTAGTACGTAGTGTCGAGCAGAATTGCGGTGAGGGAGAGTAACTTACGGCAAAGCGCGACATGATCAGGTTGACAGGATCTGCCTGACACTCCTCCATAGGCCGAATTTGCAAGTGGTCTGGTATCATGTCTCTTGCTTGCCGAAGATCTGCGTCGATCTCCATCACCTTTTCGTAAGGAGCAGACGAGATGGCAGAACTTTGTTCAACGACGCGACCGAAGGCATACGTTAGGCGACCCTTGGCAATCAAATATGAGATGGCTGTTGGTTCACTCAACTGACGAGACGGCGGAAGCTCCTTGCTGTCTTCGTCGAAATCATCATCGTACAAATTCCGTGGAAGCTCAGTATCGCTATCGGTAGACCTGATCATGCTCGGCAATCCGACTCGGAAAGAGAACAAAAGGTCGGCTTGTCGCACAAAGGTCCACACCCGCCGTCGCATTTCACCCTGGAAAGGTGTGATATTGGGGAACATCTTGGAGTCGCGGTGGTATCCGGAGCGCATCGCCAAACGGGCAATGACGCCGGTCATGACCCAGATGGAGATGTCCTGGTCCCGGACCTGAGCGAAGTCGGCACTCAAATGGAATACGAGCGCTTCAATCAAAAAGGGGTGGGATTTTGTGTAGTCCGCCAATGACAAGCACTGTGCTGCATAATTTCGGAATGATCCAGCCATGTCTATAGACTTGCCGCGGAACTCAGGTGGCTCGTCACCTTCTCGATGATAAGATAACATCGCTAGTCTCATCAAAGCAAATAGCATGGCTATCCATACCAGCTCTGTTTTGGAAGGATCTTCCCAATGTTTGTTGTACTGACAGAGAGTCAATCTCAATTTCATAAATTCTTTGTCGGGGAGCTCACCTGTGCTTGGAATGTGGGGCCATGAAGAATATCTAAAGATTGTTAGGACAAGGATTACCTGCTAGATGATGAGCGCTACTCACGGGTCGTAGGATCATAGCAATTGAAATAGCGAGCCACAAGGATGTCAGTGGTGTACTTGGAAGGCAAGCCGGTCATAATCTCGCCGCGGCTCATCGGCTTGTTTATACCAAACATCAGAGTCGAGCCCGGAGTGTCAGAAAATGGCTGAGACGCATTGACTTTCTCATACTGCTCATCAATTTGCTTCTTATGCGTTGCGAAGAAATTTCGCACCTCGGAGATCTACTCGACAGGTTAGAATAGCCAGTCTTGGGCTGGAATCTCACAAACTTACATCGTTCAATACAGAGGCCCAGTGGGCATCACTGATGTAATAGGACTTGTTGTTGTCCATCTTCATGATACCGAATGACTTGGTCACCTGATCTGTCTCGCTCTCTTCGGCACACTCCATGCCCTCCTCCTCGATGTCGACATCATGTGAGAACTGAGCCGAGTCCGCACTACTCTCCCCAGATATAGCTGCCATGGCAGCAGCCGGGCCGGCAGACTGAGAGCCGTTTGTCATCAACGAGAGAACCAAGCCCTCTAATCGATCAATGCGATTCTGCATATCATCTGGGGTAGTGGACGACTGCTGTAATGAGTTCTTCTTGCGCGAGTTAGTTTGCGCATAGTTGCATGATGCAGCGTCGCCTCGTTTGACACAGTTTTCGCAGGGGTTTGAACGATTGCATTTCAGTCTGGAAGCCGTTAGAACAGAGGTTTCCAATCATGTCTCGAATGCTTACTTTCTGTGCCGACAGGGCCCACAGGATAAAGGTACCCGGTTCCGTTTCCGAACGACTCTATAGTCTGGAGAGTGGCCAGCACTCGAAGAGTTTGTGGAGGGGGGCGTTGGTGTCATTTTGGCTGGAGGGTATGAAATGGTAGATAAGGTGGCGTCGCGAACTCTGGATATCGGCAAGACCATGGACGCAGACAATGCAGCTGCACTTCGAATCAATGGCCTGGCTGAGCGGGGCTTTCAAACGCGTTGTCGCTGTCTTCACAGCCCTAAACCCGAATCAAAGGTGCTCTTAGTTGTTTTTCGCGAGCTCGTCCGAACAGCCTTCTCGATCTGGCGAGCGCAGTCCAATAATATGCGCGATGGGTTGGGAGCGTAATCTGCCCTACTCTGCGCGTCTCGATATATGCGCGATTTCGCGTAAGTCAATGGCTGGAGGATCGGCGCTAGGTCGTTAGGCAACCGTGCCAGGCTTCGAGCTTCGAGATATTTGTTGCGGGCAATGAATATATAATCCCAATCGTATTTTTTTTCTTTTTTTTTCGCTGGCCAGATTTGGGCGCGCGATAAATGGATGTGTGCTGGCGAAGTTTGCGACGGGAACTGAATGAGGGGGGTGGAAGGTCGCGTGGCGGATATAAGCGTGGTTTTTGAGGGGGGCCAAAACTAGGGCGGCTGTTTTCAGTGCGCGGAATAAATCTCGCTAACGTTATGATCAGGAAGTTCTTCACTGATTCAAGAGTACTTTGCAAGAACTGAGAAAGTGATCAAGAGAAGTCTGAGAAGATGAAAGGCCTCCAGCTCAGGAGTGGTTGAAACTATGGTTAATCCGCTATCTCCGGGCGCTTTTATCTGGGTAAGAGATGATCTCATGTCGAATCTGCAGTTTACCAGCAGTTTCAGTATAAAGTACAAAACGTCTGAGATAATCTTCAATTCTTTCCTGAACATACCTGTTGTTCTCTCAAAGATGCTGAAATTTAGGACTCCTCTCTGTTAACCCCGACATCAAGCCGCTCTATTCTGCTTGAGATACGGCTCTGGTATCCTGTGCAGTTGGTGCTGGCTGATTGGCTGCACAGTGCTGATCAGTCATGACTCATAGATCAAGTACTCCAGGGCTGCTCGTATCCATTTATCCAGAACGTTCCTGGTGTTCTAGTTTACAGGAAGCGAGTAGGTAGGCATGGGAGATCCCTGTGATAGCTGACGTTCTCCTCCCTAATCATCTAATAGTTACGCATTCATAGCAAAGAAACACGATCATACGTATTCCGTACTGTTCATGTATCTCGTTAGGGCGGGGTTAGTTACAGCTTACATAACTAAGTTTTACACCCCCGGCCCCACACCCCCTCCATGATAATATTCTGCCAGTTCATAAATCTCTTTTAGCAATGCGCAGAGGTTGCTTTTAAGTAGGCGGTATGTCCATGAGGGCGGTGAGGTAGGTGGGATGTTAAAGCTTCCAGGTTCTGTCCAGGTTCTGTCCAGTCACTGTGCAGAGTACGAAGCTCCTCTGAGTCCTCTCACACCGTATGTCCAATGATGAAATGTACTATACAGTCTGGACTCGTATCACGAAGACTCAGGTGCTTCATTGTAGTCTCTACTGTGTATCTACTGTGTACTGTGCGGTGGAGATCATTGAGAACGATCTATCACACATCACAGTCTGTGTCATGGTCAGATTCTCTACTGTGTACAGACAGATGGTTGGGCTCCACCAGATGCTTCATGTCTACGGAGTAACTAATCACAAAACGGGACAGGGTGGGCAGTCATGATGCGGGGCTGTACACAGGATATACGTTGATGAACGCAGTTACAAGGTCAAATAGTTAAGTAACACCAATGTATTGTGTAATTACAATACCCGTAAGTTAACTAGGCTCCACTTCCCCAGAAGCAAACACAGCAAACTAAAGAGCTTGCAGCAAACACACATGGATCCCTTAATTAGCAGGCTTCGTCTGGACATTCCTCACTCTCCTTTCTCATCCATCACTCCCGCCCCCTTTCCTATTTCGTCGCAATTTACCATCGACTGAATATTACTCATCATGAGTGATAATCGTGGCCGCGGACGGGGCGACCGAGGCCGTGGAGGAGATCGCGGTCGTGGAGGAGATCGAGGCCGCGGTCGCGGCGATATGCCCTTCCGTGGTGGCCGGGGAGACGGCAATCGTGGGGCTTTCCGGGGTGACAGAGGTCGGGGTGACAGAGGTCGGGGCGACTCACGCGGTGGTGGTGACTTCCGCGGTCGGGGCCGTGGAGATTTCCGTGGCGGTCGTGGTGGTGGTGGCCGGGGAGGAGGACGTGGTGGTCCTCAGAACTTAGGCCCGCCAATCTTCAGGTTCGTCTAGTCAACAGTCTCTGCCTTTTTATATTCAAGTCCTAATCAATTCCCCATAGACAAGGCCAAGCCATCCCTCCACCCAGCGCCATTGTCAGCAAAACCGAGGACGATCTCGCCAAAGCCCTTCAGGTGAGCGGATCAAAGGCCCCGAGACAGGCAAAATACCCTGAACGCCCTGGATATGGTACCCTCGGCAGACCGGTCACTTTGTATGCGAACTACCTGCCGCTATCCCTGCCGGATGTGCAATTGCACCGCTACCATATCAATATTGCGGCCGACTCTGCAGGCCGATCTGCCCCTGTGGGCAAGAAGGCTCGGCACATTGTGCGTCTGTTGCTGGAGGAACATTTCCCCCAGCAAAAGAATAGCATTGCCTCGGACTTCCGGTCGACCTTGGTGTCGTGTGTCAAGTTGACCGAGGGAAAACTGAGCGTGCGTTACAAGGAGAACTTGGACGATGACTACCCTGAGACACCCCGGGTGCACGAGGTCACTGTCCAGTACACTGGGCAGGTCAACCCTGCTGATCTCTTGAACTATCTCACCTCCACCAGCGCTGGTTCTATGCTTGAATCCAAGTCTGAAATCGTCGCGGCTCTCAACATGGTCATGGGCCACCACCCCAAGACGGACGACCAGGTCGTCTCAGTCGGGGCCAACAGGCACTACAGTCTGCGTCAGGATACTATGGAATCCTTCAACCTCGGCGGAGGTCTCTCTGTCCTGCGTGGATTCTTCGTCAGTGTGCGTGCCGCGACTGCTCGCGTGCTGTTGAATGTCCAGGTGAAATATCTCGCCTGTTACGACCACGGCCCTCTGGTCAACTTGATTCAAAGCTACGGCGGCAGGAACATTTACCGTTTGGAGAAGTTCCTCAAGACCGTGCGTGTCCGTGTCACGCACATCTCACGCAAGAACAGCCGCGGTCAGTCCGTGCCGCGTATCAAGCCTATCTACGGCTTTGCCAACCGTGGTGACGGTAACTCGTCCCCCAACCCCCCCAAGGTCCCTCGCCACGGTGCTGGTCCCAACGACGTGCAGTTCTTCCTTACTGAGGCTAGCCCTAAGCCCGTCGCCGCGCCCAGTGTGCCTGGTGCCCCTGAGGCTAAGCCTAAGAAGGGAAAGAAGGCGCCCAGGGAGGGTCCTGCGGAAGCTGGCCGATACATTACTGTTGCGGAATTCTTTAAGAAGGGTCAGTTTACCTATATATATTCATGAGTTTTCATTGTTGTGCTGACTTGACTTTCCAGAATACAACATGACGTTGGACCCCAATTTCCCCGTCGTCAACGTCGGTTCTCGTGACAGACCTGTTTATCTTCCAGTTGAGGTCTGCGAAGTCCAGCCTGGTCAGCCCGCCAAGTCGAAGCTTACTGGCGACCAAACAGCGAGCATGCTGCGCTTCGCCGTGATGGGCCGGAAGCCGGGTCAGAATGCCCAATCAATTATCACCAATGGTGTCGGCGTATTGGGTCTCGGCCAGCCATTAAATCCCACTCTAGTAAGACCTTCGTCTCTCTCCCATGATCCAGTCAAGACATCTAACATCTATTTCGCAGTCTGCCTTCGGTGTTAATGCTTCTACGGAGCTGATCACGGTCCACGGACGCGTTCTCCCCGCCCCTAGTGTTTACTACAAGGACGGGAACCGGGTCAAGGAGATCCGGTCTCAATTTGGCAGCTGGAACATGCGCCAAATCCAGTTCTCCAAGGCCGCACCCATGAAGTGCTGGACCTACCTCTACGTCGATCAAGAGGGCGCCCGCCCTGTCTTCCAAAACCCGGACCAGCTCAACGCCAGCCTGGCCGGCTTCAGAAAGACCCTCCGCGAGATGGGTATGGCCGTCGAGGCACACAGGCCCGGCAAACGCGTCGTGCTCAACGGCCAAAATGACGCCCAAGTGCTCGAGAATGCCGTTCTCGACCTGCAAAGGCAACATAACCCGGTCTTCATTCTGGGTATTTTCTACACTAAGGACACCGACATTTACAACTCCGTCAAGCAAGTCTGTGACGTGCGCTGCGGTATCCGCAACGTGAACGTCCTTGCAGAAAAGATCATGAACTCTAACCCTCAATACAACGCCAACGTGGGCCTGAAAATCAACCTCAAACTCGGCGGCGCCAACCAAGCTCTCCGGACAGCCGATCTCGGCCTCATCTCCGAAGGCAAAACAATGCTGGTGGGCATTGACGTAACCCACCCCTCCCCGGGTTCCGCATCCACAGCCCCCAGTGTGGCCGGTATCGTCGCTTCAGTCGACGCAACGCTCGCCCAATGGCCCGCGGAGATCCGCGTCCAAGGTGCCCGGCAAGAGATGGTCGCCGATCTCCAGGCCCTCCTCGCGTCTCGTCTCCGACACTGGCGAAAGCTCAACCGGAACCTTCCCGAGAACATCATCGTCTACCGCGACGGTGTCTCAGAGGGTCAATACAACAAGGTGATCGATGAGGAACTCCCCCTCTTGCAAGCAGCATGCAAGGATACCTACCCAGCCGACCTGACCGCAAAGGGTCTCCCGCGACTGGCCATCATCATTGTCGGCAAGCGCCACAACACCCGCTTCTACCCGACAACCGAGCAAGACTCGAACCGCGAGAACCCCATCCCGGGTACAGTTGTCGACCGCGGCGTCTCCGAGGCCCGCGACTGGGACTTCTTCCTGCAAGCTCATTCCGCTTTGCAGGGTACCGCTCGCCCGGCTCACTACTTCACTGTCTGGGATGAGATCTTCTACCCGCGCCACCCGGCCAATGCGGGAGGTCCAGGAGCTGCGGATGTCCTGCAGGACTTGACTCACAAGATGTGCTACCTGTTCGGAAGAGCTACAAAGGCGGTCAGCGTTTGCCCCCCTGCGTACTATGCCGATCTTGTCTGCACGCGTGCTCGATGCTTCCTTAGCGATCTGTTTGATCCTTTGCCTGTTGACGCTAGTGGAGGCAGCACCAGTGGCACCGAGGGTACTGCCGATATGTCGCGCACCGCGGACGTTGTTATTCATCCCAACGTTGCTGACTCTATGTTCTACATTTAATTTGCGAGTCTTGTGAGGGGATTCTGTACTAGTTCTCTAATTCAACATTTGGGGCTGGTCAGAGTGGTTTCGGATGGTTATTGATACCTATTTTATGGGGATACGATTGTCTTTCGTCGTTGACTCTGGCCTGTTCCGGACATTGTGAACGAACAGATTGGAATCTGCTGTTACCCTGCCCCTTTTTATGAAATTAGCTTAGTTAGGTGTGAGTGAATGCAAAAGCTTCCATTTACGGAGATTGCTTCTACAATTCAAGTAAAGACATGTAGTACGTAGTTCAAATCTACTGCCAGTCAAGATCAGAATTTAACATCTTGCAATTGATCAACTAAATCAGAATAGGGCTTGTACACTTAAAAACATCTTGGGCCAGGTACAGAAAGACAAAAGGCAAAAAACAGCACCCTAGGTGCAGATAAGAAACATAGACAAGAAGGGCAATGAAGATAGTACAGGGGCCAGGCATTCCATTTTCACCTCTCACCAGGAAACCACCAGGTTCAAAGAGAAAATGTATACCATAGACCACTTAGGTGTTGTTAGTTTGCAGTTGAGGACAAACGTCCCTTCATGCGGGTATCGATACATAGCGCTCATGATCAGAGATTGGGAGGACGGTGCATAGTTGAATGGGACGAGGGGTGAACCGATGCCCGAAGCGAAGGATACAAAGTATCCAAGCACCGGTGCTAGCCCCGCTTACTCGTCTCCGTGGTGCCAGCTTGGCTGGTTGTGGCCTGGGTTGCGCTGCGCAGTGGCAGTGCGCTTAGGCTCGGGCGACTCGTCGTAGTTGTCCCACTGAGACTCCATCATCTTGACAGCCTTGTCGTGTTTCGGCATGGGCTGGGTGTTCTCCTTGGTGGGCACGGGCGAATCATCCACTATCTCGAACTGGGAGACGAAGTTCTTTTTGCGGTTGGCCGCGTTACCGGTGATTGCCAGGGGCTCGTCCTTCTGCTCTCGATCAGAGAGCTTGGGCTGTCCTTCATCGTCGAAGAGGCGGTTCTCGTAAAGACGCTGGCCGCGGCCCTGGAATGAGCCGATGATACGGCCGTCGTCCTCCTTGTCATCGTTCAACTCGAAGTGGTGGTCCACGTCGCGGCGGAGCTTGCTCACGTTCAGCTTGGGTGGGGGGATCCGTCATTTAGCTCGTCGTCGAAGACATGGTTCACTTCCTCTCGGCCTCTGGGTCCGTGTGTGGAACGCGAGGCCTTGTCGGGGGTGCTGAAGTCACCAAATTCCCAGTGAGCCTTGTGGTAATGCTGGGCATGTCTCGATTCATTCTTAACCTCGCGTTCAGAATTGTCGGCGCCAACCTCGAAGTGACTAAACTTGCCGGCATGGGTCTTGTAGAACGAACGGTCTTCGTCCACAGGCCCAACGGCGGGCTTGGCGGGCTTCTCTTCCTCCTCAATGGTGCGAGGAGCCCGACGCTGGGGCTTTGAGGGCGAGTCTGGCACATCGTCATCTCTCACGAAGATGTCGCTGAAGTTGCGCGTAGCAGGACGTCCAGAGGAAGGCGCAAAAGGAGCCACAGGCGCAGGAGCCTGCTTGGTAGGGGACAAAATCTCGGTCAGGGAACCCGCTCCGTAGGGATCCTTCGTATATCGCTTGCCCGAAGAAGAAGAAGCAGGTCGGGCGGCTGCCTCCGCGGCGCGGCGCTCGATCTCGGCGGTCTCCTTGCTAGGCGAGAGAAGCTCGGTGAGGGATTCGGCGGCATAGGGGTCCCTGATGCGACGCTTGCCCGGGGATGAGGAACGGGTGGGAAGAGTGGTCTGCGGAGATGCAAGCTGCGAGGGAGTCGCACGGGCTGTCTCCGCGTTTCTGAGAAGACGAGTCTGGTCTTTTCCATCACGAATGGGCCATTGACGTCCGCGCGCTCCAATGACCTCGACTTGTTTCAGCAATGAACCTTGGTCCCAGTAAATTCGGATCTGCTTAATCTGTTGGTGGGCATCGAAGTGAACAATGTGAATCTGCAAGGCGCATTAGCTTGATGCGCGAAACACGCGTTGTAGGTGGGAATTTACCGTGGGGAAAGTCGCGACACGGTCGGCCAGGAAATTATCATCGAGGTGGGGAAGATAAACACCACCACCCTCCGTGAACTCGAGGGTGGTTTCCATGTCCAGACATAGCGAGTCGGATCCTTCAATGGCGCCAATGATTTGTTGAGATTTCGTCTTCACCACTTTGGCATTCTTCAAAACGTGAGTGATCACATTATCGGCCTGCTCAAACTTGGTGGTGGTAGGGACATAGATCAACGAGACATCGTCGGCCAATTTAGCAGACCTGGGACTATCGAGGAACCGCTGGTATTCGGTCTTGAAGTACGACATAATGAAGATGATGAAGGAGGAAGATTCTCCAAGAAAAATAAAAGGGAAGAGGCTACAGTCAACCCAGGGATCAGAGTGGAGTGTACGGAGTAGAAGAGGGAGAGAGAAGGAACTGGACTACGAGAGACCTTCAAGGGAAGCAATGACGGGGCTAAGACCCTTTAAGTGTCTGGTACCTTGCATATGCAAATTGTAAATAGAAGTCAAGAGAAGTAAACAATACGGGGTACTTAAAAAAACGCGTATGGTGAAATCCTCAAAAACACGCCAGTGTTTCACCTGAGCCACCCCGAGCCACGGGCCCAGGCTTAGGGCTCTTGGGGGAGGAGCGCCTTTTCTCTACCGCGTCTCTCCGGCAACTGGAGAATGAAGACCATTTAAAAAGCAGGGTTTAGGTATGAGATCTATTCTGGTATGGATTGCCACAGGGTTGGACATGCAACATGTTGTACACTGTACAATATGCCATTGAGATCTACTCTAGTAAATTTGCAGTGCCCCCTCAGCGGTTATTATCCCGACGATCACTAGCGGACCAACTGTCATTCCCGGCTGGAGGTGTCTGTAATTTCGGGTCATTTGGAAATCAGGCACTCTCGCATGGAAGACATGATCACTTGGTCTGTCCTTGAACGCTCAAAAAAAACGGTCTATCGTTGAAGGAACACGGTCAATCAAATGGGAGTATGGCTTGTGTACGGAGGTACGGAGTGCCTTCTAAACCTCCCGGCTCCTGACCAGCCAATTCCTTTGTCTTTTTTTTTTGATTGATAGGCAGTGATGCCTGCTCAAGCAATTGCCGTATCTGCGGGGAACGGTACATAGCATGGTGAATTATCGTATCGGTGAAAGGTGGGTATGTGTTGCAATCATATCTCATTACAGAGGTCTATTGGAAAAGTCCAGCGTTAGAAAGTCCAGTGCTCGACCAGGTGTAAAATCACTTACCCAAGGAAGTCCTCCTTGATTGTGCCAATCGCATTGATTGCAGCCACGTCGGGCTTGACACCGAGGATCTTCAGCCGCAAACTGGTGCCTTTCTCAATGACTTGATCGGCATGGTCAGTGTACTGCGGCGGCACAGTGTTGGGCTCCCACTTGATCTCGGAGGGAATATTCTTGAAGATTGTCAGCTGTATACTTCTCAGATCTTGCTCAGATAAAATGAAGGCATGCCTTTCGCGCAATGAAAACAGACAATGGGCCCGCCAGAGTGAAGATACCCGTGGGTTTGACGGAGGTAACGATAGCATCAACCTGCATCCAGTCAGCCAAGTAGTCAGAGGTGACCTTGGATCTCAAGCGCATACCGTCTCGCCACGGAACGGCTTCCAGATAATCGCACGATATCTGATAGTGTACTCCGCCTGTCCGATTCCAGGCATCACCCGCCCCTCGCCAATGTCAACCATATCCATGACGCAGATGACAAAGTGATCACCCGTGCAACGGCCCTCTTCCTCCTCGTTGAGTCGACCGATGAGGTACTCTCGCATGTTGGGTCCGAAATAAGACGGGTGCATGGAGATCACCTTGGTCTCTTCTTTGAGGAAGAACATCGTCGCGGTTGTGATAAGAGTGTGCGCTTATGTCGAGGTCGAGGTGGGAGGTAGGAATTCAGAGGTACTGTCAGAGAACTGATGCTGATGCTGTCAATCGAGATCGAGGGACGGCGTGTTCGACCACCAGCTCATGACCTGCAACGGTGAGGTGCGAAGAAAATCTGGCAACCAAAATGAGCGAAGGGAGGTCCGAATACGCGTTGGGGTGGCAGAGAGTGTATCTGCCTGGGATCTTGAACGCGGAGGCAGATACAGTTGCTGCAGGCGCAAGCTTTCCCTTCGTAGGAGCATCTCCGGTGGACCAGGTTTGAGTGGATACGGTCACGTGATATTCTATGGGTTGAAGTAAGAAGGTCGATATTTGCATCACCGGAGTCACCCGTTGGATCTCATTCATCTTATATGTACTTAATGCGGTATAGAGGTCTGTTAGCGATACATCTTACCATGTCTTCACCTTGACCAGTGGGGGTTGCTTCTTCTATGAAAAGACGACGATCTATAGCTGACTCCAGCATTGACATTTGGCAACCTTCATCCGCCGATGACAGGTCGAAAAGATGAACTCGATGGCTCAAACATATAGGAATAGCATATGATATAGGTAGAGGTATGCATGGACTTCATGCTGCCTTTTCTGGTTCTCCAAGGAATGAAGAAGTATTCAAACTAGGCTTGAAGTACTCGTGATATATATCTCGCCTACCCCAAGTATGAATATTTGATATTCCGTGGGCTCACAGGCTATTAGTCGATGTCATTACGGCTCTCTATCCCTTTTGACCAGAGATATCAGAGAAAAAGACCTGTCAAACCTCGGTAGAAGTCTGAAGTGTTGATGGAGCATGCAATGTAGTGGAAACTACCTAGAGTCGTTGACTCGTTGGCAACACTCAAATGCAGGAGCACCTGACCCTAAACCCCCTAATTCGTGGACTGAATGCAGATGGATACAGACTACAGTCTACAGAGATATATACGGATGTATATTTTACATTGAATTACCTGTGCCTTACATATGCCATCTTGTAGACAGTATGATGCATCGGCGGATAACCAACGCCAAGACCAACGGCATAAGCACATGACGCCAGCTCGTGTATATCGATCCGACCACTCAACGCTTTCCGATAAAGATGATGCCACTTGCCTGATTCCACCACCCCCGCCAAACGTTTCCCCAGATTCCAGCTTCTTTCATATCCCGCAAGATGGCGCTCAATCTCGAGAAACAGTTGCTCTTCGTAAGCATCCTTTGCCCAGCTGACTCGCAGAATCACAACAGCTGACTTGTGATATAGTACGGTGCCTACCATAACAATCCTGTACAGCCGCCATGTCCCCATCGACAATGAGACACAAGGTCCACTAACAGTACAAGGTCAACGTCGCGATCCATATTACTTGCGTGCCGGTCCTACTGTTCACGGGGATCGTCCTGGTACGTGAACCCCGGTTGATTTGCAAGCGTCCCAACGTACCCCTAAAACGACACCGAATAGTACGAAGATACTGACCGTTATTTCTACCAAGGCCTGCAATTGCCCACCGCTCTTCACCCTCCCGGACATCCTTCAAATTGAATACCTGCCCGCAAATGCCGGCACAATCGGCGCCCTTATCTACGCCATATTTTATGTCCTGCTCGAACCCATCGCCGGCGGGCTCCTCGCACCCGCCGTGATCGCATCCGCATATTATGGAAATTACTTCCTTAGCACACACGGCAGCACCGTGAACTACTGGGCCGGAGGCATCCACGTCGTCTGCTGGCTGGCCCAGTTTGTCGGACACGGTGCATTCGAGAAGCGTGCCCCCGCCTTGCTGGATAACCTCGTGCAAGCTTTGTTGCTTGCGCCGCTATTCGTCTGGATGGAGGTTCTGTTCTTCTTCGGTTATCGTCCTGAGCTCAAGGAGCGCTTCGAAAAAGGCGTTGAGCTTGAGATTCTGAAGTTCCGCAAGCAGGGGAACAATAATGGCAAGGGCAAGGCGGCGCAATAAGCAAATGCAAAGCACAATTTGCATTCTGCGTGCAGGATGCAGTAAGGGGAGATATTGTGATTCGGGATTGGGACTACTGCGCTCATGTTGTCTCGGTCAAGGATGGAAGTTTCGGACGATTCACGGGGTGCGTCGATTCATGGCTGTTGTTAGCAGAGCGAGATTGATTTTGTCATTTCTATATTCTGCAGAGTCTTTTTTTTGCATTGCTCTTAGGTCTTTTGGCCAATTGGGACAGGACCTTCCCAGGATTGGCGTTATTGTTATTGTCTTTTCGGCAAAATGTTTGAATCTTTGATAGTGTATGTTAGGTAGTATGCTGGCACCGTTCAAGTGTACATACTTCGAATAAGGACATAATCAAGTTATAGGAACCCTAGAAGCAATCCAAGTACTGCGTATACACAACGTAGCGTAGTATGAAGCGCCTCGGACTGGTTGCCGTGACGAAACCAATGACATAAGCGAATTCACCTGACCAAGAATTCCGCCGATCCGAGAAGAGAAAAAAACGGAAGGGCGGTAGTGGTCCGTGGCCCACGCTTCCGGTCGGCCATGCAAATATTGAAAGGTCACACTCCGTGAATAGTATGAAATTTTTTTTATGATGGTGGAAATTGTATAGAGTAAAACATTAAAATAAAATGAATATAACATCACAGTTATTGAACAGTGTAGGAGGTACAGCGTGGCCTCACACTAGGGCCACATCGGAGGGCCCAGTGTTCCGAAAGGGTTTAGCGCAAGTCCTGAGAATCCAATCCTCCCCCCGACGACAAAGCTCTCCCTCCCGTCCACAATCCCTCTCTCCTCTCCCGTTCTCTCTCCCCAATTACATCTCTCCCTCAGAGAATTCATCCTCCCATCCTCTGAACCCCATTTCATAATGTTCAGAAACGCTCTGCGGTCGTCCAGCCGCTCCGTCGCGGCTGTTTCGGCCCCTGGCCGCATCGCCTCGGTGAGTCCATCCCATCCCAGCCGCCTTCGTTCATCGCCATTCCGACATCCTCCATCTCAATATTGAGCTCGATCGATGCTCAAACCTCATCATACCTCGACAACATTACTTCATTGATGCCTCGAACACATTGTCCTTGTCTGTGATGGTCATTAACAGGTTTTTCGTTCATTATTAGGTCCGCGCGGCTGCTGCCGGTCCTCTCAACGGCGTTCGCTCGTACGCTTCCGAGGCTAAGGCTGCCCCTACTGAGGTCTCCTCCATCCTTGAGCAGCGCATCCGTGGTGTCTCTGAGGAGGCTGGTCTCGCTGAGACCGGTCGTGTTCTGTCGGTCGGGTACGTCGATTCTCCCTTGGCGGCTGGGGGCGCGAAAAAAAATTCGGTCCTCGGCTACAATTCTATCAAATCCGCCATCAACCATCAACATTCAACTATCTACGAACCCAGAAACTAATTGAGCTTTAATATAGTGATGGTATTGCCCGTGTCCACGGCATGTCCAACGTCCAGGCTGAGGAGCTGGTCGAGTACGTGTACCCCCAAAGTCTTGGCATTATCAAAACCGGAAAACTAACCCTTCCTCAGGTTCGCCTCCGGCGTTAAGGGTATGTGCATGAACCTCGAGGCCGGCCAGGTCGGTGTTGTGCTTTTCGGTTCCGACCGTCTCGTCAAGGAGGGTGAGACTGTCAAGCGTACCGGCGAGATTGTAAGCACGCCCATTCCATCCCTGGGTTCAATTTAGGTCCATATCTATATTAGATCCGGGGACCATCAATCCCACAGCAATTTATCTAACACAACGTCCAGGTCGAGGTTCCCGTTGGTCCCGAGCTTCTCGGCCGTGTCGTCGACGCTCTCGGCAACCCCATCGATGGCAAGGGTCCCCTTAACACCAAGGAGAAGCGCCGTGCTCAGCTCAAGGCCCCCGGCATTCTGCCCCGTCAGTCCGTCAACCAGCCGGTGCAGACTGGTCTCAAGTGTGTCGACGCCATGGTCCCCATCGGCCGTGGTCAGCGTGAGTTGATCATTGGTGATCGTCAGACCGGTAAGACCGCTGTCGCTCTTGACACCATGCTCAACCAGAAGCGTTGGAACACCTCTGGTGCTTCCGAGGCCGAGAAGCTGTACTGTATCTACGTTGCCGTTGGTCAGAAGCGTTCCACCGTCGCTCAGCTCGTCAAGACCCTTGAGGAGCAGGATGCCATGAAGTACTCCGTTATCATTGCTGCCACCGCTTCCGAGGCCGCCCCCCTGCAGTACATTGCTCCCTTCACTGGCTGCGCCATGGGTGAGTGGTTCCGTGACAACGGCCGCCACGCCGTCATCATCTACGATGATCTGTCCAAGCAGGCCGTTGCCTACCGTCAGATGTCTCTGCTCCTCCGCCGTCCCCCCGGCCGTGAGGCTTACCCCGGTGATGTCTTCTACCTCCACTCTCGTCTCCTCGAGCGTGCTGCCAAGATGAACAAGACCCACGGTGCCGGTTCCCTCACTGCTCTGCCCATCATTGAGACCCAGGGTGGTGATGTGTCCGCTTACATTCCCACCAACGTCATTTCCATCACTGATGGCCAGATCTTCTTGGAGTCCGAGCTGTTCTACAAGGGTATCCGTCCCGCCATTAACGTCGGTCTGTCCGTGTCCCGTGTCGGTTCCGCCGCCCAGGTCAAGGCCATGAAGCAGGTCGCCGGTTCCCTGAAGCTCTTCCTTGCTCAGTACCGTGAGGTCGCTGCTTTCGCCCAGTTCGGTTCCGATCTTGATGCCTCCACCAAGCAGACTCTTGCCCGTGGTGAACGTCTGACCGAGCTCCTCAAGCAGAAGCAGTACAGCCCCATGGCCGTTGCCGACATGGTTCCCCTGATCTTCGCTGGTGTTAACGGTCTCCTCGACGCCATCCCCGTCGACAAGATCCTCACCTGGGAGACTGACCTCCTTGCTCACCTCAAGAGCTCCCACCCCGAGATCCAGGCCACCATCGAGAAGGAGGGCCAGGTCACCAAGGAGACCGAGGCCACCCTCAAGAAGGTCATCGGTGATTTCAACTCCACCTTCAACGCATAAGTGAAGAAATAACTCGGATGATCCTTAGCGGTCGGCTTTGTTTTCTTGACTCTATGTGGATAGACAAGATAGCCTGTACAATTTTGAGCCCATTGTTTTTCTGTTCTTTCTTGGTGCCGGTGCCTGGCAGGAGATCCTCCAGTCTGCCCCTGGATGTAGCGATGTAATTGTCTGCATGATCCTGGGGGGCGGACCAAGGATCTCCCGTAGTGCTGTTCGAGAAAGAAGTGAAATGACTTTGGACTGCCAAAATGTGATTATATCCTGTACGTTTAGATTTTACGCGCATCGGGGCGCGAGATGGGTGGACGACCGTTCTAATTCCGTCTGGTCGCCTAATGCTCTCCATGTTGGACCTCAATTTATCTCCTTTGTTCAAGCTGTTTACTCCCGTCGTAGTTCTCATGTTTTTCTTGAATATGCTATGACAATTGCATAGCGGATGAAGACTGCCGGTTGCTTCTAATGTATGGAGTACTGTGTATTGAACCACTATGCTGTAGTCGAGGGATATAGACGCAACTCGATGACATGATTGACCGTACAGTCTCGATACCATCTCGATCTTTGCATTCATACCTAATAACCCTTCCACATGAGTCCCCAGAATCTAGACGGACAACCGCCTGGCGCATCTGCCGAAACCGAAACCGGCACCAAATCTGTTATCGATAAGCGAACAAGCTTTTTTTCCGCGAAAAGACAAACGACCAAGTCCCCCGCGCGCAAAGAACTTCGATTTCCTCTCTAGTACCAATTATCCTGTCGCCGTCATGTCTGCTCCTACCGATAAGCCCGCCTCGTCCTGCAAGGTGATGTTGAGCAAGAACGTTGCCAACCGCCTCCTCGCCGAAGTCCACGAGGGAGTCAAGACCCTCGAGAAGCCGCCTCATCTGGTCGGTTTACTGGCCAACAATGATCCAGCTGCGCTGATGTATGCGGAGATGACAAAGAAGACATGTGAAGAGAAGTGAGTACATGGACTATTTCCAATGGCTCCGTACCCAATGGCTGCAGCTTCGTTGGTGTGTTGAATGGTGGGGTATGATTCATACTTGACCCTCGGCCGCGCAACAGAAAAAGATCAAAGAAAAAAAGAAAAAGCACCACAGCCATGAAGAAGAGCAATTCCGAACCCAATTCAACTAACACCATGTCCCCCACAGTGGATTCAAGTACACGTTGCGCGAAGTCTCCCGGGACGACATCGAACAAGCGATCCTAAACGCCAACAGCGACAACGCCGTCGACGGGATAATCGTCTACTACCCAATCTTCAACAACCGCCAAGACCAATACCTGCAGCAAATCGTCGACATGACCAAAGACGTCGAAGGCCTAAGCCACCGCTACATCTTCAACATGTACCAGAACATCCGCTACCTCGACGGCGAGGCCAAGCGCCAAAAATCCATTCTGCCCTGCACTCCGCTGGCCAACATCAAGATCCTCGAGTACCTCAACATCTACAACACCATCTTGCCATACGGCAACCGTCTCTTCGGACACACGATTTGCGTGGTGAATCGGTCCGAGGTCGTTGGTCGTCCGCTTGCGGCGCTGTTGGCTAATGATGGTGCTTGTGTTTACTCGGTTGATATTACTGGTGTGCAGAAGTTTACGCGCGGTGAGGGGTTGAAGAAGAAGACTCATGAGGTTGTTGATCTTGAGGGGAAGACTATGAAGGATGTTGTGCCGCTTTGTGATGTGGTTATTTCTGGTGTGCCCGGGGAGAAGTTCAAGTTTGATACTAGTCTCCTGCGTGAGGGTGCTGTTTGTGTCAATTTCTCTAGTGAGAAGGTATGTTCATCCTCGGGTCATTTGGTCCTGCTCGAAGTGCCGTTGCTAATTGCTTTTGCTGCAGAACTTCCCCCACGAGGTCCGGGACAAGGCTTCTCTTTTCGTTCCCTCCATTGGAAAGGTTACCATTGTTGTTCTCATGCGCAACCTTCTGGTATGTGCTGTCTCTTTCTCATATATAACCCCCTGATCACATGCGCCGCCTTCTAACATAACATATTACAGAGACTCATCCAGAACAAGCGCATGGACGATGTCAAGCCTGCCGAGGCCACCGAACAACCTGGTACCCTTGAAGCGGCCTCGTAAACTCACCTGCATACAGGGCCCGACTTAGATAGCCATGCCACGAGCTGGTCGTACCGTAAAAACTATAGATCTTCTGTTTGTTATTAGCCATTTTGATATTCCTCTGAGACTTCCTTCCTCTCTTCTTCTGTTACTTTGGTATATCCCAATTGCATTCTATCTTTGGAAAAGCAACCTTCACCGTCCTGTCACAACACCGAACCGCTTCATGCTTATGATCATATACTCTAGTTGCTCAAACACTATGGGCTACCTACGTGGCGTTTTAAGGGAACATACCCAGCTCCAAGTTCAAGGAATGTTATCAATACAATGACGAGCTGCTGTTAGAACAACATATAATAGAAAAGAGTCACACGCCGATAAGATATACCGTTCAGTCCACCTCAACCTGAACTAAGTCGCTGTCAGGCCGGGCATGCAACATCTTCACTGAGAGAGAGAGAGTCCGAACTGCATCAGGAACCCCCAAACCATGAAGCAGAGCATACCTTGCCAATAGAATAACCAAGTCAACATCCCACAGGGCAAAGACGAGTCTACCAGTGCTTGAGACTGTCATAAACGTCATAAAAAGCCATGACAAGAGACGTAATGAAAAGCACAGAGGAAATCAACAGAAGCACCGCAAGCAGAGGCCCCCAAGGTCCCAACAAACGAAACCACCATGTCCCGATTTCCTTCCAACTACTCTTCCACTCAGCGAATTGGTCAGCACCAGACAGGATGTGCCGCAAAGGCTGAGCAGCCGAGTATGTATGAAAGTGACTGATAGAGATTTTCTCAAGCAGTCCCGGAGGCAACACAGGTGGATGAAACAGGCAGCTCACAGTCGTGCGGCCCGGGATCTGGAAACCAGGCGCCAGAAATATAATGCGCATACGAGTGGAGTAGCTGGCAGAATCCAGGATATGTACTTTGGTCTGAACGTAGTAGACCTCATATTGCACCGCCATCCATCGTAGGGACTCCCTCTCGTCTATCGGCAGAATACGTGTGTTGATTCCTGCGATGTTTGTGGGAAACCTGCTGCCCGAATCCATTCGAACGATCTCAAGGGTCCTGGTTGCATTCACAAGAGACATGACCTCGTCGCGGGGAAGGTGGGTGAGGAGGACTATTATGTCGGGGAGGGCTGTGATCTGCCTGTTAGTACAGTGTATAGATCAGGCTGTTCAGGCATGTGTGATTACCCCGTGGACGACGGATGACAGACAGAAGTCGCCCCATGTCGAAGCGTTTGCCTGCGCGAGTGGTAGTGATTGGGGTTTGGATGACCTGGACCGATGCAGGTTCCACGGAGTTGACTGAAGTGAAGTTTGCTGGTGGTGAGACAGGACAGCTGCAGAGTTAATGGAGGAGGTCAATGAGACAATGACAAAAGCAATGTAATTAAGACATGAACGATATGCAGTTGAATTGAAGAGTTATAGTGTTGTAGAGTGGTGGTAGAAGTAGTGATCGAGACATGTCAAAGGGCATGTAGTTTGGCACCAAGGTTTACGCTTGTTGATATTCCAGAATTGGGAAGGTTCGATTGAACTGGAACTTCACAAGTCAGGAACGTGCAGGTGAGCTCCTGCCTTGAGTATACAAATGTACACGTGAGCACGTAGCCCTAATGTGGTCCATCGCTATGCCATGACATCAAGCTACGATGCCCTTTCTTGCAGAAGATGTGGCCGTGTCTCCATTCGTCGGACCATTAAGATAACCACAGCGAAATGTGTGGAAAGCACTCATTGCAGACGTGTGTATCGGAGGGCCAGTGTTGTGTAGCCGCCTAATGCAATAAAATCTCTATAGTTGGGCCTTTGGATTAGTTTAAGCCAATTCCCAGAGGAAAACGGACAAAGCCTTTCTTAATATCTTTTGTAGATTGTAGTAGCTCATGTTTGGCGATTGCTCCAAAAGCGTGGCCTCAGATGACAGATAATTGAAGCATCGCAGTCTAGCCAGACTTCTTCTCATTTTCCTTCGCCGCCAACCTCAACACATCAATCTCGCCAGCTACCCAGCGACGGAAAGGCTCAGGGTGGAAGACACCGTCAGCCGAAAACCAAGTTGCGAAGGGCGCCTCGAAGCGCTTATCCTGAAGGACCTTGCCAGTGGCAGATTTATAGATGATGTGTAGCTTGTAGACATTCGAGAGTTTTTGGGCTGAAGATGAGACAGATATCTGTGAACACATATGTTAGCAATCAGCTTGAAACCTATCCTCAAAGGGCATGAAGATCAATAAACATACCGTTTCCCCAGTCTTCCGCTTTCCGGCGTATACCTCCCCACCCTCAACAGCCCAGATCCAGTATGTCAAAGCGCTGTTCAGAACAAAGTAGGCTGCAACCGCTGCAATGATCCATGGCGAGGTAGTTGCTTCCCAGCCGAGCATGCGGTCTGCATAGAAAGTAAACCCTGCAATGGCGATAGCGCTAAATCCGAGAAGGAAGCGGATGTTCGTCTTGGAATGGTCTGGCGTAAAAGCGTATGGCGCAGGGAGATTCGTCAGGTAAGGAAGAAGGGCATCGTCACTCGTAGACTTGAGATCTATTGCTCATATCCCGCTGTTAGTGTTATTGCAGTATAGAGTAGATCAGGATTACGAACCATTAGTCGAGTAGACTGGCACTTTGTTTGAAGCCATGAGAGCGTGTATAAGATATGCAAGTGGAGGTATTAGGAATATCCAAAACAACAAGTGCTGGTACGTGTTCGGTGATCAAGACGAGGTTGTTTATCGCAGCCAAAGATGCGGCGTGGCCCTTGGGGAAAGCTGGAGCTAACGCGGGCCAATGACATCTCTCTCCGCCTGGCAACCTCCTTCGCGGCCCCTTCAACTTTCTATCCCCCACCTGCACCCTCCGACATTATCTGGCTCATAACAGGTAACAGGTTACCCTTTGATCTTGAGTACTGCCTCCAAAATGGCAATTCAAGGGGCCGAGCAGACCATCCTTAGGGATCCGGCGCTATTGTGAGGAATCCCGACTCGATCAACTCGAGAACGTCGAACTGACCGTCTGCTTATAGCTACTGGATTCTGTTTCCAATTTCAATTGTTATGGTAAGTCTATTCCCAGCGCTTATAGCTCAAACGGGTGGTTTTGCGCCTGAGCTTGAACTAACTATCTTCGAATAGATTTTGACCGGAATCCTTCGCCACTATGCCACCGTCCTGATGAACTCACCCCCCAGATCGGCGACCACTCTTGCCGAGTCTCGCGAGCGCCTTGCTCTCATCCGCGCCGTGAACCTCCGCAACAATGCCTGCTCCGTGCTCGACCGCGAGGCCTTCGAGATGCGCAAGAACTACCTGGTGAACGGATTCCGCAGCGGCGCGTTTTTGAAGGACCCCAACAACCGGGGGCAACCTCCCGCGAACCCTATGACTGACCCTGCTGGAATGGAAGCTATGATGGGCATGCTCAAGGGAAATATGATGATGATGATTCCGCAAACATTGATCATGAGTTGGATCAACGCCTTCTTCTCTGGCTTTGTCATTCGTATGTCGCACGTTGACACAACTATACACGATCAACTAGCTTACAAGTCTCGCAGTGAAATTGCCCTTCCCCCTCACCATCCGTTTCAAGTCGATGCTGCAGTCTGGTGTCATGACTCGTGACCTCGATGTGCAATGGGTCTCCAGTCTGTCGTGGTACTTCCTCAATTTGATGGGTCTGCAGTCTGTCTTTGGATTCATTCTCGGCAGTGATAACGGTACGTACTACTCTAAGCTCTGACGAGAAACCGATACTAACAACTCGCAGCTGCCAACCAAATGGCCCAGCAGATGGGTATGGCCAACCCCGCCGCTATGGTCAACCCGCTCCAGCCCGGCCAAGATCCCGATAAGATGTTCCTGAGCGAAGCAGAGAACTTGGAAGTGATGGAACATTTCTGCATTCTTGACGGAGTGGAGGAGAGAATTCTGCAGAATTTTGCTCCTGCCGGAATCTAATCTCTCATTGGCGTTGCATCATGTCTCGCGTCGGTGTATATACCGTTTTGGGGTCATCGCTGGCTCTAAATAGCACAAAGAATAGAATGCGTGATGTCCAAAGGAAGCTGCACCACTGTGGGCTATAACCTACAGGCTCATATAGAAGCCTCGTATGTACCGGATAAAGTCTGGCAAATCTTGACTCAATAGGCAAATTGTATGTGTAGGTGCACGTTGCATGATTCATAAAGCTCGCTGTCCACAAGGGTTATGACTCCTAACTGATCACTCTTTCTATTGACGATAATTCATAACCTCATTCAGAATCCAGACTTCTCCATTATGTACCTTCTCCGCAATCGAATCAACCTCAATATTGCCGGGCTGGATCTATAGACTGTCAGTTACCACTGTACACAGTACTCTTGGTATGACTTGCAGAGGGGGAAACTTACGAAGATCTTGTCACCCTCCTTTGTCCATTTCACTTTCTCTCCTGCAAGTGTCTCAACCTCCTCCCCGACTCTCCAGGGACTAGCAGGAATGAGATGAGCCTCGACAAACCGCTGCAGGTTCTGCTTTGCCCGGTCTTGACCATCCTGGCCCTCATATGCGTCTACTTCACCAAACTTCTTGTAGTCCTCTGGATTCTCCCAAGGCTTCCGTGGGAGAGCCTGAATAGCACTGTTGCGCGGGGCGAGAACTGTGAAATTCCTGGATGCATCGTTAAGGCGAGAGGCGATAGGCTCGAAGTCACGGGTCAACCGTGCAAAGATATTGATGCCTTTAGTCTTGGGCAGCACATCTGCGATTATGGGGCTACTGCTGTCTTTCGAGCTCATATCATCGTCCGGAGCCGTCTTCTGTGACTGGACAACACCAGGTAGGATCTTATCCATTATTGATTGATGCTCTTTGTGTTCGAGTGCTAGTGGTTGTTGGCGCGAAGGGTTGGAATACGATAAGCCCCAGATTGCAGATGCAGAGCTAGCGAAAATGAATGTAAATAAGATAGATCTCGTCAGTCGATTCACTTTCATGCTGCGTGTTGAAGCCATTTTGCGACCAATGACGCCGGACAGACAAGCAGGTCTCACTACAGCCATGACGCAACTGAGCATAGCACGTGACATGGGGAAGCATCATCACCTGACCCTTATCGATAAGGGTAGTCGGCCACAAGAAATTGGCCGTCGTTGCGGTCTTGACTCTTGATCTTGCCTCCGCAATCGGCACATCTTGTTTTCCTGGTTGATTGATCGGTATCATGTCGGCTCTGCAGACCTTCATGCTGGTCGTGGACCACGACAAAGAAGAGGCCAAGCGCATTGCCGAGGGAATCGCGCAAGGTATGCCACTTCGCCCCGCACTTACAACAGTTCGAACCATTGCATGACTAACGGAGGGATCTATAGATGTTGAGAGCAGAAAGGTGACATTGATTGATACTGTCCAATCTCTCGGCGAATACATCAACGACGAAGATCCAATCCTGCGCGGAAAAGCGGTTTCCTACCTCACAGCTGTTATCCAAGCTCTTTCGCCGAAGTACCTCACGAGACAACAAATTCAAGTCCTCACTACGTTCTTCTGCGATAGAATTGAGGATGGAGGGGCTGTTGCTGGGCTGCGGACTCTACAGGGTCTGGACCGTTTCAACAAATTTCTGGCTACCGAAGTAGCACAAGCGTAGGTGTCATGCTTGTTTACATGCGAGACCCTGTCGGGTGGAACGCATGTTTCAATGACCCAATGCTGACTTTCCCTCTTGATATAGACTTTTCTCCAACTTCCAGGATCTTCAATCTCGGTCCCAAACGCAGAGGTTCCACGTCTATCAATTGCTCAATGACTTGATGTCAAACCACCGTGCAGCTATGCGTGATATGGGAGATATCTCGTTGCTTGGTGTTGTTGATCTCATGACCGGAGAGAAAGACCCGAGGAACTTGATGATTGTTTTCTCTATTCTGAAAGTGGTAATGGTGGAATGGGACATCTCGAACCACGTTGAGGTGTGTATCACTTTCCGTAGAACATTGGGAGCTTCATCTAACACTAGGCAGACTCTCTTCGACTCGGTGTACAATTATTTCCCAATCACATTCCGACCCCCGCCAAATGATCCATATGGAATCACTGCACAGGATCTGAAGGGCCGTCTTCAAGATTGTATTTCCTCGACAAGGCATTTTGCTCCTCACGCAATCCCGGCATTATTGGAAAAGCTTGATTCCACTTCTCCCAATGTGAAGGTAAGATTGGTTATACCACTGTATTGATGAGAAATGTCTAACAGCCTCGCAGAAAGATGCACTCAATACATTGATTGCGTGCATTCAGTCGTATGATCCCGACACAGTATCCAAGTTTTCCGTTACCGTCTGGGGAGTCCTCAAGTTTGAGATCCTTAATGCCCAAGAGGAGTTCCTCTCTCAGAGCTCCCTCGAGGCTTTGCAATTAATTGCCAAGCGACTCTCCGAGGGCGTTACCGAAGTGTCACAGGAACTGCCTCTTGCGAAGTATCTCGATCCAATCACGAAGGAGTGTAATGAGCAACTCCAAGAGCCCCAGCACAAGCAGGCCAAGCCATGTCAATCTATTCTCAACTGCGTGTCAGCCGCTTCTCCTGTTTCCTTTGTCCTAGTTGTACAGAAGGTCGTGGCCCCCATCTTCACACTTTACCAAGAAGCCGACGGGATTGTCAAACAGAGAGCTCTTCTCGAGACCCTCAATGGCTTGTTCGAAGCTGCTACAAACGTCTTTGGACAGTGGACTACCCGGGGAGGCGAAGTCGCACTCGATAACCCGCTTCTCGAATTCAAAGACCAATTCTCAGACGTCTTTGGCCAGGCATTGATGGGTGCAGCCAAGGAAGAAGTTTCCTTCCGGGTGACTGCACTAAAAGGCTTCTTGCGCTTGTCGACCCTGCGTGACTTCTTCCAGGAGAACGAGATTGGACTCTTCGTGCAATACCTCGACGAAATCCTTCTCAAGGAAGAATCCGTGGGTCGGGATGATCTCAAAAAAGAAGCAATTGCTGCTCTTTCTGAGATTTCCAAGCACAAGCCCCGACTAATCATCGACATCACCTTCCCTGCATTTGTGGCAACCCTGCCGGAGGAAGCTGAAGAAGGCTCTGATGAGTCGTATCTCCCCACACTCGAGACACTTGCGCAGATCAGCGTGGAGCGGGATATTTTCGAGACACTATTCCGCCGCCTATTCAGCAAGTTGACTATTTTGCTACAGAAGCCGCAGCCTGGATCAGTCGCTTACCCCCGAGCCATCCTCGTCACATTGCTCTATGTGATGCAGCAGAGGGACATGGCGCAAGATCCGAGCGTGGATCTGTACTTCGACAAGATCGTGATTGGACTTTGCCGCAACGTCGCAGCATCAGCATCTGGCAAGGCAAACAACCGGATCCTCAATGATCCTACTGTACTTGACACCTTGGGTCGCCTTTGCAACCTCATTGTGCGGTCTGTTTCGCTTCAGAAGCAGGAAAAAGTTGCCGAAAATGTCTATAGCCTCTTTTCCACACCGGAAGAGTTCGCATCTATTCCATTTGCTCAAACCACAACTCCGGACCAAGAGCGCACAATCATCATATCCACATACCTTCTTGCCGGAATATCCAAAGACTGCAGCAACCGCATCCCACACACCAACCCCGAAATGTCAGCCTTGCTATCGGATCTAGTGCGCCGTTCCATCTCAACCACAGAACCAGCATCCCACCAAGCCTACCTCCGCCATCTAGCCCTCCTCGTGAACAAATTCCTCACCAAAGAACACCTCTCAATCGCCGAGAACCTCTTCACCACTCTCTTCCAAACCCAAGACCCAGCCGGATCCCTGAACCCCCCAACCATCCGCACAATCTTCTGGCTCTCCAAAGCCCTAATCCTCCGCCTAGCCCCAACAACAACAAACATCATAACCACCCTCCTAACCCTCCTCTCCTCCCCCGACCCACAAACAAGCACAACATCCTCGCAAAGCTTCACCCTCCTCCTCAGCGACGACGACATAATCTCCCCGACAAACGGCGCAAACATCCGCCTCCTATCCCGCCAACGCCTCTTCACAACAGTCATCCCCCTGATCTCCTCCCGCATCCGCGAAGTAAACATAGCAGGCACAGACACAACACCCTCCCACATCAAACCAGCACATCTCACCGCTCTAGCCGGTATCCTCTCCACAATCCCGACGGCCCTAGTCATGCCCGAACTGCCAACCCTCCTCCCCCTCCTCCTGCAATCCCTGGATCTCCAAACTGCAGACTCAGTAGCTGTCCGCACAGCTACTCTCAATACATTGGCAGTCATCATCCGCGACAACGGTGTCGCTGTCATTGATCAATGCGGTCATGTCAACTCTCTCGTTACAAGATTGTTGAAGACTACTGTTACCAACCCAGGTCCTGGTGCTGTCAATAGTCCACGTCTCCGTGCGGAGGCGTTGAAATGTCTCAATCTTCTTGCGACGCACCAGGTCCCTGGTGCTGCGAACAATGCGCGTGCCCCGCCGGGGGTTTCGCCGCTACTGCCGGTTAAGAAGCAGGTGCTGCTGGCTTTAAGGGCGGTGCTGGATGATCCTAAGCGGGATGTGCGTAAGGCGGCGGTTGATGCTCGTGGTGCTTGGTTGCGTGGTGTTGATGATGCGCCGGATGAGGAGGAGTGATTGCGTTTGGGTTGAGGAAAATAGAGAGTACGGTATATCTTTGCATGTTTGTTTTTTTTGATTGGACATAGATTATGGTTTCTTGTGTTCTAGTTTCGTTTTGCATATTACCTTCGTACATTCTCCTGGTCTTTCCGCAGTGTGGTTGAACTTGGTTATTCTTCAGCTATTAACATTGAGCACGGGCAATAGTCGCTCTCTATTCTTAGAGGATACATAGCGCATAGCATACATGCAGGATTCGACAGCGAGTATCCATTTTGATCATAGGGTGATTGCTAAAAAGAAGCTTTGTTTCATGATTGATAAAAATGAGTATCACTTGCTCTGCGCACATGAACCATGAAGATCCCAAAGGGTCAGATGTCTACGGATAGAATCGAGAAAGCAAATAGAGGAAAAGCAATAAAAGAAAGTCAGGCAAACCCCTCAGAAGCTCAAGTCCCCCTTCGGCTTCCACTGCCATCTCCCCCATAATAATACTATTGCCCGATCACCAGTAGATGCTCGAGTTGTACTTTTCTTCTTCACCCCACAGCACCAGAGCCTGGTTCCGCCAGTCGTCGGGCTTCTGCCGGACAGCAACTATATCAGTCCTGCTAGCCGCAGGGGACCGGTTCACGAGCGCGGTACTGGTAGTAGCAGCAGGCCCTTTGTTCCAGTACCCGACGGCATCCATGTTCTCGACGACGGTTTTAGCTAGTTGGAACATTGCTCCGATGCCCGAATAGCCGACTTCGGCTCCGAGGGTGCTCAGGCCTTGATTTGCAGTAGGCATGATATTCTCCAGATCCGCACCGAGGAGATCAACGGCAGACCAGGACTCGTTGCAATTGCCTGGCTCGAGGAACGCATTTGACTTCAAGATGTCCTCGACCTTGCTGCTGACGATTGAGGCCTGCCACCACTGTTTTCCATCCTCTACCATTTTCTGCAGAGGGGCATTCTGTACAACCACGGTGCCTGAGTCAAGGACGGAGGGCGTGACAGAGAGTTCTTGGACTTCGGTGATTTGAAGAGCCAAGTCCCCGCTTCTCTGTGAAAGGTAAGGATGACGGCTCCACCGTTCCATAAACACCTGTTCAACTCTGAGATTGGAGGAGCGAGGAAACTGGACCAACATACGAAGCTGCTCATTGTTTGACTCGATGTGGATGCTTTTCGCCATGGCCCGAGCAGCTCCTTCGAGTTCGGGATCATCACCAGTGCTGTACTCAATTGAGCCTTGTATCCTAGCAGCAGCATCCCAGACTTGAGATGGGAAGTTTAGATGCACCATGCCTAGAGGGAGTTCGGGATAGCGAATCATCGCACTGCCTGTATCATTGACCGAGATGATGATGAGCTTGTCTGAGCCAGTGTGACACCAAAACTCGTATTTGATGCCTCGGTGGCTGTAGCTTGGGTCAAATAGCTGACGTTGCTTCACCTTCAGATCGACGAGGTAGTCAATATCTGCAGGGGACGATGTCAGGCGCTCAAACATAGAAAGTGGAGGCGGTGTCATGTTATCGACAGGGAAGAAGATCTGGCAAAGTTGCTTGTAATTCATCTCTTTTTCCTTCATCGACGCTGGCACGGTGGGCATGAACATGAGACCAAACTGTATTTCCAGACTCAGTGGTCCAGGAAAGCTACGAACGGCATCAAGAATTGGCTCTAGGAAGTGAAAGAGAGTCTTTGTCGAATCACGAACGAGCTTCTTCTCTTTTGATAATCTGTGCATTGCCTCCATAGTTAACATTGCCTCCATAGTTGAAGCATTGGCCATTGGTGGTTGTTCTTTTCGCGATTGCCCTTGTTCTGGTCGTCCCTTAGCTGGTTCAGACATCATGGGCTTGGAGATCGTTGGTCGCTTCCTAGTATCAACTGTGATCACCTCAGTCTGCTGCTTCCTGGTACAAATAGCGGAGATTTTGGGTCTTCGCCTCCAGAGATCGCGACGTGCGGCTTCGGTGTCTGCGGTTTCTTCTGCCTCATTCTCCGTATTCGCTACTCGTGGATCGCCTTCTGGAGGCCGTTGATGGAACATTGTCTTGCGAAGATCTCGCGTCTGAGTCTCGTCCGTCGTGGCCAACTTTTCACCCCCCTTGGGATCCGTATCCTGCTTGGCAATGTTGGAAGTGGATCGTTGCAAAAGGCGGCGATTCATATGAGACGAGAGACTCTGAGGTGAGATATCTATGAGATCCGCACGGAGAACAGGCACCTTACCATGCACCGGGTGGGAACTTTGTCGCTGCTGAGCGCCTTCTGTAAAGTTTCCAGCGGATATAGGAGACACAGCCTGAGGTACACTGTGATGTTGGCCACCACCGAGCGGGGACAAATTTTTATGTGCCTGGAGAGAGGACTGTTGTTGCTGAGTACCACCCAGATCACTGTCAAGCAAGCTAGCAGAGAGACACTGAGGTTCATCATCAATCTGACTAGCGTCCACAGGTGGCACATCCTCGTGCACCTGGAGGAAGGGTTGTTGTTGCTGAGCACCACTCTGATTGCTCTCGGACAAGCTAGCAGACAGACCCTGGAATGTTGTGTCATGTTGGCTAGCACCGACAGCCGGCAAGTTCTCAAAAGCATTGCCAGTCTCTGGGCCAGAGTGATCGTCGATGTGCCGGAGTAGATATTCCTTCGCAAAAGATCTGAGGAACTCGCCCGATTTAGGCTCCTCTTGATGTACCTCTTCGTCCGAAGACCTGACGACCTGATAGGGCGAGCTGAGATCCTTTGAACCAGGCGGTGATGATATACCTGCAGCAACCTCGCTAGTAACAGGGACGGAAGTGGACTCCTCATGATCACTTAGAACCGAAGTTTCTTGAAGAGACTGCGGTACCCCGATCAGACGAAATTGTGTAATTGGACTCTCCAGATTAGGAAGATCAAACACATCATCCAGTCTATGAAATGCAGAGGTCTTGCTTCGCTGGATTTGATCATCCTGGAAGTCCGCGGACTGTCTCAGAACATTTGACGGGACCATGGCCAGCTGATCGAGACCAACCATTTGGTTGAAGCCACTATCGAGTGTATTCACATCGCACTCAAGGTCGATGAGCGGGCTGGGATCTCCTGTCTTCTCAACGATGGCTCCGCTCAGTGGGATGTGGGCTGTTGTCTGCCTGCTGAATGCGTCCATTTCTGCTTGGATTGGGGACTCATTCTTCTTGATCCTTAGCATGGGCTCTTCCATCACCGAATCAACACTTCGCACCTGAGGTTTTGTATCCACCTGTGAATCCTTTGCCTCTGAGTCTGGGATACTAACAAGCTGCTCCCCATCGCTTCTTGAGGTAGGGTGGATCGGTCGAGGAAGCAAAGTAGTCGGCTCTAGATTTTCACCAGGGGTATACGGCGCCGAGACAGCTACACCTGCTGTACCCCCAGGGCTTTCCAAACCAGGGTTGCCCCGCAGAACGCTGGCCGGCTGTGTCTGTTGATCAGTAGCCGAAGAAGACCGAGCCGCTGCCTGCTCGTTCAGTTCCCTCGATGTTTGACATAGTTGCGCGAAGTTTGATGGGCATGGGGCAAATGGATGATTTTTTCGGCGTTTTTGAATATCATCACGTCGGGCCTGCGTAGCCTCGATTCTACTTCCATCTCGTTGAATGGCCATGTAACGTTGAAGGCCGGTGGGCCGGGCCCGCGAAACCTCGCTGGGATCCTCAGGTGGAGGCTTGAACACAACAAGCTCATGAGATGTGGATTCATCTACCGGTGGTAATTTGATACGGCCCTGGGACGACCAATCCCCTTTACCGCAGGTATCACCGGATATCCACTTGTAGACATCCTTTGCGTGCACAGCAGACATATTTGGGAAATGAGCTTGACCTTTATCATCGGAGATCTCAGGCTTAGCTGCAAGATGTTGATCAATCCTCACATTGTGGTAATAGCTTTGATGACCGATCTCCGAGAATTTATAGCCTGCCCAATCTCTAATGGTGCTCAACTTAGGATTTGGGGCCACGTGCGGTGGTTGACGAAGTTTGGGGAGTGGGTGAAACTCGTTGGCCAGGTTGTCGAATTGACAGACCACCGGAGCCGCTATCTCTGAGAGAGATATAGAAACATCCCGGTCAATCAAAATACGATGCAGAGCGTCGTCCCTAATACCCTCAAACGTCATGATGCGATAGGTAGCGCCGTCTCGTTCCGGGGTTAAGATGATCAGCCCTTGATTCGGGTTCTCGATGAGGTCCTGGGGTATATTAGCAGATGTATTGACGTTAAAAAGAAGTAGACCATACAAAGCATTTCTCAAGAGACGTGAGTATCCGCATTGCATTGTCGGCGTTGACCATGTCCGGTGCAGAAACCTGAAGCCCTCGGTCTTTCATCGTGATATTTGTTTCCGTCTTCTCAGCGACGCGAAGGAAGAGAGCACTCGAGTCCCAGGAAATAGGGCCCAGACCAGCCTGGGAAAAACCCCATAATTTGTGATTGGGTTGGTCGTTGATCGGTTGTGTCGGTATATCATCCAGCAGTTTTAGCGTTTGTGGTTGCTGTTGCGGTTGCTCTCGAGGGGCGGAGAATGAGGTTGGAATTGGACTGATTCTCGGAACCTGATGGAGACAAAAGGTGTCAAGACTCTGACTTCAGCGTGAAGAAGACATCGACATGGGCAATGCATCAATGTTGCTAGGTATAATCCACTAGTGGATTAACCCACATCAATACAGCACCGGGAGTAGCACATACCTCAAGTAGGTCGTCGTGACGATGCTGCTCAACATAGCTCTGCAGCAGGGAGGTGACCCTAGATTCGAAACTCCTGTCAAACTGACCAGCAACTCCCAGGAGCTAGATGCAATTAGCAGGACTATAATCACAAGATGGAAGAGGGATCCTACATAGCTCTCCCGTAGATATTCGACTGTGACCGGAGTAAGAGGGCTAAGCTTCCTATAGAAATCTGGTGAGCTTTAATTTCGATCAGCGGAAGACACGGATGAGGGATGTAGTACATAATTTCTTCCCGGAGTTCTTCAACCTATATCCACTTATATCAGTGCCAGTCTCACCAAAGTATGACTAACCAAGGACGGTGCATATACTTACTCCACATTCCTCCAGCTGCCACGGCGAGGCCAAATACAATGTTTGACTGTCAGCCATCTTGGAATCAGAACCCGAAGAGTATCCCGAATCTGGACGACTGATGGCCTGGGCTGGTGAGGAGTTAGCAAGGTAAGTGGATAAACCACAGACGAAACAACAAACGATGCTAGTCAAATCAGATCAACGTAACCGGTAAGTGACGAACGGGTGAAGGGTGATGAAGGTGTGTGGGCAAGAAGAAAAGAAATGGCAACCCTGACGAATGGGAGCGTCAAAGTCACGGGTGGGGGTAGAGATCTCAGTGTGAATAGGCAGAAGATGAAATGATAGCATTGAAGTGAGGTGATGGTAAGCAACAACTAATCAGGTGTGAGGGGCCCAGGCAAGTCACGATTGAACGTTGTGATGTGAGTTGTTGCCTAATGAACAAACGACCCAAACGAGGAAGTAGCGCCGGGAAGCAGTCGATGATAGGATCATATGACTTACAGCCGTAAATCAGCGATAGGCTCGGAGTTGGGTGGTGATGAAGATGAGAGGAGGAGAGGAGGAAAGGATGAGATGATCATATGATATGACCTATGGAAAGAAAGGAAGAGTTAATAGTTAGATGAGAACCCATGGATGAACTGTGTTCTTCGTCAGATGACAACAGCAAAGATAAAGGGAAGGAGCAACCACTCGTCATGGCAACCTGCTGCTCGGAGCAACCGAGAGCGTTGTTGTACTTTCCATGGTCCTTTCCCCGTATAGAAATAGATACCACGTAGAAAGACCGCTTATAAGCCGACTATACAGCTATAGAGAGTTGTTCTTAATGGATTGAAATGGCGTTCTCATGGCTTTCATCCTGTACTCCCTTCTTGTAGAACGGGGTTAGACTTGGAGCTCTCTTGTTCAAACATCGAGCTAACCTACTTCAACGCAGGGAGACTACCATAAGTACTGTGTACATGGAGCAGTAAGATACGGATTTGTGTGATGAAGAGAAATAAACATACAGCACGCCCATTTGCGGGCAGCGAGGATAGAACTATGTACACTCTTGATGTTCTTTCGCCCAAGCAAGAAAAAGACTTGCCAATGGTATTCATCACGGTGTAATCATATCCAGGAACAATATGCAGGTCATTAGGCATCATATGGAAGAATAGTAACAGGAGAATAGAGCAAGGAGGCAGGGGGCAGAAGCGAGAGGGCCGGATATGCAAATGCAAAAGCAAAGGAAGACGGCAATAGATATGCAAACGTAAAAGGTACAGCCGAATTGAAAATTGGACTCTGCCACGACGGGTATCTGCAAAGGGAAACGAACGCCATGCACCGGCTAAGAATGGGCTATGAGAGGTGAATAAAGATGTGATGTAGAACATGCGTGGTATCGATGGGAGAGGTCGAGATGGGATCGAAAGAGGAATTGGAAGTATGCAGAAGGCGGTCTGGGTGTCGCAATTGGCATCATTGCAGGCTCCCGGAAGGAGGTGAAGGGAACCCGTTGATCAAGTCGCGTGATATGAGCGCTGAGAGCTCGATCGAGTCGCGTGATATGAGGGCTGAGGGCTCGATCAAGTCGTATGACATGAGTGCTGAGAGAATAGCGTAGACCGGAAAATCGAAGGGCCACAAAGAGCTTAAAAGACAGAAATCATTCATCACTGTCTTCTCGACTTTTATCCAGACGCATCACCCATTTCATCTCTGTTTCAGTCTCCTTCAGTTGGGAAAGAACCTTGGCAATATTATCATTATTCGACTTGGCCGTTTCGATGGTATCACGGAACTCCTTCTCCTTCATATCCTTGTACGCGGTGTGTCTGACGAGTAGCTTCTCATAGGAGTCCTTGAGCGTGTCGAACTCCCGATTCTTTTGATCGGCAAGAACCTCCAGCCTCTCGGTGGAATGCACATGGGTCTTCTGAGCGTTGGCGATGGTCGTAAACTCGGCCCAGATGGCGTTGATGCGCCTCGCAAGGTCTGCCTTGTCGCGTTTCGCCGTACTGGCTAACACCTCGTACTGTGTTTCATAGTACTTTGCAATTTCTTGCGTCCGCGCTTGTTCGCGATTGTGGTTCTCGCGCTCTTCCTGCATCATCGCATTCGTCTGATTGGCGTCCTTCTCAGCCTCTTGACGCTTGCTGCGCTCGTTCTGGAGTTCCGCCCGCACTTCCTCCAGCTTTCGGTCTTTGCGCGCAATGGATGTGAGGTTTGTCTCGTTGACTTGCTCAAGGTTCCGCAACCGCTCGTTCATGTTCTGTTGTTGGATCTTGTATGCCTCATTCGTCCTTTGGTACTCCTCGGCGCGTGACTTGTACAACGTGCATTCCCGCGTTAGGCGCGCTATCTCCTCCTGAAGATTGTGGATAACACGTCCCGATTTGCCCGTGGCCGCTGCGTGGCCGACGGCAGACCATTCGGTTGTGGGGGCATCGCTGTGGTTGGTGTCGGCAATGGAGGCGGAAAAAACCGACGGTTGTGATACGGATGGAGGGGCATGGTTATGGTTGCCTGGAAGTCGAAGACTGTCAGCTTGAGCAGAACGAGGATAAGGATCGAGACCGACCTGTCTGGCCTTCGGTGACCGGTTCGTCATCGCGGAATTTCGAGTGCTGGTGCATGTTCAACTGTGTGTCCACATGCGGGAGATTGATATGTGGCGCTTCTGCACAGATCGGCGGGTCATCAGCTTTTGGTACGACAGTTTTGCTGGAGCTAAAGCGCATCCACACCCGCTTGAGTCCTCCCATGGTGAGTGCCAATCGCCGCGCGTGGGCGATTGGATGGGAAGACAGGGTGGGTGCGAGTTGGGAAGAAAAGGCAAAAAGAAAACACACTGGTGAACTTATAAAGGGAAGACTCATACCAATTCAACGTATTTGAGCCCAATTGAGCAGGAGCTTGAGGGTGTGGTTGTCTTGTGATGTCGCTTAATCATCTATGACATCGCAAGGGAGAGATCTCTTGATGAAGACACTGTCTCAGAGATCAAAGATCATGCAAACGATCGGAGACCCAACCTGCAGAATATTTCAGACCCGACAAAGAATTCGCGGTAAAGGTGAAGATGAAGTTGCGAATTGATCAGTCGATCATCGTTCTTTGTGTTCCACCTCCGCGAATTAATTGAGGTCCGTCAGGGAAATCCCGGTCCCGGCGCTAAGGCGACAGGGCCCCAGGGGTAGCCGGGTGGGATCTGAATCGACGTCGGCATGTTTCATCTTCTTCCTTCTCTTTTCTATCTCGTTTTTCTCCTCCCCTCACAGGTTCACCAGTGAGTTTCTTTTTCCCATTCTTCCCAACTAGCACCCGCCCTGCCGTCCCAGCCAATCGCTCATGCGAGGCGATTGGCACTCACCATGAGGGACTCAAACGGGTGTGATTGCGTTTTAGCCCTGGCAGCACCGCTTCTCATGAATAATGATAAAATAGAGTTGATTACTTCCTCAATGCCTCAGGGCCACCTATATCAGCATGATATTCAGGGGTATTCCAAGTATATACAGGAAGCTATGAATGGTCTCCGCAAAATACCAGATCCATGGCCCAAGAGCAAAAACACAAAACGCTAAAGGGTAGGACTGGACTAGACAAGGTAGGCCAAGAGACCGGCAACACCCATTACCAATTGCACGGAGTACTTGGGAGCGGAAGCGTCGCCAGTCGATACAATATCGGTAGAGGAGGGCTCTTGGTTGTTGACAATCTCGGTTCCAGTGGCAGCGGCTACATCCGATGAGCTGGAAAGGGCGGAGCTAGATGGGCTGCCAGATGGGGTCGCGGAGGAGCTGATGAGGGCCCGGCTGCCAGTGCTATTTAGGGTGGTCTGAGTTTCCTGAGTGGGTTCGGTCATGGGGCCAGTTGACTGAGTGCTAGGGGCCGTGGTGGTGCCGGTGGCAGGGACCGTGGTATCCTGAGCACCGGTGGTGGCCTCTTGAGCTTCGGGGACATCAGCGGCTGGCTTGCCCTTGCCGGCCGACTTGAGCAACGCAGTATAATTGGTCTGGTCAGCCTGGCGGATCTGGAAGGCGTAGGTTTGACCACGCTTAATATCGTCGTCGGGGGTCCAAGTGAAGGTGCCATCCCTGGCCTCGTCGGTGATGGCCTTGACATCCTTCAGATTGCCTGATGATCCTTTGCGGAGGAGGATGGTCACAGGCTCGAATGGGGTTAGCTGTCTCCATATACGGCATCATTGGAGGCAAAGATCTTACTTGATCAGGTACAGCACCGGTCCATGTGAGAGTGACCGGCTTACCAGCCTCGAGGGGCTCCTTGGGCCATGAAGTGAAAGACAGAGGGTCGGCGGCGAGACCCAAGGTCATGAGGGTTGCCATGACGGCGATGACTTTTTGAGAGAAATGCATTGTGATAAAAGAACGCAGGTCTGGGGTTGGGGCTTAATAAAGCTGGTATAGTACTGAACGCAATATATGATTGTTCAATAGGGCAAACTGGGAACGAAGACGATATAAAATTTAGGAACTTCGGTGGCGCATCGCGATGCTTTATCTAGAAGCAAGAAATACCTGGATATTTTGCTGCCCCACACCTGTAGAGCTGGAACATCGCTTGTTGACATTCGAGCTTCGAGATCAAAGGGCGTTTTAATGGAATGTTGCATTCCTATATCCCGATGAAGCATCAACATGTTGTCCAGAAAGCATGCCGCTTACCTTATTGGGAATCCTGACAGGCATTCTCGGGTGCAGACGATGCTGCAAATCTCTGGGAGAAGCTCTATCAGATGGATAGGCGTAGAGAGGCTGAATCAGTATATCGATGAACTACGAAGCGAATGATGGCAGCAACTGATGGTGGTGGAAGAGAAGGAGAAGGAAGTGGGCAGACTATCTACATGCAAACATTTGCCTGAGGCACTCAACCCTCAACAATATGGTTGAAGATGAAAGTTTCGATGTCAATGTCAATGTCAATGGGGGCCATGGCGTGGCTTCATTCCTCTGTAAATGCTAAAAGATCATCAGAATGACTAAATATTGGAGAAGGCTCATAGCTTGTCAATAAACCGTATGGTAGGATACGGCCGAATAGTGAGACTTGCCGGGACATGCTGGAATGCTATCCCTTCCCGATTTGTTTTGGTAGAGAACTACTAAAAATCAATCCATAGGCGGGCATAGGGCTATGGCAGACTCCTTTGATTTTGGGCCATGACAAATTTCTCGGGTTTTGATCGGCTGTCAAGCTCATACCAAGGGGTCCCATACGAGTTGGGAGAGTTGTCTGTCTGGGGAGCCTGAGATTGATCGCCACCATACAGAAAGCACAGTTTGACCGAGACCATATCCTCCAACCCCCTAATCAAGACCTAGATTCTAATTGTAACAGTAAATTCATGGATCAATAGGTAGTGCCACTGGTAGGTTATAGAAATTTCGACAGGCACCTTAGAAAAGAGTCCGCACCTACCTACATAATCTGCCCGCGGTTGCAACGGGCTTCAGATGGAGATATATTTCCAATGCTGATTCAACTGGAGGACAACTCCAGCCCTCGTGGCAGTACCTAAGTTGCAGCTTCACTTCCGTGGATTCATTCGGATAGGTACCTCTAACGAAGGATAACTAGGTTGGAAGTTTCAGGATGAGCCACAGATGGGTATACTACGACTTGTGTTGTCTTACAATAAGCGCCAAACCTCATTACTGACGTTTAGAATTGTTCTGGTCCTCTACATGTACACAGTACGATAGTTAGGGCAACAAGGGGTTTGTTAACACAGGCGATCATTTCTCTTTAGAGCAAAGAATACTTAATAGTACCCCGCAATGTCTTCAACCCTTGATAGAAAACTTCGTCAAACAAATTGAATTGGTATACGCTGGAAATATCGACCTCAGAACTCCCACAGACCCCGCATGAAACACCCTGAACCAGAATCCACGCCACCATCTTCCTCTAATAGACGATCTGTGAAGATACGTTTGGGGATCTGGTACTCGACAACTGGGATCTTCTTCAGATTTCTCTCTTCCTCGCCAAGATCTGCAGTCACCATGCCCGCATATGTGTGATCAAGGAAGTCCTCCAAATTGTATGCTTGCTTTGTGAATTGCTCCGAGATGATCCGTGCAATGGCTGCAACATTGGGATGGTAGTGAGACTGGAGAGTCTCAATCTCCCAAAGACTGCTCTCGATCGCGTCGGTCAGGTTGGGGTCAGTCTCGTTAGGGTCGAAGGGATCGTCCATGCCTTGCTCTTCCACCTCAGCAAGGAGTTCCTTATCGCGAATTGATCGGTGCAGCATGAATGTAGTTGTGGGATGGCTTTTGAAGAAGTTGTACATGAAGGGAACAATGACCACAATGGCGGAGGGAGGGGCGTTCAGTGCAAGACGAGCCAGACGCTTGATGAAGCTGGCGACCAGGGTGGCCGGAAGATGGGTTGAGGACAAGAAGGTGTTCAAGAGTCGGAAGAATCGTGACCGGTGCTTTGAGTGCAGCAACTCGGCGTCCAGGAGGGAGTAAAGCTTTGCGTAGAATTGAGGGTAGTCCAGGTTCTTCTCCTGGATGAGGTAGAAGAGACCTGAGAGTGCGAGGAGAGATGTTGCACCACCGACATTGTATGAGTCCGTCAAGAAGTCCATCAGCAACTCCGGGCGGTTGAACCACGGCTCGATATTGTGCACCATCATGCGCAACAAGCTCTTCCGCTGTGATTGCGAGAGGTTGTTCCGTAAAATGGCTAGCCACGCCTCCTGTGCCTGCTTTTTGTGAGCGTTTGCCGAACCCAAACGCTTGTTTTTCGTGTCTCGTTTCGCATAGAAATTCTCAAACTTGTGTTCCGCTCCGGGTACTTGATCGCATGTTTGAAGAATCTTAATCAGGATTTCAAGGGTCTCGGGGGATCGGCTCGTGGAGGCATAGTCACTAAGATGGGTTAGAGATAGAACTTTACCACGGAGGAAGATATACATACACAATCTGCGCAAAAGTGTAATATCTCACGTCCTCATACTCCTTCACAAACTTGGTGACGGCTTCAGACTGCAGGTCCTGACCGTTCTGGGCCTCGACGATAGCGGCGAAGATATCTTTGAAGAAACCAGTCGACCAGACGTTGTTCTCGGCACCGGGAAGATGAGCGAGGCGCTCTTTGACGATGCGCATGCTAAGTGTGAGAGCCGCGATCTAGAGATCGTTAGTAGAAGCCACCATGAGTGGACTGAGAGATAAGTACCTGAGAGGAAGCATCTGCCTCGCGCATGATAGCGACCAGAGCATTCTGATAATCAATGCAGCGCTCCTTCAACCATGCTACAACAATCTTCTCGTTCTCGGCGGCCCGGCTTGACTCGGTCAAATTTCCTCCGGCGATCAATCGACTGAAAACACGGCACAGAGACACGGCCACAGCCATCTCGGGCTGTTCGGCTGACTTTTCGACATTGAGCATCGACAGCAAGGTCACAATATTGTTGTAACCCTTTCGCGACTCCGCAATTTGATTCTCCAGTTCTTGAATAGTAGACAGCGTCTCGGCGAACTTGTCCTCGGCCACAGCGCGTCGCTTCGAGGACGGAGCGCTGGCAGTTTTGCCGCTCTTGCGCTTCTTAGAGCTCGAATCCGTCACTAGTGCAGGCATTTTGTCCAGACGTTTTGTAGCGTACCGTGAATAGATTGCCTATCAGCAACTTTTTTTTATCGTTTGGACCAACTCGGAAGGTGGTTTTTCCGGGGCACGGAACCATCACCCGAAACGGCTAGCGTCTTCACCTCCTAGCCATCCCGAACCTCAAGTCTCCTCAGTTCCGTTCACCCACCCCATTGACCAAGATTATTCCATCTGCAACAATGGCTTCGCGTCTTGCTAAGAGCGCCATTGGTACGCCCTCTACGATACCCGACCGTCTGATCAACTCGATGCCTTTAGTTACTAACTCATCCTAGGCGCATCCCGACTCCGGCCGGCTCTTCCCGTCCGTGGTGTCCCTGCCGTCACTGCCAACCTGACCTCCTCTCGCCAGGCCTCCAGTGTCCCCGCCGAGGAGCCCTCCAAGAAGGCGCAGTCCATCCTGAACTCTATCCCAGGCAACTCCCTTGTCACCAAGACCGCTACCCTGTCTGCCGCCGCCGGTCTGTCCATTGCCGCCATCAGCAACGAGCTGTACGTCATGAACGAGGAGACTGTCGCTGCTTTCTGTCTGCTGTCTGTCTTCACCGCTGTTGGCAAGTACGGTGGTCCCGCCTACCGCGAGTGGGCTGAGGGTCAGGTCCAGAAGCACAAGGATATTCTGAACGCTGCCCGTGCCGACCACACCAACGCCGTCCAGCAGCGCATCGACAATGTCTCCCAGATGTCCGGCGTTGTTGAGGTTACCAAGCAGCTCTTCGCTGTTTCCAAGGTAGGAAGAATCGGTTGTTTACATTGATTTTCTGGATGGGTCGTTGACGATCTGTCTGCAGGAAACCGCCCAACTCGAGGCCCAGGCCTACGAGCTCGAGCAGCGCACTGCTCTCGCTTCCGAGGCCAAGCAGGTCCTGGAATCGTGGGTGCGCTACGAGAACCAGGTCAAGCAGCGCCAGCAGCGTGAGCTTGCCGAGTCCGTCATTGCCAAGATCCAGAAGGAGCTTGAGAACCCCAAGGTTCTGCAGCAGATCCTCCAGCAGAGCGTTGCTGATGTTGAGCGTGAGTTCTTGCGAAGTGATTCGTGCAGAGGAAATAACTAACGATTCTTAGGCATTATGGCCGCCAAGGCCTAAATAATTGGCTTAGCAGCTCACTGCATTCGGCATTGTGTACAAAACTACGAGGGCTATTTGCATACGCCGAGATAGACCTTGCAATACCATTTTGATTCTTACTATATATGGGCAGACATGTGTTCCAATACTTGTCCTTCATCGAATTGGGCTCGGGACTACCTGTGGGTTGATGTCTGGCATATCACGCTGCTTGGGGTCTTTTCATCGTAGCACACATTGACCAGAATACGATACAATGACCTCTCAATTGATGTTTTTGCAACTGCGTCTGACTGGTACTGTTCTAGAGCTATTGTAAACATCGCATGACATTGGATTTCCCGGGCAAGACTATTCCCATGTGGCACCTCTGGCGCCATATGCAGGGACCAGTGCAGTACGCCACCCGTGGGGAATGCGATAAGATCTATGAAGGTCCATATCCATTCCTTCAGTTAGGCCATTGTTCCTCAAAAGGCGCGTGTGCTCTGTACTCTATACGAGTTTCCAAAATTCAATCTATTTTGTGCGAGCTTAGCCGCCGGCCAAGACTCGGGACCCAACTTTGGAACGGGGGCCTCATCAGCAGCACCATCAGCCGCCTTACCCCGTACACAGCCACCGTTTATTTCCTGATTATTTTTGAACTGCGCTCCTCCCATCTCCAGTCCTAATAAAGCCGTTCCTCCGATCTAGAGCTTCACTCTCACCTGAGCTTGACCACACCCACACAATCCTCCAGGATCCACTCCGCCCGCCAACCGATAAGCAGCTCCGCAATATGCCCTCACTCCGCAACATCCTACACAAACGCGACGAGCTCAGCACCCCCCAAACAGCCCAAAATGCACCTCCAACGACCCCACCACCACCTGAGTTTAAGCTCATCCGTTCAGACACACATACTCAAGAGATAATCACCCCACCCTCATTCCCAGACGACACAAAACCATACCTCTCTTCACCACAGCAAGACGAAACCTCCCTTTCCCCCCAGTCCCAGTCTCCCCGGCGCAGCTTCCAGCTCTTCAACCGCTCGTCCAGAGCAAACTCCACCTCATCCCGATCTTCGCCCCCGCTACCGCCTCCGCCCCGCCGCGAGCGCCGCCTCTCCAATCTCCTGCATCTCGACCACCGCAGTCGCAGTAACTCGCGCGACTCCTCGGCCAACATTCCCGCGGATCTGCCGCAGATCAACGATGACCAGGCCGCTAGTCAACAGGAGCGCGAAGCGGAGTGGGAAAAGAGGGCTACAGTGCTTGTTCAAGGAAACCCGCAATTCGCGATGTCAGGCTCGTCGCTGTCTGGGCAATCAGCTGAGGGGGGCTCGGTAGGGCTGGGGTTGGGGCTAGAACCGCAGACCAAGTCCAGGAGCCCGAGTCTTCTGAGTGTTGGGGATCCAAATGCAGATGTATGTGTTTCACATTGTCCGCATGTATATGCGTGTGGTGTTGTGGCTGGAATGTGCGACTAACAGACTATAGATTAACATCCAAGAGGCGATTCGACTACATGAAGCTGGTGGTGGGTCTTGTCTGTAATGCGCAGCGACGACGTATATTTAACGCGGACTATAGATCTCGAGCGATCGACTCACATGTTCGGACAACTCGCAGACCCGAATGGCGCGAATAATCCTCTGAGTCAGGTCCTTTACGGACTGGCTTTACGGTAATGGCACGGCTCGTTCTTTCTAAGTTGAGGCGCTAACAGATATTAGACACGGATGGGGTTGTCCTCCAGATCTAGAACGCGCCGTAACCTACCTCTCCGCCGCAGCATCCAATTCAGCCGCGGTAGAGGCGGAGGCACTGCGTGCGGGGATGAAGAAAGGGGGATCTGCAAAGGGCGAGCTTGTTTTGGCCATGTATGAGCTGGGTAACTGCTTCCGCAATGGCTGGGGTCTGAAAAAGGACCCTGCTGCTGCCAGACAATACTATGAGACGGCGGCCAATTTGGGTGACACTGATGCCATGAATGAAGTGGGATGGTGTTATCTCGAGGGGTTTGGGGGCAAAAAGGATAAGGTGCGTGCAACGTTTGATATCTCTTTCGCATTTGTTCTATGCCTATACTGACTCAATGACATAGTTCAAAGCGGCCAAGTACTACAGACTTGCCGAGGAGAATGGGTGTCCCACTCTCGGGAATTCCTGGTATGTTCTACTTACTATGAGAATGCGGAGTGTGTATCTAACGGACAAATAGGATCTGGAAAGACAAGTACAATCCAAAGTGATCAAACTGCTCTTTGGCAACGGCAGCAATGCCTTTCCACAATTGATGTCTCCCATGGTCTTGTCACTCGATGTATATTAACTTATCACGCGCTACGACGTCTACTTCCTCGAACCGATGTACATGAATGAGCCTTAGTGAATCATATCCAGGGACTTCTTCTAGCACAATATATACCAAAACCAATTCTAACAACTTTCAGCGGTGTCAGCAGACGGCCTACCATCTTTAGGAATACGCGGAAGGAAATTCCAAAGAATCAAGATAGCGCCCGAGAGCGCAATAACAAACGGCATGAGGACCTCAACCCCCTTAGCCTGCGCCAGGACACCGACAATGAACGGAAGAACAGCGGCACCGCCGCCCCCAAAAGCCGCCGCAAACCCAATAGCGCTGACATGCAGATGTTTCGGCAGGAGTTTGGTGGTAACGACCACCACAGCAGGAAATAACGGACCCAGAAAGAAGCCCTGCAGTGATACTGCGACAGCACCAGCGTAGAAGTTCGGAACCAAGTAAAGGATGAGGCAAAATCCTATGTGGAGACATATGTAAACCTGTTCAAGGACGAGTTAATCGCGAGATTGAATAGGACAGCAGGAGGGGAGAAATACCGTGATGGCGATCTTCTCACCAATCAAAGGAGTCACGAAACCAAGGATAATTCGGCCGGTGGTGATACCGAGCCAAAATCCCGTAGATGTCATACTACTAGGAAATGGCGCAGCATGGCGCACCTCTTTCATGAAATTCACAACCCATCCACCGAGGGCTACTTCGACTCCGACGTATCCGAGCAAGAAGAAAGCGCAAAGCCAGGTGATCCGGGCAGTAGGCATTGTGAAGAGGACCTTGCTTAAGCCTGCTTCCTTGCTGTCACCGGGATGTTCCTTCTTCTCGAGTTGGAATGAAGGGCCAGTTGAATCCCAGAAACACGCCACGCAGAAAATGATCTCGATTGCTGCACCTCCGATCTGGGAACGAATAGAGTCAGCAGAATCCAGAGACAAATAATTCAAAAATAGCTTACCATGATATAATAAAAATAAAACCACGGCAAGCCCGCATGAGCAACCATCAGCGAAGCAATAAGCGGACTCACAACCGCACCAACACCATAAAACCCATGCAGCAGACCCAGCAACTGGTTCGCATTATGCAAGTTTCCAATCCAGGCGTTCCACGCCGAGTCCGCAAGCCCATTCCCCAGACCCGCGAAGATGAACGAGACAACGAGAACCGGGTACGGGGGGTGCACGCAGTTCAAGATGTAAGCTACTAGGTGACAGGAGGAGGACACGAAGGCCACGCCTCGTCGGCCTATAGCGCAGTGTGCGCGTTCATTGACGATTGCAGCGGTGGCGTAGCCGAGTAATGGGGAGAGGAAGACTAATGAGACGATTGTGTAGGAGAGGTTGTAGTATGTTTCGAGCTGGACTGGGTTAGAAGGGAATTTACACAGTAAGATTTGAGACGGGGTTGATATACATATGGAAGAAGGGGCTGAGGATATGTGGTTAGTATATAGTAGCACTTAGCATGATATGGATATTGAGTGTGGTCTTACGCCGTATGCGGAGTCATTGGCTCCCATAATTAGGAAGCTCCAGAATGTTGCCAGTGTCTTTGCTATATTGGACCGCGGGTGATTCCATTCGCCAGAAATTGGAGATGACTCGTCAGACGTTGTGGGCTGGTCTTCATCTCGTTTCTGGCTTTTATAGACCGTGGTTATCGGACTCTCCTGGGCTCTAATAGACATGGCCAGGAATATGAATAAGGATGATAGAAACGACAGAACACACAAACAGCAACATAGCGTGAAGGCTTTTTATAGCTTTGACTCCGACAGCGCTCCGACCTGTTTGGAGATCAAGTCTCCAACTTCAAGAGGAGAGTTGGCCGAGTTGCCTGTTTCGGCATGAAGCGGCGCCCTCCGAATTAGGCAGGTCCGCCAGCAGCCAAGCTGCCAACCTTCCATGGAACACACCAATCCCACATGTTCACGTGTTCATGATGCCCTATAGCTTATCGATATTATCGATCAAGACTAATATTCAAAGGGCTCAGTATTGCATCGACCAAAATATTGTATTTACTAACTTTAGAAGTTTAGTAACAAATTCCACGGCCTAATCGGTTAAACCAGCTTCATCCCAGAATTAGTCTCCGCAACACTACCGGTGACATTCGTATCCTTCATCAGCCACAAAAACGCTTCCGCAACCTCCTCCGGCTGCCCAATCTTCTGCAACGCGGTAACAGTCTTAGTCCACTCAAAAAGACCCTTCCTCGCCTCCGGCTCCTGATTATCCCACAACTCCGTCTCCACAAACCCAGGACTAACGATATTAACGCGAATCGGCTTCAAATCCAGCGCCAGATTGCGCGTCAACCCCTTCAAACTAGCCGCATAAGAAGCCACAACCGGCCACCCAGCAATCGGCTTCTCGGACGAAGTCCCCGTTGTCAAAACAATCGACGACTCAAGCCCAGGCTTCAAATACTTAGCACCGACCTGCGCGACGAAAAATGGCGCGAACAGGCGCATTTGTCCGGCATTGCGCCAGTACTCGAGTGTAATCTCGTCGTACGTGAACATCTTCGGCGGTTCGGTCGCTGTAAAGACGATGTGATCCAGCGTGCCGACTTTGGCGAATAGTTCTTCGATGTCTTGCTTCAGGGTGTCGCGTGACAGGTCGCAGACTATTCCCTGGATGCTCTGGGATGGGTACTCGGTTTTGAGTCTGGCGACGCGCTCGTTGATGCGGGTTTGGTTGGAGGAGGAGATGGTTACGTTGGCGCCGGATGCGAGGCTTGCTTCGGCGACTGCGTAGCCCATTCCCGATGTGCCGCCGATGATGAGGACATGTTTTCCAAGGAGCTTTTGATATTTTGGACTCATTTCGGGGACTGGGAGGGTTTCTTTTTCGGGGAATTTGATGCGGCTTTTCAAGGGCATTGGGAAGAGACAAGAGTCAATTTCGGCTGAACACGATTTGATTTGGCTTTTGCTTCGCGAGTCTATTATATGTGTTGCTTGAATCGTACGGTAATATTATGGTGTAATGTTCATACGTTCTCTTTGTGGGGATGCTTTGCTGTTCTAAACCCTGTCACCGGCGACTTTCTACTTGCAGGATGATTTACAATGCTTCAAAACACGGCGACTTATTTCGGCAAACACAAATATCCGATCCTTACCTCTTGCTAATCATTACATGATAGATAAGTTCATGGCATGACCTCAAGTGCTGCAGATCGCCACTTAGAAGCCGAGAAATCCCAGTCTACTCGCCGTGACATGCAGGCCACAACGAAATCTATCATCGAGAAGATTCTATTGCCTATGGGTCGACAATATGTCTGATACTCACCGAGGGGACAAACACATATGCACGTCCTTCATCATAGGCGATATGGAAATCACCGGATCGATCGTAGAGCCATACGAATAGAATAAAACGTGGCAATGTATGAGATCGTGGGAATCAACGGAATAGACAAAATAGACACATTAACAAGCAGCATCGACATTATCCCTGACTATGGCGCTAGACCTGGAGCCCACATATCACTTTCGCTTCCACCCAGTGCACAATGCTGGTTTGAAGCATGCCAAAAAGTTGACAGAAGAGTCGTCACGTATGCTCGAAGAGGTCCTTGAGGAGAATCATAACAACCATCATATTTTCACCACGACAGAGGATCACAAGGGGGTAAGTGGATATGAAGCCACCAGAAATTGTTGATAGATCATGACAGATGTTCTAGGTATACTTCCACAATCACATCGCCCACCATGATATCACGATCTGGGCGCTGGGAGCCAACCCAGAAACAATTCGGTCCCAGCACGACCGCAACAGCCTCTACCAACGAGAAGCCATGACAATCCAAGAAACCCTCGTTGACGACATGAGCGATCCACTAGTTTTCAAGCGGTGCCTAGGACGAGAAGAGAACTTCCTGAATTTCTGTCGCTTTTTCGAAGACGAGATAAACCGCATCGGCTACCAAGAAGTGCTGCAACAGTACCTCGTCAACGGGACCGCCGTGGCAGACGATATCCTGTGTCGTATCTACATGGGCAAGTAGACATCAATTCACCAGGAGGAGGAGGAAAACCGTCCCAACCGAACCATACTAACCGCGGAAACCACAGGCTATGTCCACGGCATCATCCACATCGGCATGGCCATGGAGTTCAAGCAAGCCAGGCTCCTAGCAGAAGGCTTCGCCCAAGCCTGTGTCCACCACGACTGGTGGTACACGCAGTATCTGACCGGGGCGGAAAAGCTCTCAAAAGAACAAGTTGAGCCGGCGCTCCCACTCAGCGCATGCGTCGATCTCGCGCGAGCAACGGAGAAAATCCGCAACTGCTCCAGCCCGTACTACCACATGCAGACGCGCAAAGTGACAGGCGAGATGTGCCTGGATCTTGAGCCGGCACGCGATGGCGTGCTGAAGAATGCCGGGCCTGAGCTAACCAGAGTCGCTGCTCGGTATCGCGTTGATCCGAATGATTTGGAACGGGCTACAGCTGAGCTCCAGAACACAGCAGGTAAAATAACCCTATACCCCCATTTGTTCTTTGGATATTGTCGTTAGCATCATATACTCACAGATTACATTCAGTCTACCTAACTGCCGGAGCCCAACGACCCCCGTATGCCTGCACATTTGACTTCTTCCTCCTGCACGCCGTAACCTCCAGCATCGGCCACACAATGTTCCTCGCCGAGCCGTCTCTGACCAACAAGCAGAAGGCCCGACTCCTCGAGTACACAGGACGGGTATACCTAATGTCCTACGCAGGCCAAGGCTGTCCAGAGATCCGACTCGACTGGCTCGCCTCCCACCCCTCCAAGCTCCCAAATCAAGGCTGGGACGAGGTCTTCGAGAGAGCATGCTACCACGAGGACGACGGACACATGTGTAAGATGATCAGGTGTTTTGCGCACGCGCAAGATACCTCGAGACCGTACGATCATCTCCCCGAGTTCCGCGTTAAGCAGCCTTTGTTCCTGACGGCGGGGATTGCGGCTATTGATTCCGCGAGCGCGCAGCCTATGGATGGGACGAAGCACTTTGATTTTATTCGGGGTGCGGGATTCCCTGAGGCTTGGGAACGGTTTCCGCATCGGGAGCAGGCGGCTGTTAGGGCTCATCTGTGATTAGGCTGCATGTGATGGGATTGGGATGTTGAAGGGGTTCTCCTTTATGGCTTTAACATATTAGGAAGGATGTCGCGAGTAGTGGAATTCGAGATTGATTTGTGATTATTATAAAGTCTCGAGTAATCGGAGTAACCCTGTAGTGACAGCCTCAGACAGGGGAGTGAGTATACTCCCGGGGAGAAGATTTCCCAGGTGACATGCATTGGATCATATCATATCAGGGATAAAGTCCGTCTTGGCCAGTTGGCTCACTTGGCCTAATCTGGTCCTCGGTACCACGTTGTAGAAGTCTTGGCGTAGCTAAGACTCGCCGCCACCGGCTTGTCTGAACTCTTCCCCCGGCGCATCTCATCACCTAATATCTCCTGAACAGAGGGGGTGGGGAGGGGAGGAGTACGAGGAGGTAGGGTGTGTGTCATTGAAACAGATACATCCACATCCCCTAAGGAGTCAGCAGTGCGAAAAGCCGCAAACACGGTTATTTGACAGGGCCGATCATTGAACTTGCAGATAATTGATCGTCCAATCACAGCCCAGCAATAATACCCACGCCATCGCTATCGTCGATTCACGAGGTCTATTTCGGCCGGCGCCGCGGCGCGGGATTGATCAGTGATACGAAGTGAAGCGGGGAGCGGCAAGATGGAAGCTGTCATTAGCGCCGTGATCAACATGGCGCCATCTCTGCACGTCTGAAATTCGGCCACGGAGAAACATTGCTCGAAGGTTCTCCGTTCGGGGATGCGGAATTAGGCAGGCTCGTGTTGCCGTGAAGAACTCGGACAAATACGGGGTCTGCGCGTGGGCATGGGGGCTAGTCGGTATGTCAACACCGCCCCCCCCACCCACCCCGTTGCCGATCTTTCTAGCATCGACATATCATTCTGTCATATTCAGGTCGGGATTAGAAAATGCAGGCATAACATCACAGCTGACTGCAGGTGTCTTCTCCATCGCGCTAGAAGCAACGACAGCGTGGCTGAGACGTTTTGGAGAGTGCATAATTGGAGTAGGTTGACCGAGCGTTAAGAGCTCAGGTTCATGCACCAAGTCTAAGTGGCAATGAAATGCTCCGCTCGACTCGTCCTGCAAAAGTCGATGCCAAGACAGTTTGCCAAGGCAGTTTCTCGCCTTCGATTGCTTCAAGTGGATGAAGGCGCGTGGCTTCATTGGCAGGCAAAGCTTGAATGACCTTTTGAGGATGATACACATAGCACTCACCCCCAGGGATCGATTCCTTTGGCAGTTGAATCTACCTATAAGAAAGAGATGATGTTATCTATAGCCCAGCTACCAGAGACATAACAGCTCGCAATCAAAGAATAGACTGGCCTTCAAATGGGTGCTCCCTCTGATTACCAGTAGAACACTACACGTCAGGACTCAGCCACATAATTCCACACAGCGGCAAAGACCGAAGGACTCCCGTCTTACTGCATGAATCCGGAATACTGAGATCACAGGCAAAAGAGCCGATTCGCGGCGAAATTTCTCAATTGAGCGTTTTGTACTTTGTGTTCTTTCAGGACGAAGCCACTGTCGTCTCTAGGGTTATTGAAGCGAACATCATGTAATGAATTAAAGCAAGCGAGAAAAGGATAGTTAGGATTATTGAAATAACAGCAGATATCTGCAGAGTCTCATCTACAAGACAAGCCGAGGAGTTAAGCCGAGGAGTCACGCCTTCAATGCATGAAATGTTTGCGTGGCTTGATGCAATGCTCACACCAGGTTCCCAACCTTCTTAATCTTCGCTTCAAAGTATGAAGACTACCATGAGCTTATCTCAATATTCCTGATAGGTCGAAGCTAGAGCCACTTGTAGATCGATTCTCGTACTCGGGGAGGAAAACGCCAACGTTGCCCCTACGTAGCATTGAGTTCTAGATCTAGATCAACGCTTCTTTATCTTGCAATCACGTCGCTTGTACTTCTGACAGATGGCATGTGCATCGTTTAGATGCATGAAATAGTGGAATGTGGAAGCCAATTGAAAAAAAGGAAAAAGAAGAAAAGAAAAAGAACCCACAGTATTATGTGCTTCAGTTTTAGCTGCATGACCCTGAAGACTCGACAGGGATATACCATTGCCTTTTAACGGAACATATTGAACCCTTTAACAAGGAGACCCCCGATGCTGAACAAATAGCCTCGTCTTTGGGCCTTTTTCTTCATCATCGGATCAACAATTTCCGAACCCAACCGAAATGGAAGAAACGACTCAACGCAAAGTCCGATCGGCCTGTGATGCATGCCATGGACTGAAGATGAAATGCTCCGGCGGAGACCCATGCACCGGCTGTGCAAGGTCCAAGCAGACGTGCCTATACAGCGAGCCGAACCGACTCGGACGCCCCAAGGGCTCAAAGAACCGACAGAGACCACAATGGAGCCGGCAAAGAGGCGGCTCAAGTCGCGCAATATCGGCAGACAAGAACCGAGCAGGTTCCTTCAGTAGAGAGTCCGTACCGAGCGAATGTCCCACTACACAAGGGGTGCCAATGGAGATCGAGGCAGCACTCCCATCAACGGGGGACACGCTCGACATATTCAACGAACACCATTTGGCACATGCAAGTGACTCGGCTTTCTTCTCGACGGCTGCGATGTCCGATAAGTCTTGGGAAGAGCCAAGTGACCTGTTTGAGGGATTAGATATGGAAGGGGGATTTCGGCACGACGGATCTGTCTTCTCCGTTATGCCATTGGTACGTTAAGATATAAGCAATTAAGCCCAATGCACTGCTAACGAGATCATTTTCATGCATACAGGGATATGAGGATGAATTTCGTCGTGCCATGCAAGGGGTCGATCTGTCCTTCCTCGAAACGGGACACTGCGTCCCACAGGAGCCTATTTCAGCACCGCCAGAAAGCGCACGAGCGTCAAAACCAGTCGGACAAAGACGGGAAACGACGTGGGATGGCTGTTCTTGTCTTGACCGCCAGACCCGCTTTCTATCTGACTTGAAGAAGATCGTGGGCAAATATCCTCTGACACCAGTCCCCATTATTCTACAGGCTACTCAAGATAGTAAAGCACTATGGGAGCGACTTGCACATTGCGGCGCGTGTCGACGCGATCAAGACTCTGTGGCAGTGTTGATCCTCGCCATGGGACTCCGGAATATCCTCCAAGGACTACAGTGTCTGATATTGAAGCAGCAACCCTCTTCACAAATGAGTTCTTCGGCCTGGACAGGAGGATCAAGCACAGCGAGCAACAGCAGGAGCAGCAGCAGGAGCAGTCTGTTTGACACAATGAGCGTGGAAGGGACCGATCGACGATCACATGAATTGACTACCAACACTATTCGCGTGGGCAGCTTTGAAATCCCACAAGATGAGCAAGCATTTTTGACGGACGTACTAATTGCTCGGGCACTGAGTAAGATCAAATGGACCCACGACTCCATGGTGGATTATATCAGGCGAGTGCATGGGAGCCCTTTTGCCAACCTGCGGCCCGGCGAGAAACGGCCGATTCATTTTATTTTGGAGGATTTGCAGAACCTAATTGAGGCCACGGAAGCCTCTGTCAGGAGCATTATTCATAGTGGATGAAGGATTCCTACGATTTACGAGTGTTGCGTTGATTGTATCTAGCATTGTAACTTAGATGGACTAATTGACATATGATCTTTCCATGCATATAGGCAGTAAGCTATGACGAAATAAGCGAAGAGATCTGTCCGAGCTGCACTAAAGCAGCGCTAGCGAATAAGTGGGTGATATCCTCCCCCTAGTGTTTTCGACTTGACCTCGGAGCGTTTTAACTTTTGACGGAGTGGAATTGCTCCGATCAGCATAGCGGGCCGGGAGGCGGGTACTAGCGGGAACGAGGCCGGGTGGGGCAAGCTCAAATCTATGATTGGCCAGGTCTTTAGATATACTCTATGGCTGCAAAGCTTGGCAGAGCCTGAAAATCAGGGCATCGTCATTTATAACACCAAAATACAGGCTTCAAAGAACACAACTGAAGCAATAAAGGGATTCGGTTACATTCCAGCCCACAGCTTCGGAGACAAATTGGTTTTCCCATTCTAATTCCCCCGATTGACGATTTCAAATGATTGAAAATGGCCATTCATCAGGTTTCCCTTTATCTACTGAGCTCACGCCATTCCCGTTCGCTGATGCTTCATTTTGACTCTCGCCCGCCCCCTGCCTCACTCGGAGACATACTTGGCTTTTTATGCGCCACTTGCGATTGGGCTGGACGGCGACTTTATTGTGTTATCGAGTAAAAGTCACCCTAGGGCCTACGCAGTGAGATTGTCTTTCGTGTGCTCCCCCGAAATCTGCTCATTTGCACAGCTTGTCTGAGCAGACTGAGCTCCAGTCAGTTGGAAAATACCAAAAGCATGTCTACTACGAAGAGTAGCAAACGCTACCGTATTCCTCTCTATCAACTAGTGTTGTCCCAGGACAGCATCACTGATGATGTTCTCCAACACAAGTGGGATGGAAGTGGCACAGAAGAAGACCCGTACCTCGTCGACTGGCTCCATGAGGATGCTCGCGATCCTCACCAAATGCAAGACTGGCTCAAATGGTCAATTACACTGCTCCAGGCCGCCTCCTTTCTGTCCATCACATTTGCATCATCCGCTCTCTCAGCGGCCAACCCCCAAATCATGGAAGAATTTGGTGCTAGCGCTGAACTAGTGGTTGCTGACACTTCGCTTTTTGTTCTTGCTTTTGCCATCGGACCAGCTATCTGGGCACCACTGTCTGAGCTCTGGGGTCGTCAGATCATCTATTTCATCACATATGGATTGACGACTGTGTTTGCGGGAGCAACAATTGCAAGCCCGAATATCGCTACACTGCTCGTTCTCCGATTCTTCTCAGGTGCATTTGGCTCTTCAGCAATTTCCAATGCCGGAGGTGTGGTTTCAGACATGTACGCCGCCCGGGACAGAGGACTGGCTACAATTGCCTTCATTGGAGCTCCATTCTTGGGACCCAGTCTCGGACCAATGGTTTGTGACTTTCTGGCAGTCTCCAGCGGCTGGAGATGGGTTCAGGGACTTATCACCATCTTCAACGCGGTGGTGTTTTTCGTTGGCATAGCTCTCATTCCTGAGACTTACACTCCAGTATTGCTCCAGAAGCGCGCTGTCAAACTCAGTAAACTCACTGGAGCTGTGCACAAGAGTCGTCTGGATGTTGGCAATGCAAATCGGACGGCTAGTCAGATTTTCACGAAGACCATGGTGCGCCCCTGGGTTTTGCTCTTCTTGGAGCCGATTGTGCTGGCTTTGTCTGTTTACATGGCTATCAGTAAGTTTTTCTATCCCCTAGGTTCTTCCCCTAATATTCGGAACTAACACAGCCCTTGACAGTCTACGGAACAATGTACATGGAGTTCGCCGCCTTCCCGATCGTCTTCGAAGAAAACCTCAAATGGCCACAAAGCACCTCGGGCCTCTCCTTCACTGGAATGATGATAGGCCAGATACTCGGATGCGCATATTCGATCCTCGATGACGGTCGCTACAAGAAAGTAGCCGACCGCACCGCCTACGGCCGCCCACCCCCCGAAGCACGACTCATCCCAGCGATGGTCGGAGCAGTTACTCTACCCGTCGGACTATTTTGGTTTGCCTGGACCAATTTCCCACGCATTCACTGGATAATCTGCGAGATTGGCACCGTTCTTTTTGGATTCTCGCATGTATCCATCTTCCTGAGCGTGGTCAACTACCTTGTCGATGGTTATACTATTTACGCGGCATCTGCATTGGCCGGTAACGCCGTGATCCGGGCGCTTTTTGGTGCTGCCTTGTACGTCTACACTTTATCTGGTCTTGCCTTGACTCTGCAACAAGCGAAGCTAACACAACTTTCTCCATAGTCCTCTTTTCACAACGCCCATGTATCGGAACCTGGGAATCCACTGGGCTTCCTCCATTTCAGCCTTCCTTGCCCTCGCGTGCCTACCATTCCCATGGATATTTTATAAATACGGACCGGCAATTCGGAGACATTGTCAATATGCTGCTGAGTCTGCTCGGCAACTGGATGAGATGGCCGACCGCATGCGTGAACAGGCTGAGCAAAGGGCCAACGAGAAGTCGGCGAGTCAGTCAGAGTCTGCTAGTGGGTTGACTGCTTCTGCTGAAGAGGAGAGTGCTGAACCAAAGCCAACTAGCTGAACTATAAGTTTGGTTTGGTGATGCCGTGGCCCCGTGGGGCTACGGTGGCTCTGTTGGGGCTTAGATGGTATGGTTGCATTCCATTTACTAGGATCGATCGATCATCGGGGTGTGATATTTTCCGATAGGTGAAGTCTGTTTCGGGTTCTTGTGAACGTATTTAAAAAGATATCCTGGAGACACATTGACATTGTTTGGGCCTTTGGCTTAGATATTTTAATCAGATTTGATTTTTGGAAGTCGTTACAACAGCGCTGTTCAGGGGGTGTGCAGCCAACTGGTCAGTACGTATCGCGAACTGGCCAGTGGGGCAGCGAACTGGTGAGTAGTACGGAATTCGACGACTGGCTTTTGGATCTTCTAGCGACAGTCCGGTCTCGTCTGGAAAATAATTTGATCCCAGTGTTGTTTTTATTACGTATATGGAATTCTCAACTACTCATGGCCCTCTTTATGTAGGTCCAAACGGTCGATGGCGACCTACGGGGAAGACTCCTTTTGACCGAGATAGAGACTCAAGACAACCTATTTATAACAAACGCAACCCTACCTACAATAGAGCCCCACTATATACAACACGAGAAGAGCGAACACGACGAATGCGACTTCCAAGGCCAGCACCCTGAAGATGACGGCTATCGCGCGGTGTTGAAAGAGTCAATGCACAAAATTCGCTCAGTACAAGCTGGCGGGGCCACTTCTATTATCCGGCGATTTCTTGAAACACATCATGTTTAAACTTCAAGCCCACGTGAGATCAACAGTGCTGACAACGGGGCTGACTTCCTTGTCCAATAGGGGATATGTGCCGGCGAGTATCATCCGACGTCCGTGAAGAATACCCACAGCCATAGAGACGAAAAGCCTCCGCGGATCTTATCCGGATCAGATAGGACAATTCTCAAGGGTTTAATGTGCTATGGCTTTTGGGTATTTGGAATTGCTTTCGGAGGAGCCTCTTCAACGATCTGATAACTAGAGGGTCAAAGTTAACATTGTACTATACGATATAACTATACTTGAAGTATCGCTCAATACACCAGGTCACTGCCTATCCTTTCGGTCTTCCGATAATCATACTTTCAACAGTAAAGAATTGTCGACATGGAGCCTGCTGGGAAGATACTCTTCTTCGGAGATACCTCCTTGCCCTTAACGGCGGCATTGTCCCAGCTGCTCAAATCACAGCGGAGGAATACTTTGCTTTCGAAGTTTCTCATATCAGCTCATGAAGCACTTCGTGAGGGTATCAAGAACCTTCCGCAGCATGTCCGGGCAGATGCGTTGAGGTTGACGTCGCTGTTCGATTTTGTGAATGTTGAGAATCAGACATCGCATAGCTTGCGCGTACTATCACCCGCACTTCTTGTTCTCGTTCAGTTAGGGAACTGTATATCGTGAGTGGATTCAAGAGAACATGGTATTCCAACGGTTGACATGCTGATAATGGCGTTGATGAAGGTGGTATGAGAACCATCCACATGTGGAATTTCCCAGCTCAAGGGATTCGGTACATATTGGGCTATGTGTAGGCCAATTATCTGCTGCTGCAGTCGGTCTTTCAAGCAGTCTTCTGGAGCTTGTTACGCTCGCAGTGGAAGTTATCAGGGTCGCAGTTCGGCTGGGATCGTTGGCGTTCACCGTTGGGGGTGACTTGGAGGACGATAGCGAAGGAGCACCATGGGCGCTCTTGGTGAACACAGATATAGTGTCAAAAGATGATTTGCTCTCTTTGGTCGCAACACTGGTAACGTATTCCCCGAGACAGCAATTCGAGTGCTCTTCTGACATCGTTCAGGACACCCCAGCTGGAAAATGTGCGTTTATCACAGCAGAGTTCGAGCGGACAGTCACAGTACAAGGTCCTCCATCAACGCTGGCTCGATTTAGAAGAGCACTTCTTGAGAAGGCCGCTCCCGCAAATTCAAATCAGTTGGGCCGGCCAGTCCCCATATTCGCTCCGTATCATGCTCCGCATCTCTACACAGAAGCGGAGATCGCGGGCCTGACGGAGGCCCTAGACACGAGAATTGCAGAGCAACAATCCAGATCTCCACCTCAAATTTTCTCTGCAGGAAATGGAGAAACTTATAGCAAAGGCACTTGCAGGGAAGTGCTCACCGAAGCCTTGACAGATATACTAATTCGCCCAATCCGATGGAAGCATCTTTGTCAAGGAGCCGGATCTTCTATTGCAAAGGCAAGTCTATCGAGCTGGGAGATCCAATGTTTTGGGCCAGTGCATACGCAGAAAGCACTTGCCTCCAATCTGAGTTCAGCACTGGGTTCCAGCATTTCCATAACCGATACCTCAATATCGAATGATGGAACCGGGGTCGACGGAGGATTTGACACACCCATTGCTATTGTTGGGATGGCAGGTCGGTTCCCCGACTCTGATAGTGTGGAGGAGCTCTGGCAGATTCTCTCCAATGGCATTGACTGCCACAAAGTGGTAGGCATCCCAGTTCGAGTATCAGCTGCGTTCATAGCGTCTGACTAATCTTGTGAAGATCCCAAGTGATAGATTCGACCCAGCCATATATGTGTCGAAAGATGGCAAATACAAGAACAAAAGTGCAACGGAGTTCGGCAACTTCATGAAGAGTCCTGGCATGTTCGATGCTCGATTTTTCAATATGTCACCCCGAGAAGTCATGCAGACTGATCCTCAGCAGCGGTTGGCTTTGGTAACTGCATACGAAGCACTTGAGATGGCAGGTTATGTACCCGGTCGAACGCCATCTACGCAGATGGAGAGGATCGGCACGTTCTACGGGCAGACGACGGACGATTATAAAGATGTCAATGTGGTGCAAGAGATAGACACGTACTACGTGTCTGGCGTCGTTCGCGCTTTTGGTCCTGTGGGTTTTCCGTCGTTGGTTGCTCCCGAACATCGTTGACTAACTCCATCACAGGGACGTGTATCGCGCGCGAATCAACTTGGTAAGTCATGATATCACCACGTCAGGCATCAAGTCGAGTCTAACTCTTATCTCAGGTGGCCCGAGCGTGAGCGTCGACACGGCCTGTGCCTCCAGTGCCACAGCGTTAAATCTGGCTTGCACGTCAATATGGAACAACGAGTGCGACACAGCCGTTGTTGGGGGCATGATGCTTCTCAACAGTCCGGACATGTATGCCGGCCTGTCGCGCGGACACTTCGTCTCGAGTGACGGACCATGCAAGACATTCGACGACGAGGCGAACGGATACTGCCGGGGCGAAGCTGTAGCAAGCGTCGTTCTCAAGCGGTTAGATGCTGCCACAGCGGACAACGACAATATTCTCGGTGTCATTCTTGCATCCGCGACAAATTACTCCGCATACGCGGCATCGATCACTCAACCTCATGCTGGCGCACAAGAGACGTTGTTCCGGAAAGTTCTCTCCCAAGCGGCAGTTCAACCAGATGAAATTGACTATGTCGAGCTTCATGGGACGGGCACACAGCTCGGCGACGCCATCGAAATGGCTTCTGTGTTGAATGTCTTGGCGCCAGAGTCTCCTGTCCGGGCGGCGGAAAGGCCACTATACGTCGGCTCTATCAAGGCGAACATCGGCCATGGAGAATCCGCCTCGGGGATCTCAGCTTTGATCAAAACTTTGCTTCTCTTCCAGAAACAGCAGATTCCCCCTCATGTTGGTATCAAGAGCGGTCGGTTGAACCGCACATTCCCCTCACTGGAGAAAAGACGCGTGAGAATCGCCGACAGATTGACACCATTCCCTGCGATATCCGGTCGCAGGCGAAAGGTTTTGATCAACAATTTCGGCGCTGCCGGTGGAAATTCCAGTTTCATACTTGCAGAAGGCAACTTTGCCGACTCTGCCCCTGAATCTCAAAAGTCGACCGTGCAGCGCGATCATGTGATTAGCGTGACCGCGAAATCAGACGCGTCGCTTCAGGGAAATCTGAGAAATTTGATCGATTACCTGGACAAATATCCAGAGACTGCGATCGAAGATCTAGCATACACAACCACCGCACGCAAAGTTCAGCATCCACTACGTGTTTCCGTCACTTCTTCGACGACATCTCAGGCCAAGAAAGCTCTTTCCGCGGCATTACAACGTACAGTCACTCGACCAACGAGCAAATCACAAGATGTCATTTTCGCTTTCACTGGCCAGGGCTCCTTGTCACCAGGAGTTGCAAAGCAGCTCTTCGAGACCAATTCTACGTTCCGGTCGCACCTTACTCGATTCGAGCGTGTTGCGGTAGACCAGGGATTTCCTCCATATGTCGAAGAGGTCATTCGCGGTGCGCATGCCTTTGACCAACTCTCCCCTGTTCAGACACAGCTGTGCCATGTATCAATACAGATGGCGCTGTTCAAGATGTGGTCATCTTGGAACATCAAGCCTCGCGCCGTCATCGGCCATAGCCTTGGTGAATATGCTGCCTTCTTTGCTGCAGGAGTCCTGTCTGCCAGTGACACGTTGTATCTTGTTGGCCGACGTGCATCCCTTCTTCAATTGAAGTGCACTTCCTCGACACATTCAATGTTGGCAGTGAATTTGCCAATGAGTGGCATACAGAAGATCATTCGTGAGCGGTTGAACAACGTGGAAGTTTCCTGTTTGAATGGACCGTCGGACGTTGTCATCAGCGGCCCTGTGGCTTCCATCAGAGAGGCTCATGGGCTACTGAAGGCCAGTGGAACATCATGCACCATGTTGAATGTTCCATATGCCTTCCACTCATCGCAGATCGACCCCATCCTGGCACCTTTTGATCATGAGTTGATGCAAGTTCCATTTTCAACGCCTCGGATCCCTATTTTGTCAACCTTGCTTGGACGAACCTTGCAGGTGGGCGAAGACATAGGACCAAGCTACTTTATACGCCATGCTCGAGAGCCAGTCCAATTCTTGGATGCTCTGCGAACTGCACAGAATGAGGATATAATTACGACAAACACTACCTTCATTGAACTCGGTCCGCATCCTGTCTGCCTAGGCATGATTCGGTCTACCCTTGGTCTCAGCGAACGGTTACTTCCTTCGCTCCATAGGAAGGAAGACTCACTCGCTACAATCTGCAGATCCCTGGCAGCTCTGAATGACCAGGGATTTTCGATCGACTGGAATGAGTATCATAACAGCTTTGAATCTACCCCAAAGCTCCTCAACCTTCCAACCTACGCATTTGATGAGAAGAGGTATTGGATTGAGTATCAGAACAATTGGCTTCTGCAACGCCACGAAGCTGCAGCTTCGTCTGTGCCTGACAAGTCTATTCAAAAATTGACAACGACGGTGCAGCGAGTCGTCTCTTCAACCGTCCAGGGTGAATATGCCACGGTGAATTTTGAGTCCGACTTGTCCGATCCGTCTCTGCACAGGTTGATTGCAGGCCATGTCCTCAACAAAGTCGCATTATGTCCATCGGTGAGTGACTAATCCTCTCCCAATGTCTGACAGTTCTTCCGCATGAAAAGTCATAGCTAACATATTTCACAGGGAGTTTTCGCGGATATTGCTCTCACTGTAGCAGACTATTTTCGCACGCACTTCGTATTCCCTGGTCCTGTTACTGGTATGAACGTGGTCAAGTTGGAGATGACCAGTCCAGTCCTCATGCCTGTGGAGCGACCTGCGGAATCGAAGATGCTTCAGATCGTGGGAGAAGCAAACCTCGCATCGAACTCAATTGGACTGCGCGTGGGAATACTGGATGATCGAAGTGGAGCTTTACAGCACCACGCTTCATGTCAGATCGTGTTCGGAGATTCAGAGTTGTGGGCCCAAGCGTGGAACAAAAATGCCTATTTGATACTCGAGCGAATGGAAGATCTCGAGCGTGGTGTTCTCGCCGGAACGACCAGTCATATTTCCCACGAAATGGTCTACAAGCTGTTTGCGAATGTGGTCCAATATGACGAGCGATATCAAGGCATGCAGGAAGTCATCGTTGATTCACGAAAACTGGAAGCGGTTGTTTCGCTGGCACTTTACCAAGGGGCCGATGCGGGGACTTTCTTCTGCTCGCCTCTATGGCTCGACAATCTGGCGCAAATAGCCGGTTTCATCATGAATGCGATTGGGACAGTCAACCCCCGCGAGTTCACTTACATCTCCCATGGGATCGAAAGCTACCAGATTGCGGAAGAAATCGATCCCCGTCTTCCCTACCGGGCGCATGTGAGAATGCTGCCCGAGGAGAAGAATGTTTTCGTGGGCGATGTCTCGATATTCCAAGGCAAACGTATGGTCGCCCGATGTGGAGATGTCAAGTTCAAGAAGATTCCACGGGCCTTGATTGAAAGGCTTCTTTCCTCTTCGACACCGCAAGAGCCTTCTAGCAAGCGTGCTGAGAGTGGAATCACGCCTAGAAGAGAGCTGAAGGTGATCCAGAAATCTATCGTTTCGAAACAGCCGAGTACCAGTTCAAGCATCGACAGTCTCAGGAAGCTTCTAGCTTCGCAAATCGGCATTTCCGAAGATGATCTCTCAGACGACAGCAGCTTCATCGAACTTGGAGTGGACTCTTTGCTCTCTATGACCATTCTATCCCAGATTCAAGCATCCCTCAACATAGAGCTCCCTGCTTCTGCCTTCACTGATCTTCCCACCTTCGGTGATTTGTGCAACCATGTTCTGAAAGGGTTACCGGATCAGTCTACAGGACCCCTTCTAACTCCCGGGTCAAGCACTTCCGAGTCTGACATTTCCTCGCCCCCGAGTCTATATGACATCCCACTGGAATCCTCAAATGATGCACGTCTTCTGGAAGTCTACTCGGTTATCGCAAGCGAGATAGGCGTCGATGTTCAGGAGGTCCTGACAACCGACGATCTCTCGGTTCTCGGCCTGGACTCAATGATGGCAATTTCCATTGTTGGGGCTTTGGAAGACAAAATCGGAGTTCGGCTTCCGTCCGATACATTTGAGTCATCTTCAAAGAACATGCACAGCATTCTGAGTGAAATGTTCGGCCCCTCGCATCCCTCTGTCTCACAGCCTCCGATAGCCAAGGATCCGGCCGCCAACCAGAAAGAATCATCTTTCCCCTCTTCCATTCTCCTCCAGGGCGACAGCTCAAACACCAAGACCCTATTCCTCTTCCCGGACGGGAGTGGTCTCGCCAGTGCATACGCGAAAATTCCCCGGATCTCCAGTGACCTGCGCGTGTGCGGGTTGAACAGCCCCTTGCTGTATTCAGCCGGCCACACCCCGGCGGACATAGAAAGCATAGCCGCAAGAATGGTCCAAGTGATGCGAGAACACCAGCCACATGGCCCGTACCTGTTAGGCGGGTGGTCAGCGGGTGGTCTCTACGCCTTCGAAGCCGCCAGAGGACTACTACAGGCGGGTGAACAGGTTGAATCACTAATTCTCATCGACTCGCCCTGTCGCCTCCGCTACGACGCTATGCCTGTCTCTATATTGGATTTGATCTCAAGCAAGCGGGCTCTAAGCCGCGAGGTTCGAGATCACTTTTTGCGGACTATCAGCGCTGTTGAGAAATATTCACCACGTCCGCTGCCGCGTAAAGCCTGTCGGGCGACGCTTGTCTGGGCTGAAAACGGACTGTACGGCCAAGAGGACGCCTGTCTGCCTACGGATATCGACATTCACAACCCTATTGTGGAATGGTTGCTCAAAAGGGGTGGGGAGTTGGATGCGCTGGGCTGGGAGGAACTTCTTCCAGGTGTGCAGCTTGGTATTAAGACCATGCAGGGAAATCATTTCAGTATGGTTCAGGATCCTAATGTGAGTATCATTTCCAGCTACCTAACCCGAACTTCGGACTCGAACTAATTGGCTTAATCTACAGGCGGGTTACTTGAGTGCGGCAATTGCAGAGGCGCTCTAGGCTGCCTATGCAAGGTCAAGAGCTTGTTCATTCTCAATAGCTAGATTGTACATAGTGGTCTTTTCTCTTATTTTGTCACAATCAGACATCTTACGTTCTTGAGTCCAATTTCTTTTATCTCTACCTTGATTGATAGGTTCACTCTTGTAGACCGGCATGGTCCAACTGAATTCACCATTTACTTATCAGCCTGAGGCAATGATTTCTTCTCGCTGCGGAGAGTACCCCGGATCTTGCAGATATCACGGTCTAATTTCAGCACCAAGGCATTGTCCACTGACCCTGCATCGAAGATCTTTGTCTCTTGAGGACGGGACGGATGAACTCTCACAGCGGATTTGATCCTTATCCTCGGGGGCAAACGGACTCCATTCCGTGCTCAAGCTGGCTGTACGCACAGGACACCCTGAGCCACGGGTCTCAGTGCTTTCCGCTTCAAGATTGCAACGGAAGTGTGAGGGATGATCCCGGATTTCATTGCGCATAGGGCTCTTAATGGGCTGAGCATATGGTTTGCTGTGAGTGTCAATGCGAGTAATCCTTTGGCCCTTGATCGAGGAAGCTTCAAAGCGGCAAATGGCACAACTTCGTAGAGATCGACAATACGAGGACCGGGTGATGAAGAAGGTAAGGATATCGTCGACGCTGTTCATCCGGTCCGGATATGTGCTACAGTACCATCTACCAGTTCCAGCCAAATACTACCCTTCAGCAGCCAAGCACCGACGGAGCCACCGAAAATTCCGACGGCCCTCTTGCTTGGCTCAGTCCTCTTGATGAGTTAGGTACAACATGGCTATTTCAAAGACTTCTCAGGCTACGGTTCTCAATGGTCCAGCTAATGTCTAGTGTAGTGGGCAAGAAGGCTCAGATGCTCGCAGATCATATAACTCCATAACCTCCCGGTTATTCTGGAAGGAGAACTACGCCAATAAATGGTGTGCAGAACAGCAGAAGTTCCCTTTAGTCTGAAACAATCTGCTCATGAGTTCATGCTCTGGCCTCTAACGCTCGGACGATCAGCGGTAGAGATTCGAACAGCAGTGATGTTTAACTAATTGCTTATGCTTATGTCAAGGTTTGTCATATTTTCCAGCTTATTTGGACTCCATCAATCTGGTGAGGAATTACGATGTACGTACTGCAGTCTACTGCTAGGTACAATGTTGGACCTACTCACCTGCTTCTTCTGGTGCCCTCCGTACTTTTCGTACTTCGCAACGACCTTTGGCAGGTTTCCGTGTCATGCCCAGATGTTATTCAGCAAATTGAGTAAATGATATCAGGTGAATAAACTACAGGGAAGATATGATTAGTAAATATTAGTCAATATCCATGGATATCACCGGTCAGCTTACCGGCGATTTCCACGATAGTCGCCGTCACGGATTTGTCCCCGCCCCTCACACTTGACTTCGACTGCACAGTGATCCGTGTGCATAGCAGGGGGTGGTATTGTCAGGAAAATGCCGATGATAGACGCATCCTCTACGCAATGCAGGTCGCTCCGATGTATAGACCCGTGTCCTCGACATAGTACAGAGACCAATATCCGCACTCGTCCAGTCCATAAACCTTTCCTACTCAGAGATCTCATAAGAAACCCGATTATCGACAATAAAACCAAATACCAAATCTCGCAATCATGGCTTCAACGTTGGAGTCACTGGCATCGACGATCCACACAAAGGCCCTCGAACTAGCCGAGCTCAGTAAAGAAAATGGCATCAACCCAAGTCTCGATGACCCCGTCGCATCAGACCTGTCAAGCGTGACGCCTCTAGCAACTCGAAATGAGCTCATCCAGGCAGCCAAAGATCTTCTCTATCTGGCAATGGGTCCAACAGACCATGTCCTGAGTCTAGCCTGGTCGGTAAGCGCAGTTCTCTCGTATCATCATGATATGCAGAATCAAATAACTCATCAATCATCATGAACATAGGCCGGGGATGCCGCCAACCTAGACCTCCTAACCCGCTTCCAAGTCCCACAGCACGTCCCACTGAACTCTTCAATCACAATCCCCGAGCTATCAACAGCAACCCGTCTCCCCGAAGACGTCCTAGCCCGAGGTATCCGCTACGGCATCGCAAACGGACTCTTCCAGGAGATAAGCCCAGGCGTATTCACCCATTCTGCGGCATCAGCAGCCCTAGCTAGTAATTCGCACCTGCGAAATGTCGTGCACTTTGGCACCGAGTTCCTGCAGAATATTCTGATGCACGTTACTCCAACCATGCTGGCGCAGCTGGATGAAAACACAGACAAGGTCCCCGAGACGGCGTTCAACCGCGCGTACAATACGGAGCAGAATCTGTTTGAGTATTTCGCTCACTCGAAAGATCTCAATAAGAAGTATCATGAGTACCTCATGGGACGAGTGAATACGCCATTGTGGTCGATGGATCGGCTGCGCGCAGCCTGGGATTGGGGTAGTCTTGGATCGAAGACTATTGTTGATGTAGGTTGCTTCATCCTTTCTTTTTCCCCCCATTTTTGCACATTTGTAATGCATTGTTAACTGGATCTAGATTGGCGGATCATCCGGACACACAGTTCTAGCAATAGCGCCTCTAGCACCAGAAGCGCAGTTCATCGTGCAAGACCAGAACACCGATGCACTGGAAATGGGAAAGAAACTCGTCCTGGTCTCGCCGCAGGTCGGTGATCGATCACGAATCACCTTCCAGGAGCACGATTTCTTCAAAGAGCAGCCCGTCAGTGCGGATGGGTATATTCTGCGGCATATCCTACATGACTGGAATGATGAAGACTCCATTGCTATTATCAAGGCGTTGCTGCCGGCACTAAAGCCCAATGCGAAGGTCTTTATTAGTGAGGGGATCTTGCCAGATCCACCAGCTAAGCGGTTGAACACATTGACGAACAAGATGATTCTGTAAGTTTTCCGATTCCGGTGCGAGATTGATTGCGGAGCTAATGAAGGTATAGTATTGAGGATCAGTTCATGCTTGCAGCTCATAATGCGCGTGAACGGACGGTCGGTGACTTTGTGAGGGTGTTTGAGGCGGCGAGTCCGAGGTTCCGGCTGGTGGGTGTTACGTCTGGTGCTGAAGCTGGGGCGTTCCAGTCATTGTTGGAGTTTGAATTTGTGTGATAGAATAGCTGGGGCATCAAGTGCATTTGCAATTATGACACTGTTGATACCGTTGCTTTCAATAGCAGTAGAATAAACGTTGTCAACCAACAAGCACTCTCGGCCTACTACGAAGCCACCGGGGCGTTTGACCGGTGATGTGCTACCCAAAGAGCAGGTGGTCTGCTATGCCTCATCCACGAATCACATAGGCTAAGACAATCATCCGCGTAACAAAGCACTTGAAAATAATGTACGAAACAATATAAGAGAAGAATCAAAGCAGGCTCATCAGTCCAAACACACGAGGCCATCCCGCCTCAGTTCCATTTCCCAAAACCTCCGCCCAATCGCTAAAGTAACATAAAAAAAAGGTCATGATAAGCATAAGCGTGGAATGCAATCATAACATGCAAGGTTTCTTCATAACTCATTTCGTTTCTCGTATCCCATGCCCGAGATCCAATCCCAGCTTCCATTGAAGCCCGAGAGGAGATCCCATGCCTGTACACATCAACATCAACATCGACTCATCAACTCATCAACACATAATTCAGGCTCCCACCATGTTCGTTTGTATATATGGTCCTTCCTCCCATGAAGACAAGAAACAGAAACACGCTCCGAAGCCAATCGCTAAAATCATCACATCGCTAAACAAATCCCGTTGGACAGACCCTAGAACCAAAAACAGAGACATGAAGGTGATGTCAAAAGAAGAAAGAAGATACATAAAGAATAATAGATGTTGCGTGATCTATCGTTGCACGCTAGAATTTGAAGGACCATTGCTGGTCTGGGTTTTTGAAGAGAAGAGAAGAGAAGAGGAAGAGAAGAAGTAGAAGAAAAAGGCAGATCGAGCGACAGCCACGAAAGAAGACGTCACAAGAGATGCAAGAAAGGTAGTAGAAAAATTCACAATCATTACTGTCGTGTTGGAAAGAGGAAGGAGATCAGACATGGAAGACACCCTCCTCTTTAATAGGAGTAGCATAATCCTGCACCATACGACGGAAGTCCCGAATAACCTTCTCAGGCACTCGGTCCCACATCAGCGATCGGGAATATACATCCGAGGATGCAGCGGGGTGCATGCGACTCTGCTGCGCGACCGTCTCACGCATAGCAGCCAGTGCCTGCTGTAGCGTCGACGGCTGCTGCGGCTTGAACGCGCCGTCGTCCTCGAATGTCGTCAGGGAGTTATACTGGTTCACATTCAAGGAGAAGACCTGCTCGCGTTCCTGCTCTTCTGTCGGCATAGCGAGCGAGTTATGTAGCTGATCAAGGGTTGAGGGCACAGTCTGACCGGAGCTCAAGTGTGCCATCTCCATGCCGCTGATAGTCGCCTGTGTGGGCCCAGTTGCCGTCGCGCGGCTGAGGGAGTGGGACTGCAGGTCATGGCCCTGCGAGGAAGCCAGCACGGCTTTGAGCACGTTAGCTGACTCGGCGCGATACTCCTCGGATAGTTGTGGGAGAGAGCGGCCGGGGAGGGAGCTGCTGTTTGAGGCGATGAAGGCGCCGAAGAGGAGACACATGTAGAAGGCGTTCCAGCTGATTGGCAGATCTGAGTTGGATTTCTCCTGGGTTTTGATTTGCTGGCTGGGCTGTTGGCGGGGGACAGAGAGACATTCTTGTTGCAAGGGCATTGCGTTGGACATGGAGTAGTCGTCCCACGGCTGGGCTTCCATGGTCATATTTTCAAAGCCGGTGAAGTCGCCAGGGAGGGGTTCGTGAACGGGCTTGACGCCGCGTTCGAGATTTTCGACGGTTTCCATGAGAATGTTGTTCTTCTTGCGCAGCTCGGCTGTTTCCAGCGTGTGCACGCGGATGATCTCGTCTTTCTCCATGTGCAGCCCTTCAATGTACTGGTTCATCTGCCCGTGGGTGACGATCCATTCGCTCTTCTCGCGGAGCAGCTCTGCTTCTCGCATTTTCATGGTTTGAAGTGCCTCTTCAAGATCGCTGATGGCTGCGGTGAAGTTCTTCTTCTCCTCTTCTAGTTTCTCGGTATGCAATTTCTTGCGTTGCCGAGAGTCCAGTCTATGACAACAAAGTTAATTTCGGATCTGACGCAAAGGCTTATGCTTCAACTTACGCTGCTTGCCGGTTCCGGAGTAGTCGCTTCTGCTGCTTGAGCTCTTTGATCTCTTCCTCGTTCGTGGACTGACTGATCAAGTGATCAATGTTGCTCAGGGTCCGCTCAGCGGGGATCGGGAAGCGGGCGTTCCGCTTCTTCTTCCCATCCTCCCTGCACGGCAGACCATTGATAGAGTCGGACCTTGTGGTAAAGCAATCCGTCGGAGCCATCGCCCATGGCTTAGTTAACTTCGGCGAAGTGGCATCACTGTCATGCGACCCAAACGCCATCCCGCGGTACATGGGAGTCGTTCCCACAGCACTGACAGGCCCAACAGCCCCACCAGCAAACGGAGCAGTAGCATTCTGACCTCCTTCTGCGGCATACTGCCCATAGTCCACGGTCGGGGTACATGAGCCGGAATCCGCACGTTGCATGGGGGCCCAGCTCGTCTGTTGGTAAGCAGACTGCGGGCCGTCGGCATGCATGAACGGGGCACCCATTGGATTCACCATGGGTTGAATGGGGTGCGAATTCGAGGTTGAATGTAATTCCATTGTGTTGGATCTGGAGTTTGAGTAGTTGTACCAGTCCGAGCCCCGATGTGAGTAGGGATATGGGGCATCGTATGAGAAGCGGCGGTTGTCGGAAAAGTCTTCGGACATTGGTTCTAGGATCTTGTCGTCCAACACATCCATCTCATCATCTTCCGGTGCCATGTCTGGTGAGTTTCGGTCGAATTTGAGTTGAAAACCTTGTGCCATTATGAAGAGGCGGTGTAGTGTGTATTTCAGAGAGAGAGGGAAAGTGTGGGGCGGATAATAGGTTGATTGATAGAGAATGAAGGGTAGTGGAATCACGAAGAGGGAGGGTGATAAATGCGTTGAAGTGAAGATATGACGATAATCTGCGAAGAGGGGAAATATGCTATGGTCTAGTCCCGGGGGAAAGAAGCAGCCTATGTAGCAGACGCAGACCTCGTGCGGTCAACTTTGTACCCACAGGTACCGAATACCGATGCGGGAGATGGAGAATAGCCTGTCGATCCAAGTACCCAGTACTCATTCAGCGGTCTGCGCGGGAGTAGGAGTGTGGCTTCCGGGGCAGGTTCTCCGTTATTGGCTGCATCGTTCTGCTTGGGCAGACCTGCATTTGATGTTTGATTATTTTGGCTCTGGTGAATTTGTTTCTTTTTTTTTATTTTAGATCTGGTTCTAATTCAGTTCCGTCGATCCAGTCTCGATGTTAATCCTCGATGTTGATACGGATTTTATGTACTTTAACCTTGATTTACGCATGGATAACGAGTACATACGTCTGAATACACCCATATAGACAGCCGATTTCCGCTTTTCTCCCCGAACATCACCAAGACCTCCCCCCGAAGTGGGGGAAATCAGATGTTGGGCTTATCGATAAACGATACCCTATCGATCGATCCTTGTTCCGCCGGCCTGAGACGACCCCTGTCGTGGGGGAGTAAATGGTCTGTGCTACATCTTGTTTACAGCGCTTATGTAGAGTACGATGTGGTACATGTAGTATGGGGCTATTCACACACTTGAAACAAGTACCGAGAAAGTATCCGCGGGTATACCTTTCTGTACTATACTCGTAACTCGTGAGTGGTCAGATGTCCAGTCTAGATGTCATTCCCTCCATCAATCCGCCGCTAACAGCCTATCATTCCCGAGTCAGTGTGACGATCCTTTTGGGCTGCGATGGCGGTTTGATGTGTTGCTTTTTCCTTTGTTTCTTTCCTCAATTTTGGATTCCTCTGATTTCTCTGTATGGGTTTGTAGGCCTTCTCCGTAGAATGAATCGCTGGTACGGGCTCGGCCCGCTGATCCACTGTTGGGCCGACCACGGTTAGGAGGAGAAAAAGAAAATTCGAAAATTCAGGAAATAACAAAAAAGGAAGAAGCACGGGTATTCTAATCTGATCACTCGTCCCTTCCAGATGACGACCTCACCCTTCCTTCCAAGCAAAGATGCCAATAAGGATTTCTCTGGAGCTTAAGGCCCTAGCTGGATCGAGAGCTTGGGTCGAAAATCTCACACGGCTCATTTTGCGAACCTTGCCGTGATCTACTTGCAGCACTCTTTGCAGTGCTGCACCTTCCATATGGCTGAAGCAGCCATCTTTCCAACCCTTCCAAGCTAACAGATCATATGTAAGCATTGATCGACTCTGTGGAGTGTAGGGTATATGATGCCATCGTATGTGACGGATGGGCTCCGGCCTGTCTTGTTCTGTTGAGGGGTGAACACCCTCTAATCGGCCTACTCAAAGTACCAGCATCGTGACTCAACGAGAATTGACCTCAGGCTGCCATACTGCTTACAATACACAGCTTTTTACTTCCTTTTTTTACTTTTCCAGAGTTCAGTAAACCCGTATCTAGACTTGCCGCCCAAAGCGCAAACCCGGTACCTGTTCCTGTCACCTCGTCTGATCAGACCGCGGAGCACGAACCTGCTGAGCGGCAGCCCCTAAGTCTAAGTTAGTCTATACATAGCACGTCAAAGCCAACACGAACAATGATAGGCCTGTCACCCAGGCGGCAGCTCCGCGGATGCGCAAGTCAACCCGGATAAGATCTGGCGGTGAAAACCCCGAGTCCGTCCAATCGAGATAGATTCTTTGGTCAGTCACCTTCTGGCAGCTCCATTAGTCATAAACGTGCACTCCATTTCAGTGCAAGGTACCCGGTGGCAGTTTGGTTTCTGTTTATCCATGACGACACTCATCGGCAGCGCCCAATCCCAGCAGCCGAGACCAATATAATTTTCGTACCTTTGTCCGAAGACCACACTTAGCGCTCAGTTATCCTCTCAAACACAGGACTTCCACCCGGGCAGGTCCTGCGGTGAAGCTGAAGCAAACTATCCCGCCATATGACTCAGAATGAAATTGGTGATCTACCTTCTGTGAACGCGCTAGAAGACCATGGCAGGTCCACCGGTCCACTTTGGTTTGGACGCTCATGTAACTAATGGTCCGACCTGTTAAACGGCTCCATAGACGCAACTGGCATAAGGTGTATACTGTATGTGCCCAAGTTCTCTAAAGTTTATCCCCGGCACAGACTAGGCCAGATATGGTCTCAAAGCCTCACTTTGTGCAGGTACCTGCCTGATATCCCATGCATCGGATACGTTGGGCACATCCTTTGGAAATGACCGCCGTCTTGGATTGGGTGCTTCCAGGCCACTAGACGACTACATGGTCACTATTCAGTTGTTGGTATACTCCACCTGCCAGATTGGGTAATTGTCGACGTTTCGTCTGTTTGGAGGCTGCCTATCGGAGAATCAGTTCGTTGCTGTGCTCCATCTTTCAGGGCTTCCTTATCTCCATGCCGAGGGATTTTGCACACCGGTTGAGTGACTCATTCGGTAGTATGGCGAGAGATGAATGAGTGTTATGGCTACTAACAGGTTGTAATGGAGGTGAACAGGTTGTCAATGGTGATCGCAATATTAGAGGGAAGTCTCCATATTCAGAATTGCAGGCGGAATGAGTCACTATCTCCCTCTGTGGTTGTTCTCATTCAATGACTATCTCTTCTCTAATGCTGTTCTCTCTAATGTCGCTCTCGTCCGATAGAAACAGATTCTTCAATTCGATGATGTTCCTAGTCTTCGCTTGTAGTATCTTTGGCCAAGCTCTGGTTCCAAATGGATTCCAAACGTAGTACCATCACGACTCACGATCTCTCTACATCTTAGAGAAAACCAACACTTGAGAGAACTAACAGACAAGGGTCAAATGTTCGGCTCAACATAGCTGCCGACGCATTCAGGGTTCATGATACACCCGACATAGTGTGTAGAATAGACCAGTAACCTTGGTTAGTACAGACTATTAGTTTCAAATACCCAAGTAGTTTACCTATCTCCAGGCATTCAATTATGTTGCCCTTCGAACTTGAACAAGGAGAAGCCTGGCATGGTTTCTAGATCTCTGTCTCAACTTGCCCAGGCGTATCAGTCTCTGGTCAAAATCTAACTGCCTAAAGCCCTCTCTTACAGCCACCTGATTTATCACTTCTTGTATCTTTTCATTGGGCATTGGGTCTTTATTCATGTCATGGTCTGGTACGGCAATGATAATAAGGAAGTAGTATATAGCGAATATAGGTACAATGCATCATTGAAGTTCCATTCGGTCGATCCAGCCTACTTACGATATCTATTCTGTGACTTCAAATTCGAGGAGGTTTCATCCTTGCAGATCCGGGAGAGATATCGTAGGATGCGGATTTCAATATTGAGCGCCCTGAGACACGGAGTATCATTTAGCTGTCAGACTGCAGTCTGCAGACTCCACGCAATAGTGAGGCTTATCCCTCCTCAAATCACACAACATGCCACGCTCATGTCACCAAAGTCAGCAGGACATGGACCCTGCAGATTCCATTGTCATCACATGGCTCAGTGGGGGTTTGACAAGACCCGAGGTCTAGGGCTGCCTGTGAACAACCTCCACCTAGTACCTCAATAACAAATACGGAATCTAAATTTGAGGAGATAGATTGATTACGTCTGTATTCAGTGACAAGGGTCATGCTATTCAATAACAATTTCTTCCATTTCCATTTTTTCTCGGTTGATTATTATTCACATGTGCTCATCGAATGCGCAGAAAGGCAAGAAATATCCATCTATCCAAGCAACTACAATGTGCAGGAGTGGGCGAGATTTAAGGGATCAGATGTGGATGAAATCCTGCTGCTCCGACATCTCACCGCTATCCACACCTTCGATGATCTCTTCAGGCTCGTCGTCCGAGTCAACGTCGTCCGAGTCGATGGCATCGTAGCTCTCATCTTCGCTAGACATGTCAGACTCCTCACCATTCTTATTAGCAGCAGCAACCGCAGCCTTGCGGATCTGGCCCGCACGGTCAACATGCGGGAGTGTGCAGCGCTTCTTGTCGCAGGCGCCAGTATTGGCGTAGTCGGGGCACTCGTGGACGTGCTTTTCCTCGCATGTTTCGCCCTTCTCACAGTACCCTAGAGTTGCGAATGCACGGCAAACGGGGGCGCCGGGGGTCACGCGGACGTGGGAATAGCGACATTCCGGGTTGGCGCAGCGTCCTCGGAGGAAATGCATACAGGCCGGGGAACGATGGGGCGAGGGCTCATGGGATAGATCACAGCTAGTACCTGCAGCGCATTTGCCTGTCATGAGGAAGTCCTTGCAAATAGCCACCTTGGTGGGATCGTGGATGAAGAGGCAGTTAGGGCCTTTGTAGCATGTGCCTAGAAAGTAAATGATGGTCAGTTTTGAGCAGGCTGATAGGGCAGAACTGAGCTGGATGGGCCCATCGGAAAACAAAATACCGGTTGTTGTGAATCTCTTGCAAAGCTCGTCGCGCTTTTTGACGGTGTGAGATCTGTGGCAAAATTAGTACAAACCCAAGCATCACTGATATTCAACCTCACTGTTTCGAAGCCACCGCGCCAAGACGATGTAAATTTCCATTTTTGCTACGCACGAAGGACACACCGGCCACAGTGACACGCTTTGGGGTGTTGTTGGCAGTACTAGGGTCATCTATGAAGGGTAAGCCAATTCGACGGAAGGCGAGGGGGGTAAACGCACTCGAAACCCGGACAAGTTTGCTGCCACCGCGTGCGACCTTGAAAGGGATATCATTGACAATAATCTGATGGGCAGCTGTAGGATTCGCGGGTGTAGACACCATAGCGACAGCACCTGCGCCCTGTGCATATCGGAGTACCTTTGCTTGTTCTCGCTCTGCAGCTTGCTGTTCTTTGAGCTTGCGAGTCTCTTCCATAGCTTTTGATCTGGCCTGAATCTCCCTATCATAAATGGCAGAATTAATCAACTGATTGTTGTGGCGATTGCGCTTTGCAACCCAGCCGGTGCTGGGAGTCGGTGTGGGAGCCGTTGCGCTAGTATTGTCACTTGTCGGGGCAGGAGATGCAGCGCTCATGTTTGAGCCTACAGCCTGGGTATTCAGAACAAGCGAACAGTGCCGTGCTCCACGGCCTCGGCCTCGACCTCGACCACGTCCTCGTCCAGAGTATGGTTCCCATCTGGAATGATGAGGGTAGATATTTCCAGACGCATATTGAGACTGGGGATTAGCCGCCTGAGTATCTTGTGATTTGTGGCGATTAATTTGACCTGCCAATGTCAGTTTGGGCTTTAAATGTGAGCTCACAATGAATGTAGCTACCTGCAAGCCGACCGATCCTGGCCAGCAGCTCGTCCTGTTCAGTCATCGTAACCAACTGAATTGATTGAGGTTAGTTGAAGACAGCAGATATCAGAAAGTTTTCCTAGATTAATGCTCAAGTGATGTGCAAAGTGGGTAGCAGAAGAAGGTCTGCACTGGTTATGCGGAGGGGAAACAGGCGAAGTACGCGCTTTCCAAGACGGTGGCGTATATTGTCACGTGATGTGAAATATGTCCGACGATCTATGCCGTACAGTCTTACACTATGGGAACTACGAGTGGTTAACTACTGTGTACAATGCAATGTAAAGAGTCTCGAGTAACATGATTTGCTCATTTGTGATTTGTCCAATCTATGGATATTCTGCTTATTTTAACCCAGGACTCCCGTCATCCTGTCGGAAGCCATAACGCCAGGACCTGCTTATGCTACGTAACGAAGCCGTTATTTGTCATATCTTGTTCAAACGTTCTCGAATTGAACGTCGTCTTGATCTGTCATCATTCCAGACGCAGGATCATCCTCTGATTCAAAAGCATCGTCGGCCCCTGGGGGTAACTCCGCCTTGGCATTCTCCATCGCATTCGAGTACTGACTGTGCGTCGCCTCAGGCTTCAACTCCCAGGTCATAGCAAAGTCACCCGCTTTGACAAGGTGAGCGACCATCTCCAGAGTCTGCTTAAGGTAGGCCTCGGGCTGTGCCAACCTAGCCTTGAGCGTCTTAAAAGGCCAGTATTTGAACTCGCGGAAGCACTGGAAAATAAGATCCAGAAGCTCGTTCTGCGGCATACGGGTGGACTTGTTCTCTTGTGCTTTCCCCTTGGTCGGTCGTGTTGCTTGCTGTATATATAGTGAGCGATCCAAGCCTTGAGGCAATGGGCAATGCAAAGACATACCACGAACTGGCCCTTCTCGCTGGGGAGAGCATGGCGCGCCTGGATAATCTTGCCAGGAATCTTATCAATAAAGACAGTTTCCTTTCGGGGCTTCAGAGCTTCCAGTGCCCGCTTCTCCGAGATCCGTCGGAATTCTTCATTCTCTACAGGAAGGCAATTGAACTCTTCACTGACCGCGCCGGCGAGGGCAGTGTGTTCTGGAAACTGTTAGAATGCGCAACTCGCCATGTCTGGAAGAAAACATACTTGGTATCGTCTTTCGTACATAGGGCTCCCACCTCTTGCCCTGTTCTCGCCGCTTCGCTTCACGTTTCTGAGATTCGTACAGCACCGAGCGCGTTTCGCCAAACGTAGCCATGCGATTCTCAACGCCCGGGATATCTTTTTCGGTGAAAATGTAGGTATTGTGAGTGAGGTGCGATCCGGTGCCTGATGGGTCGATCGTCTGGCGCTGGAGTGTGTAGTCCTTCGGAATATCTCGATTATCGGGGCGTTCATGTAGGCGCAAGCTGACCTGGGGAGAGGACGGATGTTAGATTGTGGTAAAATCAAAAGTCATGCGCAAATTTACTCACCCGCTTGAGATCGTCCGGTGTCCCCTCCACTCTCATCGTGCCAATCTCAATCTCTTCGTCGTCGTCCAGGTGGGCCCAGTGCTCCCATAGCTGCCGAGGTAGACGCGAGAGCCACACATTTTGCCCAGCTTGCGTGAAGTCTAGATCTCCAGCATCTTCGTACAGGTCCTCCTCGTCTATGTCTGCAAGAACGGCGTCTTTGCTGTCGGGGTCTTGTTTGATGTACGGGCGATCCGGATCTTGCTTGATGTGAGCCATATTGATGGCAGGAAAGCCCGAGGACGGTCGAAATTGAGAGGGGCTAAGGGTGGAGCCGATGCGACCGTCGGAGCGCCACGGAATGTATCTGGAGATGAAGTGGTGGATGGGACGGCAAACGTGTTTGGGTGATGAAGTCCGCGCCACTCAACTCCGGAGGAAGCTCTTCGGCCACTCGAAACGGCAGGCGGTGAGGACCCGTCCGTCTTTTATGACGGTCTTTTGCCTGTTGTGATTCAACTTGTGATGATCGCTGGACAAGATGAATCCTCTGAGGAATTGCGGGCAGGAAAATTATCTGCAATGCTTGGTTTATGTGTGACTTGGGCTGGGATGAGGCAGGAGTGGGAGAAGGAACCTTGAAAGACGTCAAACCCCGGAGCCTCAAGCGCCAGGCACAGCCCACATTGTTACTCCTGAGTCCTGCCCTGTATACCTTAATCTAGTAATCACGAAGTACTTCTAGAAATAAGCCACACGCAGAGGCAGAACCTACCTACAAGAGCAACGAGAAGGAGCTCCATTGCTGCCATGTCTGAGGTCTCTACGGAGTATCTGTGCCTCCAACTGCCACCTCTTATCGATAAGGCTAAATCATCTTCCCCCCATCACTCGCCTCCAACATTGAGACGGTTCACTTCACTACACTTTCCCAGACCTCCATTTAATCACCAATATGGCCTCCCAAAAAATAACCAACGCCCTAGCGGCCATCGAATCCAACACACACCAAGGAACAAAGCTAGAGCAATACAAAGAGCTCCTAAATGACATGGTGACAACCTCCTCCGGCCACGAACTCGCCCAAGACCTAGTGTACTTCCTCGACTCGATCCTCAGCGAAGAAGTGAGCATCGTCGCCGCCCGACCCCTCCTCGACATCTTCATCACAGTTCTCCAGACGCTCAACGCAGAGACCAAAATAAAAGTCGGCCAACATGCCATCACCCTCCTTCAGACCCGCTCCGCCTCCGTCGAAGAGCAAGACTCGCAGATTCGCGAGATCCTCGCCGATGCCTACGAATCCCAAGAGGAATATACAGCAGCAGCACGGGCCCTGCAGGGCATCCATATCGACAGCTCGCAGCGACTAGTTTCAGACGCAGCGAAAGCCCGCCTCTGGATCCGCATCGTACGCTACTACCTCGAAGACGATGACACCACAACCGCCGAGGCCTTCCTCAACCGCATCAAAAACCTGCCCTCCAAACTCGAAGACCACGAATCACAGCTGCACTTCCAGCTGTCCCAGGCTCGAATCCTCGATGCCCGCCGCCGCTTCATGGACGCCGCACAGGAGTACTTTAACGTCAGTCTAGCGCCGGGCGTTGACGAAGGAGACCGGCTTACCGCGTTGTCCGCGGCAATCCGCTGTGCTCTTCTCGCACCCGCTGGCCCGCAGCGCTCCCGCTCCCTCGCCCGTCTCTACAAGGACGACCGCACACCATCCGTCGATGAATTCGGCATTTTGGAAAAGATGTTCCTCGACAGACTGCTTACCGCGGATGAAGTTGCTGCGTTTGCGAAGAAACTCGCGCCGCACCAGCTTGCTGTTACGGCGGATGGCACGACCGTTCTCGATAAGGCGGTTATTGAGCACAACCTCGTTGCAGCGAGCAAGCTGTACGAGAATATCCGCGTCGATGACCTCGCCTTGATTCTCGGGTTGCAGTCTTCGGGGGATCTGTCGGCTGGTGAGAAAGCGGAGGCGTATGCGGCGCGTATGATTGAGCAAGGACGTCTGCGTGGTCGTATTGATCAGATCGATGGGGTTATCTTGTTTGATGCTGAGTCTGCTGGTGGCTCCTCTGCGAGTGCTTCTAATGGGACGAAGTTGAGGCAGTGGGATCTTGGTGTGCAGGATCTTGCGGAGGATGTGGAACGTGTTGCAGCTAGTATCTCTGATCAGTTCCCGGTATGTACTGGTGCTCGTTATGTCTATGAGGTTGGATGCTGACTACTTGGGCTAGGAATTCGCTACGAGCCAGATGGTGCATTAGACGTTGCGGCCTTGGCTGTGTGCCTGACGAAAAATCTACGAATTGATGTCATCCGCCTATACTCTTGCATATCCTTTAGCCAGTTCAATCAATGGAATTTCAAACCCTTTTTTCCCGCTGTCAGCCTACCAAATCGAGAGAGCTATTGCTACCTTATACTACTGTTGTTGAATAGCGGTGATTAATCTCACAACCTACCAAATCCGGTTTATCAAAGGAATCCGACAAGAGATCAAGTGATGCCAGTATGAATGCAATAGATATGTATGTATAGCCCGGAAGTATCAATGATGTACATGAAGATAAACGCCAAATATTCATATAGAATGTATGGTATGAACAGTGAAAGAAAAGCCAAAGAGTGTTTGGGTGTACATTGTACAAAGTCGCCGGTAAGGTCGACCAATGGGTCCGGTGACTGCAAGGCGATAAAAGATGGTAATGATGATCAAGAGAATGAAAGAAGAGTGCCGTGGCAAGTCGTGTGCGGGAATAAATGTGAGGGAAGAATATACAAAGTAGGAGGTGGATAGGAGGGTGAATGAACCCATTCACTCCTTTTCAGAATATGAAGTTTCGTCACATCGTAACAGCATTAATGAACAAAACACCACTCAGCGAGTCAGCTGAGTCGTCGAGTCATTCGGCAGAATCGAGATATCCGTTTGAACATTAATGTTCTGCGGACTGAGAAGATCATCACCAAGGAATCCAGGGGATTTACTCTCAATCTGGGCATTGTACATCTTGACAAACTCCAAATCCGGGGAACGCGGACTCGACTTCGACAAGAACATCGAGTTCGTATAATCAGTATTGATATAAGTCGGCCCCGTGCCATTGCGAGAAGACTTCAACTTGAGCGCGGGGAACAAGCCCCGAATGATCGGCAAATTAGAGCAGATCAAGCCCACAGCGGGCTCAATGTGCGTCCACAAAGTCGCCTGGTAGACCGTGTAAGTAGGGTCCGTGGGACTGATCCAGAAGAGCACGATGATGCGGTAGATGCTGGCGAAGCAAACGAAGCCGCCGAGCGCGAAAACACCGTTCAGCGCGAGCTTGTCCTGCCAGGCGCGGTGCAGGTTCCATATCATTGGGATGGGGAGGACGAGGATGACGAAGTCCATTAGGACGTTGAAGGCTTGGTTGACGATGATGAACTTTTGCGCGTCGAAGCAGCTTCCTTCGATGCTGTGGTCCCAGTAGGCGCGGAGGGGTTGGCATTGGCCGGCGCAGGCGAGAAAGATGCCTAAGCCCCAGGCGCCGATTAGGCAGTTTAGGGCGAAGCTGAAGGTTTGGAATCGAGGGGTGGCGAAGATGCGGCGGTAGAAGCAGATGATGGAGATCTTGATGCAGGGGCAGAGCACGAAATAGGTAAATTGGTTGGCGAGGAAGATCTGTGTGACTGTTAGATGGGGTGGCTTCTTGTATCCTGAGTTTGCTATTACTCACCTTCCAGTAGTTCACAAGGGTATTGTCAGAGAGATCGGCTATGTGTGCTCCGTTGCCTCCGATTGTACACCCTGTGATGGCGGTTAGTAAATGGTGTATTGAATGGAATAGCTGCGTGGAGCGATCACTCACAAAGTATCAACTCGACCAACATGGCTATCATCAGCACAATGGATGCTAAGTTCAGATAATCATCGACGCCGAACCCAACTCTCCTCCGCATGCGAGCAAGGATTCGCAGTATGACCGATATCAGACTTAGAGCTACCAAGACCGTGATGATCACGATCATCTGCGTTCCTTTCTTGCTTGGCGCCATTGTCGTAGTGTGGATTTCTCGAGATGCAAAACAATACGGAGTAAAGGAATGTGGGGTTGGATCAGATATGATATGAAGGAACGGACGGACGCACAAAGCGACACAATGTCAGGGCATTGACCGATATAAGTCGAAGACGTAGGGACAAGGTTGGACAAATATTCAGGTCATCCCAGTGCGGTGGTTTAAGTGTGCTCAAAAATCAATGTCCCTGTTTTATCCACTCCCATTGCCAGCTCCTAGTCGTCGATCACTGTCCCGATGTGGAACCGCTTTGTGCAATCAGACACGAGGCTACGGAGTATGTACATGTCGAATCTCAAACATAAGCCACGTGAAGTAACAGGATCCTGTACTTGTGCGATTGGACGCCTTAACATGCATGATGCAAGTAAGACGGTGGCTAAGCCATGCTCGATACCCCCATCGCATTCCGCTCTTCAATTAGCACACTGAGTAAATTCTCTCATTGTGAGGGACCTTGGCAGTCATATTTGGAATGACACATGCTTTGGCTCTGCAGATTGAAAGAGTGGAGAAGGAAAGTCAATGCCGAAATAGGAAGGCCATACCTACGATCACCATTCGATGTCAACGAAACCGACAACTGAATCATAGATTTTCAGCACAATGAGAAAGACAATGAGATCATCTCATTGATCAGTTTAATAGCGTCTATAAACTATTGACTTCGTTCCAAATCTCACTATCCGGTGGTTCCACTGGAAGGTTATCTTGCAGTAGGTAACCCGTGGTGGGAGCAGAGCCAAGAGTCCTCCTCTGTACGCGCCGCATTTATAGCATCTCATCCGTGGTTCGCATCTTTGCCGGCTTCCACACTTAAACTGGGTGACATGCAGATCGCATGCCAAGGCCCAATAGTGCGGAAGAGGGTGCGCTATTTATTGCTTGCCTAGTAGTTAAGTAGATTTAGAAGTGAATAATAATGAACACTCCAGATACTCGAGTTGATTCTTTCCATCTAAATTTAACGTTCACTTGTTCGACGTTATGGAGTACAAGATAGAACTTCCTTGCACTACACAGTGTGGGGTTCTTCAGGGCAAGGCCCCTCTTCCAAGCCCAGTGGCGCAGTGGGGCAACAGTGCATATTAACTCTACGCGAGTCAGCAATTCTTTACCACATCGCATAACTTCTGCCGATCTCTATTGTCCGACATCCCTGAACTTGCTGTATGTACGATGTCCACAATGCAACGTTCGCTAGGTTTAAGACATCGGCCCCGAATCTTAATTGACTGCAAGTCAGCTCCTGAAGTGACCCACAGTGGATGAAAATCTAGTCATCCATGACCGTGGAACGCTGGAAGACCAAAAGTGGGTTCGGGATAGATCAAATAGTCGTCTCGTGGCGTGAAATAGTGCGACAGATCATAGGGCTAACGCGCGAATTTGGGTAATGATCGACCTTGATCCATGTTCTTGAATCCAATTGTTTGTGAATCGAATTGTTGGTGGATCCGACATGGAATACGCTGGAGGCACGATAGAGATGTACAGTAGCAAAAGAGTGACACACGTCTATAGTTCCCCTCATTCTCCCCCCACGAGCCTCTGTCGTTGTGGTACCTGCATACTGTGTACAACTTACATTCTTACAATATCTCTCTCCCTCCCTCCTCGACCCCTACCCACCTATCTCCCACACTATGACCACCCCTACCGACCCCGGGCTCCTCACAGTGCCCCTCCTCATAAACGGCCACGAAGAAATAACGCCCAAGACATTCCCCGTAATCAGTCCTTACACCAACAAGCCCATCTGGAACTCCTCCGCCGCGACTCCCGAAGATGCAATCCGCGCAGTCGAAGCAGCCGACGCCGCCTTCCCCGCCTGGTCGCAGACAAAACCAACCGTGCGACGCGACATCCTACTCAAAGCCGCCGACCTACTAGAGGAACGTCTCGGGGACAATGCCGACTACATGCGCCAAGAGATGGGCGCTGACGTCGGTGCCTCTGCGGGGTTCGTCGTCCCGCTTGCAGTGCGCATGTTGCGCGATGTCGCAAGCCGCATTACTTCTATCTGTGGGAGTGTGCCTGTAGTCGAGACGGAGGGGCAGAGTGCTATAGTGTTCAAGGAGGCCATGGGTGTGATTTTGGGGATCGTGCCGTGGTGAGTATGGGGTTCGGTTTCCAGCACCAGTTCTGGTTGCGTGCATTGGGAGAATCATAGGACTGATCGTTCCTGCTATAGGAACGCTCCTTATGTCTTCGGTATTCGCTCTGCGGCCTGCGCTCTTGCGGCTGGTAACACGACTATCCTTAAATCTTCGGACCTCACGCCCCGCTGCTACTGGGCCATTGGGCGCGCGTTCGAAGATGCCGGCCTCCCCCGCTGGCTGTCTTAATATTATCCACTGCGCTCCGCAGGATGCCGCTGAGGTTGTCAATACTATGATTGAGCACGAGGCTGTGCGCAAGATTAATTTCACTGGTAGCACGGCGGTTGGTCGGAAGATTGCGCGTGCGTGCGGTCAGAATCTCAAGCCTTGTCTGATGGAGTTGGGTGGGAAGAACAGCTCGATTGTCTGTCATGACGCTAATTTAGAGACTGCCGTGCAGGGCGTTCTTGCAGGTGCATTTTTGAACGTAAGTTTCGAGACTCTTTGGGTTTTACTGCGTATCTTAATATGGCCCATCTGCACTCCCATCCCCCGAAAGCCATTGCTCACCCGCCTCCTTCCCGTGTCTAGTCTGGCCAAATCTGCATGGCAACCGACCGCATCCTCGTCCACTCTTCAATTCTTCCGGCTTTCACAGAGGCCCTGAAAAAGGCCCTGGCAGCAGGTGCCGAAGCCTCATCCCTGCCCCCCACACTGGTTAATACAGCATCGAAGACCCGCGTCGAAGCCCTAATTTCCAGTGCCGTATCAGCAGGCGCTCATTTTATCTCCGGGTCTGCGGACAGCGTACCCCTCGAATCGGGAGTGCGCATGGCACCCGCCGTCTTGGGCGGCGTCAAGGAAGACATGGCACTGTGGCAGGAGGAATCATTTGCCTCTGTAGCAGCGTGCATGCCCTTTGACCGCGAGGACGAAGCCATTCGCCTTGCCAATGGGAGTGGCTATGGGCTGTCGGCGTCAGTGTTCACGGAGGATCTACGGAAGGGCTTGGCGATGGCCAGACGGATTAAATCTGGGTAAGTTCTCCAGAGTTCTAGCCTTTGTGGTTCCAATCCTGGGTATTAGTGGATCTGTGGATCTGATGAACTGACTTGATTGCAGGGCTGTACACATTAACAGCATGACGATCCACGATGAGCCTGCTCTTCCTCATGGCGGTGTGAAGAACAGTGGCTGGGGTCGGTTCAATACTGATGAGGGGTTGAATGAATTCTTGGTTACGAAGAGTGTGACCTGGATGGATTGAGGAGCTTGAATATTTGAAGTATAGCGTTAGCGTTGAGCTCTCTTTGAATCCCGGAGTCTTGTTTGGCTAGATGTCTGCGGTGTAGGTGTAGGTTTGGAGGCTGTCCTCGGCATCATTTTTGCATTCTCCCCGGAAGCCGCATACTCAGAATCGATCCAAAAAAATGTGCAATCAATTATCTCGATGCCTTTATATCAAGTGTGATCTTTTGTGGTGAAGTGAAGTCGAAGCTCTTCTTTATACTCCGTGCTATGCGAAGCTTCATCGGCTTTTGATATTCACGGAATGACATCATCGTCCCGCTGTGGCAATTCCGATCCCCGGATTAGGTCAGCTCCACTAATTTCTCCACCAATCAAAGCCCGTACATTCTTCAGCCGACTCGCCTTTGTCTGCCTGTGTGACCGCGTGATCTTGTTTGAAGGTTATTGCAGCCGCGCAGCGTGTTGAATACCTTACAAAAGTGTACTGAATATACGGAGAGTGTTTATGGGAGACCTCATGGGCCCATCCTAACAACGTGCTTTCTCCTCATCCCTGCATGCTCGCAGCTAGACCGATTCGGAAACTTCGGACCGCGTTTGTTATTCCGAGGTTCACAGTTCACACTGTACTGTAATGACCGAGGAAGCCGGAATTCATACAATCATACGAGCTTCCAGTGATTTGAAAACAGCCGGTTTATGATACTGATTCCGTTGTATTTTCCGACCGTATCTGCAGTCCTATTTCCTTGCGTTTTCCCTTGAGGGACCTGGCGTTCGAAGCTGTGGAATGTGCAGATGACCCAGGCGCATGTGAAAATGTAACTTGGTTCTAGGCTATTATTATGTTCTCGTCTTATCAAAATGATATCGCATGTGATCCCTTTCCAATATCCCCAGATATTTTGTAACACAGCAGACGAACCAGCGTGGGCCAATTAGTATTGCAGCGGATACCCCCAATACCCCGTCTTAGACTTTCCCCACGCTGTCCTCTCTGTGCCTCGGCCGATAAACCGTCGGCTTCTGACCTGGAAATAATCATTGCCCCGGATTGCCTTTAAGACCCCATCCTCCCTCCCATTTTTTTCTCCATCCTCTATCTTCTCCCCTTTTGCCTCTACACATCACATAATGGCAGCACCTCAAGTAATTGTGGTCGGTGGTGGCCGTAAGCATCCTCTCCCCGCATTCTCTCCCGCCTCAGCTGACCCTCTCCAGTCTCCGGCCTCAGTGCCGCCCACACCGTCTACCTCAACGGCGGTAACGTCGTCGTTTTGGATAAGCAGGCCTTCTTCGGTGGTAACTCCACCAAGGCCACTTCCGGTATCAACGGTGCCCTCACCCGCACCCAGACCGACCTCGGCATTCAGGACAGCGTCAAGCAGTTCTACGATGATACCCTCAAGTCGGCTCGTGACAAGGCCCGTCCCGAGCTGATCAAGGTCCTGACCTACAAGTCCGCTGCCGCCGTTGAGTGGCTGCAGGATGTCTTCAACCTCGATCTCACCCTCGTCTCCCGTCTCGGTGGCCACACTCACCCCCGTACCCACCGTGGTCACGATGCCAAATTCCCCGGTATGGCCATCACCTACGCCCTGATGGTGCGATTGGAAGAACTCGCCACCAAGGAGCCCGGTCGTGTCCAGATCATCAAGAAGGCCAACGTCACCTCCGTCAACAAGTCCGGCAACCACGTTACCGGTGTCACCTACACTGTCAACGGTGAGGAGAAGTCCATCGACGGTGTCGTCGTCCTGGCGACCGGTGGTTACGCTGCCGACTTCAGCGAGACCTCCCTCTTGAAGAAGCACCGCCCCGACACCTACGGCCTCTCCTCCACCAACGGCACTCACGCTACCGGTGACGGTCAGAAGATGCTGATGGCCATCGGTGCCAACGGCATTGACATGGACAAGGTCCAGGTTCACCCCACTGGTCTCGTCGACCCCAAGGACCCCAACGCCAAGTTCAAGTTCTTGGCTGCTGAGGCCCTCCGCGGTGAGGGTGGTCTCCTCCTGAACTCCGACGGCCAGCGCTTCTCCGACGAGCTCGGCCACCGTGATTACGTGTCCGGTAAGATGTGGGAGGAGAAGGAGAAGGGCAAGTGGCCCATCCGCCTTGTCCTCAACAGCAAGGCCTCCAACGTCCTCGACTTCCACACCCGTCACTACTCCGGCCGTGGCCTGATGAAGAAGATGACCGGTGCCGAGCTCGTCGCCGAAATTGGCTGCGGCGAAGCCGCCCTCAAGAAGACCTTCGATGAGTACAATCTCATCGCCGAGGGCAAGAAGAAGGACCCCTGGAACAAGCGCTTCTTCCACAACATGCCCTTCAGCCTGGACGACGAGTTCCACGTCGCCCTCATGGAGCCCGTCCTCCACTTCACCATGGGCGGTATCGAGATCAACGAGCACGCCCAGGTCCTCAACGCCGAGAAGAAGCCCTTCGAAGGCCTCTACGCCTGCGGTGAATTGGCCGGTGGTGTCCACGGTGCCAACCGTCTCGGCGGCTCCTCCCTGCTCGGCTGTGTCGTCTACGGCCGTGTCGCCGGTGACTCCGCCTCCCAACACCTGTTCCAGAAGCTCATCACCTCCGGCTCCTCCGCCGCCACTTCCCGTCTCGGCCAGATCTCCCTGCACATCGATCCCACCACCCCCGGCAAGTTCTCCGTCGAGTGGGGCGGTGCCGCCCCCGGCGGCAGCCTGCCTGCCCTCGCCGCTCCCGCCGACACCCCCGCTGCGGCTGCTTCCGGTGCCGCTGCCACCACCGAGGAGGCCGTCGCCAAGCCCGACCCGGCCAACTTCAAGATCCCGGAGACCGAGTACACCATGGAGGAAGTCGCCAAGCACAACAAGAAGGAGGACCTCTGGATCGTCGTCAAGGGCGTCATCCTCGATGTCACCAACTGGCTCGATGAGCACCCTGGTGGCGCTAACGCCCTGTTCAACTTCATGGGCCGCGATGCTACCGAGGAGTTCGCTATGCTCCACGATGACGAGGTCATTCCTAAGTACGCTGGTCACATTGTCATTGGCCGTGTCAAGGGCCAGACCCCCAGCCTGGAGCTGTAAGGGCTTATAATCCCTTGTTTCTACTATAAATCCTCATGTCCCTCTTCCGCCTCCCTGACGACCGCTCCTCTACGACGAAATAAGATCCTCTAGCGTGTGATCTTCTCATACCCCCGTTTCGTCTCTTTTCTGTTGTTGTCGTGTTTGCTTTGCGCACACGCTTGTTCCTTGATCTCGCTTGGGGTATAGATTCCCGGTCGACGTTTGTTTCTTCGTGTAACATACATAAGATTGTCTTTGAAATATTTTCAACATGAATCTTGGTCTAGTAGTTGTACTTAATCCTAGCCTCCTAGGTCTTGCTTTTTCTAGTTCTAAGCTGCCGAAGGCATTGTCTAACTACCTACGTGTAGGACAGTTGGTGTCTACGCACAAAGCCCCTGCACTTGTCCTACCCAGTCAAATCCTAGACATCCCGATCATAGGTTACCGAGGGGAATCGGTGCCGAGATAGTTCCATTGCTGGTCGGTCCACGGTCGACTCGGGATGGACACGTGCATAACGCTACATCTGACAAAGGGGTATACGGTCTCTGTGCCTCCAGGGCTGATGCCTTGATGCCGAGGCCTCTCTTCCGAGCAATAAAAGTACATTCTAGGTACCTATAGGTAAAGAAGTGCACCACCACATGGGCCCTAGCAGTCTAATATTTACAAACTGTGGTAAACACACACATGACCAGGGTATATCAAGCTCCCCCCTTCATATGCTCCAAAATCATCTTCAACCTCCTAACAGCCGGCCCATCCACCCCGCCCCTCCCCCTCAGGCCTTGTCTCCTCAATCTCCGCCTTCGCCGCCTCAAGCACCGGCTCCAAGTATCCCCAAACCTCATCATGATACCTCTCATGCACACCAACCCAATCCCCCGCCCCCGGCAACCTATTCAGCACATTATCCCGAAGCGAAGTCGCTCCCGACCCCGTACCCGCAAGTCCAATCCCCGCCCCCTCCTGACTAAGAAACGTATCGATATCCGGCACAAGACTAGCACCCGTAATCCTTGCAGGCCGTGCATCCTCCACATCCTGTCCGTCAGGACCTAGACCAAGCCCCCGTCGGAAAGAATCAAGAGCTTCCAGCTCAGCCGCTGAAAGCGGCGCCGGGGCAGCGGATATATCCAGTTCGGTATCGTTGATTGTAACCGGGTCTTCGAAGTTCGGGTCGAATGTAGAATCGGATAGGAGGTGGACGACGGCTGACCCGTCGGTGTCTAGCTGTTCTGATTGTATGTTGTGTTGTTGACGTTGCCAGGCTGTTTCGAATTGGAGTTGTGTTGGGTCTTGGCGGGCTTTGCCTTTCCAGGGACCGGTTGTTGTTTGGAGGTCGTAGGGTGCGGCTTCGTTTGGTCTTGTAGTTGGGTCTGACTGTAACAGGCCGGACTCGTAGGCGGTTCCGCTTTGGAATTCTTCCTCTGTCAGTGGCGATAGCCCGAAGGAGGTTGTTGCATCGACATCTTCGCGGAAGGTCTCCGGTCTGGATGGGCCGTGGGATGTGCTGGGGGCTTGGGAGGGGGCGGAAAGGTCCCGGGCTGTTTGGAGGTGGGTTGTTGATAGGGAGAAAGAGGAGGAGGAGGGGGCTGGCTTGCTAGATGTGCTGTTTGCGAGGGTTTGGGCTGTGTCTGTTGAGGGTTGGAAGGCGCTTCGGGCGAGGCCGGCGGCGGAGGATTGGATGCGGGTTGCTAGGGAGGGGGTTTTTGAGGGGTTGTGCGAGGTAGAGCTGGATTGGCTTTGGTTGTTGGTGCTGGTGCTGGAGCTTTGCGGGTTGGTGTTTGGATTGGGATTGGGGGGATTGCCCCGCATGTTCTCTTCGGACATTGCTGGGGTATGGTAGTGGTTCTTCTGTGTCGGGTTTTGAAGGTCGGGGTTGGCGAGAGAGATTGTAGAGGGTGTGGTATTGGGCTGAGCTGGAGATAGGTCGTCTGAAATTGAGTTGGAGCTGTTTCGGGTTCCTGGTAGGGTTGAGCTTCGGGATGCCTAGGCCGCGGAACATGTGAAGGTCGACCGAGTTGGGTGTCGATTGGACAATGGGATTAGAGGACATTGTGCTAAATATTTGGGGTAGCTGCATGGGTTTTTACAGATGCAGAGACATAACCAATGTCCAATTCATGTTAAGTCGGACTAGATTCTACCTTAGGTAGGAATGGATATTCAACTATTCCATTCCATGGAGGCTGGAATATATTCACAGTACTAGATACTTGCCCCAGGTGCCTATGAATAGGTAGGTTAGGTATACCTAGATCTTTTTAAGGTATTGGCAGAAAATGAAGGAGATAAACAGTTCCTGGAGCAAATGCCCAATAGTACTCTTTGGGCAGCTTCCTTCTACTCCCGTTGTCGGTTGTATACGGGTTGCAAGGCCGAAGAGGGGCCATGTTACAGTCACTGGCAGTGTTGATGTCAGCGTAAGTACTCCGACCTAAGTCTAGTCCAAAATAATCAGAAGATTCGATCTCATTTTCTGGTAATTTTAATTTATCCGAATTTTGCTTCAATATCTGTGTAGAAGGTGATTCCAAGGTCCTGTCACTTACAGCCTCCGTAACGAACTCTTCTCCCACCACCGCCTCAACTCACACCTCTTTCTTTCTTCATCATACTCCCCACTTCACAACCATCCCCCTCCTTCCAACTCGACTCTTGATTTTCTGAGTCTTTTTTCTTTTCTTTCAATCTACCTAGGCCACCTGTTACTCCACGTAAGTTTTCCTCGTCTGATTCCGTCCCCTCTCAAGCTCTTCCTGCGGGCCCACCCCATAACAAGCACGTTCTCTGTTCCATCGGCCCTCAGCTACGCCATCTCATTTAACAGCTTTCTAACAGCTATTCTACAGCTCTCCTTCCCGGCCTGGATCGTAGCTGTCCCCCACTTCTCCCCCTGCCCCTCTTTTCGCCTTACCGCCATCCGCCCTCGAGACCCCTCGCACACCATCTCCGGTGACCGACTGTTCTCTCCATTTCCGATTTCTGCAATTGCCACTTCCCGACCGACTTACTTTCGTGTCGGCAATCGCATCGTCATCACATCATCTCATCTCGGTTTTTCTTTGCATCGTCAATAGAGCTTCCGGAGACATTCGCCATCCCGCCTTTCCCTCCTTCCTATCTTGATCTTGCCCTTGTCGCGTTCAAGGGCTAGCTAGAACGAGAAAATGGTCGATAGAGATCCAGGCACACCTACCTGGAAGTTCACACAGTAAGTTCACTTGGTTCCCATCGTTTCTGCCAGATCGTCCTACGCTTTACAAATTTATTTTACTCTGCAAATTAAGGCGGTCGATGCGACGTCACCATATTCATCGATCCACAACTGACTGGATTGCAGATGCTTCGGCGATAAAGGCGATGTAGAAGACATTACAGAAGGTAATTGCCAACATATCTCGCTCCCTTCGGCCGAACCTGGCCCATCCCTACAGAGTGCATCGACTGACACGCGCTCTCCAGCGGACATCATTTCGACCGTCGAATTCGATCACACCGGAAACTATCTCGCGACTGGTGACAAAGGAGGAAGAGTGGTGCTGTTCGAGCGAAATGAGACGGTAGCCCACCCCTCCTGCTCGAATTCAAGTTTTTCTCTTCTTATCTGGCCTGGCTAACTAATGGATCACTCAGAAAAAAACCTGCGAATATAAGTTCCACACCGAGTTCCAGTCACACGAGCCGGAGTTCGATTATCTCAAGTCGCTAGAGATCGAGGAGAAAATCAACAAGATAAAATGGTGCCGACGACAGAATGCATCCCATTTCCTTCTCTCGACAAACGACAAGACGATAAAGCTGTGGAAGGTGTTTGATAAGTCGCTGAAAGTGGTTGCAGAGAACAACTTATCGAATGAACTTACTCCAGCAAACTCTGTCGGGGGCGGGGGTATGGCTCGCGCACCCCGCGTCTCCTTCAAGGACCCCTCCGCACTCAAGCTTCCTCGTCTGACACACCACGACACTGTCGTTGCTGCTGTGCCACGCAGAACATACGCCAACGCTCACGCCTACCATATTAATAGCATCTCCGTCAACAGCGATGGCGAAACCTTTATCAGCAGCGACGACCTCCGAGTGAACCTATGGAATCTTAACATCCAGGATCAGAGCTTCAACATTGTGGACATTAAGCCAGCGAATATGGAGGAACTTACCGAAGTTATCACAGCAGCTGAATTCCACCCAATCGGCTGTAACTGGTTCATGTATGCCAGCTCCAAGGGCACGATCAAGCTTGCCGATATGCGGCAACGTGCCCTATGCGACGAGCACGCCAAGCGTACGTATTACTGGGGGTGGTGCTGTCATTATCTTACTAACAGTTATATGCAGTCTTTGAACAAGAAGAGGATGCGTCGTCTCGTTCCTTCTTCTCCGAAATCATTTCCTCTATCTCCGACGTGCGTTTTTCCAACGATGGACGGTACATCGTGTCAAGAGACTACTTGACGGTGAAAATTTGGGATGTCAACATGGAACGTCAACCCGTCAAGACCATTCCCATCCACGAGCACCTGCGTCCTCGACTCTGCGACACCTACGAGAACGATAGCATCTTCGACAAGTTTGAGGTGGTCTTCTCTGGAGATGCCCAGAACGTCATGACCGGTAGCTACAACAACAACTTCATGATCTACCCCACAGAAGAACAGAAGGATACAGAGATTGTGCTCCAGGCAGACAAATCGGCATTTAAGGCAAAGAAGGTCGGTGTACCGACGCCGATGGGCAAGGGTGGAAAGAAGGCCGGCTCGCGATCAGGTAGCCCTGCTGGGCCCGGCAGTCGTATGAAGAAGGAGACCGACGCCGACCAGATTGACTTCAACAAGAAGATCTTGCACATGAGCTGGCATCCTTTCGAGGACAGCATCGCAATTGCGGCGACAAACAACGTGAGTGTTTTTTGTCTCTGTCTGGCTATATACCCTAACCATGTCTGCAGCTCTTCGTCTTCTCCGCCCTTTAATCGCACCAACTCGTACCGTACCGTCACGAGATCACCATCATTTTCCATGGATAGGCGCATCTGGGGTTCGGATTGGGTGGCTGTAGGGCCTCGGTGAACAGGCAAGACACGAAGAATGAAAAACCAGAAAATAATGATAACAGCAAGCCGCAGGTTCCATAATTTCAGAACCCCCCTCCCATTTCCCTCCCCTTCCTGCTCTCATTGTGGAACTCATCTGAGTTGGAGACATACTTTTTTCTTACCACTGCTCCTTCACTTGTTTTCCTTCATCTGCTGTGTATGCAGTGGGGTTGCCACAGGCGTTTGTATGGGGACTACTTCATGATAGAAAATGTCATGCCTGTCGAGGCCCTTTCCATAATTGTTGCTGCAAACGTTGATAGAGTTGGTAGCTGAGTATTGATACCCTAGAAACCTAGGTGCTAACTATAGTACAGTTGTATACATCATCTTCTTGAGTGGAGAACAAGAAAGACCCCATGGAGCATACGGAAAGAGATAAAGAGGACGTCTCTACTAATTAGGGCTCCAACAGGTCAATAGACTTTGACTGACTGACTGATTGATTGATTGATTGATTGACGTTTGGGATGCTACCAAATAGAGGCCACTCAAGTGAGTATCAATGGACAACCCTGGCCCTCCGCCCTCCGCCCCTTTCCGAGGTTTGAGAAGCGAGAGATATTTCCAGCCACCAGAGCGGTAACCCTACTTTAGGCAGGTCATTGTCAATGCAAAAAGGCTATCTTACACAATGTCAATTGTCAAATAGGCTCAGGCTTATTCAGACTATTCATCTTTATTCATGACTGGTACCATTCACCCTGTTGACTTGTTGACTCAATGCCATCATGTTTTTCTGCCGGCAATGGCGGACGATGACGAAGGCGGACTGAATTGGGGCTATCGCACAATACCGCGCATGACCATTGTATTGACTCTTATCGGCGTGAATACCGTCAATAGATACCGTCAATAGCGTAATCAATGAAAATCTGAATACAATTCGGACAATCAAAATTCCGAATTGCATTCACTAAGCTCAATAAGGTTAGCGCACATAAAGCCTCCACTGGAGCCCGCGATCGGTCGCGCGCAATTCCATCACCCCAGTCTGTTTCTTCTCCTACATAAACCACTTCGCTTCTTCCCTGCGGTCCTCTCTTTCAGCTCTGTATCGACTGAACATCTCTCTTTCTTTCTGCAAACAGGTCATGCTGTGACTCCCAGTGCAACCCGAGTGTTGCCAGTTGAACCCTGACCCCAAGAGAGCGACAATCAGCTTCACTCGATTAGCAGACCTTGGCTTTACCCCCCCCTCGTTCGAGCTTTGATATCCGTCAAATACCTCTACTTTCATCGTCTACTCGGTTCTACATACACACACCATGAATCCAGGCAATGATAACTGGCACTCCTCTGGTGGGCCGCCGTCGCATCCTGGCATGGATCAAATGAACCAGCCGCCTCGGCCCCTGGGCTCATTTAGGTATGAACGATCATCCATGGTTGAGAATGACTTGATCCCAGAGACTAATCGGACATCTTTGCGTTTCAACAGTCAGAACCCCGCTCAGCAAGGCCAGGCTTCACAACCCTCTGGCCCTGTTCTCCCGCCTCCAAGCGGTAAGTTCTTCTTGGTGCACCAATGGATTTTCTTGTGTCAATCCAGTGTTTAGAGAAGTATGTTTGTACTGACTTGTGAAGGCCCTTATCACCCTAGTCAGTCAGGCGGCCATTCCCTCCCCGGGCTAGCAGAATTGAGCCAGACCCACGGGGGTCCGCACCAGCCTTCCGCGTACGGCCAGCACCCAGCCGGCCCTTCCCACAACAGCGGCCATTCCCTTCCCGGTATTGGTCGAGCCATGCAACATGCGTCGCCGCAACTCAATCGTGAGCGGGAGCGGGACTCCCGGGAGCGAGAAATCATCGAGCGACAGCGTCAGGAAGAAATGGCTCACCGCGAGCGTGAGCGGGAGCGCGATCACCGTGAACAAATCGAAAGGCAACTCGATCGCCGTGATCCACAACATCACCCTGTCCAGAGCCATACTGGCTCGATTCCTCTGCATCAGCCCGTGGCCAATAAAGTGCCCAACTCGATCCATGGCCCTGGTGGACTTCTCTCGACCCTGGGCGGAAACCCGCAGAATAGTCACCAGGGCGGACCCCAGTCTGCTGCTGGCTTGTTCGGGCCTCAAATGCAACATGGCGAAGGTACACCCCGCTCATACATGCAGCACCCTGGTGGTCCTCCTGGACAGCCTATGATGGGGTACAATGCAGCTGGACAGCAGATTCCTGGCAATGTTGCAGCTCTTGCCCAGGGCCAGCAGCCAATTCTCAATGATGCGCTTAGCTACCTTGACCAAGTTAAGGTACGCTTCGTTGACCAGCCTGATGTCTACAACCGATTCTTGGACATCATGAAGGATTTCAAGAGCCAGGCGATCGATACTCCCGGTGTGATTCAACGCGTGTCAACGCTCTTCAATGGTCACCCCGCCCTTATTCAGGGCTTTAATACCTTTTTGCCCCCAGGATACCGCATTGAGTGTGGTACGGAGGACAACCCTGATGCTATTCGTGTGACCACCCCGTCTGGCACGAACACACTCAGCATGCCGCGTGCAGGACGGCCCTTCGAGACTATCACCAACCCACCTCCATCGAGCGATCCGCACGGTCGTTCCGACCTTTATCGTGACCAGTCTCGAGCTGGTTGGCAGCAAGGACAACAGCAGGATCAACAGCAAGGACCTGCCCCAGGATCGTACTCTCCTGGTTCTCGAATGATGGGTATGTACCCACAGGATGGTCCGGGACCTGCTCAGGATCACCATTACGGCTACCCCACCCAGCAGGAACAGCAAGCTGCATCCGCCATGACACATCAGCAAGATCACCGCGGTGTGGCGCAACTTCAAGGCGCTGCGTCAGCAGCTTCTGCTGGTCTGGCCAGATCCTCTCTCATGGGAGTCTCTGGTGCCGGGCCTAATGCTAGCCTCACTCAGCCCATGAACAACTTGGCTGGCGTCGGAACCGGTATGCTCCAGGGCGCCCAGGATCTAAACAAGCGTGGTCCCGTGGAATTCAACCACGCCATCAGCTATGTGAATAAGATCAAGAACCGTTTTTCGAGTGCGCCCGAGATCTACAAACAATTCCTCGAGATACTCCAGACTTACCAGCGGGAGTCGAAGCCTATCCAGGATGTGTATGGGCAAGTCACTCAGTTGTTCAACACCGCGCCTGACCTCTTGGAGGATTTCAAGCAATTCCTACCGGAATCTGCTGCACACGCAAAACAGGTTGCTGCGCAGCGCCAGGCTGAGGAGCAAGCTCCTCTGAGCAATCTTCGGAGTGAACCTCCCGGGTTCATCTCTCAGACACCAAACCGGGATGTGAAGATGCCCCCCCTTGGCCAGTTTAATGTTAAAGACTCTAAGGAGAGCAAGAAGCGCCGCGGGGGCGCAGGTGGTGTCGGCTCCTCTATCTCAGGACCTGCCGGTGCAGACGCTGCTCGCTTTGCTGAGGTGAACAGAGGCGCAGGGCAGTTCGGAAATGCCAGCAAGAGAGCGAAGTACAACAATGGAAAGCCCTCCGTTGATATGGCGAATGTTTCGCCCACTCTGATTCCTGCTCTGCCAGAGCCTCTTCCTCCCTTGGTTTCAATGACTCCCAGCCAGGAAGAGATCGCGTTCTTCGACCGCGTCAAGAAGTTTATTGCCAACAAGCAAGTCTTCAGCGAATTCCTCAAAACCTGCAATCTGTATACCACAGATCTTGTTACTCGTTCCGTTCTTGTCAGTCGAGCGGAAGGATTCATCGGCTCCAACGCTGAGCTGATGAACTGGTTCAAGCGGTTCATGAACGTGGAGGAGCCAGAGGATAAGACTATCGATCCCAAGGCGAATCCGGAGTCTGGTATTGTCAATCTGGCTCATTGCCGGTCTTTAGGACCCAGTTATCGACTTCTTCCTAAGCGAGAACGTCAAAAGCCCTGCAGTGGTCGCGACCATCTTTGCAACTCCGTTCTCAATGACGACTGGGCCTCACATCCCACTTGGGCCTCGGAAGATTCTGGTTTCGTTGCTCACCGCAAGAACCAGTACGAAGATGCTTTGCATCGGATTGAAGAAGATCGTCACGATTACGACCACTACATTGAGTCTTGTGCTCGAACCATCCAGCTGATTGAGCCTATCTGCCAGCAGTTCTTGTCCATGACCGATGAGGAACGGGCCAAATTCGAGTTGCCTGAAGGTCTCGGTGGTCAGAGCGTGGCGATCTACCAGCGTACCATCAAGAAAATCTACGATCGCCAACGAGGCCAGAAGGTGATTCGGGAAATGTTTGCTGATCCATGCCTCGTCCTTCCCGTCGTCCTTTATCGTTGCAAGCAGAAACTCGAGGAATGGAAGTCTTGCCAGCGCGAGTGGGACAAGGTCTGGCGCGAACAGATGCAGAGAGCATACTGGCGCAGTCTCGATCACCAAGCCATCGCTACCAAGCAATCCGAGAAGAAGCTCTTCGCGACGAAGAATATACAGCAAGAAATACAAAGCAGGTTCGAGGTATCGGAATCCGCTCGCAAGAGCGGATGGAACCCGCCGTCGTATCAGGCTGAGTTTTTCTTCAGCGACATCGATGTCCTCTTGGACTGTGTCTACTTGCTCATTGTGTATTTCGACCGAAACACCAATGGCTTTGGCGCTGATCCTCAGCGACTGATCAATTTCATCAGAGATTTCATCCCTGCTTTCTTCGGCCTCGACCGTCAAACTTTCAACATGTTCGTTGATGAAGTTTACCTTTTGATCACTGATGAAGACAATTACGATGATGTTCCGGCCGGAAGCCGCAAGTTGAACACGCAGAAGCTGGATCTCCTGCGTGAGGCTCTTGTGACTGGAACTGCGGCCGAGAAGCCCGCTTTCGAAGATGTGGATATGGATAATCATAATGAGACCCCTGTTGTCCGGGCTCATTCTCACATCTCCGAGTCGGAGGACACCTTCGATGTGGCCGAACTGCGGTGGATGGAGCACCCTGGAAAGGGCAATTTCAATGTTGAGCAAGAGTACACACTCAACGAGAAGTACAAGAAAAAGGAGCACCACATGTACAGCAACTTGAACATCTTCTGCTTCTTGCGTACGTTCGAAATCCTTTACTCGCGTCTTGTGAGCATCAAGGAGCAGGAACAGTCGGCCCACGAACAGGTTCGACGCGGTCAAATGCCCAAAGCCGCCCACGACTTGTGTCTGATCGACCGATTCCCCACTGACTTTTTCTATGATATTGGTCCGGATGCCAACCTTTACAAGCAGGTTGTCCGCATGTGCGAAGAGGTGATCAAGGGTGACATCGATCAGATCCAGCTGGAGGAGACCCTCCGTCGCTTCTACATGCAGACCGGATACCTCCTGTACCATCTGGATCGCATCTTCTCTTCGATTTCAAAATTCGTTGCTTCAATCTTCACAGGCGATGCCCGAGACCGCAGCTCGGATATCATCAACTTGTTCTTTAAAGAACGTGAGAAGGAAACCACCACTCACGATCAAGAACTACAGTACAGGAAACAAGTCGAGCGGCTTGTTAAAGAAGGGGACGTCTACCGCATCACCTTCGTGAGTGCCCATTTCCTATACCCTGCTTACCCTGGCACCAGCTAACCTCCTTCACAGTTCCCTGCCAACCACCGTGTCACGATTCAAATCCTGACAAACGAGGACGCAACGCTCGATACCAACGCCCTGACCCCCGAGGAGCGTTGGTCCTACTATGTCAACGCGTATTCAATGCGCGACCCGACCGAGGGCGTTGAATTCGGCAGAATGCGGATGCCATTCCTGAAGCGGAACCTCCCGCCCAAGTTGGATGAAGAGGAGGAGTACGACCGGTACTATAGTACCCTCCAGCACCACGACGGGCTCACGATTCGCATCTGCGCGAACAACTACACCTTGCTCTACCAGCCAGATACCCACGACTGGTTCTGGCGTTCCAGCGCGCCGGTCGTCGACAAGGACGCCGACGCGGACGCCGTCAAAGCTCAGGCCGAGCAGGCGAAGAAGGAGGCCGCCGCCCTCCGCGAGAAACGCCATGATCGCTTCTCCGAGAAGTGGGTGAACAACCCCGCCTGGGCTCGCGGGCTTAGCAAGGACGAAGTGGATGAGGCGAACCAGCGCTTCCGCTCCTGGGTTGCTGGCTCCGGCGGCGTGGATGGCCCTACGGCCGCATCCGAGGGAGCTTCGGCCCCGGCTGGCCAGGATGTGGAGATGGCTGAGTAGGTGTGGTGTTCGGGGGTTGGGAGGGGATGGCGTTTGGTTTTCGTATTTTTTAGCATGTATGAGTAGTTGCTTTTCTTTCCCTATCTTTATTCGAATTGTTTTGAGTGTTGTATCTCTCTCCATTCTACTTGTATCGGACGTCAGTTGTAGTCTACACATTTCCTCGATACCTTTCTATCCTATCTCCACTTCATGCGCATTTGCCCAAAATCTACAAAGCAGACAGAGTTACCAGAGTATCGGAAGATTTATCGGAATAGCGTCTTTCCGCATAACTTGACCTATCTTCCATCTGACTAAAATGTCCTTCCTTTCATCATTCATTAGATCGACGAAACACCTTCGAGAACCACATTTGTTATTCTTTCTCTGGATATCATGGCAGCAGTCCAAAGGCTAAGCGAATCGATCTATACATTTCCTTCTATAACCGATCACACGCTAGATGATATTGAAAGTCTCTGTCATCTAGATAACGGTCATGATCGACGCGTTCCGTGTTACGGACTTGGACCGTTAGAAGTCGTGCCTCTGGAAATCCTTCAAATGATCATTCTACAGCTTGATTTTCAGTCAATAACACATTTTCGACGCGTCAACAGACGAGCAAGGCTGGCCGTGGACCAGGTCCCGCAATACAAACAAATCATTATGCACGTGCCAGCCTCGATCCGAGGATGTCTCAGCATCAGAACTGGATCTTCTTTTTCATGCCAAGATCTATATGATAAGCTGCGTATAGCTCATTGTGACAGCTGTGGTGACTTTGGTGGCTACCTATACCTTGTCACTTGTCGTCGCGTTTGTTTTCTCTGCTTTACCGAGATGACCGACTACCTGCCACTCCTACGAAGCGACGTGATCCGGAAATTTGGACTTCGCTCAGAACATCTAGCAAAACTTCCTTCTTTCAAGAGTGTTCCTGGTCGCTATTCATCCCGCGGAATCAAATGTCGCCGTCGAATCACTTTATTTGATCATTCTGCTGCACGTGAGGCAGGACTCGTTGTGCACGGCGACAGCGTTTCAATGAAGCAATACACATCAGAGAGACTTATTAAGAAACTTGAAATCCACCGGTCTCGAAAGGCGACATCCACAGGACCGAAACAGCGGCTGCCCAGGTCTGAAGACTCGTTTGACGGGTTTTCATCTAATCCGCTACGTTTCATGGCAATTATTCGAGCGCCAGTTCTTCATGCTCGCGTGGCAGAACCAGAATGGGGGTTTCATTGTACTGCTTGCAAACCTCATCATTACGGCCGTCCACTACATTGGCGCCGAAAATATACGACGGAGAGCTACCGGGATCATATTAGAGAGTGTGGAGAGATCATTGGCGGCAAGCACAAGCCTGAGTCCTGAGTGAACTGGTGAAAAATGAAGAGTTGATTTCAGAGTTAACTTGAAGATCACCATCGCAGGAGCTGCAGAGCCTGACGCTCGCTTTGAACTTTGCTAGTTTGATATACCTCGATGGCGCTTCCCATCCGTTGGCGGTATCTCAGACTCTGCCCTATCTGCGCATTTCGTCCTTGCCAACACATGGAGGTGTGTTGGTGTGCTTGGTACGATTATTAAAGCGCATGTTCAGCCTTCAGACGGTCAGACCTTCGATCAGGAAGTATCCAATTAGGCTTGACGCGCTAAAAGCCTGGGAGAATATCATGTGAAAAGGTCTGAGGGTACTGAAGTAATGTGCACTACTACTCGACTAACTATGTACCTAGTTATGTACACAGTGAGATGCGTACTCCGTGGTTGTCAGCCAATAAGGCAACGGTTCAGCTAGTGCGTTGAACGGCCAATAGTAGTATTTTTTGGCGCCAGGGATCAGGCAGGGGCCCAGGGGGTATTCTCCTGGCTTATTCGGTTCTTTTAATCCCACTGAATATAAACGAAAGCACGGCTACGATCACCCTTCATACGACATACACTTTCTCTGTCTACTTCCAAGCTCGACAATATGAACAACCCAATCGAATTGCTCCAAGCAGAAGCCGACGAAAATGATCAGAGTTACTTTCGCCTCCTGGTCAACGGCCGCATAAAATATGTCACAATAGACCCCGGTCTCTACAATGTCGAAGATATGTGTTTCGGTCCATCACTGATCTCCCTTCTCCCCCTCTACCAACTGGCGAATGGAATCTTGGACTGGTGGCCAAAAACGAAAATGGCCAACCGCACTTCGCCTCTGCAACCCAGACCGCTTTTCCCAGCGTCCAGAATGTCTGGCACGAAACCTCTGTTGAATACACAGAGCTCGAAGTCGGGGAGAAGTTACGAACGGGTATTTACGAAGTCAAATGCCATCTCTTCAACGAGCCCGTTGTGATTAAATTCGCCCGCTTCGACTGGGAAATCCAATATCTAGAGAATGAAACCACGGCCTATCAATGGATTGAGGGCTATGAGATTGGTCCGCGGTTTCTTGGCCATTTGAGAGAAGATGGTCGTGTTATTGGATTCTTGATGGAACGTATTAAGGATGCTAGACATGCTGGGCCGCAGGACCTGGAGGCTTGTCGGCAGGTTTTGGCGAGATTACATGACCTGGGGATTCATCATGGAGATACGAATCGGTTTAACTTTCTTGTTCGTGGTTCAATGGCTGTTTTGATTGATTTTGATTCGGCGAGGAAGTGTGATGATCGAGATGCGCTGGTGAGGGAGATGGAACTCTTGCCAGATTCTCTAGGGGATTTATCGCGGGGAGGGGGTGGAGGACTTCTTTGATCAGTGCCCGTTGACCAAGTGGTCCAAGTTGTCTGAATGAACAAAGTGAGAAGACTAGGCAGTCTGGGTGGAAGGGAAAAAAACTACTGTCAGTACCCGAAGGGATTGAGAGACTAATAATGACCTCCTCGCCGTTTGACAGCATGGATAGGAACATGTAGCCCATGTATTCGCACATAGATACATCAACCCTTGTCCTCCCTTGGACAGGCTCATTTGTTCAAAGATTTATCTCGTAGACTCGTATGAGATCTATCATCATTCATCATTGTCAGAGCCCACGTGACCTCACTTTCACCTGACCACTGTTTCTCCCACAGTCCTTCCCATTTCTCCTTTCTCCTCAGTGCATTTAGGATACTAGAATACACATGTTATCTTCCAGTACCTTCCCATAGGTTATGAGCGCCGTTTGCCGCTGAAGCTATTCAACACTGGAGAACTTCATCCTTGAGACAATCGGTTTTCCCACTACCTCCCTCATAAGGGGTGCAGCACCACACCCCGCCCCTGAATTGTGAACCCGCAACACGAAGCGAACCCACAATCAAGCCCCGATGCGTGACAGCCTGACAGGCAAGGCGGTGTGCCAGGTCAATCGAAATTGGCTTGGGTAGGTTTGCTTTGTTAACCGCGTACGCTGTTGAGTCGGACAGAAGAGTCATGTTGCACGCAAGCATATGTTGATACTTAGCGGTGCCTTGACAGTTCAGCCAGAAGTGTTCGCCCTCGCGCCTGGCATATGCGATGGTCTTAGATCCGACGTTGAAAGACATCATGCTGCCTTTCATGACAAGGGTGATCTGAGCATTATCGAGAGCAGATACAGATATCAGGCTCAATTTCAGGCGCGGTGCGAGCCATTCCCTGAACTGCCAAGGCACGGCCAAGAACCAACATATGCTTGAGTGCAACATGACCCTTCTCTCCAATTCAACTGCGTACGCTGTCATTAAAGACAACCTACCCAAGCCAATTTCGATTGACCGAGGGTTTCAGATTGGGCATCTGGGAGTCCAAAGCTCATAATCTTGAGATTGGCCAGCTCTTTCCGTATGGAGCCGCACAACTCTAGACTTCCCGTCCGGCATCGTAGCCTAACCAGCTTTTTGCGCGCATAACTTGCGCGATTGATCTGCTCATTCCTTCTTGCCTTGAGACGATGGCGTCGTCGACGACATCGTCACCATCCGTCTTGTTTGTTTTTTTTCCCATATATCAATCGTTCACTTAACTTTCAGCAGTCTGTCCCAAACACTTCTTCATCTTCTTCCATCCCCTCAAGACGTGTTATCTTATTATTCTCTTGCAACTGTCTAGGCGGATGGAGACATGTTATCTTCTCCTCTGCAAAATGTCGTTGTCAAAGGAATGGATGGCCGATCTGTACCGGTCGGAGATGCATGTGGTGCCGGCATTTTGCAAATGCCGCATCGCAAACAGCAAATGCATTCCCGGCATATAGATGGGACCCTGCCGGGCTCGCGATCGCATCTCCGATATCGTCAACTTGTTCTTCAAGGATCGCGAGGAGGAGACCTACCACCAGGAAATCCAGTACCGAAAACAAGTTGAGCGACTAGTGAAAGACGGCGATGTCTATCGGATCACCTTCGTGAGCGCCCATTTCCTATACCCTGCTTACCCTGGTACCAGCTAACCTCCTTCACAGGTCCCTGCCAACCACCGAGTGACAATCCAAATCCTCCTCGATAACAACGACCTGAACCCCGAGGAGAGTTGGTCGTATTATGTGACCGCATATTCGATGCGCGACCTGCCCGAGGGCGTCGAATTCGCCAGGATGCGGATGCCTTTCCTCAAGCGGAACTTGCCCACCCAAGCTCGATGAAGAGGAGGAGTACGACCGGTACTACAGTACCCTCCAGCACCACGACGGGCTCAAGATTCGCATCTGCGCGAACAATTACACCTTGCTCTACCAGCCAGACACCCACGACTGGTTCTGGCGCTTTAGCGCGCCGATCGCCGAGAAGGACGCCGACGCGGACACCATCAAAGCCCAAACATGAACCACGTGTTCTCCATAGTTCTTCTTGTCAACAACTCTCCTCATGGAGCTTTACGCTGCTTTAGCTTCGACATAGCACTGCTAGTTTGCTCTCATTTTATCGACACCATCGGACTCTCTCAATATCCCATCAGAAGTTCAGAACTCACCTGGGCTGCCCAGTGGGGATGACAAGCATGTCGTCGTTCAACAAGAATATGGTCGTCATCCCCATCACTGCTGCTAGTGATGGGGATGTGAGTACTTGGCCGGGGAGCCCATATACTCACCGGGACGACGATAGCTGGCGTCAGAAGCTGGCAGAAAATTGGGTGAAAGATGCAGGCGCTTGTCAACAAGGTGAGTCGTCTCAGATGCTCTGATATAATGAGTGTGCTTCGTCACTCGATTCCCAATGACTGATCGAAACCGATCTAGGGGATGGAAGTGGTTGCAGTGAGTGCACTTTTTGGAAGTCGGTCCTGGGAGTACGGGCGACGGCGGGCTCGTGATTGTGCGGCGATATCTCGACATTCCTGGCACTGCTTCGTTACTCGATTCCCAATGACTGATCGAAACCGATCTAGGGGATGCAAGTGGTTGCAGTGAGTGCACCTTCTGGAAGAGAAGGAGGCCGCCGTCCTCCGGGAGAAACGTCACAATCGTTTCGTGGAGAAGTGCGTGAATAACCCCGCTTGGGCTCGCGGGCTCAGCAAGGACCAGGTGGACGAGGCCAATCAGCGCTTTCGCTCCTGGGTCGCTGGCACTGGTGCTGTGGCGGGCGCTGGATCCGAGGGAGCTTCGGCCCCTGCTGGCCAGGATGTGGAGATGGCTGAGTAGGTGTGGTGTTCGGGGGTTGGGAGGGGATGGCGTTTGGTTTTCTATTTTTTAGCATGTATGAGGAGTTACTTTCACTCGTCACATCACCCTCAAAATAAAATCCTTCTTCTCCCTCCTCTTCGTTGATATCGCCCTTCTCCTGCTCGCCCTTACTATTTCACGGGCAATAATGCCGAATCACAACTTGATCAAGGCTGGACTTTTTGCGCTTCTGGGCGCGTTCTTGGCTTGCCAGGCTTGGTATAATGCTTTTGCCGGCATGGCGGATGATAGTAATAGCTTCTGATTGCCGCCTGATATTCATTTCCCCTAGTCGGAGAAGGCGGCTGCTAGACGGGATAATTTGAGGGGTCTTCTAGGGGCGCTTGGTTTCTTTGCTCATTCTTTTTATATTAGAGATATAGATGTCGGACGACTAAGAGAGCTATTAGAGAGTAGATTTGGATTAACAATATATGGATATTGTCTCCTACAGTAATGTGCCCTCGTTATATGCTACGTAGTTCAGGGCGTCGAGGACTCCGACGGGACCAGCATGAATAAAGCCAGTCCTGCAGCCTCATGCTGCCCGAGCATCGTCCTCGCTTACAGGTAATAGGTTCAGCCGACACATACCTAGCTAAGAATAATGATAATAATTTTTCATTGTGACTACATACAGGTTCTCGAACAGAATCATGAACAGACCTTAGAAGCACCCACCACCCCGTAAACACCCCGGATATCATGGTTATGCCTCTGAAAGGGAAACGAAAAAGCACCGGACAAATCATACAGAATCATCAAACAGAAAGTCTCAAAACCGACATCAAATCATACATCATAACAGAAAGCGATCTATGCAAGATCGTCCATGCCGTCGCTCTCAGTCGCGACATCATGGCCAGCCGAAGGAGGCAGCTCCGGAATATCACCAGACTCCTCATCGGTCAAGTTGCCTCCATCACCGTAACAGTCATCATCATTATTCTCAGACGCATCAGCAAGACCAGAGCTACCCAACTTACTTGTCTGTGCAATTCCACCCTTCTTCTTTCCCTTCGGGTCCGAGGACGAAGAAGTGGCCATCGCGGGAGGCTCGGACGCAGGAATCTGAGCCTGACGGCGGGGGGCAGCGTTAGACTCGCGCGCCATCCTCATGATGGCCTGCCATTTCTTGTAGTCATCGCACCGCGGAGCTGTAGGCCCGCACTCGATACCGCAGAGCTGCGTCACGCCAAGTGTTTCAAAACGACAATCGCCCCGGAACCATGTTTCGCCCGCTGGGATGCGAGGGTCGGCCTGCGCGGAGTAGTGACGGCCCTCCATGACGCCGGAGACATCGTAGTCTAGACCGCGCGTGCCGAACATCAGTTCTGCGGCGAGAGGCTCGTAGCAACGGCCGATGACGGCATCTAGGGGGATGTTGCAGCTCTCGCCGTTGGCCATTTTGTACCAAGGGCCGTAGTCGCGTATACTGAGCTGGTAGAAGGCGGTAAGTGCCTGGTCGGGGGTGAGCGGTTGAGGGTTGTCCCCGGCTGTTGGGTCGTGGAATATGCGTGAGTTGCGGACGCGTGATGGGTCGTTGGTATACCCCCGGCCAGAGAGGTGAACTGCGTAGTGCTTGGCTAGCTGCTCTGGGTCGTCGTCGATGCAGTCTATCAGGTGGAAGTGGATCTTTGTGATAACCATCACATCGGTTATCTTTGGGACTTTGCCCTGTTGGAGATCAGAGTATTCGAAGCCCTCTGGTCTGAGACGGATGGTGTCCCCGATGAAGAGTAGTTTGCTACCGATGAAGATGCCCTTGCAGTGGATACTGCAATTTCCGTCTTTGCCGGCTATGTGGTATTTACGCACAACGCTCCAGGAGGACATCACGGTCATGGCGTTTTCAATAGATGGGTGCCATTTGTCCCGGTCCTGGTCTTTGAGAAAGATTTGCCAGGTGTTGAAAGGCCTGATATTCCGCAGGGGAACGTACGCGTAGTGCTTTGAATAGGACTTGTCGTCGCCCAGAGGGTCTGGTAGAGTCTCCACGCGGAATCCAGAGTAACTCAGACCGCGTGGGTCGTCGGGTGTTTCCATAATGCCCCCAGTGTGCGTGTCCTTTTCGGGAGTTTGAGTCACTACACCTGCACGCCAATAAGGCACACGATGCCAAAGGCCATCATTGGGAAGGATTTCATAACGGCCACTCGCGGGATTGAGCTTCAGACTACCGTCTTCGAGAGTCTCCGGGATCCAGAGAACAAGCTCACCACGTCGCGGGAGCCAGGCAGGATCAAAGCTCACTTTCATGCCGTAACAGGAAATCCATTCGTGGGTCAGAACCCAGTCGAAATTCATCGGTTGCTCAGCACGTTCGTCAATCTCGCCATTATCTAGCAATTCCATGACATACAGTCGCCAGAAATCTGCGCCTTCGGCGTCGGTGGGTTGGGGCGTATTGTCGGCTGGGGGGCTTGTTAGTGTGTGACTTATTCCACTGGGGTAATGAGTACTCACATGGTGGCGGCACAGCGGTGCTTGCCACTGCCTTCACAACTGAGCCCTTTTCTTTCATTTTTGGGTAAGTGACACACAGCTTGCACGGGCAGCTGTCGAGTGTCCCCTTGACGATGGCGAGAAAATGCGGCAAGAAGGTGACACTCGAGTTGAAGGGTTTCCCACTCGGATGCCCGAATAGATAAGAATCCTGTTTCCACAAGTCCGTTAGACAGAACTAAGTTATAAAACTCAGGGAGACTCACCACGCGAGGGGTGTTACGACGAGGCAGCTGGAACAGGCGGTATCCGCCTGGTAACTTGTCGATCATGTGAGGTACTACTTTGATGGGCTTTGTCAGTCACGAAGTAGAGACACGGAACTTTCAAAGTGCGAGGAGAGGATGGAGGTGGAAAGACAAAACACAAAGGGAAACACAACAGCCGGACAGAGCATAAGCCGCAGGAACCCAGCGTGTGTGCGCGTAACAATACGCATAACTCTAAGCAAACGCAAACAGGAAGCCACAAGAACATGCACAGTAACTTACTATATCTGAGCGTCTGAGACAACTCACCTTGTTCATGTGTGCCTGTATCTTTCACCCAACTATCGGCAAGCTTCTGACGCCAGCCTTGGTCCTGACGTTGAGTATATGGGCTGGTCGGCCAAGTACTCACATCCCCATCACTAGCAGCAGTGATGGGGATTGCCAAGACGGTTGTATTCCGAGAAGACATTCGTCTTCCGCACTGCGAAGCCCAGGCGAGTGCCGATGGGCTGGCGATGGTGGTTGTTAAAAGGAGAGCAAGGGAGTGATACGTCGCAGCTAACGCTGTGAAGAGTTGTTGACAAGATGAACTGTGGAAAACGCATGCTTCATGTTTGGTATTCCCATTATCGAGGCCGCCTTTATCGATAACGATACTGCCATGATCACGGATCTTTATCTTCGTACATACCGCTGCTTGGCTCTCTTTTTATCAACATCATCACCAGCCCATCGGCACTCACCTGGGCTTCGCAGTGCGGAAGACGAATGTCTTCTCGGAATACTACCCTCTTGGTAATCCCCATCACTGCTGCTACTGATGGGCATGTGAGTACCTGACCTAGCAGCCCCTATACTGAACGCGACGACCAAGGCTGGCGTCAGAAGCTTGCGGAGAACTGGCTCAAACATGCGGGCACTTAATGACCCTGCGAATTATGTTCCTTCTAAGCAATGAGCATGCTGAGGTAACCACCGCCAAGCAGAATAAACTACGGAGTACTAACTATTATACAATGCCAAGGTCAAGCCGAAGCCACTCGATGCCGACCCGATCACCTTCAAACCCATCCCGAGCCGAGGATTTGATAGGTCCAACTGCCCGGAAATAAGCTCCGATCGGACACTAAAAATATACTCGGGCCGAGGAAGAATTTTGACATCCGAATTCTTACCCTACGCACCTTTCCAGCTCTCGAGCGTACAAAACCTCGAATAATATGGGAAATAGCACTCGTTACTCGTTTCATGGCATCCTGCACCGGAGCGAAGTTTTCATTTCCCCAGTTTCAACAGACACAATTGATTTGAGCTTTTGGGTAGACTGCACTAGCCGCCTAGCGTAGAGAGTCAGACGGATGTTGACGTTCTGGGTTGCAGCTCTCCTCGTGTGTGCTTGTAGCAGATGTATTGCAAATAGCTCAGTGTCGTTCGAGATGATTATCCGCGGAGATTGACTAGAATAACGTGTCCTCGTTGTATGCTCTGTGGTTCAGGCGTTGAGGACTCAAATCAGCATGAATAGAGCCAGTCCCGTCAGGCTGGAGCATCAATATCGCTTACAGGTAACAATATCAACAGACACATAGCTAAGAATAGTGATAATAGTGTTTCATTTGACTACATACAGGTTCTCTAACAGAATCATCAAACAGAAAGCGATCTATGCAAGATCGTTCATGTTATCGCTCTCAGTCGCGACATCATGGCCAGCCGAAGGAGGCAGGTCCGGAATATCACCAAACTCCTCATCGGTCAAGTCATTTTCATTATCGTAATTGTCATTATCATTAGCCTCCGACGCATCACCTAGACCAGAGCTAACCATCTTACTCGTCTGGGCAAGCCCACCCTTCGACTCTCCCTGCGGAGCCGAGGACGAAGAAGTAGCCATCGCGGGAGGCTCGGACACAGGAATATGATCCTGACAGCGGAGTGACTCGCGCGCCACTGGCCCCGCTGGGCCCCTTTCGTTCATTCTTTTTTGTAAGTCGCACACGGCTTGCACGGGCAGCTGTCGAGTGTTAACTTAGTTCTAGCTGATGGATTTGTGAAAGCGCGATCCTTATCTATTCGGGCATCCGAGTGGGAAACCCTTCAACTCGAGTGTCACCTTCTTGCCACATTTCCTCGCCATCGTCAAGGGAACACTCGACACTATGCCGAGAAAATGGGGGAAGAAGGTGACACTCGAGTTGAAGGGTTTCCCACTCGGATGCCCGAATAGATAAGAATCCTGTTTCCACAAGTCCGTTAGCTAGAACTAAGTTATCAAACTCAGGGAGACTCACCACGCGGGGGTGTTAAGACGAGGCAGCTGGAACAGGTGGTATCCGTCTTCCAGCTGCCTCGTCCTAGCGCCCCCCACGTGGTGAGTCTCCCTGATATGAGCCACGCCTTTGATGGGCTTTGTCAGTAAAAAAGTAGAGACAAGAAACTTTCAAAGTGCAAGGAGAGGATGGAGATGGAAAGTCAAAACAAAAAGGGCAACACCACAGCCGGACAGAGCATAAGCCGCAGGAACCCAGCGTGTGTGCGCGTAACAATACGCATAACTCTAAGCAAACGCAAACAGGAAGCCACAAGAACATGCACAGTAACTTACTATATCTGAGCGTCTGAGACAACTCACCTTCTTCATGTGTGCCTGTATCTTTCACCCAACTCTCGGCAAGCTTCTGACGCCAGCCTTGGTCCTGACGTTGAGTATATGGGCTGATCGGCCAAGTACTCACATCCCCATCACTAGCAGGCCGAGAGTTGGGTGAAAGATGCAGGCACGCACGAAGAAGGTGAGTTGTCTCAGATGCACACGTGAACGCAGTGTTGGACGCTTGGTACAATTATGCGGAGAATGCATTTGCTGTTTGCGATGTGGCATTTGCCAAATGCCGACACCGCTTGCATCTCCGACAGAGACGTATCGGCCATCCATTCCATTGACAACGACATTTTGCAGAGGAGAAGATAACATGTCTTGGAGGGATGAATGAAAATGAAAAAGGGTTGATGGGGTGAAGAAGCGTTTGGGACAGACTGCTAGAAGTTAAGTGAACAATTGATCATGTGAAAAAAAAAAAAAAAATAGCGCGGATGGCGACGATGTCGTCGACGTCGTCTCGAGAGGAAAAGGCATGAGCAGATCAATCGCACGAGTTATGCGCGCAAAAAGCTCGTTAGGCTAAGATGCTGGACCGGGAAGTTCAGAGATTGTGCGGCTCCATACGGAAAGAGCTGGCCAATCTCAAGATTATGAGCTTTTTGGACTCCCAGATGCCCAATGGGAAACCCTCCCCAAGACGACGGCCCGGCATGGCTTTCAATGGAGCCTGATCTTGTCTGGCAAGCTGTTCATCTCGACAACCCCCAATATCCTCTTTCTGCCACTCCAACACGCCGATCCCCGCGAAGGACGCCGACGCCATCAAAGCGCAGTCCCGGGAGGCGAAGAAGGAGGCCACCGCTCTCCGCGAGAAGCGGCATAATTGCTTCGTGGAGAAGTTGGTCAACAACCGCGCCTGGGCTCGCGGACTGAGCAAGGACGAGGTTGACGAGTCCAACCAGCGCTTCCGTTCCTGGGTTGATGGCAGTGGTGCCGTAGATGGCCCTGCGGCCGCTGAATCCGAGGGAGCTTTGGCCCCTGTAGAGAACGAGGATGTGGAGATGGGGGAGGTTGAGAAAACCGGTTAGGTCTTTTGTTCGGGGAGGGAGGGGGTGGCCTTGTGAGTATTTTGTAGCAAATATCTCCACATCAGACGCGATACGTGTCACTGTGAGATGATGATGATGATGATGATGATGATGTTGTTCTCATTAACTTGATTTAGCTCGCTGTACATACATGCTGGCGCTGTGGGATTATTGGGGTAAGTCGTACGAAAAGCCTTGCCAGTTGGCTGGAGACTCGCCAGTTGACGGAAACCTCGCGAAACACGTGACTGGAACTTGGCACCTTCAAACGGTCCTGTCAACTGGACAGAATACTTTTCTTGGTATCTATCTTACGAAGGTACTCTACACCTGTCCTGTTCACTTTTCTATATAGACAACACTTACAGGTATACCCTTCACCTCTTACTTCGCCTATTCAAATCTCCCCGGGCCGCAGACCCGGCAAAAATCTTGTGTGTTGTATTTGTACAAGCCAATGGCCTCTGTACACGAAGGGGCATACTACCCTCTGTACCTTATGCAGCCGTACAGAGCTGCACATCAAGGTGATGGACAACTCAAACTCGTAATTGAACGCCCAGGCGGCCAGGCCACGAACTGCTCTGTCGCTGATCACAGTTCACCGATTTCGGTTCATGAAGATCCCCCGCCGGCGTCGAAGATGTAATCTAATTGGTTATATGGGTGGGCCCCTCTTTTCTGTCTTAGCTGAGGCGCTCATTATTCGAGCTGGCATGCAGGGCAGCAGGAATGACTCCATATGCGGCTGTTCCCATGTGCAAGTCACAATGTTCATGTTCTTGGGCGCATTTCTCTCTGCAGTTGTGTTGTACTACCTCCTGTATGCCAACGTGCATACGCTGCACGTCAAAAGTTAACCCCAGCTAATATAGCATATCCAGGACGAGCTGTGCTATTTTTCAGCGCACTCAGAGGAAGTAATAAGGCGTAGCAAAGAGATAGTCCATGAGCGATATTGCTGGAAGAGATTTGACGTCAGGATCAACTCACGATCAAGTGGAGAATGCCCGAAGGGCAGAAGGGAACGCAGATCATTCACATCAGGTTTTTATGAGACTAATACTCAATGTCTGCCCCTTTTCACATGAATTGTAGCTTGAATATTGAGAACATCTCAAATGTACGGGACAAGATAAGCTGCAAAATCAAGCAACCACCTTCATCAATATTGGAAACCCTTACAAACATTAGACCCAGATATCCCCCAAATAGCTAGTATCATACAATACTCTCTATTTGATTATCCCAGGGCCTCCACGTGTCTTAACAGTGTGTGTATATGCAGTAGATCCACTGTAAATCCGGTTCCAGGACGTGTTGCAACTTGCCTGAGGTACAACAGAGTTCGCAGATCCATACAGAGTAACAGAGTACATACAAAGGCTGAGACCCACAGTTTTTGTTTATCTCAATTGTTATCCCGTTGTACTTGCTTTCATCCTAATGGAAGCGAAAGGATGACAGACCAAGAGCAACCAATGGCTGAAGAAGCTCCAGCTGCTCGCAGCGAGAGCAGACCGTCATCCATCAATGGCGCGACCAGCGACTCCAGCACGCCCAGCGACCTTTTCAATGAATTGGGCGAAAAACAAACCACCAAGAGCGAACGCGCTGACGGAAAGCGCGAGCTAAAGGAAGGGGAGTGCTACGAGATCCTGGGTTACTCCTTGCCGCGATGGAGGAAATGGACCTATCTGGCAGCTGTCGCCTTCGTGCAGGTCTCTATGAACTTTAACACTTCGGTCTACCCTGCCGCCGTAACGCCTCTCTCGGAGGCTTTCCATATCAGCGAGCAGCATGCTCGCACAGGTCAGATGGCCTACCTTGTGACCTTCGCCATCGGTTCTGAACTGTGGGCTCCTTGGTCTGAGGAGTTCGGTCGCTGGCCTATCCTTCAGCTCTCAATGTTCCTCATCAACATCTGGCAACTTCCTGCGGCCCTTGCTCCCAATTGGGGTAGCCTTGTCGTTGCTCGTGCACTGGTTAGCTCTCCCGTACGGTTTCGCGACTGGTGACTTAGGTGAATTGACATAATATCTATAGGGTGGTCTTTCTACTGCCGGTGGTTGTGTCACGTTTGGTCTCATTGCCGACATTTATGAGCCTGAGACGCATCAGTTTCCTCTCGCTTTAATCATCTTGTCCTCTTGGATCGGTACCAGCATTGGTGGTGTGATTGGTGGCCCAATTGCGCGATGTAAGCATACGCTATTCTCTCAGATTCCCTATATCAATCTGCGACACCTGGCTGACATGAAGCTCATGACCTAGTCCTTGACTGGCAATGGTTCTTCTGGGTTCAGCTCATCTTCGGAGTAGTCACTCAGATAATCATCTTTTTCCTGCCCGAAAGTCGTTCCACCATCCTCATGGACAGAGAAGCCAAACGCCGCCGCAAGTCCGGCGAAGATCCCAACATCTACGGACCAAACGAACTCAAGACTCCCCGCGTCTCCCTCAAAGAAGCCGCTAAGATCTGGGCCCGACCCTTCTACATGATCTTGCGCGAGCCCATCGTCCTGTGTCTGTCCCTCCTCTCCGGTTTCGCCGACGCCCTGGTCTTCACCTTCCTGGAGAGTTTCGCAATCGTCTACAAGCAAGGATGGGGCTTCGGCACCCTCGGCGTAGCATGGGCAATGATCCCCATCAACGCCGCCTATTTCATTGCCTATTTCAGCTACTTCCCGTGGTTCATCCGTGACCAGAAGCTGCGCCTCCGCCACGGCGATGCCGCAATTCCACCCGAGCGCCGCCTGAAGTGGCTGTTGTTCCTCGCGCCGCTTCAACCAATCGGCCTCTTCGGCTTCGCCTGGACATCCTTCGGTAACTCGCGCAACGTCCACTGGATCGGCTCTATGATTTTCTCCGCCTGCGTCGGTATCGCCAACTACGCCATCTACCTCTCCTCTACCGATTATATGATTGCCTCGTACGGTGTATACTCGGCTTCGGCGACGGGCGGTAGTGCTTTCGCGCGTAATCTGCTCGCTGGTATCTCGGCCATGTATGCGACGCCCATGTACAAGAATATCGGCGATAAGTGGCATGTACAGTATGCAAGCACTATTTTGGCTTGTCTTTCCTGTCTTGTTGTCACTCCCATCTATATCTTCTATTGGAAGGGACCGCAGCTTCGCGCGAAGAGCAAGTTTGCTCAGACTCTTGCTGCTGACAAAGCTCAGAACAATGGTCGTCGTGTCAGTAAGGGTCAGTGCTGAGCCGGACTTTTGAGCTAAGAGATGCATTGATGCGTGTGGAGGATACTACGTGATCTGATGCTTGTATATCTGTCTCTATATCTGTATATATGGCTTGTTTCAGTGCGAGGGGTCCTGGTGACTGTTTGAATCACTTCATAGTTGCTCTACAGCAGTATACAACTTGGGAGCTTGGAACCAAGTGACTTAGTAGGCTATTCATAAGCCTTATGAACCCATTGAACACTGCGTAAATGTGTTGAAGAACTACACATGATTCTTCTGCTATCGGCTCTAAACGCAACGCCAATAATCAATGTTCTGCGGCATGCCCAACCAGCCCCGGCCCTCGGTATAAGAGAATCTTCAATGCCACACGCCATGTGAGCTCTCTTCACCGAGGCCCCCTGGCCCTCAAGCATATGAGTTGAGAGTTCTCATGCAAAGAGAACAGGAAGGTACGAAGGGCGAAGCATAAAGGGAGTAGTTTTATTGGGGTTGCCTCACAATGCCCGTAGCCTCACGTGATATCTACACCGACATTACCCCTCTTCCTCCTACAACTGCCTCACGAGAGTCAGTTGCTTACCTCTGAGGGTAGCTCGTCATCTCTCACGCAGTCAAGTCCCGATTTTGTTTCACGTCCTTTCTCTGCGGCAATAACACCGATAAGCCTTGACCATATCGCTCTCCACCATGACATCCAGCCAGTCCAGCAGTTTCACGCCTGCCCCCCTTGACTCCGCTTGGCCCCCGGCCCACGTTTGGGAAACCATGGACGCGGCAGACCGTGCCAGTTGGCTAGGACAGATACAGAGAGAAAGGGCCAGGCGCCTTGAAATGGATGTAGCGGAGACAGACCTCCGCCACAGAAGGCCTCGTGGGGACCTGCAAGGTGACGAGAATCTCGAGGAAAACCGTGAGCCACCCCTTGAAGTCAAACCACTCATCGACATATTTCCCGGGTGTCTCCGCCACCCTTCTTACTCGCGTCTTCGAGAGAAAGTTGAAGGCGACTGAACTCATACGCTTCAAAGAGAAGTCAGCCACCGAGCTAGATCAGGAGGATAGAGTCTCCAAGATGACCGACTTGGGAGGCTCAGTAGGCTTCAAGAAGGCAGCAGCGTCGCTTAAGGACTGGGGCCCCAACCCTCAAATATGGACGACCTGCTTTCTCGCCTATCTGGCCGTTGTGGGATATCTCTTCAACGAAAAACATCCCAAAGCAGTTCCCAATCTACTCATGTTTATGAGGCAGATCCTGGACTTCGCCCAGACTTATCAGTGGTCGGAAGCAGTCCTCCCACTTGCCCTTAATTTCCACCAATACATAATGGATAAAGGAGAGTTATCGACGGACAACTACCTGGTCACAGGTCCATTTCGCGCAAAATACCTCCGCCACAATCTCACCCTGCCTGCGAAGTCACCAACCAACCCTTCTACCCAGCCACGTCAGCCTAGGAATACCAGGTCTTCGAATAATGCGACAGAAGTCTGCAATAAGTTCAATACGACAGGGTGTTCCTGGGAAGCCTGCAAGAGACGTCATGAGTGCACGGCATGCGGCCTAATCGAGCATGGCGCCTCCTCCTGCCGCAAGAAGAAATAGCAAGTGACAGCCCTTGAGACCTACACTAGTGACACAGGCAACGTTACTCTCAATCCCCCATCCCTAAGCCTCATACCACAGGGGCAACCACCCAGACCAAACACTGCTGTTCAATGCCCCGTTTTCAACCCAGGGCTTTCAAGGCCACAGTCCTCTCCGTCGCCACTGCATGCGAAAGGCTGGAGCAATCTTCTACGCTACTATCCGGGCGACCTTGGGTCCACTATTGCCGGCATTCTGACGTACGGTGCTCAGGTCGGCTATAGGGGCAAGAAGCAGTTTCGCCATTCCTCCAACCATCACATACATGAACCCGGCATTGTCACGGCAAAACTAGCAAAGGATCTCAGCCTCGGTCGTGTTAGACTAGCCTCTGGGCCCTCCTTCGTTTCACCGCTTGGTTTAGTCCCTAAACACGACGGGGGATGGCGCCGCATCCATGATCTATCCTGGCCACCTGGACAGGGCCTCAACCAGGGCATATCAGACTCCTAGTCAGCTATCGAATACATGACAATCGATGACATATACGAGCAGGCCATACAAGCTGGCCCAGGTTGCACAATCATCAAGAGGGACATCAAGGATGCCTTCCGAATAGTCCCCGTTGCCGAGGATAACCAGCACCTCATTGCCTTTCAATGGACCGATTCCACTTATGTTGAATGCTGCCTCCCCTTTGGCCTCGCAACGGCCCCGTTTCTCTTCAACCTCTTCGCCGAGGCACTCCATTGGATACTCCAATGCCTCCTCCCTACATTCCATATCAATCATTACCTAGACGACTTCATCGCAATTACTCAGTCTCCCTCAGTGTCCGACCCCACGGGTCTTTTTGATGAGGTTTACAACAGAGTCACCGACTATTTACGCATTCCTCGCAATACAAAAAAGGACCAGCAAGGGACCTGTGTTACGGTCCCGGTATCCAGATCGACTCTATTGCAATGGAAGCTCGTCTGCCGCCAGAAAAGTTGTGCCGCGCCACATTGGACGCCGCAGCTGCCCTGAACGCAGCGAGTCTCTCTCTCAAGCAAGTAGAGTGTCTCACAGGCCTATTGGCCTTTTGTTCAAGAGTTGTCCGACTTGGAAGAACAAGATTACAGTCTCTATACATCTTCCAAGCCGCTTTCCCACATGGGAGTAGTGCGCGCCGCCGTATCCCTCACGAGGTACGTGACGATCGGAATGGTGGAGGGACTCCTTGTCTCTCTTCAACGGCATACTCCTAATTGATCCCTGCCGCCGCCCCATCACGCACCTCTACACAGATGCCTCCAGTATAGGCCAGAGTCTCTTCTTCTTCTCATCAAAGTCTACGTTAGACTGCTGGCTGGCCCATTGTCACCAGCTTCATCCAAGCAATGCTGCCACATTGGCCCTTGCTCAAGACGCACATGCGCACATCAATACCAATGAAGTAGACGCTATTCTACAAAGCTTCCTACTCTTCAGCCACCATTGGCTCCATCATACTCTCGTTATCCACACGGATAGCTCCACAGCGCACTCGGGACTCAAGAAAGGCTTTCTTCATGGCCCGTCTAACGTACCTCTGAAGAGCCTGTTTATCCTAGCGGCGGCGAGAGACATCCACATTGTGCCACACTGGCTCCCCTCCGGGGAAAATACATTAGTAGACGCGCTGTCCCGTAAAAATCTTGAAGACATTGCTAACATTTGTCCCCATTGGCAGGACCTCTCGCTATTGAACCGCCCGCGTGGTTCTCTTCAAGAGCTCCTCAGCTCAATGACGGCCACCTAAAACTGCTCTGGAACGGACTCAGCGCCAACACACGTTCTGTTTACCTCTCTGTTCAGCGCAGCTACGAAAAGCACTGCGCGCTACAAAATTTATCCGCATGGCCAGTTTCAAGACAGTCATTGACCTCATGGCTAAGCTCACGACTCCTTGGTAACGCCAACCAAAAGGCCGTCAAACCTGACACCGCACTCGCCGACCTAGCCGCTCTCCGAGCCTACCATATCGATAATTTCCTTGACGATAAACTCTTCGATAACAAGCATTTTCGGCGTCTCATAGACGGCGCGAGAAGACCCAATCCCGTCACAAAAGTACGGGTCAGAAACCCTATTTCGCGTGACACTATTACGACACTATCTGCGGGCCTCGCCGCACTACCACCACAGCCCTCGGAGATGTCTGCGAACATTCTAGACGACTTGAACTCCGCAACCGCGTGCCGGGTAGCATTTGCTGGATTCATTCGCCTCGGAGAATTCGCCTACAAGACTGACGACCTCCGCACACGTTCTATCTTCTCAGCCACAAAGTTAACGCGCTCCGATGTCAGATTCTCGTCCTCGTTAGACCACGCACAACTCACACTCAAGCGCAGTAAGACAGACCACCGCCACGGAGGCGTGCAAATTATTCTGGCAAAGACGGGAGACGGCGCGTGCCCGGTTGATGCCCTTCAGAAGCTGCTACTGCTCGACCCCAAAGGGCCCCGACGCCCCATTGTTCTCCTTCCACAGAAGGCCATTCAGTCGCAACAACTTCCTCTCGACCTTATCTACTAAGCTAAGAGCGCTTGGACTACAGACAGAGGGCTACTCGGGTCACAGTTTTCGGAAGGGCGCAGCTCAGCATGCGCACGATAGTGGGATACTCGACGACCAGATTCAGATGCTAGGGAGATGGACCTCAGAGGCTTTCAGGGTGTATTTCACGACGAACGCGTCAGTTTTGTACAAGCTCAATCACCAGTTCCAGACACGCTCGCCGACCCCGCTGTCTTTGCTGCTTCCACCACCGTCCCCTCCACCATCCTAGTTTGGCCGGGTCATCTGGGCCCTATCTGACGCTACGGTCTACGACCCCAGCGACAGGTGACCCGTTATGGCCAAACTACACTCTTCTCGCTCCTCTTGACTGCGTGAGGTCACCAATAAATAGGGGAAATTCCCGGGTAGATGTGACTGTGAGAATAAAGGCTCAGTTGGAAGGCTTCTTTACCATGTATGAGTAACTAGTCGCTTTCTTTCTATCTTTATTAAAATTGTTTTGAGTGTTGTATCTCTCATTCCTCTGTCTCCCTCTCGTAATTATCGATCATCCTAAGCAGTTTGTTGCTCACTGTGCCTTCGAGGTACAATCAACTTAGGGTGATTATAGACGCGTTGTCAGCCAATAGTATTTTGACAGGGATTAGCCTGTTCTCCTGTCTTCTCTTTGAATCCCACTTCAGCCCTCTGAACCCTATACAAATCGCGAGAGCAATTGGGGTCCGATTACCCAAATTCATACGCCTTGGTCTACTTACTCAACAACATGACCAATTCAATCGAACTACTCCAAGCAGAAGCCGACGAAAACGACCAGAGTTACTTCCGCCTCCTGATCAACGGTCGGATAAAATACATCACCATAGATCCATATCTCTACAGTGTCGAAGACATGTGTTTCGGCCCATCACTGATCTCCCTCCCCCCCCCCCCTCTACCAACTGGCGAATGGAATCTTGGACTGGTGGCCAAAAACGAAAATGGCCAACCGCACTTCGCCTCTGCAACCCAGACCGCTTTTCCCAGCGTCCAGAATGTCTGGCACGAAACCTCTGTTGAATACACAGAGCTCGAAGTCGGGGAGAAGTTACGAACGGGTATTTACGAAATCAAATGCCATCTCTTCGACGAGCCCGTTGTGATTAAATTCGCCCGCCTCGACTGGGAGATCCAATATCTAGAGAATGAGACGACGGCTTACCAATGGATTGAGGGCTACGACATCGGTCCACGATTCCTGGGCCATTTGACAGAAGATGGTCGTGTTATTGGATTCATGATGGAACGTATTAAGGATGCTAGACATGCTGGGCCGCAGGACCTGGAGGCTTGTACAGAGGTGTTGTCGAGATTACATGGTCTGGGGATTCATCATGGAGATACGAATCGGTTTAACTTTCTTGTTCGTGGTTAAATGGCTGTTTTAATTGATTTTGATTCGGCGAGGAAGTGTGGTGATCGAGATGCGTTGGTGAGGGAGATGGAACTCTTGCCAGATTCTCTAGGGGATTTATCGCGGTCCTTCGCGGAGAGGCGGTGGTGGACTTCTTTGATCAGTGCCCGTTGACCAAGTGGTCCAAGTTGTCTGAATGAACAACCTCACAAAGTGAGAAGACTAGGCAGTTTGGGTGGAAGAAAAAAAAAACTACTGTCAGTACCCGAAGGGATTGAGAGACTAATAATGACCTCCTGGCCGTTTGACCGCCTGGATACGAACATGTAGCCCATGTATTCGCGCATAGACACATCGGCCCTTGTCCTCCCTTGGACAGGCTCAAAGATCTATCTTGTATGGGATCTGTCATCATCATCATCCATGCCAAAGGACAAAGGTACATCAAGTGAGGCATTCCACTGCTTCCAGTCCACCAGGTGGCTCTTTGTCGCCAGGTACGTGACCCTTCGTATGCCCTAAATCCAATCACATGGAACCCGGAACTTGGAATGATCTTGTAGTGGCTAGACCGCTCATTGAGTGTCATTCCTAAGCACGCTAACGGAACTAGACATTCCTAGCTTGTGGGTAGTACACATGTATGTATAATGGACCAGTGATGGCTGGGCTGGGATATCAGCCCGCGATTGCTCTGTCTTCCCTAGAAGAAGGGAAGGAGATGAGAGCAAACGAGATGGATGGCAAGGGAGGGTGAGAGATACATATAGTTAGAAGGTGATATCCTTTGAGACTGGTACGTAACGACACGACATGTATGTATCAGAGTCTCGAGTGGTTGGCATGCACTACACGCACAATCGAAATGAGCCTGGTGACACGATCAGAGTGCATGGCAGGTACCATGCAGAGATACTGTATCACACAGTAATATCCCCCGGTCCTATGGGATATGAGATGTCAGTCTCTTTCCAGGTCCGATCATTTGCTTTTCGCCAGGCAGTTATATGACAAGATACACTTGTCGTTTGCGAGGTGGGATTTGCCAAATGCCTTTATCACCTGAGTCGGAGAGGATCAGATCATCCCTGAGCCATCCACTCCTTGGATAACGACATAACGACACTGTACCAGAGGAGCCGATAACAAGTCCTTGGATGGGATGACTGGACAAGTGTAGTGATTGGAAAGGACTCTCAGAAGTGAGGTGAATGATTTGAACTTGTGGAGTGAATCAAGGAAGATGGCGACTTGGGGCGAGAATACTTGAACAGATCAGTCGCACAAGTTATGCGCAAGTTGGCTAGATGAGACTCTGCTAGGCAAAGTCGGGATAGCAAGGATGTATATGCAGCAGATGGAGTCAATCGCTTTTCCAAAAAGCTCATGATCTTGAGATTGGCCAGCTCTTTCCGTATGGAGCTGCATAATCTCTAGACTTCCCCGTCCAGCATCGTAGCCTAACCAGCTTTTTGCGCGCATAACTTGTGCGATTGATCTGCTCATTCCTTCTTGCCTTGAGACGATGGCGTCGTCGACGACATCGTCGCCACCCGTGTTGTTTGTTTTTTCACATATATCAATCGTTTACTTAACTTTCAGCAGTCTGTCCCAAACACTTCTTCATCTTCTTCCATCCCCTCAAGACCTGTTACCTTCTTATTCTCTTGCAACTGTCTAGGCGGATGGAGACGTGTTATCTTCTCCTCTGCAAAATGTCGTTGTCAAAGGAATGGATGGCCGATCTGTCCCTGTCGGAGATGCATGTGGTGCCGGCATTTTGCAAATGCCGCATCGCAAACAGCAAATGCATTCTCGGCATATAGGTGGGATCCTGCCGGGCTCGCGATCGCATCTCCGATATCGCCAACTTGTTCTTCAAGGATCGCGGGAAGGAGGAGACCAACACTCACGATCAAGAGGAGTTGCAATACAGGAAACATGTTGAGCGGCTTGTTAAATAAAGTGACGTCTACCGCATCACCTTCGTGAGTGCAAGGAGGTGACCCGACATGACGTTGCCCGCCTCAACGCCGGTATCTGGAACAAAGATTACCACCAATCTCCCGAGGGCTGGGAGGAGGATCTCCAAGTCAACACGCTCTCCACCTCGCTGTTGGCCTTGCTCCTTCTCCCGAAGCTGAAGAAGAGCGCTTATCCCGACAACCCCACGCATCTGAGTGTTGTGTCTAGCCAGCAGTTTGTCCAAGTGAAGCCCGAAAGCGTGCAAACCGACGGTATTCTGCTGGCGCACCTCAACGACCCCGGCAACTTCGCGGGCCCCAAGCAGTATGCCATTTCCTATACCCTGCTTACCCTGGCACCAGCTAACCTCCTTCACAGTACCTCATCGACGCGTGGCCATACGGGGACCAGAGCGTGACCAGCGAGGACTCCACCCGCAACAACGACCAAATGACCCCATTATCTATTTCGACCGCAACACAACTGGTCCCTGGTAAGAGACTGACACCCCATAACGACGAAACCACGCTGGTGATTTGCTAACCTGTTTGATGTAGGCGTGCCGAAAGAGTGGGCTCCACCGATGCGCAACGCCAAGCTGAGGAGCAAGCTCCTTTCAGCAATCTTCGAAGTGAACCTCCCGGCTTCATCTCTCAGACACCCAACCGGGATGTCAAGATGCCCCCCCTGGGACAGTTCAATGTTAAAGACTCTAAGGAGAGTAAGAAGCGCTGCGGTGGCGCAGGTGGAGAGGGGGCCGGCACATTCCTTAGGACGCACTTTTCGATGTGGCCACACTAAGCGGACGGCAGAAAAGTGGATCAAAAAGATCTTGCCCCGTGCGTGGCTAGCACAAGTTCCATATGTACTTGCTTAGGGGTACACGCATCGCTCGACGTTCGTGCAAACTGAGCAGCAGGATATGCGGGAGCGGTTCGAGGACTGGGAGATGGCTAAGAACCGGGTGTTGGGCAAGTTCGGTGCCCCGCGGCACTACTTGGTGAATTTTGCTCGGGGCTCGGAGCTGCCATTCTTCGAGATCGAATGTCGTGAAGGGGGTTTGAAGATATTCCATCTGACCAAGTGAACATGTTGGCAAAGGCGTCCCGGCTACGTATCGGTGTTCGGCGGTGGTCAACAAGGTTGAGATTGCGGCCGTAGAGGGCTGTGCTTCGTAATCTTTAGCCTAATCGAATCACACATGCTTGTGAATGAGCTTCAGATTGCACAGTAAGTGAATCATGAACACACCTGAAAGCCGTCCTGGATACGCGGAAACAGTATGCATGTAACTGTCCTGGAAGCAGGAGGTAGCTCTCCTCGAACGTATGTGATGAATCATTATCCATGGATATACAACATGTGTAAACATGAGTGGGCGGAGTGGGCACTGATAAGACATTAGTATTCTGTCACGCGTCGCCGCCTTATTCTTTCACTTGTCGCTGGTTAAAGCTACTTTACATTCGCCATTGGCCCATTGCGGTGTAGGAGTCTCTTGGCTTCAGAGGACAATATAAGTCAAGGTCTCAAGGACGATTAAGAAGCAATGCTAAACTCATACAGCATTTTGGAGTCCCATCCCAGTACGGGGCTAGACAATCCGTTAGCATTGGTAGGAATACTATTTTATGCTCCATGTACTAATGTAGAGACAGAAGTATGAGTACAATCGACAAGCGGTAGACCCGTATGTACACAGACTGCCTCTCTCAGTTAGGACTCTGCCATTAGCCCCAACTCCATGCAGCTCAATAGCGCGGTTCGTTCGGCTTCTGGGGTAATCTGGGACTCCCGGATCATCCGCTTGCCTTACTGAAAGCGGAGCTGTTAGTAACCAGTGGCAAGATGATCCAATGGCGGACGAAGAATTAGCTAATATTCAATCCATTTATTCCATCCATTGAGACTCCATATTAATTCCGTGTGGCCGAGCTGGGATAGCCGACATCATACCGAGACGTGGAGATGTGGAGTCGGGGGAAACTCGGGGCGATCTACAACCTCTTCATCAGTGATCTACACGTTCTTCAGGATGTTGCAAGTTGAATGATCCTGGTAAAATCCGGGGAAATGCTATTTGAACGCCGAAAAAGACCGAAGGAGGTTTGCGATGGCCATTTTTATAGGGTTGGTAGAGTTCTTAAGGATGAAAAGTGTAGGTTTGGGTGAAATTTGGGGCGAGTGGAAATTGGCGAGACCCGAGAAGACGCCGAGAGGGGCCGAGCGAACGCCGCACTTGACGTCAGTATGAAGATTTGCCAGACGTAACCTGGAAACGAGCATCATTGAGTCCTGGGAAAGAGAAACTGGGGAATTAAAGGAGATCAAGCTGGGGAAGGAGATCTCGAATGTCAATTGAATAGCTTCATTTATCGCGCTACTGCTTTTTTTATAGATGCAGTTTTACATACACATCGCAACCTGAGCTAGTACAAACCCCCCAAAAAGGAAATTAAACATTTCCATTCTCCCGGACACATCGGCCTCAACTTCCTCTGTGGAGACCTCAGATCCTGGTTGCCCGTGGGGTTGGAGAAATTACTTATACCCCCAGCTCCCCTTTTCTCTTCCTTCTTTTTACCCTCGACCTCATTTTGACCCTCTCCCCTCTTCCCTTCTATCCATTGAATAGTCAACATGGCTGCTTCCGCACTCTTGAAGAGCCGTGTGCGACGCCCTTCGTACTTGAAGAAGCTCGCCAAAGCTGAGGACCTCCTTCACCACTTCCCTCACAATGCGTACATCGGCTGGTCCGGATTTACCGGTGTTGGTTACCCTAAGTATGTCACACAAAGACCGAATTGCAAAACCGAGTCCTAACGTCCATTGCTCAGGGTCCTCCCCGAAGCTCTTGCAGACCATGTCGAGAAGAACAACCTCCAGGGACAGCTGAAGTATAACCTGTTGGTCGGTGCTTCCTCCGGCGCTGATACTGAGAACCGCTGGGCGCGGTTGAACATGATTGAGCGTCGCAGCCCTCATCAAGTCGGAAAGGAAATCGCCAAGGGGATCAACAATGGCCAGATCAAGTTCTTCGATAAACATCTGAGCATGTTCCCCTCCGACTTGGTCTACGTAAGTCTTGGCATTCTCCGAGAAAAATAAAAGATCGACGCTAACCTTACCGCTTCCGTTAGGGCTGGTACACTCTGAACAAACCAACCCCTAACATCGATGTCGCCGTCATTGAAGCTTCCGCCATCACCGAGAATGGTGGCATTATCCCCGGTGCCTCCGTGGGTGCCTCTCCCGAGTTGATCCAAATGGCCGACAAGATTATTATCGAAGTCAACACCTCCATGCCCTCCTTCGAGGGTTTGCATGACATCACCGGCTCCGATCTGCCCCCCGGACGCAAGCCCTACCTCGTCATGAGCCCTGAGGACCGCATCGGAACAAGCTACATCCCCGTTGACCCCGAGAAGGTTGTCGCCATCGTCGAGTCCACCTCCCCGGACATCACCCTGCCCAACGCCCCCGAAGACGAGGGCTCGCAGGCGATCGCCTCGAACCTGATCGAGTTCCTCAAGCACGAGGTGAAGCACGGCCGTCTCCCGCCCAACCTTCTCCCCATCCAGTCCGGCATCGGCAACATCGCCAACGCCGTCGTCGGAGGCCTCAGCAAGGGCGGCGCCGACTTCAAGAACCTGAAGGTCTGGACCGAAGTCCTGCAGGATTCCTTCCTGGATCTCTTCGACAGCGGCAACCTGGACTTCGCCACCGCAACCTCCATCCGCTTCTCGCCGGACGGCTTCAAGCGCTTCTACGACAACTGGGAGCGCTACGCCGGCAAGCTCCTCCTGCGCTCGCAGCAAGTCTCCAACTCCCCTGAGATCATCCGTCGTCTCGGCTGCATCGGCATGAACACCCCCGTGGAAGTGGACATCTACGCTCACGCCAACAGCACCTGCGTCATGGGTTCGCGCATGCTCAACGGTCTCGGCGGTTCTGCCGATTTCCTCCGCAACGCCAAGTACAGTATCATGCACACTCCCAGTGCCCGGCCCACCAAGACCGATCCCACCGGTGTCTCTTGCATCGTGCCCTTCGCCACGCACATCGATCAGACCGAGCACGATCTCGATGTCGTCGTTACTGAGCAGGGTCTTGCTGATGTTCGTGGACTGTCGCCGCGTGAGCGTGCCCGTGTTATCATCAAGAACTGCTCGCACCCCGATTACACCCCTATCTTGACTGATTATCTCGATCGGGCTGAGTTCGAGTGTCTGAAGAAGGGTATGGGCCACGAGCCTCACATGCTGTTCCAGGCCTTCAACATGCACAAGAACCTCCAGGAGAAGGGTACCATGAAGATTGACTCTTGGGAGTAAATGGTAAACTTAGACTCTGACTTGGGTCTTTTGTTATACCTTGTGTTTTTAGAACTTGGATTGGCGATGTGCCACGGTATAGGCGTTTTGGTATATCTCATTAGCGGTTTTGTATATAGTCTTCCAATGGAATAACATGAATGTTAATTGATAACTATTGCTTTGTACTCCGTACCTAGTACTGTGCAGATTTAATGATGCATGGAGTCGGTTGGAACCATGGAAGTAAAGAATTCAGGGAGATATCGACCACTCAACCCTAGGTATGTCTGTCCTGCACAATGCTCTTCATACCTATGGATCAAGGTAACCCTTGCTAGTATGGAGGTACTCTATTACAACTACAACATCATTCCAATTCACGAAAACGGCGGGGGACCATCATTCCTGGTATGTGCAAGGTCCATCATCTCCTCACAAGTAAACTAGCTATACACGAAACTAAAGCTCAAATACAAGAAATCCAAATTGACTCCAACTCCAGCATAGAATCATTACCTCCTCCACTTCTGATCAAGTATCCCCTCAAGCACCAGTAAGCCTAATATCAAAAGTCAGCACAATCCCAACCCACCCCCAAACAACCGTAGACTTGATAATAAACCTACCGACTCCAAATAGCCCCGAAGAGCCCAACCCTCTCATCCGTAGACTTCCTCCGCGCCCACCCATGATCAACGTTGTAATGCTTAACATCCTGTAAGCCAGAGAAGAGGCCACGGCCGGCGGTTGCGCGCTACATCAATTAGTACATGGAAGGCACATATTGAGAGACAAGTGGTGGTACATACACGATGTTCTGCGGCACTGCGGACCCAGTAATCAGCGCCGTAATCGTTTTGAAGGCGGGCGTGTGAGCTAGAGTCTGTGGTTGATTTGGAGGACATTTTGTGTTCTGTATCGTTGGTGGCTAGGTTGTTTGTGTAGATTTGTAGATGTAGATTAGGTATCGTTATCGAGTAACTCGACAGTTGAACGAGATTTGCAAGTGAATATGCTTTGATGAATGGATAGTAATATGTAGCTATGTCGTGTAACATCTGTCTTTATATACTCTAGCCATCTAGATAACTGATAAGTGCAATTGACATCTCATGAGTCGCATCGTTATGGCCTGATCCGGTGTTTACGAATGACGTAGTATGGTGCGATCGATGGATACGGGATTATCCGTACCTGGGGATAGCCGTAGGAACTGGATCTCCAGGTACCTGTGTTTCTGTTCATCGGAGCTTGCCGATTGTCTACTGTGGTATGATTTTGTTAGAATGGGGTGGTGGTTGTGGCTTTGGGTTGTTTTGGTCATGTGTCGCGTGGCATGATCGGGTGGCATGGTGGGCAGATCTATGGCTTGCGGCGGGAAAAAGAAGGAACTCATGAACGGGAGATGGACTGATCATCTTTGAGGCTACCTACCTGACAATTTGACAGGGAATACCGGTGTGATTGAAATACTCTACGGAATACCGTAGTGATTCTTGTGCCTGTTGGCTGTTCGTTTACCGTGACGTGCGGTATACCGTGATTTCTGAAATACTTAGGCGCGACGAAGTACTGCATTCGCAACGGTATATGATCTAGAATAGCGTGGCAGCAATAGTATTCAAGCCGAAATACAGGATTTCAGTTTCTGGTGCTGCCGGCATTTGTTCTGTCTAGGTGAGATTTTGCGCGATGCCGGGCGTGATATATATGGCGATCTGACTCACGAGGTCGAGTACAGTACCTACCTAAGTCCATTCCGATGGATAGAGTTACAGCCAGCATTAGGTCATGGGCAGGTAGCTATAGGTACCTAGGTATTACCCAAATACCTATCCTCTGATCTAAAGTCCGGTTTGCTTTGATCCTTCCTCTGGTACCTTGGATGAAAGCGCATGCTCCTAGCAGTTCAGACACGGAGTCGTATAGTCGAGGAGAACAACCCGATTATTCCCGTGGTAGAGGTGAATGGTGACATAGATTTGGTGCAACTATTACACTACACACGGAGAGAATTTGGAATGCATAAACTATGACATAAAAGCAGATAGAGCATCTCGATCAGAAAGAATGACCTGTTGATAAAGTCTGTGAAGACGAGGCAGAAATGTTTTCTGCCACATAATTCAGGCGCACATTCCACCAAGAGACATTCTCGAATCTCCATGTGGCAGCGTGACACAGATCTGATCTCACCGGAACATTCGAGCAGTGGAATGTCAAAAAGGCAGATTAGATTCGCACTTGACATGTCAGAAGGGAGATCGAGTCATATGCAACTCGTCCCAACTCCCGAAGGTAAAAGAAATTCTGCCCAAACGCAAGGCGCAAAAAAAATCTCCCGAACAAAGTCCTCCACCGTTGGGCCCTTGGAACCTTTTATACGGAGTACGATGAAACGAGATGTAAAGAGCCAATGAATAAAGCAAATCTCGACAGCAACCCAAGCCTGCATGAATGAAACTCGTTTCTCAGATCTCGAACCCACATCTCCACAAGTTCACCACCCCTGCGAAGCCCCTGGTTAACCTCAAAGAGGGAGCCAAGCTCGACCCAAATACCGACTCCAGTCGCCCAGAAGAGAAGCCAAGATACCTCTCATTCTTGGTCTTTCTCCATTGGACTCCAAGAGCAGCCAAGATTTGTTCGGCGGTCTGGATCTTTGTCTGGGCAGTATTTGGCCTGGGCTGTGTACGGAATGTATTATTGGTATCATTAATTTCAGCATTGACACGAATCCAAAGAAGCAACGTGGCGGCGTCAATAGTATTCATTTCACTATTCACGAGGATAAATCGATCATATCACAATCTACCATTTTCCATTCGCATGATTCGTCTACGCTGCTAATAACTAAACCAATCCTAGAGACCGGAGACAACTATTGTCAAGTAGACCCAACTAGTTAGCGAGTGCCAATTGGAAATCATTTCATAACTACAGTACTACTCCGTACGTTCAGGAGTAACCTCCTTTCCTAGCAGTCCCGGCACTAGCTTTCTGTAGTGCCATAAAAAAAACATAACTAGCGGTACATAACCTCTGAATCTCCACATGGAGACAAGCAAAACGGCTCGGCTGTGATCCGTCATGATCTACCGCGTGGACAAAGTGCGATCGGCAATGGAGAGATCCAGACCCTTGTCTTCGTTGAGATCAGCCATGAAGATTGGCAGTGGACAGGGCAGCTGTTCGCGTGTACAGAGTAATTGCTGTGCGCTTAATTTGTCGAAGTACAAAGTGCAGGCCAGGACTTGGATATACGAGGTCGTGTACTCCGTGCACACGATATGGGGTGCGTTACAACTGCGAATGTTGGCTGTATCGGGTTACTCGGGCTGCAAATGTTTACTCTGGAGTCTGAGCAATCACTGACTACACAGTATCTAGAGAATGCTCTGAATAGGGTAGGTATGTTACACATGACCTGTCCTATCTACACAGTAAAGCCTACGATGTACTCCGTACTCCGAATATCGTACGGAGACAGGCTGATGAAATAAATTGAACAGTCAAGCTTCCTCCACCGCCGGCTAACTAACCTCTTTTGACTTTAGGTACGGAGTACACCTGGCGGATGATCGGCTACTTTATGAGTGTGTGCTTCATTGACTGGATGGGATCGTCAGGGGCGGGGCGACAAAAAGAGCGCATATTGAAGAACAACACATAGCATGTGTTTCCATATAACGAGGTGAAATAGCAAGTCGGGAGCAACATGATTCTGTAAGTGATGAGAATCGAAGCCATGGAGTCATGGACACGAACGGAGATTCAAATTCCTCAGCTCATTTTGATATTCCAAGGTTAGGCCCCGGTGGTAATCCGAGACCGTACGGGTAGGTATTGACAACAGTCAAAGAGCAAGAACAACAAACACAAACAAAGCGCCCGATGTAATCTGCCAGTTCGAGTGATACGGTGTATTGAGTTTGAGTAATAAAGATCGTCAGGGCGGAAATTAGTGGTTGGGCTTTAGCCAATCAAATAGCCCCACTACTTCGGATTCAGCTGCCACCTTTCCCTATCAGGACTGGCCGAAGCGCTATTGTGAGCTACTCCACATGGCGCGAGAAACTAATTTCCTGTTTCTGATTTTGCCGGGGATTTCCTGTCGAACTCTGCACTGAGAGTCTGAGACACTCTGGTTCTGTTTACTTCAAAGGCATTGCCCCAGCCTGGGAAACCAGGAACCGAGGATTGTGCATGGCCAGTGTTGCCACAAAGTAAGCCACCAAGCCACAGAAAGACGGTAGTGGTGCCTTACATTGTCTGACAGGATAGATGAAACATCCGCCTTTTTTAGGTATCATGTGGCTGTATGAGCGGTTAGGAGTTACCGAGTACAATGAAAGGGAACCTTCAAGGCCCTCACAGCGGTAAGGGGAGGGCAAATTTGAATGTGAGACAGAATCACTATTTTCGACAGTGCTAAGCTTGATGGCTGAGCAGAAAAAGGAGAGGAGGGCATTCAATGATCCGTGCGGTGTGTTCACGAGTATTGACAATAACAACGGTCGCATACGAACGTACGGAGTACGGAGTACTGCTTCTTATGGCCGAAATGACCGTTGGGCGAGGATATAATTTATGTGCATCTGAGCGGTGTACCTGCACATCATCCAGGCATCTTCGACCTCATACTTCGTGCTTGTACCTGCAGGTGCCTACGAAGGCTGGACAATAATAATACAACACTTTCATGAATACGAAGTACACTCTGCTCCACTTTTGCCCGAGCCGTGTGGGCCAACCAGAGAGAGCCAACACTTGGGTCTTTACTGATCAACCAATGATATCTTACCTGTCCCTGAATTCACATCTAGACCTCGTCCAGGGGTAATTTTGAGGCAGGCTGAGGGTAAATTAAGTAAATTAAACAAATTAAATCCACGAAATTCACGATCGGTGGAACTGTATCGATGGAGATTAGCGCACTGGGGCCTTTTTATGGTCTCTTTTCTCCTTTTTCCTCTCTTTTCCCCCTAACTCCTCCTCGGAAACGATTTTCTCCATCAAAAGGCCTTGCGTGCCCCCCCCCCGAAGACTCTCCTTTACCTTCTCAACCCACGTTCCTTTGATACTATCACTGACCACCGCTTCACTCGTTCAGCGGGCATTCATTCTTTTGTGTGGTTGATATTATCTTTCCAACATGAAGGGATCTCTTTTCGCCGCCGCGGCCATGGTGGGCTCTGCCATGGCCGACGGTGTTCACCGTCGTCATGATGCTTTCCACCAGCGTCGGGATGCTTCTTCCAGCGCCTGGCCCTCGGTCTCTCCTAGCCCTTCCAGTGCTTCGAACGATGAGATGTGTGGCTGCACCACCAAGGTCATCACCTACTACGGATCCGCTACCCTGGTCCCCATTGAGACCTCGACCCCCGTCCCCGTTGAGACCTCGACCCCTGTCCCCGAGTCCACCACCACTCTGACCAGCACCGTCAGCTCAACCAGCACCAGCACTCTGACTGTGACTGTTTCGGCTTCTCCCACCCCAGTTAGCACCAGCCCCGCTAGCAGCAGCGCCCCTGTAGTGCAGCTGCCTACACCCGGTGTCAGCACTTTCTCCACCACCGGTGTCTACACCATCCCGGCCACCACCATCACCGTCACTGATGCTACCACTGTCTGCGGTGCCACCTCCACTGACCTCCCCAGCGGTACTCACACTTACGGCGGTGTTACCACCATCGTCGAGACTGCCACCACTGTCACCTGCCCTTACGCCACTGTCAAGCCCTCCGGCACCACCGTGACCAGCGTCATTGAGACTACCACCTACGTCTGCCCCGAGGCTGGTACCTACACCGTTGTTCCTCCTACCACCACCGAGGTTCCCACCAGCACCGTCCTGGTCTACCCTACCCCCCACACCATCACCCCTGGTACCTACACCCAGACCGAGTCCACCATCACCGTGACCCGCACCGACTACACCTACGTCTGCCCCGCTCCCACCGGTGGCCTCGCCTCCACCACTGCCCCTGCTCCCACCGTTCGCGCGACTACCACTGCTGCCCCCTCCAGCACCAGCAGCACCGCCGCCGCTACCAGCACCAGCGCTCCCCTCGTTCTCGGTGAGGGCCAGTACGGTATGACCTACTCCCCTTACACCGAGGGTGGTGACTGCAAGACCAAGCAGGAGGTTGCCAAGGACCTCAACACCATCAAGTCCAAGGGCTTCAACCTCATCCGTGTCTACTCCACCGACTGCTCCAGCCTCGAGTTCATCGGTGACGCCTGCAAGGACCTCGGTCTCAACATGATCCTCGGAGTCTTCATTGACGGCTCCGGTATCTCCGGCGCCCAGGAGCAGGTTGATGCCATCTCCAAGTGGGCCCAGTGGAACATGGTCGAGCTGATCGTCGTCGGTAACGAGGCCATCCAGTCCGGCACCATGGACGCCCCCTCCCTCGCCTCCTTCATCAAGTCCGCCGGTTCCGCCTTCAAGGCTGCCGGCTACAACGGCAAGGTCACCACCACCGAGCCCGTGAACGTGTGGCAGAACTATGGCCCCTCCTCCCTGTGCGATGCCGTCGACCTCGTCGGTGCCAACATCCACCCCTTCTTCAACGCCGACGTGTCCGCCGAGAAGGCCGGTGACTTCGCCAAGCAGGAGTTCGAGTACCTCAACAAGATTTGCGGTGGCAAGGAGGTCATCAACCTCGAGACCGGCTGGCCGAACGCCGGTGACTCCAACGGTGCTGCCATCCCCGGTAAGGCCCAGCAGCTGACCGCTGTCCGGGCTATTGCCAAGTCCGTTGGCTCCAAGTCCATCTTCTTCTCCTACTCCAACGACCTCTGGAAGAACCCCGGTTCTTTCAACGTTGAGCAGCACTGGGGCTGTGCCGACGTCTTCAACTAAGCGTCACGTTGAATGATGGAAGTTTTTTTTTTGAATATTTATTTTTTTAGTTCTGCAAATGCAAAACTTGTACAGGAGGATTGGAGTTCTACCTTTTCTCTGGCGCGGTGGTGGTCTGTCGACTGCAACGAGCCTTTTCTTCCCTTCTTGGATTCTATTTAAATCTTTTGACTCCTTCATGTGGTAGATACATCTTTTATTCCATGTTGTCTACTGACCTTGCACCCACCCTCGATCTCCTTGTGAATGTTGCTAGTCTTGTGTATATTTTATTCATGCTTCTTACGATCTTGATCTGGGTAGTTTTGTATTTCCAGCGTAGTCTTAACAGTTATGTATCAGCATGACATTCCCAGTCAATAGTAATTGGCCAGGATCACCGTGCTTTAGATATTTCTATATTTGTATACAACAAGGCGCTCATACTCGGATTCACATGGGATCTCCAAGACTCATCCAATCACCGCCCAATAATATGTGGCACAGTGGCAGTGCATCGATTGCCAACCAACCCGTGCAGATCATCCGCGATATCGTCAGCCTCCCTCTGACTTCCAACCCGAAGACATAACTAGACAGAACCTCTAAAGCCGACTACAGCCTCCAACTACAGCCTCCAAGGCAAGGAAGACCTCACCACTTTATCTCTCTGTATCTCATAATCCATATACAGAAATAGCCCCCGCTACGCCCTCATCCTCAACTTCCCTCCCAATCAAAACCAGAACCAAACGAATCCAACCTTCCAAAATGCCCTTCCCCTTCGAAACCTCCCCATTCTACCAACGCCCCTTCCTAATAGCCTGGACATGCATCCACAACCTCTTCACAATAACCGTTTTCGCCGTGATCCCCATTCTCGCTGGTTTAGCCATCGTCCTGGGGATCTGTTTCATCGTCTTCGCTATCCTGGCTGGAGTATTCAAGTGGGAGCTTGGTTCAAAGGAGGATAAGGCTCGGAGGAGGAAGGAGAGGGAGGAGAAAGAGAGGGCGGAAGGGAAAATGAGCAATGCAGAGCAGACAAGTACTGTTCTCTCTGTTGAATCTGAAGCGTCTGGTGGACTAGGCTCGGGTGGTGGTGCGATTGATGTTGCTGCACTCGATGCAAAGGCGAGGCTGGAGATTGAGCTTGAGTTACTTGCGGAGATGGTCGCTATTCGGAGGGAAAGGTTAGAGAATATGAAGTGATGTTTATTTACTTGGGTCTGGGGGTGGGGGGTTTGTATTTCCAAGCTGCATCGACTATCTGGAATTGGTGGAAGCGCCACAAGGCCTTATGACCTGGACGATGCGGTTCACCCGCTCACTACTTGCAGTGATTCATTTCGCTACATTCTACCGCAACTGTGAGGGACTGGTTAGGTTTAGGTTGGTTCGGACAGTATTTACTTCGGTGGATGATGGCAGAGGAGCTGCTGCCCGTTGTGACTCGCTTTACCGAAACACTTTTTATGTTGAGCGTAATCCAATCACTTCTAGCTCTTGATTCTGGACTTGATAGGAATTGATACACATTGATTCCATGTTTAATCGCGATCTGGCTAATGTCCAGGTGATTCCAGCGAAGACGTCCACCATCCAATAACTTGTATGTTCCACGTTAATAGGAACCTAGAGATGACAGGCCCAGGCAGGATACAGTGGAGCTGCCATCGATTGTCCCTCGCCAGTATCTCGGATAGTCCGTCCAAAGTTTGATATGGGCGGCTAGATTGGCCCAGATATTCCGAAGGTAGTTGCGTCCTACCTCCGAAGAGTTCTTGACATCGATGATCTCATATGTCCACCTCATCTCACGGAGGACAAGTGTTCCCACTTCGACCAGCGTGGCTGCTTGCGCAATCTCCCAGAAGCACTTGTACATGGACTCGCGAGACTTCGCGTCGATCCAGAAGATGCCACCAGGGTAGCAGTCGCGCTGAGTGAACACGTACTGGCGCGCGAGATGTGTCTTCCCAGCGCCTGGGACGCCAATGATTAATACAGACATTGTCCACCGTGTGCCCCCTCGCTGTCATCGTCAGATGCAGAGGTTGAGAAGTCAGAGGATTGGGTAGCAGTGGTCCAGTGGTCAGTGAAGGAGGAGTCAGGGAGCGAGGAGCCAGTGGACAAGACCGAGAGAACGACAGTCCCCGTCATTGCCCACACCCATGCTCCTCCTGTTCTTACACACCGGCACCTGGACCACAATTCCACGCATGGGGCTCTAGCACCCAAACATGAGCATCGGTCAGAGTTCGATCCGAACTTGGATACCCCGCGAGGACTACATGCAACCAACGGGTTCACCAAGCCCGAGGCGGAATACTCTGCGCCTGTTCCGCGTGCGCCGCTTCGGAAACCATTCCCACCCGGCGTGGACTTGGAGCAAGTCAATCGGGCTGCAGCCGAGATCGACCAAGCCGAGAAGAGCGATGTTGAAAGTCCTGGTTTCAACGCCGAGCAGCAACGGTATCAGGAGAAAAGTCACAAACGATCGGTGGAGAGCAGTCGTGCGGAGGAGGTTCGACGAAAGGTACAGTCTGAAATCACTTACCTCCAAATGACACGTATTGACCCATGTTTGGCGTCGCCGCCGTGATTTCCTCGCCGAACTAGCCAAAAGCTTCGAGCGACAAGCCCTGTTGGGTACCGACCGATTCCGAGGGCATCACGAGGGTGCTGTCATGGCCGAGGTTCAGCAAAAGGAGGTTCAGGACGAGAAGGAACGCAAAAAGGACATGCAACGCAAGCGTCGTTGCGAGGAAGTCCTATGGGGAAGAGCCTGACTCCCATGCAAAGTCTCTCCACTTTCCCTTCGTATTTCGTCTCTCCTGGTCGGACTTCGCTGTCCGGGACCACTTTTGGCACACCGTCACGCGCAACGAGCCTGCCTCCGTGGGCGCTCTGGTAGACGTTTATGTCGTACGTGTTTTTGACCAGCACATGGTACACATAGACCGTTCTTGTCTGCCCATACCGGTGCGCACGACCAATTGCCTCCACCTCCCCCACTCTTCGCTTCCCGCGCATCCAACGTTAGCTCCTCCACGGCTCCACCCCAATCTCCCGGCCTTTCCAAAAACAGCGCACACCTTTCCAATGTGTTGACCACCGGCGAAGTAATTGAATGCATCGACCAGTCCTGGTATGAGAACGGTACGACAAGGATCTTGTCACCATTCTGGATCTCCGAAACCGACATTCATTTTCTGGCGGTATGGATAGGTCGTAGTTCGAAAATCGAACCTCATCACACGCCCATCAGCATTGGCATCGATCCAGAATATGCGCTATCATACTGATGGTCCGCGTTACCCACGGTCGAGCGGTTCGTGGTGGAAAGTATAGGACGCAGCGACGCACGGGTCTGGTTTGTTCTGAGGCTGATCTCTGATAGGTTTGATTGCCATGGGCAAGGTTTGAGGTGTGTAAGGCGTCATTGCTGGTGGGTCGACTATGGGCAAGGCATATCCCCATATCATGACGCGCAGTTCAGCCTGATCCAAGAATTACTTGACCAACTGATCAAATCCATCCGTCACTCACGACTAATCGGAGACCCCACTCGTGCTAACAGATGGCAGACCATTTCAAACAGTTTTCAATGGAGTGCGGATCCTGACTATGTCTTCCAAGACGGTATGTCCTTAATGGCACACACCATCGTGAAGTCAACAATCAGAGAGGTAAAAGTGTTACTCCCTCATGGGGCTGACACAGGTTGTCTCGCCTCCCTAGAAAGGCGACAGAAGGGCTTGAGCTCAGCGCAGAGCAGGAACATCGTGCGAGCACCGATGTGGTACTCGTGTTTCCGTGGGCGGTCTGGATATGTCAGTCTAAACTCCCAAGTTAAGAGGCGTGGAGATCGGGAAGAGTGGATTCCATGTAATTCTCTGTCTTACATTTCACGCTGAAGTTTGAAGCACGAGTGACGGTGCTTTACTTCTTGGGCACAATGGCAGCTTCGATGGAAGATACTGCTGCATCGTAGCAGGCAGGTCACTTGTTGGTGCCGCATTCTTTCGGCCCGATATGAGTGCGTGGGGTTGCCATAGCAGGATCTGCAAGCGGTATGTCCCCATAGCGTGCAGCGGAAGATGGTATCTTGACACAAGATCGTTGTCAGCCAGGCCAGTGTGGGTCATGGCAAGGCAGGTATGTTGAGGCGGCGAGGTTTGTTGATTGACGCGTGCTTCCAACCTTCTGGTAAAGAGAAGCACAAGATGGATAATGCCAAAGAAGATAAAACAAACGATAAAACGCGAGAGAAAGGATGGCCAAAGCGATGAACAACGGTGGTTGGAAAGGTCAAGAATGAAAGGAGAAGAGGCACCAGGACAGAGAGTTAAGTAGCTTTGAAAGAGGCGGGACGATCGGTCACGAGCCTTTAGTCACGGGCCTTTGGTTACCGCCTTTCATAGCAATAAACGAGGCTATTCCCACGTGCCATTTTGGGGAAAGGGGAACAGCGTGATACCGCCTCAACAGGTCGAATACCCTCGACCTAATTACCAGGTGACGTCCTATCTTCGCTATATTCCCTTGATCATGTCTATAACCTCCGGAAAAATGTTGCTACGGCTCCGACTACTAACAAGAGATCATAGTATCCGAGTTTTTCTATCCATACAGCGTAACAGCCCAGGTTTGGTCAAAGGGATAGGGTAACAGCCGTGCGGCGCCGGCCCGTGCCGGATTAGGGTCACGTGTGCATGTGACCCAATACTTGTTTGCACACTTTGCACCGCTCCCTCCCTGTGCCTACTTTCATGTTTGTTCAGGCTTCTGATGGATTGCATCTGGCCCAGCCAAATTGAATCCGTTTTGGCTTCGGTCCTTCACAGATAGAACATTGGCATTTGACAGTGCCCGCTCTGGAGTGAAATATGAATGCATTCTCCGCTCAAGACATGCGGAGGCAAGAGAGTGCAGATGGGGCTGGGACTCAGGAAGTGGATCAGAGTGATCTCAACCGAGTCCATCCCGGGCGACGCCCAGTTCGATGATCGTGAGAAAGGCCATCTTTGATTGGGTTCCATTCCACGGCGGGGTTTCAAGGTTGTCGTTGAATCCATCAGAGAGGTTGAATCCATCAGAGCATCAGAAGCCACCACGCCGTGTCACCGCCCAGATGGACTTTATCTCCAAATGCCCGCTACCATGCTATCGCCGTTGGTATAGCTTACAGGTGCAAACTGTATAAACTATGTGATCGCCTATGCCTAACCCTCATAAGAGAGACTGGGGCGTCGGGATATTGGGGGTGTTTACCATATACAGGTCAATGTCCTTCCACTTCAACGCATCATCTTCCGCTTCATAACAGGAAGACAGTACAAGGGTTCCAGGTCGGGCTGAAGTTGAAACCGTCATCTTTCGCAGCGTGTTCAATTGAAAAAGGACACGGACTGTGGGAAAGGCTATACCACAGGCATCTACTAAATGATTCGTGATAGCGAACACCTCGTTGATGCTAAATGGCAGCTGCTCTTTCGCGGTCTTATCAAGGTCGTGCTCTATGGCCATTGTTTGAGCCAGCTATTGGAGTACGTAAATTAACGTATATCGTATCATCACGATATCGGACTATTGAATCTCCTCTCCTGTAGGTAGTCCCACTACTCCCAGTGGCGGACCTGGTTCGCAGACAGGTTCGCGTTTCTCGCTCTTCAGTAGATACCGGATTAAAAATGGGAGAAGACCAATGGGCATGATGTCTGGGTGAAGTGTGAGCCTCAACACAACCTCACGAAAGCACCATGTGACACGACGCTCCAATGCGCTCGCCTTAAACCATCCGTTCATGTCCAAGGTCCAGGTATAGCAAGCGCTTAGGTTGTTCCAAGGCGGTAGGTCATATGGTCGCGTGCTTAGTCGTGCCCTCTCTCCCTCTCACTTCATCAGTTCATCTTCCACTTTCTCAATCCATCCCCCATCAACTTCCATCCCCGGACCACTCATTATCCCCACAACGAGGTTCCTAATTAATTTGATGCGCGGAATCGATTGATGAGGCGCTTCATGTTGTCCGAGTGGAAAATCAAGGGCCCCAAGCGAGTCCTTCCCTCGGAAGCCTCGCTGCCTCGTGGGGGCCTCGGCCCCTCGCCTCTTTCGGTAAGTATCCCGCCATCTCTTTTCAGCTCTTCCATCTCCTTCATCTCTTTCAAATGGATCAGCCCGAGTCTGCAGACAATCTCCATGACGAAAGTTGATACTGACGACTGCAGACGACGCGGCAACAGACGGAGCCATCGCTTCCTATCCGACGATCCACGAGGGACGGAGCCCCAGCTGCTCACAGCCTTGAACATAGGCATCACAAACAATTTGCAATGCTCGAGTGCCTATGGAATCCTTGAGAATCGGCAGGAGACTCTATACCGTAAGTACCGGGCAGTCGTCCGACAAGGACCCAAGTCCATCCTTGAAATCTCGATACTTACTCCTTCCCAATAGTGTCTGAGTCCTGCCATGAGCTCGGTGGCTGCAGTTGAGCAGGGACCTCGATGACCACCGTTGGTCCGCCGTCGAGTAGAGGAGCCGAGTGCCATCATCGATGCGCGTGCAAGCTGCACACGGTCACATCACGCCGCCCAAGGCCGGAGAACAGTAAGCCCACCAGACTTCCAGGTACTCCTATTTGTACCTTGCACTTTGGTTGGTTTTTAATAATTCAACGTCTAGGATCGACGTCACATTTTCCTGGAGGCCTCACTTGGCGTCGCCGTGACACAGGAAGAGCTGATGAGTTCTTCAAGGCCACACAACGTGCCTCGATCAAACGCGATGTTCTAACCATTATAGGCCCGGCTGTCAATCTGCGGAGAAGCCAGTGACATTCTGCCATGCCGGTACGTGACCCCAGTCATGATAATAAGGAATGGGTATCTGATAGGATTCAACAGTGGTTCAAGGAAAGAAAGATCTGGTGAACTCATGTCACCAGAATTCAGTTATGATCCGACCTCCTGAGGAGCGACCCAAGGTACGATCAACGAACGCCTCTCTAGTCCCCTTCAAGCGGCAATACTGACTGACTGCAGGTGTTTTTTACAAGCGGTCGCTTTGCAGGATCGCAGGCACCATTTCCTCGCCCAGATGCCGCCAGTACCCTGCGTGGCGCCGTCACCAGCACCACCCAGCAAGGTAAGAGCTCCTGCCTTCTGGCCCAAAAAATGGATCTGACCTTTTTCACAGGTGTGGATAGCAATGGGTCCCAAAGCCAAGATACGGTTGCGCCAGGACACACCCGGAACCGGTTGAACGTGCACCACGCATCTCAAATGATCCTTCCTCGCGCATCTGCTTCTTGGGATACTCTGGGGTTCCTCTTGCTTCCTGTGCCATGGCTAGTTGCATCCTCGCTTGGCTGTCCGGCTCATCGTCCTCGCCCATTGGAGGGAACACTTGTCCCCCGTGAGATGAGGTGGACATATGAGATTATCGATGTCAAGAACTCTTCGGAGGTAGGACGCAACTACATTTGGGATATCTGGGCCAATCTAGCCGCCCATGTCAAAATTTGGACTGACTACACCCGAGATACTGGCGAGGGACAATCGATGGCAGCTAGCAAAATGGATGAGATTCATAATCTCTGGTACAATCTGACAGAGAACGACCTCTCCGCTGGAATCAGGATATTAGCCAGATTGTGATTAATCGTTGAATCAATATGTATAAATGCCTATCAAGTCAAGAATCAAGAGCCAAAAGTATTTGGATTACGCTCAACATGAAAAGGTGGTATGGTACATGGAATTCAAAACAGGGAGCAGCTCCTCTGTTGTTGTCCAACCAAGTAAATACTGTCCGAACCAAAACCTAACCAGTCCCTCACAGTTGCGGTAGAATGTAGCGAAATGTATCTTTGCAAGTAATAAACCGGTGACCCGCGCCGTCCAGATCAAGCGCTTGCTATCTGGACCTTGGACATAAACAGATCGTTGAAGGCGAGTGTATTGGAGGGTTGTGTCACATTGTGCTTTCGTGAGGTTGTGTTGAGGGTCACACTTCACCAGGACATCATGCTCATTGGTCTTCTCCCGTTTTTAATCCGGTATGGTACCTACCAACACGATACATGGGATTGTGTAGTGTCCTGCGTTGACTGGAGGGATTGCTAATCGATTAAGACCAACTACAAGCACTGAGAGCAGCTGCAGAACGGAGGGAAAATGGGTCGTTTGATCGATGGTGAATGCACCAAACGACATTCAACACGCTGCAGGGGCCAATGACCCGTATCATTACGCCTGGGCAGCATACTTGAATGTGTTTCCGAACACCTTGGCCGCCTCTTCAACATCAACGGGAAACAAACGTACGGTGGGCTTCCTTGTAAGTCTTCGTCTTGTCCATACATGTCAATTCAATAATTATATACGGGCATCAGCTAGATACAGATAAGTGAAGGCGTTGAATGCAGAGGTGTTTTCCTGTCACCTCCAACCCAACAAAAAGGCACCAATCACGGTGACTGCGATAGATACAACTGTTTACACAGTATTATGCATGCAATTCCAACTTAGAACGCTTCACATGTCTGTTCACCACATTAGCATCTTGTCATCAGACATAGGATCGTGCTCGACAGGAATAGCTAGGAACTTACACCATTAGAACCGCAAGTAAGTCCCTCACAGCAACATCCCTCACCAGCACAATTCGAAGCTGTGCAAACCATAGTATCCTACAAATCATCAGCAACCGTCTCTCTCGTATATAGTTTCGCGCAATCTCACAGATTGACATGAAATCGCAGCCTTAGGATATGCTTCCGGCAGTGCAACGGAAAGCGTAGCAAGGAAACCGAGGATAAGGACGGAAGCGCGCATTGTGAGGTGTTGAAAACAAGAAGAGCTGGATATGGGGTATCTAGCAGAATGAGTAGCGAGTATCAGCGACCGGGTCAAATAACGGTGAGAGATGCTGCAATATCGCGAACGGGTGGATATGCAAGGGCGACTAAACGGTGTGGATTGACTTACCTTTGCGCAACAAGAGAGATCAAGCGATGAAATTGAGCTGAAATCAAATCATGGGGTATTTCAGGTCGAAAGCGAAAAAAAAAAGCATTAGGGCTGGGCCCGTTGAAGTCTTATAGCTTTCGTCGACTTGGAGAAGTAATGACACAGGCCACGCGCGGACGCGATGATCCATCGCTGTCTTGCCTGAAACACCGGCCCCGGAGGATCTGCAGGGGTAAACTGCGGGATCGATCGGCGGTGATTGGGGGGCTGGCTTGTCATAGTGTTATCAGGGATGCTCTAGTATGTATCGTGGAGGCCAGATCTGTGCGAGAGCGATGTACAGCTATCTTTGTATACGGAGTACTGCGTAGATGTTTATGTTGTACAATATGCCTCATCAATGGCACCGGGAGCGACGCTCAATTCTACTACCTATAACAGTGACGTCAGCATCGTGAAGAAAGATGTTGTTGGCTCAACCTGCCTGGCAGACGGTGTGTAGAACGAGAACATGACTAGGCTAGCCACTGACTTCATTGCGGAGTACAAGGCCAGTGATAACATGTCGTACATACGAAGACAAAGAAGCGGCTGTGTGACTCGCGAGTCTGTCCCTATCGAGGATATGTGTCTGCCATTTTCAGGGTTAGAGTCTAGACCACAAGCGTTGACCCAGTTCTGACTTGAATAGTGGCTCACAGCGACGCGGCTGGCGATGGGCATGTCACCAGGCTCTTGACATGACTTTAGCAAGGGGTTCGCGGGGCGGGGCCTACTCTTGCAGGCTTGGCAGTGACGGAGCTTGCGTGGGCGGCCCAGTGGGGAAAGGATAGGCTGCATGGTGGGTCGTAGGAGCTATTCTTGGGGGCTGGGGCCCCTGGTGGAAGAGGCGAAGGTTATAGGGAGGTATCTTTTCTACAGTAACAAGACTGTGAAGACAGAGCTGGATAAGAATGAAAGTCTAGGCCGTTCGAGCACCTAGCCGTAGATGATGTGTGGCGCATCGAGGGATACCAAACTAATCATAGTGGGAGGTCAATGTACTCAGCATATTCGAATTGACAAAACTATCAGACGAGGTCGTATATCAAATCAATCTGCCCCATTTGACAGCAACCAACCCGCAGCAGCCTAAGTCGCACGCTGCTCATACTTCTCTCTCAGACCCTTCAAAACAACCTTTACCAACCCACCAAGCGTCGCCGCCCGATTAATTTCAACCGTGGCAATCTCCACACCCAGCGACCTCCTCAGCCAATTCCTAACCTCAATAGCCATAAGCGAGTCCACCGCCATACCTGCTATAGCCTCAGTATCCTCCGCACCATCCTGACCCTGCTCCTGCGCCTCTCCCGTAAGATTATGACTGATGAACTTGCCCAGCTCCGCCATCAGCGCCAGCTCAGTCTCCCGTTTACTGGTCAACGACGGATCAGCCTGGATCTGAGCAAGAAGGGCCTTCAACGCGTTCGCATGAGAAGATTGATCTCCAATGCCCGCATTGGTAGACTCGAGGTTTGGATAGATCGAGAAGCGCGCGTCGCGGCCGCCGAGGAATATTCCCTTCGGCAGATCCGCGAGGCGTCGGGTGTGGGCCAAGCCTATACATATAGCTCCCGTAGTACTAGAAGAGACGACTGGAGATATTTTGATTGCTGCGGCGAGTCCGTCAATCACTTCAGCTTCGTGGAGCACTTGCAGCCCGATGGATTGGACTCTCTGGTTGAAGCGGGGGTTGCGGCTTGCGGCTCCTACATCGCCGACGACGCCGAGGTGCAGGATAGAGGACGGGAGTCCCTGCCGTCGTCGGTAACGGGTAAATGCGTCGAGGAATGATGTTGCTGCTGCGTAGTTGGCCTGTCCGGTATTCCCACAAATGCCGGAGATGGAGCCGAATACAACGAAGAAATCCAGGGAGTGTTTCGCGGTGGCGTGGTGCAGATTCCAGGTGCCGGTGACTTTCGGAGCGAGAGCGGCTTCCCATTCCTCGTGGCTCATCTCTAAGAAGAGACAATCCTATCATTGGAAGAGAGATTAGACATTATACTTGTTGTGGTGACAGTGCGAATAAGAGGGTAATTACCTTCAAGTCAAGGGCCATCTGAAGGACGCCAGCAAGAGGCCGAGTGCATGTGGCAACAGCGTCCTTAACCACCTTGAGGTCTGTGACGCTACCTGCTATGCAGATGACATGACATCCTTGCGCCTCAAGTTCGCGAACAAATGCTTGATCCTCCTCAGACTTGCCTGCCGACCGTGAGAGGAAGACAAGCTCTCGGGCGTTCTGCTCGACCATCCACGTCGACACCGACCGTCCAATACCACCGAGCCCCCCGACAATCAGGTAGGCGGCATTAGATCGGAAAGATGGGTGCACCTTTACGGTGGGAAGAGGCAGTTCCTCCACGGAGATTGGCATACGTACCACTATTTTACCGATGTGAGTACCAGCCTGCATATACCGGAAGGCGCTGACGACATCGACTGCATCAAATAGTTTGATAGGTGTGATCGGTGCAATTCTCCCTTGACGATACCAATCGGAAAAGGTTGCCAGAGTTCTGCGATGTGTCAGTGAGATGCTTTGCGACCGAAAGTCTCTGGAACGTACCTTTTGAGAATCTCTGGAGTGTCCTTACAAACCTGTGCGAGATCGACACCGAAGAATGATCGGTTGGCCTCGAATAGACTCATATTAAGCATGCCATGACTTATAAAGTCACGTTTCCCCAGCTCGATCATCCGTCCAAACTTCGCAACGCATTCCCATGATGCGTGGAGGAGGTTGCCTGATAATGAATTTAGCACTATGTCAACTCCCCGTCCGTTAGTGACACGCATTAGGTCTGGCTGGAAGGACGTGTTGCGAGAGTTGAAGATGCGCTCTCGCGGTAAACCAAAATTCTCCATCAAATGGGCCACCTTGGTGTCGTTGCCGACGGTGGCATAGATCTATTGCTGGAAATTAGCCATGACCTCTATGTCAGCCATGGGGAGGGTTGAATATTAACCTCGGCACCAACAGCCCGGCATACGTGAAGCGCAGCTAATCCGACACCGCCGCAGGCGGAGTGGATGAGAACGGACTGGTCTTAGTCAGTCACTGTTAAACACGAAACAACAAGAAGGTGACTTGCCTGGCCTTTCCTCAAGGCACCGATCTCAAGCAGGGAATAGAGCACAGTGATGTAGGCTGTTAGCATCGTAGCAGCGTCTAGCATGGACAATCCTTCCGGCAGCTTGAGACAAGCTTCCTGAGGCACCACGACATTTGAGGCCAGGACCCCAGAATGCATCAAGACGACGCGGTCACCGATAGATATTTCCGTGACATCTTGTCCAACTTGAAGCACGGTGCCGCTACCTTCGAGGCCAAGGTCTTCTTTGGTCCCGAAGAAGCCCATTGCAACCATCATATCCTGGATCACGCTTCGTTAGCAAATTCCAAGCCGTTAGTTCAAGGAAATAGAAAACCGACTTTGAAATTCAAGCCTATGTGGTCCATCTCCACTTCGACCTGCCCAGCCCCCAAATAATAGGAGGGATCTTTCTCAGCCCAGTATAATGTATCCAGTAGCCCGTAAGCCGTTAGGGTTAGCTTCCTGGAGGCCTCTGCCCGAGGTGGATTTGCGAGTTGCTTGATAAGAGGTGTCCAGTGGAACCGGCCGACGTTAATGTCACCTCTATGCAAAGCGAACTCATACTCCGGATCGGGGGGTAAGAGCTCTCGGGATCTCTGTATATGCTCACACAGCTCGATGACAGTTTTTGCGGAAGCCGTATCCAACGTAGGGATCTCAAGTACGGAGATATCAAGCAACAGCTCCGACCGTAAAGTCCGGGCAAGCCCGTGAATAAAGCCAAATGATGGATCCGAGCAGGTGAGCGAGGTTGATCTCGTGACCCAAAGAACTTTGCACTCTTGCACTTGTTCTATGTAACGTTGGAACACCTCGAACTCCTGTTTGGGTAGAGTGCTTAACGGAGTCCCCTCAATGTCCAACAGAGATACGACAAATTTGCCTTTGGGTGCGGGTTCGTCCAGCCTTGTCCAGACAGGGGTGTAGCCTTGGTCATGGAAAAGCAACTCGACCTCAGCTGCCCACTGCGAAAGGGCATTGCTGCCTTTGAGTAACCAGATTTCCATCGGATCGTGCATCTTCTGGTCCATGGGTCGGGACAGCATGCTGGCAGATATATGATATGGCGGTTTTTGATCGTAAGCCACAGTGTCGGTTCCGGTGAAGCCTGTAGCTCGCAACTCTTGATCCCACCGTTCAGGTGAGATGTACGGCTTTTCTGCTCGTTCGGCTTCCTCGCCAAGCCACCAGCCGCTGAATACTCCCTATTGAAGACATAAGCAAGATAACGGATTTGAAGATACACTGAGCCTACCATGGTAAAATCTGCAATTAGGATATCTGTAGATGCATCAGTTTAGTCTGTCACATCTGATGTGTTGAACATACCTGGGCTAATTTCATGTAGTAGAAAGCGCCCAGTGGGCTTGAGCAAACTATGGACATGACTGAGCGTAGAACGTATATTGGGAGTGGCATGGATAACCTATTGTAGAGACTTAGTATCATGCTGCTGGTTTTATATCCGAAGGTTCTGTCAGCCAGAAACTCACATTAGAAGCGATGACAAGGTCAAAAGTGTGAGCATCAAATCCTTGTTCGAGAGGATCTAGTGTAATATCAAGAACTTTGTAATCGATGCACTGCTCATTGGCAAATTTCTCTTTTGCCGTGGCCATGAATCCGGAGGATATGTCAGTAAAAACATACTGTTCATACATACGCTCCCCGCCAGCGGATTTGAGCAGATCTAGAGCCATGGCTGTTCCAGAACCAGTGCCTGCGCCAATCTCAAGGACCCGTAGGCTCGGGTTTGAATGACACAGCAAAGGGAGAAAGGGGCTCCAGTCAGCATACTGCGTATGTGCCGCATGGAAGCGGTGCAGCAGGTTGTCTTGCATAAGGACCTCCAGGGGATTGCTCTCTTCCTTCAGGAATGCTGCGCTGTTCTCCGAAACAACCTGAATACAGTCCGCAAGGGCAGTATCAAAGGTAAACTTGGTTCCAGCGAGCACGTCTCGTATCTTTTCTTGTCTTTCTGCAGAATTCATCAATGCCCATTGAGCTGATTCGGGGTAGATGGACTGCTTTCCAGAGGTTTGCATATTTTCAGCTGCGCCCAGAATGAATTTCTTCCATTTAGCGAGGTGCGGTAACGTTGGCTCGAGGTCTCGGATTCTTTCAGCCGTCTCCAGGACATAAAGCGCGGATAGCTGGCCCAAAGCTTTGATATTCATCGCTTGTACAGTGAAGGCTTGTGGCGTAGATAAAAGTGCCGCTGGGGATATTGAGTCGACATTTGGTTTCCACTCGAGATGGGTTACTGAGCCCGCGGGTCCAGTGCCAGCATCTACTTGATCATTTTCCAAGGCGAAAAGATAGGCTCCTTGAATAGACAGAACCACTCGATCATCAAGCATAGCTATGGTATCGCCCATCTGGCCGTCCCGTACACCGCTCTTGGTTCGAGCGTTTGCTGTCATAGGTGGACCACCTAGTCCGACAAACAGAGAATCAATCATTGCTGGAACGTATATTGTGCTGAGGTGACGCGTCAATCCCTGAGAGCAAGCCACGCCCATAAGCTGAAGACCCTGGTCAATTGCAGTTGGATGCAAGGCATATCTGCTTCCGGGTAGTCCACGATTACCCATGATAGTCGCGGTTGCTCTCAACCCCGTCGGATCGGCTGTGATCTCCTCAAGGCCCTGGAACTGGGGGCCATATTCTATCCCGCTTCTCTGAAGCACACGGTATAATCCTTCGGGCGGCACAGCTCTCTCATAAGGAGATATTGACCATGGCTCTGGGGGATGATCATATCCAGCTCTCACTTGACCCTGACAATGAATTGTCCACCGTTCACCGTCATGGACCATAATCCTGAATCCATACCAGCCGGATGGGACCCTGTCAGCCACTTCAACTGGGCTGAGACAAGTCACAATCTCGATCTGATCTCCTTCGTGGAAGAGTAATGGCGTTATAAAGGTTGTGTTGCGCACTGAATAACTGTCATTCTCCTGGTGTATTTGCAGGACAGCCTCGCCTGCCATGGCAAGAAACCCAGCACCTGGGAACGTGACGGCTCCTTGAATGACATGATCTAAAAGCCAGGGCACATTATCCAGTGAGAGTAGGTTGCGCCACGAGGACTCATGATCAGGCGTCTCAACGACGCGAGAACCGAGGATTTCGTGGTGCGGGAACCTGCGCTGTCTCCATTCTCGACTCAGTCGACTCTCACTCCAATAAGGCCGATCATGTTGCCAAGGATAAGGAGGGAGATCTGTTAATGGCTTTCCAGGCTCAATTATCTTTGAAAGATTGACTGCGGCACCGCTTGCAAACACTTGCCCCGCTGTCTTCAGTAGCTGGCTTTGAACGTCCTCATCATACCTGAACAAGGTAGGGATGTAAACCGGTGACTTTACTGCCAATGTTCGGAAGATCTGTCGCAGAGGAGCAGCTAGTGCAGAATGTGGCCCAATCTCTATGAAGATAGGCGATCCACTTGCAGGAATACTCTGAATAGCCTCGGTGAAGAGTACAGGTGATTCCAAATTTTGTCGCCAGTACGACGCATCCAGTTCGCGCGGGTCGGTGATTGTTTGACCAGTTACGCTTGAACAGAAAGGGAGCATATCTTGCTCGTGTTCGATGTGACTGCAGATACAATGCTCATATTCGGAACCAATATGTTTCATGTGGTCTTGGAGATTGTGAGCGAATGTTAACACGGAAAAGAGGAGCCAAGCTGAACCTACCAGAATGATAAGCTATTTTCACTGGAAGCCGGCGACACAATGTATCTGGGCTCCCCGTCTTAATGCTTTTAATCGCACGGTCGACCGAACCATGGTCTCCAGACAAGGTGACACTATTCGGACTATTGTGACAGGCAACTACTACGCCGGGGGTCAGGTACGGTGTCACTTCATCCGGGGAGAGTCCCACGGCCGCCATCGCGCCTAATCCTTCGAGTGGCTTTGCGACCTTTCCTCGATAGTACGCCAGGATAATCGAAGTTTTCATCGTAATGGCTCGGGCGGCATAGGCCGCCACAATCTCCCCGCTGGAATGACCGACAACCGCGGATGGTTGAATGCCCCAGCCTCTAAGAATGTTAACCAGGCCAATTTGAAGAGCAACGCATAATGGCTGAGAGTATTCAGCCTCATTGACTCCTGCAACTGAGCTTTCTTGATTTAATTCATCTATAATGCATGTTAGCTGAGGTGTTTCCTTCATTCCAGAGGTGATTTGAGGGTCTGACCGTGCAGTAACCAATTTGGGGAATCTGGCAATTTCTGCAGTATTTCATCCATTATCTTGATATCGTTTTTGAACTGCGGGAAGTTGGCAAGGAGATGTTTCCCCATTCCAGGCCATTGAGCCCCCTGGCCCGTGAACACAAATATGACATTCGGGGAAGTGACACCGAAGCTAGAAAATGAACCATCTTCTAGAACAGATGCACTAGACCGTAGCACTGCAAAAGCTCGATGGGAAAGATGTGATCTGCGGGCGCTCAAAGTGTACGACAGGTCGTGGAGACGATCCGAGTGATTCTCGACATAGTGGACGATCTGGCGAATACGCTTGCGGAGAGCTTCTGCATTGTGCCCAGAGGCAACCAAGAGATGCGGATTAGACCGATTTGACGCCGTCGGCAGAGAGTCCACAGCAACACCAGGGGGGGACTCGAGGACAGCATGGGCATTGGAACCGCCGATACCAAACGAGTTCACGCTGATTCTTTCAGCTCGATCGACCGGCCATGGAGTCGGCTTTAGAGGAACATGAAGATTCCCCTCAGTGAATGGTATATTGGGATTGGGTGTTTGGAAATGGATATTGGGTGGAATAGTCTTGTGTTCGAGTGCCAAGACGGACTTGATGATGCTTGTGATGCCTGAGGCCCCTTCCGAGTGACCGACATTTGGTTTCACCTGCAAAGTTGTGAGTTACAAGATTCCCTATCTACACCAACGAATAAGGAACACTACTTACTGCCGTGATGTAGGTTTCGTCACGTCCAGTCATCTTCGCAACAACCGATGCTTCGATCACATCTCCCACGGTCGTCCCTGTCCCGTGACATTCAAAGACTGGCGTCTCGTGGATAGCGTCAATCCCCGCGGCTCGATATGCCTGACGAATCAACCTCTCTTGAGATGTAGGACATGGCTGAGAGAAAGTGGGAGTTTTCCCGTCATGGTTGGTCACTGTGGAGCGGATGACAGCGCGAATAGGGTCACTGTCTCGAAGAGCATCCCGCAACGGCTTAAGATATACGCAGTTGATCCCTTCGCCTCGACCATAACCATCTGCATTGGCGTCAAAGGTATGTGAGATACCACTTGGAGACAGTACCGTGTTTTTGGTCATAGCATCTGTCATGGTCGGGCCCCATATAAGGCTGGTCCCGCCCACGAGGGCTGTTGAGCACTCCCCGAATTGCAGTGCTTGGCAAGCCTCATGCAAGCCGACCAGTGATGAGGAGCAAGCCGTCTGAATGGTCATGCTTCAAAATGTCAGAGGTGTCTTGCATAACGGCAATGGCACACTCACCTAGGACCCAGTAGATCAAACCTGTACGACACCTGATTCGCAAGAGCGTAGCCGCCGGTGCCGATGGGGTATACCTGATTTAGATACTGCGGGTCTTTGTGCGATATCTCGAGCCAGTCTTCACCGAAAACTCCAATATAGCATCCGATCTTTTCCCCTCGCCATTTGGTCTCCCCCGCATTCTCCAGGCACTCCCAAACCACCTCAAGCAAGAGCCGTTGCTGGGGATCGAGGCGTCCGGCCTCGTGCGGTGGAATGGAGAAGAAGGCAAGATCGAAACAAGCTGGTTCTTCTTGTAAGAAGAATCCTTTCCTCGGTTCGCTGGAAATTCCACAGTCGACGCTGCTGGATGCCTCGCGAGAGCAGCGCGAGGGAGGCGCCTCGCAAAAGCCATCTCGTTTGTTTACGAGCATTTCCCAGAAATCTTCACCACATCGTACGCCGCCCGGCAACCGCATTGCCATACCGATGATGGCTATTGGCTCCGCGGCTTTCTCCTTGGTGTCTCTGCATGATGGCTGTCCTTGTCCAGTGGTTGAATTCATATTTGGTCGAATGATTGGAGTCTGACACTGGACAAAGGGGGCTGCAGACGGGATCAAACGGACATGGGACTAGGGTATGAGTCTCAGTGGTACGAGATGTGGTCTTTTCAATAACGACCAAATTGACATACATTCTCCTGGTTGGGTCAGAACTTCACATAATATGTACCTACATATCCTGGTTCTGTGGACAGTGAGTGGCACATTCCCTCCGATATTTGCCGCCATCGGATGAATGGAATACACTTAAAGAGGGTCTGGCCGTGTTTAACTTTCTGCCCACTGCAGAGATAGTGCATATGGACGAAGGCCCCCAGCTTGCCCCAGCTTGATTTACGGCCTGCTTAAGCTTGTTCAACGCTACACCAGCCCAGACCTGCACATGTGTGACTGTAACACAATCAGGGACCGAGCTAGAACCTTATCAAAGCTTAATTTCAGGATAAAGCAAACTAGAAGAGATTGGGCAACTCGGACGAAAACGATGTACAACCCTCCGGGTGGTCCAACCGAAGCAGTTGCTTGACATGTGCTCAAGGTAACCCACCATCATCGAGGTATTCATATTGCTGCAGCACTAAAAGTACATTTGACTGGAAGTTACTCTAGGCCATAGCTTGGTGCGACCCAGTTCAGAAAATGGCCATAGAACCGATTAAGACGTTGCAGCCCGATGCTCGCAGTATTCGAAGCTCTATCGTGGCGTCAGTGTTCTACTTAACTTCGTGATGTGGCCACGGAGAGTATGTACTATCTTTCGAACGCCGACATCCCCGCAGCCATGTCTGTTCTTGAATCTAGTCAGGACTAAATGATCAACGAGAAAGGATGGTCATAACGCATGAGAAGAAACTCTCTACTATTTAAATTTCGGCTTGCCTTCAGCAAAGCAGGAACCTGCTAGCTCGGTGAATCTTGGCCAATGACAGTGTTGTCCATCAAACTTGCGAGATAACCATTCAGGTAAATTGCACGACTCTCCCCCGAATGTGTTAGCACACCGTTTTCCATTCGCAACGTATATCGCAAGTTTTCGACCAGGAACCGCAAGTGACTATTTACAAAGATGGAAGTCGAATGGTTTCGAGGACAGGTCGTCTTCCTGACGGGAGCAACCGGAAACCTCGGCGGTTGTCTTGTGTACAAGCTGGCGACTCAGCTCCCAACCGCCAAAATATTCGTTTTGGTGCGGGGTTCTGTCCAGAAGGCGCTTGAAGCATGGGAGCAGTCGATGCCAGAGCAAGTGGAGGACGTAATCTCTACTGGCAAGATCCAATTCCTTCTGGGTGATATGATCCAACCCAACCTTGGTCTATCATCTGCCAATGTATCACGCCTCTGTAATGAGGTAACGGTGGTTATCAACGCTGCTGGTGATATTGCTTTATCGCGCAGTCTTGCGGAAACCATGCCAATCAATTGCATTGCGCACCTGACATTAGCTGGGCTACTAGACAGCTTCACTCAGTTGAAGCGATTCCTCCATATATCAACCACATATGCGACCAGCTTTCTTCCAGACGGCGTGGTCAAGGAGCAAATCTACCCCTTATACGAAGACCCAGTTGAGGAGTTCAGGAAAATCCTCGTGACAGGAGAGTCATCCTACACCAAAAAGTTCGCGGCGCCCTATGCATTGGCCAAACACCTTGCGGAATGTTTACTTTCGAACGGCGACCACAAGTTCCCCATTCTCATCGTGCGGCCTTGCCTCATTTCACCAGCAATCGAAGACCCGTACCCACTCTACGGCAGCGACGGCGCAATACCCGCCCATTCCTTCATTCAGATCCTGCTAAAAGACTCAGAGTACGGGCCTTTGCAACTCGAGAAGGAACTCCCCTCGCAAGTAACCAGCAATGAAATTCCAGTTGACCTCGTCGCGCGTGTCTGTCTGGCTCATGTCGCTCAAGGCACGACGGGTGTGGTCCATGCCAGCGCTGACCTGTACATGGCCCGAACGATCGGGGAACTTTTGGAGCTTATGCACCGTTATGCGCCACCTGGATCGGAAGATCGGATTCGGAAAGCTGGGATTGATCAGGGAGATCTTACGGCTCCTGATTTCTTCAATATGATCCAACAGTTTGCTCGAAACTGGAAAATTGAGTGCGCACGGTCTGCCCACTTGAAGAAATTGCCCGGTCCGCTCGGGCTCGACCTTGCCGATCACGACCCTGAGGATTTTTTTAGACGTCGGACTGAGCTGTTGGCTAAGGTACTTTTTGAAAAACTGGACAATGCCACCCAAGCAGCCAGCAAATTCCATCCGAATATGTCTTAGAGTCATCTTTCGCGACCTACCATGCAAGCTTCAATCATGGGAATGGCAATCTCGAAGATACCATCAATCTTGTGGTTGTACTTGACTACCTTTCTGGGAACGGGTCTGGAGGTGACTGAGGAGCAATACTCGCTGATTGTCGAGGTCACAGCATACTGTTTTGGCGATAGCACAATCACAAGCTAGTCCCGATTAGGCAATAAACCATTAAAATGAGGCATGCGACCTTCGGCCGCTGTGCGAGGTGCGTAGTCAAGCACGTGTTACCCTAAAGAGACGCCCTGGTACCCTGGTATATAATCCGACCGTGGCCCCCAGCAGACTAAGGCGGGAGGGGTATTGTTCCATCCACAGACCACGTCTTTTTTAAACAATATCATTCCAACTCTCTAAGGTCCCCCAACTCGGCATACAAGTGAAATACTTCTTAGATATAGGTAGGAAACACATATCCTTTCTATTCAAACGACTCGAAAACATTCAATTAATATCCCAGTGCTTGTTTAGTACCTACATCAACTGCGTTGCGTTATCATTTCTAGCAATATGAAGACTCCAGAAGACAAGGGCAGCTCTGTCCCTCCTGGAACTCATGCTCCCAGGCCCCAAGGTCCTTCATGGAGAGGTTTTGCAGAGACATTTGTGATTACCTTTTTGACTCTTCTGATCACCATCTATCTCAAAGACGTCTTCTTCAAGTCCGACAATTTTTTACTTCAGTGTGGGATTCATGCCTCATTTTTTACTTTATTCAACTTTCTGTACCGGAAGTTTCAATGTCTTTAAGTACATAGATCCCCTGTAGTCTGAAAGACAGGCAGCGGTCGAAACAAAGAAGACATCCTCTTACTCCACTCCACGTATGCCGGCCCCGGCCTATTGGAGCGCTAAACCCAAAAGGACAGAACTAACCCGATACAGTCCCAGATCCGCCTTTTTCTTCCTATCCCAGGAATTTCTGGACTTCTCAGACTATCTATGCTACCCAGATACCCAATATGGAGGAACCAGTCCATCCGTTACGACCTGATTCAAGACTCCCAGAAGGGAATTTTCACAATGCCACCCCGCTTATCGAAGAAGAGGCCTTCTTATCGCCAGGGACATTCTCCAGCGCCGACGACTATGCGGCCAATCCCAGATTCCTCGAACTACAAGAAGAACTCCGCTGCGTACTTTTCTCAGCGGTCGCAAGCCTCGAGCCAGCAACATATACACCGCCAGCACCCCTAGAACAAACGGAAGGACCACAGCTCCGAGCCCCGCGCCAAAGCCTAGATTTTACGCGGGTGATCTCAATTCCCAAAATCAGACTAATCTTCTACCTAAAAAACTGGATCACCGAATGCGCGCCCTACCTCGACAAATTCGACGAGGCGCGCCATTTCGGCGTCCACATCCCCATTTTAGCACAAGGCTCGCCAGCCCTGTTCTACGCGATTCTGGCGTTCTCCGCACGGCAAACGGAGCGCAAAGCCTGTCTTGACAAAGCTTACGACAGTCTCGAGCTGTACCAAGAATCCATCCGACTCCTGGCGCCATGTCTCCAAGCTAAAGATCCCAATGTCCTCGTGACAGTCTGCATCCTCGCCGTGATGGAACTAATGTCCGTCAGCCCGCGTGACTGGCGACGTCACGTCGAGGGGTGTGCGGCGCTGTTCGACTCATTCAACGTGAACGGGCTTTCGGGTGGACACCTTCAAGCAGTGTTTTGGTGCTACGCACGGATGGAGCTGTGTGGAGCCATCATCTCCAACGGCGCAGAGAGCACCGTTCTTCCGCTGGAGAAATGGGTTCCTGCCATGCCACCGGGCAGCTCAAAGGAGGCACAGGAAGATATGATCCGTGATTTGTTCTGCGAGAAGGGCCACGCGTCGGCGGATATGCATGCCAATTGGGCGGTCTACTTGTGCGCTAAGACTTGCGACCTTTCCTGTCGGCGCACGCGGTTTCTGGAACTCGGCGAGGCGACCGATGACCCCCGCCCATTCTCCGAGCAGTGGAGTCGGCTCTGGGAAGAGTTGCAGTACTGGCTTGAGCAGCGCCTACCGGCTATGCTGCCTATCAAGACTACCGGGATGGGTAATGGGCAAATCTTCCCGCAGATCTTGTTTGCACATTGGGCGGCTATTTCTGGAAATCAATTATATCATGCTGCGTCTATTATGATGTTGGACATGAGGCCGGTTGAGATGGGGCCGCCTGCTGCTAAGCCGCATTTCTCGGCTATTTGGCATGCCCGGAGGGTTTGCGGAATTTCGTTGACGAATCCTCACTCGGGCAATTTGATCAATGCGATTCAGCCGCTGTACATTGCTGGAAAGTTGCTCAGTCATCACAGTGAGCATGTTGAGGTTGCCAAGCTATTCAAAATCATCGAGCGCACGACGGGATGGGGTGCGCTGTGGCGACTCAAAGATCTCGAGAGAGCTTGGGGATATGAGCCCGGGGAGATACTCGGCGTGATCTGAGATTTTGATGACACGGAATCCGCTTGCTCCATCACCGTTCAGTACCTCGCGCCTAATTGACGCAGCTTCACAATGCGCAGAACGCGGACGATCACCTCAACGACCGGCAGACAAGTCACGGGGATACTCATTCAAAAAAATGAATCTGATGATATGAATTTCTATCTCTATACATTAATGGCCCGAGCCGGGCCTCAGTGCCAGTCTGGCCAGACCAGTCCGAAGTATGTACACGGCATGCATGCCTGCAGACATCGCCTTCCTCACCCTAGGCCAAATCCGCGCAGGACTTAGGATACTGGAGAGCGTGCTTGATGCGCTGCTTGAGCTTCTCAGCCTCAACTTCAAACACATAGTTTACCTCTCGAATACCAGCAGGCGCAAGCGCCTTTTGGTACACATGGATATTCCCATAGTTCGGGCTACCATAGGATGTGTCCACATCCAGGAACACTTGAGAAAAGGGTGAAAGTCAGCCACCTATCGAATGAAATGGCCCAACCCGCCTTTTGACATACCTGAAGTCTGGTTTATGGAAAGTGATGGATCCACCATCAGCGCAGCGGCTGTCTCATCCCAGAAGGGGAATGATAGGTCATAATACTTATAGAATAGCTCGCTGTACGGGTTAGGGACAGAGAGCACCTCTTCCTTGAACTCCTGGGTCGGGAACACCTGGTTCGCAACATTGCCGGCGATGGTGATATTGGGGAAATCAGCTGTCAAGGCGATCTTGGAAGCTTCGGGGTCAATCATGAGATTGATCTATTAATCATTCATGTCAGCGATACCTAGAACCATCACGAACCAAACGAAAAACAGCTCCCCACTCACATCAGACTGGTAATCAGCGAGCATGATACTACCAGTGGCCTCCAGCATATTCAAATCAACATATCCACCCATGATCACCAAATCCTTGGCAAGTGACGCGAATTGCGGATCCATGCGCACGGCAAGCGCGACGTTAGTCAACGCTCCAGCGGAGTAAATGGATACCTGGCCGGGGTACTTGTGGACCATCTGCACCATGAAGTTGGCTGCCGAGGTCGAGTTCTCCGGTCGGCCCTTAGGGAAACCTTCTTTGAACGCCTCCTTGACAATGCGGTTCGGGTCACCCGAAGTCGGATCATTGCCCTCGGCTTCAAAGGTCTTATTCTCCGGCGCAAATGCACCCTCCCAGGGCAGTTTGCCATGAATCATCTCCCATGCCTGGAAGCGGTGTGGCGTATTGATCAAAGGCCATGTCGCGCCCGCATAGACGGGAATACAGCTGAGATTTCCGGCCTCCAGGGTCGCGACGGCATGTAGCGCTCCCTGGGGCTGCCAGCTGTTGGCCGTGTCTGGAGATTCATGTTAGGATGTCGTCATTGCAATTGTATGCCGAATTTAGACACTCACCAGAAGCTAGGCCTAGAATTTCCACATCGCCGTCTAGGGCAACCAAATACGGTACAAAGCCTGCAGTGTACCAATCATTGTCCATGATGGCATAATGCTTGTCAGCCCGCGCCTGGGGTACTGCAAGCGCGCTTGTGGCGAGAGCAAGCAATGAGCTGCCAAGCAGCGGAAGCGATGTGGACCAGAGCATTTGGATGGCTTGCCTAGCGCAGGTAAAAAGGAACAGGCTGAATTGAACAAAGATTTACGAGTCAATCACCAGTCGCAACAGTCACAACATCTTTATACTTGCAGAGAAACTCAATTCCATCTTGAGTCTCCATTTTACTCCATTATCCCAAGAAAGAAGTTGTCACCGAATACTACATTGTAGATCAATCAGAATGATCAAGATTTTCCCGTCGCGATCGCACGAACTTTCCTCGGGCAGGATTTGACCTAAGCGAAATCAAAACAGTGGCTCTGATTTCCGCAAAGGGATCGCCTCCGCACTTTCCCGCACTGTGAATTGTCGGGGCCGCCGAGTCAGACCGAGTTTTAGCCCTTGTGAGACTCGGGCTAGCCCTCAGGGCCCGAGTTTCCCATCGGAAGGCCAATTCGTCCCGAGAAGGATCCACTCTTCTCTGTCCCTGGAGTCTGGCCATCCCCTTTAGGCGACTAGAGGCTACATCCCCTCCAAATAGGGTTAGCGCTCGGGTTCCTCCCCAGTTTTGCCTCCACAAAATCAACGAACATTTTGGGGTCCCGCCCAGAAGCTGGAGAAATCCACGAAACAGGATGGGGTTGAGATGTTTTTTTTTCTCCGCACGTGCGAACTGGGAGGAGTATGACAGAATATTTCATGATGAGAAAATATGTATATATGGGCCCCTCTTTTCCCTCCCCATGTTTTGGATTCCCCAGATTTCGTCTCTGCCGTAGCGGTAACATCTAAACGCAATTCGGAAAATTCGGCATTCCTCTCCAATTGCCTGACATGACAGTCCGATCCTCCACAGACGTGGAGTCTGCTCCGCGCGTTCAACTCGTCAAGAAATCCATGTGGCAGTCTATCTTCGACAACCCTAAGGTTCTTGCCATTGCCTTCTTTGCTTCGTGAGCATCCCCGGCTTTCCGAATAGACAGAGACCGTACTAACGTCTGCAGATTCGGAGGTTTTGAATATGGCTACCAACAAGGTGTACTAGGCCAGTCCCTGGTCATGACCCGCTTCATAGACAACTTCCCCACAGTCGTCGCCTCATCAACATCAACAGGCTGGTTAACCTCAGTCCTGCAACTGGGCGGTATCGTCGGCTCCCTGTCAGCCGGTATTATCGGCGAGATCTACTCGCGCAAATACACCATGTTCTTCGCCTGCTGCTGGGTTATCCTCGGCAGCTACCTCTACATCGGTGCGACAGCCGGCAACCCCTCTCTCCTGTATGCTGGCCGTTTCTTCACCGGCCTCGGTGTCGGTCTATTCAGCGGTGTTGGTCCTCTCTACAATGCCGAACTGGCAGCCCCCGAGATGCGCGGTCTGCTCGTCTCCTTCTACCAATTCGCTACTATTCTCGGTATCATGATTTCCTTCTGGGTCGGCTACGGCAGCAACAACATCGGCGGCACGGGTGACACGCAGTCTGATCTTGCGTGGCGCTTGCCTTCCATCATTCAGGGTATTCCTGCTGTTGCGCTGGCTTGCGGTATCTGGTTCATGCCTTTCTCGCCCCGTTGGCTGGTTAAGCAGGGCCGTGATGAGGAGGCTCAGAGTACGCTTGCTTGGATGCGCAAGCTTCCTGTTGAGCACGAGCTTGTGCAGATGGAGTACCTCGAAATCAAGGCTGAGGCTGTCTTTGAGAAGCGCGCGTTTGCTATCGCTTCGCCTAAGCTTGCGGATAAGGAGAAGAGCAGCGTTTTCATGAACCAGATTGCGCAGTATACCAACTGCTTCCGCACGATGGATAACTTCAAGCGTGTTTCCATTGCTTGGTTGGTTATGTTCTTCCAGCAATGGAGTGGTATCGATGCTAGTAAGTTATTCTTTCAAAAATTGGTGGTTTGAGATTTTTGACTAACTGAATTCGCCTTTAGTTATTTACTACGCTTCCAACGTCTTCGTCAGCCTCGGTCTGACTGGCGGTACCATTGCCCTCTTGGCCACCGGTGTGACCGGTGTCGTCTTCCTTATCTCTACCGTCCCCGGAATGTTGGTCATCGACAAGGTCGGCCGCAAGCCCATGCTTCTGGGTGGATCATTCGTCATGTTCGCCAGCATGGTCATCGTCGGCGTAATCGTCGCCAAGTTCCAACATGACTGGCCCAACCACGTAGCAGCCGGCTGGACCGCAGTTGGTAAGTCACAACTTCAACCCCACATTGTCCCAACAAAAGACTGACCCGCTTCTCCTAGCTCTAATCTGGCTCTACATCGCAAGCTTCGGCGCCACCTGGGGCCCCGTCTCCTGGACTCTGGTCTCCGAGATCTTCCCTCTCTCCATCCGCGCCAAGGGTGCCTCCATCGGTGCTTTTAGCAACTGGATCAACAACTTCGCCATCGCGTTCTTCGTGCCTCCTATGCTCGAGGACTGGCAATGGGGTACCTACATCTTCTTTGCTGGTTTCCTTGCCGTCGGTATCGCCTGGGTTTGGTTCTTCCTGCCCGAGACCAAGGGTGCTTCTCTCGAGGATATGGATCGTGTGTTTAACAGTAACGCTGGCGAGCAGGATGCCGAGCTCCTCCGTGAGGCACAGCGCGATGTTGGCCTGACTGCTTTCCTTCAGCGTATGTCGGGTGGCGCTGATATGGAGAAGAGTGAAGGATCACAGTATATTGAGAAGCTTTGAGCGACGGATTAGATTGTTGGGCGGTTTACGGATGTTTTATGTAATTTAAGCAACGCTTTATGAAGTCATTTTCTTTCATTCAAGTCTGCTCTTTTCTCTTTAGGTTGCCAGGTGGTGCCATGTACTCCGTGAGTCCGTAGTGATCCGTACTAATGTTGAGCATCACGTCACGTGAAAGTGAAGGCAAGGGCAACCGCCAACCTTCTTCACAGGGTAGGCGCAACTGCAAGCACGTACTACCACGTACCTAGCAAACAACCACTTTAGGAAGGCACACTAGCCCGTGACGTCCATGAGAGTATATAAATTATAGAAACTCGCTACCCCTCTCCCAAATGTCTTGTCCTTCTTCCTCTACCCTCACTCATTCATCACTTCCCACCTGCTCATCCCGGCCGGGACCGGCCCTGCTTCTTACGTGGAAGTCGTCCACCACCTCAATCCGACGATTGTGCAATTGGAGTCGTACGGAGTTCAAATAAGAATTCATGGATTGAACCTTCGGAGGAAGGCGATAAGCCAGGAAGCCCTTCATTATCCTGTCGAACTTTATGTTCGTGATAGAAACGGCATGCCAGTGCGTCGCCAGCGAGAAGTATGTTCAAGACCTCTGGTTTATTCAGTCGACTCACTAACAGCGTTTAGGATGTTTTCCCGATCCCCCCTCAAACCCCAACTCCCCAACGACTTAACCTGACCCGCCGAGAAGTGTTCGGAAGCGATGGCCGACAGAAACAAAATGCGCATCCTGGTGCCACGCTCGAAGGAGGACCCTCGTGCTGGGTTCATGGTGAGTCACCGGCGCTCTCTCAGTCAATGAAGGCCAAGAAGTTAATTGTCAATAACTAGAGCAACTAGAAGGTGTTCTGGGTGCCGGGGTCCACTCAGCGGTGAGCACCCGCTCCATGTTCTTTCCCGTTCCACGTCGGAACGGAGTCATGAGTGCGAGAGTACGAAGATCGCCGCATGTGTCGTGAACAATGATGCCGCCGTTGAGGGTAGGAAATACAGGGGCTATCCATACTACCATGAGGGTTCCGCCCACAGGAGAGCTGAAGGTTCCATGGACCGAGCCTTCCAGCGGAAGCTGGGAAGCGCTTATATACCTGGAAGAGATGGATGTGAAGTGACCGACAATCCTTGTTACGGGGGAAGCCCCGAAACTATGACACATGAATTATCGTGGAACTCCCCATTCGACATTTGCTGGATTCTCCACATCGATGCCCACATGGTAAGTCACCGGTATGCTTCCAGTCTCTGATCGCGTGAAATTAATCATCGTCAACGAAAAGGGGCTCTGCGTGTCCTCTTTTAGAAGACCGCCGCGTATTTCGCACAATGTGCGATGTCCTACATCCTCCAGCAGGAATCCGCGCTCTTCCTATATCATGTGAGCTGAGCGCGAATGCGAACAAAAACAGCAACGCACTGGTAGCCCGCACTGGCAGCCAGCTCGTTCAGAGGACGCCGATCAGCGCTTCCTTCCCCTGAACCCCGAAGGAGTGACCGAGATACAAGATCGACTATGTTAGTGCGATACTCGAAGAACGTCGTTTTCGTCAGCACCATCCCTCATCGGACGCGCTTCTATGGGGCGCCGATGCTGGTGGGAAACGGACGGTTTCATGGCGTTGATGACCTCCATTGGAGTAATGGAGCCGTGTAACAAAGAGACGAAGATCGATATCAGAGCCTCGTTCGCCGGGCCAGGCTCACAGCCGTGTCAGTCATGGAAGCAAACGGGGTACCTACAAACCCACTGTCCTCCACACAACCGGCTGCCTTCCAGGTGTGGCCTGCGGAAAGGCCCACTTGGACAATCGAATCATCAACAACAACACGCCCCGATCACTATCAGGAGAAAAAGACATCATCGTTCGACATCTCCCTTCGTGTTTCCGACCCACCTACTCAACCTACGAACCATCGGAGCTCACAACCTCAATCCGTCATAGGCCGCTGTGTTATAGACGACTAGAACCAATATTCATGGCATCTTTCCCAATTACAAGAATGTCAAGCTCACCGAGTTCAAGCAGCTTCCACCCAAGATCCATTAGTGCACAGATAAACACCTATTTACTATTGTAATATACATGGATTCTTGAATTAGCAACCTACAGGCTACATGTACTTAATGACAGACAGATCACAATGGCCTGCCGTGAAGTGGGCAGTGGCTGTAGGGTCGATAGAGCCTCCCATTGGTTCATGCCCCACCCAAATCGTCGGCCATCTCCGGCACATGCGCACATATCGGGACTGCGGAGCCTCCGATCATCTTTTCTGCAACATCTGGGGTAATTCATCGCATCTTCGACATGCCCAGGAAACCCACGCCAGCAGCCAAACAGCGGGTGCGGACTGGCTGCCTGACCTGTCGGAAAAGAAGGAGAAAATGTACGCATCACGTGAATTGCTCTGTTTCCCCTGAACTAACGCGGTTGGCGAGGAATTAAGGCGATGAGCAGAAGCCCAGTTGCGCAAACTGTCAGGCGAAAGGCTTTACGTGTAAATATGGCTCTGATCTCGAATTTGTGCCGCCCCGCCCTGGGGCCATCTCCGGTGGGAGACAGGGGTACAGCAGTATCACCGTAAGTCCGGGGTAGTGGATGCGAGTGCCCGGATTCGCGCAAATCTCAGCCCAGGAGGGATCTGATGCTGACACTACACAGTTTGTGAATGAGTCTCCCGTTCCGGTTGGGAATAAGCCTAAGAATCAACAGACACCTGCGGATGAGTCGCAGAGTAATGCAGATCTCACGGTCGGCGGATTGCAGTCTCCAGCTGATGACCAGGATAACTCTGGCGATACGCGTCGTGCTTTTGAATTCGATAGCATACTATCTTCGGCAGAACCTATCGATGAGTTCTCAGAACCTCCAGTTTCATTTGGTCGCAGCGAGGATGCGCCAAATACTCGATATATGAACAGTGCTCCATACTTTGGATACCAATCCGTCGCGAAGAACCGAACCGCTGAAAAGCCAGCGCCTCTTGCCAATGGGAGCCACGAAACTGACCTGCTTCGACATTTTCGGTATCATGTTGGGCCTTGGATTGATACCGGCGACCCTGAACTCCCGTTCGGACTACAGGTTCTTCTTCTTTCGCGAACGAATAGAGCGCTACAGGCTGCCGTTCTTGCGCTTTCTGCTGGCCAAAGACTCCTCGTGGCGTCTCCGAATAGCCAGGATCTGGAGAGTAGCCAGCGATTGCGAAAAGAAGCGGAAGAGAGTCTTGCGAATGAATACGATCTGGCTAGATATGCTGGACACACCCTCTTGATGCTGCAAGATGCTTTGCCTGTTGGACCACGGCAGTGGCGAAACGTCTTGATGCCCAGAATAAAGCATGTCAGTGACTTCGCATCGCGTGCAGTGGGCGAGGAGGTTGGGGAAGCTCTGTTGTGGCTTTACTTTCGACTTGGTAGGCATCCTATCATTCCGACGCCAAAGCAAATAGGAACTGACCGACACTGTATTTCAATAGATCTCGCTGGTTCAATCTCCTCCGCGAAACCTCCGTTAATGCCTTTTCAATCATTCCTGCGTGGAGATGGTACGTTCTTGCATCACCCACAACACATGCGACCTCAGACCGTCAATTCCGTCTACAAACACATCGTATGCCTTTTGGGGCACTGTCTATCTTTGGTACACAGTGGCCCAGAAGTTTCATCTCCACATACAGCCACATCGTCAGATATACCGCCATTTTCTTCTTTACGCCAGTCGCACTCACTATCACAATGGACAATCCTGTGGTCCGCCTGCCAGAAATGGTACAATGAGCGCCCTGTCAATGTGCAGCCGATCGTGGACATTCGCGGCGGTGAAGCGGACCAAATCGACCCAGACCACCAGTCTTCATTCCCCATCCTCATCTACACGACACCAATGGCGCTGGTCGCCAACGCCGTATACCACACCATCTCCCTGCTATTGCTCACGCATAAGCCTCGCCTTCTGAAATCCTTACCTGGACCGAGATCCGTAACATCCTACATCTGGCACGCGCAGTCAATCGCCGGTATCGCGGCAAGCAATGATTCCCCCGAACAGTGGGATCCTATTCTAGTCGCAAGCCTTTTCACCATCGCCAAGGAAATGACGCATGCATCACAACAGTCGGTCTTATTAGACCGGCTAGCCAGAATAACAGGAACAACGGGGATCAAGCTAACCCATGAAACCGAAGAGCTACAAGCAGCGTGGAACCTTGCTCGCTATGATGAGGAATTTGATGATGAAGCAGACATGATGGTTTCATAAATATACGCCGAAACGCCGGTTCCTGCTATATACAATCTTTTGATCATCAGCTGTGTGCGGCGCACACATCTAATCATTGCCCCATCATTCCAAATCATATGCAAAAGGAATACTCTGCATAGCACCCCGACGCTGCACGCACATCGCAGCCGCAGAATTTGCCCTCGAAACCGCAGCCTCGATCTCCTCATCAAATGCCTCCAGCCCCTTCCCAGAAGCCAAGAAGCGCGCCACAGCAGTCGCAAAGTACCCAACAAATGTATCGCCCGCGGCAGTGGTATCCACAACCTTAGCCACCTTCACACCAGCAACAGTCCCAGTGCGACCGGTCTTCGTCGAGAAGTACACACCCTTCGCGCCAAGCGTAATAAGCACAATCTCAACACCAGCACGCTCATGGAACTGCGGCGCCAACTCCTCAGGCCGCAGATCATCCCCCTCAACAACATCACCAACAGGAAGTCCCTGAATAGACCTAGCCATCTGCACGACCTCCGTCTCATTCATAATCAACACCGCCGTACCACAAAGCTTCTCAAGCGGAACTCCATCCGGGAAAACAGGTGCAGGGTTGAAAGCCACCTTCGCGCCCTTCTCCCCGCTATTGAAATAGCTCAACAACGAAAGAGTAGTCTCCCGCGGGATCTCACCCTGCAAAACCACGATATCGGGGTATCTCTCCTGCGCCCGTAAGGCCGCAACAATATTCCCCATATCACCCATAAGGCCCGCATGATTGGCTCCAGGAACCACAAGAATGCGATTCTCACCACCACTCCCCTCCTCAACGATAATAGTCGCCGAGCCGGTCTGCGCGTGCTCAGACTGCTCAATGGAAGCAGTATCAACGCCGGAGGTCTCCAGAGCCGGTTTCAGGAGCGTACTGTAGTATGGATCGTTCGCGCCGACGGCGCCGATCATGTTCACGGTGACATCTTGGGTTGTCCGCGATGTGAAGGAGGAGCGGCCGCAGGCGACTGCTTGGTTTCCGCCTTTGCCGCCGGCGGAGACGGTTAGGGAGGTTGCTGTGAGGGTTTCGCCTGCGGCTGGGCAGCGCGGGGTTGCGGTTACGAAGTCGATGTTTAGGGAGCCGATTATGGTGATTTGGGGGGTGCGGGGTCTTGTGAGGGTCATGATGGATGGGTTGTGGGTGGTTTGTGATAGATGTATGAGTTCGGGAGTTTTAGGAGGGTTTGCGCGTTAAATGTAATGAAATTGCATTGGATGGAGAGAGGTTAAGTCTAGATCTAAGGGCGCGTCGCATGACCTTTTCATATTTTTGGTCGGTCGGGATCTCGACCGTCGGCTTCTTTTGGTGTCCGTGATGGCATCCCGAGTGGGTACGTCGGTTGCCGGAGGTGGGAATTGTAGGCTATGGATGTCCTGTTTGGGTTAGTGGCGCTTACCCTTCAACTAAATCTGGTTTAGCGCGGGGACAACTTTGACTAAAGCGGAAGGAAGTTAGGAATGTACAACATGGCGGAGCCACGTGGGGAACCACACGGGACTTTCCCCAGAAATTGAATTAATCAAGCGGATGGGGTTTAGCCTGCTCATCACGCGATCTAGCGGGGCAGAAAAGAATCAATGACATTCGTTGCGTCACTGTATCGACGTTGATATCGTCTTCCTTCGGCTGCCAAGGCTTGTTGCCTCTTAGTTTTTAATCATGTCCAGTAACTCAGGTTGTGTACCCTTCGAGGCTTCGACGGTTAAGAGGATAATCCCAGCCCACAGAGGGCAGCAGGCTCCAAATGTCAGTCGTTGTCAGAAAACAAGAAGGCACTGCGTCGCGTCGGCTCGCCAGTTGACCGGTTAGCTCGCCAGTTGACCCAAAGAGCACATTCGCTTTCCCACCCCCTAGGTAGGCCAAAGCTACTTTATGTATGTGGCTAAAGGGCATGAAAACACAGAATGTCAAAGTCTACATACACCTTGGTTGATTGACAACTCACTCATGGTTCCAGCACGAACATTGATGAAGAGGACAGGCTCTTGATGACCTCACGACTCGGGAAGACCTCCTGACAATGTAGCAGATAATAAGTAGCAACCAACCTCCGTACCCAAAGCATGCTACATGCCCGTAGTTGATAACATCTCACTAGTTCGACCCGTATTGATGCCTCGGCTCTCCATCAAAACCCCGCGTCGGGTAGTCCAACCGCCACGATAAATCGGACTTTCCATTTCCGGTCAACCGCCGCTCCGCGGCTCCAGTCATCCCGCCCCTAAGCGGGAAATATTTTGCGACAACCACATCACCACAAGAAATAAGCCATTCCAAAGCGATCTACAATGGAACTGACCTTCATGGTCCGTAATGATGGCACACCCAAGAGAAGGCAGACACGGCGTGCATGTAACTCATGTCGTCATAGAAAGGTGAGCCATCCTGTCCAAACTAGAAGCCCTACAAAGCCGGACTTATTCGCTGACGTTCTAGAAACGATGCTATCATGATATTCCCCCAGACCAGTCAGGTGTCGGCAGTTCTTCGCCTGACATCGCCGCCGTCGGGGATAGTCAAAGTCCTGTGTCGCGGGGCTCGAGGCGGGACCCGGTTGTTCGGAGTAGGTCTGCTTCTCCTCGTGATGGCCGAGGGTTGGATATATCGCAAAGAACGGTGGAACGGCAGGATGAAGGTCCAGGTAGGCCTGGCGCAGGTAGAGCTGCGGATGTCGAAGAATCGCACCGGTTTGCATGCGACTCAAACCCTATGGCGACTCTCATGGAACAGACTGAGTCAAGACTGCAGAGGGGTCCGTCTCAGAAGGGAGATGTGGGGGCTTGGTTGGATGTCGAAGGGAATACCACGAATCAAGGCGAGGCTGTCGGGTTCTCTTCACAAAGAGCGTCTGATGGCCATGTTGACACTGACAAGCTGCCGCCGAATGAATGCCAAGAAGCCTTGGTAGACATTTATTTCCATCGGATACACCCGATACTGCCTCTTCTCGACGAAGATAAAGTGAGAGCGCAGCAGAAAGACGGCAGTATACCTCTACGGTTATTGCAAGTGATATGTCTGGTTGCAGCAAAAGACAGCAATGCGGCCGTTTGGCTGTGTCTGGGTTCCCGTGCAAATCAACTCCCATTAGATAAGTTCAGCAACATCCTCTATTCCGATGTCATGCAAAGCATATCAAGGAGGTCGGAGAAGAAGGTCCTGGCCATCCAGATCTTGGCGCTGTTGTCGCTTCACGAATGGGGCCCCACGGGCGCCGAGGATTGTTCGTTGAACCTCGCCCAGGCTATTCATGATGCTCAAACCATAGGGCTACATTTAAGAAGGCGGGGGAGCTCTTCTGATGCCTTACCAGCTCGTCTTTTCTGGTGCCTTTGGAGCTTAGATCGATGGAACGCTGCTATGAATGGGAGACCGTTGATGATACATGACGACGACCTGGGTCAGGGGGTAGACGACGTTGTCTCGGGATTTCAGTCGCCATTCCGTGTCTGGCTTCGAATTGCTGACAAGCTCGGAGAAGTGATTCACTTTTACCGGCCGATGATGAGACGGGTTGATCACAGTGAAGTAGATCTTCCGTGCTTCGAAGAGCTGGTTGAGCAGTGCGATGCATTGGATATGGCTCCAGAGTTTCTTGGTATGAATCCCGCTTGTTCTCTAAGTACAACATCATCTAACTCTCAGTCTGATAGTATCCCTCGAATTCCTTTACCACTCCGTGATAATTCTCTCAACACATTCAAGCGGTCTACAAGGCCGCTCGAGACCCCGAACTTCCAAGATTCGACAGAATGATTCAATTCTGACCATCGTCTCCCTCAGTCGCAATCAAGATATTGGGGACTACCTGCCGGTCCCCATGATCGGTTACACCATCTCCCTCGCCTTCTCCATCACGTATAAACAACTACGAAACAGCAAATTACCCAGTGCGCGTGACACAGCCATTTCCCAACTCCGACACTTGCATGAGTGCCTCAAGAAATTAGGCTGCACATGGTGGTCGGCTGTTGTCATGACCCGGCTAAGCCAGCGCGTGTTGAACAACATCCAACCCACCGCCGACCCAGAACGTTCCACAGGTTCAGAAACACATATCACCCGATCGAACTCTCGGCCCGGGGTGAATCGTATATCTCCCCGCTATATCACGTCGAATGGGGACCTGCAGTCGCATTTGGGTGCTGACAGAATGCAAATGGCGAGACACACGGATAATGGGTATCAGCCTGCACACTCTTTGGCTGAGGGTCCGCTGGGAGTTGATGAGCACTCCGGGGTTGCGGAAATGTACAGCACACCTTTCATGACTCAGACCGGGTTCGAGGACTTTGATGCTTTCTTTGGCAATTTTTTAGACGTCAGTTACCCGAGTTGCTCGAATGATCCATTCTTGCTTGGTCTCGACCTGCCGGATTTCGAATTTGCTGAAAACCTGGGTTGATAAAGTTGCGAAGGCGAACATCCAATCAAGGGACTTTGATGTAAACCTCTGTGCGTTGAAACAGGACATGATAATGGGTGGAAAGTTCCCTCCATAGAACAAGGATCTGCCCCTAAACACGCGACAAATGTCAAGATCACCAAGCATCCTGTGCCAATATTATCTTACGTAGACAGACATCATTACAGGAATGTGAGTTAATTTGCCCTCCAAGGCTAAGAGCCCTGGTAGACTCGATTTCTTGAAATCAGCCCCCCGACCCCGTTTAGGAATGTCCGCCCCGTCGCGCCGACACCACAATGTATAAAGGCGAATAATGCGCCATTCCCCAAGTTCTCCAGCTGAGATATAATTTGATCAGTCTAATTTGACCTGCTAAGCTGCATACTCTAAGCCTTGACGATGTTCCGCAAACAAATTGCCAGCTCGGAGTTGAGGTATCGTGACCTCCAACTTCTTCCGCTCATACCCTAACTTCTACTACAGCCTCGACCAATCCTGCATTTTCATCTCAGAAGACCGCCACCCACTCTCCGTTACAGGGAAATTCAATATCTCCCTCGCACAAGATGCATCAATCAAGAGCATCAAAGTAATATTGCAGGGAACATTCACACTGTAAGAACAAACCACAACGTGAATTCATCGCATACCTTTCTAATCCCACAATTACTAGCCCAGTCGAAGGACTCTTAGGCCAAGAAAGCCGCAAACAGATAACATTCGAACAAGTGCAAGCCCTAGCCTCATCAAAAACCCTCACCGCATTCCGAATGCCAGCAGGAGACCACGCATTTCTCTTCGACATCCCACTCCCAAGCAAGATTCTCGGAACAATCACCGGCCCAAACCACCAGTACCACACATACCGCGTCGACGCCATCGTCGAGCGACGTCTCAAGCCCGACCTCGTCGTCTCCCAACCAATCAGGATCTACCAGGTCTCCGACCTGGAGACGAGCTATCTAAGACCGCATTGTCCATTGGTCAGTCCGGTTCTCTACAAGCGGGGGAAGATTATGTGACATGAAAGTAACTGAAAGATATCTAGATGCTTGAAGGCCACTCGAGCCAGGATATTCAGTATTGCATATCCATCGCTGACCGGAATGTTCCTTTTGGATGCACATTTCCAATCGAGTGCTGGTTTGCACCGCTGGTGAAAGGTGCAAAGCTGAGTACTGTTACCGTTGAGGTGATTGAGAAACAGACTGCGCAGTTGGAGGCGACTGCGGCAGAATCGGTGCGGCATAATGTGCGGTTTATCACTGCGGCTCAAACTCAAATCGTCTTCTGCAAGACCATCGATTTCTCCGGGGAGCAGGAGGTGTCTGGGGATGAGTTCTCGGAGATTGAGTGGCGCTTTGCCACGTCGGTTTGTTTACCCCGGAGTATGGATGCTTGTTCGCAGAGTATCGCCACAAAGCATGTCAAGATTGCCCATGAGCTGAGGGTTACGGCGGAGTTCAGGGATGAGAGCGGGAATGTGGTGGCTAAGGTACGTGTTTGGTTTCCCGGGTACTTAGAGCTTGTTTCTGACGGAAATCAGGTTGCGGAAGTTCTGCCATTCAAGATTCATATGACGCCGAATGTGGGTGGTGAGGATCAGTCTGTTCAGCAAGTCATTCAACGCGTGCATGAGACCCGGTGTCCACCTCCGGCATATAGTGATCATTTCTCGGATTTGATAGTGCCTGTGGCCAATCAGCTGCATCTTTTCGAAGATCCGTTGCTTGCGGAGATCCATTCTGCGCGCTCATCGGGCGAAGGAAGCAGTATGGATGGCGTGGATCCTTCTCCCCGATACGAGGAAACTGTATAGTCTCTTACTTCTTTGGCGTTTGTGGCCCCATTATCATCGGATTGATGACCAAACTCGAGAGCATCGAGGATTTTACAATCCCACATTCATGCCATTCGAACTTTCAGTATTCAAGTCATCCTAACGTACCTCAATCTATTGCATCTTGTAAACCAATCCCTCCTCCGGCGCCACTTGTCCATTGCACAGTTTCTCCCAACCTCCCTCAATACCACCAGCACTCAAAACACCCTTCCCAAACACAATCTCCATCCCCGGCACACTCAAATGTCTCTCATCCAGCCACTTCTCCCACCTTGCACTCCTCCTCTTAAAGTACCCCTCAACATCCCCCGAAGCAAGAATCGTATCCTGAACACCAGAGGTATTGAACTGAACCTTACCAAGCTTCTCCATAGCAGCCCTCCCAGCAATCACCTCCTGCATCGAATACACCTTCTGCTCATTACCAACCTGCACAATCACGACCTCACAATGCTGCAACCGCGCATCCCCCTTGATAAGCGCAAGTACATCCTCAACCGCATTATCCCTCCCTCCAAAGTCAACAATCACAACCTTCTCGGCCTTGCGAGCAGCCAACCACTCCGCCGACTCCGTGGACCCAATATCTCCATACCGCACAGCGATAGAAGGAACCTCGGAGCCTAAATTCCGATCCGCCTCCGCAGCCCGCTCAATAGAGGACGTAACCTGCATCAAGCCCAGGGGTTTCACCTGTCTCCGGGAAAGGAAGTACGTGAACACCCTGGCCGTCTTCGTCGACGCAGCCAAATTAACCACGACGGCAGATGACAAATCCGCATCAGAGCGTGACCACGGTAACCCAGCCTGATCACCCAGCGGATGAATTGGCTTTTGGGCCTCGGCGTCAGCCGGGAAGACGTACTCGGCAAGGAGGTATCCAGCGACACCGCCTATAAACAGAGCCGTCCAGGCCATGCGATCCAGTTCATCCCTGGCAGATTCCGACATGGAATCCAGTTTCAGGTCTGCGATTGAGTTTGATGAAGGTGCTATCGTGTAGCGATTGTATAGAGGCATTAGTTGCTGGCGATGAGGGTTGATCTCAATCCAGTGAGCTTCTGGGGATCCGCGTGTGAGTTTCAGATCGGTCGGGACGTCGGATGTAGGCCAGAAGCCGTAGAGTAGTGTGCCTTTTGCTAGATCGGGGATGGTGCTTTCTTCGATTGTTGCGTAGCCCCATGCCGGGACGATTCCCCATTTTGTGGGGTCGTTGTATGGTGCCGGATAGTTTGCGGATACGGGGTATGCGTCCCACCTGTTGGATGTTATTTGGATTCTCTGTAGAGGTGGTTGGCGATATTGGGGAATTGCAATTTACCAGTGCAGAATCTCGCCCAGGAGGGCATAGGTTAGATTATTTGATGTGAGGCTGAGAAGCAGTGGACGGATTCGAACTGAGGACTCCGCTAATTCGCTTTGAGCAGCGGCTTCGAGGTTGAAGCTTGCATGCTGGCGGTTGTCGAGCTTTGATACCACGTGAACACCCATGGCTGCATGTGTTGTGTAGAAGATTGCAATTGCCGGTCAGGATGAGCTGGATCTTCCTTTTAAACCAAATGATGACTGATGACACGGGCGATAATCAGCCGGCGGGGAACCCCCGCCAAACGACTTGGCAAGGTCAGCATGTGCATGTGCTGATACATCTTGGTAACAGGATCAGTAGTGACATAGCTAAGAATAATGATAATGATTCATTGTGACTGCATACAGGTTCTCTAACATAATCATGAAGAGACCTTAGAAGCACTCCCCGACTCCCCCGTAAACACCCCGGGTATCATGGATGTGGCGCTGAAAGGCAAACGAAAAAGCACCAAACAAATCATAACTCATAACAGAAAGCGATCTATGGAAGATCGACCATGCCATCGCTCTCAGTCGCGACATCATGGCCAGCCGAAGGAGGCAGCGCCGGAATATCACCAGACTCCTCATCGGTCAAGTCATTGTCATCGTCGTAATAGTCATTATCATTAACCTCCGACGCATCACCAAGACCAGAGCCAACCATCTTACTCGCCTCAGCAAGTCCACCCTTCTGCTTTCCCTTCGTGACCGAGGACGAAGAAGTGGCCATCGCGGGAGGCTCGGACGCAGGAATCTGAGCCTGACGGCGGGGGGCAGCGTTAGACTCGCGCGCCATCCTCATGATGGCCTGCCAGTTCTTGTAGTCATCGCGCCGCGGAGCTGTAGGCCCGCACTCAATACCACAGAGCTCCGTCACACCAAGTGTTTCAAAACGATAATCGCCCCGGAACCATGTTTTGCCCGCTGGAATGCGAGCGTCGGCCTGCGCGGAGTAGTGACGGCCCTCCATGACGCCGGAGACATCGTAGTCTAGACTGCGCGTGCCGAACATCAGTCCCGTGGCGAAAGGCTCGTAGCAACGGCCAATGACGGCATCTAGGGGGATGCTGCAGCTCTCGCCGTTGGCCATCTTGTACCAGGGGCCATAGTCGCGTATACTGCCCTGGTAGAAGGCGGCAAGTGCCTGGCTGGGGGTGAGCGGTTGAGGGTTGTCCCCGGCTGCTGGGTCGTGGAATATGCGCGAATTGCGGACGCGTGATGGGTCGTTCGTATACCCCCGGCCAAAGAGCTGGACTGCATAGTGCTTGGCTAGCTGCTCTGGGTCGTCATCGATGCAGTCTATCAGGTGAAAGAGGATATTTGTGATAACCATCACATCGGTTATCTTGGGGACTTTGCCTTTTTGGAGATCGGAGTATTCGAAGCCCTCTGGTCTGAGACGGATGGTGTCCCCGATGAAGAGGAGTTCGCTACCGATGAAGATGCCCGTGCAGTAGATACTGCAACTTCCGCCTTTGCCGACTATGTGGTATTTTCTCACAACGCTCCAGGAGGACATCACGGTCATGGCGTTTTCAATAGATGGGTGCCATTTGTCCCGGTCCTGGTCATTGAGAAAGATTTGCCAGGTGTTAAAAGGCCTGATATTCCGCAGGGGAACGTACGCGTAGTGGTTCGAATAGGACTTGTCGTCGCCCAGAGGGTCTGGTAGAGTCTCCACGCGGAATCCAGAGTAACTCAGACCGCGTGGGTCGTCGGGTGTTTCCATAATGCCCCCCGTGTGCGTGTCCTTTTCGGGAGTTTGAGTCACTACACCTGCACGCCAATAAGGCACACCATGCCAAAGGCCATCATTGCGAAGGATTTCATAACGGCCAGTCGCGGGATTGAGCTTCAGACTACCGTCTTCGAGACTCTCCGGGATCCAGAGAACAATCTCACCACGTCGCGGGAGCCGAGCAGGATCAAAGCTCACTTTCACGCCGTAACAAGTAATCCATTCGTGGGTCAGAACCCAGTCGAAATTGATCGGTTGCTCAGCACGTTCGTCAATCTCGCCATTATGTAGCAATTCCATGACATACGGTCGCCAGAAATCTGTGCCTTCGGCGTCGGTGGGTTGGGGCGTATTGTCGGCTGGGGGGCTTGTTAGTGTATGATTTGTTCCATTGAGGTAATGAGTACTCACATGGTGGCGGCACAGCGGTCTTTCCCACTGCCGTCGCAACTGAGACCTTTTCTTTCATTTTTCGGGAAGTGACACACAGCTTGCAGGGGCAGCTGTCGAGTGTCCCTTTGACAATGGCGAGGAAATGCGGCAAGAAGCTGACACACGAGTTAAACCTCTTTCCACTCGGATGCCCGAATAGATAGGGATCGCGCTTTCACAAGTCCGTTAGCTAGAACTAAGTTATCAAACTCAGGGACACTCACCACGCCGGGGGCGCTAGGGCGAGGCAGCTGAAACAGGCAGTATCCGTCTGGCAACTTCTCGATGATGTGGGTCACTCCTTTGATGGGCTTTGTCAGTCACGAAGTAGAGACACGAAACTTTCAAAGTGCGAGGAGAGGATGGAGATGGAAAGACAAAACACAAAGGGCAACACAACAGCCGGACAGCGCATAAGCCGCAGGAACCCAGCGTGTGTGCGCGTAACAATACGCATAACTCTAAGCAAACGCAAACAGCAAGCCACAAGAATATGCACAGTAACTTATTATATCTGAGCGTCTGAGACAACTCACCTTCTTCATGTGTGCCTGCATCCTTCACCCAATTCTCCCCAAGCTTCTGGCGCCAGCTTTCATCGGCCCGGTGAGTATATGGGCTCCCCGGCCAAGTATTCACATCCCCATCACTAGCAGCAGTGATGGGGATGACGACCACCTTATTATTTTTAGAAGACATGCTTGTCTTCTCTGGTGTTGGAAGTCTGAGATTCGACCGTTCGATGGGAACAGAACAAAGCAGTGAGTGGTACGTCGAAAATAAAGGTGAGGAGAGTGATAGGTTGACAAGATGAACTATGGAGAAAAGGTGCTTCATGTTTGGCTTTCCCATTGTGGAGGCTGTCTTTATCCATAACGATACTGCCATGATTACGGTACATACCGCAACCTACCACTCTCCTCACCTTTATTTTTGACGTACCACTCACTGCTTTGCTCTGTTTCCATCGAACGGTCGAATCTGAGACTTTCGGCACCAGCGAAGACGAGCACGTCTTCTCGAAATAATAAGGTGGTCGTCATCCCCATCACTGCTGCTAGTGATGGGGTTGTGAGTACTTGGCCAAGCAGCCCATATACTCAACGGCAGGACGAAGGCTGGCGTCAGAAGCTTGCAGAAAATTGGGTGAAAGATGCTGGCACTTAATGACCCAGCGAATCATGTTCCCTCTGAGCATGTTGAGGTAAGCACCGGCAAGCAGAATAAAGTACGGAGTACTAACTATCATACAACGCCAAGGTCAAGCCGAAGTCACTGGATGCCGAACCGATCACCTTGAAACCCATCCCGAGCCGAGGATTTGATAGGTCCAACTGCCTGGAAATAAGCTCCGATCGGACACCAAAAATAATCTCGGGCCGAGGAAGAATTTTGACATCCGAATCTTTACCTACGCACCTTTCCAGCTCTGGAGTGTACAATAACCCCAAATTAGACGGGAAATACCTTGGGCTTGTTGCATGGTATCCGGCATCGGAGCCTAGTTTTCATTCCCCCAGTTTCAACAGACAAAATGGATTTGAGCTTCTGGGTAGACTACACTGGCGTAGAGAGTCAGACGGATGCTGACGTTCTGGGTTGTAGCTCTCCTCGTGTGTGCTTATAGGTAGCAGATGTATTGCAAATACCTCAGTGTCTTTCGAGATAAGTGTCCATGGAGATTGACTAGAATAACGTGAGGTGCCCTCGATGTATGCTCTGTCGTTCAGGCGTTGAGGACTCCAACCAGCATGAATCATCAATCTCGCTTAAATCCCAGTGAACAGTCGCGTCGGAGCCCGACCGCCGCCGTACCGTAATGAATGTCCATACCATACCACATGATCGGTGGACACTTAAAGACATGGGGGGTTCGAGAGGAATCTACCACCTTCTTACATTACAAACCAAGTTCTTTAAGCTAGGATTCAAAGGAGAAGGCAAGGGTAACAAAGGAGAAGAAGACAGCAAAGACGCCCGGCTATTCAAACAACAAGCACAACCTGGAGCAGCTGGAGCCCCACTTCCCGCCAACTGGCCAGCCTCCAGCCAACTGGCAAGCATTCCGCCAACTGGCCAGCTGGACGAATTGCCCCACCTCAATAAGCCCACTGCGACAAGTGCCGCGCCTGGTCCGGTGATTAATTCTATTGCAAAGGGCATCAAGTTTTCAATTTTGGTTCACAAACTGCTCGATCTCATGATTCTCATCGACCTCGAGCTCAGCGGTACCTAGGTGGCGCGATCGAATGGATAGCCTTGGAACCATATTTATGAACATTTTCAATAGCTTGGCCCCTTTGATCGAGCTACTGGGTACCCCCAGGCTCATGCCCGTGAGCCTTGAATCCATATGCACGCGTGCCACGAGGTAGCGGAAATAGGGTATCTGTGCCTTTCAGCTTACCCACCCCACCCGGTGTGGGTGCGCCACGCCCATCTTTGCGAGAGTCTCTTGAAGAGGACGCGGCGGGCCCAGATGACGGCACGGACCCCCAGATCTACTACCCGTTCATACCACAGCGTCCAAGACGGTTACAGTGCTAACGGGATAAAAAGCACCTCAGGGGCCGAGGCGGGATTACAACAGCTCTTAAGCTCTTGGATTATGCGACTAATTGTTCGTATAGTTTACAGCGAAAACAATAGAGATAATAGGAGGCACATGACACAGATGTTTTGAGAGAAGACCCAAGCTACCAACAGGACATATTGGATCTAGGAATGTCTTCCAGTGCCAGTAGGACCGGTGAGATACCCACTGATCATAAAGGCGGCGGAATATTTTGTTCTGTCGTCTGCTGTATGAACTAACCACAGAAGACTCGCGCCTCTGGATCAGAAACAGGCAGACCATCGAGCGGACCGAGACCTAGAAGCGGCAGATCTTGTCACTATATACATCAGAGGCATCAAGACACGAATGATAGACAAAGTGTGCCCCTGGACCCTAGCTCCGACGAAGAGGGTTTTTAGCCATTCCCACCAGTACCGAAGTACACCTCTTTGCGAGGGGCCAGGTTCCGGGTCACACCTGTCGAAGGGGTAGTGGGGGAGGTGGAAATATTGTAACAGGGGGATGGGAATCAAAGTATCAACCAAAGCAAACAGCGGAAGGGAAGAAGTGGAGGGAAGAGGAGATCAGGTGCATCAAAGATAAGTATCGTAGACAAGTGGCGCATAGTCATCCTCGCTCCATGACCCACAAGTTTTTGGTCGACCCCGCTCAGTACCGAAGTACGTCTCTTTGCGAGGGGACGGAGGTCGTGTCTCGGTCAAACTTGTCTAGATAGGAATCTTGGAGCGGCCAAATCAGACAGGAGAAGGGAAGAGGAGATCAGGTGCATCAAGATAAGTTCAGTAAACAGGAGCACAATAGTCACCCTCGCTCCATGACCCACAGGTTTTTGGTCGACCTCGCTCAGTACCGAAGTACGTCTCTTTGCGAGGGGACGGAGGTCGTGTCTCAGCTACACGTGTCTAAATAGCAATCTTGTAGCAGCCAAATCAGAGAGGAGAAGGGAAGAGGAGATCAGGTGCATCAAAGATAAGTATCGTAGACAAGCGGCGCGCATAGTCATCCTCGCTCCATGACCCACAGGTTTTTGGTCGACCCCGCTCAGTACCGAAGTACGTCTTTTTGCGAGGGGACGGAGGTCGTGTCTCGGGCACACTTGTCTAGATAGGAATCTTGTAGCAGCCAAATCAGAGAGGAGAAGGGAAGAGGAGATCAGGTGCATCAAAGATAAGTATCGTAGACAAGCGGCGCGCATAGTCATCCTCGCTCCATGACCCACAGGTTTTTGGTCGACCCCGCTCAGTACCGAAGTACGTCTTTTTGCGAGGGGACGGAGGTCGTGTCTCGGGCACACTTGTCTAGATAGGAATCTTGTAGCAGCCAAATCAGACAGGAGAAGGAAGAAGAGATCAGGTGCATGAAGATAGTATAGTAGACAAGTGGAGCTTACGGACTTCACTTCCTCGCTCGAACCGGTGAGGAGGGTCGCGCCTCGGTCACACTTGTCTAAATAGGGATCTTGTAGCAGAAGAAAGGGCGTCGAAATATCAACCAAAGCAGAGAGAAGAGGAGAAGAGGAGAGGAGAGGAGAGGAGAGGAGAGGAGAGGAGAGTAGAAGAGGAGAGGAGAGTAGAAGAGGAGAGGAGAGTAGAAGAGGAGAGGAGAGTAGAAGTGGGTAAACCTAGCAAGATGGGAAGGGAAGATGGAAACAGGAGAAGGGAGGTGGAGAAGAGAGAAAGAAAAAGTGAAGAAGCGAGAGAAGTTCCAGATATTTATACCCAAGGAATACCGAGCTGCCTGTTTGGACAGGCAAACAATCTGGTCAAACAATCTGAAAGAACAGTCACAGTCCTGAAAATCTCTGAATATCTTGTGACTTCCCAAGAAAGACCACAGTCACAGTCATACACCACCAAGACCCCCAAAGCCTTACAAGCGTTGGGCAGCCCGTGGGAAACATCTTATTTCGATTGGCGCCATGATATTAGGCTGGCACACTTTCACTTAATTATTTCTTGCCATTTTGATATCGTCGAAGCATCCAATCAACAGAGATAAGTATGACATGAGGCCTTAATCATGCGAACGGTACGATGGTGTGCGGCCCCTGAGAAAACTTGCAGCTTTACGCAGTGTTCATTGGTAGCCCTTATGGCGAAACTAAGCAAATGGAAGTTATTACTGATGGGTAGCGGTCAATTTTACCCAGTCTCATAGATGTTTCTTCGTGGATAAAATCATGCTCCCATTTGGTACAAGATTAACCTTATTTAAAGTTCCCGACCCGAAATGCGGGGAAGTCCGAGTTTCAGCCGTACGTACAGTGGCGTACACACTACAATAGAAGCAACGTGCTTTGAATTGACCTAGTTACGTCTTGATCTGTTGCAGCTCGACCTTGTTATGTCTACGAGAGGTACGAGAGAGCAGGTATGAAGTCAGATACCAATGTTGGATATGATATTTGTGAAAAGCACGTGATAGCCTGCTCGCCAGTTGGCTAGTCCAGTTGCCTAATGGATAAGTGATATCCACGTGAAAGAATCATGGACATCGCGAGGACGGTAGCTTATGCACAAATGTTGATAGTGATTTCGGTAATGGTCATAAGATAGCACCTAAGCATACGAAACATGAATGCAGAAATCCCCACTAGCAGTGATCATAACGATGCAGAAAACCGCCGGAAAAAAAGGAACGAGTAGAACCAGAGGATGGAACCTTGAAAGTAAGGATATGATGAAACGAAGCAAAACACAAACCGCGACAACAAGGCAAATGTGCAAGATAATGCAAAAAAGCAAAAGGAGAGTGGTATAGATGGACATATCAACATGCAGAAACGAAAAGCAGTCAAGACTGCGGAAAGATCAGATCGTGGATAAAGTGACAGGTTCATGCTCCGTGAGTGCGCGTAGGTGTATGCAGATAGGATTATGTATGTGGTATTGTCGTAGGTGGTTCTCGTAGTTTTGGAGCTGATGCAGTTGCCGCAACCAGGGTGCGGGTGACATGCAAGTATGAAAGGTCAGGTCATGAAAGGTGTCGTGAGACTAGAAAATCATAAATCGCTTCTGTTTCGGCTTGTCGGATTCGGTAGCTGGGTGATTGGACATGGTTAGTTACGTGTAGCATTGCAGCCTAGATTATATACAGGCGAAAATAGGAGGAAATATTGTATCACTCACCCTGAGCTGGCCGTGGACTCTGGCTCTGTTCCTTGCGCTCGGACTTCTTAAGACGGCCCGCATTCTTCGCACCATTGCGCGCACTTGTGGCAGGATGTGACCCCTCCGCCGCAGCCCGAATAGTCGCAATGCGATGCTTAGCCCGCTCATCGCCCTGATCAGCTGCCTTGACGTACCACACATTCGACTCGAGCGGATCACGGCGGCACCCAATGCCCATCTCAGTGAAGTAGCCAACAGCATACTGAGCCTTGGCGAGGCCAAGATTCGCCGCCCGAAGAGCCCACTCATAAGCCTCGTTCTCATCTTTCTCGAGAACAGGCTCCGCACCAACAAGATACCACGCGCAAAGCGCCATCATTGCAAGCGGATGACCATGCTGCGCAGCGCTGGTATAGAAGTGGATGCTAAGCGCGGGGTCTCGCGGGCAATTCAACTTGCCGTACTCGTACGCATCGCCGAGACGATAACAAGCCTCAACATGGCCGAGCTCAGCGGACTTGGTGAAGAGTTGTACTGCATAGGTCTCGTCGGGGAAAACGTCCTCTCCGAAGCCCTTCTCGTGCAGCAGGCCGAGCTCGTACGGCCCGGAGTTGTACTGTGCGTCTGCAGACTCGGTCGCCCGCTTCATCCACTTGATACCCTCGCGGTAACGCTTGCCGAGTCCCATATCGCCGGCGATACAAGCGTGGGCCATGCGCATCATGGCGCCTGGGTGGTTCTTTGAGGCTGCTTGGCGGTAGAATTGGACAGCCTTGCCGCCGTCGGCGCGGCAACCCCAGCCGAACTCGTAGCACAGTGCCGTGCGGTAGCAGGCCTCGACGTGGCCGTGTTTGCTGGCTGCGAGGAAAAGCGGGAACGCCCGGTCATGGTCTTCAACGCCCTTGTTGAAGATTCCCGACGCATATCCATCGCCTAGGTAATATTGGGCGAAGGGATAACTGCGGTCTGCAAGGCGCTGGAGAATGGCTTTTGACTCGCGGAGCAGTCGGGCGCGAGTGATGGGACTAGGGTCGTCGATATCCACGGCTGGCATCTCGCGCATGGAGTTGAGCATGAAGACGGCGAATTCATAGAGCACTGTTGGCTCATCTGTCTTCTTCACGTTTGCTAGGTACATCTCGAATGTCTCCTTGTGACTGAGAAGAGAAGCGTTATTTCCGACTACAGCTTGGAGTCGCGAGTTGTCGAATTGGGTCGCTGTCGGGCCCGGCTGCGGATACGACGTGTTGAGTAAATCGAGTAACGACAGAGACCGGCCGTTCTCAGGGGTGCCAGACGAGTTGCGTGAAGACGATCGTGTGTGCATATAGGGCGATGCGGAGAGGTTGCGGCGATGACCCTGACCCCCCAAATCCGATACTGACGAATATGCGGAGACAGGGCGCGATAGCCTTGATCGCCGAATAGCTAGTTTATCCGTTGAACCTGACGGGCTGTCCCGAGCATGGGGCGCTGGTTTTCCAACAGGCTTCGCAGTTGGCTGTTGCTGATGGTGGTAAGCAAGAGGCTCATAGCCGTCCGACGCCTGTGCCGCGCTCTCCCAGCTTCCTCGTGAAGAGCTGTCATGGCTCTGCTCTAACGAGGCGCCGCTCTTGCTCGGGTTGTCGATGGAACCGGCTCTCTGCGGCTCTGCCGCGGACCATGACCCACTGTTCGTTGGGGTGTGTCCATATGAATGCGCGCGTTTGTAATTTGGGGCTTGTATTGAGTCTCGCCGCGGTGGGAACGCAGGGTTCCAGCTGTGCTGAGGGGGCTGTACGGGCCCGTCAAGCGACAGTTCTGTAAACTCGGAGAGTTCAAACTGCGGCGTCGGAGGCCCGTTGTATGCGCCTTCGATGCGGGCTGTTGAGGGCTCTGGAATGTCTGCGCCATGGCTGAACTTGACTGGTGAGCGCGGCGAGTTTTGAATAATTGGCGAGGTCTCGGACTGGGATGCAGGGGGTGGGACCGGTTTGCGGTTGAGATTCAGGTTCTGAGGGCGATTTGGAATGGTGCGAGGCGTGCTTTCGTGTGTCGAGGGGGATTGAGGCGACGATCGAAGGTAAGCTGGTGGGGGAGAGGGCAGCGCCTGACGGTATGCTGGGACGGGACTGGCCATGATGTATCAACTCGTGCGCGAATAGGGTAATCGAATGCGCAATAATCCAATAGCGAGCGAAATTCTGAAGACCTGTCTATAGAAGAGCGACAGACACAGCACTTGTATGGGGATGCTGGATCCCGTGGAGAAAAGCGAGGGTGAGTTCGGGGTTGGCCCCGTAAAAAAGAGTGGACCACACGGGGGACGCTATTGAGTGTTAGACGATCCTCAAACTACCGGGGGATCACGATTCACAATGATACTAAGTAACTAAACTGAAGTTAGGAAAGCGATCGACGATGAGTTTGAAGCGAGGGGCAAAGAACAGATTCAAAGACTTGTAGAGGAAAAAAAAGGTCCCACTCACAATCGCTAGTTCACTCCTTCTTTCAAATAATTTTTGCCTGCTATTTATGGCCCTTATTTCTACGCGCCCTGATCCACAAGATTTTGCACAAGAAAGTCCCGGATCGTTTATGAGGATTAAGTATTAGGGTTCTCTCCCTCCAGTTCACCTCGTATAACATCCCCAGATCAACCCAATAATCAAAGCTGATGCCTATGAGTAGCTCCGTCTCCATTTGTCCCACTGAATCTGACATCTCCACTCTACGGTCTCGGTGCGGAGACCGAACAGGGCTCCGAGACATGCCATAGATCTAAGAATAATTTTAAGGACCTATGACATGGCAGCGCATAAGACATACGAGAACAATCAACGTGGTCTTGACTCCGCATATATATACGGTGAGAACCGAGTTGATTTTCCTTCTTCATGAGATGGGACGGCATAAGTCTTGCTGTACTTTAGAGCGGGTTGAGACCCGGCTATGTATTCCGAAGCTATGTGCGTGGCAAGAGTAGATAGGACAGGATAATATACTTCGTACACTAGGCACTTCGAAGCGTACCTGAAACTCTCTTGGGGCATATAATCAAAGAATCGCTGTTTCAAACAGAGGGGGCTTGATCTCGGGAGCTAAGCGTAACCGAGATGAGTACATTTCCTCCTTTCCTCCTATGCCTCTTTTCCCATCACATTTCTTTTGACGCTGAACGGGACAACGCAATTGAGTTCGAGTAGTGCGCTGTACCTTGGAACTGATTTAGGGAGGAAAACTCTCGCACGGCCCATCACATTTCCTCCTTACCGCGCACTCGGCATTATCACAGCATAAGATATGTCCATACAACCAACATAACCACTTTCTCACTCGTCATCTTCTCAGAATCTGAGAGAATTCACTTACGCGACACATGCGGCGACTCCGTAAACCAGATCGCACAAAGAACATTTGATCCAGTACTCTAAGCTTACTCCGACGCTGACCCGTCCAATGATCGCCTCCCGAACCGCCCTCAGTCTTCCTACAAAAGCCGAAGAACGTGGGCCGACATTCGACAAGGATGCCGGGCTCCACGACTCCACCATGGAGAACTCCCCAGCTCCGCGCCATTCCCTGCGGATCCGAAGCCAACGGTATGTCTCATTCTCTATTGGTGAGAGATTGATATCAAATGGGCATTATTCCTCGGCAGGCGTGTAATTGGTTCTATCGATGATGTCGACGGGTAATATTTACATATTGTAATCAAAACGGACTGGTGCATAAACATGTGTATGTTGTACACATTTATGGGGCCTAGGCTAGATCTCTGGGGATTATCGTGATGATCGACCGCCAGTTGTCGATCATGAGGGTCGAATTGGGGATTGTTATTGGGGCAAGGATATACACAGTACCTAGGTCCTGATTTGACATACAATATTTCCAGCCACCTATCCTGCATACCTATACCCAGAGTCTCTTGGCTGCTAACTCACGGGCTCTTACGGAGTACTGTACATTCCATCAGGCTTCCGTTGCGGGCGACTACAGTCTACATGCTCCATACATGGACAGGTAGCACAGATCCGCCGCACTCCATGTCCTGAGATAGGGTGGCATATATAAGGCGTGCATTGCCGTTCGATTGATCCTGGTTTGTTTTTTGAACTTCGAGTCTAGATCCCCACACCGACTCATAATACGATATTGTTCGCGTTGCTATGCTGGAGGAAGGCGGAGGACCGGAAGTACACAGTACAACAGATCGAAATCACAGAGATCACATTCAAGATGTATCACAAATGGGCTTACTGCCTGAGGAAGGGGCTAAAAGGGTTTGTTTATTTCTTTTCATTTTTCTCTGCTATGTCTATTGATCAAGGTGAGCATCCAGGAAGTATGGACGCAATATGTAACTATCGTCAATGTGTGATGATGTGGCAATTGTTGTGTTCAGCGTGGCATTTATTTCAATCGGACACTAAGGAGACTAAGGCCAGGTCTAAGCAAGAAACAGTTTAGCAGCTCTGCCACTCAAAAATAGATGAATTGAAGACGTCTCGTGATCAGGAAAAAAAAGTAGCAAACCCTACAAACCCCCTCGGCTAGTCTTCCCCTCCCGTAACTCTTTCCATCTCGCCATCCTCAAAAGGTGTCATTCGCCAATTTAGCCGATTTATGGACGGTAGAAATGGAGACAAGCCATGGGTTTAATGGATGTGATTGGTAGGGGGATTGCCCCTAACGACAAAGAAACGGAATATTTATTTATCTCAGACCAGAAGAAGAAAATAAGACATAATAAGGACCGAAGAAGAAGTAAATTACGCCTAGACAGTGCATTTTATGCTCCCTTCACTGTGAAAATAAGCAAAGTAAAACAAGCTAACTCTCTCAGGCGAGGTCCCGTGTACAACGTCTTTGTCACTCCCTTTTCTCACATCTGGACTTAATACTGTTATCCACATTCGTTGCTACACTCTCGTTTGTGTTTTAAGTGTTTTAAAGGGCGATCTCTCGTTTTCCAAGGGACCAAGGGTCTTGAAGTGACGTTCGGGTGGGACTTTGTTTATTCTCCACCACCGGCTCGTTGCACAGGCCGACCAGATTGTTTTCACTGCGACACCGGAGCCTGACCTCAACCAACTCTAGTTTGCTGGTCAATAGAGGGAGAGATCTAAGAAAGTGAAAGAGACTGGGTCTTAAAGAGCGAAATACGAGTCGGCGACTCGCATTCTTCAGGAGATCGGGTCTGCGCATTTGACATGTTTCAGTCGGCAAACTGCAGATCGATCTCTTAAACACTCTACTCGATCCAACCTGCCATTGATGAACAGGAAATAGCAACAGTGAGTATGACCCTTCCGAAACCAAAACCAAAAGAACCGAACGAGTCAGGAGTCTGGGGTCGCAGGGGGAGTTGTCTGACATTAGAGACAGGAGCGAGATGTCTTTGCCGCAGAGGCCAGGCAAGGCCTCACCTCGGCGCGAGGAAGCCCGCGCATTTCGTGAACCCTCCCGACGCCGTCGTCGCGACATCGACTCGGGAACTTACAGCGACGACCCCACTTCTCCCTCCCACCGACACCGTCGCCGACACTCCCACAGCCACCGAAGAGGAATGGATACAGACGAGGAGCGCGGCGGCGATGAGAGACGCAAAAAGACCATGGTGAAACCAGAGCGCCGACGAGACGATCGTGACCAGACCAGCCACCACTACCGCCAGCGATCGCACCACCTGCCCGCTTTCCCTTCGGCGAGTGGGGATGATCCGTTGTTGGACCACAAAGATGGCGAGACGAACAGTTCGCGCAGTATGGATATTAAGAGCAAGGACGGTCTCTACGGTGCGCGGGGTAATGTCAACAAACCCATGGAGCGGGTCCCCAGCAGACATCGCTCCAAGAAGAAGAAGAGAGGGTCGCGACGGTCGTCTCAGGGAGCTTCCGCGGAGGAAAAGCGACGCCAGAAGGCCATTGAGCAAAGCGGTCCGCCCGAGTTGTGGCCTACGTACTGTGCAGCGATCACTTTCTTCATCCCGGACTTCGTTCTGAAATGCTTCGGCATGCCCCAGAAAGAGCAGCGCACTGCGTGGCGCGAGAAGATCGGTCTCATCAGCATTATTCTAATGATCGCTGCTTTTGTCGGTTTCCTGACTTTTGGTTTCACGGCTACGGTTTGCGGCTCGCCCCCGATCCGTTTGAAGGTTAATGAAGTCAATTCTAACTACATGATTTTCCATGGAAAAGCATATGACTTGGCCGGGTCCAAGCACGCCGGTGTAGCTGGTATCCCTGCTGGTTCGGATATCATCTACGACTTGCCGCATAAATACGGTGGGCAGGACGGCAGCTTCTTCTTCCAGCAGGTCAATGGTGCGTGCAAGGGCTTGATCACCGCCCAGCCTGATGGTGGTGTTCCTACGAACGCCAACGGAGACCTGGGGTGGTACTTCCCTTGCGCACCCTTCAACCAGGATGGGTCGTCGACGCCAAATTTGACCGTTGATTACTATCTGGGATGGGCTTGCCACACGGCCAGGTCTGCCCGTGAGCCCTTTTGGACGCTACGCAGCGACGGTGATGTGTACTACACATGGGAGGACACGAAGAACAAGAGCCGCAATCTGGCAGTCTACTCTGGAAACGTTCTTGATCTCGATCTCCTGGCCTGGTTCAACAGCAGCCAGGTAGCATATCCCGACCAATTTGACCAGCTCCGCAAGAACCCCGATGTTCGCGGTGTTGATCTCACCTACTATTTCCAAAGTGGGGAGGAGAAGAAGCTTGGGAAGTGCTTGGCACAGATTATCAAGGTCGGCAGCATCGATACCGATACCGTTGGCTGTATCGCGTCGAAGGTCGTGCTTTACGTATCCCTGATTTTCATTCTCTCCATCGTGGTTGTCAAGTTCGGTTTCGCCCTGCTCTTCCAATGGTTCCTTGCACCTAGGTTTGCCGCGCAAAGCACCAGTATGGCGTCCGACGCCAGGACTCGCAATCAACAGATTGAAGACTGGTCCAATGACATCTACAGACCCGCCCCCCGAATCACCGAACCTATTGTTCCTGACCGCAGCAACAAGCGCGCCAGTTTCCTCCCTACCACATCCCGTTTCTCAAGCCCGTACAATGTGAGCAGCAGCACTGGCAGCAAGCAAAGGCCGATGTATATCACCATGGCTAGTCAGAACTCGACCTCGCGGCTCATGCCCAATTCGAACCCGGGAACCATGTACAAGATAAGCCAAAATGGTAGTGGAGGCACTCTGAGTGTTGATAACTCTCGTCTTAATCCTGCTGCCAGCCGGAGTAGCTTGGTTCCTCCAACCCAAGATCCTGGATACCCGACACTCATGACGGACTACGAGGGTCCGGGTCCTGCGGGCTTCATTCATGAAGCCGTGGTTCCTCAGCCTCCCCCTGAATGGCAACCATTCGGCTACCCTCTGGCTCACTCTCTTTGTCTAGTGACTTGCTACTCGGAGGGTGAAGAAGGTATCCGGTCCACTCTCGATTCCCTTGCCATGACCGACTATCCTAACAGCCACAAAACCATACTCGTGATCTGTGATGGTATCATCAAGGGTAAGGGAGAGGAGTTCTCCACCCCTGATATTGTGCTGGGCATGCTCAAAGACCCTGTCGTGCCCATGGACGAGGTCCAGCCATACTCTTACGTGGCTGTGGCTACCGGATCCAAGCGACACAACATGGCCAAGGTTTACACTGGATTCTACGACTACGGCGATGCTTCCATCATCCCGCCCGAGAAGCAACAGCGTGTCCCCATGATGGTGGTTGTGAAGTGTGGAACCCCCGAAGAAGCGACCCAGTCCAAGCCCGGTAATCGCGGTAAACGAGACAGTCAGATCGTCCTTATGTCTTTCCTTCAAAAGGTTATGTTCGACGAGCGAATGACGGAACTTGAGTTTGAGATGTTCAACGGCCTGTGGAACGTCACGGGCATCCCGCCCGACTTCTATGAGGTGGTACTCATGGTTGACGCCGACACCAAGGTATTCCCCGACAGTCTGACACACATGGTCTCGGCCATGGTGAAGGACCCGGAAATCATGGGTCTCTGCGGAGAAACCAAGATCGCGAACAAGACCGACAGCTGGGTAACCATGATCCAGGTCTTCGAGTAAGTTCATCCACCGTTCGTGACAGACCGCAGTTACTAATTCCACGACAGGTACTTCATCTCCCACCACCAGGCGAAATCGTTCGAATCCATCTTCGGTGGTGTAACCTGTCTGCCAGGATGTTTCACCATGTACCGAATCAAAGCTCCCAAGGGCGGCCAGAACTATTGGGTGCCCATTCTCGCGAATCCTGATATTGTCGAACACTACTCGGAAAACGTGGTCGATACTTTGCACAAGAAGAACCTGCTTCTTCTTGGCGAAGATCGCTACCTGACAACTCTGATGCTCAAGACCTTCCCGAAGCGCAAGCAAATCTTCGTTCCTCAAGCCGTCTGCAAAACCGTCGTTCCGGACAAGTTCATGGTCCTACTCTCCCAGCGTCGTCGCTGGATCAACAGTACCGTCCACAATCTATTCGAGCTCGTCCTCGTCCGCGATCTATGCGGAACCTTCTGCTTCAGCATGCAATTCGTCATCTTCATCGAGCTGGTCGGAACCCTCGTCCTACCCGCCGCCATCTCCTTCACCATCTACGTCATCATCTCTTCCATTGTCCGGAAACCCGTCCAGGTCATTCCGCTCGTTCTTCTCGCCCTGATCCTGGGTCTACCCGGTGTCCTTATCGTCGTCACAGCACATAAACTCGTCTATGTACTATGGATGTTGATCTACCTCGTCTCACTCCCGATCTGGAACTTCGTTCTCCCGATGTACGCGTTCTGGAAATTCGACGACTTCAGCTGGGGCGACACGCGCAAGACGGCCGGCGAAAAGGATAAGGGACACGGCGATGCAGAGGGCGAGTTCGACAGCACGAAAATCACGATGAAACGGTGGCGTGATTTCGAAAGAGGTAAGCTTTGATCTCTGCGATGATGTATGAGCCAATGCTAATAGTTTTCCAGAACGCCGCCTACGCAGTGCCTGGACTCAGCCCCGTCCTTCGACGGATTCATATCCATCGCATTACGAGACATATTCCCATTATTAACGAAAGCGATAGCGCTTGATTTTTGTTCTTTCAAGTTTTGGTCTCTAATTATTGTGCATCTTGTTTCTATGTGATCTACTGTACGATTTACATCGGGTATCTTCCGGCGTTCGAAGTCTTATAATACAGTTCAGAGCGGGCGTTGCATGGCTGTAGTTTGATTATTTCCACGTGTGCTCATATCTTACTTCCATTTGATTATTACTTTCTTCCTCTTTTTTTTTGCCTGTCTTGCTCTTCATTCTTCACTGGTCTCACAGCTTGTACACAGTACAGAACCCCAATATAGCCTCTTGTAGTGATCCCCTGCTAGTCTTATTGACCGACACGATACCTATGATCAGTCAGTTTAAAGAACCTAAGCTATGATATAGCCCTTGCCACCTGCTTCTCACTGGCCCAGTCAGTCCCCGTAAGCTCGCGAGCCCAAGCCGTGCCCAACAGGATCAAAGCGCAGGTCACCGGGCTTGACCGGGTTGGATCTGCAGTGCGTCCCTCCCTGCATTAAGTTAGGTATTATTTACATTTACATATGCGAGGCTCGGGGTGATTTAAGCATCTGTATACATTGGTTTAATAAGGGTGAGAATTCGAGAATTCACTCATACTGATACATCATACGGAGTACAGTAGTACTCCATAGCCCTTGAATTGGAACAATGGAGTGATCATGGACTAGGCGGACTAAAATCCTTAAATGACTCCAAATCTCCAGACTCCAGGGACCAGAGGGCAGAGAGTCCTGCACGAGTATGAATTTGACGTGCTTTTGCCTGATTTTGCTATTTGCATGTACACACTCTCGGCCAGACTTTAAACTCTTCTTTCCACCCCCACATGGTCTTATCGCCCTCTTATCCAAAAGGCGGACAGGCGGAATTGTCGTCTCCACGTTCTCCCTGCCACGTTCCATACGACCGTTCCATATGACTGCATTCCCTTGCGTCCCCGAACTCATATTGGAAACAGTCCGGAAAAGTCTACCGCGCACTGATCCCTCGCTCCACTCAACTCCAATTCATCAGCCCACGCTTTCAGTCTACGGTGTCCTACTCGACCACCCGCATAATCCTTTTGTCCTTTCGTCTCAGTCTTGACCTCATCTTCGGCTTTCCATCCTACCTCCGATCATCTCCCCGCGGTTGACTCGGCATTTCCATCTCGACCGCTCTCCCGCTTTCCGCTGCCAGTTTGCATAATAGGCAGACGTGGACCGAGTGCGCCACGCAGTCGCTGTATAGTGTGGGGTCAAATTGGCGACCGACATCATCGAGTCCGCAGTCAGCCGTGAGACTGCTTACTGCAACACATAAGCACACACACACACACCCAAGACAGAAGCAGCCGTGACATTCAAGTGGTTCGGCATTGTCTATAGGTCCTCGCTACAAAGTTATTGTTGACTGGACTGTCCCTCCGCTTGTGCGACCAGCGCCACCCGCCATCCCTGCCATCCGACCCATTTGGGACGTGAACGTGATCATCCGGTGCCTTGCTGCACGGTGCCTGGAACAGAGGAAACATTAGGTGAAGGCGCTGTGTTTCGGGAGACCGGTCGGCGACCTCGGTGGATTGCTTGTGTTTCTGCGGTGAAACAAGTAGTCCATGGCGGGCGATGCTTCATTCCAGCAACTGTAACTCTGGTTCGAATCGCCCGTCATCCGACTTCTCTGCCCGCTTGCTGAATACCGCGGCCTCGTCGCGTCATGTGTCATGTGATAACGACGGAGTGTCAGCTCAGCGAGTCATGGATACCTCTTCGCATTCTTTTGGTGGTAGGATGTCTGGTCGGGAGGACGAAACGAGCTTGAATTTGACGGAGACGGTTACTTCGACGAATATGGCCTCCGAGGTTGATCGCCGTCTACATGACGTGGGGGTTGCTGCTCTTGCTGCTGTGGCCCAATTTCCACGTCCTGTGAACAATCAAAGTGATTCTTTTATTGTGTCGGAAGTCGTCAATGCCGTGACTAGTGCTGGTCCTTTCGAACCTCGAAGTATGAACTCAGGGGTTTCTTCGGGACGACGAGGACCTCATCAACAAGCTGGCACGGGCACGGCTGGACCGGAGTTTGTCTTTGGTTCAAATCTGGGTGGTGGCGATGTGGATGTGGAAGCGATTCTTCAGAACTTCATCCAACGCACCGAGGCCCGACAGAATGCTTTCGCGACGGACAGCGGATATGACGATAGTCAAAAAGACATGATTATGGATTATGAGTCGGCGACTATGGAAGACACTGCGTCACCCACGCACACGTCCGATAATGAGCTTGAAGACTTTCTTCAATTCTATCCGGATGAGGAGGAATACTACTATAAGCGCAAGCAACGGCCTGCGCCCGACGCTGAAATGACGGATTACGATCTTGATGATTTCTACAACAGCATCAACTATGAAGAACTTGAAATGGATCTTCCACAAACGCTTGGAGTGTCTATGGCGGACGCTTTCGAGAATCATTTCGCCGATCCACTGGAACTCCCTGGACCACATCCGGCATCTATCATCCACACTTCCAGTAAGTCGCATGGCTTGTAATATGCGATCCCGGCTAACTTGGTTCTAGCATACGAGCGGAATCTCACTATTGATGAATTCATCCAACGCTGGATGGTCTCCATACACCCCCTTCCGCAAGGCTTTCACACCGAAAGCCGAATACCGCCACAATTGCGCCCGCTGTCGAAAATGATTAGCTGGCAACCTCCGCAGGAAACGGCTCGGCCGCACAACTGGAGACGCGATTTCTATGATCTGCAGCAGATTCCGTGGACAGAAACTTTACGTGTGACACGGTCTGATGCACGGGCGGTCCGCGATGCATGGTATACCTCGTATCACAATCTGGACTACTCGCAGGTGGGCCATGCAAAACGTCTTCCGGCGCATGAAACCTTCTTCCGAGAAAGTTCCATGCATACCTCGCACAAGGCATCCATCGAGCATTTTCAGCTTCGCAATTTGATGTCGACCCCAGCACACAACACCGTACACTATGCCTCCCGCTCAAAGATATTCTCATGGACCCCCAGCACCGGCGATGCGCGGTGCTTGATTGATATGAGCCAGGCCGACCCAGAGTCAGGATTTCTCGATCCCGTCAAGATCTCCACTATGAAAACCGCGCACGGCTTAACGATAGCAGGGGGGTTCTGCGGCGAATACGCCGTATGCAGCTCAAATGGAACCGGCCCCAGCTTCAAAGGTCTCGTCACCCCAGACTTCAACGATGGCATCACCAACCACGTCGACATAATCCCCAACCGCACCGGCCCCTCACCAACCGGCGTCTTCGCCTCCAACGACAAACACCTCCGCATCCTCGACACGGAAACCAACATCTTCACCTCCGACCAAGAACTCTCCCAACCCATAAACTGCACCGCCACATCCCCCGACAGTCGTCTCCGCGTAGTGATAGGCGACTCCCCAGATGCCTGGATCATCGAATCCGACACCGGCCGCCCCGTCCACCCCCTGCGCGGCCACCGCGACTTCGGCTTCGCCTGCGCCTGGTCACCAGACATGCGCCACATCGCAACCTCCAACCAAGACAAAACGGTCATTATCTGGGACGCGCGCACCTGGCGACCCCTCGAAACCATCGACTCCGACGTCGCCGGCTACCGATCACTGCGGTTTTCGCCTGTCGGCGGCGGCCCGCGCACTCTCCTCTGCACAGAGCCGGCGGACCGCATATCCATCGTGGATGCGCAGCTCTACCGCTCGCGCCAGGTGCATGATTTCTTCGGCGAGATCGGTGGTGCGGATTACTCGCCTGACGGTGGGGAGATCTGGGTTGCTAATACTGATGCGCATTTTGGTGGGTTTATGAGGTATGAGCGCAGGCAGTGGGGGAGAAGGGTTGGGTTGACGGATTTGCCGAGTGAGTGGGCTACTGAGGAGGAGTTGGAGGGCGATTCGAGGTGTGTTTTGGGGAAGAGGGAGAGGGAATTGAGGTTTATGAGGGGGTTGTCGGATGTGGAGCATGAGTCTTTGATTCTTTAGTTCCGGGTTGGGTCTTTGATACTGTCTCTGTTTATTTTCTGGGTTGGTATTTCTGCTTCTCTTTGCATCTGATACCCTGGGTTATTGGCGTTGTTGGATGTTTGTATTTTATTTCGATAGACATTTATATCTTGTTACTATATAGTTGTGATCCCCCTAAGCCCTAAGAATAACCTCACTTAGCACAAACACAGCCTACTGTTCAAACACAACAAACCCTGATGTAAACACCCATTCCCCTCAACACCCAATAAAACCTTACACCCCGAACCCACTCAAATTGGCCACATCACTCAATCTGACGCTCCAATTGAAACAATCTCCAAGAACCCCGCAACTCAGCTCAGCCCCTCCCCTCCACTCCAGCCACTCCGACCTTCAGCTGAAGCTCTTCTCTTCCGACTATTTCCATTTCGTTCTTCCCAGTTTTCAGCTTGTTTAAGTTCAGCTCCACTCCAGCTTCTTTTTCCATTTCTTCTCTTCTACTAAAGACTTTCTCCTAACCCCAACCCACAAGCTCAAACTCAAGCACAAGCTCAAGGCTATAACCCAAAATGTCTTATAACAACCAGCAGTACGGTGGAGGTGGCTATGAAGGCCGTTCCAATGAAGGATACGGCAACCAAGGCCAAGGCCAGGGCCAGGGTGGCTATGGTGGTGGTGGTGCCTCCAACGATTATTACGGCAACAACCAGAACCAAAACCAGTATCAGAGCCAGAACCAGGGCTACGGTGACCAACAAGGCTCCCACAGTGGAGGCTACGGCAACAACAACGACAACTACAACAACGAACGCTACGACAACCAAAACCAGGGATATGGCTCCCACAACAACAACAACGACAACGACCGTCCCTCCTCGCACGCCGGCTACAACGCCCAATTCTCTTCCAACTCCAACACAAACTCAAACTACAACAACAGCAACTCAGACTACAACTCAACAGACCTCTCCAGCGCGGCAACGCACGCCTCCGAGAACCACAGCAGCGAAGATAAATCCCTCTTCGACACAGCCCTATCCTTCCTAACGAAGAACAATCACTCTTCTTCTTCTTCCGACATCGACGAACAACAAGCCGTAAACGCACACCAAGCCATGTACGGCTCGAACTCATCCAACCAGAAACACGACTCGAACACCGTTGGTGCCGGCGCTGCTATGGAGGCTTTGAAGATGTTTACGTCCGGCGGCAAGGATGATGGCGGTATGGATAAGAATAAGCTGATCGGGCTGGCTATGGCGCAGGCGGGGAAGTTGTGGGATGAGAAGAATGGGAATGGGGGGAATGTGGTGAGTTTTTTATTTTGATATTTTTGATATAACATGACAACAACCCCCTGTGGGATAGGGATTGCTAACGTGTGTTGTGTCTAGTCTGGTGATAAGCAGTCTGCTGTTAATTCTGCTGCGGAGGTTGCGTTGAAGATGTATTTGAAGAGTCAGGGGGGTGGGATTGGGGGGACTGGGGGTGCTAGTGGGCTTTTGAGTCTTGCTAGTAAGTTTTTGTAGGTTCGATCTACATGAACGAGGCAGGACTTAGGTGATTAGGGTACTTGATCTGAATTGAAAGTGTTCTTCACAAACGATGTATATTGACACTGACTCCACAGTAGTGTAATGCGGCATGTAAAAGCCGAAGGAAATGAAAAAAATGAAATGATCGCTGACCTGATGTAATGCACAAGCCTAACGAGGAGAAAATAAAAAGGTCAAACGCTAAGCGCAGAAATATCCAACACAGCGACAGACCATAAACAATTATGCTATTATCTACCACTCATCGTCGTCATCGTGTTTTCCCTGCATCGCGCTCTGTCGCGCCCGCAGCGCCTCCGCAAGTCCGCCTGCCAGACTAGCATTCGAAGCGCTGTTGGGGGTGCCACGGCCGCTGGCGCCGGACGAGTCGCCCGATTGCATGCTGCCAGCGCTGTCCCGGGGAGCGGGAGGAGGCGCGGGCTTGCGTCCGGCCATGTTGGGTCGCTTGGCGGGAGGAGCGGGCGGGGCGGGTTTGGTCTTTGCGGCGGCAGCGGCTCCGGCGCCGTTGGGAATTGGACTGGGGGTTGCGCGGGGGGCAGCGGGAGGTGGGGGTGGAGCGGGCTTTGGTGTGGGAGCGACAGCTAATTCTTCGAGGTAGGCTTCCGGGGTCCAGCCTTGTACTGAGGTTGTTGTGTTCATGCACAGCCACCATCCTGGTAAATGTCAGTTATGATCACATTGAGAGGGGAGATGAGGTCCTTACCATTTCCATCCTTGGAGACAATTTGTACAATTTCGCCTGTGCGGATGGAAAGCTCGTTCGCCCGGTCGCTGCTGAAGTCGTACTTGACCTTGGCAGTGGGCTTTTGGGCGGCGGCAGGAGGTGCGGCCGGGGGAGGTGGAGGAGGAGCCCTGACAGAGCTGGTAGACTCGGTGCGAGTGTGTACAGCGGCAGCGGCAGCGACAGCGGCCACAGGTTGAGGCACGATGCGCGACTGCGCGGCGGGTCGTGGTACAGCGGCAGGCTGTGGGGCAGGCTGTGGGGTAGACCGGGGAAGAGGCTGGGCAGCAGGGACTGGTCTGCGAGCAGCCTGGGACAGCTTCGCAGGGCCGCCGCCGGGGCCGCCAGGACGCAACAGCCTGCCCTTCGTCACAGGGCGAGCAGCAACCGGCTTTGGTCGCGGAGTAGGCTTAGAGACAGAGTTAGGAGGCTCACCAGCACTAGTGTGGATCGTGCTGCTCTTGTAGGTGTCGACGTTTCCAGCTGCTGGATCTTTGATGGCCTTGACTGTCGCCAGCTTGCCAGGCTTCTTGTTGTATTCGATGGTCTCCCCGATCTTCAAGTTGAGTGAACCCCGCAGGACGGTATTCAGGTGAGTGAAGAACTCGGTCTTGAAGACGCAGTTGATCAGAGGATCGGGCTCTTGAGCCCCGATAATCAACGAGAACCAATCATCCTTTAGGTTCGAGGTGCTGACACTCTTGATGGCTCCAACAGGAATGGTTCGTTCTGACGTAATGGAAAGTTGGTTGTTGACAATACTCTGCGCCACAATGAACACATGTCTGTTGGTCAAGACAAGGATGCGGGGAACTGGCTTGCTGGAACGACCAAACTTAGAGACCAAAGTCTCAGCGCGACAAGAGAACACAATATCTTCTGAACCGCTGATGCCTGCACCATTGCGGATCATCTCACCCGGACCGCCAGTGTTCCCAACCCCAAGGTAATCGCCCAAGAAGCGACGAGAACCGAGAAGACTCATTCTTCGGCGTTCCTTGCGGCCCTGGAGCAACTGGTGTCCTTGGTCACGGACCTTGATGAACTCGAGACCACCAGTCATGCGACGCCAGAAGCGCTGGATACGGATCGCACATTCAATGCGGTATCGGAGATAGTTCCTCCAGGCACGCTGGATGCGGATGGCCATGTTGTGCCAGTACTTGTCTCGCATGGCTTCTAGAGCGAACAGAGTTTCCGGGGTCTTCACGAAAACCTTCGTGATACCCATTTGGTACTCCTCCGCGGGGATGCGAGTATCCTGCAAGATCTGCTTTGCGCCGGATTCCACATCACCAGTCCAGGTGTAGTCACCGGCATAAGATGTCTTCGGTGACAACAGGTAGAATCGCTCGGTGAACTTGTCAAAGGTCTGACGATACGCGAATCCAGCACGTCGAATGCGGACGTTCTCTTGGAGACCCAAGTACTTGATCTGGTGGAGAACATTGCCCTCATTGTACTCCTTAGGTGCCTTGTTGTCGTTGGGCTTGATGGTACGGATGTAAGATGGCTGCGCCTTCATAAGCGTCGCTACAAGGTCATTGGCGGATGCCTTGATCTTGTCACCGGCAGTAGGTGGACGACGCTTATCGTCCTGGTCGACCTGGTTTGGGAACAGCTCGTGGAGGAACGCGTTGCTACTAGATTGAGCAAGGTTCAACAAGTCCTTCAACAGCTGATCCTTGTTCTTATCCGTCATTCCTTCGACGGCGTAGCTGACATCACCAGCGTAGTGCTTGATGATGAACTGACCTTGACGACCTTCGAAGTTGGGGTTCTGAGACAGGAAGTTGAGCCTACCAACAAAGGTCTGATCGGCCGCATCGGAAACGGCGTGAGCAGTTGCGCAGGCATCGTTAAGGGCAGCGAAAACACCAGGAGGGCGTTTGTCCTCGATCAAAGAGCACACGACCTTGTTGTCAAAGTACTCAATAGGAGTCCATTTGATCTGCTCGCGGGCATATTCATCCTGCTCTGCCTTGAGAGTCAACTGAATAAAAATTTGTTGCAACTTTTCGTTGACATAGTTGATGCACAGCTGCTCAAAGGAGTTCTTTTCGAAGATTTCGAATCCGTAAATATCCAAAATACCGATCGAGTTGGCAATAGACCCCCGAGCAGTCAATGACTGGTTAACGCGCTCTACAATCCAGTCGAAGAGATTGAAATAGATCGCCTTGGCCAAAGCATCTCGAACAGCGGAAGCTTGGACCCTGTTCAATGGCACCTCGTAGACGGAACCTCTGCGCCCGCCACGAGCAGTCTCCATCAGACGAATCGACAAGGCCTTGTTGACTTGCGCGGCATCGACTTCCAACAGATAAGCAACGAAATCGACGACTGATTGATCCGGAATAGTAGCATTGCCCTCGTCATTTTCGGTAAATTGGATGTTTCCAATCCAGAGAATAGCTGCCAGCATGCGGAACACATTGTCCTGTTCAGCATCGCTCATTCCAATGACCTTCATCGCATCCAATGTATCCTTGAATTCGGCGACATCGTCGACTCCCGGTACGTCGTAGCACTTTGAGCGACTCGTGTAGAGGTATGACTGGGGTTGTTGGAGCCCAAAGCTGTCGCGGTACTTTTGCGGGGCACCCTTGGTGAGTTGGTAGAAGATGTGGAAGTTTCGCTCGTTCGTGATCTGGCCGACGACCCGAGATTTCTCCAACAAATAATTCGTGATGTTTGCTCCTACCGGTTCTCCGTTTGTGTTGAACTCCAGTTCCAGATACTTGCCGAATCGGGAAGAGTTGTTGTTCCGCAGGGTCTTCGCGTTACCGAATGACTCCAGCAAAGGGTTCGTAGCCAGAACCATATCCTTCGTTTGCTGAATGGACGAATCGCCACCTCCAGAGACACTGGCAATGTATTGCATAATCCGCTTGGCGGCCTCAGTCTTTCCCGCACCGGACTCTCCGGAGATGATAACACACTGATTGTCCTTGTAGGACTTCATGTTGTAATATGCGGACTCGGCGACTCCGAATACATGAGGCGGGACTTCGAGGCGGTTCTTGCCCCGATACGAATCGAGGACAGTATCGGTGTAGATACCCACTGCGATGACACATGTCTGTCAGCAAATAGAGCATTCTTTGTTCTTCGCGGGGCGACTCACAGTCTCGGAAAGGATTAACGGACACCAGCACATGGCCAATGTAAGTCTAATAATCTCGCATCAGCATATACTCATCTTCGCGCACAACCCCGCAGTGCGCGCGGGAGAGCGATCCCTTACATAAATCTCGTCATGCTGGAACCGAAGCTTCAGGTTCTCGTTGATGGCCTCGTTGGAAATCTTGCTAAGCAGTGTAAGATCTGATACACCAATCTCCTTCTTCTTGCTGCTCTCAAACGTGGCCTTCTTCACCTGCGGCTTCCCCCCGCTTGCCGGCCATCGCCAACATCTGCGACTGCTTTTGAGCGTCCGAAACGACTCTTCTTTTCTCCGCCAACGGGGCGTCGTGATTGACCCTGTACCGTGATCGCGTGTCAGTTGGTGCTTATCTGGCAACGTGTTGGACCACCTACCATCTTGTGTCAACCTCTCGGGATCTTGCGCCCAGGCGACAAATGTAATTCCGACCTGTCAACCGAATCGCGTTATGACTTCAGTGTCAGATTTTGAGCGTCAGGAATCTGCGAAGAGATAATTTCGACAGGGTTTAGAAGCAATACCAGTAAGGTATGGAGTAATTGCAAGAGAGGAATGGGATGTGCCTAGTCGGACTTACGTACGACAGGCAAACCAAAGCAAACTGCTGCGCCACACCGGGCCTTTACTTCTCCCTCAGGGGCGAATCGAATACAACGATGGATCCATCAACTGGTTACTAATGAACTGGTCACCGCCTGCCTCGAATCTGAGCAATCCCATTGCTTCCCTTTGTTCCATCGGAAGTCCTTCTTTCCATTTCGGTTAGCCACACGCGTCAAGGCTTGTGGCGCGTGCGCTTAAGAATAGAAGCACCGACGTCATTGGGCATATCCCCAGGACAAATCTACTGCCTAATTACAAATCGTCCTTGTTCAATCGAGCCGTCGGGTACTATCTGTGCCTGAACTATTCGGGTTGTTTAGACTGCTGTCTCAGGTCTGCGCTTCAGGCAGTCCGGTTGATGTCGCTGGGGTTGAAGCACCACCTAACTAACTATCGCCTCCACCATGATTATGTGTCAGGTAAATAGAGGGTTCTCATTTTGGCGCTTCTGGTGTTTGTGCTCCACCCTAGCCGGATCAATTCTCCTCCGAGGGCCGTCGGTACACAAACCCCTGAATTCCTTCATCTCTAGATTCGGTCATTAATATTCAGTCACTCATTCATTCATCCTTTGCATTGGATATTCTGCATTCATATCCACCCCTGTATTGGACAGCTTGTATCTTTGTATCTCTGCTGTCCTCCGTATCTGTATACAGCACTCCGTATCGCTGTCCTTCATGCTTTCATTGCCTCATTTCTAGGCTGTTATTATGTCTTGGTGCCCGTCTTTCAACGGCCGACTTCCCTGTCATCAACACGCTCATCAACACGCTCATCAACACGTTCATCAACACGTTCATCAACACGCTCATCGTCTCCCGTATGAACGGCCACGCCAGTTGTATTGGCATGAACTGAAGACTCCTCAATCCGCCGATATCCGGCCAGACGAGTTCGAAGTAATTAAACCTTCTTTGCTCCACGTTTCACAGTTAGAGAAGGTTTAGTTACTTCAAATTCCTCTGGCCGGATGTCGGCGAATTGAGGATCATGTCCCATCTCATCCCAATAACTATTCCTTAATCGCATTATAGTCTTCTTGCTGTTCACGGAACTTTCCAGCATCCTCGAGATCTATATTATGCTTCAATTGCACAGCTAGATTTGCCATGTCGCTGATAAATGTTGTTAGGTTTTGTTCTTTTGTCGAGCGTCTTTTCTTGTTTTTCTTCCTTTTTCTTCTCTCCTTAGCTGGGTTTGTTATCTTGTTGAATTGGATTGTTACCTATTTCAGCAGATTTAGCCTGTGTGAGTGCGTGAACGCTCGGGGCCGCCGTAAACGGTTATATTTGGACTAATGGTGATTTTAATGGTCCAAAAAAACACCGAACTTCCGCTATGGTATACCGGAAGACATTTCGCTATGGTAAACCGGAAGACGTTTCGCTATGTATCTTAGGTTAGCTGTAGTTGAGCATATCGAACACGTCGGTTTGAACGGTAATCGAGGTCTCTGACTAGGTTGTGTTCAACGATGGAACTGGAGGTTGAGTCGAGTGAGCCGATATGGATGTATTCCAATTGAGCTCTGCCAGTAGGTAGAAACGTTCCACACCACCGCCCGTCCTTCCTTCCAGGCTTTCTCTCCCAAGATTATATCACAAAGCATTTCCAACTGGAGGCTAGGTACCTAAGTCGTCATGAATTGCCTCGGTATATTGCTCGGTCTTGAGTTTAAACCCGAGTACCATGTCCATACATGCCCGGGCTTTAGAGCAGCTTCAGTGATTCATGGCAGCGCGTTGATCTTGCAGGTACCAAATCCGACTTCGCGAACCTACGCCAGGGTATACTTTGGAAGACCTCTGGACTGCCCGACTAAACTTGCCCCGAGAAGTCAAGTACCTACGTCGCCAGTGCAAATGCGCATAGAGAACTGCTCTGGACCACATGAACCCCGCTTCTGAGCAATAAAATCATTAATCTACCTGTTAACGTTACTTCTGTTCCTCTGATAGAGGAAAGAGTCATCCCGTTCCATCCACACCCAAATTTCGATTGAACTCACCGTATATAGCATATGCGCTATTACCCCGAAGTTTGTACCGTATCTCATGCCCATCAACAACAAGCCATCGCAGAAAGTCCGATATCCCGTGGTTTTCTCCATTCGATTCCACTCATCCCGGATCCGTATGCCCCATTGTCTTCTTTAGCGACAAAATCCTTCACACAAGGCGGCAGGCCAAGGACACTACAGTCAGAAATGGGGGCGAAAAGTAACGAGAACCGTGGACGACGAATCCTGCGAAATATGGGTCCCTGGAGGGGTCTTGAAGATCCACCTGGCCCGTTTGTGGATGTAGATTCCAACGCCATGTTCATGAAGGTATCCACATTCCACCGAGGCGGGGTTGAATGTTGTCGAAAATCATGTCATCCTCATCATATGGCGAGACGATGGGAAGACATGAATCATTTAGGCCGAAGAAGAACAGAGTCAATGTCTTGGGGATGGTAAGTTGTTGAAACAAACTTGACTTGGCGTCGCAGCCGGCGCAGGCTACCTTGTCGATATCACCTGACGGTATGCATATCTGGCTGTAGCGCCGTAAGCGCCCATAGTATGAGGACCTTTATACCGAACGTAGCATGGTGTTAGAATAGTCAAGGTCGATCTGCCAGCCTCATAATTCCGCTTACTGGAAGCGACTTACTCGGGAATAGAGTGGTGGGGGGATTGACATGAATCATGATCACCTACAATGTAAGTACTGTATCGTTGAAATCTTAAGTAGGTCGATGCAGTCAATTGATGCCCGCCATGACGACCATGAAATTCCAAAAGCAATTCGAGATTATTCCAAGGCGATATGTTAGATGACGCTATTGGGCCCTCAATTTGGCAAGGATCCTTCCAGGCTGTGCTCATAGAACGCGTGGACCTGATATTGTCAATGAACTCGTGTTGCTTTGCTATAAATGGGTATAGTCTCTCACTAGGAATTCACACAACAGTTTCCTAGTTGCCTAAGACAACCTTGGCGTTCGTGTTCTATCAGATTCTATGGAATATCATTGGGACTAGACTCAGTCTCGTTCTATCTAGATCAAGAATTCATTGATGTAGGTATACCCGAGAATGCATGGATATCTTACCTGTTATGCTTCCACATCTTGTATAATCCTAAAAGCCACCTGCCTAAAGAGTCTTCATACACTTGTCCTCCCGAGGGACGAACGGGCAACCGGCGATCGTCCCTCCCACGCCCGTTCCAATGATCCCAGCCTGAGTCCGATAAAGAACGAACTGCCCAGGATGCAGCCTTACGCAGTTGACTCAGATTCTAACTTGTACTCAACCAGTGAATCGCATGTCTGCCCCCTCCTCCTGGACTTCTAGAACACGCCCGGCCTACATACGCGCCAATCGCAACCATTTCCATGAAACGATCCACAGTTTGCCCTAAAGGTAGGGAAGAGGAAGCCGACCAAACCCGGGATCCATTCTGCCACGTAGGAAGCCTGAACGCATAGACTCATACTAAACTCGGACTCGCCCCGCACTCTGCCCGGTGTCGATCATGATGCGGTGTAAGATCCCATTCCCAGCGAAGCTAGGTGCATATAGCCCAGAAATGGAACAATGGATTTCCATCGCGTGGCTTGCAACCGGCCTATGCGTGTATAGCTTATCTCCGGGGAACTGTTAGACCCGAATGCAAGCTGGCTAGCTCGGAATATGACCTATCAAGTAGCATGAAAGACATGCGGGGATTTGCTAACGTGCATGCTAAAAGCCAGTTCGACGTCATGAGCAACAAAGAAAATCTCTTGGCTCTTGCATTGGGGATGGTTGGATGATCGATGGAATATCTGTTTGTGTCCGTGCTACCTACAGAGGGCAGACGGTGTATATAAAATGTGTTGATCGTTGTGTGTTATTCTGTGTTTCAATTTGCAATTCACTTTTAGAATTGAAAATGGCTTCACGCAATGATACTCTCTCGCAACACCTCGGCTTTGTCCCTCCGGTTGGGCGGATCCACCTTCCTACGCAAGTATCAGGCCACGTTCCGGACTATCATCGACGCAACGAGCGGCCGGTTGTTAAATCATGTGAAATTCCATTGGGAATGCGTGATGTTTCTCTTAAGGTTGGATGTCCTTCTCGATGCCCTATTGGCGTTATGAACGGTTGTTGACAAAGGAGTTTCTCATGTAGCTTAAGATTCCTCACTACGACATAGTTCCTATCCATCATTCTCCTCCATCAGCTGTGATACATTCACATGCCAATTTCAAAGCATCAATTCAGCCAGAGAAGGCCGGAGACACCAAGGACTTCTACGATCGGTGCTTTGCAGAGGCTGCTGCAATCAATCTTTTCTTCCCAGACGTACGATCTGAGGATATTCGGATTTGCATGACAGCCTGGCTGGCTGCAAACTGCGCCGGCGACGATATTCTCGAGGCTATGCCACCTGATGCCGCGATCATTGCCCTAGACGAGACTATCTTGAAGCTTCAAGGAAGCAAAACAAACGGTATGTAGATGAGCTCAACTGCAACACAAGTCCGATGCTGATCCCGATAAACAGTCTCCCCGACAAACAACGTGGCATCGATCCTGTGCCTGTTCCATGAGTATTGCGTTCAGCACCTGAACCTCTCCGAGAGTACCGCGAAAGAGCTGAGCAACGACATATGCGACATGTGTGAGGGCTTGCGGGAGGAGATCCTCTTCCGACAGGGCATACTCCCCAACACACTGGAGACCTACCTGCGATTCCGTGGCCGAACAATGGGAATCCATCCATTTTTCACATTGATTCGCACGCTACATCAACCAATCAGCAAGGAATACCACTCCGACCTCCTAGAGCTCCAAAAAAGAGTTAGTCTGGTTCTCGGCCTGCAAAACGACCTCGTAGGCCTAGAGAAAGACCGCCGCAACGGCGAGCCCATGAACGCAGTCCTGGTATCCCTGAAAGAACAAGCCGAAAATGACACAGACCAAGCAACCAGACTCCTGCCTAAAACGGTCGAGGAGATATGCGATATCCACAACCTGTGCGTTTCTGCTGCAGTGGAAATGCACGATGAAATCCATAACACATTGAAAGCGGACGTCCATGTGGCGATCCTCGAGACAGCAGTGTTGGCTTTTGCGGATACGCATTTGAAATGGTGTGCTTCTTCGAAACGATATCAGGCGAAGGTGGAGTAGAGGCTCGATAGTTGGTCTTGGCTAATAGTCACTTTCTTAATATAACTTGGCGTTTAAGGTGTTTCGATGTTGTCTCCACTTCACTAATCGCACTGCGCCGCCACAATGTGAGCTGCATGAACGGATGCAGTGTAAGCCGGATTTTACCTGCGTCAGGCACCCATGTCCTATGTATCAGCCACAAGTGGGCTGTGGGCTGCCTGGCTGCGACTGACTACAGGAGAATGTCGGTGTAAGATCTGGTGGTGCATCCGACTACCTACTACCGACCTCCCTGACATTGAGGACGAACTATACCTTTTGCTGTCTATCAAGCCTACTGCTTTTTCAATGGAATATTGACAACACCAAAGCCCATCCAGTAAATCATGCACTTGCCCGAAACCCCCATAATGCGCAAGACAAAGCCTATCAGCTATCCACCTGCCAAACAGGGCGATTATCCAGCCTTGATAGACGGGAGCCGGCCTAGGCGGTTTGGAATATGTGCGCAGTCGTGTTTAACGACGAATGAGGTGCAAGCCCTGACGAATTACAAGACGAAGACTTACAAAGAAGCCCACTGTACCGTGTTTCCTGCTGATAACGAAGAGCCGGCCAAGGTGTTCGGAAAGACATTCAAGTATGCTGAGGCGTAATGCAAATACGTTGTTGAAACAGCGATTGACCGCAAATTATGCCAGATGGATGGGAAATAGGTTTGTGTGACAGGTTTTGGCTTCGTTTGTCGGTTGCGTTTCGCTTGAATTACTGTTGTAATCAGAGGACTTCGTTTTGACAATGCCTATATAACCAGTACTTGTACGCGGGAAAGCAGAATATACCTTGACTTCACGTAAAGCGCCCACCAGACGTCTAACATGGCCGAACTGTGCCCGTGTATGTATTAATCACTTATCCAGTACCTAACCAAGGAGTAATGATATGGGCCATTGGTCCCTGCAGCGCGTGGAATGTCGTTTGGTGCATTCACCATCGGTCAAACGACTCATTTCCCCCTCCGATCTGCGGCTGCTCTCAGTGCTCTGCCGAGCCATCTTTCAGCTTCTACTTCGGTTTTGAGATGGAGGTCAGGACGAGAAGTGCATCCCACGACTCATCGGGTCACCTTTCACGTTATCATGACTGATGGTTGATTAAAACCATGCCATGGCTCTTGTAGTTGATCTCAATCGATTAGCAAACCCACCAGTCAACCCAGGACACTCCATAATCCCGCGTGTCGGGTAGGTAGATACCGGAGTGAAAATGGGAGAATACCAACCGTTTGAGAAAAGGAAGCCGATGAGCTCTCCACCTACCTTGGACCATTGTTCAGACACGAAGGCCGATGGATATGATGTCGTCGTCAGCGTAAGAGAATAATAATAATAATAATAATGATGTCGTCGTGAAGTCGGACCCGCAATGCAATCTCACGGCACAATGCAACACAAGCACAACCCTCCAATGCGCTCGCCTTAAACGATCCATTCATGTTCCCGGTATAGTAAGCGCGTATGTTGTTCCAAGGCTGTCCTATGCTCGTGATTAGTCGTGCCCTCCCTCTCACTTATACAAAAAAAATCTGCCCTTTCTCAATCGCTCCCCGATCAACCTTCATCCCCAGACCAGTCAATATACCTGCCACAACGAAGTTCCTGGTTGATCTGGTCCGCGGAATCGGTTGATGAGGCGCCTCATGACGTCCGAGTAGGAACTCAAGGGCCCCAGGCGAGTCCTTCCCTCGGCTGCCTCGATGCCTTGAGGGGGTTCGACCCCTCGTCTCTCTTGGTAAGTATCCCGCCATCTCTTTCCACCCCTTTTCATGACGAAAATTGACATGACGAAAATTGATACTGATGACTGCAGAGGCCCCGGCAACAGACGGAGCCATCGTTTCCTCCCGGACGACCCACGACGGAGCTCCAGTTGTTCACAGCCCCGAAGATAAGCAGCTGTGAATCTCAAGCATTTCCACTAGAGCTCGAGTGCCTTTGGAATCCTTGAGAATCGACAGAAGACTCTATACCGTAAGTAATAGGCAGTCGTCCGACAAGGATCTAAGTCCATCCGTGGGATCTCGATACTCACTCCTTCTCAATAGTGTCTGAGTCCTGCCATGAGGTGCCCACCAAGCACGACACAAGTATGGTGTGTCCAATCCTGTCAACCGGGGGTTCAATACGGGCCTCGCTCCACCGGAGTACTCGGAATCTCGGCACGGTCATTCGAGTCCTCGGAACGACCAACGGCCAGAATATCATTCACCGTGATTCGAAGCGGCGAGTCGCGCAAGGCAAGTCGGAGGACTTCATGGGCCACGCCCATCTGCGATGTAGGTATGTCTGCCCCCATTCAATACAGATGCAAGGCAAACTGTATGATCAGACCACTGACCTCTTCGCTCTCCATAGAGCAGTGGCTCGGGCCGTGATTGGGGCCGACAGGCGTTCTGTCCATGTACTGATGCGTGCATCCCATCAGCTCTGATCATCTTGTTTCGCATTTATCTGATCATGCGCCACGAGACTCGGCTTACCCCCCTCCCGAGGAGGATACCCTCAGTTGCAGCTCCGATGATTCTTTCGTGACCTCCCTCACTCACCCCGACAACGACGGCATCAATAACTCATATGCCGTCCGTGCACGACGCAACATTAATGGAGCTGTGAAAACGGCAAGGCCGCAAGGCAATACAATCTAAGAAGTGGTGCGTACCCTACCCTCGTCTGAACCAGAAAGAAGTGCCCGAGCTGATCACTCTCTAGGTTGTCCTCCCACCACCTAGGATATTATCCTGTAGTCTTCGCAACCGGCACACCGACTATGGGAGAGCCACCGGGCCCCCTGGTTGCTGAAGCCCTTCTATATGGTCGACCAAGTGATGCATGGACCAACTGAACGCCTTGGTAAGTCATAGATACCCATCTGAACCGGAACAAGATGAACTGTTCGATGGCTAACGTGTTTTTCCTTTCGCCTGACAGGTCGCAATAGCTATAACCGTCGGGCGAGGAGATCTCGGATATACTCGTCACAATTTGGTTGCGATATGACCTCCGTGCTCGACCAATAACAAGGAAGACCTCATGTGCCGTTGGAGCTGCAGAGAACGCCCGTTCTGATGCTTGCTATATGACTTCCGTGCTCGACCGATAAAAAGGAAGACCTCATGTGCCGTGGGAGCTGCAGAGAAAGTCCGTTGTTATATGACTTCTGCTCGACCGATAACAAGGAAGACCTCATGTGCCGTTGGAGCTGCAGAGAACGTCCGTTCTGATGCTACCGTCACGCTACCGTCGCTACGCGCATTTGCAATCGGGTCGAGGTAGTACGCGGCCCAGTGGAGACCAGTCAGTTGGCCGTCGATACTGCCATAATGGGCCATCGAGGATGCTGTTGCATGCCCTCCGAGTATTAGTCCATTTTAAGCCCGGAGGGACCCACCGAGAGTTTGAAGGCTTCAATTCGCGTCACCGTGACACAGGAAGAGCTGATGAGTTCCTGCGGCCACGCAACGTGCCTCGACCAAACGGGGTTTCAATACGGGCCTCGCTCCATCCGAGTACTGGAAACTCGGAACGGCCATTCGAGTCCTCGGAACGACCAACGGCCAGAACATCGTTCACCGTGATGTCTGAGTGACAACGTCCTGCTCGACCGTGTCGGCCATGTCATCCGTACTGGTGAGACGACATATGCGGGGCTCCCCTGCCGTCGACTGCTTCCTGTTGGCTCGCCTGTCCCAGAGTGGCCCGATTTTTAACAAGGCTCCGCTGAGTTTGGCTATTCTAGGCAATCTTGGGCATAGTGTCTCGTACTCGGCTGGTGCCATGACGATCGAGCATCTGGATTCATCAGATCTGGCATCAAAGCTCGAAGCAAATGCCAGGAGCTTGATAGCAAGTCGGGCATCGATTGGCGTTATGGATGACGTTGACTCGGATCAGGATGGTTCGGGAAAGAAAATGAGGTTCTGGAGAGCACTTGGTCGCTATCAGCAAGGACTCTCGGCATGCGCACAATCTCAACAATACAAGGTCTCCCGGCACCCGACGGTCTTGGGAATTAACTGCGACGCTCAGCTGCGCCTATCCCTATACGTGACTTCCGAAATAGGCATCCGCGAGTCACGAACGAAGGACAACCAACCAATCAGAGAGAAAGAATTCTCAGCCGAACAACCAATCGGAGGGAAAGAATTTAGGCCGAATTATCTCCGAGGTCGTTTTGGCCGTAAGGCGCCGCTTTGCGTCGCAATCAACTTGGCCGGGTTCTCTCCCAGCTTAAGGGCCAAAAGCAACACTTCAGGAAATCAGGGAATTGTGGCATACCTGTCAAGCCGCCTGCTCCTTCCATAAGTAACCGGTTTTCTGTGTTATCATACCCTCCCATATTACAGCACATAGCTGTCATAGCACCACCTGGAATTGGTCTCATGATGTCTCGCATGTGTGGAGCGCTGCCTGGAATTCCGAAAACTGATGACGGGTGAGGAGTCGTGAGAACGGATCAGGGAATTTGGAATGGTGGTCTCACTGAGACCGGGCTCCTTCCATCAGCCAAACTCTTGGCATCATGGCTGTATTTCGGTTGCCCTTGAAGGTGCTCCCGGTGCCGGGTGGCTGTCGTCGTGGCAGATGATGACGAATTTATTCACCCGATTTAGCTCGCTCGTCTACAACAGATTCTCCGTTGTCTTCGTGCATGGACCCGCTTTTGAGCGGCTTTTCAAGGTTACCGGGCAGCGCAGGCCCTCTATGGTCAAACGTGGCAACTTGCCAGAAAACGGATTGTTTCGAGGCGTGACCGGTGCATATACCTGCGGCTCAGGTGCCTGAGGTTGTAAGCGAGGGGCAGGAGGCTCGCCTAGGTAGCGGGGACGAAGATTCGATATAAACTGTGCTGGACTTTTACATGTAGGTATTACTTTCTTGCTTCCTGACGAATGAATGTACCTAGTTCTCTATTCTTGGAGATGATTCCTCGTTGAGTTGGATTCACGATTGCATATTCAAATCCCCCATTTCGCAGAATCCTGCACACTAAGACCAAACACTCTCAGCCTACGGAGTAGATTGTGACACAAATACCTCATACATCGTCTTAGCATCTATATCCGCCATACAACCCACCAGATTCCTGGTCTGTGCCGGCATAAAGCAGGAGCTCGAGAACTCTACGGCGGAGCCGTGTGGCTTGGTCGAGGTTCATGAGGTACTTCACGTCTGCTTGCTGGTATCAAGGCGTCTGCATCCAAACGGTTGCGGATCTTTCCAGTACCATCGGGCTCCCCTCCTTACAATATTGGTATGTTGCAGACCCCATGCAGAGAACGCCCGTTCTAATGCTACCGCATTTGCAATCGGGTCGAGGTAGCATGCCGCCCAGTGAAGGTAGGTCAGTTGGCGGGAGTCCTATCATTTGGAATAAGATCGGCCAAGTCCTTGCTGAATGAGCTCCCTGGCTGAAATTGCTAAACACGGGCTTGTAGGGATATCCACCGGTGGACCACCTTAATAAGACTTGCATCGCCTGACTCTGACACCCGGATCGCTTCGTCGACAAGCTTAATTAGAACCAGAAGCTCATTTAGTTGGCACCAGAACTCATGGAATTTAAGCATAAGTGCTAGCTCTCTTGCAGTTTGACTAGGCTCTGTATGACTTATAAGGTATGGGCGACGGGCCTGCAGCCCTCCTCATATCTCTTTACGCACTAGCATCCGGTATTGAGTAATTATCCCGCCGAGTACTAACTGCCGCCAGGAGATTTTCCTTCTTGTAGAACTTTCGCTGTAAGGCTCGGAGTCTAGCAGGTTGCAGAGGGGCCTCGTTGAAATGGTGAACCATTCCTGCAGCCCTCTTAAAGACACACTTAAAATTGTTGGCAAACGTAGAAGATCTTGCATAAGAAGCTAGAGCCCATGCGAATCGCAAGAGACGAAGTAGATATGCTTCAGCATATTGAGCTGCGCTTATACGTCTGCCAACAATCCCAAGTGTCTTAAGAGGGCTGTCAATATGGTGAATCACTTCAACGCGGCCCCTCGACAGTTTGCGAGACTTCGAACCTGACAGCAAAGGTTCCACAGGCGACAAGAAGAAATGCTCTCTTCTGGCGACAGTTAGTACACGGTGGGGTACTCAGTACCGGATGTTAGTGCGTGAAGAGATCTTAGATCTGGGCAGGCCATTCGGACAGATCTCATAAGATATAGAGAGCCCGGGGAAAATGCAAGAGAGCTAGAGCCTAGAGCCTAGCACTTATGGCTAATTGCCATGAGTTGTGGGACCAATTAAATAAGCTTGTGTATAGAAAGGCATAACCTATGGAGAAATCTGAAATACTTGATGAAAGTAGATGGATTCAAGTAATCTCCAATGCGCTAACCAAGGAGTAAAGGAGAAAGGAGAAGAGAACTAAGCTGTCAAGGGGCTGATATATGTGGGAAAGTAGCGGTCAGGTGACCGTCGGGTCACATGACTGCTGACCCTGTTTTGTTATCAGTGGGACATTCATCTAATTATTATTCTGTAGCTAATGCATCGGGTTACGGGTCACCGAATAACGACGAATATCTCAAATAAGGCATCCCCCGTCATAGAATATTCGAGTTTCAAAAGTGATCCTCTCCGTATATTGTAGCGAGATAGCGAAGCGCAAAGACGGAAATTGGAAGTGAGCTGCCAAGAAACAGCTGAGTCTTGGCGATTATTCGTGCCTTATCGTCGGCGTGACGGTATCGCAGCCTTTTACAGTAATATTACAGCCTCAATCGCGTCCCTTCTCCCGCGGCAGCTCTCACCTTCTCCTCCACACCTAACATTAGTTTAACAGAGTTATCATCATCATCATCATCATCATCCACAGCTGGCACCATGCAAGTCCCAACTGTAACTCTAGTGAGCATTCCCAATAATCCTTATCTTGATGATTCTAACCTTCATGTCTGATATAGGAAGATCTCCAAGCTTTCCACGCCGAACATTTCCCCAGCCAACAGCGATCCACTCTCCCAGCGGAAGATACCCCAGCTGACGACCTTGGCTACTACCCAGATGGAGTAAAGCGCACCCTTACTGACGAGGAAATCCGGATATTCAGACACAGTGAGATCCATGCTCTGCTGCGTCAGCGGCAGCGCGAGCAAGAAGAGAGGGAATATGAGTCTCGGATGCAGTCATCCCCAAGTGATGTACCAGAGGGTAAGCCAGATGATGCACCTGAGAGGCTTACTTTGCAGACCCACTCTCAAGCTCAGGGTAGCGCTCCGAAGAGATCGCCTTCACGAAAGGGGCCTAAGGGGGCTAAGAGACAAGTCACAGAGGAGACGGCTTTGGAACCCCTGGACTACGGAGACGAATCTCGTCAGGTCGACACGGCAGAAAGGCCAGAAAGGCCACCGGTGTCGCAGATGCCGTACCAAGGTCGTAGAGTCGTTTCCTATGATGACTGATGACCTGCATATTTGGTCACCAGATCAGAGCCTCAGCGTCTCGATCTGGGCAAGCAGCGGCAGCACTCCCACAGCAGACACCTTGATGCGGTATGTCACCTTCTTCCCAATTCCCAACACCCACGCCCATTTATGATGAACAACATGTATCATCCTTAGCCGGAAAGCCATACCATCTGCAGATGTGTGAGGCATAGACGACTGTAATCTTCTCTCTGAGGGCTCCTCCAATCTCCTAATATCATGCGCATGGATTTGTTCCGACACTAATGATTCACCAGGTCTCATAGCTCACGGCCCCCCATTTGCTCTTGGCGGAAAAATCCAAGAATGTCACGATGCGCAAAGGTCAAGCTTTGCAAGTGGAACTCTGCTTCGGATATCGGAATCCAATACGGCTATCACCTGCGTCCTTGATATCCTGTTCAACACCTTCCCGCTGACGACATGCCACTTCGAATGACATAGGCAACACCCCCCAGTGCTCCAAAAAGGCCCGACGGTCTCTTGCAGTAACCTGGGTGACCCAAAGGATGCAACGTGCGAATATGCTTTGTTGTCCCGGAATCATTCAAACGGATGGAACCAATTCGTCAACTGTTACCAAGACCATAGTCTGCCCTTGGCGGATCAGTTCATGACGAAGAATAATGCAGCAAAGTGGCATGTGGCGCCACTACACATCTCCTATAAGCTATACAGTAGACCAGTTGTACGACATCTGGCGACAACACCGGGACAAAGGATTGCCTCCTTTCGTCAGGAATGGCGAGCTGCTTACTTCTGTGAGAATGAAGACACCGAGCGGCTGTGCATCGCCCAGCTTTCCGAAAGCGGACACATTACGGATATCAGGCTTATATGGTCTACACATGATCTACGCTAACAATATGCCCGTCCACGGGAAGTCATTTAATTCATCCACGTCTGATACAGACGGCTCAGCGCTGTGGTGTATATGCAAGTAGTATTAAGTATGCAATGCCAAAATCCAATCAAGCAACAGAACTAGCTTCGAGGATGAACAAAGTGATTCAAAATGTGAAATGCCCAAATGCAACCCATAATACCCAAACCCCAGCCCATTCACTTATGAAGACCAAACCAACCAGACCCGAAAGATGCGCTCAAGCATTATTCGCACAAGAAAAGCTCGCACTGCTAGGATTATCATGAATCGCCTTCCCAGATACCCAAAGCCCAAGCCCACAGAGCGCCGCACCAACAACAATAACCACGAAATTCAACATCGTCAACGCCCCCTTCCTCCAAGTACTAAACCACCTCCCCTTATTCATAAACAGCCAAAAGATCCCACTAAGCCCATACGTAAACCAACTCGCAAACAACGCCGTAATCAAACTAAGCAAACTACTAAACACCGGAATAGCCGCAGAAACAATCCAAGCCAGAATCCAAAGCGCAAGCGCAATACCCACCCACGACCCCGTCGCAACCCAATCCCGCTTATGCATTCGATCCGTGCCTTCAAAGATGCGCAGATACACGTACTTGAAGGCAACGTGGCCGTTGATAACGCCCGCAATGATAATAGTCGGCAGGGCGATGCCGTAGGCGACTTTTGCGACTATGGGTGATGCGGAGCCAAGGGCGGGCGAGGTGACGTCGCTGCCGGCGTAGCGGTAGATGACCAGTGCGGCGATGAGGTAGAGGGACATGTCGATGCCTTGCAGGAGACAGAGGGATCGGGTGAAGTCACGGGGGTTTTTGAGTTCGGCCATTAGGCCAAAGAAGGCGGCGTGGCCGCAGAAGGCGAAGACTATGTTGCAGACTGCGGAGAAGCCGTGGTAGAGGTCTGTTTTTACGACGGCGACGACGTCGTCCGGGCTGGGTTTTGTGGTGCCGACGGCGATCATGACTATTAGGACTGAGGTCATGATTGATCCGAAGGCTGGTTTTGTTAGAGATGTTTCTTTTAGGGGTCGGGTGGAATTAATGAGGGTCAATGGGGGATTGCTTACAGACTAGTGATAGCCATGACATCTTGACTAGAGTACGGGGCAGAGAACAGATGAAGGAGACGATCATGCCGACTATGCCGAAGACGATGGAGCAAGTGCCATGGTTGGTGATGGTGTTCATAGCCACGGTGAAGGTTAGGAGGTGACTAGCCATAACGAAGATGAGGAAGATGATCTGGGCGACGCCGAGGAATTCACGTCCCCATTTACCGGCTATCACTTCGCCTGCGTCGGCCATTGTTGAGATGTGCGGGTACTTCCACTTCATCTGACCGATTACGTAGCCGGTGTATGTGGCTAGTGAACCAAGGAAGAGGAGGACAAGGATTGCACTGGAGAGGTATTAGCTTCGGAGTCTATAGTTCGAGTTCGAGTCCACGGGCGAAGGTGTAAACATACGGAACAAGACCCAGTCCTGCAACGGCCGCAGGTAGTGATAGCACACCCAGTGAAACTGTTTCGGCAACCATGACTGATATAGATGTTAGAATAGGGTCTTCATTTTTGATAGCGTGGTATTATAATTAGTAGGACATACGCAGGCCACATTGCCTACGACAGAAAGTTAGTTATGAACGACAACATTCGCAGACCAAGTTATGACATACCACCACTTAAGTACCTTGTACTTCACCTCCGCAAACTCCTCATCACCAAACGCATCCTGTCTGAACCGCGGCGCGACATCCACTTTCTCCAGATCAGACATTGACCCCGGCCCTGAATGTGCATTCTTCCTCGAGCCAGCCTCCGAATCAGCCGGCGAGCTCATAGCAATCGAATATCAAAACGGGTTCTCGAGTAGTAGATCTTGGATCAGGTCGATGCGAACTAAAACCGAAGCACACGGATACGGATGGGTATACCGCACGAAGCAATAAGACCGAGATATAAGAGAAGATATCGAAGAAGAAAATACTTCTATAATCAAAACGCGAAAATCAAAGATCAGAAACAAAAATCATCCAAGTCCATAGAATAGAACAAGCCGCCACCAAAAGGGCATGTGGATCGCCGAGCGCGGACCGCGTGGACGAATCATCTCCGCGCGACGTAATAGAAAGCTCGTAGGGCTCCAGTCTGTCCAGGCCGTTTGGTTGCAATTTTGCCTTGTTGAAACTGGGGAAATGAAAACTTCGCTCCGATGCCGGATGCCATGAAACGAGTTGCTATTTCCCATATTATTCGAGGTTTTGTACGCTCCAGAGCCGGAAAGGTGCGTAGGTAAAAATTCGGATGTCAAAATTCTTCCTCGGCCCGAGTATATTTTTAGTGTCCGATCGGAGCTTATTTCCTGGCAGTTGGACCTATCAAATGCTCGGTTCGGGATGGCTTTGGAGGTGATCGGTTCGGCATCCAGTGACTTCAGCTTGGGCTTGGCATTGCTTAGTTTATTGACTTATTCTGCTTGGCGGTGGTTGTTGGGTCATTAAGTGCCCGCATGTTTCAGCCAGTTCTCCGCAAACTTCTGACGCCAGCCTTGGTCGTCGCGTTGAGTATAGGGCCTGCTAGGTCAGGTACTCACATGCCCATCGGTAGCAGCAGTGATGGGGATTACCAAGAGTGTATTATTGCGAGAAGATATTCGTCTTCCGCACTGCAAAGCCCAGGGGAGTGCTGATGGGCTGGTGATGAAGTTGATTAAAAGAGAGCCAAGCAGTGGTATGTACTCCGTACGAAGATAAAGATCCGTGATCATGGCAGTATCGTTATCGATAAAGGCGGCGTCGATAATGGGAATAGCAAACATAAAGCACGCGTTCTCCACAGTTCATCTTCACCTTGTCAACAACTCTCCTCAGCGTTCACTGCGACAATATCAGAGCATCTCAGACAACTCACCTGCTTGATAGGTGCCCGCATCTTTAAGCCAATTCTCAGCAAGCTTACGACGCCAGATGTGGTCGTCGCGTGGCGTGTATCGGCTGCTAGGCCAAGTGCTTATATCCCCATCACTATAAGCAGTGATGCGGATCACGTCCAGGTCATTCCTGGAAGAAGGCATCCTTGTCTTCCCGACTCGCAAGCCCAGTTGAGCACTGGTGTGTTGGATACTGATGTTATCACAGCAAACTGTAGAGTTCTGGAGTGAAAAGTCCGAAGGTCGGTGCTGCTTTGCTCGGTTTTCAATGGAGAGGGAAAGACAAAACACAAAGGGCAACACAGCAGCCGGACAGCCAGCCTTGGTCGTCGCGTTGAATAGGGCCTGCTAGGTCAGGTACTCACATGCCCATCAGTAGCAGCAGTGATGGGGATGTGAGTACTTGGCCAGGCAGCCGCTATACTGAACGCGCCGACCAAGGCTGGCGTCAGAAGGTTGCCGAGAATTGGCTGAAAGATGTGGCCACTTATCAAGCAGGCGAGTTGTCTCAGATGCTCTGATATAATAAGTTACTCTGCATGTCCTTGCGGCTTGCTGCTGTTTGCGATTGCTTATTGTTATGCGCTGCTGCGCTTTGTTACGCGCACATACGCTGGGTTCCTGCGGCTTATGCTCTGTCCGGCTGCTGTGTTGCCCTTTGTGTTTTGTCTTTCCCTCTCCATTGAAAACCGAGCAAAGCAGCACCGACCTTCGAACTTTCCACTCCAGAACTCTACAGTTTGCTGTGCTAATATCATTATCCAACACACCAGTGCTCAACTGGGCTTGCGAGTCGGGAAGACGAGGATGTCTTCTTCCGGGAATGTGGACGTGATCCCCATCACTGCTTATAGTGATGGGGATATAAGCACTTGGCCTAGCAGCCCATACACGCCACGCGACGACCAGATCTGGCGTCGTAAGCTTGCCGAGAATTGGCTTAAAGATGCGGGCACCTATCAAGCAGGTGAGTTGTCTCAGACGCTCAGATATAATACCTTACTGTGCATGTTGTCGTGGCTTGCTGTTTGCGTTTGCTTATTGTTACGTGCACACACGCTATGTTGCCGCGGCTTATGCTCTGTCCGGCTGTTGTGTTGCCCTTTGTGTTTTGTCTTCCCACCTCCATCCTCTCCTCGCACTTTGGAAGTTTCGTGTCTCTACTTCCTTACTGACAATGCACATCAAAGGCGCGAATCCAATCATTGAGAAGCTCCCAGACGGATACCGCCTGTTCGAGCTGCCCCGTCTTAACACCCCTCGCGTTGTGAGTCTCCCTGAGTTTGATAACTTAGCTCTAGCTAACGGACTTGTGGAAACAGGATTCTTATCTATTCGGGCATCCGAGTGGGAAACCTTACAACTCGAGTGTTACCTTTTTCCCCCATTTTCTCGCCATCGTCGAGGGAACACTCGACAGCTGCCAGTGCAAGCTGTGTGCGACTTACAAAAAGAAATGAACGAAAGGGGCTCAGTTTCGGGGCCAGTGGCGCGCGAGTCGCTTCGCTGTCAGGATCATATTCCTGCGTCCGAGCCTCCCGCGATGGCTACTTCTTCGTCCTCGGCCCCGAAGGGAAAGCAGAAGGGTGGACTTGCCGAGGCGAGTAAGATGGTTGGCTCTGGTCTTGGTGATGCGTCGGAGGATAATGATAATGACTATTACGACGATGAAAATGACTTGACCGATGAGGAGTCTGGTGATCTTCCGGAGCTGCCTCCTTCGGCTGGCCATGATGTTGCGACTGAGAGCGACAACATGGATGATCTTGCATAGATCGCTTTCTGTTTGATGATTCTGTTAGAGAACCTGTATGTAGTCACAATGAAACATTATTATAACTATTCTTAGCCACGTGTCTGCTGATCCTGTTACCTCTAAGCGAGATTGATGCTCCAGCACGACGGGACTGGCTCTATTCATGCTGGTTTGAGTCCTCAGCGCCTGGACCACAGAGCATACAATGAGGACACGTTATTCTAGTCAATCTCCATGGATAAGCATCTCGAACGACACTAGGGTATTTACAATAGATCTGCTACAAGCACACACGAGGAGAGTTGCAACCCAGAACGTCAACATCCATCTGACTCTCTACGCTAGTGTAGTCTACCCAAAATCTCAAATCAATTTTGTCTGTTGAAACTGGGGAACTGAAAACTTGCAAACGGAGGACATGCGCTCGAGGCTTTACAGGACATGGAGCACTGGGTTTGGTGCAGCTATGGCGAACGACCCCCTTCGAGGTACCTCTGGGTACCATCAGGCCAAATCCAAGCTCGCATCGCCAGTGGACACTCGCCGCCGCCACCTTGGGAAAACTAAGAACGAATGATGCTTCTATTCATCCAAGAGATCAAACTCGCTCATTGCGCCTTGTCTCCAACGTAGTAGGTCTCGTTGATATCGCCGTGGAAACCCTTGTGATTGCAGATGCCGACATCAAACGCGAAGGAAAACTGGACGTTAATTGCACGATCTCTAAGCTCTTAAGTGCCTCATGCCTGTGCCTCATGCCTTTACATAGTCGAAATCCATCTCCTCCGACTTATCGGAGAGGCTGAGAGAGACAGACGCCATTCGCGCCTTCTGAAGACTCGCAACATGGTCCCCTCGCGGTTGGTTCACCTGAAGATGTCGAAGGCGACATCATCTCCTCCGACTTATCGGAGAGCCGCGCTTCTGATGGCTATCCTCATCCGGTCTCCCTGGATAGTGAGGATCCACGACGCGTCTCCCAACCCCTAGACCCACTCCGTCCGGCGTCCGCTGTCTTGTGGCGCACAGTCACTAGGTAAGAACTTAAGAAGACAATAAAATGTGGGTCTCAGATATGAGTATAGCCACCTAGGTATTTGCAATACATCTACTACAAGCACGACCTAGGACAGCCACAACCCAGAAGTCAACATCCGTCTGACTCTCTACGCTAGTGTAGTCTCCGCAAAAGCTCAAATCTGATAAAGATATCAATTCAATCATTCCAGTGATATGCTAGGAACGACCTAAGTATTTGTACACAAACAGAAAAACGTGGCCACAGCCACAAAACGCCCGTTCCACAAATGCCATCAGACATCCCTGTCCTGCAAGCAAGATCGAAGTCAAAGGAGGAACACAGAACGCCATGCTAGTAAAGATGCTATCGTACATGCCACGAAAGAAATAAGAATAGAACCGAGCTAAAGCAGCCGAAGTAACTGTCAACCGATGCATTGAACCATATGCATGTCCACGGAGTCATGCAACTCCTAGGGTATTTTAATTACCCCGACTCCCCCGCCTCAACCTCCGCCTCTTTCGCTGCGACTGCTGAATAGAGTCCTCATTCAGGATATCCGGCGGAAGCTCGAACTCGCGCTCTTCCATATCCGGCACCGGATGTCCGAAGGCAAGCGCAGAGCGGGAACCGCTGCGACGGATACCGTTGGTGGCAGCGATGGCTGCATCGCGGACGTGGCGCTGGCAGAAGAATGATGTGAATGGGGCATCTCTTTCCTGTGGGGCAGGATTCCAGAAATGTGAGAGAGAGGCTTGTTGGAGGTTTTTCTTTGGGGCGGGTGCCTTCGAGGGAGTTTGTGGTTCGGGAGGTTGGTCTTTCTTTCGCTTGGGGCTTGGCTTTGGTTTTTCTTTTTCGGAGGCGGAGGTTTTTGTTTTCGTTTTGGTGGTGTTGGTTTTGGGGGGAGTAGGTTTTGAGATAGACTTGCGAGCAGCGGGTGCTGTCTTGCGCACTTTCGCGGCGCCTGCAGATCGGGCTTCTTCGTGGAGTTGGCGTGCAGCCCAGGCGTCGACGTCGCTTGGGTCCGGATCTGGTGTGTTCTGGAACTCGGTCGGTGCTGGGGAGGTGTCTACGTCTTCGGCTGGACGGGATCGCTTGCGCGATTGTCTCCGGGAGTCGGTGTCGATGCCAGCTGGGACGGGTTTGTCCTTTGCCTGTTTGCGACGGCGATCTTCGTCTTTCCAGGCTTGGAACTTGTTGACTAGAGCGACCAGCTCCTGAATCAGGATGTCGCGTTTCGGTGCGTACAGTTTCTTGTCGCTTTCGTGGACTCCGGTCAGGCCCATTGCCCGTAGCCAGTCATGGCCGCGCAGCTCTTCGAGGAGACGCTCCAGGACTTGTTGTTCATGTTGGGCGCGGTTGCGCTCGATGTTTCGTAGTTGCTTTTCTTGTCGTTCGAACTTGCGGTGCGCGCGGAAGTAGACCTCTTCGCCCAGGGGGTCGATTCCGCTTGGATTTGGCTTAGACTCTGGTAAAGTGATCTTTTCGCAATCGTGGAGGTTGAGTAATGGGTTGCCGAATGATGTAGGCGTAGAGGGAGAAGGTAGTGGTTGGGGTAGGTCGTCGACAAGAGTAATGGTTGTATTAGCGGCGAGAAGTTCTATTCAATGTCAGTCAACTGTTCAATCTGCTTCAAGCACGAAGGGACCTACCAGGTTCAGGTTCTTCCAGACTGATAATCTGTTCGTAATTGTGGAAATACTGCGCGAGCTCGCTCTTGCATCGTGATCCAGTGTCAGCCGAGCGCAACGACCGTCTCCCCGTCCTCGTCTCCACCGGTGCAGACTGCTCGCCATTAGACACGTCGCGATTGCTCTTTCGAGGTGGAGTCGCGACTTCCACAGCTATGCCTCCCTTCACCACCTTCCCGTCGTCGTCATCGGCCAGCGATGGCTTATCGTTGCGACGTGCGCGTTTGATCACAGGCGAAAGGGCCTGTTTGTAATCGGCGTCCACATCTGCATCAAGGGTAGCGGTGCGCGGCTTCTGAGCTACAGAAGGCGGCGCAGGTGAAATTGTGTCCAATGGGTCTGGCGACTCGTGTAGTAAGCCCGCCGTGGCGGAGGAGGTATTTTGGTCACGATGGGCGCGTGGGATCTTGACGGTGCCATTGGCGGTTTTGCGCGTCGCGGGCGTCGCCAATTGCCCCACGGTTGAGGCAACCGTAGCAACCGAGGAGGCGGAGGAGGCGCGGCGAGTGCGACGGGTGGAGGTGCGCGAGCGCGAGGGTTTCAAGGGCGGATCAGGGTGAGGGTTTGCGGTCGGAGTATCTTTTGCCGGGGAGTCGAGGCAGTCTGGGGAGCTCTTGCGGTGGCCGGGGCCATTTTCCTCTATGCGCTGCTTCTTTGTCGGCGGTGCCAGACCGTCGGCAGGTTCTTCGGGGGCTCGTCGCACGGAGCCGCGGAGAGAAGAGCGCGACAGGAGAGCCATTGTTTGACGCGAGGTGGTGGAGGGGACATCAGTCGGTCATGGTGAGGTGTTAGAGATTTCGGACTCTGGAAGGGTCCCCTTCCGCAGGGACTCGGTCGACGTTGAGGTTGAGATGGTGATGGGTATGCGAGAAGTTCTTGGCAGAGGATGTCCAGCAGGTTTATAGGAAAGACAGTGCAGCTTTTACTGCGTAGCTATTCAGGGCTTTGGATTCTATTCACAATGGCTATTCACGATGAGGCTTTCATTTTCTATTGTCAATAGTTTATTCGAGTTCTGCCTTGACCATTGAAGCCAGACAATCCGAGACAACAAGAGAGGCCTTGAGGTGCCCTCATTGATTCCGAAGCAACGACAAAGCATTGAATGGTCTAATATGGCCTGCCTATACCTCTTGAATAATCCATTCACATTGAGAACGTGTCCAGTACAACATTCACTCTGAAGCCCGGACAACGTCCGCTTACCCCCACGGGCAAATGTGGGGGAAATTCCGGAGAAACTCCCGGTCACAGGATCGAAGGAAGCCATTATGAAGGGATTCAAAGTAATTGAAAGTCCTAGAAACGGGGGACTACTAGCGGATTCTGCCATTCTGGCACCAGATGAATAGACAGCTGCAATGGGCCACGGCGACGAGGAATATCTCCCGACGGGAGTAACAAAAGACGCAGGAGTATATCCAGATTGTAGCACACGACCTCACACAACCTGACCGGAGATCTCTCCGATTCCGTGCTTGAAAGAAATAAACCACAATCTCTGCGAGCTCGGAACTGATGCAACTGATATCCTATATAAAAGAACCGGAGAACTTGCAACTTCCGACCCCGCATAACCGAGGCCGCGAGGCGTGGGGGAAAGAGGGGACGAAGTGTTAGCAAAAAGAGCATCCACCGCCTCCCACGTACGCAGTCAAGGCCAATTGGCAACCTCATGAATGGCCAAGCAGTGGGGTGGACGTGGGGTGAAAGGATTCCCCAGAAGTTTAGCTAAATAGCTGGAACCCCTCCATCATTGATCTACTCACTTCCTCCAGTGCTGATTTGGTATGTAGAAATCCGGCGGACTTATCGGAGGCTCGAAACTGACCAGGTAACTAGACTGAGCCCCATACACCTCCCTCAACACAAGATGACTATCAACGGCACCGCGCGAAACCCTCTCCCCCACGGTGTCTACGTGCCCACCGTCGCATTCTTCAAGTCTGACGAGGAGGTCGATATCGAGACAGTGGAGAGACATGCGACCTACCTCGCTCAAAGCGGCGTGACGGGACTCGTCACCCAGGGCAGCAATGGCGAAGCTGTACACCTGGACCGCGAAGAGCGCAAAGCCATCACAGCCGCCACCCGCCGCGCCGTCAACGCCGCCGGCTATAGCAGCATGCCCGTCATCGCCGGCTGCGGCGCAGCCTCCACCCGTGAAACCATTTTGTTCTGCCAGGATGCCGCCGCCGCAGGAGCCGATGCAGTCCTCGTCCTGCCGCCCAGCTACTACAAGTCGCTGGTGAGCACCGAGTCCATGCACGCACACTTCTTGACCGTGGCGGATGCTTCACCCGTCCCCGTGCTCATCTATAACTTCCCCGCCGTCCAATCGGGTCTGGACCTTAGCTCAGACGATATCCTTGCTCTTGCTAAGCACCCCAAGATTATCGGTTGCAAGCTCACTTGCGGTAACACGGGCAAACTGGCTCGTATTGCGGCAGCCAACCCTGAGTTCTTGACTTTCGGTGGCTCGGCCGATTTCACTTTGCAGACGCTCGTTGCTGGCGGTGCGGGTATCATCGGTGGTTTGGCTAATTTGATTCCCCGCTCGTGTGTGCGCGTGATGGAACTGTACCGTGCTGGAAAGGTTGAGGAGGCGCAGAAGCTGCAGGGCATTGTTGCCCGCGCTGACTGGGCTGCTATTCATGGGGGATTCATTGCTGTCAAGAGTGGCTTGCAGTCCTACCGTGGATATGGTGGTCTTCCCCGACGGCCTTGTGTTGTGCCTGATGCGAAGGCGGCGGCTGCTATCCAGGAGGAGTTCCGGGAGGGGATGGAATTGGAGAAGTCGTTGGAATCAAGATAAAAGCGGTGTACTAGTAAAATATGATACCTGAACTGATGCTACCTGAACTTGAGGAATTGCTGTGTTTGAATGCTCAACACGAGATGATGAGAGTGTGACAGTGATATTCCTTATCCAATATGACCGACCCCAGTCCCCAATACCCCTCTTTAACGTGGCCATATCCCCCCTCTTCGTTGCATGTGGAGGTTGCACTTTTTATCGTTAATCTGCCAACTCTCAAACTGGCTAGTGTGAATGTAACATGATCAAACGTTTAATTTGTTTGTTTGTTTGTCTATCGACCATCCAGGTTGCATCTCAAACAGACCATTCCGGGATCGACATGAGATCGGCATGGAGTTGAGAGACTTAAATAGGCCTAGCTGTCTCCTGGCTCTGGCCTTTGTTTTTCTCACTCTCACTCAACTCATCAACATGAAGTTCGCCTCTGTCCTGAGTGCCCTCGGGGCCTTGACAGCTGTCTCCGCCGTCCAGGTGAATCCACTTCCCGCCCCACGCAATATCACCTGGGGAACTTCCGGTCCAATCCAAGTCAAGCAACTGAGATTAAATGGCCACCACTCGAGTCATGTAATCACTAGTGCCTGGGAACGCGCCTGGCACACCATCACCACCCTTCAATGGGTTCCCGCCGCGGTTGAATCCCCAATTGTCTCCTATCCAGCATTCCCGACCGCTACCCCTACCCCTAGCTCGAAAATCAAGCGCACACACACGGGACTCCACACCGTCGAGGTTCATGTAATGGATAGCGACGCTGATCTGCAGCATGGCGTGGATGAATCATATACACTCGAGGTGGCCAAGGGCGACAGCAGCATCAAGATCAAGGCCCAGACGGTCTGGGGTGCGCTGCACGCGTTCACCACCCTGCAACAGATCATCATCTCCGATGGCAGGGGCAACCTGATCATCGAACAACCTGTTAAAATCAAGGATGCTCCGCTGTATCCCTACCGTGGTATCATGATGGACACCGGTCGCAACTTCATCTCCATGCGCAAGATCTTCGAGCAGATTGACGGCATGGCACTGTCCAAGCTCAATGTTCTGCATTGGCATCTGGACGATGCCCAGTCATGGCCCATGCAGATCCGCTCCTATCCCGAGATGACCAAAGATGCCTACTCGGCTCGTGAGGTCTATACCGAGAACGACATGCGAAGTGTGATTAGCTATGCCCGTGCGCGAGGCATCCGGGTGATCCCCGAAGTCGACATGCCGGGCCACGCTGCTTCTGGCTGGCAACAAATTGACCCGGAGATCGTGACCTGTGTCGACTCGTGGTGGTCCAACGATGTGTGGGAGTACCACACCGCGGTGGAGCCGAACCCTGGCCAACTCGACATTATCTATAACAAGACCTATGAAGCCGTCGACAATGTCTACAAAGATCTGTCTCGCATCTTCAGCGATAACTTCTTCCACGTCGGTGCCGATGAGATTCAGACAGGCTGCTATAACTTCAGCACCCATATCACTGAGTGGTTTGCCGAAGACCCCTCGCGCACATACAATGACCTTTCCCAGTACTGGATCGACCATGCCATGCCCATCTTCCGCAGTGTCGGCGATCACCGCCGCCTGGTTATGTGGGAGGATATCGTCATCGCAGCCGAGGGTGCCCACGACGTGCCCAAGGATATCATCATGCAGACCTGGAACCAGGGTGATAACAACATCAAGAAACTTGCTTCCGCCGGCTACGACGTGATTGTCTCGACTTCCGACTTCCTCTATCTGGACTGCGGCCACGGCGGCGCTGTCACGAATGATCCCCGCTACAACGAACAGTCTAACCCAGGCGGTGACATTACTTTCAACTACGGCGGTAACGGAGGCTCCTGGTGCGGTCCTTACAAGACCTGGCAGCGCATCTACGACTACGACTTCCTGACCAATCTCACTGACAGCGAGGCGAAGCATGTTATCGGCGCCGAGGCTCCCTTGTGGTCCGAGCAGATCGACGACGTGACCATTTCGAGCGCCTTCTGGCCACGCGCCGCTGCTCTGGGCGAGCTTGTCTGGTCTGGTAACCGTGATGCGCATGACCGCAAGCGCACGACCGAACTCACTCAGCGTATCATCAACTTCCGCGAGTACCTCGTTGCTAATGGCGTCATGGCCACGGTTCTTGTGCCGAAGTATTGCGCTCAGCACCCGCATGCTTGCGATCTATACAAGAATCAAACCGTTCTTGGTTGATTGTTTGAGTGAAAGGCTGATGCTTTACCATCTATGGTCTCATCTGTACATACTTATTTAGCATCTTCGATACCCAATGCATTGCTACCATGGGATTTTTCTGGAATACACGTCTTGTCAGTAACTATCTGTGCCTTTCAGCTTACTCACACCCGATATACCATTGCCGTTCGTATGCCGTGAAAGTCAATCTACCGTGGTAAATTTGCAAGTCTCTACTCATCCCCACAGCCTCCATATACCTTATTCTCCCTACCCCCAACTCCATCCAGGCACCAAACCACACCTCCCTTCCCCGGCCCAAATCCAAATCCAAACCTTCCCTCTTCATTATCTCACTCCACCCTTACCCGACACCCTCACACACCAGTGAACACCAACCCATAGACCCAAATCACTAGACCCCAATACCAACCTCAAACCCCACAGACCTCCCCTTTCCAGACCAAAACCTGCCGTGCAACACCCCAACCTCGAAACCATCCCTCTGTACGGAGTATACATACCCTATAAGGAAACAGTCTCCTACCGATGCACAGCATACAGCACAGCACGCAGTGAATATGTGCATGATACCCTCCTGGGGGTTTATTATACACATATAGGTACGCAGTCTGAAACATGACAACTTCTTACTTTCAGAATAGATCAGTACCTCCGTACACCCATACCCGTGTATTCGGAGTCAACTGGGCCGATTGGGGATATCCATGTCGAGATCATGTATGAGACGTTTGATGTGTATTTGGACTGAGGGGGTTGTTCACGTGTAGATGTACATGTGCATGGGAGTTTTGCGTATGTTGTACAGGATGAGGTCGGATATTTGCTACAGTTTTAGTCTTCTTCTATTCTATGTTTATGTCCTAGTAATATAGTGTTCCAAGACTAGATATAGTCAGTTACTCCTCTCTGTACTACAGAAACGAACAGCCTTCGAGGTCTAGATCGAGCTCGATTACCATTCAGAATATGCTTGATGCTAACAGAAGCAAGTCCCTCCATCCTTCACCTTTGTATAACCCTCCCTCCTCGGGGTCCATCGGGTACCACCGTACCATCGCACCAAACAAAGCTACCGAACTTCATTTGGTGGCCCAGTGGATTGGGAACCGATCTCGCATATGTTGGATACAGACACAGAGCACGCGGTAGTTCTGCGTAACCCGCGTGTTGGGTGTGTTGCACGATTGGATGCGGGTGTTATGTCGTTGCTGTTGGTTTCGGTTAAGATGGACTATTTGAGCAGACTGGTTCTGTTTCTCGTCCTGTTTTGTATTGTAAGATTGAGGTATCGGTTTCTGACGAAGTTGAGCTTGGATGTTTGTGGGAAATTGGTAGATTTGGAGATCGGGGTTTGGGCTTTGGCTTACTGTTTACGGCTTACTGTATATAGATTCCAGGGACGGGTTTCTGTGCCACGGGCGTGTTTCAACTTGGCTATATGCTTGCTGGTATGCATTTGCCAATGTCAATACGGCTCTGAGATCTCACTCTTAGAGTCTTAGTCGCCCTTCGAGTCTCATCCTCTCTACCTTGATTTTACGTTACACGGCATCGCACCAAAACCAGACCCTAAGCGAGAGTCTGATTCCATATGGACCGCGACCAAATAGAAGGTCTCGTGTTGGTTATGACTGCGATGTTATCTAGACCGCGGAGAATTTGCTGTTTTGCGTGTTTGTACCTACATGGTCGTCCCCTAGGTGGGAGGCCGGGGTGAGGTGCTCCCGTCCACGGCGGGATGTTTCATAATATATCCTGGTGACCTGGTCGGTTGTAGGATCACAGGGACGATGACCAGATTGCACCGTAGGTAGCTGTTCTAGAACCTTGGAAGCCACCTAGGTCAGTCTTCTCACTCTTCTAGGTCACAAGAAGCGCATATTTTCAAGCTATACTTGTCTCGACTTTCAGCGAATATTAGTCCACTAGGTTGATGGAGCCAAAAATATCACATCACGTCCAAGGCCAGACTCCGAGCCCAAATGCCGAAGATAAGACTCAAGCCTCTCCGACTGCATAACCAAACACCGTGGATCCAGATCAATCTCGAATCCATTTATCAGATCCATCATTCAAAGTATCATGGGCGATGCCTGTCCATTTGCCGTCGAAAATCCCAACATCATTGGACCAAGCCCTGAAGCTCAGACCTCGAAGATCCCCCACAGATCCTCCACGCCTTACACCCAACACCAACAGAGACAATGTACTCACCCACTCACATACGCCGCTGTCAATCCCATTTGATATCATAGGAGTGCCTGGCCAATATCTACCCACCCACACATCCGGCTCGCCCACTGGTACCAGCCATCACAGCGCCCGACCCTGCAGCACTGCATCTGCACCTGCAATGCGCATCCGATCGCCGAACTATAGAACCTAATCACCACCCAGACACGATCTACGATGCGCTCAGGCTTTAGCGCTAGCAAACGAAGGTCTGAACATCGATACTAGATTACTAGTAGATCCCCCCTTCCCCGCTCTGCAAGCCCGTCCTACCACACCACACCCACGCCGCACAACCTAAGTAACAAAGTACCTAACTACAATATGTATCGACAAGATCTACCTACCCCCACTCAGTGACCTCACCAAGGCTGGGTCCTCGCTGCATTGCATGTCCTGATCTCTGATGCAAACGCCGACACAGACGCAGTGTGAAAATGTCACGCTAAATCCAGTCACATCCTAAGGCCGGTGCCCCGGAGCGCCCGATCCGCCCCACGTCGAATCAGGAAAAACCACCACACCGGAAAAGCGGACAAGCAAGATGGCAGGACATCCAGTCATCCACTGCATGCCGTGTCACGCAACGTCATATTTTCTCGGAAACCCGGGTTTGCGCCATTGTGGCATGGATCGTGACACCGCCTCAATGGGTGGGGTTCGAGCCCATTGAGTGGTGTCGGGGAGAGCGAGAGGGCTCCCCCATAGGTTGGAGCAGTGGCTAGTGAGTGGGGGCAGTGGAGGGCAAGAGAGTTGTTTCACTTGTTTGTCTTCGATGGGGTGGGGAGTGGTTCTTCCGGTGTGGCACAGTTTTTCTTTGTTTCTTGTCTCTGTACTGTCAGACGTGATACGAAATGTAGATCGTAAAGTTCAAGTGGAGAAGATCCACTCGCAGTTTGCTGGGCCGCTTTCACGCAACAGCGGACAGACTGTTTAGTGAATTTGTGCATGGACGTCATATTGTATCTTTTCGCTTTTAACCGGGATCGGCGTGTTAAGGGGGATTTAGGGGAAAAATCGACGTGACAGGTCAGAATTGTAGGTGTGATTACGTGTGATGTATCCAATCATGGGGGGTGGAATCCGGCATGTTCATTACAATCTGAAATCTCGTTCCCGAGATCCCGGTGTCGATCGGTCATGCATGTGCAGATTGACTTTCCTGTCTTTTGTGTTGGAGAGAGAAGCTTACTTGAGATGGTTGGCCTTCTTCCTCTTATTTTGGCTTAGAGATATTACACGACACACGTCTAGGCAGTGATCTCACTACAGACACTACCTCCAGATGAGCGGGACATATCCCATAGGCGCGGGATAGAATACTTCTGCCCGGGAAGATTTGGAGATTTGGTTTAGTGCTGATCCTCTACATAGTAAGTGCTTAGTGTCGTAGCAACCTACACTCAGACCCCTCCAACCTAGTATCCTGAAGTGCCTATGCCATAGCCAGTGACACAACTGTACCTCTTCGAAAATATCACCTGATCCTGACTTGTAGGTGTATCCATGGGATCTTCGTTCCTGGCTATTGTAGCACACATGCCAGGCATGGACTCGATCCTAATGGATAGTAACTGATTCAACCTCCATCCGCAGACTGCTTGCAGCTTCGACCCCTTTTTAGAAGCCAATCTTGCATCGATCGTCACTGGGACGCCGGTAGACGGGTGATTGGGCGTGACCCCTCCCGGATGGGTAAATCCCCCCAATAAAATCCATGAACAGTAGTTCGGGGCTCTGGCGTCGTGGCTCTACTCCGTACTCTGTTAGTCTGTTCCAGGATAGGATGTTGGCCACTGGACCATGCCGCCCCAACCACATGGAACCGATGATAGAGAGGATCGGACCGCCCGCACGGTAGCTTACTACCCAATTCAAATACAACACTACGTACGGAGTATCACCAAATATTCGAGTTCCTAGGTAGCTACCTATGCAGGAGCTAGGCCGCTAGAACATGTGACACCCCTGGAGATCAGAGCGTCGATAGTGCAGGGATGTGAGATTAAGTACGGAGTACGGATACGCCGTAGTCTATTATCAGATAGGAAAGAGACAAGCAACAAACTAAATTGGCACTGGAGGAAGTCATGATTTGCAGGCAGCAATACTAGGGGTAATAGTTATGAGATTAATATGCAGACAGATTAATTCTCCTTCCCAGGAGTGATTTCCTCCCAGCAGTGAGTTTCCCGCGCCCCCAGCAGTGAATTCCCCCTGACAGGGATCTACTATACAGTCCAAGCTTTACGATGTGCGGTGTACAACAAGACAACATGGTATAAACGAACGTATCGATATCAGGAACGCCAGAAATGATAGCCCGAATACATGCCACCGTTTCGCATGCAGAGTAAATCTTGACGATCTGTCTTGTCGGTGTCATGTCGGAATCAATAGTGCGATTAGCCCTTAAACAATACGGCATACGGTGAACTCATCATCTCATGTGCACAAGCTCGTGGATAGCCACGTTCACGGGGAAAATCTCACGCTCCGAAGGAATGAGTCCGTAGACTGGATCTAGTTAGTAGCACATACATACAGACACAGTAGCACGGGAAATTCCATGCCCTCCACCTGCCACGTGAGCCAATTCACCGAGTCCGGCCGAATGAAAAGCCAAAAAAGGGGGGGTACTTGCTGGAGTCTCCACCTTCCCACCCGAATTTCGGCCCTACGGCCTACACAGGTGACAGGACCCAAGAGCAACTACCGAACGCATTTACATAGCCTAGACTGCAAAATCTGTTTTGTAAGTG